CATCCCCCCCCTCTCTGTCTGAATAGTAGTATCAGCAGAGCTTTTCCCGGGCAGGTATGGCGGTGGCGATGAGTGCTAGATTCCGAATAAATGAATGGACTTTTTGTTATATGTTACTTCGACCCTCTGCCTCGCTCGCTTTGGAGAAAAGAGAAAAAGGAAACGAGTCTTGCGTTGCGTAATATAGTGCGAATACCTGGATGGATGGATACGGACGGACGGACGGACGGACGGACGGACGAATGAATGATGGGGGAGTAGCTATTCATGATGGATGGGGGTGCCTTTCTTCCAATGCTGAATATTGGATGGATGGATAGATAGGAAGGTTTGAGTGTTTGTAGAAAAAGACAGATAAAGGTCGGTTCAGCACAAAGGGGTCGGAGGGGGGAAGGGGGAGACAGGACTCTTTGTCGTTTAGGAAAATTCGGGTTGAATTCTGATCTCAGACCTCAGACGATGGGCGCGGCGCGGGGGGCAAAAAAAAGAAGAGTCGACTGAAGTGCGGGTTTGGAAGGGAGACTCAATTCATGGAGGACGAGGACGAGGTGACAATGCCTCCAGTCTCTGCGCATGGGCTGTATACAGAGTTGAGCGGAACTTCTCGAGCCTTGGTTATAGTTGGGATCGCTGGTAAGTTCAAGACAAAGAGGGCCTGCGGTATAATAACAGCTTGCCATTCATGCAGTAAGGTAAGTAGCATACTCACTAATCTAGACACTACCTACTTACTATTCTTCGCGATTCACGTCATATCCAGCGTGGGAAAAGTCATCAGTGCAGTTGATTCCTTCATTTCCGTGGTCATCGGTCCCAGTTGTGTCAAGCAAAAACACCCAAAACACCTCGCTCAAGTACCGTTTGATCCATCACTCTTGCTCTGAAGATCCAACAAGCCCGCGCTCACGGTCTTTCTTGTGGCTCTCCCACATCGTCCTCGGCAAATTTTCATTAGCAACAAGTCGAATCGGACTCCTCAAAGGAACACCAAAATCATCTTCATTTTCTTCATCTTCATCCTCCGACCCAAATTCGTCCTCAATGTCACTATCATCAAGGTCGAATGAGCCCGGAACACGTTTTGGCATCCCAGCGGGACTCTCGAATAGCAAAACCTTCGGGAAAGCACCCTTGGCAAACCTCGCAGCAATTCTGAGCATGATAGCCACAAGATGTACGGGCGGACCCAGAAAAGCAGAGGCTGTTTTTCGCACAAGAGCAGTGGATATTGCTGCTTGATCCTTCTCCTGCGAGTGTCTTTTAGAGAGATGCGAACGGAGCGAACTACTAGATGCCGTGGAAATAGAAGACAATCCCGTTGTTCGGCGACGTATGGGAACGGGACTCGTTATTGATGTACCACCGATACTTCTTCGTGCCTGAATTCGAGCCTGGATAGCTGCAAAGGGGTCTGCCTCTGAAGACGAGAAACGATCCAGATGTATATCATGAGATGTATCCGACAGTGGCTCAACATGCGCAGCAGGCATCGGCATTGTCTCCGCTGGGCGCTCGCTACACACGCCTGTGGTGCCGTATACCTCCAGCGCAGACCCACTCGGAGTGGTTGGAGGTTCAGCATGATCACCACCATGGTCGTGCAAGATCGTGTCACCTTGAGAGTCTACCACCGGTAGTGAGGCGGCCTGGTCGGACTCTGCGCTGGCTTCGCGCTGAACGTTCCTGTTTCTCGGCAAATCATCGCTACGTGCGTCGCAAGCGACGAATAGTGCATCGGTGGCGACATGTTCGACAGGTCCATATGGTTCGGATGGCGTGGAGTCGACACCCGTCACAATGGTACTGTGGTCCACTGAAGGTGATTCTAATTGGTCGGACCTGGCGGCTGCCCGTTCCGCCACTCCACGATTCTGATGTAGCTGCGACGCTTTCTCTACATTGACAGATGGTCCGGCGCTAGCAGCAAGCGCAGCATCGTGTACGATGCGTTGAGGTGCATGCGATGCGTCTTCTTGCGAAATTGGAGGTTGGGACGAGGCATCATTTGACGATGCAAAGTCTAGCCCAATATTGGAATCTGGCGGTGAAGGAGGCATATCGGTGGGCATTGACTGTAATGACCGATGGTCTTGCACGTTGTCTCCTTCTGCCGATGCCTCGGACATGTTGCTTGACTTTGGCGCCTCGATGTCTGACGTAGCAGAGGTGAGAAGTATAGGCATACCATCTGAAGCAGCGTGGGAGGGGTGTTCTTCTGAAGATGCGCCTGGTGGGGCATCTGGCTCTCTCGCTTCTTGAGACACAGATCGCGAGGGTGTGCTTGGTTGCCCTAGCAGAGTGGGAGAAATGTCCTTTTGGAGCAGCTCTTTACGCGTCGCACCCGCCGACGTATCTGGCACTTTCGCTCCTCTCGGTCTGGATGGCGAAGTTGTGTGGGTGTGGTCGTTGCGCGCTGGGAGGAAAGAAGCACGCAGTCTGGACGGCGGAGTAGATTGTACTTGTAGCTGTGGAGGAGCAGTCACCGACCGCAGCTCGATGCCCCTGGCTCGATCTTTCACAGTAGGCTTCCTGGCTGGTGCCGGCCGGTTGACGCTCAGCTCCGCAACATGCTCTGCAAGCCCATCTGCCAGTTCTTCTGGCGAACCTGAGCTTCCTTCCTCGTCCGATGTTGTGCCACTGCCAGAAGAGCCATCACTAGGAGCATCCTGCTCGGGTGTCCATCCTTCTGGCTTCCAACTGTACGCTTTGTCCAACTTCCACTTCTTGGCGGGTCCATCAGTTCTCCGTCTTTTTTTCCTGGGCTTTGGCTCTCCTTCGATCGGGAGGTCTACCTGGAAAGTCCGCGCGAATGGACATGCTGTCCTCTCATAGAACAGTACCTTCTGTAGCGTGATCTTGAACTCTTCTACTTTCGCTAGGTCCTCAGGTGTATTTCCAGGTAGTTCGATGCGGTAATATGTGTCTGGGAGCACGCGCATAGCGAATTTGCTCACACCGTCCACGCACCAGCAGTTACTCCGCGGCATGATGGCGTGCAGTAACGAGCCGGAATGTAAGAACGATACGGAGCCTGGCACGCGATATATCTCGAGCGGGCCTGCCGCCATGGTCTTTTCTGTCAATGTCGCCCATGGCAGAGTGCCGGGTTGATGCAGGCCTCCGCCTCCTCCAGGACTCCATGTCCCAGACTGACCGCTGCTGTTCGGCCGTGTCGGCGCGTTGCTCGTGAATTTGACAATCTTCCCGCTGGCGTGCGAGAAAAGTGTTTCGACGCCTTCGGTCGCGCCGATGTCTGCAATGGGCTGCGCGCGATTCGGTGCATGGGCGGCAGAAAAGGATCGGTTTAGGGCGACGTTGCGCGAGGTTTGATCGGGCGTTCTCGGCACCGGAGTCGACATGTCGGTAATGCTTCAGACATCGGCGAATGGTTACAGGACGCGTGCGTGGCTGGTCAGTGGTGAAGGAGCGCCTCCCGCAGGGTTTACGAGGACGAGATGAGATGGGAGGTGGGATGGAATGGCAGATGCAGATTGTGGAGGATATTCTGTGGACTGGAAGCATCGACAACGGCGTGCCCGATGATAGAACTTCACCTGCTCCAAAGCATCTTTACCATTGTTCTGCTCCTTGTGAATTGATACATACGGTATCTATGTAAGCGGTATAGGATGGGAAATATTGCACATGCACTCGACGAACGGTTCGCATGAGAGGCGGAGGCCCCTGCATGAGTCTACGTCACTCTTGTCCATACTATATTCACACGAGATACATAATGTATGTCTGTATGTGCCTGTAAGGTACTGACATCTGGTCACTACCTAGCACCAGCAAGATTTCGCCTTCAGCACAGATCTCGTGCACCCCTTTGATTGCTCCCTCAACAGCAGGCTCTTCCCAGGTCCGAGTATCTGGCAGATACTTTTGTTATACTTCAAACAGTACACGTATTTCCTTTGGTGAAAGTGCAGAGCAGGCGTCATACGGGAGACGGCCGTATCGACCTCGTATGTTTGATCAGCATTGGTGCTGATGGCAGGGTAAGAAGCAGTCAAGTTGGCATATGACCCTGCCAACCTGCTTGATAGAAGCCCAGCAGGTTGCTGCCGAGGCCGAGCATAAGGTACCTGGTAGGTAATGTCCATGCGGAAGCCAGCTGTGGTTCGACGTTACATCTTCGTGCCAATGGCATTATCTTACAGGTCTATCGGTGACCATGTGAGGACTGAAGGCTTCTTACTGTTATTGTGCGATTAGATAGCGAGGATACAACATCTCGTGTTGTGCATGTTGTTGGTGATGTCGTTCGCAGCCAAGAAAAGAATGCGATCTTCACGCGTCCATCCACACGACGTGACTACGAGACGCGTGGACCGGCCTGACTGTACGCTACGTCACCGCGTCGAGGAGCCAGATGGGTGGGTCTTACCACGATGAAAACGGAGATGTCGGGAGTCGCACGCTCAACTTGATATCAGACAAACACCCTCTCCCGTCGTTCATCGTCAGACGCGGCCACAATGAGCAGATACGCCTCATTCGGCAGCTTTGAGCTGAACAGCATCGTGCGAGGAGCCCAATTGACTGTGGTGGGCGCCAACCGAGCTCTCCAGAATCCTGGCATCTTCACGAGCGAGCTGTATAGACAGGCGGCATTGGCCGTAGCGTGTGGGTTGGCCATCCGGATGCTTGTTGCCATACCAGTAAGCAAGAAAGCCATATGGATGCCAGCGGGAGACGTGCACTGATTGATTTTAACCTGCCTCCAGACCATCGGCATCCGTATCTTCATCAAGTTTCTCGGCCTCTTCACAGATTTATCCGGTGCGAAATGGGACGAGGAGATCATCGAGGGCATTTCCTTCATCGAAAACTCGGTTCTCCAGGTGCCTTTCTTCCTGATGTCCTTCATTCGCCAGCTCAGTCCTGCCATGGATCACATGTTCATGGACAGTCTCCAATGGGTGGACCAAACCTACGCCCAGAAGCACAAAACAGACGACCCATCACAGCTCAGAGCCATGTACTATCCCAACCTGAAGCTGTATAGCGAACTTGCTCCATCGACGAAGACGAAGAAGGATCCATACCAGGCACTCAAAGCATTCGGTTACCGCTTTGGCAAGAAGGCCGTGGTATCGTTGGGAGTCTATCTTCTATCTCTGCTGCCATACATAGGGCGATATGTCCTACCCGCCGCTTCTTTCTACACCTTCCACCAAGCTGTAGGATTGCAACCCGCGCTGCTGCTCTTTGCAAGCTCTCTCTTTCTACCAAAGCGATACCTCGTTATGTTCCTCCAGAGCTACTTCTCGAGCCGAACGCTCATGCGAGAGTTGGTATGATGATGCGTGATAACGACTCAAAGCTGCAATTTACTGACACAACTTCACTAGCTGGAACCCTACTTCTCTCGAGTCCGCTACACACCTGAACAGAAGAAACAGTGGTTCCATGATCGAGAAGGCGTTCTCTTCGGCTTTGCTTTCGCCTTCGTTTCTTTCCTGAAGATACCACTGCTCGGCGTCCTTATCTACGGCATCGCAGAGGCTTCGACTGCATATCTGATCACCAAGATTACCGAACCACCACCAGAGCCGCAACAAGCCGAAAAATTCAAGCAGGAGGATATACATTGGAAGAACAAGCATGAGTTTGTGAGCTTGCCACTTGATGCCATCGACAAATTCAACATGACTCTGAAAGAGAAGAGCCATGCCCATACAGAAAGCGAGATAAAAGCTGGTCGACAATTTACCTAGCAGGTCACTTTCCCTTTAGGCACAAATTGAAGACGAGAACAGCCGATCACACACCTTTTATTCGTTTATTGCTCAATAGCGGAGATATCTCGGGCGTTGCCACGTGTGTTTGTTTCAGCTGCAGGCAGTCCCAGCTCCGTTGCTCCATCGGCGCATCAGCGCCCCGCAAGATACATGTATGAGCTTCCAATGACAGCTACTTTGCTGCTGTTCGCTCCCCTCCCTCGTCTTATCAGTCTTTTCTTCCCAAGAATCAGAAGCTGTTAGAGCGCGTAAACTGCCAGGCGTCTTACCTATCTTGGGCGATGACCCCGCATCGTGCAGAGGTGAAGCAGTAAATAAAGGTAGGGCGATTCCAGTCATCAACTTGCGTACTTTCGCTTCCTCTACTGGATCTCGTAGAAAAAGATAAGCAGCAAGAGTATCCCAAAAGACAGACAAAATGGGCAAAGAAGGATTGAGATATGCAGCAAAAGTTGAGCTTGACAAAGATGCAGGCACGCTCCCTTATCTACACGTAAGTACATGTGCCTACCTTAGTAATGCATCATATCATGGCCGTGAAGTCCATACTCCATAGCAATCGCAAAGCTAACGAAGAGCTCTCCGATAGAACCGATGGCACCCCGACAGTGAGTTTCAGACGCTACCAACTTGCATGAATGCTGTGATCTTACCATTATACAGTTCCCACCATTGGCGACATCAAGAATGGCGAGACTGTCAAGATCGAATGTGTGGACTGGACGGGAGGACAGATTGGCAACAATGACTCGGCCGATGACATGAGAGATGTCGATCTCACCAGAATTCACTACCTGACCGGTCCTTTCAATATCGAGACTGCTGAGCCGGGAGACATACTCGTGGTGGAGATCCAAGATGTGCAGCCGCTGGAGCACCAACCATGGGGCTTCACAGGAGTCTTTGCCAAAGAGAATGGAGGAGTAAGTATAGCTTGCACTGGCCGGAAGGAACACGGCTGATAGTGTGAAGGGCTTCCTCGATGAGATCTACCCTAAGCCCGCAAAAGCGATCTGGGACTTCGAAGGCATACACTGCAGTTCTCGCCACATTCCGGGCGTTCGATTCGCCGGCCTCATTCACCCAGGCATTCTCGGCTGCGCTCCTTCCCAAGAAGTGCTTGAACTCTGGAACAAACGCGAAGGCGAGCTCATCTCCGCTTGCAGCCACATGGATCGTGATGTCGCCAAGCCGCCCGAGCCTATCAATGTCCACGTCGGGACCGGCGATGCTTCGATCAAAGAGAAAGTGGGAAAAGAAGGTGCCCGTACCATTCCTGGTAGACCGGAACATGGAGGTAATTGTGACATTAAGAACTTGAGCAGAGGCAGTAAAGTCTACCTGCCAGTTCACGTCAAGGGTGGAAAGTTCTCTGTGGGCGATTTGCACTTCTCCCAGGGTGATGGAGAAATCTCCTTCTGCGGTGCAATTGAGATGGCGGGCGTCATCACCATCAAGTTTACGGTGATGAAGGGTGGAATGGAGAAGTTGGGCATGAAGAGGTAAGTCTTTTCTCAAGCTACTTACTCACCGTCTCACGAACAAGTCCTCTGACTGATTCATCTAAAAAAACAAAAAGCCCAATTTACATCCCTGGTCCTGTCGAACCCCAATTCGGTCCGGGACGATACATCTACTTCGAAGGATTCTCCGTCGACGAAAATGGAAAGCAACATTACCTCGATGCCACTGTGGCCTATCGACAAACTTGCCTGAGAGTCATTGAGTACTTGAGGAGGTACGGATACGACGATTATCAGATCTATCTGTTGCTGTCCTGTGCACCTGTACAAGGACATATCGCGGGTATTGTAGATATCCCCAATGCCTGCACGACGCTGGGTTTGCCGATTGATATCTTCGACTTCGATATCCGGCCCGAAGCGGATGTGGTGAAGAGGGATTTGGGAGCTTGTGCGAAGGCTAGTTCTTGAAGTCGAACAAGGCAGAAAGGTAAGCTTGCAGGTGTATGTACGGTAGCAGTGTATGTATTCGGTACCTCCTAGAAGAGAACCGAAAAGGCTTCGTCCTACCTTAGTCATCTTGAGGCTGAGCACGCGCGCACGTGCGGACGCGCGAGACTAGCACAAAGCCTATTTGAGAGACAACTCACATCCTTCAAACAACATTTCACGACTCTTCACGTTCCCTCCCACACTGGAGTGCGTTATGCTATGATGTTGGTAGCAGACGTGTCCGCTGTCGTCCCCGCGAGCACCATGGCTGTGCCGCTCATATGGGGTCTGATCTCCAGTGATGGGTGATGGGTGATGGCAGTGCCGCATCGGCAATACCACGAAATTGGATGGCTGGTTCGATCCTACTCCGCCCTACCACGCTCGAGCATTCATTTGCGCTTCAATGTCGGGCGGTCTCTTCCCCTTCTCCCCCCACTGACACCTTACAGCACATACTAACTCAGGTATCTACTTAACGCGCCGAACTGGCGGCAGCCACTGGGGCGTCGGCAAAAGTTGGCTCTTTGTACATTGCTTCGCCGATACGCGATACGCCTAACCCCTTGCACGGCCGACCGCACTTCGAGAACGACTCGCTCGCACAAGAGCCGACGCCACCGAACCAGCGGCTCACACCACGAGGGCGCCGCAAATCTACATCTGCAGAAATGCACAGTTTAGGCGATGGCATTACGGTCACGATGCCACCCGCAAAAAGAGCGCGAGTTGCCGGTACATCTCTCGAACATGTACGCGCCCACAATGTCCGCATTGGTGCGGCATACTTGACCAACGGAACTATTACTCCAATTTCATCTGAAGCAGAAGTAGCGAGCCCGACTTCTGCTAGTGCCTCATTGCGACTTCCACGAGACACACAACCACGTAGTTCACTTCAGGCCACAGCAGAGGATGTTTCTGAAAGCGATGACCACCCTAACTCTTCGTCCGTTCGGCTCAAGAAAAAGTCCTTCCGCGTTGTCAGTACCGAGGAATCCCAGCGTCTGCAGTCGAGAGCTGCAATGGTAGACTTAGGAGGACCAGCTTTCCCGCAGCATATGTATCAGGGGTACAAGATATCGGCTGAACTAAGAAAGGAATACAGTGCAATGTGGACGTTGCAGACTGCGTTTTACAAAAAGTACCCGGTCGTCGACCAGCGGCCGCAATATACTTACTTTATGCTTAACGACTTCAGCATATACCGACCATCCTCTTCCAAATATCATGCAGACGAGCTCGTCACGTTGGAAAAGCTCACTTTGCGCGGAAAAGGGGAGTTCTTTCTCGCAGGTATATTGTCTTTCGAAGACGAAAGATTCTTTGTAAAGGACGTCCCCTTCGACATTCTGACTCTAGAATACGGAGTATCGCACCCTTGGCGAGATAGAGTATGCATTCAATCAAGAATCGCAAGGTACCAGAATGTTTACTACAAACTTGGCCGACCTGCACAAGCATACGACCGCTTCTACGCACCTTTCCTTCTTATTGCGCAATTCGCAGACTACTTCATCGAATACCTGTGCGAGCATAAGCATGTCACGATTGCAAAGTTTCGCCACGACTTCTGGAATTGGTTACAACCGCGTTACGGCGAAGATCCATCCTTCCAAGCTTGGCATAGGAATGTCAAGCTCCTGGATTTCAGGACACAGGTTGCTACTCAAGTTGAGTTTCTCTGGAAGGAGTGCTGGAGCATTGATGATCAGTCAGCTAGAGCGGGCGAACCAACATCTCTGTGCGAACATCCCATCTGGAGTGAAATCCATCCTGACATGCTAGAAGCTATACCGAAACAGCCAGTGGACTACTTGAGCAAGACCGTGGTCACCCCTTATGCATATACTTGCTTTCAGAACATGTACTTTGCGGACCAGCTTGGCGTGAACTACATCCAGGAGGACGCCTTGCGAGACCGTGTCAGTGCACTGAAATCAAATCTTGGACTGACACCATTGTATAATAAAGTTTTAATGTCTGAAGCTCCTGATGTCGTCGCTCAACCATTACAGGAGGTTAGTGATGTATGCATTGGCGACGTCGTTGTCGTCCCTGCAGACAAGACTGGTAGCTGGAAGCAATCAACAACAGACCTCTGGTACGCGTATGTGCAGCGCATCTGGAAAGCCAGTAATGGCAGTAGACGACTGGACGTTATCTGGCTATATCAACCAGAGGACACAACGATCGGAAATGCTCCCTACTTGTTCCGCAATGAGCTGTTTTTATCAGACAATTGTGGTTGTGGCGAGGCAGAAGCGCTCTATCTTGACGATATCGCAGATGTAATAGGTATTGCTGAAGTGTCCTGGTTCGCGACAGACCCTGCTGCAGAAGGAGGCCTCTTTGTCCGACGCACATTTCGGACTGTGCCCGAGCTGAATCAGTACGACTTTGTTACACTCCAAAGCCACCATTTCCGCTGCTGCCACCAGGAAGGGTATATTGACTATTCGGACGTCAAGTACAAGATCGGCGATTCTGTTCTTATACGCAAAAAGCAAGACTCAACTGGGCGTAATTGCAGACCTGCGATCATTGTCGGGTTCCCTGGAGAAGATCGTGTTAGCCTGAACAAGCTATATTACGCCCGCGAAGTCTCTCGGTCAGACGCTCGACCTAATGAGCTGGTCCTTACCGCTGAAAACATCGAAAGGGACACAGACAGTATTGTACGGCCTTGCCATATTAGACTCTTCGATCGCGTGCAGATTGAGCGAGGCCTAGTGCCCACACCCTATAATCGTGACGGAACTGGAGACTTCTTCTACGTTGCGCGGGACTCACAAAGCATACTGCCTGCTGGCCTGCTACTAAATGAAGGGTGGAACCCGCAACAGCATGATTCCAGACCGAAATTGACTGGACTGGGTTTGTTCTGTGGTGGTGGTACCTTCGATCGCGGACTGGAGGAAGGCGGTGCAGTGCAGTTCCGCTACGCCGTGGATATCGCAGAAGAGGCGCTACATAGCTATCGAGCAAATACTGCGGACCCTGAGCAGACCTCCTACTACCTTGGGTCTGTCAACGAATACCTGGCGTCTGCGCTGGCTGGCGAAAGCAGCGACATCGTGGCGGAGCCTGGATCAATCCACGTTATATCCGCAGGCAGCCCATGCCAAGGGTTCTCAAATCTGCAGCAGTACAAGGACAGTGACCGATCCAAGCGTAATGCTTCTATGGTAGCATCGGTCATATCCTATGTTGATCTCTACGCACCTCGATATCTTATACTGGAAAATGTCATTGCTATGACTACGTCGATCAAAGAGCATGGAGGTCAGAACGTCTTCTCCCAGATGATTGCTGCTTTAGTAGGTCTTGGATACCAAGTTCAGCAGTTCTTGATGGATGCGTACTATTATGGTAGCTCCCAAGCTCGGTCTCGAGTGTTTATCCTGGCGTCAGCACCCATTTGCGAAGTCCTCGAACAGCAGGACTATACTCACGCACGACCGACGGAACTGGAACGAATGCTCCACCTAGGAAAATGTAGCAATGGAAAGCCTTTTGGATCGCGTCAAGAAGAAGCGTACTTTCCTTTTGCGCAGGTGAGCGCAGAAGAATCTGTGGGCGACTTGCCTGTTGTGTTTGATGGACAGCCGCTGCTCTGTCCACAATTTCCTGACCATCGTACAGCCACAGAAGAGACTGTGATCAACCGGGATCGCATTGCTGCTGTCCCCAAACGACCTTTTGGCATGTCACTGAAACGCGCTGCTCTCGCAGGCTTAGTTCGCGGCGAGCCACTGGACTTCTCCAATGGGCACAACCAGATTCGATGTGGGCCAAATTCCAATTCATACCGGCGCATCTTCCCAAATCGACCATTCCCGACAATCATTACAATGATCTCAGTGACAGACGGCATAGCAGGCCAGGTAGTGCACTGGAACGAAGACCGGGTCTTGACCATCATGGAAACAAGGCGTGCGCAAGGTCTTCCGGATGACGAAGTGCTCGTAGGGCTACCTGCCGAGAGGTTGAAGATTGTAGGCAATGGTGTCGACAGAAAAGTCGCATTGGTACTTGGTCTCTCGTTGCGAAAATCGTGGCAAAAGTCACCACTGCTGGATGATGTAAATGCCCACGCGTTCGAAGCAGTCGACCACCACTCGATCGACAACAGGACAGTCAAGATGGCTCTCAACCTTTCCGAGGATGACATTGCTTCCATTCGCACAGGAGGATTCAAGCGCATCAAGACCCTGTTGTCCAGACTCGAGCATCGTTTAGCTCGTCAGTCTCTGCACAGTGGTGATCAGGAGAAGGAAGAGAAACAAGACTGATGTCAAAAGGCAAAATAAGCGTTGTAATTAAAAACGCTGTACCTCCAGCGAATGACAAGCTGTCGCAGCAGTGGCAAAAGGGTCGAAAATAGCCTCACCACCCGTCTTCTGGTGCCACGTTAGTTAGTGCTACCTCCTAGTTCAACACATTCAACTACAGGTACCTTAAGTACCCTACTCACTCAGTCAGTTGCACGTGCAGTCAATCAATGAGCCTTATTTTTTTTTCTTTGGCCATTTCATTTCAATTCTCGTCCCTGCGTCGTGCAACGATTGATTATTCATTTCTTGCCACCTATGTAAGGTACCTACAGGTATACCTAATAGTTGTTCAATTATTACATGTACCTGACAATTTTCATCATCAATTTCATCATCATCAAAATTACGATGTGCATACATTCATATTAGGTACATCAGATACAGGTATGTATACCTAAGGTAGTGTGGTGTGTATGTATATACCAAAAGTCAGAGTAAGAGTACCTCCTAAGATTAAGAGTGGCGACAAGCGGTGTCAAGGTCCAGTGTCGGTGTGCTCGGTGTGCTCGGTGTGCTCGGTATCTTTTAGTGTCGGTGTGCTCAGTATGCTCGGTATCTTTTAGGTACTTATCGGTCTCGGAGGGGAGAAGTAGAGGTACACGGGAGAGAGAGGGATTTGCTAACTGCTTCTTCTTCTTTTTTTTGTTGCTTGTTGTTTGTTGTTTGTTGTTTTGTTCTACCTTCTTTTAGGAATTAGTACCTGTATTTGTAGTATGCCTACAGAAACACATCAAAACCCAAGACCCTTTTTCCCTTCAAAATTCGCCTCCTTCTCTCTTTTTTTCGCGTTTTAGTTCCCTCGTGCCGCTGTATACATACCCTTATAACGATTGTTATTATATTATAATATATAGTCTACAGTTGTATAAGTATATTAGGTAGGTATATGTCTATCTATAAGTATATAGGTATACACCTTCTATTAATTTCGAAACTCCGACTGCGGGCTGCTAGCTTAAAGTCTCGGAGGAAGAACGGGACGGACGGCAAAGAGGATAAGGAGGAGGAGAGGCGGGAGACGGGCTACCTCCTACCTCCTAATAAGTACCTAAAAGTAGCTTGTAGTTCAAGTCGCAGTATAGGAGGAAGCCCGCTAGAAGGCGTTCGAGAAGATATGATCAGCATTGTTCTCGATAGGAGATAGGAGGAGACGGGAGTCAATTTCGTCGAAAAGGAGTTTGTTGGATCAAGTGCCAAGGCTAACTATCATGTGATGAATAATGACAACAATGACAATGACAATGACAATGTACGATACTTTTCGAACGAACGAACGAGCCAACGACCGACCGACCGACCGGACGAAAGACCGAAAGAACCGATACAGGCCGGTCGGTATCTTGATTATTTGTTTCATATATCGGAGCTTAGCCCGAGGGTTCAGAACATGTAGAAGGTAGAAGGTAGATGTACCTACAGGCTACATGGATCTGGAAGCACGCGGGTACAGGTAATGACGCGGCGTGTCTAGCTAGGGATGAGGGAGGGCAGTGTTGTAGGAAACAAGTCCGTAGTTATATTAAATGTATAAATGTATGTATATTTAAACACGGGCAACATCTAGTAGGAGGTGATAAGGTAAGTGTGCCCAGCTATGTACCTAGTTCGTGACTAGTTGATGACACGCAGGGCTCCGCGAGCAAGGAGGAGCGAATACTTCTTTCATTCATGAGACATGGGTGGTCTTTTTTTGGGGAGGTCAGATGGATGATGAATATAGGGTTGCAGAGGGTGGGACTTTCTTCACGCGGCATTTGGGGTGTCTGTCTCGAGATAGTAGAAGGCCCCTTTTTCTTGTTTGCCTTGTCGCTGATCGCAGCAGAGGGAATGGAGCTGGGTGGGGAGAGAGAGAGAGTACACGTCGGGGACCGAATCACGAATAGCATGGGCGCGTTCGTTCCTGTGTTGGTGAGGCTTGGAGGCTGTAATGACTGATGAGATGCTTGTTTTCTTGGTAGTGGTTGTTGTGGTCTCTCAGAGAGAGAAAGAGAGAGAGTCAGAAAGAGAGAGTCGCAGTTCCTCTCATGTGACTTGGAAATCGAATTTGCGTCCCAAATGAGGTCCTGGCGGAGCTGATTCCATGCTCTCGGCATGTTGCGTAATTGGCTCCATCCAGCCAGACCATTGGTTCTACATACCAGTCATACCTGACGTCCTCCTGGGCTGCCTACCGCCCCGGGGCTTGTGCCTGGTCCATGACCCAGCCTGAGGGAAGGGATAAACAGACTAAAAAGGCAAAAAATAAAACAATCAGCTTGCAGGTATTGCTCGTCAGTATGATATCTGTGATACTAGGTTATCGCCTGCGGCCGCGCCCGCGCCGCAGGCTTCGGGCGGCGCAGGCTCTTCCTTCAACAAGGCCGGCCGATGTTTCTGGTGTTGTAATAATAATATGACATGTAAACGAGCCGACCACTGACCTTCCCGTGCCCGGTGTGCAAATAGACGTGGAGCCTGGAAACAAGAGCGTACTAGGCTGCTACATAGCAAGTTCAGTAGGGTGCTCGTGGCATCTGCGGAGGTGGTAGTGGAGGTAGTGGGGTAGTGGTAGTGGTATGGTGGTAGTGGGGTAGTGATGGTGGTAGTGGTGAGGGCGGTAGTGATGGTCTAACAACGCAGCGCAGAGAGTCGGGCGAGATACATGTATGTAGGTGTAGGTACATGTATTCCTAGAACTGTGATGAAGCCCGTACATGTACGGTGTACCTTACAGGTTACGAGTGAGTTATCCGAGCCGAGCAATCAGTGCCGGAGTCCCTACTACATACCGGTTTTTTACTTCAATGTGAGCTTAGGTACTTATAAGAGGTACATGTAGGTACTTGTTACATGTAGATGGTATACGGTCCGCGGACTCTCAAGGACATGGTCACAGAGGCCGGCATATCCCTTCAGCTTCGGGTCACACTTGCCGAACGGAGCTGAGTGTAATGCCGAAAATCTGCGAGGCTCTAGGCCTTTAGCAGGCTAGCAGCAACTCCTTCAACCTTGTCGCAGGGCAAATGGAGGCGAGCCTGTAATTGAGCGCATTCATTGAAGTACTCGTATACCGCTATACCTCCTACTTTTGGATGGTACTGTACTTGGTACCGACAGGAAACTTCATTAGGGCGTCCCTCTATACGTGGTTGGAGCCTGAAGAAGAGGAGAATACTTTGATCGAATCGACGTTTATTTTCACCTCTAGGAGCGTCACTACACATGAAGATTAGGTACATTGTCACAGACTGGTGATGTGAAAAGTCAAGGGGCTACTCATTGGTCGGATGGCGCCCACATATTCTTGCCAGTTCCAGTGTGATACCTTTTGATGATACTACAGGTGCCTGACCTTATTGAAGTATGTATGCGACATTCTATCCGATGCTGGCGCGTTGGGCTGCAAAGAGAGGCAACAACTACAGCCTACCTAGGTAAGGTAGGTCCAGCCTAGAGCCCCCTAGGTACCGCCAGAGAAACCTTGCAAACGAAATCGAAGAGTGGGTGCGTCGTATAGAAAGCATGAATACGTGTGGGTGACATGGTCATGGCTATCCATGCTCAGGCATGCTGTTTGTCTCTGGCAAGATGAAGATGCTCGGTACCAGTAACGCATGGCTATCCATGCTTGTCTCTATGGCAAGATGAAGATGCGCGGCACTAGAAACGTAATGGCGATTGAGTAGCGCTGCTTCTAGCCTTCTACGATGCGGTGCAACTTGAGGTTGCTGGATGAATTCCAACCTCATCTGGGCTGTGTAAGGACGAGGAGGAGAAAGAGGAGGAGATGCAGCTCGGCAATCGGCACCGGACATGCGGTGTAGGTCTGCTAACTGAGTTGGTGTAGAGGGCGGGAGAGATGAAAAGATAGGGAGAATTCGAGAAAGACACAGAAAGAGAGCCGACGTTAACCGCATAGATGATCGAAATACCTTGTAGTTACAGGTGGGTATGTACTTACTGCAAGTAGGGCTGTTCATTGTGTGTACACTGTACAGGACTACCGGTACATACCAGAGGACCGTAGGAGGTAAGCATCGCAGCAGCAGCCTGCAAGCATTGCGAGTGACACACGACGATCTGATAAGGTGAGAAATCAAATGCCTGCTCATTAGTGCTGGCCTGTAGCGGCGATCACCAGTAAGAGGTAGTATATCGAGAAGTGATAGTATGTACTAACCTACATGTAAGTAACTGGACAGTACTGGTGTGCCTGTAGGAGGTAAGGTAGGCTGTAGCCTGTAGGTGGTAGTATTGGCAACAGACAGAAAGCAACGTGCGCGGACCATGCTATGCCATGCTGGTAAGGTGTGCTCCTTATCGCCCGCGCCACCGTCTAGTACCACTTGACTACCAGGCATCTGCCGTCCGCCGCACGGCAGGGAAGTGTCTACCCCTGCCGCCACTAGCAAAGATGTGCATATGTGTGATCAGTGATCTGACGGCTCACGGGGACATGGGGGGACGAAGCATTGTGGACACTGGAGGAAGCAGTGCAGTGGCCGGCTACTGGACACTGGACAGTAGTAGGAGGTCCCCGCCTAGGTGGTACTGCACTGTACGGAATCACCTCGCACGCTGGCCTCTTGTCGCTCTCCAGATCAACTGCCGCCGGCCCGCCGCCATAGGCCCACCTCCACCACCATCATCGCCACCATTTACCGCCTTCCCTCCCGCCCTCCCTTCCGCCCGTCCTCCCTCCCTCTCCCCGTTCCTCCTGCCGTGGCCCCGTTGTCGTGAATCGTCAATGCCGTGCCGGAGGTTCATCAAAAAAGTATCCGTCAGGTACCTTAGTAGGTACCTACTAAAGTACCTTATTTCATGTACCTGACTGTACCACACCGTACATCCTGCTGCACTGCGGCGGTCGACCCCACCCACACGCTAGCCAGAGGACACCCGGACTACCGTAATCCTGTGATCTGACAGCCACCGCCTCCTGGTCCTAGCATTATTGACTTCGACCTACCCAACGATTCGGAAAACTCTAACCTTCGGAACGACGAGACTTCTGAGGAAGCCCATCCCTTCGAAGCTAGCTGGTTAGACTGGGCAACAGCGTCGGAACACGACCTAGCGGTCGATGTTGCCTCACTGCACCCTGGCGCTCATATTGCTCGCGACGTTCATGGCTTATTAGACCTTGGGATAATGGAACCATATCGTAGGGGGTATGTCCCTCCAACAACGCACGACCACCGTGACCATCATCATCATCGACACAACCCACCTCCACCTCCACCTCCGCCGCCGCCTCACCACTTCGCGCCGCCTGCTCATCCAGCATCGCATGTGCCCCAAGACCACCAGCAGCACCAGCATCAGCAGCAGCAGACTCCGTATCGCCAGCAGCCTTCCGCCCACTCCCAACAATCACCTCAGCCGCTGCCACTGCCGCCGCCTCCGCAGCCGCAGCCATACCATCACCACCAGCAGCAGCAGCACCAGCAGCAGCAGTCGCAGTCGCAGTCGCAGTCGCACGCGGCAGCCGGCGTTGCGCTTCCACCTATCCAGCCGTCTGGACATCCCCCGCCGCCTTCGAGCTCCGATCCGTCGAACCTACCGCCGTTTCGCCCACCACCGCACGAGCAACATCGCGAAGAGTCGCAGCAGTACCAGTCTGAACACAGCTTCAATAATCGCTCCGGCCATGCCACACCAGCACCGCTGCACGTGAACAGGACATACTCGCAAGACTCGAGCCACCAGCAGCAGCAGCAACAGCAGCAGCAACAACGAACGCCCGCGACACCCACAGCTCCCTCGCACCACCACTTTTCTCCCTCAGCTGAGCCCGACGGCGCTCAATTGCCGCCGCCGGGGGCACCACCTCCGCCACATGCCATGGACCATGGCGCGCGCCACGGATATCCGCCTACCAATGGTGTACTCCACCATAGTCTGCCGCCACCGGCGCATCCACATCACGACCAGCATCCGCCGTACGCCATGACTCCCATGATGGATCAGCATCATCGCTATCCTCCTCCTCCGTCCGGTCAGCCCATGTACAACGGCCCTCCGAGCTATGGTCCCGCTGCAAACATGAACTACGGCCCGAAGCGGAAACAGATGCGGGCTACACAAGTGCGTTGTGAATATCATTGCTGCTTATTTGTGGACTGTACTGACACTCCATACAGGCATGCGAGCAATGTAGACAGCGCAAGCAAAAGTGCGATGAAGGCTCGCCTTGTTCGTTCTGCAAGGAGAACAACTTGAACTGCCAATATCGTGACACTCCTCCAGCAAAGTAGGTTTTCGACCCAACATTGCATGCTTTTCTTCGTCTTCGCCCATGCTGATGTATCATAGAACCGACAAGAACATGGAGAAAATACTGGCCTACATGGAGTCCCACGAGCGAGCTTTGACAGATTTGACCACGAAAATTGACTCGTTTGAGCAAAGGTTGCGAACAGTGGAACAGAACACACGTTCCACCTCTCAGAACCACGCCCAAACCAGCTTGCAAACCAATCATCTGTACCAGTCCACTGGTGGCGCGGAACAGGACATGGCAATGTATGACGATTCCGTGGCACGACGATCTCGAAAACCTGACCTCGAAGACCATCGAACAGCACCGCATAAGTTGCTACTGTTGTGGCCGTCTGTGCGACCGCTGCTCCAGGCAGCTCATATTGCATACGGGGACGGCTACGTGATGGAGGCTGAGGATCGGGGCGTGTTGCGGTTGTGGACGAAAGGCGAAGGCATCGATGAGTATGACGGCACCCATGCCGGCGGTTCTGCGAGTCCTGCTCGAAGTGAAGACAGCGGAGATGTGTCGAACGCAGGAACTCCATCGGAAGGTCTTTGGGGTATCGGTTTTCCCTCGGCGCCGAGCAGCAATAGTGGTCGCTCAGACCCGCACAGCTATGGGGGCCCTAAAACCAACGGCTACGTGGACCTCGATGCCGGAACGATCAACAGGCTCTACGAGAGCTATATGAGCAACATCCACATCATGCACCCTTTCCTGGACCAGCGCCGGCTGCGCAGGATGCTTGATATCTTCATCAGCAGATACAGCACTGGACGCCACCGAGCTGCGTTTGCAGTGGGGAATGACTACTCTGGCGAACGCCCGATGAAGAGGCGACGATCCAACGGTTCCGGGCCGAACAATGTTGGTGGCAATAACGTGTCTGATTCCGACGTTGGTTGTCAACAGGCCACCGAGCGGTCACCTGGCAACGCTGTCATCTACCTGGTGCTTGCTTTGGGCAAGATTTGTCTACACAAAAAGGCCTTGCCGTCCATGGTTCCTAACACCAGGCTCGAAACCAACCTGGTCGTTACACATCAGTCGTCCGCTCAGCGTTTTCAAGCGAATTCGCCCATGTCGGCGACGATCAAGCAGTCTCCGATGTCTGCGAAGTCCACACCAGTCACCCAGCCCCCGCCGCCATCCGATGCACATCTACGTAGGCCCGAGTCCGGAAGTCGGCGGTCATCTGTCGAGGCTCCCTCACCAAGCGCCGACCCCACTGGGCTACGAAATATGGATGTCATTCCGGGCATGGCCTACTATGCTCGAGCGGCTGAAATCTTGGGTGACCAAGGTGATGGAAATGATCTGGTTCATGCGCAGATGTTTCTCTTGGCTGGTTTGTACAAAGGTCAATTAGCCCGAGTCAAGGAAAGCATGAGCTGGATCACGATGGCTGGCCGCGCGATCCTGATCCTCCTCGATCGCTACAAGCTGTACAACGACGAATACTGGGACAGCCGCGGAGTGGAAGTGTCGTCATTTCAAAAGTCGCAGGCCCGTATCAAGGACACTCGGCAGAGCTTGATTGTGCTTGCTTCGTGGACGTGTCTGCAGCTCGAGAGCGATATCCTCGCCGAGCTTCGACTGCCCGCCAGTGGAATCCAGGCGATAGAGCATATGCTCTTGATGCCGCACAAGGTCAATGAAGACGAGTCGTACTCGGGGCTGGAGCCGGACGGTCGGCTCGAAGACTACGACAATATGCTCATCTACTATTCTGCTCAGCTCTTTCTTCGGCGGAGATTGAATCAAGTGCACAGGCAAATGTACGGGAAAGACTCCATGTCCTTGCCGCTTGCCGAAGTGCGGGAGATGCTGACAGGCCACGAATCGATCTTGAGCGAGTGGAGGCGAGGGCTGCCAGCCTTGCTTCGATGGAAAGACGATGATGATCCACCCAAAGACATCCTGAATGCCAGGCTGCGCGCCAAGTATTGGGGAGCGCGGTATGTCATCAATCGACCATTCCTCGACTATGCATTGCATGTCATTCCTCATGTCCGAGATGGCAAAACGGTGGAGGAAGTCGCCGTCGACGGATACAACAACCCTCGCGATAAGGCCGATGTGCATCTTTTCAAGGCCATTCAACAGATGGGTGACGACCAAATCTTCGAGTCCGCGCACCGGTGCATTTACGCCGCGATGAAAAGTACAGTTGCGTTCGATGGCATCATTGATGGAGGTGAGAGGCTCATTGTCACGAATATACACGGGACTGCACACGCGTAAGTGTTCACTATGGCCTGCGAATCATGTTGGAGTGTTTCACTAATCCGTGTTAGGCAATTTGGAAATATGCTGGTATTATGTGCGGTATACAACAACAACTGGCTGCACAATATGGTCAGCGGGGAGAAGCTGAAGCAGTTACTGCTCCGTACCATCAACTTCCTGCGCAGGCTCGCACCAATTTCGCCGACCTGTAAGGCAGACTGCGGGATTCTGGAAAAGTTTCGCAACCATCTTTTCCCAATCACAGACGACGCCAAGAGTGTGTACAAGGAGGAAGGCGTCGAGCCCGCCAGCGCCGAAACCTCGTTCCAGGGCAGCTTCAATGGCTCGATTGCGCGGTGAGGCAAGCACAGGCCCGGTCATCATCCAGATATCATCATCCAGATATGACTGGTCCGCAGAGCGCAATCACCCCGCCGAGGTGTAGTCTTGCCTCGTTTGGTCCATCACGATTATCCTAGAAGTACTCGACGTACACTTTCCCCGGGAACATGTCGCTGTGGTGAAGGCGCAGATGGATCAAGCAATGGTTCCCGTTTTTCTACCGCTTCGAGCGGTACCTCGGTCATTGGAGGGAGCATTTCGATATTCGGATCGTCAGGCACCACTACCAATGATCCTGGGGAGGACATGGGGATGGCTCTGATTCGGCATTACCACTCGGCACAAATTGGCGCCTTACAGGTCGAATCATGACTCTCATCACAATCGATTTGGCCCACGCGCATTCGCTTTTCTTTTTGCAGCATCGTTTCTTGCGGATACCAGGCTCATCGCCATTGTCTGGGAGGCAGTTTTTTGAGTTTTTGCTCTCTTGTCACAGGGGTGGTCAGATGTTTGTTTTGCATACAAAGGGGAATGGAAACCCCCCACACCATGTGGGATGTACAGTTATGAAGAGATGGTGTACATTGTACAGCAGCACTTGGCACTTGGCTGTACTCGGGAGTTAATGTGGAGCTAGCTATTGCGCTCTTATAATTTTGTTACCTCCTAGGTAGCTGTTGCGCTTGATACTGATTATGTTCATACAACCCTTTTTTCGTTTTCTTTTGCCCATGACCCATCTCCCCCGCTCGCACTCAATCTGTCGGAAACATGCTTCAACTCCAAATAAAATGGCAGAAGAAAACAACCAGTGCACAGTCTATCGTTACCGTGTGACCTCAGTGCCAAGTAAGTAAGGCAACAAAACAAATCTAATAAACAAACATAACTCGGCTCTCCGGAATCTCTATTCTCTAGGATGTAGGATGTGCGCGCGTATTTGCTTGTACTCTTATCTATCTTACTTAGCTGTCTTATGTCTTACATTAGGGTCAGGTACAGGTACAGGTAGTTAGGGTAGCTAGGAAGTACTAGGTCTTACGGAGGGAGGGATAGGGGGCAGAGTTGGGATGTTTTTATAGAGAAGAGTAAGACGCGGATGACTCGGGTCAGCTATGTACTAAAGAGTATAAGGTACCTAGGTAACTAAGACTAAAAGAAGGAAAGAAGGGGAGAAGGGAAGAAGGGAAGAAGGAAGGCTAAGACGGAGATTTGGAAGTTAAGACTACCTATCTAGGAGGGAGGAGTCGGCGGTTGGTAGTTTGGAATTGGAATTAGAATTAGAATTGATTTTTTATAAAAAATTAGAAAGAATATTATTGTTCTTTGTTAAAGCAAGTCTAGGTACCTTAGTCTCTTTACTACCTACTTCTTCCCCTACGCTCCCCCTCTCTCTCCTAGATAGGATATCTGTTTGTTGTTGTATTTTGTATTTTGCATATTGTTGTATTATTAGTAAGTAGTATCAGCGGTGAAGCAAGCAGCAAAAAGGGTAAGGTACCTTATACATGTAATACAATTGGTCTACGACGTAAATCAATTTTTTTCTAACTCTAACCTTGGCAATAGCTGCACCGGGCTGGAAATAGTAGGCAAGCTACAAAAGGTTTGGGAAAAAAAAGTTCTTTGACGTGCTGCAATTGCATATTGATTTATTTGGTACATACACCGGGGGGAATCGGGAAGGGAAGGATTGGTTGGTCGAGAATAAAACAATGTAGAGGATGTCCGCGATGCTTACTTAATTTTGATCTTGGGGGACGGAGAAGTCGACGGATTGAGTAGTAGTACATCTGTACATCTGTTACGCGGTAGATACATTGTAGATTGTGTCCGACTCACCGAATATGCCTAACGAACTTGCAGGCATGGTGGACTCTTACTGTATGGTATGCATGAGACCTCCGGGTCAGGTTCCTCAGTTCCTGTAGTGCTGGTTATCATCATACGATTGCGGGAGCGAAAAGATGCCGTCGGATTTTTCGACCACGTTGTGCTCGGTATGCGTTTGTTTGTGGAGATGGTCGGATGAACTCCGATGACATAAGATTCGTTCGTTCTGCCATGCTGACAGACTGGGAGGGAATCTGTTCAATAAAAGTGAGTTCCACTACGCCACAGTCTGGGGGGATTTTTTTTTGTTTTCCTTTGGATCAGTTCACGTTCAAGGCTCTAATTGACCAGTGAAACATCGAAAAATGGCGCTTCTGCCAGGGAAAAGTTCGGAGCGACTGCAATCGGAACACGAGAAAGGGCTACAGAGATCCCCGTGTTCACGGGTCGGTGTACCATTGAATAGAGTTCAGGTGCTAGCGTATTTTAAGCTTTTTTGCGTTTTTAGGTGCACTACACTTTGAGGTCAGTGTACCATATATACAACACCTAGAATTGAATTAATTCCTTATTTAATTTTTCTACTATAGTATAGAAAATATATATACTTAGCTAAATAAAATAAGAATTAAATAACTATTTAATTTAAGAATTGATTTAGAATAGTATTAAATAACCATTTAATTTGGGAATTAATTTAAGAATTAATTTAGAATACTAGCGATACTAGCTCTAGAAGATAGATAAAGTAAATAAGTAAGACTTTTATAGAAATTGTTTTAAGAATTGTTTTACGAATCGTTTCCTTAATCGATCTCTAAATCGATTTCTACTAAATAATTCTAGAACTAATTCTAGAATCGTTTAGTAAATCGATTACTTACTAGCTTAGAATTTTCTTAATAATAGAAATAGTTCTAGAATTATTTCGAGAATCGTTTTCTAAATTGATTACTTACTATTAGCTTAGAATTTTCTTAATTCTTAAAATAATTTTAGAATCGTTTAGCGAATCAATTACTTATAAATAGTTATAAGGCTATTAGTTAATATTAATTTAACAGATATTTAAATTAATTATTGAATCAATTCTAGCTAAGTGTACCATTAGTCACGTGTAAAACTAGCGTAAAGTCAAAGTATGGTACAGCGAGGGTGACTTGGCGAAGTGGAACGTGCCCCTCGCACCTGAACTCTATTCAATGGTGCACCGACCCGTGAACACTCGAGATCCCCGACCACGACGACCCGCGAAGACTTGCAGTGCAGCAGTTTCTCACTCACCAGGATGCACAGTTCCTGAAACGTAGCTCGGAAGCCAGCAGTGCCTGCGATTGCAGCAGTCCTGGGCCTTGCTCGACAGCATATTTGCCACTCCGAGGGTGATGTAGGACATACGATTGGACGTGACCCTGGTGTCGGTTCTGTCGTCTGTAAAGTGATGGATTTCAACTGCGAGGTGCGAAGACGATGTTGTCTTTGACAGGCCCAGATGCGTGACGCACGGGGATCAAGCCTGTTATACTGTAGAGTAAGGTAAGTGCCGTCCCACGCCGCGCGGGACGCCGTGGCGTGATGTGGGACGGCATCGCATGTGGGTGTCCATCGAAAAAATGATTAAACATGGTTTTCTTCAGGTCAGCTGAGGGCAACCAGGGAGCAGCAGGAGCAGGTGAGCTTGTTGCCATAGCTGACCTGGTCGCTCGACAACAGCGATGAGGACAGTCTCACCCTTCTCGCGGCGACGTGATCATCTGCCGCCTCCGGACATTCACGACGTGAGCTTCACTTCCCAATGGCAAGAGATCCATATCGCGTAGGAGTTCGTATGGTGTGGTGACGGATATATATACGTGAGCTATGGCGTTATGTCGATCGAGAAGTCAATCCGTCGGCTTGGGAATGTCTCTGTGGCCAGCATTGCGCCGGCTCTTTGGGTGGTAGGGCGTGCTCAGGTATCGTCGCTTTCCCCCCATCAAAATTGCCAGCGTCCCATGTATAGTCAGCCAGTTCTAGGCATATCCCTTCAGAACTCATCGTCGTCCAGCATGAGCAAGCGACTTGTTACACGGACTTCACTTGACTTTTCTCAGCTCCAACAAGTCTGGCGGCAAAGTCTCGCCCGCGTCTTTCGGCCAGCCATTATACGAGAGTGTAAAGAAGTCATGTAGTATCAATGCTGGAACATGACGGCTTGGAGCCAATATTGATTTGAACGATCCATGTACAGTTGGTGATTTTGAAAGGAACAACACCACCGTGCGGGAAGTAAGTTGGATAGCAAGGCCGCCGGCGACAGTGAACACGGCATCCGAGAGGCAGGTTCGCACGTAGGTGTTGCAGGGCACAATTATCGTTTTCCCGACAATCTCCAGGAGTCTGTGCTGTTCATGCTCATCCAGAGTGTATCTTGGGTCAGGCTTCAGTGACTACCTACAGTCAGGCACAAACAGTCGACCCCAGGAGTGGCCTGGTTATCGCCAAGGTTGCGTTGGTTTGTCGTAAATCTACTCGGGGACAGTCCGAGTGGTAGATACAGTGACTCCGGTCAGGCTTTTGGACTTGTCAATATGATTCGGTTGCCCGTAAGGTCGGCAAGGGCTTCGTACTTAGCTGACATCCAGATCTGATATGGCCAGTTGGAAATCAGTCATCCCTTACCTCCTACCTTACTGTTGAGTTCAAGCCCGGACTGGAGCAACGTCGGCCGGGCTCCAGCTCCGAGCCATGAACGCAGTTTGGCAGGATCAGGAGAGAGATCCGACGCGACTCGACCAACACTTCCGACCTGCATCTTCCCTTGAATTCGGCAACGAGACCTCGAACCAGCGGTACATCTCGAGATGGAGAGCATTTCTCTCCCTCTGCGAGATGGGATTTTCTCCATTCAGAATGTATTCGAGTTGTCCCTTCTCGTCGTCCAGATCCGATCTCCAGATATCTTGAGCCCTCAATTCGCTAGGTACCGAATCTACAAGTCGGAGAAGGTCGAGTTGAACGTGGAAGCAGAAGCGTACAGTCGCCTCGAAAAGGACGACGAGTACAAGGCTGTTATGCGTGCTCTGGTGTAGGTCCATCGCAGGCATCCATGCCCGATTCAGACGCAATACGAAGAATATGCGACCTGTTGCAAATACCTACCTGTACCTACTGTAGTACATGTAGTTTTAGGAGTCATGATTACTCGGTGATGCGTAGAAAATGGCTATGCACCTGACCATGGCCGTCACCGACTGAGACTTGGCGTCCACAGATACATTCGCCCGTCGCTCTCCGATTTGCGACATGATGCTGTTCACTCTGATGGACGACGTAGTCGTTGTCATTCCATTGTACCTGGAGGAAGTTGAAGCCAAGAAGTTATGTCTACGTCCTGCCTTACCAACTTACCTCCTAGTCTCTCCTAACTAGTTTCTTCGGGTGATGTGGACGCAGATCCCCCCCGACCGCGCATTGATTCTCGCCTGAGTTCCAGTACCCTGGAGACGAACAACTCTCCACCCATCTGGATATCCCCCCGATCTCCAACCATTTGCTCCTGGCGAATGACAACGGCCGTCTAAGGTAGTGCTCGGCTAGTCCACCGAGAGCGAACAAAGTTGGCAAGCCGGAGTCTAATCAGCCTGTCTGCTCTTCTCGACCTGTCCATTGTACACTTACCTCCTAGTACCTCACACCTCCCGTGCACGGCATGAACAACGACGCATTCCGCAAACTGGTGGCCAGCACTCCCGCGCGACAGGACGATGGCGCCACCCCCGCCAGGCCAGGCGCGCTGGGCACGAAGAAGAGCTCGTTTGTGCCCATGACGCCGAGGCCTGGAAAGGCAACAGGCAGTGATGATTTTGCACGGCAGGTCCGGGAGCAGCATGCGCAGATGAGGCCGCCCAAGAAGTACAAGTCTTCCGCGCCAAAGGGAAGCAAATTTGGATCGGGATACGTGGATAGGGCCAAAGCGAGACAGGCTGGCGAAGAAGATCAGGACGACAGGGCGGAGCGGATCAAGGCTCTGGAAGAACAGGCTAAGCTGGGTCAAATCCCGTGGGAGACGTTTGAGGCTTTACGCGATAAGATTACTGGTGGTGATGTGTCGAGCACGCACTTGGTCAAGGGTCTGGATAGGCAACTGCTGGAGCGTGTGAGGCGCGGTGAGGATGTGCTGGGATTGGGCAAGAAAGACGAGGAAGAAACTGTGCAGGAGGTAGATGTGGACGACGAACTGGAGAAGCTAGGAGAGCAGGAAGTTGCGACAATTCAGAAGACACAGACTGAGAAGAAGGGGACGAAGGCCGTCGGACCCATAGCAGGGAAGAAGCGGACACGAGACGAGCTGCTTGCTGAGCTGAAAGCACAGCGAAAAGCTGCAGCCGAAGCGAAGGCCGCCAATGCACCGAAGCTGGACGGCAGATGGAAGAAAATTGGTGATCAGTCTCAGCCGAAGGTAGAGTTTGACCACAAAGGGAGGGAGGTGGTAACAGTCGTACAAGAAGATGGGACAGTCAAAAAGATGGTCAAAAAGGCAGCGTCTGCTGCAATCGAGAGCAAAGCTACGATTGACATGCCCGATCTCAGTCAGCCAGTGCTGGGTGCAGATGTCGCCATTCCTGAGCAGAAACAACCGGAGCCAGACGAGGACAGCGACGACGATATCTTCGCCGGAGCTGGAACGGATTACAACCCCCTTGGAGACGAGGAGGATGACGACGACGATAGTGACAGCGAAGATGATGGCAAAGCTAAGCCTTCGAAAAAGCCTGTAGCTCTTGAAAAGCCGAAAGAGGACGATGATAGGGACGAGCGGGCAAAGGACAAATCCCCATCGGAGCATGAAGGACCTGTACCTACTACGAAGAGTGCACGCAATTACTTTGGTGAAGGCACCTCACAGAATGATGAAGATGCTGAAAAGAATCGATTCAAGGGTATCGAAAACGTGCTCAAAAAGGCTGCCAACCTTGCCGCCGATAAGACTGGATCTGACGATGACGAAGACGATGACCCTGCGACCAGAGAGGAACGCGAAGCGCGAAAAGCAAAGCGTGCGAGGATGCTGGCACAGCAAGACCGAGATATGGACGATATGGATCTTGGATTCGGAGGCAGTCGTGGTGAGGACGAGGAAGACGGAATGGATAGTAAAGTCAAGTTTGCAGAATGGAAAGGAGGCAAGACAGCTGGCGACGATGGGTGGGAGGAAGACGACGGAAAGCGTGGCGAGAAGAAGAAGCGTAAGCCAAAGAAGAGAAAGGGCGACGTCAACAATGCGGCCGACATTTTCAGAGTCATCGAAGGACGCAAGGCTAAGGAGAACAAATGAGCTACACAATCCATCCCACGATATCGAACAAGTCTGACCTTCGCGCAGGTCAGCCTCCAAAGTACCATGTTTTCGGCGCACCTCGCATGAGCACAGTTCTTCTTTTTTTTGCATGTGCTGACGGAAGTCGATATGAATACTACGCTGCAACAGTGCAGCGTCAAGTTGCCAATGGAGCTCTCGACGTGGTTTATCCCATGTTTCGCACATGGAACTTGCGCCAAGGATGTATTGGTGCTAAGCGCTCGAATTGCGCAGGTCGACGCGCCTCTCCAAACCAAGTTTCACATCAGCGCGCGTCTTTGAACCACTCCATGCCGAGACTTGCAGCATAGTGCGTGGATCAACCACAAAGCTACCATAGGTACAGGTCGGTATTCATCATTGATGCCATCGTAAACATGTGCCCAATGGGTCGTTGTTATTTTAAGCAACACGATGGCGCCCACTTGCACCGTAGGTACGGTGAATTATCTCGCCGAGCAGTCCACGAGCATACGCGCTTGCTCTCGTATACATGTATATATACGGCCAGGCCGCCGTCAATAGAAAGCAGAAATGTAGGTTCGGAAAGCAGTTTTTATATTCCACTTCCTTCTCGCATCTTGCACCACTTCCACTTTCATTTTCCATCCCAATCCCCATCCACCCGACCCAACCAACATTCACTCATTCGGCGCTGGCGCCCTAAAACAAAAAGAAGAGGAAAAGACCACCACCACTTCCGGATTGAAAGCTACAAAAACTTCGCCCGAGCGAGCGAGCAAGCATCATCATGATGATCACCAACAACAACAAAAACCACCCCAACCACCCAACAGGAACCAACCTCGACCTCACCTATCTCGAACACTCGATCCGCTCTCGCAACAAAGATGTAATTCGCCACGCTTCCGACTCCAGAAAACCTACGAGATTCTCTTCTTCTCGATCATCATCATCATCATCACTATTCGTGAACAACGACGAAGACAATTCCATCAGACATTATCAACTCGATGACGAGGTTGTAAATTTTTTTCCTCGCGCACCTGGTGATACTACTGCTGCTGCTGCTACTTCTCTTTTTAAGAGGGGAGGTCATGGAATTTGTGGAGTTTTGACGCTTTCGAGTTTGGTTTTGATGGTGGTGGTGATGATTATGGGGGGTGTGGTGGGGGTGAGGAAACGACGGCTGCAAGGACGACGACGACGTCAACGATGTATTCAGCGTAGGGGTCAATGCGGAAGAAGAGAAGAAGAAGAAGAATTTACACGAGGTGATGAGGAGGAGGAGGAGGAGTTTGCGAAGAAATGTTTCGTATATAATCAGAATCTTGAAAAGAGAAATTGGAATTTTGATGCGTTGGAGCGGGGGTTGGGAGTGGTGAAAGAGGATGAAGAAGAGGAAGAGAAAGAGGAAGAGGAAGAGGAAGAGGAAGCTGCTGGCAAGAATGGGAATCAGAATCAGAATGGACGACCTTTGATACTACATCATCATCATCATCATGTATCTCTGAAGGCGCCTGTGATTGTTGATTTGGAGGATGTTTGAGGAATAATGTTGAAGTGTAGGGGAAGGGGGGGGGAGACTTGGTCGGGTCACATACATTACCTTAACTCAGGTACATGTACCTACTTGATTCTTGATATTATGCACTTTACCTATACCTACCTATAGGTAGGAGGTAGATGGGTGCAGAGGTACCAAAAAAAGCGTTACATGTGCATGTACATGTGCAAGTATTTCATCAAGCTTTTGATGCATACACAAAAGTCAAGAGGCAGAGCACAGAAAATGAAAAGAAGAAAAAGTTTTTACAATTCTTCTGTTTCTCTCATTCTCTCTCTCTCTCTCTCACATCCAACCACAAAGAGCGCGCGCACTCACACGATCTCCCGCTGCAGGTATCCTTTGCATCTTGAGGTTCTACCACACGGCGCGCGGCAGCTTTCTTCTTTCCTTTTCTTCCTTTTCTTCTTCTTCTCTTCATATATCTACCTTACCTTAGGTACCTCAATATATTGTTTGCCTTCCCGAAAAGTACAAGTACAGATGTAAGGTAGGTATGTAGCTATCCGCGGACACCCTCCCTCCTCTCCCCGGGCGGGTGTTCTACTCATCCTTCTTTTTCACAGATACATGTACCTGAGTAAGGCTAATATGTGTCTCCCTGGCGCCAAATCATGGATTCGGACTCGTGCATTGCATTCTGTGGACGGTGGGACCCGTGAGCGGTCGTACGAGAATGTGTTTTAATCTTTCTCCCTCTCTCTCTCCTTTCACTTTCTGACCTCATCATCATTATCATCATCATCGTTTGGCGCAAAAAAGGGCAAGTCGACAGGCAGACAAGCAGACAGGCAGAGTGTGAAGAAGTGCCGTTGTGGCTGGTTGGATGGCTGGCTACCTACCAGGTAGCCAAGAGGCCGTTGCTATGTATACCTGATCTAACCTTGCTTCCTCTGCCTGCCCTTAGCGACCGGAAACGTCCTTTTTTTTCCTTCCCCTTCCCCTCGCTCCCCGACTAAATTACCAAGAAAGAAAGGGAGTGGTACAACTTTTCTTCGATTCAGCCGTATCCGTGTTGCCTAGTGAGCAGAATATCATAATGTTCATTCCCGCCTGCCAGTGCCAGGAGATATATGAGTAAAATAAGGCATTCTATTCGACCAAAGAGACTGCTTAAACAGGTCTGCCCTTGCAAGCTCTAAATGTGCCTTGTGCCAAAGATAACGAATGAGGCTTGCCCGTCCCAGCCAACTTGAGCCAACTCAGCCAAGCACGTTTCACCTCGGACTCGAGTGCACCAAAAGGCCTCGTCAGGTTGGCTTCTTTCTTTTCCCTTTCTTGAGGTAACAATGGCTTGCATCTAGTCCTGGACCGACCCACTGCACGTCTATCCTCAGGAACATATCAACTATAACTATACCTACCGTTATAGGAGGTAGTGATATTTCTCCTTCGGGACCTCGCACTCTCGTCGATCATCTTACCACTCATCCATCCTGTTTCGAGGAAACGATCTTGTTTGGGACATATATCGTTAACCACCTCCCAATATGCGCAGTCTACTCAGTGTCCTGCTGCTGGCGGGGAGCGTACATGCGATATGGCCTCTGCCGACAGAGTATGAGCATGGCAAGGAAGTGCTCTGGATCACGAGAGACCAAGTGGAAGTCCGATACAACAACAATCAAGCCGGATCTGTTGTGAGCGTACCTGAGTGTTTGGACGAGAAAAGGCTTCTTCTAACTTACGGGGGACAGCAATCACCTACCACAGATGCAGGAAATGCGAGCAAGATGGTTCAGAATGCCGTCCAGAGGACATACGATACCTTGTTTGGCAAGAACTTTGTGCCGTGGATGCTGCGACCCAGGCTCTCCAACTTTGAGCCCGATGGCAGTGCCAACGCTACGTACATTACGACCATCACTCTGGAACAGACCGGTGCCGATCCAGAAGACCTCGCGAAACCGAGCACCGACATCGATGAGTCGTACAGCTTGAATGTGACCAGCGACGGCAAGGTCACCGTGACGGCTCCGACATCGATCGGTCTTCTCTGGGGCCTCACCACCTTCACCCAGCTCTTCTTCAAGCACTCCAGTGGTCGTGTCTACACCGACCTCGCACCTGTGTCCATCACAGATGCACCAAAGTTCAAGTGGCGCGGTCTCAACGTCGACACGTCGCGTACCTTCAAGCCACTGTCGGATCTGTACTCCATGATTGACGCATTGTCATACAACAAGATGAACCGGCTGCACTGGCACATCACGGATGCGCAGTCGTGGCCACTCGAGGTTCCCGCTCTGCCAGACCTGATGGCCAAGGGAATCTATGAACCTTCGCAGAAGTACAGCACCGAAGATGTACGAGCCGTGCAGGAGTATGGCTCTCTCTTGGGTGTCCAAGTCGCCATGGAAATCGACAACCCCGGTCATACCTCTTCAATCTGGTTCTCCAACCCCGAGCTCATCGCAGCCTTTAATCAACAGCCCGATTGGACGACCTACTGCGCGGAGCCACCTTGCGGTTCCTTGAAGCTCAACTCCACCAAAGTCTACGATTTCTTGGAGACTCTTCTGGATGATCTCCTCCCGCGTCTCCAGCCGCTGACTTCCTACTTCCACTTGGGCGGAGACGAAGTTAACAAGAATGCCTACCTTCTCGATGACACGGTCCGCTCCAACTCGTCCTCTGTCCTCCAACCCCTCATGCAGAAATACATGGATCGCAACATGAACCAAACCCAAGCCTACGGACTGACCCCTCTTGTCTGGGAAGAAATGCTCCTCGAATGGAACCTCACTCTTCCCCAAGACACCATTGTCCAAACCTGGCAATCCGACCAAGCCGTCGCACAAGTCACAGCAAAAGGCTATCGCGCACTCGTAGGAAACTACAATTACTGGTATCTCGACTGCGGAAAAGGTCAATGGCTCGACTTTGCACCCGCCAACGCAGCAGGCTTCTGGCCTTTTCAAGACTATTGCTCTCCCTTCCACAACTGGAGAGTCATGTATTCCTACGATCCCTTGACAGGTGTCGCAGAGAATGCCACACATTTAGTTTTGGGAGGCGAAACACATATTTGGAGTGAACAAACAGATAGTGTCAATCTTCATCAAGCGGTACGATTATTACACCTTATATTTCCTCCTCTCCCCTCTCACACACATATCCCCTCAACACTACCTAACTAACTAACACCTACCTACTTTACAGGTCTGGCCCCGCACCTGCGCCGCCGCCGAAGTCCTCTGGAGCGGAGCCAAAGACGCTTCGGGTCAAAATCGGTCACAAATCACTGCTGCGCCTCGTTTGGCGGAAATGCGAGAGAGATTGGTTGCGAGAGGAATTCGGGCCGAACCGATTCAGATGCCGTTTTGTACGCAGAATGGGACGCAGTGTGTGTATCCTTCTTGAGAAGATAAACGGGAAGGAAAAGGAGGAAAGAGGGGGGGAAGAGAGAGAGAGAGAGAGAGGGATGAGGGATGAGGGATGAGGGATAAAGAGAAACGAATATATGATATGGTACGATGTATGTATACAGATTTTAATGTATAAGATAAGATATTTTTCACGCTTCTTTGTTTTTTGTTCTTCTTCTTCTTCATCTCGATGACGATTATAATTATAATGATTTTTATTATTTCTTATAAGACTTCCTGTTTTGTCTTGTCTTGTCTTGTCTATCTGTCTGCCTAACACGAGGTACAGACTATTAGCTTTTTTTTTTCCTTTTTTTTTTTGGTATTATATTGGTGCATGTTGTATATGTAGGTATCGTATCATACCTGGTAGCTTTTCATGAAGAAGACTCTACCCCGGGGTTTGTAGACGAGCTTTCAGATACCTATCTGAAATACTTGGAACCGTCATCTGCCTATACATGACCTGGCGGATCAGGCATAATGGAAATGTCACATGTAGCCCAAAGCTCACTTGCATTTGATGCCTCAATTTGGGCGGGCGTTTCAGGAGGGATATTTTGGTTCGGCATGTACGCGCGGTGCACAATAGCCAAGGCGGCAAGCTAGCAAGAAATCGCGAAACTGCGAGAACTAGAATGGGTAGCCGTAAATGTCGTGTTTCAATAGATATTAGTACCCTCGAGAATGTCTGCAAGCAACAGTCAATGACGAATCAATTTGTTGTGGCAGTACTCCTTTCCAGAATCGTTCATTGTGTTTTGGTATGCTACAATGTTTAGTACAGATGCATAATGCTGTAGACCAATAAGCTACGCAATTTTTTGCTCTTCCGCGAGACTCCGTCAGAACCACTAGAACGGTGGTAGCCAGAACGGATATCCGCCATTCTTCACTCGAAAAACGCTGAGCAGGAAAGAGTAGACGAGAAGGATAATGCCACCCCAAACCATGACAGCCATCTTTTGCTGACGTGGATCAACGATGCGAGGGGTCTTGATCGCCAGGCTGATAGTCGCGAAGGAGAGAACGCCATCTAGCAATCGCATTAGTCCTGTGAAGATTCACGTGTGATGAAAGAACTCACAGATAGCAGCAACAATCTGCGTCTCCATTCCAAATTGGCTCTGAAAGCCACCAGAGAAATAGCTGACGCCTCCCTTACCATTGGAAGCCACATATGGCACTTTCCTGATGTGGTTGAACATGTGTCCGGAGGTGAAGAGAAGCACTGCAATCAAGCTGATGGCTGCCCAGAGGTTGCGGCTCTGAATCACCGGCAGAAGGTATGGGCCAGCCACTGTGAGAAAGGTCAAACCGCCGAGGACTGCAACAGTCGTCGTTGCAATCTTGATGTAGTTGATTGGGCGGACCACTGGAGGATGTGGACGACCAGGCAATAGGCGGGAGAGCCAGCTATGCACAGGCTCGGCAGTGCTGATGCTTCACTTCATGTCAGATAAATCTATCGACAGCACTCGGCAGACTCACCCAGTGTTGAACTCCAGCCTCTCCATTGGTTTATCGGTGTTTGCGTGTGGGCCAGTAGTAGGATGGAATAAGAGCAGTACTGGAGCAGTTTGAAGCATCATCTGATGGATTGTCAGCAGTCTTGGTCACTGAGCATGTCTTTCCGTATCCATCATACCGACTGGAAGGTGGCCTTGCCGTCCAGAAAGTCCAGGGTCGCGAAGACCAGCCTCGACTCCTTCGTCTTATCTCCCTTGGTCCAGCTCTTTGCTAGCATATCCCATTCTGGTTGGAACTGATTGCACAGCTGACACCCGAAGCGAGCGTCCAATGCCGTCAAGAGTACTGCCACGGAGTAGTCGCGAGGAGCTTTGGTGAGCTGTTCGTAAGATTTGTCGTCGAGTCGGGCTGGCTGCGGTTTCGAGCTCGCTATTTCGAATCGATCGCCCGTGTCCTTGGCAGCCAGAGCAGTCAATGGCAGTATCGCCGTGGTGAGGAGCGAGAGCAGCCTCATGTTGTCTGATATGTGCTGTGTTGTGCTGTGCAGTTGTGGGCGATGGAATCGTAGCTCTCAGTGTATCTAGGAGGTACCTTAGAGGACAGCTTGAGACTTGGCGTGCCTGCCGGCTGGACGGGCCGAGCGGCCCCACTTCTACGCGAACTGCTCGCCAGGCCAATGTTTACACTCTTGTTTACTTTGAGAAGTACATACCGATGAAGCAAGCAAACAGCCTACGCAGCATCATAATGCCTGCACAGTCTACTAAAGCAGCCAATATGGCCAGCATACAATCACATTCACTGCATACTGCTGCTGCCGAGCTGAAGTACGCGAGCAGTACGCATCTGGTCGACATCATCAGTAAGGACGAGGACATTCGACGACTTCGATTTGATATACATATCCTGGAGGATGACAACGACGAGCTGCGCGAGTTATTAGGGCAGGAGGAGGGTCGTTGTGATCAGTTTGAGCGACTCGTCAACGAGAATCTGGCACGCGCCGAGGAGGCCGAGGCGCGACTATCCGACATTGAGACGCTGCTACGAACGCGAGAACAGGAGGTCGGCACTCTTCAGGCCGAGGCGAGAGCTTTTCAGACGACCGCAGCAGACACAGAGACGTTCTTGACGGAGAAGCTCGCCTTGACGCGGGAGCTGTCCGTGCTGAGACCACAACTGGAACACTTGAAAGCACAAGCAGGAAATACCGAGGCCCTCATGACCGAGAAACTAGACTTGCAGCGTCAATTGACCGAGATTCAATGTGAACTGGAAAACGCGAAGCGAGACACGAAGCGGGCAATGGCCAAGCGTCGAAATACCGGCGTGGAGATTGCTCAAGAAGAACAGGTTGAGCAGCTGAGACGTGAATTAGCCAAGGAAAAGCGCGCTCGACAACGCGCCGAGGAGGCTGCAGATGTCTCGCAAGCGGACGCCAATGTCGACGAGGTCCGTAAGGAGCTGGCTCGAGAGAAGCGAGCAAGGCAGAAGGCAGAAGAACAGCTGGAGGCTGCGCAAGAGAACACACAGGCTGAAGATGTGCGAAAGGATCTGCTTAAGGAGAAGAAGGCGAAGAATAAGCTCGAGGAGCAGATTGAGAGCCTGCAGGAGGAGCTTGAGAAGGAGAAGAAGCGGTCTGCAAAAGCACTTAAGCAGGCAGGAGCGACAGCTACCGCTACCGCCGAGAATGATGAGCAGGTGGAAGAACTTCGACAGGAACTTGCGAAAGAGAAGAAAGAGCGCGCAAAGGTCGAGAAAGCCGCAGAGAAGCAGCTTGCTGAGATCGAGGCTCAGAAGACAACATTAGATGAGAAGCTTGGGCAGTTCCGTACGAAGCTGAAGACCACCAAGGAGAAGCTAAAGGAGATGGAAGCCGAGCTCGATGCAGCACGCGAGCGAGCCGCTTCGAATGTGCAAGCTGCCAAGAAGGCCACCAGCGCAACGACCGCAGCCAATGCGAAGAAGCGAACTGCTGCAACCTTCGAGGCCGATGCTACCACACTCGGCACCCCAGGCGATGGTCCACTCGCAAAGCGTGGCCGCAAGGCACCTGCAGTCGGCGAGAAGTCGTCTTTCAGTATCACGCCATTCCTTAATAGGACTGCTAGCGTTGCTCCTGAGAGCGACAACGAAGACGCAGACTCTGATAACGATGACAAACCTGCGAAGGAAGCCGAGGTTCTTGTCAACTCGCCTTCCGCTGTTGCAGTGACCACAAAGCAGAAGAGAGTTCCTCTGGCATCCGCCGATGCGAATGTGCAGGTGAAGAAGCCTGCGCCAAGGCAACGCAAACAGAAGGCAGCAATGCCCATGCTTGAAATGGTTACGGAAGAGGCCGAAAATTTGCACAGTCAAGGCCAGGACAATGCGCCTGCTGTGAAGCCTGCTGCGGCCAAGACTATCAAGACAAAGGTCCACGATGGCGATGACCCAGCGAACCCACCTGACGCGGCACTAAAGAAGAAGCAGAAGAAGCGCAAGTCCCTTGTTGATTTTGACACGTTCAATAAGCCCGAGGCAGCGAAGACAGTGCAGAGTAAGAAGAATCGCAAATTAGGCGGTCTTGGGAAAACATTATTCGACGAAGAGGATGAGAACATCGTAGCTACGAAGGCGCTTCCTGGCAGGACCTTGCTTGGTGGTCGAGGTTTCGGAGCACTCGGCGCTGGTGCGAAGAAGGCTGGTGGGTTTCTGGGAGCGAGCAAGGTTGGATCATCAATCCTAATGACTGCACAAGATGGAAGTGGATTTCAGTTCTCGCCTTTGAAGAGACGGAGAGGGAATTTGGATGATACTCTCCGTGGTTAAGCAGAGCTCCGTTCCACTTTTTGAGTGTGCTTCGTTCAGGACTACAGAACTGTGTTTTACTTGCTTACTAGGTAGCCAAGGTGTCACAGGCAGTACTACTTCTCCACCTTCGGCCCTTTCTAACATCCATATAACGATCTTAACCACACTCCCTGTCTTTTCAGTATCAGCAGCAAAGTGTGCAGCTTCAGAATAGAAAGCCACGCTACTTTTCAAGCCAAGATTTACACGTTGCCTCCGATCGTGACCCCGATCCAACAGTCGGCGAGAATAGCCAGATCAACGACGCCCTGAAGAGCTCCGAAGCCATCCCAGGTAGCTGACCGGGCCATGTCGGTCAGGATCATGTTTGTGAAGCCTGGCATCAGAGACGAGTTCTACTCCAATGTGAATGGGAGTTCAAGCAGTCGGTGGGAAATCAATCGAGCTTGGAGGGGAGCAAGGAGTACAGCGAGGTAAGCACGGAGAACAGGCATGCTGTATGTTGGTAACGGGTGATTGTTGGTATTGTTGGAGGTACTTTCACTGCTGTCAAGACGATTTTTAGTAACAACTGCTGCTATGTTAGTGAAAATACCATCATCCTCCAGCAACAATGTATTGGGAAGCAAGGCTATCGATATGGGAGGTTCCGATACCCGGCCCGCAGCATGACAAGGGCATCTATTCGGAACTTTTGACCGGGACCAGCATTCCTGCAACCTCATGCAAGTCATCAACGCCTTCACCACTCCAACCGACGACGGGAGACAGCTGAATCCCTTTGGCACATGCTACTGCTGCTGCTGCTGCTGATGATGATGGCTGAGGACTTCGGATCATGTAGGCATCTATGCGCCACCACCACCACCACTAGGCCGTTTCTTGCTCTGTATCATTTCCTCGTCAGCTTCGTAAGATGCCTATTTCTTCCCACCTTCTATCCCGAGCATGCTTCTCGTACTGCACCTGTTATTACTGCTCCATCACGTGCTGCTGCGATCTGTCCTCGACCGCGTGGTGAAATTGTTCCACCGCATGGCACCCACCAAAGAAGCTCTTGGACAACGAGAGATTGCGCGAGAAGCCGAGATCAGGCGAAATCTTCCAGAAGAACGGCAGCAAGCGTCGTGCATCTGGCTTCGTGGAAAAATAACGGAAGCATGGCAATCAAACCACGAGCAAGGACCCGGTGTGGCTGCATGCCATCCTCGTGGCCCTAGTCACCTCGAAAGTGTTGGGACACAGGCCCATGATTGCATCTATCCATTAGATGAAAGTGGCGAAGCAGCCTCGTCGACTGTCGGCGACCAGCAGGTAGAAGAACCATGTGTGTCCATATCTCCGAAACATGTCTCGGAAGGCAGCAGTCCTGTCAGACTCAATCGATTCGAGCGACCCTCACGCAATGCGGAGGAAGATATGCATCTTCTCAGTCTTAGACGCCACCTTCAGTGCCAGAAGACTGGTGAACTCAAGTTCCGGACAGATTTCGACGCCTGTTTTAGGGACTTCCCTCTGGAGAACCTTTATGTACCACACTGGACTTGTCGCACGCCAGTCAGTGCTCAGGCTTCCATCAGGAACTTTCGCGAACCCAGCGCGACGCGGAGTGATAACGAGAAGCCGTTAGGAGGGTCATGCCGACACGATGATGACATCGTCGGATGCAGCGTCTACGAGTATGCGAGACTTCATGGCTTGATGGACGACGTGATACTGCCGCGCAACAGCGATGGTACCTATATGGCTGAGCTCGATGCTGCACCGCCTATTGAGCACCACTCGTCAGTGGACTCAACACTTACGCCGAGGAGTTCCGAGATATCGTCAGCGTTAGTGGCTACAACATCTATTGTCTCTGTGCCAGAATCGAATCGATTGGCAAAGAGGTTTACTACGTTGCGCCCCATCTGGTGGGCGAGGAAAGCATCGCTTCTCATCAAGCATAAAAGAGACAGTGGGAAGCATCAGCGCCTACCTATGTCAGACAGCCTTCCAACTGCGATCAAGCAGAACGATGCTCCTGTGGGATCTTGGACGATTGAGGCTACCGAAGGTGGTCTGTTATACTACCATAGCGCTTTGACGAAACGCAACGAGCGACCTGTGCCAAGTCTGACGAATTCTGCCACTAGTACCATTGAGATGGCAGAAGACAAGAGCTTTCCACTTGTGTGCGTGGTAGACAACGACGAATACCATGGCGGCAACAGCGAGAATGGTTCCGATCACGGCGCAAGGGTTGAAGAAGTCATAGTCGGAGGCTGTTATATCTCCGTTGCGTGTGAGGAACAGTAGTGGCGCGGCGCAGGTACTGCTCATCATCATTGGGATATGCGTATGCAAATTACTAAATGTTATTCTGAAGACAACAATCATGGCGATACGAGCAATACCAAACATACCCCGCGCCAAGCAAGTCTGAATTCGGCAATCCGGCTCAAGGGTGTTTAAGGAGAGGCCCGATACCAGGCGAGTAGACATTTAGACATATTGTCGACCAAGGCGGATTACTCTCACGAGAGCGAGAACATTGCAAGAGCCCGGGCACGCCTGCTCAACAGACACTCGAACACAAATGGCGGCTTGGCTTCCGAAAGTGCGCGTCGCGGGTACGGCAAACGCAGCCTCACGCAGAGCACGGCGTACATATTCCAAGTGAAGCTGACAGAAGATGATATCAGCTTGCAATGTCGCCCCAGTCTTCCTCGACACCGCCAAGACCGTACAGAAGACAATCGGTCTGATTCGAGAAGCCGCAAACAACAAGGCCGATCTCGTCGTCTTTCCCGAGACCTATATTCCCGCCTTTCCTCTGTGGTCCGCAGTTTCGGCTCCAATCGACAACCACCACTTCTTCAGCAAGCTCGCCTCACAAAGCCTATTGATCAATGGCAAAGACATGCAAGCTCTCCAACAAGCTTGCGCACACAGCAAAGTCTACGCACACATCGGATTCAACGAGCGCTCGCCCGCGAGTGTAGGCTGCTTATGGAATGCTTCAGTGCTCATTTCCGATCAAGGACAAATCCTCAACCATCACCGAAAACTGGTGCCCACCTTCTACGAGAAGTTGACGTGGGCACCGGGCGATGGCGCCGGTCTCCAAGTCATCGACTCCCCGCGAATCGGCAAAGTCGGTTCGCTGATATGTGGTGAAAACACTAACCCTCTGGCCCGATGGGCTTTGATGGCGCAAGGAGAGCAATTACATCTCAGTACATGGCCTGCTGTGTGGCCCACCAGGCGCTCAAAAGACATCAGTGGGGAAAGTAGCAAGCAATACGACAACATTGCCGCGAATCGCACACGCACAGCAGCGCATTGCTTCGAGGCGAAATGCTTTGGTGTGCTATGTAGTGGTTTCATGGATCAGGAGATGAGAAATTCCCTCGTGAAGCATTCCCCTTCTGCAGCAGAGACTTTGGATTCCCTCACACAAGGCGCCAGTCTCTTTCTCGACCCCACTGGAGCTCCAGTCGGCGAGCAAATTCAAGGCGAAGAAGGTGTCATTTATGCCGATTTGGACCTCAATCAATGTGTCGAACCGAAGCAATTCCACGACGTGGTAGGCGGATATCAGAGATTCGACGTCTTTGATCTCAAAGTCAATACACGGAGATTGGGTGCGGAGAAGGCCTTGGAGCGCGAGCAGCGATCGCAATCTGTCAACGATACTGCTGCATCGAGCCAGCAGCCTCAATGGAGTTTCAGCTCTCTGCCCAGACGCGAGATAGATTCTAGCACGGGCACAGAAGCTGGATTGGAGCGGTTGAAAGCGGAATTGGAAGGGATGAGAAATGATGCATTTCAGTCAACAAGAGATTCGAAGTAAATTTCTTTTTCCTTTTTTTTTACAAACGCTTTCACACAATTGTCGTCACATTGTCACTCTCGCTCTTTTCTGTCATTGGTCCAGCAGAGAGAGAGAGAGAGAGAGAGAGAGAGAGAGAGAGAGGAGATGCCAGTTGCCCTGCATGTCGTCGAGGCGGCGAACTAGATCTCGTACTATGTCTAGCACGACTCGATATAATCGAATATGTGCTGGAGATGGTCACAAATTCATCGATACGCAGAGTGTAAGCTTTTCCGATAGGGCTGCAAGAAGGTTGAACTAGGCATCGAAGGAGCATACGAGGGATCTGGTTGGGTCGCAGTCCATTGCACACGTATTGTAACATGGAGGATATATTTATCGTTCGTACTCGTGTACTTTTTTTAAAGCTCTGATTCGAGGCCAGTGGCACGTTTTTAAATTATTAGCAAAAGATCTCGCTGGGGTATCTGAACGCTGGTACAATCCACGCACTGCGCTCTCGACGCGACGGCTCTCTCTACACCTCAACTGGGTTTCGCATAATATATTCCTTTCAGGCGCTCTCATACTTTGCGATTCCCTCGCCGACTCCCTCGGGGGTAGGTTTTGCAGCACACACATCAGGCTCGAAGCCGAACTGCTCCCGCAAAAAGTCCCTTGTGGTAGGACCAATGGTGGCGATGCTCGTCTTGACAGAACCTGACATGGCGTCTCGTTTCCCCGAACTGTACTTGCCCGCCTCTGTGAGCCAGCCTAAAGCGTTGAGCATAGCTTCACAACCCTGGGGACTGAAAACCACGACCCACTGCTTCTTCACCTTTGCTGCCTGGGCCACTTTCAACAAATCCGTGAAATCCTCCTCAAACGTCGCCATTTCTCCAGTCTCATAGACCACGAGCTCCGTGACGGGAATACGCTGCGTCTCGGGTAAATCTTCGGATTGGAGCGTCTTGGGAATGATATCTCTCCGCTGTTCACCAACCAAAAACAGCAGCGGCAATTTCCTTCCATTCAACGATATCACATGACTCGGCAAAGAATTCTGATGCTCGAGAATAAACTTCGCCAACGCATCACCATTACCCGTCTCCTCGCCGAGTACAGGACACGGCAACTCCAACGCTTCCACGCCTTTCCTCGTCGCAGGTCCCACCACATAGATGGGCATATCTTGATCGAAAAGAGCGGCCTTTTTGGCGGGATCGAGCTTTGCCACTACCGTCCCGAAGGCATCTACTGCTCGCTGCGAAGTGAAAATTATGCCGCTATATCTTTTGGCGGGATTGTTGGTGGCCAGTTGTCGTGCTGTGGCTTCGGATCCTCCTGCGAAAGCAAAGCGTTCTGCGGATCGCTTCAGGTTCCGGAGGGCGTCATCTCGGAAGATGTGCTCGAGAACGGGCACGAAGATGGGTCTGTAGCTGCTGCTGCTGCTGCCGCTACTGCTACTGCTGCCGCATTGGCTGAAATATTGCTCGTAGCTGTCCGAGGGGAGCGAAGGTGTCTTGAGTAGATAAATGGGTGGTTGGTCCAGAGTGAGGTCTTCCAGTCCAGTTGTTATCGCGGAGTCCATTGTGATGGCATGGGGGATGTCGTTGTAGAGATGAGGTGGAAGTGGAGGAGTAGGACGAACGGGGACGTTGCTGAGATCCCTGTAAACTCTATACCTGTGAATTCGCGCATCTCTCATGAGGTATTCAGGCTTCAATTTCATCACCATTCAGGCACACATCATCATCTATCTTATCACCAGATGATTTACTAAGCAGACCGGGTACCTATACCTATGCCGAGAGCAACAATAACAACAACAACATCATGATATGCCGAATACTCACATCGACTTTCCGATTCTGCAGTATTTCCTTTGTACAATAGAAACCATGACCGGACTTCCTCCGCAGCCACTGGACGCCAGCCCCGAGCAACGCATTCGCGCCGAAGATGCAGATAAACCGCAAACTGTGCCCAAAGGCGTAGTAATCGGACCCGATGGAAAACCGTAAGTCAGAAAGAAAGAAAAAAAAAAATCCACTCCCCAAATAAATAGATCATGTATTTATATCTATCGTGTTTGAATGAATGCAAATAAATGAATGAGAAAGGCTGATGAAAGAGAAAAAGATGTCGAACTTGCACTTCAGGCGCCGCATGGAAAAGCATGATGAAATCCACCACAAGAGCCTCTTCAACAACCTCTCCCACCACCACCAACCCCCCAAACCCCTCCACCACCAACCCCCCAAACCCCTCCACCTCCTGCCCCCCCGACGTCGAAGAACTCGGCCGCTCAACCTGGACATTCCTCCACACGCTCACGGCCAACTACCCTCCCCACCCAACTCCTACGCAACAGACCGAAACGCGACAATTTCTCCACCTGTTCGGAAAATTGTATCCGTGCGGTGTCTGCGCCGAAGATTTTCGAGCGTGGATGAGCGAGAATAATGCGGCGAATGCCCCGCGCGTGAGCAGTCGAGAGGAATTTGGAAGGTGGATGTGTGAGGCGCATAATGCGGTAAATGGGAAATTGGGGAAACAGAAATTTGATTGTGAGAGGTGGGAGGAGAGGTGGAGGACGGGGTGGAGGGATGGGAGTTGTGATTGATTTTTTGGGGGGGTTGATGATTGGATTGGATTGGATTGCATTAGTTGAGGGGGATTGGGGGGAGGGATGGGAGATAGACTATACTGTACATACAGATGGAAAATTTGGGTGATGGATGATAAGATAGGTACGATACAGGGAATGAGGGATATGAGCATGAGCATGAGTTGGCTGTTGTGGACATACTGTACTGTATTGTAAGATAAGGAATCCACTCCGGAACGAACGACATTCTGCTCTTTACAAGTGCATTGGACTCTTCTTCTTCTTCATGCATGCCTTGTCACTGGCGCAAAGATCAAATTTTAGATCGCGCACACCTCATGCTTCAACAAACATAACAGCAAGCAAGCACGGCATCAAAAAAAAAGAAAGAAAGCTAGCTCATTTCTCAGAAAAAGCAACTCAGGTACAGTGAAATACTACTATACAGATATCTGAGCGCCATATTTCCAGCACAAAAGCGCGCTAAGTACTGTGGTATTCTCCACCTATTCTTTTGGCAGAAGGGCAAGAAAGTGCCTTCAAAGCGAGCGCGCCTCTGTGCGCCAGCCGACTCCGTAACGCCTCGCTTCCCAAAAAGAAAAAGAAAATGAAAACCATCTCACCATGGCCATGGACGAATGAAGCAGCTTTTTCGATACCTAGGCGTGATGTTCCATGTTACCGATGCCGCTATCCCATTGTGTGCTTGCTTCGGATAGAAGTACCATGAAAACACTGTTCGCATTCATGCTAGTCGCCCTAGCTTCTGTATTTCAGGTCAAGGACACGATCACCAGATGGTGTCTCATTTTTGTCCAGTTTTTGATTTTCCCAGCTTCGTGAATTTCACTTCGCTGCTCCGCCGATCGGTGGGTTGTCGTTCGAGTCAATCTCCGGTCGTAGCGCAACCATGTAGTCTCGGACCAACTCGAAGCTTAGCCAACTGCTTGCCATGCTTGGTGCAACCTTGAGCAGGTTTGGCACAATTCCCTTGTACAAGCCACGGAAGCCTTCTTGGGCCACGATTTTGCTGATGGCATCAAAAATTCCGGTATACTGAAAGCCCATTCCCGACATGGAATTCACCTGAAATCGTCGTCGAAGTACGTCACTAGTGCTGCATTAGCAAGGTTGTTCTCCGGCCCAAGTTCTCGCCTCTGACTTACAATGGATATGTGATGGTCTGTGCCACAGCTCCCGATATGGCTCCTGCGCTGAGCTTGCCAATAGGCGACGGATTCTGTTCGCCGACAGGTGTAAAGTATTGACGCACGCTCTCGTAGACCATGAAATTCAGTCCGACGTAGGGGGCGACTCCTGCGATGGTCGGAATGATGCCTCTGTACAGAGCAAAGAAACCTCCCTCGGTTCGGTACATCACGCCCATCGTTCCAAACATTCCTGGTAGCTTCTTCTCCGCCTTTGCTGCAGCTTCCTTGCTCAAGTTTGCAAACGAAGCGGACTGAATCGATAGTCGTGTGCGCACAATGTCGAGCGGGTAGGTGAATGTCACGGATGTGATTCCTGCGATTGCTCCGCAGACCAGCCTTCTTTCCGGTGGTAGAGGCGCTCCTGGCGATGACTCGAAGTACTATTCCAGCATATCAGCTCAGCCCAGCCCAGTCGTTGAGAAGAACCCGGGGATCCGACTTACCGGCTTATACAAATTGTAGCTCCCATATTGCACTGCGCTGTACGGAACGATTCGTATGCAGTTCGCGCCATTGCCCGCCATCATGCCCTTGAAGCCCTCTTCTCTCCATATCTTGCCCAACGCCTTGGGTATGCTCATCTTATACTCCGTGCGTCCTGTTGACTGCACTTGCAGCAAAATCTTCAACCGCTCGAGTGGGGATACCACCGTCCTCGAGACTGCACCTGCTACTCCTCCTGCTATGAAAGAGGCCACGACGGCCTGCGACAGCCATGATCGCACGCCGTAAAACGGTATGTCAGGCTTCGGGTCGCCCTGCGAGCCCTCTTCGGCGGCGCTGTCTGACTTGGACATATCTGTAGAAGGCATAGGTATACTAGGGCGGGAAGGGATTGCCGCGCTCGCACTCATTGCACCAGTCGGATGGATAATCGGGGCCGCATTGGAAACTCACTTCTTCTTTCAGCTGATGCTTCGCTCGTGTGGTGGTGTGGTGCGGTGTGGTGCTTCTGGCGTCGGCGCAGTAGAGGAAACTAGACGGCGGCTATCATGGATGGTGTGGAGCAGGGCGGCGGATTGGCAAGTGTCTGTTGTTGACGTTGCTGTTGACGTTCGTCTCGTGGGGCTCAGCTCAGTTAGATCTTAGCCGGGTCCAATGCTGGTTTGGAAAAATCGACGAAGTCGGAACAGGACTAGGGCCCGGAGGATCGGGACGCTTTGAGGTTATTCGGTTTCCTCGGCTGTGTTGCCTGCGCCTCCGTTTCCGCCGCTCTCTGACAACTGAAGTGAGGCGTGCTGCTTCGTGCTGACTCGCCCGGATGTCGTGGAAGTTTGCTACAAAGTGCGAGATGCGATCCGATGCGATCATGCGATTATGCGATGCGGTGCGATGCGATGCAATGCAACGCGATGGGCGGCGACGTGTCACGACTCCAGAGCACAAAAAGTCACCTCAAACAACGTGTCCGCTGCACACACGACAACTGACTGCCTGATCCCTCGATGCCGGGCGCCACTACACACCAGAATGGAACCTGACTGACCTCACGGTGCGGCGAGTGCCCCTGGTGTATCTCCGGGGCGTCTTCGTCGTGACGAGTTGGGTTGGTGCGTGAACAGATAGCGTGGCTGTCGCTGGCAGATCAAGAGACAGTCCTAAAGGAAACAAAATATCACACCCTCTCTCGAACCAAGTGCACCACCACGCCCTCCGACCAGGCCAAGTACAATCAGTCTTCCACTCGACGCTAAACAGAGGGAGCTACAGAGATTCCCTTCTTAATCTGACCACCTTTCACCTGGATAAGCTGATGAGCTATAAGACTCCAGAGCAGACCGCCCGAGACGTCTGGGTCACTCGAGAACAGAGCGGCTTGCGCACGCAAACTGCGTTCCGCCAGCACCATATGACCCCCATCTACTCCAGTAAAGAAGATGAGGATAATGACGGAGATAACGGCGACGAGGACACGAAGGATGACGAGGACGACACGAACTCGTTCGGACAGAAGCGAAAGGCGGCGGACACCGTCTAAGAAAGCCCCAAACGGCTCTGTAGGCAACGGACAAGGTAAGGAGGCCAAGAAGGAGCCTACACTATGGACGACGAATATCCTTTTCTGAGTAACGCCTACAGGAGAGGAGGTCGCCCGCGAGGACGCGTGGAGTCATCTTCCGAACCTGGCACTTGTTCCGCCGAAAGCGTCTTTTCCAGAAAGCAGACAGATAACAAAAACCGCGCCTTTTCTCTTTCTCTTGGGAGCAGTAATTTTAGTTGGACTCATTTGGTGTTGTTGTGACGATGGATGCCTAGAACCTTTTGCTTGGTATAGTAAGGTACCTCCTAGGTAAATAAAATTGAAGAGAGAGAGAGAGAGAGAGAGAGAGAGAGAGAGAGAGAGAGGCAATCATGGTTCTGACAAAAAGACCGTTCGTATCATGGATGTTCTACATCATTGTTCTACGCTGACATTGATTCTACTACGTGAGACTACACAAGGAATGTGCCTCATCTCACCTATGAAAGACGAATCATCTATGCCGTGATGCCATTGACCTTTGCCATGCGATCATTCATGAAAGCAAAGAAGCTGACAGGCGATGCTGAGATGCCCATAGTGTACACGAAGCGACTGGCGAGGTAACTGCCAAAGATGGCGCGAAGGTAATTGTCCGGTACCTGGTTCTCATCGTTAGCACTTAATGTCCACCCACTTTGCACGACAGACATCGGACCCGCGTAAGACAACAGGCACGAGATTTTTTCACTTACCCGCTCAATGATTTTATCCAGTCCGATCTTTTTCAAGAGTAAGTTGGGCAGTGCATCACACAAAACACTCCTCCTCAGCGCGACATTGTTCCAGAGCTCAGTGCCTTGCAACTCTTCGTCCATTTTGGTGATTGCCAGACTCAGCTGGTCAGAGAGCAAACTCTTCGCCAGACCAGTCTGCTCAGATTCGCGCCAGATAGCCTCAAATTCCAGTCGGGCATTCTCCTGAATCTTGGCCTGGACTTCCCGAACATAGTCTTGGTAGAATTGTGGTGCCGAACCATCAGCTTGGATGCACATGTGCTGCAAAAAGCTCTCGTCATCGAAGGAAAGCGCGGCAAGAACCTCGAGAGAGGAACTGGTGACACCTCCCTTGTTGGCCGAAGCGTCCTTGAAGACGATTGCACCAGCTTTCTCGAGCCGAAGCTTGGCCTCTTGCGTGATGAAGAGGTTGGCTCCTTCGACGATGTAAGGAATGGTTGCTTTGCCGTTCGCGATGAGCTTGCTAGCGCTCGGAAAGTCAATAGACTCGGGACGTCCGCCACATGGGACGAAACAATCGAACTTCTCTTGGCTTCGAAGATGGTAGGTGTTGCGGAAGGATGTGCCGTTGTTAACGACCTCGCCCGAAGGTAGTGTGATACTGTTGTCGTCAACTAGAACCCGATAACCCTCCTTGGAAAGCTTCGAAGCATCATAGTGACTGATCATCTTACGCTCTTTGGCGAGACGGAGCAGTTCAGTACGATCGAGGCCCTGAGGATCGTACAGGACGCCGGAGCCATCGACGATGCCACAGTACTTCTCATTACCAAGAAGAATCTCGTTCGAGCCCAGATCGCCATCTGGACCACCGGTCTGCAATTTGCGGACTTGTGTCTCATCGAGCTCGAGCTTCCTATAGATACCCTTGACGTATTCGCGGACACTGAGCGTCGTCATGCCGTAGGAGTCGTGAGGGATACCTCCCAGCTTCGGCGATTTGCCCGTGAAAAATGACTTCCACCAAGGCGCGCCACGGATGCGAGCATGTTCTGTCGCCCAGTTGACTAGATCAGCTGTGTTCTCATCGGGACCCATGAAAAGAATCTCCTCTTTGCCATGGAGATCAACGATTGGATCCTTGATACCCGGACTCGTGGGTGGCAAGAGTAGATCCATAATACTGTCAATGTACTTCTCAAAAGCCACAGTCGTCTTATCCTGGTGAGCCATGTCCAGCAACACGACACCCTTGCTGCCTCCTTCTGGAATATCCTTGTTTTTGCGTTGTTGAGTGTTGGCCAGGTTGTAGTTCTCGTCAAATAGAGACCTGGCATTGATAGCGTAGGCCTCTTTGCTCCGGCTTTTGACGATGCGAATACCACCACGTGCAATATCTCTGAATCGGAGGTGGAATCCTCTGAACTCTGAGCTGACCACCAAGAACATGCCATACAGAGGCTGTGGGTACTCCTCAAGCGGCAAGAAAGATGGATTAAGACGGAAACTCAGCGCCACCTTGGTAGGCGTGTAGAAGTTGGTCTTCAGCACGGATTTGTTGAAGATGCGGAAAGCGGTCATGACCATATTGTGATGATCGTTGGAGACAGTCTTCTCGATCAAGGCACCCAACTCGTCGTCTGTGTACACTTTGTCGACCTTCATTCGCAGATATGACAGAGTGGGCAGGAAGTCATCCTGCTCACCACGAGTCTGAACATAATGTGCATTTGCAAAGGCCAGGTAGAGAGATCTGATCAAGTCCGGATATTGGTTGATGATTTCGAGGATGTAGTCCGCGGTAAACGTCTCGGTACGCAGTCTCTTCTTGAGTTTGCCAAGCAACTCAGCGTGAACGCTGTTGCTCGTGTCAAGTAGGGACTTGAGAGTGTTGTACTCGCCTCCCAGCCTGTTCAGGAAGTGCTGGACAAAGACCCAAACGCAATGTGCATAGACTGACTCCTGCAGAGAGAGGCGACCGCTACTAAAGTGAGTCTGGAACCTGTTTTGCGGAATGCAGTAGAGAAGGGACGTCTCCTTCATGACCTGGTGAATGCTGGCCTCGATTGGTGGGTGCTTGGCGGAGACAGCTGTGGGGCCAGGTCGGAGGTATATCGAAATGATGGTAATCCCGTTGCTGAATTGCTCGACGTACTTTCTCGACGAAGTCAAGCCGTAGTAGTGGTACAGATGACTCAATGCAGCGAACAGTCCCAGCGCCGAACCCTGCCTGAAGCCAACCACGAGGCGTTTCTCGCGCGTGCCTTCGACATCGTACATGTCGATCACTGGTCCAGTCCGGAGGACGATAGCATCCATGACACTTTGATAGATTTCGCGAGTGTTTGCAGTGGTCTTTTGCAAGAACCTTTCATCTCCCAGCTCTTCAATGTTGGTCTCGTTGGGGCTGGGAGTCCTGTTCTTGAACGTCGCCTGGTATACGAAGTAGCATCGTAGCGACTGATCATTGTTGCCTCCAGGCATCGTGCTGGGTGATCGGAAAGACTCCACTCTGTAGCTGTTGAGACCTCTACTACCATCGAGATATTTGCTTTCTAGTCTGGTCTCGAAACCGGAGCCATCTAGAGTGGAGAGGCCCGGCACGCTGGTGTCGATGTACACTGCATGATCTGCAGCTTCTTTCTCCAGACGAATCTCCAGCTTCCTGTCGTCTCTCGCGAAAGCTGCTATCTTCGCGGCATAGAGTGAATGAATATGGCTGACAATGGCATCGACGGACTCGGTGCTGAAATACATGTCATCAATACCCAGCTCGTTGTAGAACCATTTGGTCTCCATTTCCCCGACGTCTACTGGGATAAAGCCCTTGTCTTCCACAGCGTCCATAACCTGCTCCATCTGGTGCTCTTTTCCCTCGAACTTGGGTGCCACATATCCGGAACCTCTGTCATGGACGACTCTGTGAGGAATGCTCCCAGGCACGCTCAGGTGAGTGGGTTGTGGTGAAGGCTGCCTGCCCGGCGTCATGGCAACATTGTCGAGCAGCTTGTTGTGGGGAGACGAGGTCGACGCATTGACGCCATTCACGCCATGATCACGGTGGGCGGCGGGCGCGGTCGCCATGCTGGATGGCGGAGAGGTGGGTGGTGGAGGTGGAGGTGAAGTTCAAGGCTGTGGATCAGGTCAGAGGGCGGGCAAAGGCAAGAAGAGCTGTACCTTAAGGTGGGCTCTCTTTCCCGGACAAAGAAGCAAAAGACGAGGAGCAGCGGTGAATCTCTGGCAGTCTGGCAGAGCTGACCATTAAAAGGCGCAAGCAAGGATGGACTGATGAACGCGATCATGAGGCATGATGATTATTTAATAATAACCCCAAACGACGACTCATCCTGCGTTGCGTTCGAGCTGCAGCTGGTGCCACCGGCCGCCATCATCATCATCGGTATCATCGACGCGTTTCAGACTCACCTTCTGCATTGGCTGGAGATAGAAGCGAAGCCTGCTGAGTCTGCTCCGGGAATGGTGCGATGAACGTAAGGTATGTACCTACCTAGGTACGGTATAGTAAAGGAGTTTTATATATGCCACAAAAGACACTGCGAGGAATGAGAATGGGATGAGTCTTTAACCTGTCACGGTACATCGAAGCACATGATGTGTAAGACGTGCTCATATGCCGCGCATTCAATGACTGTCGATACGTAAAAATTGCGAGAGAAGTAGGAGCTACTTCGGCTCTCGACGGCCTATCCTACCTCTATACCTTTATGTTTTCTACCTCCACTCATGCCTGCATGCGCGGTTCCTGACGCTACCAGGTAGCGCTGCAGAAGATCGACCCCCGTCCACACAGCCACGTGAACCATTCTGTAGGTACCTTTACCTAAATCTGCCTTGGCATGAGTATCATGCGGCGTTGCTGGAGGCGCTTATACGTGCGTACGTACAGAATGTCGTATAGTTCTTCCAATTGCTACATGACCCCTTGATTTCCCAGTTTTTTCCGTATGATGATCAGGTCCCCGGCCGGCCTCAAAACAAAACAGGAAAAAAAAAAAAAAAACAGACCCATGGGCGCAAGGCCGCAAGTACGCCGCTGTTGACAAGGATCTGGGTCTGTATGCCGCGAGCATGGTGTATAGCCACTTCCAACATCAGTCCCCAGTAAGTACATGTATATGCGAGCGCCGAGAGCGGCTCTACCTCCTAGTGAAATGCGGAGAAGAAGGCATATGACCATCTGATTCTGCTTCCTCTATCTATGTATCTATCTACATCATTCATGATTCTTTGCCTTGCCAGCTCTGCTTCGCGTGCGAAGTGGCTTATGCTCATTACCCAATTTATGACAATGTTCTCCGTCCTGTCCATCCCATGCCAATCCTTTTCCAACCAACGCTATGCCGCTTAACCGATCAAAATCATAATGAAAAATCAAAAATCGTGCTCGACTGAGGCTGCCAGTGCCATGTGCTTCTCAGTCCACTTCTTGTTGCAGGCTTGTCAGTCCAGCGCGCTGGTATCCTCGCGAACCAACCATATTACTAGCACACACAGAGCAGAAGCACCAGGGGAATGGTCCATATGGGCCATGTGGACAGCCATGACGGGGAGCCGACTGTACGTCGTGCCGGAGCACCGTTGGAGTGCGTGACTGATACAGTCACAAAATTGCTTCCGTCATCCGTAGCAAGAGTAGCCAGTCCAGTCTGCGTCCCCGCGACGGCCTTGAGCTCATCAGCGAGAGCATGACCATAAGCAACTGGAGTAGGCCGAGCGTCAGCGAGCCAGGTAGTGGCAAGGCCTTTGTCGTTCCAGCCTGTCGATGCGCCTGCAGGAACGTAAATGGTGACGAGAAAGCCCTGCTGGTTGTATTCTGTCTTGGGACTACCACCGGAGGGCGTGGGCGAAGCTTCCACTGCAGACACAGAGAGCGATGGCGACAACAAAGCGGATGGGTACGGCGACTAGAGACATGGTTAGCATGGCAACAGGTAAAAGGACAGTACGATTTCTTCTTACTCACTGGGGCTGCAGACGGTGGAACGACTTTGCCCGAGCCACTGATGGTCCAACCGGATGGCAGACCAGGAAGAGTGGTATACGAGACAGTCGCTGTGTTCGTTGCGTGTGTTCCGCTCCAGCCTTCGTTGCCGCTGGTCGTCGAGGTGATTGCGGGAGCGTCGGCAACGGTGACACTACCACCAGAGTTGCCATTGACCTCACCGCCGGTCGACTCGATGCTCTCCCATGTCCCGCTCTGGTCGCCATAGCTGTATGCCGTGCCGGTAGAATAGTCGACAACGGACACTGAGCTGACATACATGGAAAAGGGTCCAGCCGCGTAGTTGACAGCACCACCAGCCCACGAGATGGTGCCTTCGGAGTTGCTTGGGTCACCACCAGCCCACGATCCAAGCTTGAGCTGCATGGGAGTTTGTGGGTATTGTCCTTGGGCATCGCCAGCGTTGAGAACGCGGACCGTTTTATCGTTTATTGACCAGACAATTTGGTCTTTCGTCCACTCCACGGTATATGTGTGCCACTCATTCTGGGTGTTCGTGATGGCGTGCACTGCAGCTCTATCGTAGGATGTGGTTTGGCCCTTGCCGAAGTAATTGGTTTGCACTTCGTCGTTGCGCCCTCCTAGCCACTCCCAATCAATCTCGTCGAGATCATCGCTCTGAAGCACGGCGGAACTGACAATGCCGGTACCGGGAGCGGCCTTCATCGTCACCGAGTACTTTCCGAACATAATGTACCATTTGGAGGTCAATGTTGGGGCTTGGCCAGAGCCTGCCACTGTGAAGACAGCACCATCGGGACCATATGTCGGGTTGCTGGACGCGGTGAATTGATCGGACTCGCCGTCGGCAAAGTTGATTGTGAGTGATTTTCCCAGCGCTGGATTCGGCGTGCAGCCCGACTGTTGTGTGGGGTTGCAAGTGGAGTATGTCTGGGCGGTCGAGGGCGAGATGAGGGCGGCAATGGCAGCAATCGATGCGAGGCGGAGGGGCGACCGCATGCTGAGGAGGCTGTTAAGCGTGAGCATACTGGGGCTGCTCGCGCTATGGATGCCTGAAAGAGTAAGAAGTCGGGCTCTGTCTCTGTCGATGGGCTAGATACTGTTTGTTCAGTAGTGCGCGGTCAACGGCGTTGTTGGGACGCAGAGATGAGCGCAGTAGAAGAAGACGTTCTGTGCAAGAAAACAGTACTGAAAGGAACCTCTGATAGATACTTATTCTCTGTCTCCAGCCATCCACCGTCATATGGAGGCCTTTGTGCAGCTTGATGTGTGCGTCGAAATACGGATAGGGTGGTTGGAGTGGCTGGTAAAGGAAGGCGCGCGGCGCGTAGTGACGGGAGTGCAGGTGGTGCCTTGGCTTGGCGTGTTTTGTGCGCACGCCCAGAAACCTCCACCCTCCCGTCTCTCTCTCTCTCTCTCCACAGCTCTCCTCTCCCCTCTCTCCTTTCCCCTCCACGGATCTCTTACATAAAGGACCTCACTTCCTACATCTCTCTTCCGCCTCCGGTCCACGACTTCACTTCGGTATTTCACTTTCTCCTTTCGCTGATGCGTCGTACAACAACACAGTACCGCCAACAGTCGTGGCCCGCGCGTTGGCGTTGTTGGTACGGAGAGGTAGGTGGTAGGTCTGGCAACGAGGGTCTTGTTGCCCGAGATGAGCCTGTGAGCCTCGTCTTGTTCGAGCAAACGGGACTCCCGACGGACGGATGCTCATACATTGCTCTGGCGACACACGCATCTATTCGCCACGACAGCCGTTCCCGCCGTTGGTGTTTTCATGGATCCCATCGGAAGATAGATCATATCGCGCGTCTTCAGCCTAGGCAGCCCTGATTGCGCCAGAAATCTATTGAGCTATGACCAACTCACATGTACAGTTTCAAAAAACGGCCGTTACCCTGGGCGACCAGTCGTGATGACGCCAATAATACAAAGCAAAGCACATGCATGCATGACTGCCCATTACACTCACTCTCCCATAGATCACCCACTTCACATCTCACCACCAACATATTCACTTTCAACTCGGGCTAAGAAAGCCCGCAACATCTCCTTCGCTGTGCTAGGGATTGGCACTTTGCGAGGACTGAGGGACCTTTACAGAGGATAAACCACGGCGGTGGTTTGCGCTTGCGTACTTGCGGGAGATGTAAGTGCACGCCTTTATCGACGAAGAGCGACGAGACGAGACGAGACTCGAGAGATGCTCGCCTACATGTAGTTGCACCCCGTCTCATGAGCCACACCGCTAACCCACCATGCGCAGACCAGGAATCAGAGGCTCATTCACTTGAGCTTCACAATACCCACCCGGACCCTAGGACCATTCCCGGATCTCATCTTGCCGACAATCAACGACAATGCTGCCCGTAACCTCTTCGTCAATACAAAAGCGGCGTCAGACCCATCGACGCCAGCAATCATTAGAGGTGCCCATCCTCGCGACTCCATTACCACAACACAGGAGAACGAAATCGAAACCGACAATACACCGGCGAGGCCTCAGTGTCGATCAAGCAATGAGCGCCATGAACTCGCCGTCACAGTTTCGTCCTCTCCTGCCGCAGGATGGCTACAGCGGGCTGCCTTCTGGACCACCATCACTACGGAATCACCAACCACTGGATACTAACACAGCATACCCCCTCCAGGAGCAACAACACCAACAGCATTATATCATCAAGCAAGAACCGCAGTCGCAGAGTCTGCCACCGCCGCTAAGCGCACCGTCGCTCGCACAACCTCATCCTCTCCCTCCTCAACCTCAAAATTTCCAATCCCACCTCCATCAACAGCTGAATGGCATGTTCAATCCCTCAGTCTCTGCCATCAGCGCCGAATCCCAACAGACTGCAGCATACCAAAGCCTACAGAGCCATATGGCATGGTACGCATCGCAGTTTGGCCTCCACTCGCCAAATCCACACGTCAATGGACAAAGTCAGCCAGTCATTCAGCTGAGCCAACCGGGCTCCGACGAGATGGCTGGTCCTGTCTTCCTGTCCCAACCTCAGATCCAGATCATGCCCGGAACGCCGCAACCCCAGGCTCAGTCGCATACTGTACCCAACACGCCACAAAATCACGCTCAGAGCTGGCCGAGCCCACCGTCTTCGCACGTCAAGCACCAGCGTCGTCAGAGCTGGCAACTCGACGTTGCACCAATGCCACAACAGCAGGTCCAGCGTCCAGTATATGGGCTGGATGGCTCGTTCAGCTTCAATGGCGAGCAGGACTATTCTGCATCGTACTCATCTTCAGTCGCCGACCCTTCCTCACCTTCCCAACAGCACACCGCATCGATGCCCACACTGTACGAAGAGCCTAGCGCCGATCTACTGCTCCAGGCTACTGCTGGAGCTGAACAAGACTTTAACAGTCCACATTTCATGGTAGGTGGCGGTCACATGTGCCCAGAGCAGGCCGCACTTGACGCAGCAGGTATTGACGCAACGTACATCGACACTGGCATCACCGAAGAGCAGATCAATTCGTGGCTCATTCACCCGACTGGCAAGGGTGAGGCATACCGCTGCAAATGGGAAGGTTGTGATACTGTCATCAATCGCAAAGAAAATGCTCGTTCACATGTCCAGAACCACCTCGACGATCGTCGCTTTCGCTGCAACCCGTGCGGGAAACGTTTCAACCGACTCCATGACACGAAGCGCCACCACCTCACACACACCAACGAGAGACCCGCGGTTTGTCCTTGTGGCAAGACCTTTGCCCGTGCCGATGCGCTCACGCGCCACCGACAACGCGACATGTGCGAAGGTGTTCTCCCCGGCTTCCAGAAGCTCGAGGAAGAAAAGCCGAAGCGAGGGCGTCCGAAGAAAGATCGTTCGGGAGACGGTAATAAATCAAAAAAGTCAAGCAGGCCGGATATGGAGCATCGAACTGAGAAGGCTGCATTGGCACGGTCCATGGATCGGGCAACCAGGAGCCAAGCTGGGAGCTTCAGCTCTGCAGCGAGCGAGCGGAGCATGCCTCGTACGCCGCCACAGCAGTCCGAGGAAATGAGCGCGCACGATTTCCTGAATATGGACCAGCCGGATTCGCAATTCAACGCTGCTACAGGATCGTGGATTGACACTCCTCCAAGCTCACCACCTTCGGCATCACATGCTCAACTTTCCAAGACAAAGCCCTTTGAGTTGCACATACCTGAAGACCGAATTGTTTCTCCGTCGAAATTGTCCAATCGCGCGTCTCCGGCTCCTACCAGCAAGTCTCACCACGACTCGCACCACGATTGCTCCAGTCCTGGCGGTCATGGCAACAGCAGCTTCATGGACTACTCGTCGCCAGCAGCATACCCTGGCTTTCATGGAGGTTCCGGTATGGACGGTGTCGACATATTCAATGAAGCTGTCGATTTCGACGTGCTGAACTCACACCCAGAGGTTGGCCGACAGGTCTTCTCTCCACCAGGAGAGTCCTGCAGTAGCTCCAGCGTCTACAATTCCGATTATGAGACGGTGTACGCACCCGCAGCAGTCAAGCCACCGGCTCACCTGACCACCATATCCGAATATGGCGTAACCACCACCAATCGCGCTCCTTTCGATTTGGAAGACTGCATGGCAGGCACGGATGACCCGTACAACGACATTCGCGATATGCTAGATTCGTGGATCTCTGCGACCGGCAATTAAGTCTCCTGGACTTGACTGCGAAGCGTTCGAGCGACAGGCAACTGGACGAGACGACTGTATGATAGAATTGTGATGCGCAAGCAAACGAGTGGGATGACAAAAGGGTGATGGTGGAACTAATCAACGACCGGTACGAAGAGATACGACTGCATATCGAAATGACGAACATGAATGGGCATATGGGTATTTCAGAGCATGCGTTTGGGGAAATAAAAATGGCGTGGAGCGAGCCTTCTGCTTCTTCACCAGGCAGACGGTGGAGTAATGTTCTGTTCGTCGTCGCTGGCAGGCACTTTCTGTTGACTGCTGGCGGCGACGTACGAACAGAATCTCTGTATGGCCGTCTGCCTATTGATTAATGATCTTTTTTTGCAGCGTTCTGCGATTCCCCATTGGTCTGCATTTGTGGACGGCGAGGCATTGCATCAGATAGTCTTAGGTAGCAGTCCTTGGTCGTTGGCGGGTTGAGTTGGCTGAATCACGGCTTTGACTCCCAGTTGACGACTGAGTAGAACTCCTTTTGACGACATCCTTCACTTCCGCTCAAGTCTCATATCGATCGGCATTTCAGACTACCTACTAATGATGATGGTGGTGGTAGGTCAGCGAAAGAAATGTGCCGGGAATGGGCATTTCTATGTGATAGGTAGACGTAGATGGCCTAAATAAGAACCATTTGCAGAAATACGAAGGATAAGGTAAGAAGCAAGGTCTCGAGGTGTGATTATTCCATCTTGATTCATACTTTATTCAGATAAACAACAAACATCGCATAGCAGTCGTACATGTAGAGAATTCCCTACCGCTTATAACAATACTGCAAACCGAGTCCCTATCGTCATTATCCTCCCTATTAAGTCTGCTAGATCGACAGCCAGCCAGCCATTCAGTCCAACTAACCTCGTCACGCTGCTTACTTAGTCCAGCACACCAATCGATACTAGGAAGGTAGTAGCGTCATTTACAAAACAAAAGAAAGAAAGAAAGAAAGAAAGAGAAACTCCCCCTTTCCCTTCCCTAATTCCATCCATCCATCCCATCCACTCAATCCCTCCAACTCGCCGCCCTCCTCCTCGCGGAAGAAACAGGCGTCGGCGGCGTCGGAGGAGTCGGCATCGTCATAGTCCGACTCGATCTCGTCGTCGAAGAATGATTATTATACGATCCACCCGATTTCTTCGTATAATAATACGCTTCACCGGATTTTTTGGTATACGATGCGGTACGTGGTCTGGCGATGTATACGGAAGAAGATCTTCGAGGAGGTTTGGTGGATGTGCTCGTGCTGGTTGTGGTCATGGTGGAGCTGCGGTTTCTTCGGCGGACGTATTCGAGATAGGGGTCGCCGAAGTAGAGAGGGCGGCGGTTGGGGTTGTTTTCGGCTTCTTCTGTGAAGGCGTGGAAACACATTTAGTTTTTTTTTTTTGTTTTTGTTTTCCTTGGTGGAAGGGTGGTTGTTGTGGTTGTGGTTGTTGTTTTTGGTTATGTATATAGATAAATATATGTATAAGGTTTGCGGATTGATGAATTGATGTGTTGTGATGTAGAATGGTTCGGTAAGGTATCGTGGTTGGTGATAAGGTGCGTGCTCTGGCTGGTCGGAGAGATAGGTAAGGTAGGTATGGTCTGACCCAGGACGAGGTGTTGGTTCCAGCACCTAGATAGTATAGTAGTGCCGCCGGTGTCAGCGTGCGGCGTCGCTCGAGGTGGGGGTGAGATTGATTATTAAAAGATCGCAAGATCGCGAGGTGGACGACGATAGAGATGAAGCTTGATGCCTGTCAGTCTTCGGGAGTTGGTACGCACATGATCCGAGTAAGTCGCGGTATAGTTAATGGTTTTCTTATTCACACTTGCCGTGTACCTTACAGAGTGTCGCCTACACGTGGTCCTATGAGAATTAAGCGCTGAGCTGTCGTGAGGCCGTGAACTGTGTCATAGAACGCTTTTTGGTGGTTTAAATGCTTCACTCCTGCATTAACATCAGCGGCTCCTATTGCCGAGCGTGAGATCCGTCGCAGCCCTAACTACTGCGAGCCCTTGCGCCTGTGTTTCAACCGTCCTGTTATCTGTTACCAGCTTCGGACGTGATATCGCTCGCAACGTTTTACTACTATTGTAACGATGGCAATCGCTGTGTCCTGAACACTTCCAAGGCGCTTGGCTCATCAGCTGAGGCTCATTCCAGATATCAATGCTCCCGTACGGCTTCGGCGCTGCATAGTCCGGCGCTGGTGCTTGGGTTCGGTTATACTAGGACCGGTCAGTGAGACTAAGCGAAAAGAACCCCGCCAGTGCAGCCTCCATCACTTACATATGGAGCACCCCACCACTGGCCCATAACGTTGGTTCCGTCGCGTGTGCCCAAAGCGGCATGCGCGTTGTGCCGGACCCAAGAAGAGTAACCTTGACACATATGGCTGTGGTGCTGCGAGAGTTCTAGCGAGGCCAAAACACTGACACCATCGACGAGTGGCGTGAAAGTCGGTAGCGCTGCACAGAAGTAATCGAAATGCTGAAAGTAAGCGCCCTTGAATATCAATGCATCTTGTGAGCAGGAGGCGGGAGCATCGCAGTAGTCCTCGAGGATACCATTTCGGCCCAGACCAGCCCACTCGCTAGCCTGCACGGGGGCGTCAGCATGCCATCCTGTCGCATTGATGACCGCGTTGATGAGGTTATAACCATCGTCCAAGTAGGACTCATCACCTGTCGCTTCCCACAAGCCTCTCAAGCCGGTCAACATGACGGCCTGATTGTAGGTGTATACCATCTCGTTCCGTTGATCGCAAGAGGTTTGGTTCGGCGATATGTGGAAGCCATCAACGATGAGGCCTTGAGCGTTCGTGAAGTTGTGCGTTTTGAACCAAGCCCACGCTTTCTGTGCGTTCTCCAAAAACAGGGGGTCATGCGCTGCTAGGGGGGTTAATGCAGGCAGAGTGGTGTTGGTCTGGTCGTAGTAGTTCAGATGAGGATACGGATCTGTTATGTCGTCCCCAGGGAAGAACAAGTACATCATGATGGAGCTCGACACGAACAGCTCGTTGGTGATTGCGTTCTTATAAGTCTGCAATGCCGGGTTCCAGGTCAGACCGCCATCACATTGGGAAGTGTTGAACTGGTCCTGTACAATGTTGTAGAAGATGTGCGCGCGGTGAGCGTACATTGCGATGTCGTCTTCTCGAAGCCCAGGTTGTGAATATTCCTGGTATTGATCGATGAATCTGATGACCTCAAGCCATTCCATGACGACCCATTGAGCATCATCGTAAGCTGCGTCGAATATTTGGATAGCGTCCTCGCTGGCATAATACTTTCTCATGTGAGAGTAGTAGCGATGGATATCATTTTTCAGTTGACTAGCAGAAGTTTGAGTAGCTTCGAGGACATGGTCATCGTACGTCTTGCGGACTTCTACCAGTGTTTCCGTAGAGGATGCGACGATAGTACCAATCAGAGCTCCGATCCATTGTATCGTGCTTGGCCAGCAAGTTCCATTCCAATATGTATTCTGCATCGTACTCAAAGCGTCCTGCGTCTGTCCGATCCAGTGGCCTCCAGTAGTGTCTGGTCCGGAGTATCCCCGCTGGAGATCATCGCCCCTATAGCCATTCCGAAATGTTGATTGCACAAGGCCAGAAATGAATCCTGTCATTGATAATGGTAGTACCCACGACCTGTACATGGTATAGAAAGAAAGCAATGTAATGAAAACGGCCAGGGCCTCGCCGCCCAGCCAGAGGCGAGAAGTCAGATGCATCTTTGATATGCGTCGACTCAACAATACGTCGTGGCTGTATCCCAATCTGCGGTACTCCGAGTACTCTGGGCCTATTGGGGCACAGCCTCGGATCCGAAACAGATGTCCTAGTAAAGTAGTGGCTCTGGAACCAGAGCTTTTAAACGGTTTCTGCGGTGGTCACGGTGTACTCTTCTCGTAGTGGTAGCGGAGAGTAGTACCAAACCAATTGCGGGTTGCCTCTATCAGCATATAGACCTACTAGCATTCAGAATAATAGAGAGGCGGTAAAGGAGGCTCCAGGGGGTTCATGCTGTGGTCACGATGCGGTCTGCATGTGGAAATTGAGCGTACGAGCAGGATGTGGAAGCATACATTAGTAGCAGATGATTCGTGTCATATGGTCTGGTCTCGAAGAAGAAGAAGAAGAAGAAGAAGTGTGCATGTACATAGCATACAGGTATGCTGTGTATGTATGTAATCGAAGAAATGAAGTGTGGTGGGCGACTGGGCGGACTGTAGATCTATATATATTTTAGGTTGATGGGGGTTGCCTCGTGCAATGTTCGTGTTCGTGTTGATCCGAAGATGATGACGCTCACGCGACAGCATCCTTGATACCTTGACATACAACTCAGCAACAACAACAACAACAACAACAACAACATTAACAACATGCTGGCCCGGTGACAGCGTTCAATATGCCGTACAAGGCGCAAATGGCGGCAAAGCCGTCCAAACAGATCTTCGACCCCTTCAACAGCAGTGCCACCGGCCACCAGAGAGCAGACAACAGACTGGGCGGGAGTACTTCCTGGCGCGACTCACGCAGCCTTAAACTACGGGAGCAATTCAGTGGAGGCAGCGGCGGCGGCAAGCGCATGAACGACACTGTCGGCGCGGGAAGCCTTGATTTTGGGCAAGATGGGCGGACGGAAAATGGCGGGTGGGAGAAGGGCGCCAAAGGTCTGCGGACTGCCGGCCAGCAGAGCATTTGGGAGAGCATGAAGGTCACAAAGAGCGACGGAGAGAGACCTGCCAAGCGCATCAAGACAGAAGAGCCAACTGCGAAGCCCAGCACCATAGTGAGCCCTTTCACGCCATACAGGAAACCAGACGGGTCGATTCGTGAAAGCAGCTGGACCTCGCACGAGTTATCACCGTCTGATCTTCTGGAGCCATTCGATTCGGGCGATGAGCTTCAATCAGCTACATCAACAACGATCAAGCAGGAGCGAAATTACACGCAGCAGAGCCGAAGCGTAAACACGCAGTCCGAGACTAGGTTCCACGAAGACGACGAACCGAAACCACCTCCACCGCCGCAGATCTTCGCGAATCTAACCATCTACTTGAACGGCTGCACTGCACCACTTTCAGACCACAAGCTCAAGCACTTGATCAGCACACATGGAGGCAACATGTCCATATCTCTCGGAAGAAGAACGGTCACGCACGTCATTCTGGGAAAAATCAACGCCAATGGCGGATGTGGTGGCGGACTAGCTGGAACCAAGATCCAAAAGGAAATCGCAAGTCTACGAGCTAAGAGCGTGAAGTTTGTGACAGCAGAATGGATTGTGGACAGCATCAAGGCTGGGAAAAGGCTACCTGAAAGCAGATATGAGGCAATGAAACTGGCGCCCAAGGGAGTGGCGAATATTAGTACGCTATTCAAGCCGATAGAGAAGTGATAATACCTACGAGAAACGACAGAATGGAGTTTTTTGGGGGGGGGTTGTGGTGGGGGCATTGTCGAACATTATTTCTGAGATACCCGGCGAGTTGAATAGGTCTTCAGCGCCACGCATACATATATTTATCATCAGGCAGAGAAGCGATAGTCGCAACATCAGGTTTCTACCGAGCAGACTCATCTCTCCCTTGCTTCTACTGCCATCATGTGCACCTACCTATTGCTATCACCGATTGGGAAAAGCAGGAAGGTGAAGAGGAAGTGCAACTGCTGAAAGAAACTGCTTTTGAGAGGTATCGTGATTATATGACACATCTTAAGCACGCTGTGTGAAGATATAGAGTTCTCGGGTCTTCGATTTAGCATCTTGTTCTATTACAGCGGCAATTTCATGTGCTTGAACTTCTTTCCACCAGATCCATACATGGCCGCCGTCTGGCCGTTTCCTGCGATACGGTATTCGTGAATCATCAGTCCTTCGAGCCCGACAGGTCCTCGGGCGTGCACTTTGTTGGTGCTGATGCCCACTTCTGTTCCAAATCCAAATCTCATGCCATCGCTGAAGCGCGTGGAGGCATTCCAATACTTGCAAGCGGCATCTACGCCGTTGCAGAAGCGATCGGCTACTTCTTTGGAAGCTGTCACTACTGCGTCTGTATGATGCGAGCCGAACGTGTTGATGTGTTCGATGGCTTCGTCGACTGCTTGTGATGGGTTCTCTGGGGTCGCTTTGATGGTTTTGATGGCAAGAATCAGGTCAAGGAATTCTGTTTGGTAGTCTGCTTCTGTTGCATCTTCAAGCTTCGCAGAATCTGGGCCCAAAGCAGAAGATAGAGCCTTTTTGGAAGCAGCGTCGCACCGAAGACTCACGCCTTTCGCCATCAGAGCTTTCGCCACGGCAGGGAGAAGCGTCGACAGGGTATCCTCATGGACCAGTAACGTCTCTAAAGCATTACAAGCAGCAGGGTAGTCCGTCTTGGAGTCCACGATGACATCGACAGCCATCTGTGTGTCGGCATCCGGATGAAGGTACAACGCGCAAAGACCATCAGCATGTCCGAGCACTGGCATGTGCGCCTTCGTCTGGCAGTGTCGAACAAGTTCATTCGAGCCTCGTGGGATCACAAGATCGATATATTGGCTGAGAGTAAGGAGGCTATCGATTGCATCGCGAGTTGCAACGAGCTGAATCGAATCATTGGGTACTTCTGTAGCCTCGAGAGCTTTGCCAATGGTCGAGGCAATGATCTTGAAGGACTCCGTAGACTCTTTACCACCTTTCAAGATGGCTGCGTTTGCAGACTTGATGGCGAGAGAGGCAATATTGGCAATAACTTCAGGTCTGGCCTCGAAAATGATCAGAAGCACCCCGATTGGACATGTCTGACGCTGGAGAATAAGTCCATCGTCGAGCTCGGTTCGTAGGTCCACCCTGCCGACTAATAGAGTCAGCAGGGTGGTTGGAAGCGGTACTAGGCGCACGCAAGCAGTAGATGTGGTTCATGGATTCGATTCTTCCTACATTGACACTTACCTGGATCTGGAAGTCCTCGCACATCCTTTATACCTTGCAGCATGTCGTCGAACTTGCCCTTTCGAGAAAGATCGAGTCTCTTGAATATGCTGGGGTTCAACTCTCCATTAGCGGTCGATTGTTTCGCTTTCTCGAGATCTACTGCGTTGGCGGCCAGAATGTCATTTCGTGCTGCCGCTAACGCATCATGTATCGCATCCAGAGCATGATTCCTGGCATCTTCAGACAGAATGCCGAGTGTGCGGGAGGAAATCTTTGCAGCACGAGCAGCTTGCTCTGGAGATGCGTTCGTAAGAGACATGATTGAGGGTTGTCGGCTGGCTCGAGGAGTGGGACGATCGGTAAACGATATTTCTTCGTCTGCTTGAGTCAACTTCGAAGTGCGGTCGCTGTTGGTGTTGGTCGGCCATTATTTGCAGTTTTCGCCGAGCGGCGACCGCCAAGGCGGCATTACCCGCACACTGATCACTTTTCCAAATCGACATCCTCCACACTACTTCGACTTGGCCATCGACATTTGAAGACGCACAAATTGCTGAGGATGCAGATGTACGTCCTCGGATCGCAAACATGCTGAACCAAGTTGTCAAACACGTACTGACCTCACACGTACAGCTTCGTCAAGACCCTCACGGGCAAGACTATCACCCTTGAGGTGGAGTCATCCGACACCATCGACAATGTCAAGTCCAAGATCCAGGACAAGGAGGGCATCCCACCGGACCAGCAACGCTTGATCTTCGCCGGCAAGCAGCTCGAGGATGGCCGCACCCTGAGCGACTACAACATCCAGAAGGAGTCGACTCTGCACTTGGTGTTGCGTCTGCGTGGTGGTATGGCCAAGAAGCGCAAGAAGAAGGTCTACACTACACCCAAGAAGATCAAGCACAAGCGCAAGAAGACCAAGTTGGCTGTGCTTAAGTACTACAAGGTGGATGGTGACGGCAAGATCGAGCGTCTGAGGAGAGAGTGCCCAGCAGAGACTGTGAGACTTGCCACTACATCTGAATCATTATGGGATAAAATGCTGACTCACTCGCAGTGCGGTGCCGGTATCTTCATGGCTGCCATGCACAACCGCCAGTACTGCGGTCGCTGCCACCTGACCTACGTTTTCGACGACCCAAAATAGACTGAAGGAAATGGATTTGTGCCGAGCGTTTAGCGGTTCCCACGACAGGAAGGTGCCCTAGATCATTGGGCGGCTCCGCGCTGCTGGAGTCACATCAAGGTAGCTGTCACAATACAAACAGTCTGTCGAAATCATGTTTGCTCCTAGGTATTCTCTTTGTGACTCGAAGCTTCCGTTATGTTGGTTGCCTGGACCATACAATGACTGGGCTCCTAGCCCATCATATGACTCAATTGCGTCGCCACATATAAGCGCATCTTATTCAATAAGGAGACACCACCAAACTGACACGCCGTTCTCTTTTACGACACCACAGATTACCAAAGGCGTCGCTACTCAGCCGTCATGGCGTGCAGCCATCAAGTCTTCGCAACAGCAGAACTCCTCGAAGCAATCCTCCTTCACCTACCAATCCGCGACGCCATCCTAGCCCAACGCCTCTGCACTGCGTGGCGCAACGCCATCACCTCCTCGGCCAAACTACAACGCGCTCTTTTCCTCCGCCCAGCACGAGAAAACTCATCCACCACAAACCGTCCTATCACAGATACAGTCCACCACATGTCGCTATCCAATACCTGCCACCAAGTCCTCACCACATCCGGCACAAGAGTAATATTCACCTCGTTCTTGCCAATCGAACAGGAGGCTACTACTCCTCTTATGAATTCTTACAAACTCACCTCTGGTGATTTTCTTCTTCCACTGCCGCAGGACAAGGCGGGGACTTTGCAAAAAAAGGAAAAGGAGAAGAAGAAAATGTTCCTCTCCCAACCCCCTCGCGAAACTGAACTGTTTTTCTTCAATTCTACTACTCCTGTTACAACAACAACATCAACAAACGAGCATGGATCCATCATCACTCTACCACTACTATTACCACCAGCTTCATCAAACCAGCAGATGATGATGAAATTCTTTCCAGTTTTCACCTTTTCAACTTCTTCTTCCTCTTCTTCTTCTTCTTCTTCTTCTTCTTCTTCTTCTTCTTCTTCTTCTTCTTCTTCTTCTTCTTCTTCTTCTTCTTCCGCAAGCGAAGAAGAAGAAGGAAGCGAAGGAGAAGAAAAACAAGGACCAGAAGCAACCATCTCCTCCGGCAAACAATTCAATCTAGATGCAATTCGACTCGAGCAAGTCGGTGGAGTGACGACGGAGACTTTTCTCGCAGGCTTAAAATACGGAGAGGAGATTTTTTCCCAGGCGAAATTAAAGGGGAGGGAGTTTCGAGTGGGGTGGTGTTCTGGTGGTGATTATGATCATGATGATGATGATGATGATGATGATGATGGGAAAGGAGGAGGAGCAGGGGTTGCGAGGACGGTGTGGAGTTTTTGGAGAGATATTAAAGAGGTGCAGGTGGAGAAGTTGGAGGGTTTGAGGGGGGAGGGAGAGGGAGAGGGGGAGGGAGAGGGAGAGGAGAGTGATGATGATGGAGTGGACGACGATGAGAAGCAGATGTTGGGGGATGATGTTGATGGAGGTGAAAGAAAATGATAGCCTCTGCGAAAGATGCTATATTCGCAGAAAAGCCTCAACTGTGGTTGCTTAGCTCCAGCTTGCACTTGACTGCATCAATTGGGTAATACCCAACTAGGCTAGCGCTCTCGCATAGAGTGAAGCTGATCGCGATTAGGCAATGATGGGAGGACAGTCATGGTACAAGTTGTATGCATTACTCATTGCTTCTCATGAAGCATACTCTATACTGGCTTTCGTAGCACAGCACAGCAAGGCGCGCATCGCTCAAGCAGCGCTGTTCCTATACGCACCACCATCTTACAGAATTCTTGCTCTTGACCTCCATGGAATGAATACTTCTACACAATCGTCTCGAGCTTTCTTGCGTAGCCCAGTGTGTTCTCAATAACCACGTCGCTATTGCTCATGACATCCTTCTCCGCAGCGAGCGCATCTGCCTCCTGTGCGGGAAAGTATATACGTCCGTCCTTGGCTACCCAGCCTCTTGACTGCGCGAAGTGGATGACAGCACCCTCGGAATCCAAGAACAGCAAGTTCTTGGCGTTTGAGATGGGCAGCGAAGGGTACGCACGCTCTGAGCATGAAGCGATCTCTGACCTGATGGTGTCGATGAGGACCTGTAAATCACCGAACATGTTAGCATCCAGCCAAATGGATCTTCCCAGGACCCCAGTCTTATTACTGACCTCACTGAATACCCCAAACTCCTCGCTCGGCACCCTCTCGCCCGTCGTCTCTGCCCACACTTTATCGTAAGAACCCTCCATCAGAGCCTGCTCCAGCCTGACCGGATACTTCACAAATTCATCCTTCTCGATTCCACTCCCAGAAACTTCAATTCCCTCGAGCACGGTATGAAAGCCAGCATAATCTCCCACGCTTAACAACAACAGCAAATACAACCCTGTGACCTTGCCCTCCTGACTGTCTTTCGCCCCAAATCTCTCTCTAGTAGCGCGGGGGATGGCGTAGAACGGCTGCAGTTGCTGGAAGTACCGTGTGAAAGAATCCGTGTCGCGCAGGCGGATCGAGATGAGAGCGCCGGCTTCGAGAACTGCGAGGGCATATGGGAGATGTTGCGGCTTCAGCTCTTCTGATGGGACGAGTGCATTTAGCTTGAGGAGGTTGAGCTTCGCGCGCGAGAGGAGCTGGGGAGCTTTTTGGAGTTCGGCGTTGGACTTGATGGATGTGAGGTGTGAGAGTATCTGTTTGAGTTCGTTTTCCGCCATCTTTGGTCGTTGCGGTCCTTTGTTGGAACAGTTGAGTGAGCAGGTGCGAGAGCGGCACTTCAATGTGTGTATGCAACTGGTCTGGTACTCGTGGTTGGTGTTAGATGGAGGTGTCGCGGGATGTGATGTCTCAGGTCGAGCTTCCATGTGCCGTGGAAGGCGAGTGAGGCTCCAAGTGACGCGAGGTCCGAGCACGTGATGTCGTGATACAGCTTACTAAGGTAGGTATTCTCTGATGTCACCTAATTCGGAATTTCACTTACATCGTCAAATACAGGTACATGTATTGAGAGCGGCTAGTGTGCGTCCGACTTCCCCGTCATCTACATTCAAATCCTGATCAATCATCAATCAAGTGAATACTACGTATATCACTTCGACTTATCGTAGAGTATTTTCCGATACAGTCCATCAATTCCGAATAAGTACTACGGGCGAACACACTCTCCACTCTCTATATCTATCAAGAAAGATCGACTCCGATCCGATATCCACCAAAGAATTAAAACACCTCGTCAAGCAACAATAAGGTAGGTAATTCTGAAATACCTCGCTCTCAGCGCTTTCAGTGCTTACCTATAGATAGAGAATACACTACTAGCTACCTAGCCTTGACCTACATCCCAACACGCTCCCCCTCCGCCGACTTCCTCATAAGCGGCCTTATAAGATCAGGTACAGTACCTGACCTCGAGGGACGACTTTTGTTGTGTCATATTGTAGAGATTTGCACGTTATGCTTCTTGGGGGATGGATAGTAGGATGAGATGAGGATCCGACAATGTGTGAGAACGTTTTGAAATTGATCGACTGGTTTGGAAATTCCTTCTAATACTACTACTGCTGCTGCCGCTTTTGTTGGCGCGAGAGTTTAAGGATGAAAAATGGAATAAATGATAGAAGCTTGCTGCCCTCGCTGCTAGATGTCTTGGCTGTCAATGGTGATTCGGCCTGTGTTAGGGGTTGGGGTAATTGATCGCTCAGTCGAATGCCAGATGGTGGGCTTTTATAGAGCTACTTGGATGCAGGTAAGCTTCATATATGGAGCCAGGAGGGACATGCATGCTTACGTTCTTGAGAAATGTTAGGGTAGAGGATATTTTTCTTGAGAAATATGCTAGCTACGACCTTATAACGGCACGGTATTACGAACCTGCTAGGAGACTGTCCAATTCTGTACGCTTGGTAGCTCGAGAGTGCGAAAGCGCGCCGCCTGCAGCTTAGATACTGCAAGAGAGTACAAATAACAGAGCAGATTAGCCGTGGTCTGCTTCACGATTGAGTAGCCTTCCCTCCGCATAGGATATAGGAATGATTGGGGTCAAACCTCGGTGTTACGAGGACCAGAGAGCGTAAGCAAGAGGATGGTGGACTTCGCAGCGGCCAGCATACCTGCTGCATAGCTATATCCTACCTCGCAACGCTCCATACAGCGTACCCCCAGACAGCAACATTGAACGTAGGTAGCGCCTAGGCTCTACCGACTCATTGGCGACTTCGAGCGTTTCGTCAGGGAGTAGTAACGGAGCCCATTCAAAGGATTTGGGTCTCGACGTGCTGTCAGCCCTCGGGCTTGATTGAAGATTGGGTCATGCGTCTCTTGACGACGATAGGCAGGCTCCGTGTCATCAATAGGAGCGACCTGCCTGGCCGTTGGCATAGCTCAGCCTCGCGAGCGTTCCTGCTAGTCGACCCTTAACCTAGACGAATGTGAGTGAAATCTTGCAAAACTTGGGCAAAAGAACAATCTGCCGGACGTTACAGGCCTGGGATCGTCGAGCAGCTGGTGAGAGGGTCCCCAATATGTAGTATCATCTGTCCAGTCCTGTCAGAGCCGCATCTGCTCATTGCGTGATCGCCGTGTGCACTGGAACGAGGCTTCCGGATCAGCTCGGCCAAGCCAAGCGGGAGCATACATAGGCACCTCGTTCCTGATTTACGACATCATATTCTTGATGTGCCCCACATACCTGTATTAGCAGAAAACATCGATGCACTGTGTCAAACATCACCCCGTAGCACTTTTCGTTCCCGTGAGACGCTCAATCTGCTGCTGCTGATGATGCTCGGCGAGATCAACATGAATATGCCTAACGATCTTGCGCAACGCGGGCCATGTGGGCTGAAGGCGCACGGGCGAGCAGGACGCGTCGCGCTGCAACGATCAGAAAGCATCACACTGTGATCATTCGAAAGTCTGATCGGAAATGGATGGGGTTTTTGTATGTATCAACATGGATAAGGCTGATGTGGGACGGCTGCGTGCGGGTTGATTTGCTCGAGCAAACCTCTCAAAACAGGAACAACCTATTTCATCTTTGGGGACTCCAGATGTTTGGTACCGGACTCCATATGATGTGTCAGACTTGAGTAGTGTGTCAGTGAGGGTCTCATGGATGGTGAAGCATCGAAACAGTGTTCCCCAGGATGTGGAGGCGTGGCTAGTACTTGCTTGTAGGTCGCGTGGGTGAGTGTAGAGAAAGGCTCGCAGGCACAGGTAGGCAGGGCTGGTCGTATCGTCGAAGCGAGGGCTCTCAGCTCGCACACACCGTACCTAGTGTGCCGTGTGTTAGTGACATCTGCAGAGCTGCAGGTCGGTGGGATGGATGATTCCGTCCAAAGGCCCTTGCAAGAAGTAGGTTGTGGTCACAAGGCACGGTTGGGAAGCTGACGACGTACATGAGGTAGACCGCAGTCCGTCGTGTACGTCCAAGATGTCAGTTTGCAGGAGCTCGGAAAAGTTCAGCCTTTTTACCTCCTAGGACATCATGGACATGCTTGTGGACGTCCGTGCCAGATACAGGTAGGAGGTAGCCAAAGCAGGCACTGAAGTCTGAGGAGAAGATGTTGGCTCAACTTGGCTGCCACGGTCAAATGGGTCAATGCTATATACCTCAAGCCGACTCCCATGCTGCCGCATACGACTTGCAATTACTGTATCACACAATACACATGTACCTCCGGATCGTATGCCTGTTCCGGACCATGCTCGGTGTTATCCGATCGCTGTCGAGCCATTCCGTCGGGCACAGGACCGCAGGTCGAGACCTCTCATGCTGCGCTCGGATCTATCTGCACACATGGAGGAGGGTCTACGGTACCTACCCAACCCATATACCTGACCTTCCGAATTCAAAGAATGTGCAGGGAAAGGCGCGGTTACTGACTTCAATTGGGTACACCGTACAGCTACACGTAGAGGGTGGATGCGCAGAAATGAATGCCACGGCCCCGCGCAGCCAATCATGTCATCTATCGGTCGTTGTCCAGGGAGGGAGGTCGTAGGTAGGTTAGTAGGGACAGGTAGGGACAGGTATCATGTATGTAATAACGAGGAGGTAATGTAGGAGGTGTGTAAGGTGGTCAGGTATCTGAGGTAGGAGGTAGGAAGCTCATGTTCGGCAGCCAGGAAAACAGTGGAGTCGTGCCTGCCTACCTCCGTGTGTGGAAGGAAGAGTGGATCCACTCCGCCAAACTCTCCAACTGGTCTTACCCGCACACTGACACTCTTGCGACGCGACATCGACAAAGCATCCTTGCCCCGACACAACAACATCAGACCGCGACACAGCTCGCTCATTCGTCGCCGACGCCATTGCAGCACCACCGCAGCCTGTCTGCACTGCGTCCGTCTCCCGCACGTGCGTCGAGGTCAGTCATTGTCGCCCATTGCCCATTGCCCATTGCCCGTCGCCCGTCACCCACCCCAGTCCAGCTTCGCAGAGAGCTCTCCACGCAGCAGCAGCGGCGCCAGCACCACCACGAGCACCACCGCCAGCACCACCGCCAGCAAATCAACGCGTGTGTCTTGGCCAGCAAGCTCCGCCACTGCCGTCCGTCGGCGACGAGGCGTCTGCTGGTGCTGTGTACGCACTGCCAGGCTCGGCGGCGACCCCAAGTGGAGCGTGCAGCAGCAGCCAGCGTGGTGCTTGTGTCTGCCGCCCTGCTGTTGGACATGGGCTCTTTGCTGGTGGCGCCTCTCCCACGTCGCATTGCGGGCTGCACACTCTTCTGACTTGGAACCACTTGCTCACTGCGGACAGATCCCAACCAATTCCTCACTCCTCCCGCCGCCATCCATCAAAATGGGTAAGTCCTTCTGCATTACCTGTATTTCCTCCGCTGCTCGGTGCACCTTCCCTCATCACCTCACTACACCTCACTACACCCACCTCACCTACCTGGCCTGACCTGCTGCACTCCTCTTTCACCCTCCTCCTCCTCCTCAATACACTCACCCACTATTGAGCACCTCCCTTCTTGGACTGTCATTTTTCCCTTCCTGCATTGCGACACATCACCACCGCCCTCATCCATCCTCAACTTCTCTCTCCAGAGCTCCTACTGACACCAGCACCTCTCCAGGTGACCGTGACCGCGACTACGTACGTATCCCCTAACTCCCCCGTGTAATGATGAAGCAGCTTCCTGCCTGCTCTGCCATATGGCAGACTCGATGGAGGTGATGACTGGACCTGGACCGTGATGGACTGGGACTGGGACTGTGACGCGTTGGACTCGAAGAACAAAGGCAATCGAAAGGGCCGAAACGAATGACACCCTCGAGCTGGACGGACGGACAGAGATCAGAAGAAATTTGATATCAAAGCGGCAGAAGACGCGGCGTGAGCAGATGCGAGAGATGACTGGCAAGGACATGAGATGCGACACTCAGTGCTGGACGGCAAGACTCAGTATCATACGGCTTTTCGCAACCGAGGGAGCGGCGGGTCATGTATGCTTTGGTAACAGCCAGCTGCCACCAATATATCCCAGGAGTCCTGCCAGCTCCTTTCATACACTTGTCCAAGAAGACATTTCATAACATGAAGCATTATATGCGTCGTATGCGCAGCCGGCTGCTCGTGATGTCGGACTGTACGCTGCGCGCGACGTTCCAAGAACATCACGAGTGCGCCTCGTTCATGATCTGTCAGCCAGACTCTTACCTTCAAGTGTGCACTTCCAGCAACACCGTCCTGTGAGGCATGTCAGCGGCGGAATGTCTCCTTGCGGCTACTCACAGTGCATTGATCAAGCTGGCGTGTACAGCACGCCGCAGTTTCGAAACATGGCCGTCCTTGCGGTCAGCGCAGCGGTCGGCATCGCCCTCCACCCGCATCAAGAGGAATTCCTCCAGCGCACGCCATACCCCCCACAAGAGACCCAAGACCTGCCCAAGCACAAGACGGCCATCACCCGGTCGCAGGGTTTCAGAACAACAAGATCAGATACGCCTCCAGACGCAGTAGTTCTTGACCTCATCGCAAGGTGCACCTCATATGCAAGCCATGCGCATGCGTCATTGACCCAGCAGCACCCTCAGCACTGTCGTGAATGCCACAATCTCCTCGCGCTGGTCGACCGAAGAGGCTGAGTTGCTCCGTTGGATGTCGCGACTGCTCAGCATCGAGGCATTCTCCTGCAGCTCCTGCGTCGGCTATCCGGAATTTTAGCTCGCATCAAAGTCACAAGCACTGCGTACGAGGACAAGATCGAGCTCAGGCATCCCGCTCTTGTGTTCGTCGGCTTGAGTAGCGTGGATTCGGTCTCCTCCGCAATTGTCTCTGCTCTTGTGAGTCGAGCGCCAACCGATTCCTTTTCGATTCATGGTTTGGTCGGACCCGATCTGCCTGGTCTACCATCAATGTCCATACCTCAGAGACCCATTGGCCAAGCCCAGCACTCACCGCGGCACACGAGTCAGGCCGCAAGCACTTGTGGATTACTGCTTGTGCGATGGATTGCGATCGAGAGGCCCAGTTCCTCCATACATTATTGCTCCCTACCACCAGGGCTGAACAAGTGCCAGTCCCCACTGCCTTTCGTGCGTCGACGATGGGGTCGATTCAGCGTTGACGCCTCTCTGCCTGGACCAAGACAAGTTGCCAACAGCATGCTGCTGTCAGCTTCATCACTTTCCCCGCGGGACCCCTCATTAACGGACACGTCACGCGTCGTGATGGCTCACCAAGTCTTACACAAAATCAAGGCCCTTGCTGCCGATACTGTGGCAGTCACTTGATACCAGTTCGCCGGGACTTGTGCCTTTGACACAAGCTTATGATCAGCTTGCCGCACATGCTACCAGCCCACAACAAGCGCATAACAAATCGCAAAATGACGCAATTGGTGTCCAATACCTCCTTGGATTCCATCGTCTTCTATACCTTGGAAAAGCATTGCAGTGAAACGCAAAATGACCGGGCTTACTTTGCCTGTCCCAACATATCCAACTTTTTCAGCGCAGCAAGTGGAAGCTCAAAGCGTTTCGACTCTCCGAAAATCCGAGGGTGTGGAGCTATGCCTTCATCAAGTGGCCATGCCGCGATTCGACATAGGTCTCATCAGGCAGGTCGAAAAGGCTCAGGCCGCCCATTTCGCAGGTGTTATGCAGACACATCAGTCTCTCGACGGGAGACGCGCTGTCGCTTCATCTGTGCTCCATGTCTTCGCTGCACGCCGTCCATTGTTCTGGTGGCGTGGCATCACAGAGTGGTTGTCCTTCACATTGGCTGCTCCTCTCCACAGCATCAAACATGGCGCGCCATGTGAGGCCATGCAATCCAATCTGTAGGTGAATGGGTGCCTCTACGACTGTGCCACTAGGCTCTCGTATAGCGCGCCCATGTGTGGCTTGATAATCGCCAAGGTCCCGAACGCGAGCCGACCGCAGTAGACCGCGCAGCTCAACAATGGCCATTCCCGATGCTTCAGCAGGCTTTGCGATCAAAGCATGGGTCTCACTGGAACGCGAAGACCGCTATATCCCACGGGCATGATTGACCAGGGATGTCGCTAGATCTCTTAACCTCCGTGTCGTCACTATCGAGATCAGTGCAGCGCGAGAGCCCGTGAGCAACCAGAATGTTGAGGCGCCTAGAGTTGCAGGTGAATGCGCAATTCCTTCGTTTTTCCGCCAGCGCGTCTCATCTGGGACCGACTTGAAGGGCACTCTGGCCACAGGATGGGTCAGGATACCATAAGCAGGCTCTTCACCGCGATCTCCTCTTTGGACTCTCAATACAATCCACGCCATCGAGGTTGAGAGTAATTAAGACGGAGACATGTCGAGCAGATAGGAGAGCGTCTAAGCTTTGGAACGGACGTGGCTTGGCACATTTCGACAAGTTTGAGTTCTCTGCCCTCTCACGAAACGAACACATCAACCTTGTCGTCCAACACGATGGCAATGTCGCCCACTCCGGACCCAATGGATTGGGTGCCCACCACCCCGCCGCCGCCGCCGCAGCAGGTGGCCACCCCCCCGCCGCAGCACCAAATGGACGCCGTACGCAGGAGGGACCATCGTTGCTTCATCTAGTAACGTCTTACTTGGTGGAGTGCTCACTAACTTTCACTCGCAGTCTCGCTCCCGCTCTCCTGAGCGACGCCGTGACTACGGCGACAGATACGATCGCGACAGATCTCGCTCGCCAGACCAGCAGCGTGAGCGACGAGCCCATACCCGCGACCGCTCACCGCGACGAGGCAACGGCCACTACGAAGAGAGCCGCTCCGCACGACCAACACGCTCCGCAGAGGAGCGACAGCAAGCAAAGGGCGAGATCATGAAGAGTGTGGCCGAATCATCGCAGCAGGACCGCCGCGTCTACGTCGGCAACCTGTCCTACGACGTGAAGTGGCACCACCTCAAGGACCACATGCGTAAAGATGGCACATTGGATGTCATCTTCGCTGACGTGCTTCTGCTTCCTAACGGGATGAGCAAGGGCTGCGGGTATGCTCCACCACTTGCTCCCCACCTTCTGTTCACCACAAACAAAACTAACAAACACCCAGAATCGTCGAGTACCAGACACGGGACCAAGCCAAGATCGCCATTGAGCAACTTAGCAACACACCTCTGATGGGACGACTGGTTTACGTGCGCGAAGTAAGTTACTCCATGAACCACGACTCACGATTTGCGCTGATGTGATACAGGACCGCGAGACTGAGCCACGCTTCTCGGGACCACCACGCGGTGGCATCGATGGTGGCGGTTTCCAAGGCGGCGGACGCGGCGGCTTCCACTCTCGCGGTGGTTTCCAGGGCGGCATGGGCGGTGGATACGGTGGTGGAATGCAGCAGCAAGGTGGCAGAAGCCAGATCTTCGTCTCAAACGTGAGTGCCCTGCGAATCACGGAAACCCATAAATATTACTGACATTTTCACAGCTCCCGTACCAGGTCGGCTGGCAAGATCTCAAGGATCTCTTCCGCCAAGCAGGCAACGTTATCCGCGCTGATGTTCACCTGGGTCAAGATGGCAATCCCAAGGGCTCTGGTGTGGTCGCATTCGAGACGCCTGATGACGCACAGAACGCAATCAACACATTCAACGGCTACGACTGGCAAGGCCGCCCGCTCGAAGTTCGTGAAGATCGATTTGCGGGAGCAGGACCAGGCTTTGGCGGTCGTGGAGGCTTTCGTGGGGGCTTTGGCGGTGGCTTTGGAGGCCGTGGCGGCGGATTTGGTCGTGGTGGCTTTGGAGGCTTCGGTGGCGGTCGTGGCGGTTTCCAGGGTGGCTACAGCGGTGGTGGATACCAGGGAGGCGGTGGCTATGGTCAGCAAGGTGGTGCCTACGCTCAAGGCGGAGGCTACAACGCTCCTGCACCAGCCCAAGCTCCCGTGGCGCCCAACGCCTTCACCGACGGTGTCACTTCTGGAGGCGAGGCTAACCCAATCATCCACGTCAAGAACGTAAGTGCAGTTACTTGATGCAGTGGCTGATGATATCTTCTGACACACATTACAGTTACCGTGGAGCACCAGCAACGAAGATTTGGTTGAGCTCTTCCAAACCATTGGAACCGTCGAGCGTGCTGAGATCCAGTACGAGCCAAATGGCCGCTCGCGAGGCAGCGGTGTCGTCCAATTCTCCAACACCAGTGACGCCCAAACCTCCATCGAGAAATTCCAAGGCTACCAGTACGGCGGTCGCCCTCTCGGCCTCGATTATGCCAAGTATCCAGAAGGCGGAGCCATGGAGGGTCAGGAGTCTACTGGCGACCTGCAAGCTCAGATGATGTAAGGTCGCTGCTGACTGATACCACATCACGCGTACGACACCACACTACACGCACTGCAAATGCTTTCGACTCCAGCTGTAGCTGGAACGGCCGGACGACGCCGGTACGGCAATGATTTGTAACATACTGCAATGCGTGCATTAGACGACCGGCGAGTCGCAAAAGCTTTCAGCCTTGGGGCCAATGTACTATAGCTTCGGATACTTCGACTCTTGGGGGAAGGGGGAACTAAGCATGGGCAGATGGACCGCCAACAGGCTTGAATTCACACAAAAGGACCTGGACAGCACAGAGCTGCAGGTTTCATCATCGTGGATCAGCTCGTAGATAATTCTCGCGCCAGGGTAGGCCCAAGATGGGGTTGATTAGGTAGCAGACTATTGAAGACTGGTTGGTGATGCATCTGGATTTCATGTCCGGAGGGTCATGGGGAGAGAGGGAGAGAGTAAATGCTGCTGTGTCATGTTGGTAGAGGTGATGCTGGGCGATCATGACGACAGGATGTTGTTGGTTTGTTATGAAGTGTATCATGGTAATTTTCTCTCTCTCTCTCGCATGGAAGGGATGGGATTTGAGTACCTAAGATGGAAGTTGACCGCTGATGGTGATGATGATGATGATGATGATGATGGTACAGAAACTCCCCGACCCTCCCTCTCAAGTCTGCGATACCTCGCAAAATCACTTTTCAGGCAGAGAACCTAAAGATACCTACAACCTCTCTCTCTCTCTCTCTCTCGCTCACTCTCTTACTACCGTCATCATCATCATGATTGGCATCCATCATAAGAGCATATAAGGTAGGTATCTTTTTTGGATTTTTTCTTTGGTTTCTGTTGTTTTTCGGATACCTACCTAGGTACATCTACCTAAGGTTCAGATAGGTAATGTTTTGGAAAGTATAAGAACCTAGCGGTGTAGGTATATAGATACGGTATGTAGAGAGGTGCGTAAGGTATGTAGATGTTGTGGATATATATTGCGTATATAGTTGTGGATATACGTGGATATATGTGTGTGTTCGAGAAAGGGAGGAGGGATTGAGGTTTGTTCGAAAATGTACCTTATAGTACAGATACCTATAAAAAGAAATTGACTTCGGGATGTAGATCGATCTCTCTTTCCTCTCTTTCCTTAAATACCTAGCGAAGAAGGCGTTTGATAACAAAGTATAGCGTATGAGCGTACATAGTGCTAGAGCTTCCTAGCGCCAAGTTGAAGTAGAGGGTAGGTGAAAGATCTTGTTTTATCTTCTTTACTATAGAAACTACATCACGAAGCAAAATCAAGCTGGTCAAAAAAGTACATGTAGTTGAAACAGACGGGGCGGCATCGTATCGTTACTGTAAGATCTTGGTGGGCCTCAGTAGAAGGTATAGTAGTAGTAATGGCTGGGCGTGGTACATTCTGATTGATACCAGCTCAAACTTGCATGACCAGACGCCGCCAAGAGTCGACTACTCTGTCATGACAAAAGCAGCCTTTTCATTCCGAGCTTCCGTGCACTCGGACTCTTTCTTCGGCATGCGGTGGAGACGAAGGGCCTCGAACACGTACACGGCAGACAGAGCAACAGTCCATCCCCACATGGCAAAGTGCATCGCCATCAGCCAGCGTCCCGCGCGGAGATGGGGAAAGCATATGGTACATAAGATGATTGCGGATGCAGCTCCGGCGGCTCCCACGTTGGTGCCCCAGAATAGCATACGGCGCAGTGACATGCCCACAATGTCATGTGCAATAACAAGATGGCTGACGGCACAGAAGAGGAAGACAGCAAGGCTGATGAGGATAGGTTTCTTGATGGCAGTGCCGGCCGCGGAGGATACAGCAGAGCGGTAGTCGTGCTCGAGGTCCTTTACGACGTAGGCAGCCCCATACATGAGTAGTATGCATATGCAATTGGTGGTGACAGCCAGCCAAGTCCTGGAAGTCATGCCGGAGGGTTCGATGCTTTCTCCACACTTGGAGCACAGCATGACGATGTCTTGGTTGTTGTTGTGATGCCTGCTGGGGGTGTGCCCTGGAACGTGTCGGATGTGGTTGTTGTGGTGGTTGTTATTATTGTTGGCGTTGAGGTAATGCGCACCCAACTGCGCGGTCGGAAACAGGCCTTTCATGATGGGGGGGTTTGGTTGGTTGGTTGGTTGGTTGGTGTGTTAAGTGGTAGCAAATAAAGTCTAGGTAGTAGGTGGATGTGTGTGTGTGTGTGTGTGTGTGTGTGTGTCTGTATGTGTCTGTATGTGTCCAGGATGCAAGGTGATGGAGAGGGTTGGATGTCGAATGGAAGTTGGCAGTTGCCCACCTGACAAAGTCGAGTGGTGGAGTGACGAAACGGGATGAAACACGAGCGGCGTCTGCCTGAATCCTGAAAGACGATCCACTCTGCATCGGGCAAGAAGCACGGCCTCATTCGGGACATGTCTGTTTCACGAGCACGGCGACGAGAGAGACACAGAGACACTTTCACCACAACCACAACCACCCACTCCCGCGCTCCTCTCCAGCCTCTCCCCTCTGCAGCCACTCCCGCACTCCCTCTGCAGCCACTTGACATGCTCGCGGACCCTTTCCGACGGAGCCATGTTCGGACGACGACGGATTCCCTGATATGTCACATGATGGCATCAGGCTGCTGGCACGAGTACTGGGCACAGCTGGTCGATATATCGTGATGGTCGTGATGTATCCTGGAGAGAGCGGTAGACATGGTCTCGTGGTGGGCAATTCTCGTCAGGCTGGCCACGGCTGGAGGCTGGAGTCGGGATGGGTTCCATGGATGCACCGTGTGTGGCTTGAGTGGTGAGGATAGTACTCAGTCGTTTTGCCTGATTTCCAATTGCCACCCGTGTCCTTGGGCTATATCTGTCAGTCATCATCGTCGTTGATGTTGGCTGACCCAGAGGCCCAAGACCAGGGCTGCTGGTCCATTCGTACTGTCTGACTGTGTCTGGACTCTGCAGAAGTGTAGAACGAGGTCCAGGGCGCGTGTCTGGTAGAGACCAGAGTTCTGCTGACGCTCGTGTGGCTTTATCGCCAGTCGTCCCAGTCCCTGTACCGCAACATGGATATGGAATCGGCGTGAAGGTGATGGGATGATGAGGGTCAAGAGGAAGACTGTCCGGAAGGAATTGGAAGGATCAACAGAACGAACTAACTTAGTCCTACCTAATCATCATCAACCATGCACGCAAACACGGGTAGTCTACGCGGCGAGGGGCATGAAATAGAACTAGTAGGTAGAACTCCCACCGACCACCGTACCTCCGTTCTACTTCCGAACATGAGGTGCGTGAAGAAAGTCGTCTTGGCCGACGCCACACCAAGCTGTTGCCCGCCCCCAAGCTATCGTCAGTCAGCGCGCGCCGACGAGATCTACGCCTAAGGTAGCGGACGCATAGCAGATGGGTCTGGCGCTGCGATAAAGACGAGCGATAGGTATAGGTATGAAAACATTGCTCATATCAAGCGGTAGAGTCTGGTATCAAGACTGCGAGCCTCTACGAGCTCTGCCTACCTCCTACCACCCAGGCATTTTCATCTACCGTACCTACCTTCATCCCACCTGCTAACATAGTCCACTCGTCCTCTGGATCATCACCTTCGCTGAACACATTACCCAGCTGACACACCCTGCCTACTCCCTCCCCGCGCCATCATCATGGGCACCACAACGAACGGCGAGCCTAATGGCACTTCCTCCAAAGGCATCCGAATAGCCATCGATCGCGGCGGCACCTTTACCGACTGCGTGGGCAATCCTGGCACTGGCAAGATGGAGGACGATGTGCTGATCAAATTATTGTCTGTGGACCCGCAAAACTACGACGATGCACCACTCGAAGGCATACGACGTCTATTAGAACGATTTACCGGTCAAGATATACCCCGAGGCCAGCCTCTCGACACGAGTAAGATCGAGAGCATCAGGATGGGCACGACGGTAGCGACGAATGCCCTGCTAGAACGGAAAGGCGAGGACATTGCGATGGTCGTCACAAAAGGCTTCAAGGACTGCCTCGAGATTGGCAACCAGAGCAGGCCCAATATTTTCGATTTGGCAATCAGGAAGCCAGAAGTGCTCTACAAGAAGGTCGTAGAAATTGATGAGAGAGTCACTCTCGAGGACTATGCAGAAGACCCGGAGCGCAATCACACCGAAGCACAGTCGGAAGACGCAGCGGGGCAAGGTGCAGAGCTGGTGAAAGGCTTGTCTGGCGAGACTGTGAGGATACTGCAACGACCTGACGAAGGCAGTATACGAAAACAGCTACAAGAGGTATATGACTCTGGACTGAAGAGTATAGCTGTATGCTTGATGCATGGATACACATACCCGCAGCACGAAGCTATTGTAGGAAAGATTGCGAGAGACATCGGTTTCGAGCACGTCTCGCTCTCGTCTGAGCTCATGCCTATGATCAAACTTGTACCGAGAGCGACTTCTGCTTGTGCTGATGCATATCTGACCCCCGCGATACGAAAATACATTGATGGTTTCCAAAAAGGCTTCGAAGGTGGTCTGGGCACGGAGAGCGTCAAGAAGGAAAGTGGTTCCAAGGGAGCTCGCTGCGAGTTCATGCAATCGGATGGAGGTCTTGTGGACGTGAATGGCTTCAGCGGCTTGAAAGCCATCCTCTCGGGCCCGGCTGGTGGTGTCGTTGGCTATGCGCTCACCAGCTACGATCCCCAGACGAAGATTCCCGTCATTGGATTTGATATGGGAGGCACGAGCACTGACGTGTCTAGGTATGGCAGCGGTCGCTACGATCACGTTTTCGAGACCACGACTGCTGGTGTCACCATACAATCACCTCAACTCGATATCAATACTGTCGCAGCTGGAGGTGGATCTCGTCTGTTCTTTCGCAATGGCCTCTTTGTGGTGGGACCTGAGAGCGCGAGCGCTCATCCCGGACCAGCATGTTATCGCAAGGGCGGACCTCTCACCATCACCGATGCGAATCTCTTGCTTGGCCGACTTCTTCCGGACTTTTTCCCCAAGATATTTGGCAAAAATGAGGATGAGGGACTGGATGAGCAGGCGAGCAAGGCCGCTTTTGAGCAGCTGACGGAGCATATCAACAAGGAGAACGCTGCAGGAAACAAGGAGAAGGAGATGAACATGGACGAAGTGGCGTATGGCTTCCTCAAGATTGCCAACGAGACCATGACACGACCGATCCGATCATTGACTGAGGCACGCGGGCATGATACAAGCAAGCACAGGTTGGCCACATTCGGAGGTGCAGGTGGCCAACATGCTGTTGCAATCGCAGAGGCACTGGGCATAACGCAGATTCTCGTGCATCGCTACTCCTCCGTGCTCTCTGCATACGGCATGGCGCTGGCCGATGTTGTTGACGAACGACAAGAACCCGAGTCGAAGATATGGTCAGACAAAGACCAAGAGACCAGGAAATACTTAAAAGACAAGATGGCGGAGCTCAAGAAGAAGTCGACAGCAGTACTCCGAGATCAAGGCTTCTCCGAAGAGCAAGTGCACTTTGAGGAGTACCTCAACATGCGCTACCGTGGTACAGAGTCCGCACTCATGATTGTTCGTCCAACTTCAGAGGAGGCTAACAAAGAGTATGATGGCGATGACTGGGCCTTCGGCAAAGCCTTTGTCCGACAGCACGAGCAAGAGTTTGGTTTTACGCTACCCGATCGTGACATTATCATCGACGATGTGCGCGCCAGAGGCATTGGCAAGACCTTTGAAGGTCTAGAGAAGACTGTTGATCAGCAGCTCAAGGAAGTCAAAGCAAAAGACCTGGCCAAGGGCGACAAGACCTATGGCAGCAGGTCGGTGTACTTTGAGGGTGGGAGGCAAGATACTGCCATTTACAAACTCGAAGACCTGACTGTCGGAGACCGTATCAAAGGTCCTGCAATCATAGCTGATGGCACACAAACCATCGTGGTTACGCCGAATGCATCAGCACTTCTCATTGATACACATGTTGTCATCAATCTCGGCGAAGTCGATGCACAGGAGAAGAAGGTCGACACCAAGAATGTGGATCCGATCGTGCTCTCGATCTTTGCACACAGGTTCATGGCGATTGCAGAGCAGATGGGACGTGCTCTACAGAAGACTTCTGTCTCGACCAATGTCAAAGAAAGACTAGATTATTCTTGTGCTCTGTTCGACGCGGACGGCGGGTTGGTGGCCAACGCACCTCATCTTCCAGTACATCTGGGAAGCATGTCTACCTGCGTTCGCAAGCAAGCCGAAATCTGGAAAGGCAAGCTCGAGAAGGGTGATGTCCTGGTCTCGAATCATCCCATGTTCGGTGGTACACATCTGCCTGACATCACTGTCATCACGCCTGCATTTTCGGGCGATAAGATTGTCTTCTATGTTGCTTCTCGAGCTCATCACGCAGACATCGGTGGTATTCTACCGGGCTCCATGCCCCCACACAGCAAAGAGCTCTTTCAAGAAGGTGCAGCCATCAAGACGGAGAAACTTGTCTCCAAGGGCCACTTCAACGAGAAGCGCATTACGGAGCTACTGCTCGACGAGCCAGCACAGTATCCCGATTGCTCAGGCACTCGTTGTCTGGCTGACAACATCAATGACTTGAAGGCACAAATTGCCGCAAACCAGAAAGGAATCAATCTCATCTCCACACTGATCGAAGACTACGGCGAAGATGTCGTGCAGTTCTACATGCACAGCATTCAAGACAATGCCGAGCTTTCAGTACGCAACCTTCTCAAGGATGTCTCTTCACGCTTTTCCGGCCAAGACCTTGCCGCCATCGATTTCATGGACGATGGATCTCCCATTCAGCTCAAAATCACCATCGACGCCGAGAAAGGTGAAGCAGTTTTCGATTTCACGGGTACGGGGCCAGAAGTGTATGCCAACTGGAACGCACCAGAGGCTGTGACCTACAGTGCCATCATATACTGTCTGAGGTGCCTCATCAGTGAGGATATACCACTCAACCAAGGATGTCTGAAGCCCGTCAAGGTGATCATCCCGCCCAAGAGCTTCCTCTCCCCTTCTGGCACCGCGGCAGTGGTGGGAGGCAATGTTTTGACTTCGCAACGAGTCACGGATGTGGTATTGAAGGCTTTCCAAGCTTGTGCTGCTTCGCAAGGAGACTGCAACAACCTGACCTTTGGCTTTGGCGGGAACGTCTCAGGTCAAAAGGCCGTTAAAGGTTTCGGCTATTACGAGACGATTGCTGGTGGTAGCGGAGCTGGGCCTACGTGGGACGGCACGAATGGGGTGCATACCCATATGACGAATACCAGGATCACGGATGCGGAGGTGTTTGAGAGGAGGTACCCAGTCATTTTGAGGGAGTTCAGTCTGAGATCCAACAGTCACGGAAGGGGACAACACAAGGGAGGTGATGGTGTCATCAGAGATATTGAATTCCGCATACCCGTACAGGTTTCGATCTTGTCCGAGAGGAGAGTGTATCATCCCTATGGACTCGAGGGAGGCGAGGATGCACAGTGCGGGAAGAACATTTGGGTCAGAAAGGTTGCAGGATCGGATGCCGATGTGAAGGAGAATGGCGCGCACACCATCACAGCAGGAAAAGAGACCGGGGTAGAGCAAGAGTACAGGTACACATCACTTGGAGCGAAGAATACCGCAGCCATGCGAGCAGGCGAACGCATCATCATCATGACACCCGGAGGCGGAGGCTGGGGTCCTGCTGGTAAGGCTTCCGAGGCTGCTATCAGGCACGATCCCAAGCAAAACTGGAAAGGTGGCAGTGTAGCTGCCAGACAGGCCGAAGGTGAAGCTAGTGCATGAGAAGAGAAATGGATGATGACTTATGATATATCCTCGAGCTGCAGGACATACCTCATGCGTATAGACTTTCCAGCAACATGAATAAATAAAACGCCCTCCCTTCTTACCTCCAATTCAACCTTCTTTTCTTTCCTTCTTTCTATCTCCTCGTGTATTACTCGGCTGTCTAGGTACCTGATATTTCCGATAAAGTATTTAAAAAATCGACGCATTATCCAAACGAAACATGGATATATTCAACCTTCGTGTAGAACGAATGAATGAAAAGGTTACAATAAGGTCGTATGCTATCTACCTACCTTGTGCATGAAATTAGATACATACCTTACATATCCCAGAATTTAGAAAGTTTCGAAAACACATTTTTTCTAAAAATAAAAAGGAAAAGTACACCAGAGAGGATAGATTCAGCTTTGACTTGGATGTCGCCATCATTATCGTCGTCGTCGTCGTCGTCGTCGTCGTCGTTATCGCTGTGGTTGAGATTGTCGTCGTTTGTTTGAGTATCGGAATTTAGTCCTGGGAGTTTAATTAGGTAACCCTAAGCGACTGGATATACTAGGTAGAGAGAGAGTGTGTGTATGTGTGACATTATTGACGACAGAACAACGACATGTTGCTAGCAATACCTAGGTACACAGTATTTTTGAAGGGAGACGTATCAATCATCATCATTGGGGAAATGCGAAGGATATATACATAAGGTAGGTATACATATATGTCCTCTTAAACCTCCCTCCCTCCTCTCTCCCTACTTCCCTTCAACACTCATCCACCATTATTCTTGACAAGTAGTTTCCCCTTCTGCCCCGACTTCTCATCCAAATCTCGTCGCCAGGAACACTCGGTTGCAAATTCACAAGATCCGCATTTGTACGACGCCTCCTCGATATCTACGCCTTGCGCTGCTCGTTCGCCTCGCCACCACGCGAGCTCCGATAAGACATATGTGTCGAGTGCTTCGGCATCGTAGACGAAGCTTCGTCGGCCGATCAGAGCGCCGGTGGATTTGGCGCGGAATTCGGCTGTGAGGAGAGGAGATATGCAGGATGTACCTGTACCCGTACCTGCTGCGTGAGGAGGTGGGATTGTTCGCTGGAATTCGTTGATCATGTGCGACCAGAGGAGGGAGAGGGTGTTGTAGGTTGTTACCTCGTCCATAGCGGCGTCCACGGGTGTGGAAGAGGAGAATGTCATTTCGTCGTTTTCGTCGTCGACCTCGATTCCTCCGGGCTGTTGGCTGGAGCTGAAGTCGATGTCTGCCATGTTGGCTATGAATGTGTCGCTGAATCGGACATTTGGATCCATGCCATATCTGTCGAATACGCTTTGAGCTTCCACTTGGTTCGCTGCGAGCTCGTTGAGGAGGCGTCGATACAGCATCAGTTGCATCTGAGTCGATTGCATGCGTTTCCCGGACGGAAGAGAGTTGACGCCGCGTGTCTTCACGTCAGTGAGATATATTGTCCGAGCTGGCTGTGGTCGTCGAGGTGTGCCTCCCCATGCAGCTTGGCTGTTGAAGATGGCTCGTTCTTGGGAATTGGCAAAGAAGTCCGTCATCATTCGCTGATCTGCAGGTACCTCTTCGTTCTTTGACCCAGACTTGGCCGTCTCTTGCATTTCTAGCAGCTCGGCCTCCAACTTGTCGTCAGGACAGGTGTAAGACAGTGCATCAATGACCCCAACAACGACATCTCCATCCACCACACTGAATACCTCCAGCTCGCGCGTCAAGCCAGTAGCACGCAGACCACGAAGTCCTTGTATGATGTTCCAAAGTCTCAATCCCATCTGATCCTCCTTGGTCTCGACCTCGACGCGGACTTCCACTTGCGTTTGTTGCTCCAGTTTCTTGTGTATCTTCGAGCCCTGTTTCATAGCCGGTGTACGCTTAACTCGACCATGTGTGGTCAAGCTATACCAGTACTTCAACTCACACCATGCCGGCGTAACCAAATCGGTGACTGTCAGCGGCCGCTGCTTTCGAAAGCGCTCTCGGGGCGTCCTAGTGTCGTTGACAATGGGACTCTCGACAGGACTCGTTTCTCGCTTGATGGGAGTGCCTCCTGTCTGCACAGCTTTGAGCCGCTGTAGTCAGCGGGTCAGTCCTGAGTCGTGAATGTTCTGGATGAAGACGTACTGAATGGATCGCTCTCGTCAAGCCTGGCGTCTTTCGGAGGCTGAACAGGCGCCGCATGACTGTCGGTATTGCCATTGAGAACAGGGAGCTCAACGGCTCGAATGAGCTGGAGTGCCTCAATAACAGCGCGAGACAGGACGAGAGGATATGTCTCTATTTCATCTTTCTCAACTCTTTCTGGCAGAACTGGCTCTTCTCCTTCTGGATCCTCCGTCTTCACTCTCGGCAGTGGTGTTTCCGGCTCTGGAGAGTAGGCAGACGCGAGAAGCTCGTCCACGGTGGCGTCGTCGAGTTCTGATCCATAGTCACTTTCCTCGGCGTCTCTGACTATCGCGTCCTCGTCGTCATCGATATTTGGCTTGCCGTCCGCATCGCCCATGTTGAGCGCCGAGGGGTCATCTTGCTGGCCACGGAATGCACGAACAAAATGTCGACGGTGGTGGATCAACATCGTTGTGTAGCTGCGCGCCAAAGTACTTCAAGCTTGTCCCGCTGTCGCGAGCCAGTGAGCTTCCAGGGTTGGGTCAGGATAGGTCGAGAGCAAAACAACAAGACCAGAAACTGGTTGTGAGATGTCGACGTAACATAACGCACATGGCAAACGATAAAATGTACAGTGTCTATTGGTGTCTATTGGTGTCTATTGGTGTCTATGTATACCATTCGCGGCGCTGTGTCGTGCACACCGCTGTGTCGCTATCGCACCATATCAGGCAGCCATCACTTCTGCGCCACTCCATTGGCAGGCGCTCCATACGAATGGCATTTCCTGCATGCACATACATGCAAGAGAGCTGCGCTTGTTCAGCCTCGCCAGGCATAATCGTAGGAGCCTGGAGAGTGTTTGTAATCGCAGACGTCGTCGCGAATGTTCACCCTTCTACAGCCATATACGCTTGTGGTCATCCATTTTCCGTATGCCAAAGGCGACCAGCTCAACATCGAGGCGAGCTGATGTGTTTTGGGGTCCCTCAAAGCGAGGGTATAGACCTGATGGCTGGGCTGCCGTGCTGCGACCACACACATCTTGGAGACTTCCTTCGCTTTGCTCGGGCCGTAAAACATGCAGCTCAGAGCGATGCCGGGTTGCCAGAAAGCAGCACTGCCGATGTCGTCTCCGGAGGCAATGTCATTGTACTGTTGAATCCAGATAGCATGGCTCAAGCAGCAGCTCGGCAATGTAGGACATGTTGTGCTACGAAGCATAGTTTCGGACGGCCAGGAGCTGTCGTAGGTGCTCACATCGCTTCTGCTGTGCTGTCACCACGGCTCATGGCGAGGTCAACTCTGAGAGAGAACCACTCATAATTTCGAGGATGAAAGCACCACGAAAGAGCCCGCACTTCTTCATTCGCGGGCCCATGCGCAAGCATACCAGTGGCAGCTCTTTCCACAGCGGCTTCTCGACTCATTGCCCGTGTTTTAAAGGCCTCGCTCTTCCTCTCCATCACCTTTGCTCAATCTTCTGCTGTTTGCTACTCTTCCTGTCTCTTTGCTTCCCCAATGAGCCCTCTATCTTCTCCTGTGCTCTCAGCTCTGCTTCAGCAGCTCTATTCAACCAAGACAGATACGTCTGCCATCCAATGGCAATGAAACCCGCGAAAATATTGCGGTTCTGCGGCGGTATAAAAGTAAAACTGAAAGCCGTAACAAAAGGCCACAATTTCCACTATCCCCAAAGAAGTCAGCACCACGGTAGTCAGTCACCTCTTGAGGGTTCAACCTCTCCAGTGATATAGATAAGGTACTCACACTATTCACCCACGAAACCGGCACCGTCCTACAAACCCTATCCACAGTCTCCTTCCACGTGCCTCCCGCAAGTAAAGTCTGCATACCAAAAAAGTAGGTATTAAAAATCGGCGTAAACAGCGTCTGGCTCACGACAATCTTCACCACCAGCCCTTTCCAATGTTTATCATAATTGAAATTTCTCCCCAACCACATAAACCATTTGTAGCTCGGAATGGACGAAATTCCCCCAATCACCATGGCTCGCAGCCCCCGTATGGGCTCATATCTCCCTTCGGTGAAGCTCGACGTCTGCACAAACTGCGCGGACAAGTCGCCGAGAAAATAGATGATCAGACTGCTCTCCAATTGCACCGTCAAGGGTGAGCGAGCTTGCATGGAGCTGTAGGCGCGAAAGGGGAATTTGATCGGTTCGAGCCAGGCATAGTAGGATCCGGAACTCGGCGGGGTGGTATGTGGAACATCTCCTCCTCCTCCTCCTCCTCCGGGATTCGTCTTCGAGGAGTGTTTCGATTTCGTCGATTCGTTCCGCTGGTGTTGTTTGTGGAGATTTCGCTGAACGGTTTGGTGGAGACGACGCAGAGTGGACCGCCCTGCAAAGAATGCAAAAGTCATCTTGCAGGTCGGGCGAAGCACATGGACGATCTCGAAGAAGAAGTGGACAAGGCGATTTGCTGGTGGGTGAGCAGCATGTTGAGACGTGTTGGGTGTTTTTAGTTCTTGCGCGAGTTCGGCCTATGGAGAGTTTCGTATCTACCTAAGGTACTGGTGAAGCCGAGTGCCGGTCCCGTTCGGCAAAGGTGGATCTTCAGCTTCGTAGGGCTGAGTTTTATCGATACGTATACCTTTGCGTGGAGCACGATAATTAGCACTTCCAGATGACAGTTCTCTTGAGAGGTAAGCAAGCCACGAACTTGATGACATGTATTGGGTATGGATGTGTAAGTGATTGCGCGAGAACGACGTTGCGCGTTGTGAGAGCAACACGCTGCCAGCGTCTGGCTGAGCAGATTGCGCCCGGTGGAAGGCGGCGAGGTGGTTCATACATGTAGCTGGGGAATCAATACGCATGAAGAATAGTATAAACATGGGACAAAAGCAGTGATAAGTGTGTGAGTGAATTGCAATTGTTTGCATCATTGTCATTATGATACAGTGGCCATCTTGCCCGCCGTGATGCCCGTGATATCTTTGGTTCAAAACACCTTCCATCTCAGCCCGTAGTCATCTGAGTGTCCCATAAACGCCGTGTTGCAAAAAGTTCAATGTCGAGTACATCTGCCCATCGCACCAGTCACTGTCTGGGGAGGTCGAAGTGGGTACTCATGAAGTCGTGTCGTAGATAGTAAGAGAGCATCTAAGAGCGCTCACCGCGGAGACGGCGGGCAAGCTGGATGTCCTTGCTCTGGATGGTGACACGCTTGGCGTGGATAGCGCAAAGGTTGGTGTCTTCGAAGAGGGAGACGAGGTATGCCTCGACAGACTCCTGGAGAGCGCCGATGGCAGAGCTCTGGAAGCGGAGATCGGACTTGAAGTCTTGAGCAATCTCACGGACAAGACGCTGGAATGGCAGCTTGCGGATGAGGAGCTCGGTCGACTTCTGGTAGCGACGGATCTCACGAAGAGCGACGGTACCTGCGAGTGGGTGTCAGTTGTTGTTCTGATGGCAGACAGTGAGGAATCTGTGAGGCTTACCTGGCTTGTATCGGTGAGGCTTCTTGACACCACCGGTAGATGGTGCGGACTTGCGAGCTTGCTTGGAGGCAAGCTGCTTACGTGGGGCCTTGCCACCAGTGGACTTGCCTGTGATGGTATGTTAGCACGAGGTTGGAGGTGTGTGTGGTGTGGTGTGAGTGGGTTGTGTCGTGGTCAAGGCGCGTCGCAATGTTGTGCGCAAAGTCAGGTGGCGTGAAGCCGAAGTGACGAGATGCGACGACATCATGCGACGGCGGCGGTGATGCTGACGATGATGAGCGACGGCGAGGTGGAAGGCGACAACTTACGGGCAGTCTGCTTGGTACGCGCCATTGTGTGTGATGGTTGATGAGATGGGTGGAGTTGTTGTGATGATGTTGGATGGAAGAAGCGAAGCGGTGGTGAGATAGTTGAAGTCGCTGGGTGTGGATGAGCAAATGTAAGATTGTTTGGGGGAGGGCAGGTTTAAGAGTAAGAAAGGCAGGCTGCTCGAATCAACAAAGTGAGCGCCTGGAAAGCAGCACTCGTAACGAGCAGATTCTCGGTTTGGATCCTCGCGTGTGATTGGCCGAGCGCGATTGATCTTTCTGTGTTGTTGGGTGCACGTGCCAGAACGCGCTTGCTGGCTTTCCGGCGATTGATTCGCGGTACCTCCTAGAGCGCGCCGCCGTACAAGAAGCCTCTCTTCCCCCACCAACTTAACTTCTGCATCCACTCTCCACACCCAGCGACTCTCACCACCAACAACACCAACAACAACACCGCTCCCATCACTCCATCACTACCAACAACACTTCACTCCACCACCCCCAACAACCTTCATCAACATGACTGGACGTGAGTACTCTCTTCCTCCACACACTGCTCCTCATCGCAGCTACTGACTTCCATCGCAGGCGGCAAAGGTGGCAAGGGTCTCGGCAAGGGTGGTGCCAAGCGTCACCGCAAGATCTTGCGTGACAACATCCAGGGTATCACAAAGCCCGCTATCCGCCGTCTCGCACGTCGTGGTGGTGTCAAGCGTATCTCAGCCAGTAAGTTGACCTGATTCGCATTTCGCAATAAGCGCATCTTCTGACTTTCCTCTCCAGTGATCTACGAAGAGACCCGTGGTGTTCTCAAGACCTTCCTCGAGGGTGTTATTCGCGACGCAGTCACATACACAGAGCACGCCAAGCGCAAGACCGTCACCTCGCTCGATGTGGTCTACGCTCTCAAGCGTCAAGGTCGCACCCTTTACGGTTTCGGTGGTTAAGCGATTGGTTTGGGGGTTCTTTCAAGATTTGCATGGTTTTTACGACACTCAAGATATCCATCAGCATGATGCTGCGGCACAGAGGCCGGCGATGGATATGGCGCGATACGGATGGGTTTTTTGGCAGCAAGCAATTCAGCTTCGCTTTGGGCGCTGTATCATAATGAGAACAACGGCGGGCGTTCCATGGTGAGAATCAGCAGCCGCGATATCAAATGACAATGATACCAACACTTCAAACATGTGCTCTACTCTCAATTCCCCTCCGTTCCACTGTCTTGACGACCTGGCACTTTGTTTGCTGTCGCGTCGCGTCTGGCTCGGTTTTCGGCCGATCAACAGATGACGTCCGCGCGCAAGGCCGACCCACTGACCTCTGCCTCATGAAGACGAATGTGTTCTGCCACAGTGCACACGATAGTATCTGTATGGAGCTGAACGCTGTATACATTCATCGCTTGCATGGTGCACGATTGTGCTGGCGCTGGACTAGCAGCTGCTTGCCTCGCATCTGAAGAACCACCACGAGGTCGAACTAGCGACATACATAACCTTCGGCACGCTCTTATTCATGCCACCAATACCCCTCATGATTTCACCTCCCACATTTCTCCTTCTGATGTGACCCTAGAAGCTACCGTGGGAGCATCATCCGCTTTCATCTCTCATCCTATTCCCGAAGGTGTCCGCTGCTGACTCTCTTGCCACATTCAGCAGCCATGTCTTTTCCAGATCCTCAACCAAAGGCTCTCTTCTTCGATGTCTTTGGGACATGTGTCGACTGGCGTACTACTGTAACCGATGCTCTCGAAAGTGCGTGTAATCAGGCTTTGGCCAGAGCATCTTCGTCTATTACTCCCCATATCAGATCCCGGGCGGAAGGCTTGGTGTGTTTGTTATTCCCGCAGAAGAGTTTATACTTCCTTTGCTTTGCTTTTTGGCTGACTTGGGCTCCACTCTTCTTCTTCTTCCTCCTCTTCTCCCAGACGAAGAGATACTGGGGTGATATTGCTCAGGAATGGCGGAACTCCTATCTCAAGTTTACGCGATCCATAGCCAGTGACCCGAACATCCCATACAAGACTGTTGATCAGCATCATCTGGACGCCCTGCGAGAGATTTTGACCCAGCACGAGCTTCTTCTTCCGCGGCAAGGAGATATCTCTGGAGACGATGGATCTCTCTTTGACGAGCAAGAGCTCCATACATTGAGTATGGTCTGGCACAAATTGGCACCTTGGCCCGACACTGTACAGGGGCTACACCAGCTGAACAAGAAATTCTCGACCATCACACTGAGTAACGGCAACGTTTCCCTCTTGGAAGACATGGTCCAGCATGGCAGCATGCCATTCACTCACATCTACTCTGCAGAGATGTTCCAATCCTACAAGCCCAGTCCCAAGGTCTATCTGTATGTGTTTTTTTGCCTTTCCTTTCACTATGTTGACTACATACATCCATCCATCCCGACCTACATCGGAGAGCGAAGCCGGTGCTAACGGGTGAGTAGAGGTGCAGCGAAGAAAATGGGACTCCAGCCAGCAGAGTGTATGATGGTAGCTGCTCACCTGGACGATTTGAAGCATGCTAAGCAGAATGGTTTTCGCACGCTGTATGTAGAGAGGTCTCAAGAAGAAAGGCATCCTGAGCTTCTCAAGGAGAACATCCCAGACGTAGTAGTTCAGCTTGATGAGGAAGGCTTCGTAGAGGCTGCTAGAAAGTTGGGGATCGAAGTATCTTAGCATCGCATCCTATCCATATACCTAGATATCACCTATCTACCTTACCTATGCAAGCAACGGACTGCAGTCTATACTCTCAATATTCCTCCCGTCTCAACTACGCATACCTCGAATATTACAATCAACCTCCCTCGCAATACTCATCAACCCTACATCCTATCTCCCCCAAAACATCAACTCTACCTCCTGTTAAACTACCATCACATTCCAAAATCCCCCCCATTTCCCAAAAAACCACTAAATCCTCCTCTCCCAAATATCTCAACACCCAGACCTCCAAGCCCCCTCCAAAATCCACAGTATATCTCCAATATACCGATAATTTCTATAACATCAACAAAGAAGGTTAGAAGATAAAGGAATATATACACGTCGTCGTTGAAGTGCAAAGTCCCATAGGTAATTTTATGTAACCCTAAGATGCTTGGAGGAAGGGAGGGGAGGAGGGAGGATTAGGTAAGACGAGGTACCTTTCGCCGCACGCGTTACGTTACACGTACGGGTATTAGCTATAGGGTACCTGTACCTATAGGAAGGACATGTACCTTTTCTACTTTTCCCCTTCGTTCCCTTTTCGCCAAAGCGACGGCAAATAAGCAGAGGAGAGGATTTGCAGAAGAAGAAGAAAGACTCCCTCCCTAAAAGAAAAATCCCCTTCCCACCCCCCCCCCCTCCCTGATTTCTCCTCTCCCGAGCCGAGCTGACTGACAGTCCTGTCCTATTTTACTCCGAGAGAAGAAGGGAGAAAAAAAAAGAAATATACGCGTACAAGCAGGCAGTAGTGCAAGGACTTTTGTGGATTTGTAGAGTATATGCTACCTCTACTTCTCTCTCTCCTTCTCTCCTTCTCTCCTTCTCTTCTTTTCTCCCTTCGATACGTACGTCCAGCGCAGTTTCCCCCAAAAAAGGAAAATTCGTTATGAAAGAAAAAAAGTTGGATATACACTCGAAGTCGTCACTCCCATCAAGCCCAAGCGAGAACTCAGTCAACCCTCGCTAATAACAAAGAAAAATAACAATCGTCCATAAAATTCATGATGATCATGATCGTGATGATGAAGAAGAAGAAGAAGAACTCGTCGAACTCGCAACAGAAGTCGTCCGATTCCTCTTAAACCCATTCAACCAAGTCATCGATCTCGATCTCGATTTTTTCGTCTCAATAGAATCTTGAACGTTGAGAACCAGAAGCGATCGTAAAGGGGTTGTAGAAATGGATTTGGCTTGGAGGGTAGTGACGGGCGTCAACAAGAGAGCTGTTGCGACTAATGTGGAAGCAGACATGACGTCTAATGTGTCGTTGTCGTTGTCGTTGTCATTGTCGTCGTGGAGATGGATCATGCGATCTGTTGGGAGAAAAAAGATTTGTTAGTGGTGGGTTTTTCTGTTCGAAAAAAAGGAGAAGGGGAGGGGGGGCGGGTTCGATCGATAGGTAGGTACTACTTACGCTGTACGGGTGCTCTGCAAATTGGGGTGGTGCAAGAGCAGGTTGGTGGAGACTCTGTTCTTGGAGGAGGAGAAGTCTGAGCTCGTGATCGACGCATGTTGTTGATGATTTTAGTAGGAAGCTGGGATCAATCTTGAAGGGTTGGTGTGTTTGTTGCAACTGTGTCGGAGAATGCGCAGATTGTTTGGCGATGAATGCGAAAAGTCCTGTCAATCGAGTCCACAGTATGATGGCGTAGATGTGAGAGTCTTAAAGCTCCCTCATGGTTCAGCCTTGTAGCACCAAAATAGCTGTAACAACAGGTGACAACGTCTGCACAGATGAGTCTCATCTCTACCTGGAGAGGCCCGAGCGTTGAAACGGTTCGTTGCAATCCTAGTTCTCATGGGCAAGGACAAGTTTCGTACACGTGAGAGGCCCGGACCTGTGTCCGTGGACCCTTCAACAACATTCATATTGCAGACGTTGTTGGTGGCACTCGATGTGCAACCGTACTGCAGAAGCGCAAGACCAATGAATACGTGTTCTCACTTGTCACTGGTCTCCTTTTCTTGCTGGACGCCTCCTGAGCGGCTATTCCCTTCTCAGACTTCCCGCCGTTGCCGGATCACGACTGTTCCGGGGTCAGAAAGCCGCTCCCTCGACCGCGGCATGTCTACATTGCGACATGCCCATCAAGGAAGAAGATGCTCTGTATGGAAGGCGGCATAAATTCATTCCTGTGGACCGATGCGCCGCACATTTCGTGTAGTCGTCGATACCAGGCAAGGTATGGTATTGTTGGAGGATCTTGGCGACGTCGTAAAGGACGACTTCCCGCGTTTCGAATGTTGCTCTTAATAACCCCACTTACATGCACCTTTGCAACGTCTTCGTCTTGAGTCAAAATCAGCCAAAAAGCCGCAACGCGCGCTCGAAGCATACCTGTAAATGGCCAGTCAGGAAAAAGACGAGTCCCAGCTAGCGCTCGCGAGGCAGCTTAATCATGTGCCGTGGTGCGAGCAGTATGAGCGAATGATATCTGGAATGCTGTAAGAAGTGCCTATTCCGCGTGAGTGAGCCGCCGTGCCATCGATTGACACGATGATTTAGCTACAACTCCTTCACTCCAGATCTTGCAAAAGCCCGACACAAAGTACGCAAGTTCTGCCACCAGTACAACACTTCCTTTCCGTCTGGCGACGATGATTCGCCCGAATCGCTTGCCGCAAATCGCTATGCTGGCCTCCAGACAGTACTTGGTCGGGTAGGTAAAGATGCATATCTGGAACCGCCCTTCTACCTCGACTACGGGTGCAATACGGTTATTGGCGATCGCTTCTATTCTGGTTTCAACTTTACTATCCTTGATTGCGGTCTGGTGACAATCGGAGACCGAGGTATGAAACAGGTCTACCAGAAACCCGACTACATCCTAGAAAATTGCTGACCTTTGATCAGTGATGGTCGGTCCCAATGTGTCCATCTTCGCTGCGACGCACGAGACGGAGGTGCAAAGCCGGAGAGATGACATTGAGTATGCAAGGCCAGTGAAGATTGGTAGCGATTGCTGGATCGGCGGGCACGTCGTGATCTTGCCTGGGGTGGAAATCGGAGAAGGATGCACAATTGCAGCCTCTTCAGTAGTCACTAAGAGCATTCCAGCTTGGAGTGTGGTTATGGGATCTCCCGCAAAGGTTGTGAAGAAGGTGATGCCCCTTGAACCGGTTCAGTCGGATACGCCAAATGCATGAGCCGGGTCAGCATCAGGCGTAATCCCGGCACTTCCAAGAATCGTGATTCTCACACTGTCCTAGCTGTGTCTCCATATCTCTCTTCTCGAAACTTGTTGGTCGTGGGTGCTGGCACAGGCGCGGTCCCTTGGTGCTTCGGAGCCAGCGTTGCTGATTTACGGAGGCCCTGAGAAGAGCTTGAGAGGTTCATGCAATCGCAGTTTCAGCTCCTTGCTACTGCTCCGCTACCCTCTGCATGGGACGTGTTCGCCATAGCGTCTCGAGCTTCGGCTGCGGTCTGCTATGCTGTGATTTGCACCGGACACGACGTGTTGCTGTTGAGTGATACCTCCTAGCTGCTCGAGCGGTATCTGTGAAGAGTTTGAAACTGCATTGACTGCCTGCCTTGATGCTGCTGATCAGTCGTGACATCCAACCTTTGTTGCCTGGACTTCCTTGCCCAAGTGTCCGATCTCTTCCATACGTAGCTAGTCCACCATGTGCTGCAATGCCCTGTTCCTTTCTGCAACGATCTTAAGACTTACGGCCATTGGGCTCCATCTCCTTCTCCCATTGCCGCAGACCTTGTCCCTTATTCTCGAGCATCTCTTGAATCCCACCACTCTCTGTCTGAAGAGTCGTGTGGCCTGACACTCTGTGCTTTGTCCATGGCAGCACTTGCTTCTGCCTGCTTCTCGTCAAAGACTCGCAGTCATGGTTGGCCGGATGATTGCGCGCTGGCTACTGTGGCAGGTCTCTCTAGATGGCTGACAGCCATTACGCCCTGGGGTCTTTTGGCCTGTCCCATCGTGCCTAGGTACGTAGCGGTCGGTCGGGGCGTATCGTTCGTACCTAGGTAGGTAGGTAAGCTCTTACCACGCGTGTCTTGCACGACGCGTTCAGTCGAGCGTAGCGTCTATGAGGGCGTATTGCGGTATCCTTTCGCCCAAAAACTTCGCCTGCAGAACTCTTATGTCGTAGAGGTATAGCAGCATCTACATGTATTTGAGCTCATATATGTAGTTCACGGGAGGCTGTGAATAGCCCCAGTGGTGGAGGAGGAAGTGCTTGGCGGTGAAGGGCTCCTACCTACTGAAGGTAAGGTCAGGTAGGTATTCTCCTGCACCGAATCCTTCCCAGCCTACCTACCTGTACCTGACCTCTCACCCTTCACCACGGACGAGCTTTTCATCACCATCGGCATATCTACATATAGAGTGCAACTCCACCATACTGTCGTTGCGCCGAGTCCGTATGCATTCGCTACAGATGTAGGACGTAGCTGCTACTTACCTAGACGTTGATCGAGCTAGGAGCGATAGAAGATCAAGACATGAAAAAAACGCAAAAACAACAAAAAGAAAACCTCAGGTACCTACCTACTGACTCTCTCCCTCCCTCCCTAGGTACCTACATATACCCTGAACCCTCTTTCCGCCCCTATCCAAAGTTCCCAATAATTCCATACCTATCAACATTATTACCTCCTTAAGGGATGTACCCGCGGCGTAGGCTGTACACCTTTATCCGGAAAAAAACCCCGTCTCGAACACCGGGACACTCTTTTGAATGACAAAGTTACATAGTAAGATGTCAACTATAAAAAATAAAAAGTCTATATTACAAGCACAATGCCTGAAAGGATGCAACCGCCAAAAATCCCACCAATGCAGCCTTCCACTAGATCGGCCAGGAATCTCTACTACTCACAGAGTCTGAAAATTTCATTCCTTTGTCTTTTTTTTTGACTTGACGTGTCCCTGACAAGACGGGTTGGGTTGGGTTGGGGGTTCCAACTTCCCCTAGCGGTCGGTCGGTTCTGTGAATCGGGCCCGACGGGGAAGGGTGGGAGTCTACTACGGAGTCAGAACTGGATGTTGCTAACTACCTTACATGTACTCCCTCCTAATAAGGCTGCTTACTTATGCAATTTTTGGTTTATACATCATCTAGTTGTGTAGTATGTGACCAAAAAGGGCATCACAGTGCCCCCGAAAAAAAAACGCGTCTTTGACGCGTCGCGTCCTCCTTCGTGAGAGGCTTTACCTGAGGTACTACCTACGCTTACGCGTGTCTTTGTCTCAACAGACACGTCTTCTTCAATCGCTAGACCGTAATGACCAAAAAGGAGGTAGGTAACAAAACATGTTCATTTCCCCTCAATGCTATAATTTGATTACAGAGAGGTTTGAAATACTCAAATCTTCTGCCGCGGCCCCAGTAGCGAGCGACGAAGCCGTGAACGTCAGCTAGCAATCTTGACTTTGACGTGGACTCGATGTCCGATGCCATCTCTGCCTCCGATCCATCGCTTCCGCTTGCCCACTTTCTCAATATCGTGTGCTTCGGACAAGAAAGCCTCTTGGTCGACGTCAGCGGTGATGGAAGCAGTCAGCTGTAAGAGAGGACGCTGCTTTTCGTCCTGGGCCCAGGAAGCTTGGAGTCGAAGTCGGTCGTGGTCTTCGCGAGGTCCTGCAGGGTAGATGTTTGCGATTAGAGAGGCGACTGCGCCGAGGTAGCTGATCCACCAGAGAATCCAGGGAGACTCTACGAGTTGCTCGAGGTTATGCTTGAATGCTTCGTCGCTGGGAGGTATGCTGCCTCCCCATCTTGCGCAGAGAAGCAATGCGATGAGTGTGCGGGCCTCATGTGTGATGCCATGTACGCCCGCGAGGATACCCGCTGTGGTACAGCGCAATGCTGCGGAAGGCTGGAGATCTTTTGGGTGACTGGAGTGGTAGTAGATGAGGTTCGCAAAGGATTCGAGCAAGTCGGGAATGAAGACACTTTTGTAGTCATCAACAGCGCCTGATGTCGATCCTACTGGAAAGGCCGACTCTAGCATCCTGACCAGCGCGTTCGAAACGGTCGGTTGCACAAATGGTCGGGTTGCCACGACCAGTGGAAGCTGTGCCTTGGCCTCGGTTGACAAGGAAGAGAAGAGGTAGCCTTCCCGAACGCCGCCTTGACAGAACCGGACTTCTTTCACTTGGGGAAGAGCTTCTGCCAGCACGTTGACCAGGAAAGCGACTGCAGGAACTTGTCCCGCTCTGCGATCAGATATGCGAAAGAGCTCGCCTTCTCCAGTATGCTCTAACGACTCCGCAGCGGCAGCCTTAACTTGATCCGTGCTCAGAAAGGCTGATCGGGAGACCTTGAAACCATTGATGGCTGGTATTGGATATGGCTGTACACGATGTTGGCTCATGAGCACATAGCCCCACCCTCGAAAGCCGCCTCCAGACAGGTACAGAGTAAAGCCGCCTTGTTGTTGAGCAGCATTCTCAAGCTCCTTGGGAACCTGTAAGCTGGAATATGCATTCTTCACTGCGGTATGCACTTCTTCTCGGAGCTTCGCAGTCGTTCCATTTTTTTCAGCTTCGCTTAGTCTTCTAGACATGGCTGCTGCACCATATGGCATACTGACTGCACCCGACGGAGGAAGGCGTACTCCATCGCTTGCACTGTTCTTCACAATCCAGCTCAGCTGAGTGCTCCCGCCTCCCAGATCCATCACGAGACCGCTGAGCATAGGTAAGGAAGACGCAACACCCATCGCACCAACTCTACCCTCGTCCTCCTTGGCAAGCATTTGCACATCCCATCCTAACTCCTTTTTGATGTTTGCTCGGAAAACTTCAGAGTTCACGGCAGTCCTGGTCGCTTCGGTAGCCAGCACTGTAGTGTTTTGCTCAGGAACTCCAAAGTCTTTGCACGTACGCTTGAACTGCTTGAAAGCCGTAATGACTGCTATGATGGTTTTGCCGTCGATGGGAACTTTTTCGCCTGTTGGTGAGTATTGTGCATCATACAGCGATATCGCCACGCGGTGTTGATACAAGGTAGGCATGATTCGTTGTGTGGGAGGCTGCAGGCTGGAGATGGAGAAGCGTATACCATTACTTCCCATATCGACAATTGCGTGGAGGTACTGGGCATCTTGACGAGCTGGTTCTACTGCCATCTTAAGACAGAGAGAGATTATAGGAAGTGCTTGAGGGCTGTAATGTCTTTAAGTTGCCTCTCAAGTCTCGAATGAGTTGAGAGTGAGTGAAGAGTGGGTGAAGTTTCATCAAGAAGAGTGGAGGTGGTACCTGACGTGTGTGTCCCTGTGAGATCCACGCGTGGCCAGTGTGGAAGACGTTACACGCTCCTTGCTATATACAAGTCCACAACAATCATGCGAAAGTACTAGGTAAGTTATTCACTCGTCACTTTTCGCCGATAATATGGCCTTAAAAATTCAAGGATGACCAGACTCAATCAGATCTATAACCACAACTGCATAAGAAGGCGTCACGGTTTTCCCCCAAAAATAATTACAAGCGACCAAAGAAAGCACCTGATATCTATGGTACCTACGAGATCTATGGCATACGTATGGGTTTAGGAGAACAAGGTGAGAATAAGCGTGTCCGCATGCTGTAGGTACTGTTGAGTGATACGTACATAAGTACACACATGTCTCTCGGCAGTGCTAGGATGAGGGGACTGACATTCCGCATTAGATATTAATACTACCTACTCAGTACTCATCGTCCCGCCGCGATATCAGCAGCAATCTTCTCCGCCAGCATATCTGAAATTAGAAGATCCAGGTCAGCAAATGTTCAACAACAAGTAAACAAAAAAGAAAATATTCTCAAAAAAGACAACTTACAAACCGTGCTCACAGGATGTCCAGGAGGCAACACCGCAAACGACGACGCATCCACAACCCGAAGTCCCGTCACCCCAATCACTTTCGCATGCGTATCCACCACCGCCATAGGATCCTCCACCTTGCCCATCCGACACGTACACGACGCGTGCCAATTCTGATAGCTCGACTGTTCAATATATTCGAGAATGGCCTCGTCACTCGTCACATTCGGGCCCGGCATATACTCGTTTCCACCCACCAAAATCGGCTGTAGAGCTTCCGTGTGGAAGAAAGATCGCGCGCGCTTGAAACCTTGTACGGCCATTTCGCGGTCGCTCGGGTGTGAGAGTTGATTGGGGTTCACGACGGGTAGGTCGCGGGTGTTGTTGGATGTGATGTTTACCCAGCCGCGCGAGAGTGGTGAGACGGGGATCATGATGATGGTTCCGAAACGTTTGCTGGGGTCGGTTCCGGAGAGGGAGGCGGCTGTGATTTCGTATTCAATCTGTGTGTGGAAGATGTGTTAGTAGTCGAGTTTTCAGTCGAGACTTCCGTTACCTATGATTCTGTATTTTCCTCATCGCCCGGAGTGGTCTGGTATACAACTCACCTCGGGCCAATCTGCAGGGAACTTGGCAAAATCGGCTTGAGCTTGTGCGCTGAGACCGCTTCGATAGGGCTCAGGTAACTTCTCCCAGCCGATGTAGTCTACGCCGGCATTCGTGAGTGGTCCCGTGCGGTTCACTCGGTACTCTTCAATGAGGGGACCATTGACTGCTGGGTCGGCGATGGCGCCCACGCCGTTCTCGATATTGATCTCCCAAATGGGCGCAAAATCTAGATGATCTTCCATATTGGCACCTACACCCGGGCGATCTGCCAGCACCGTGATGTTGTGCGCTTCGAGCTGCTCCCGAGGCCCAATGCCACTGACCATTAAGAGTTGTGGTGACTGGAATGCGCCAGCGGAGAGGATGACCTCCTTGGTTGCGTTGAGGTGGAACGTCTGGCTGTTGCCGTAGGATGCCGCCTCGACTTCCACGCCCATGGCGGTCATCGTTCCATTGAAGATGATTCTCTTGGCCAGCATGTTGGGATATACTTTGAGATTCGTTCGACCACTTCGCAGAGCGGCTTGCAGATATGAAGACTCCGACGAGCTGCGTTCTTCCTCGGGATACGAGATGGTGAGTGGTGCATATTGCCTGCCGAGCAGGGAGCCGCTGGCAAAGTCCTGCTGCGAGGAAATGCCCGACTCGGCAAAAGCACCATCGACATAGCTGGCGAAAATCTGCGCAAAATTGGGACTGGAGACGTGTAGAGGCCCCGTGTCGTTGAACGCCAGAGGGTTGGCCGGTAATGGCACGCTCGCATTCGCAGCACGCAATGTCGCATTGGCGGGCGAGTACGTGATACCTTTGGCATAGTATGGCAACACATTCTCGAACAGCCAAGCATCATCGCCGACGAGGTCTGCCCATACTTGGAACGAACCGTAGGTGCCGCGATTGTAAATCATGGCATTCTGCGCAGAGCTCCCTCCGAGAGTTTTGCCACGTCCGTAATGCAGTCTGCGACCTCCCAGGCCTTCTTCTGGCTGTGTGATGAAGCCCCAATCCACCAAGGGAAACTGATTGGCAGATTCTGGGTTGAAGGCGCCATATTGAGGGCAATATGCGGGCACGACTGATGTGTTGCCATTATCTTGTTCGTAGTATCCACCAGCCTCAATGACGGCCACAGAATTGGTTCCATTCTCAGCGAGACGATAGGCCATCGTTAGACCGGCCGTACCTGCATGGCGTTGGTATCAGTTTCCACTCACTCCCATTGATGATTGATGAATTGATGGATTGATTGTTCGGCCGTACTTACCACCACCGATCACCACATAGTCAAATGAGGCATTTCCTGGACGTCCATATTCGTTTCCAGGGACTGTCCCGAAGCGTGACTCCCAGGCTAGAACTGGCGTGGCGGCCAATCCGATGAGAAGGGATCGCATCCTCAGCATCCTCATAAGCACGTTGAGGGCGATGTTCGAAATCGAAAAATCGAGAAAAGACTGTGTCGGAGGAGGACAACATTGTTATTGTGCATACTTATTACACTTCCACCTCCATCAGCGCCACCAAGAGATGTCATCGGTACGATGTTGATCTTGCAGATTCCAGTTAGGATGGCTTGCTTTTGAGTTCTTGTAGTGTCGTCCGTCCTGTATAAACACACGGCACGTCCTGTTGAGCGGTTTGACTCGACATCTCTGCGTCCAGCAAGGACCAAGTACAGTATATTTTTTATTCACTTCCGGACGACAAACTCTGCTGATGCATTATCCCGATTCTACAGCTGTCTGCCAGCAAAGGCAATGAGTACGTGCTGGAGTACGAAAAGCATCCATACAATTGGCGTCTCGTCAGCCTCGAGATCTTTTTAAAGAAGCAAATGTCTCCTGTCTCTCCATCTTTGGAGTCACTACTGACGTATTTCACGGCGGAGAGAGTGGCGTGCAGGTCAGGTAGCACAAATAAAGTAGATGGAGACGAGGCCGGAGCAAGCGAAATGAAAATGTCGCAGACAGAGTGGCGACTTGGGGCGTGTACAAGGGGAAAAGTGACGGAATATATATTGGACCGACGACTAACTAGGGTTGTCTCTCGGCCTTTTCTGGCTGCTCCACCACAATAATGCCAATATGCATCCCAAACAGCCTCGTGCCCAGTAGAGCCAGCGAACAAGGCGGAGGCCCGGGAGGGGGAGAGAGGCTGATCATTGATAGTGGTGATAAGGTATAATTACTTTATGACCCATCTCCTGGCCCTGATGGCGGAAGAATTGGAAGAATCACAGTCGTGCTGAAAAGAGTGTCCCGCTGCAGGCGAAAGACTGACGACTAGAATCTCCGAGAAAGACGACCAAGAAGAAGACGACTACGACGAAGAAGAAGAAGGAGAAGAAGAAGAAGAAGCAGATCCATAACTGACTCAAGAACCGCCAATTCTTCACTTACTTACCTACCTCCCGACCCTACCACCTCCTCAGATACATACCATGGACTACGAAACCGCAGACGGCTCCCAATTCTCCCTCCGCGAGATCTGGTCCGAAGACCCCAACCCCACCAATACCACCACCGCCACGACGACGCACACCACCAAACCCATCAACTCCCCCAAATTCGAACACACCCTCATCACCGCCTTCGTAGACGGCAACGCCTACGCAGGAAAATCTCTGCAACGCATTTCCGCCATGGACGACGTCGACGTCTTCGGCTACCTGGAACCCGTTCCCTCGGAAAACATTTTCCCCATCATGCCTGCGGAATTTACTCGAGCTCCACCTTTTGACATGGCAAATCATTATCTCAAAGCTCCGCAGTTTACGTACGAGGATTCTCGTCCGGGACGGACGAGTGTCGCGGATCGGTTGAGGAATGAGGCACGGGTGTTGGAGTTTTTGATGGGGCAGGGGAGGAGGAGGAGGAGGATGGAAAATGGGGATGGGAATGATGTGGTTGGTGGGAAGGATGAAGTGGGTGGGGATGAAGTGGATGCTGCTGCTGCTGCTGTGCCGCATCCGAATGTGGTGAGGTATTATGGATGTGTGTTGAAGGATGAGAGAATTACGCATTTGTGTTTGCAACGATGTTATTGTAATTTGGCAGAGTATGCAGAAGTGGGACTTTCGAGTGAGGAGACGGACGAATTGTTGGGTCAGGTACAAGAAGGGTTGAAGTTTTTGCATGGGTTGGGGTTGGCGCATAATGACATTCATCCAGGTGAGTATTTTCTCTTTATTCTTGTTTCTTCCCTGATCTCGAATGTTTGCCTGCCACACCTCCTCCTCATCATCGCTATGAATGAAGTCACAGCAAAAACGAAACTAACATTCTTCCCACCCACTCCAAAAAGGTAACATATGCGTCGACTCCCATGGCAACGCCATCATCGTCGACTTCGACTCCTGCGCCCCCTTTGGCCAACCTCTGACCAAAGGCGTGGCGTGCATGACATCCACCACAACAGAAAAGGGAGTTCCCGTTTCGGATAAGAAGAACGATTATGAAGCGTTCAAGGAACTGGTGCAATTTTTGAAAAAGGAGAGGAAACGTTCGTCGGCATGTTATCCGCAGTTTTGAGAAGAGAAAGATTGTGAATAAGTGCAGGCGAACTTTCTTTTCTTTTGAGAGAAAGGGAGGAAGTACCTTGATAGCATAAGTGAGTGTGAAAGAAGAAGAAGATGAGGAGGAGGAGGATGAGGGGGGAAGCCATGGTATGCGTGTTATGAGTAATTATCAACCAGAACAACTGTACGGATACTGTATTTGTAGAGAGAGGCGCGAATATGAGTATACGAAATGATTTATGGAACATGTTGTATCATCATAATACATTCCATTCTATACATCTATCTTTTCCATGACAAGATCCTGCTCAAGTGAAGATAGTGCCATTCATACTTTCGAAGCCAGCAGGCGCCAATACACAACAGATAGACACGCCTTCAGACACCCTTTAGTCCTGCATTTCGACATCCTCAGTCTCTAACACATCCTCTTCCTCCCCCTCAGCCTCCACTTCCATCTCCTCAGCAACAACATCACCGGCCCGTTCTCCATTCTCAAGCGGCATAAAAACATCACAACCCCCCGTACCCATACGATTCACATTTCCCACCACAATCTTCGCCGAAGGGCCCGCCAAATCATCTCCCTCGCCATTCATGACCGCCTCCTTCAAGAAACCCACGGTAGTTTCAAAACTCATCTTCATAAACGGACTTACATTCGCCCGATAACCCATACGACTGAATGCCTGATACCCTCCACCACGCGTCATGTAATCGGCAATGAGCATGAGATGTCTCGGGTCGACACTGATGCCGTGACCGCCAAAGACACCTTGTAATTCGCGAACGATGGCCGCGCGACCGGCCTCGACGCCGTAGTTGGTGAAAATGTCGAAACAGCTGTTGGTGTAAATGTAGTGTGGGTTAATGATGTGCTGGTAGTCCCACATGGCTCGGACGTTGACTCCCGAGGTGAGCACGACAGCGGGTGCGTCTGCGGATTTGGGTTTGTCACTTTCGTCGACAGCTGCGTTCTGGATTCCAGACACACTTTGAATGAGAGCCTCATGTAGAGATTTCTCCACGAGAGCGAGCATGAGGATTTTGGCCGTGGAGGAGTCGTATTCGAGAGTGAAGGCACAGTGTGAACCAGTTTCATCGTCGAAGGAGAAGGAGGCGACGTCGTTGGTGGCCCCGTCTCCTCTGATGCGTTGCTCTCTAGCTGCGGCTGTGATTGTGTTGGAACGCTTGGAGCTGGACGTTTTGGTGGGATCGTCGGAGTCATCGGGAGAGGACGATCGAGAAGAGCGGTAGCCTTCATCGTCTGGGTCGTGCCCTTGTAGTTCAGGCGTGGCGTTGCGTTTTTTGAGTGCTCGGTCTTCGTCATCTTCTTGGTCATCGTAGCCACCTTGCTGCTTGTTGCTCTTGGACTTGTCACGAGTGGCATCATCGTCACCCTCGCCGTCAGAGTCGTCATCACCGCCCTCACGACCAGCTTGGGGCTGTGCGCGTTCTTGCTCAATGGCGCCGGCAGACTCTCCTACCTCGGCGGCCATGGCTTTCTCCACGGCCTTGATGGTGTTCATGCCGCCGGATTTTTTGATTTGCTTTCGAACAGCAGTTTGGAGCCAAGGCAGGAGCTCCTTTTCGATAGTATGGACAACGTCACCTATCGTGATGGCGTATTCCTTCTTGTATTCTTCACTGGGGAAGAAATCGAGACGAATCTCGTACTTCTTTGCTTCTCCATAAGCAATGCCCTTACCGATGGTCTCCGACACAGTGACCTTGTCCACAATCTCAGCAAGCGCAAGTTTTGAGATGCCCTTTGCAAACTTCTTTGCTTCTTCGACTGAAGTGCCATTGCCCATACGAAGAGTCATTTGAGGCGTGGAAATCTTGCTCGCAGCAGTCATGACGATTTCTCGGAGACGAGGAATACCAAGTGTGACGTTTTTGGCCGAGTGACCCGCCAAATGGAACGTGTTGAGCGTCATTTGCGTCGAAGGCTCACCAACAGATTGTCCAGCTACGACGCCCACAGCCTCGCCGGCTTCGACAACAGACTTCATGTAGCGCACATCCAGGATGTGATTGAAGTTCTTCTTCGAAACCGTTCCCTCGATATTCTTTTTCTTGTCCTTGATGAGTCGCATTTCGTTCTTGTCAATCCATTCTCGTGAGCTGGCAAGAATGTTCTCACTGACACTACCAATGTGTCTTCCAGGAGGATACTGGGACAACGCGGGATCAGACGCACCAAGATCTCCCGTCTTGCGGTATCTCTTCTCAGCAGCCTTGTTGGCATCCTTTGCGTCCTCGCTGACGAGATTACCAAAAGCCTCGCCCATGTTCATGGAGTGGAAAAGCGAAAGATAATTTTCAGCTGTGAACTTGAAATCATTCATGTACTTCGCCTTGCCGATGTCCAGACCGTCTTCTCCGTACAAGAATTGCACAATACTGCCATCTTCGGTGTTGCGGACGGAGCTGTCGTACTCAACACGCAGACCTTCCATACCCTTGATGAGACAACGTTGAAGGTAGCCGGAACGCGAAGTCTTGACAGCAGTGTCGATCAGACCCTCACGACCAGCCATGGCGTGGAAGAAATACTCCTGAGGTCTAATGCCAGTCAAGAATCGATCAACAATGTAGCCACCAGCACGTACGCTGGTTTCGAAGGGCTTGAAGCAAGGTAAAGTCTTTCCGCTGACCATGACCGGTACACGTCGACCTTCCAGGACTTGTTGACCTAGATTGCATGAAATGAGATTGGCGTTGACCTTGGTGCCTTTGGCACCAGACATTGTCATGGTCTGCATTTGGTTCTTTGGGAAAGGCTTCGAAAGACCAGCCGGCATGCACGTGTTCGACACTTCACTGCTGAGCTTTCCAGTCTCGGCGTTCATGAGAGCATCCAGCGTGTGGAGCTTAGTATCGTCTCGCAGCACATCTTCCAGTCGTCGCCGCAGTTCTCTGTCGTTACTTTTCGGCTTCTGGGAGTCGAGAGTGACATACTTGGCAGAGACGGACAGACCGACGGTGTCTGCGCCCGCGAGAGCTTTTCGTCGATTGACCTCTCCGTTGCGCGTGAAGATGACATCTTCCACACCACAAGAGAAAGCTCGCATGTGCTCAAGCTTTGTGAGCAAGCGACCCAGCACACTGAGCAATCTGCCAGCAATGGTATGGCCATATGCTTCGTATACCGCATTCACGAAGCCTCCAGAAGAGGGACCAATCTGCTTCTTGTCGAGAATGCCTTGCACAAGCTCACCGTCCTTGAAGATGACTTCGGCCTCACCTTTCCCGCCAGGCCCCCACATGGTCTCGGCAGTCGTACTCTTGCTGTTCAACGTCAAGCCCTGGGCACCATGAGGGGTCAGATTTTTCAAGACACTACTTATCACTTGCTTCCCCGTCCAGAGTGGCTTGGGCTTGATGATTGCAGGAGGTACCGTTTCCATTCTGCCGTTGACACAGTGGCCGTCTTCCGGCCGTAGTGCAGCATACAGCATATTCATGTAGTCGCCGCGTTCAAAGAACATGTCTCGACTGCAGAGGAAGACAGACATGGAGATGTGATCTTGAATCAGACCGCGCAAGGGGTTGCCAGCCGTCGCTGAAATGTATTGATGATCAGTGTCTGCTATCGTCAAGGCTTCGGCTCGCGCCAACTCGTTCTGGGGAAAGTGCAAATTCATCTCATCTCCATCGAAATCGGCATTGTAGGTGTTGCAATTGGCGTAGTGCATGCGCAGCGTCTTTTCTCCGGGCAGTACTCTTGCTCGGTGACACATCATGGATGGCTTGTGGAGCGTCGGCTGACGGTTCATGATGACAATATCACCGTTGTTCAGATGGCGATGCACCTTTTTGGGCCGCGTTCCTGGCGTGCCTAAGTAGGTGCCGGAAGTGGTTGGAGCCATGAGTGCATTGGCCAGCGCCGTACGCTCGTCAGCACTCTTTCGCTCCAGCTTGACCACAGCGCCGTTCTCGCTCTCAATGGCTACAGCACCTGGCCAGATGTATGGTCCGTTTCGGACAGCCAATTGCAGCTCCTCGACGTTGTATTGTGTGACCGGCTCTGGATACGTCAGCTTGACAGCAAAGACTGGCGGTACACCAATCTCGTTAGTTTCGATGTTGGGGTCGGGTGAAATGACAGTCCGAGCGGCAAAATTGACACGCTTGCCCATCATGTACTTTCGGAACATGCCCTCCTTCTTCTCCAGCTTCTGCTTGACACCGTCAGGAACTTGGCTTGCTGCAGCGCCTGATACGGGCGCCAAGCTCTTGTCAACCAAGCTGTTCACGCACTCTTGAAGTGTGATCCAGCGTCTTTCGAGATCCAGATACGTCACATCTCGATATCGATTTTCTGCCTTCTTGCCAGTGGTGAGCTCACGCTGCACGTCCAAGATAACCTCGCAGTTTGCGAGTATGTCTCGGTAGTGTTTGTTTTCTTGGGCTTCCGCAATCGCGTTGCTCGTCGTCTTCATTTCTGGTCGATACTGGTTCGGAGGGACCAGAATGGCCTTGACGAAGAACATATCCGCGGATAGAGGACCATCTCGTCTCCGGTCACGCCCATATACTAGACTGAGGACCTCGGCGTCGCTGTCGAAGAGTTGCTGTATATGCGCATGCACGCGCTGTGGGTTCAAATATTCGCTTTCTGTGCTGGCCTTTGCCTTTTTGGTGGCAGCACTCTCCATGGCGTCGTCCAGCACCACGCCACCTACAATCTCTGGCTCGCCCTCCGACTCGTCCATATCCACATCGTCGCCTTCCTCCTCCGATGTGTTGTCCATGTCAGCGACGCCCTCATCGTCGTCCCGCTTTCTCTTTCGATTTTGCTCGGCTCGCAGTCGCCGTCTGATTTCCACCATGGGGTCTTTGGTCCGCAGACCAGCCTGCACCATAGCCACAGATTCCTTTTCTGTCAAGGGCAGTCTGAACATCTTGACCAATCTGTCCTTCCGGTAATTATGGCCAATGCCGCCGCAGCTGCCGCACTTTTTGCTCTTCGTGATTTCCTGCATGAACTCGGCGATGATAGCCCTCCGGGCCTGATTCGTGGCTTCACTCTTCTGCTCTGAAATGCGCCCTTCTTTGCGTGCCTGCTTGAGGGTCCGGTTTGTCCATGATTCCAGCTGAGTCTGGAGGTGCTCGGTGTCTGCATCTCCACCCGCATTGGGCTCATCGTCCGAGGCGGCATCGGCGTCCAACGGCGTCTTGGTCACGCGGTGCTCAACCTCGTCCAGCTCCTTCAGCTCCTTCAGCAGACCATAGCGCACAAGGCGCAGCTTGCAGATGTAGCGGGTGACCTGAATGCGTTTCAGCTTGAGCTTACCGCAGTAGGTGCACGAGGCTCGGAGCAGCTTCAACACCTGGTCCATAAAGGTCGGGTGGTAGCATGGCACAGGCAGGTCGATGTGGCCCGGATGACCGGGACACTGAGGGCTCTTGAGACCACACGTCGCGCACGCATTGTCGCCAAACGGGCCCAGTTCTGCACTGTAGAGGCCGCCGGGCACGGGATTGAGAAGAGTGTCGAAGGTGGTGGTAGTGGTGATGCGGCGAGCAGACAGGGCGCGGATGTCGTCTGCAGACAGGTAGCCAAAACTCACGCCGTTCAACTGCGACGCGACGGGCTGTGACGGATTCATTGTTGCTGTCTTGTCCTGTCGCCGTCGTCGTGGTCACTGCGATTGAATGGCTGCCATCGAACTTTTTTTGAGAGCAGAGCTTCTGGACACGCACGGGCCTCCCGCATCGACACTCGACAGCGCATGACTCGCGTGGCCGCCCTCTCCCGCAAGATTTCATATGCACGACTGATCAGCTCATCAATCCTCTCCACACACAACAACAACAAAACAACAAAAACAACAGTAACGATGAATGGCAAGCGGCCACACGACACTTCCATTCCGAACAGTGGCGAGGGCAGCGATGTCAAACGACAGCGGGCCGGAGATGGGTCGCCTTTGCCGGTGCGACATGCGGTTGAGGGCGAGACGGAGCTGGAGCGCAAGAAGCGAGAGACGGCCGCGAAAATGGCTGCTATCAAGGCCAAAATTGCCGCGAGCAGGCCAGGCGGAGGAGGAGGGGGAGGTCTGAGTGCGGTACCAGTAGCAGGAGCAGCAGCAGCAGCATCATCATCAGCAGCAGCCACCGCCCCGGCCAACGATCAGGCCGCGAAAAAGGCAGAGGTGGCTGCGAAGATTGCGGCTATGAAGGCCAAAATGGCTGCCAAAAAGTCCACGCCTGCAAACGGAGCTGCTGCTGCTTCTCCGGCACGAGAAGAAGCTCCCGAAGCATCAAGCTGGCTGCTGGATGCGAGGCGAAGAGCTGAGGAGATCGCTGCTGCGAGGACCGCCTCGATATCAGCTCCTCCACCGCGGCAAGATGGGAGAGGCGCAAAGGGAGGTCTGGGTATTGGGCTACATCCTTCGCTGCTCGGAGACGTGGGTGGAGACAGGTCGCGCACAGGACAGCCAGGGCCGAAGTTCAGCACGACAAAGGGCAACCGCCAGCCGGAGAAGCCCAAAATCAACCCATACCTAGACGCCCAACCAGACGAGGAGCAGACGCTGGAAGACCCGACATACGCACCTACCGCTCGCAAATATGCCGAACGAAAGAGTAGGCAGATTCAGCTCAATGACAAGGGCAAGTACATCGCCCAGGCCAACGCTCTTCGACAGCAGGCGAAGCTGGAGGAGATGAAGAGGAGATTGGCGGCAGAGGCGCGGAAGACGGAGATTGAGGAAGCCTCGGACAGGGCGTTCTTGGTAGAAGAGCCGCCCGAAATTGAATGGTGGGACGAGGGGCTATTACCAGAAGGTCAGAAGAGCTACGAGGACTGGGAGCAGGAAGGACGAAACAAGATTACAGCCGAGGACAGCATCATTACGGCTCTGATACAGCGGCCGGTGCTACTTGCCGCACCGCAGGACAAATTTGCACCACCACCCAAACCCCTCATGCTCACAGAGCAAGAGCAAAAGAAGCTCAGACGACAGCGCCGAATGGCAGACGGGAAAGAAAAGCAAGCCAAGGTTCGTCTCGGGCTGATTGAGCCTGACCCGCCGAAAGTGAAAAAGTCCAACATGATGCGTGTACTGGGAGAACAAGCTGTCAAAGACCCGACGGCAGTCGAAGCCCGTGTCAACCGCGAAATTGCTCAACGCGCAAACGACCACGAAGCCGCCAACGAAGAACGCAAACTCACACCCCAACAGCGTGCCGAGAAGTTGCAAAAGCAGCAGGCAGGCGACGAAGCGAAAGGGATCAAGATTGCAGTCTTTACAGTCAATGATCTCAGCTCGGGAAAGCACCGCTACCAACTCGATGTCAATGCTAAACAACAAGGTCTTACGGGTATGGTTATCCTCAACCCTTCACTCAATCTCATTATTGTCGAAGGCGGTATCCACTCGATTCGAGGGTACAAGAAACTCTTACTGAACCGCATCAAATGGACGGAGAACACTGCTCCAGCCCCCGACTCTGCTGGTCCGACCACCTTCACGGGTACTACGGATGGCTCGAATACGAATGTTATGTCTGGTACACGCGGACAAGGGAGTAAAGCAGCCGAATGGTGCAATCCCTTGGACGAACGAGGGCAGTTGAAAGATTTGAGCAAAAATGCCTGTGAGCTGATTTGGGAAGGTGAAGCAGCCGCGAGAAGTTTTAAACGATGGGGAAGTCGAGCTTGTGAGACTGATGGTGAGGCGAAGGATGTGTTGACCAAGACGAAGATGGAGAATATGTGGACTTTGGCGAGGAGTAAGCAGGGCTTGAAGACTTCGTGGTAGAGAAACCAGTTCTTTCTGTGAGATGACTCTGGGGCATCTTTTATGACCCGAGAGTATGTATGCTCCTTTGAGACACCATGAGGTATGTAGCTCTTTTTACTTTTATACCAAAAAAGGAATGAGCTTTGAAAAACAAAAGAACTGATATGGCATTTCTATGTACACGATGATAATGACCCACCCACTCGGACTTTTGAGTCTTTTCGCAACAGAGATGCCATAAACATGTTATTCACTACATATTTTCTCTTGTTGGCAAACAACTGCTCGCTTACTTACCATCTCACCTATCTCCACACCGTCTCATCCCATCCAGGATCCGCGCCCACCATTCCCGGATGTTGTCGAATCCATTCCGTCACATCACAACATCTCGCCAACCACACCTGGCCCTGATCTCGCTTCTCTGCCAGATATTTCACCACGTCTTCGAAGACTTGTAATCGCTCGGGAGAATCGTTCAAAAAAGGATGGAAGAGGAAAGAGAGATATTTTGCTCCTCCTCCTTTTTCTTTTCCTTGTTGTTGTGCTTGTCCCTCTGCAATCGCAGAATCAATTTGTGCAATGTAGAATTTCTTCAACGTTTCTTCTGTTTGGACGGCTTCGGGTAATTCTCCTTTGATGGTGCGGAGTTTGGAGAAAGTTTCCATGTAGTAGTATGCGTCGACGGTGGACCATCTGAAGGGGAGGATGACTATTGAATCTTCTTTTTCTTCTTCTCCTTCTCCTTCTTCTCCTTCTCCTTCTTCTCCTTCTCCTTCTTCTCCTTCTCCTTCTTCTCCTTCCTTCTTCTCCTGTTTCTGTTCCTTTTTCCCACCACCAAATTTCACAACAGCAGCATCTCTCCCCGCAGGACTAATATACTCAACACCAAACTCCCTCACCAATTCCATCGTTCTCTCTCCATGAATAATTCCTCCGGGAGGTCGAAAGCCTTTATACATTCTTTTCTTCCTCTCCTCCCCTCCCATACCATCTCCCCCACCATTCTCCCCAATCCACTTCCCCAACCCTTCAAAACTCCTCTCCACATTCCCCCTCTCTCCCTCCTCATCCTCCCGATACTTGACCCAAGCCTCATGTCTCCACGCATGCCACGCCACCTCATGTCCTCCCCCCTCTCCTTCTTTCCCCTCTCCAAGTACATCCCCCCAAACAACCTCCCCATAAACCCCCAAATTCCACGCTTCAATAAAATACGTCACTTGCACCCCATATGTCCTCAGAATCCGCAAAAACTGTGGTAGAACCTTTTTTACGGAAAAATGTTCTCCAATGCTGGGTGTAGCGGGGGTGGGTTTCCAGAGATTGCGGTCGAGATCGGCGGCTTCGCCCATGTTGTCGATTGTGAGGGAGATTGCTAGGGGGGCGTTGTTGGGCCAGGTTGGGGGAGCGGTGGTTGTTGGAGACATTTTTTTTTGTTTGGGGGTTGGGGTTGGGTGGGGGGAGAGAAGAGGTGGTTATGAGGGTGGGGATGTATATATGTGTCTTGTCTTGTCTTGTGTTGCGATAATGGGCTCTTCTTGAAAGCTGCTGTTCTTCTCGGTTGTTGTTGTGTGATTATGTCGGTAAAGTATCTTTCTCCGTTCGTTCGTGAGGATATTTTCTTTTTTTGCCTCTCACAAAGTCCTCCTCCTCCTCATCATCATCATAATCACGACAATGCAATGGAGCAACTAAGCTGTTCAAGTTCTGTTACAGAAATTTTTGAAGCGCGTCAGTGTCACTGAGTGAGAAGTGGCTGGTGGTTGGTTGGTGTTGGTCTCAACTGCCGAACCTCCCTTCCCCACCCACTTGTGACTTGCCCCTCAGCAACATCATTCATTAGAGACCGAGCAAGGTCTTGAGTGGACGCGATATGTATGTACATGTAGGACGTGAGGTAGTGCTGACCAGACCAAGACGGACCACTACTACTCCTTTATTATTAATATCGAATAGGAGATACTGTTATTATTATTATTGTTATTATAGGTTGTCAGCAATTGCAAACAACTTCCAGTCAAGGCTGGCTGTTCCTGTGAGACCAAAGCAAGCATCCATCGAGCAACAATATCAACCTCATCTCACAACATGTCCACTCCCGAAGCAGCAGCAGCAGCAGCGGCACGATGTGCACCCATTCCCAAAGAAGTCCCCGTCATGAAAGACCTGACAACGGACAACATCACAGAAAACGTCGTGACGCTGAACAATCTCTGTTCAGACCCACGCACGCGCTTCATCTTCGAACGACTCGTCCACCACCTCCACGATTTCGCGCGCGAAACCCAACTCACCACGGACGAATGGATGACAGGAATTAATTTCCTGACCAAAGTCGGGCAAATCAGCAATGATTTGCGCGCAGAAATGATTTTGCTCTCCGACACGCTGGGGCTCAGTTTACTCATGGATGCCATCGATCATCCTCGCATTGGAACTGCCACCGAAGGAACCGTTTTAGGACCCTTTCACACGGCAGATGCACCCGTGACGGAAAACGGTTATGTCCTCCACGACGACCCGGATGCCGAGCGATTATTCGTCTTGTGTACCGTCAAAGACACTGCAGGGACGCCCATCCCCAACGTACAATGTGACGTGTGGGAAGGAGATTCACACGGCTTCTACGACGTGCAAAACCCGCAACGACAACATCCGGATGGTCGCGCCGTGTTGCATTCGGATGCGAATGGAGTGTTTTATTTTACTGCTGTGGTTCCTGTGCCTTACCCGATTCCTGATGATGGACCTGTGGGAGGCATGTTGAAGTTGTTGAATCGCCATCCGAATCGTCCGGGACATGTGCATTTTATGCTCGAGGGGAAGGGATTTGATAAGTTGGTGACGGCGTTGTATCCTCGTGGGGATCCGTATGAGACTTCGGACCCGGTGTTTGGGGTCAAGGACAGTCTGATTGTGGATTTGGGAACGGTGGATGAGGTGGTGGCGGAGAAGTATGGTGTGAAGAAGGGGATGAAGTTGTTGACTTATGATTTTGTGTTGGCGACGAATGAACAGGCTGCCGAGTTGAGGAGGGAGAAGAGGGCGGAGGCGGCGAAGAAGTTGAATTTGGATCTGTCGCGTCTGGCATTGGATTAATGAGATGGTGTGAGAATGAGAATGAGAATGTGGTGTACGCTACATTGTAACGCTCCCTACCACTGATCCATCTCTCTCTCTCTCTCCCTCTCCCTCTCAAGTCTCACCCTCCCTCCCTCCCTCCCTCCCTCCCTCCCACCTCCAAACCCATCATCACCATCATCATCTCTGAAACTTTCCCAGGGGGCGTCAGCACCATATACGGTTTTATATCCTCCCCTCACCAGCCATCCTCATCAGCCCTCAAACGCGTCAGCTGTCAGTCAGACGTATCAAACGTGTCAGCCGTCAGCAGTAATAAGGTATACTCTTAACTTGAGCCACCATAACATGTATCTTATAATCTTACTCCCTCACCGACACACCTGATCAACCAGACCCTAGCTAGCTAGCTAGCTACTGTACAGTAGTTACAGTTGTTCCCCCCCGCTATGTATGTTTGTATTACAGTAAGGTACCTCCGAGATACATACCTTAATAATAATAAAAAAATTTCAATAATTCGGTTTTTCCTCCGTTGCGGTCTGGGAATGTCAGGTATGTATACTTTAAGGCTTACTGGATGCATAAGGTATACGTACATGAATGCATGAGTGCATTCATGTACAATAAGGTACAGGCAGGCAGGCATTTGTGTGCGTACAGGCGGGCAGGCGGGTAGATACGATTATTATCCTTCCTTCCTTCGATTCCTGTATGTATAAAATCATATATTTTATGTTGTCCTAGTAGGAAGGAAAGAATTCGAAGGATAGCAAGACAAACAAAAAAGAAACAAAAAAGGAGGGGGGGGGAGGGGGGCATAATGGATCTCGCGTGTGTACAGATACGTACCTTATGTACATGTATATAGGATTCGGGAATAGGATAGTACCGTTCTTTTCCTCCTTTCTGCATATGAAAAAAAAAAGAAACTTCTACAAGCATCGATCGATAATATCGGCAGCTATCGCTCAGCTATCTGCCCGACTACGGTAATAATGTATAGTATGGTACCTATGTACACAGTACACGCAAGCGTCCGTTCTGCTTGGTTTATTACTTTTACCTACAGTACTACTGTGCTTACGGGTAACGGGCAGACTTGTGCATACAGTACATACGACAAGGGGGATATGTACCTGTTACCTGTACCTGTACGCTGTAAGCTGTACCTGGTATGGGTATACATACGATGATGATGAGGATGATGACATGACGAGATGTAGAATTCACAGGGATGCTGCGTTGAGAGAAGCGAAAGAGAGAGAGAAGCGAGAGGGGGTTGGGAAGGGAAGGGGGAAAAATTGCATGGCGGGGACGAGGGTGGTGAGACTGAGACCGTGAGACGGACGGGTTTTTTACTGTTAACTGTCAGTTTTTTAACTGTCGAGTTTTTACCTTTTTTTTGATGACAGCGAGGCGAGGCAAGCGGCTGGCAAGCTAGGTACTGTAGCTAGCAAGGCAAGGCAAGGCAAGACTAGGCAAGTGGGATGAATGCCAAGTGAGGTTGATAGCAAAATATGGGAATAGACAGACTGGACGTTGGATGTAGTACAGGAGTACATAGTGCGCTGTCAGGAGACTCTGATAATTGAGTGGTACAGCAGTTAATGTACCTATGTATAAAGAACACAAGAAAGTGGCAGTAGTCACACACGTGTCTGACGAAAAATCAATAGAGACGGAAGACGTAGACGGCAAGTTGAAATTCAAGTGAAACATACCTTCGTACTCAACTTTTTTTTCTCTGTCTCTCTCTCTCTTTTTCTTCCTCTTTCTCTCCACGGAGCAGAGCTACCTTACACACACACACACTCTCTCTCTCCTGTCTTTGCATTCCCGCGGCCCTACCGAATCCACACTATAAACAAAAGCTTCCTTTTTGGTGGGAAAATAAAAAGGCCGAGTCGTCCTATTGGAGGGAAAAATGATGGAAAAAAAATTAAAAATAAACATTGTCCACACAGCAACAACAGAACAACAGCTCATCAGGTAATAATAATATAATAATAAATCAGGTACTTGTGCAGAAGTACCTCCTATACGGCCCGCCGGACGGATCAGATCAGAGACATAATAGAGACAGACATAGACAAGAGACAGAACAAGACCGGAGGTTTCAGATCACACACAAAATAAAAAGTCCACAATCCACATTTTCGTCCCCAAACTTTCCCGTCGGCGACTGCATGAATCATACCTTTTAACTTCCAACTTCTTCACTGATGAAGAGAAATCCAAAGACAAAAAAAAAGAGTTTTGTCAATGCAATGATGATTATTCATTTTGCGGCCCTCCCCTTGCGCCGTGCCTTGCCTTGCCCTGCCAACCTGCCTTGTTTTTTTTTATTGATTATTACTGTGACGGACTTGGCCTTGTTTACTTTTTTGCTTTTTCCTTTTCCCCCGTCTGAGCTGCATGAAAAGGTGCATGATTGAAGGATGATTACTAGCAGGACGGGAATTGCAAAACTCGCATTGCTTGGGTACCCACGTCAGAGGGGAAAGGGCCTTTTTGGGGGGAGGGACAAGGTACATGTCACGCTCATTTGTAACTTACTTGATATGCCTGGTTCTTTATGGGTCTGTAAGAGTGAGCACTGTGAATGAGCTGGAAGGAGAAGTTCAGGTATGTTATTATGCGGCCGCCGTGATCCTTTTGTCGATAGTCGTCCCGTTTTGCTTATGATTATAATGGTAATAATGTACAGTTACTGCAAAAAGACAGACGGCTCCTTTTCTTCCTCTTTCCTCGGGTTGATCATGATGACGATGATGATAATGACGATGATGATCGGTCTAGTGGTGTTTCTGACTCTAGTAAAATCACGTACAACCCGTCTCACTAAAGTCTTCTGTTCCGCGGTCGTCTTGGGAGAGAAGGAGTAATAATGACAAGTAACGAAGTGACAGTGACACACAGTCACACTCTGACGGGCAAAGCCTATACGAGAAGGCGGTTGAGCCGGGCAGTGGCGAGCGGGCAGTGGGCCCACTGCGGTGCCTTTTTTTCTATCGAACTTTGAGCTCCATCATGGGCCATGCGACAGACAGGAGATGCTTCCATTTGCTGCAGCAAGCAAGCAAGCCAGCACAGCAAGCAGTATCAGAACCAGTAGCAGCACCAGCAGAACAGAGTTCCGTGAACACTCCGGCGACGGTCGGGCTCTGAGACTCCCTTCTCATCATCATCATCACCTTCATTTACCTACACGACATCCATCCACCAGCACTAACAACTAACAATACCAAACTCGTCACTCGTGTCGGTCGTGAATGCCGGGGCTCTACCACGGTACGCTCTATTTTCAAACGGATCTGCGGAGAGAGTACGAACGGTGGACCGTTGCAACAGACGAGACAAAGCCGACGACCTTTTACGCCGACATGAGAGGTCTTTTTTTTCTTTTTTTGCCCAGCGCGAGAGAGTGAGAGAGACAGAGAAATGATCGATGAATCCACCCACCTAGGTACATACATACATGCCCTACTAGCAAAAATACCACGCCCCCCGGCCGAACACGAGGTCGCCACTTTGGTGTGCTACCAATCATAGCAACACAAGTGCACGCTGAATGCCAAGGGTGCAGAGAAAATACATCGCACCCCCTCGAAATAGCTTTTTCCTGCTCGCTAGCCTCGCTAGCCACGTTAGCCTCGCTGGCCTCGTTAGCCTCGTTAGCACCGCTACCCAGGTTTGGTTCCTGCAGTAGATCGGCTGTCACCTCCAGCATCCCACGCCGGCATCGTACACACCCCCCTACGATGTCCCTCCTAGTCCCAAAGTCTGTTGAGCCGGCCTCCTTCCGGCCAAGTATCGTGAACACAATACCATCTCTCGTTATACTCGGCACCTTCTGGGTCAACCAGACAATACGAGCGTCGAGCATGGCAATGGGCACCGCTAGTGACTTCTCGAAGGGTACCTGTGTTCTCCTATCTCTCTCTTTCGCTCTCCCTTACCAGCGACTACCGTTCCGAAAATGGACACGGTGGAGCCATATACCGCCGTACAGTATGTTCCAGCATGTTCCGTTGCCGTGCCGCCTGCTGAGACGCTGAAGACGAGGAGGAGGAGGAGAAGCATCCGGAGCATCTATCCGGTGATCGGTATAGAAGTTAATAGAACTGATCAAAAGGCGGGAGGCGGGCAGCGATGGCGGTCTAAGCTCCCGACGATCATCACACTCTGTTCCCTTCACCATCACAGTATGTACCTATTACATGTACCTACTACCTAGTCACCACAGACAGACTCATCACAGAGTCACAGACGCAACAGACGTGGAAATCACATGTTAATTCCTGCTGCCGGTGCCCGCAACTTCACCATAATGGTCGGATGGTAATATTGCCCTCGAGACACGCACCAGCCACCAGATATAAACATGGGCCGGCTGGTACTGGGCGGCCATGCCTGTACCTGGCACTAAACGAGGGCTAGTTTGCCATGGTCCATCCATCCCGCCGGCTGCAAATACCACCCTCGCCCCAATTATCGCTACGGCGGCCCGTATTCTTGTGCCTAGACTGTTGAGCCAACCCCAATTAGGAATCTCAGTCTCTGAACCACCCTGCCATAATCATGCACCATCGTGTACGAAGATAGCATACGCGCGAGTGGGACCGTCCCCCCCCATTATTCATACCTGACCGAACAATACCTACCTGACTACCTACAGGCTACCGCAGAGTGCCTCCAGTCTTCACATCCATGACATCAGCCAGCCTGCCCTAGAGCACTGCGATAAATATGCAGCTCAGATCCCCCAGCCTATTGCTTTTACCTCTCTCATCCGCACACCCATCCATCTCCTCCTCCTCCTCCTCCTCCTCCAGTCTTATACAATAATATCGATTGTTTCGACTCACTTTCGTTACCAATAGTAATATGCAGTCCTTTGCGGCTCTCGCCTTCGCTGGCGCTGCTGCTGCTCAGGCAGGATATGGCGGTGTTCCGCCAGCACCAGTCTATCCGCAGCCACCAGCCTATGCTCCGCAGCCACCAGCCTATGCTCCGCCTCCAGCACCATATGCACCGGCCAGCACCACCTTCGCTTGCAATCCCGCCCACCAGTACCCCGCAGGACAAGTCTGCACCACCATCAGCGGATCGTTGACGCTCGTCACTCAGAGCTCGACTACTTGCACGGAAACACCCTACCCAACCACGTCGACCGTGTGCCCAGCTCCAGGCACTACGGACAGCCAAGGCCGCTACAGCTGCAACCCAGCTCACACTTACCCAGCGGGCCAGACTTGCAAGGCTGTCAACGGATGCTACTACTTGGAGTACCCATCGACTTCCAGCTCTGCACCATACCCGACGTCGACTTCGGCATGCCCAGCTCCAGGAACCACTGACAGCCAGGGACGATACAGCTGCAACCCAGCCCACACTTACCCAGCTGGTCAGACCTGCAAGGCCGTCAACGGCTGCTACTACTTGGAGTACCCATCGACTTCGTCGAGCTCTGCGCCATACCCAACGTCAACCTCTTCGTGCCCTGCGCCAGGCACTACGGACAGCCAGGGACGATACAGCTGCAACCCAGCTCACACTTACCCAGCTGGTCAGACCTGCAAGGCCGTCAACGGCTGCTACTACTTGGAGTACCCATCGACTTCGTCGAGCTCTGCGCCATACCCAACGTCGACCTCTTCGTGCCCTGCACCAGGAACCACTGACAGCCAGGGACGCTACAGCTGCAACCCAGCTCACACTTACCCAGCTGGCCAGACCTGCAAGGCTGTTGGTGGATGCTACTACCTCGAGTACCCGGCTACTTCTTCGTCTTCTTCTTCTTGTTCGACCACTGCTACTCAGCCTGCACACCCCGTCTCTTCGTCTGCATGCCCAGCACCAGGCACCACCGACAGCCATGGACGTTACAGCTGCAACCCAGCACACACTTACCCAACTGGACAGACCTGCAAGCTCATCGATGGATGCTACTTCCTTGAGTACCCAGCCACCTCATCGAAGCCATACCCAACTGCCAGCTCTACCGTGCCATCTGGTCCCGTTTCGTCTTCTGTGTGCCCAGCGCCTGGCTCGACCGACAACAAGGGACGTTACAGCTGCAACCCGGCTCACACTTACCCAACTGGCCAGACCTGCAAGCTGATCGATGGATGCTACTTCCTCGAGTACCCAGCCACCTCATCGAAGCCATACCCAACTGCCAGCTCGACTGTGCCATCTGGTCCCGTTTCGTCTTCTGTGTGCCCAGCGCCTGGCTCGACCGACAACCAGGGACGTTACAGCTGCAACCCAGCTCACACTTACCCAGCTGGCCAGACTTGCAAGCTCATGGGCTCATGCTACTTCCTCGAGTACCCATCTTCCTCGACCACCTCTGCCACCAAGCCGGTCTACACCACTGAGGTTGTCACCACTGACTACACGACGTACTGCCCATCGCCAACCACCTTCACGCACGGTCCATCTACGTACACCATCACCAAGGCTACTACCGTTACCCTGCCATGCAAGGGAGGTTGCACCGTGACCAAGCCAGTGACCACCGTTCCAACCTACGCACCATCGATGTCGTCGAGCATGCCACCACACCCAGTCTACCCCAACACTACCATGACCATGCCACCTCACATGACGACTGTGATGACCACTGCCTTCACGACGTACTGCCCATCGCCAACCACCTTCACTCACGGTCCTTCCACCTACACCATCACCAAGGCTACCACCATTGTCCTGCCATGCCCAGGTGGATGCACCGTGACCAAGTCGATGCCACCTGCCTCTCCAGTGACCCTGACCTCGGTGCTCACGCAATTGACGACCTACTGCCCCAGCCCTACGACCATCACCCACCAGCAGTCGACTTACGTCATCACCAAGGCCACCACTATGACTCTTCCTTGCCCCGGAGGTTGCACTGTCACCAAGACGGTTCCTGCTGTCCCAGAGACCACTGTCATGACCGTGGTCACCAAGCCATCGACCTATGCTCCTCCTCCAGCTGTCCCAACGACCTACGGTCCTCCTCCTCCAGCTGCTCCTCCCTCAAGCCCAGTCAAGCCACCAGCTCCTCCAGCTGCTCCCCCGGCTGCTCCACCAAGCTACGGTCCTCCAGCTGCTCCTCCATCCAGCCCAGTCAAGCCACCAGCCGCTCCTCCAGCTGCTCCTCCGGCTGCTCCTCCCGCCTCTCCACCAAGCTACGGTCCTCCAGCTGCTCCTCCAGCCGGCCCAACCGCAACTCCCCCAACCTACGTGAAGCCCACTCCTACCCCAAGCACTCCATACTCTCCAGTTGCCTACACTGGCGCTGCTTCCCGCCAGTCCGCCGGCGCTATGCTCGCCCTGGCCGCCGCTGTGTTCTTCTTGTAAACCAGGACGGAATGAGTTTGTAGATAGCTTTTAGCGAGAGAGAGAGAGCGAGCATATCGTTACGTACACGATGCTCCCGATTCCAATATCAAAGCAAGGAAAAATTTCTTCACATTGGGATGTACAGAACAGCACAAGATGCTATTTGGAGAATTTGTTTTTTGGATCTAGCGTTTTTTTCTTTGTTTTGGTCTCTTGGCCTTGCCCAGCAGCGTAGACTTCTAGGAGGAGGTATTCTCGCAGCTGCTGGCAAAGTGCCTCATCATCATCCACGGGGAAACATTATACATACACACATGAGGTGACGAATTCGTTACAATTAGTATTTTAATAATTTTTGGAGGTTAGAAGAGATACGTAGAAATATATATAAAACGGTTTCATAACCTCCACTTTGTTCTTTTCGACACTTGTTCTTTTCTTTTTCTTTTTTTTTTAAAAAAAAATCATAATTGGAGAATTTTGACTTTTGATGTGAAGTGCTGGTAGGTAGGTAGATCTCGTGTTCTTTTGTATAACTAACTGTTATGTGCGAGGTTGTTGTGGACTGTCGAGGAGGGATGGAATCGAAAGGCTGAAGAAGCAAAATGTATGTATGTGGGAAATGAAATATATCGCATCGTAATCGTAATCGTATCGACAATTCTATTTAATCGGGATGGAAGCCTCAAGAATCAAGATTGGATAACGGGCATGTATGTATGGATGATTTGCAGAAATTGGGCAGATAGGGAGGTAGAATTGGAATTGGATAGATGGTTAGCCGACACGGCAAAATACCCTTTCCCTTCTTTTTCTTCTTTTCTTCCTTCTTTCGCTTCTTTTCTCAATGGGACAGAACATCGTTGCAATTCGGTGTTGCATGTAAAACAAGCTCAACCCTTGCTTGAGGTGCGTTTTGGGGAGGGGGCTTGCCCTGTTGGCCGGCCGGGGATGGGGCGTTGGTTTTTTGATGGATGATTACTGATAGGCTGTTTCGAGAGTGAGTCGTGAGTCGTGAGTGTTATATTGTGAATGTATGCCGACGATACCTTACTCTCTCTCTTGGTATTTGTTCTTTTTGTGACTGACTGACTGACACGATTTATTATCATCATCTACTACTACGGGCGAACAAGAAGAGGGCTCTACGGGAATGATGCAGAGCACCTTTTTCTTCTTCTTCTTTTTTCTACTATGGTCTCTTACAACATCTGCACAATTCAACAATCCTCCCGGCGTAGACATCTGGTGCGGCAAAGCGTATCGCGTCGGAAATTCTTCCTTTAACCCAGGAGGACAATTCCTCGAACCCGAAATCTCAGAAACTCCGCTTTTGAATCTGAAAATTGCTCCGCGATATAGCATTTATCTGGAAGATGAACGGAGTGGAGGAGTGATTATTAACGCTTCGATTTCGTATCTTGTTGGAGTGGCTTTTGTTCCTGATGGCGGCGATACGACAACGACGACGACTCTGATGACAGCAGATGACGGGTTAAATTTCACTCTGCTATTGAATGGAAACGAGCATTTGAAAGATTTCATCACATTGGGAAAACCTGCAGAATTCGACTTGGATTTATCTGGAATTCCCGCACAATTGCAACCTTACAATCTCACCATTGTCGCAACCCATCATTTGCATCCAGAACAATCCTACACCGCTTCGACCGAATTCTTCAAACTCCCTACGCCCAGTGGAGAAGGTTCTGCTGCACGCATCGATAATCTCCTCGGAGGCCTTTCGGCTCGTCGAGCACATTCTACGGATTGGATTCCGATTTTTCCGTATACTTATTACGTGCAATGGACGCTCTACTGGCATTCGAATCTCTCGACACTTGAAGAATTCAGTCAAATGGGATATAATCTCATCCACATTGTCCCGACGGGAGATTTAGGCAACGAGACTTTTCCCTGGGACCTTTTTCAACCCTATCTCGACAAAGCCGCGGAATTGGGACTTTGGTTGCAATACGATGTTCTTTTCCAACCCGACAATTTCACCAATATGCTCGAACAGATTTCAAGATTGAAATCTCATCCGTCCATTCTCACGTGGTACATCGCCGATGAACCCGACGGAAAATCCAACCCATTAAATGCGACACGAATGGGCTATGAGCAAATTCGCAGTTTGGATAAATATCATCCGATTTCTGAGGCGTTGAATTGTAAAGAATTTTATTATGAATTTTATGCCGATGGCGCGGATATTATCATGTCGGATGTCTATCCTGTTAGCACGAATACATCGTTTTCGACGGTGTATTTTACCGAGTGTAATCAGACGTATGGTTGTTGTGGATGTGATGATTGTGAGGGTTCGTTAAGAGATGTTTCGGAGAGGTTGGATTGGTTTAAGCATATGGATGATATTGTGGGGTGGGAGAAGACGCATTGGGGGGTTCCTCAGGTTCGTATTTTTCTTCTTTCTCCCCCCTTTTTTTTCTTCTTTTCTTCATCCACAGCTCCTAACCCTCTCCCTCAAAACAACAGGCCTTCGGCAACGAAACCTTCTGGACCCGCTACCCCACGCCCGCCGAAGAAGTCGTCATGACAATGCTCAGCATCAACCACGGCGCCCACGGCATCGTCATGTGGGATTTCCCGACCACGCCCGAAATTCTGCAAATCACAACCCGTCTCGCTCCCATTCTCACCAATTCCACAATCTCCAATTTCTTCCTCACGAAACCCCGCATCGCCCTCTCCTCCCCATCATCATCATCATCTTCTTCTTCTTCACAAGCACAAAAAACCGATATCGACGCAACTATATGGATCGATGATGAGATTATTTTGGTCTCGATAGTGAATCTGGGCTTGCAGAATTTGGGAGGCGAGATTTTGATTGATTTGCCTGATGGGATTAAAGTGGATGAGAAGACTAGTAGGATGGAGAAATTGTGGGGCGAGGCGAATTGGATTGGTGTTGATGGCGGGAAGACGTTACGGTCGGAGGTTTTTATGGGGTTGGAGAGTTCGATTTTGATTTTTGGGAGGGGGTGAGATTTTTTTTTTTTTGGGGGGGGGGGGAGGAGAGTGCTTGAGAGAGAAATGGTGGGTTTGAGGGGGGGATGGATGGATTTTTTTGTTGTTGTTGTTATGTTGATGAGGGATAGATGGAGATGGGGAGGGAGAGGGGGGAGGAGAGATGTTTATGAAACTTACCTTGCCTTGAATATTATTGTAGGGAGTGATTATCGAAACGAGAAGTAAGTGGTCCTGCTCTTGATACTCAGTGAGTTGGTTGGTCGGAATCTGTGTACCTGTCTTTTTTTTGGGTCCCCTGCTGAGAGAGGATCTCTCTCTCTCTCTCTCTCTCTCTCTCTCTCTCTCTCTCTCTCTCTCTCTCTCTCTTTCTTTCTCTGCCCGCGGTCACCGACAGACAATCCCACCAGCCAGCCTTCACCACCACACCACACAACAACCAGCATACACGCACATCATAACCACTATCCCACCACCTTCTTCTCCTCCCTCCTGTTTCGCATCTTTCTTTCTTCCCTTCTTTCCCCCCTTCCCTCTTCTTCTTCTAAGTATAATGATAAGGCTGCCGACACAACGGACACGTACTCGAATTACTACTCCGAAACCACTTGAACAAACACGCATTATGAAACATATTCTTGCACGTCGGACAACGTTTCGTGGGCAATTCTTTGGCTTCGTTGATAATCGAGTAGCAAATCGCACATTCCACGTGGCCCTTGAGCGCTCCCGAGACGTTTTTGCGAAAGGATGTGAGGGCGTCGGGGATGTTGCCGTTCTGGATGAAGATGTATTGGTTAGTTTTGATGGGGAGGGGGAGGAGGGGATAGTCAAGAAACTTACGCTAAAGGTAATGGTTCCTTGACAATTCATAAGCCAGGCTCTCCATTTTTGTTCCGTCACTGCGACGCGATTGATACTTTCTGGTTTGGCGACTTGTAAAGGATAAGCCTCTGGAAGAACAATTTTCATGGCCATGGTCTGCTCGTCGATTTGGTAGGATACGTAGATTTCTTTTCCACGCAGGTTGGTTTTGATGGTCATGGCTTCGTAATCGGGATCTGATGCGACTGTCTTTTCTGACCATTGAGATACCTCTGTCAAGCTTTGTTCGATGATCAAGGGGCTAATGTACTTTGCTGTCCACGTTTCGATCATTTTCGGCGCTTGGCGCGATTTGATTTCGTTGTTGAGATAGTTTTTGACGAGGCTTGGTAGGTGTGAGAGCGAGAGATAGAAGAGGTGTGCTAACAATGCCTGGACTTCTTTCTCTGGAGTCGCTTGCAATCCGGAGCTGTATTCGAGCAAGTTGAAGGTGGATGCGTCAACCGGGTGTCCGCTATTCAGACGCAACAGATTAAAGGTCAGTTCGAGCAACTCATTCAGATATCCCCCTTCTTTCAGCTGCTCCACGTAATCGCCCTTGACGCGAAAACTGGAGCCCTGGAAGTGGTCAAACACCAGCTGCCAAGCGTACAGATAGCCTTGCAGTGGTAGTGGAACCGTCACCTCGAATGCGTCTTCGTCGAGAGCGTCCAAGTCGGGCGCCTGCATGACGAGGGACAATAGCTCGTCTGGCAATGCTGCCTTGCGGTTATCAAGCGCAGCATCAAGCGAGACTTGCTCCTGAGCTCGAGGTATTTGTTGGTGCAGCAATTCAAATGCTGCGCCGGTGATGGCCTGTGAAGGCGCACATAGCAATGGGAACAGCTCCTCGGCATTGCTAAGCGGCGTCGACGAAGTCTGCAGAATTTGGCGTGCGAGCAATTCATTCGTCGCCATTCGTGGCTGGTGTTCGAGGTCGGAGATGCCATTGCCTGCCTTGAGCAACGAGAGTAAGCCTTGTCGGAGTGGCGCGTCGTGGTCTTTCAGTGCTTCAATCAGATCATCATTCGATTCCTCACTCGCACCAAGCTTGCGCAACGCAGCGTACAGTTTCAGCGTGGCGTGTGTCATCAGTATTGCAGATTCTACGGCGTCTCCTGTAGCAAAGGAATCGGTAGTAGAGCTCCAGAGGGAAACCAATGCACCCACGATTTGACCCCATTGTTCTCCATACATGTCCGCCATTGCAGGTAGGAGAGCAGTAAGAGTCTTACAGACTTCAGCCTTGATAATCAAGGATGCGTCCGACGCAAGCCATGGTATAATGTGTTTCACCAGAAAGATGAGTCTCGGCTTCGCGATCGTGTCCACAAAGTCGGGTTGAGTGTGGAGTATGACATTCAGCAAGACCAAGGTCTCGAGCCCTCTGTGGACATCTGACTCGAGTTGTAGCTGCGTGAGGTCGGCCACCGCTTCGTTACAGAGGCGCATCAGGAGCGGACTGTCCGTCAATGGCTGGGCGAAGCCTACGATGTATGATAACAGAGCCAAAGGATCCTTCGCGTTGCGCTTGATCCTCAGCTCGTCTTCACTGGCTTTCGATTGTGCTGCGGTGGAACCATGAAGTTCGAATATGTTCTCATGCGCTCGTGCTGCTGCCAGAGCCGCATAATAGGCCAATGTCGAGTCCTTATGCTCAGTGGCTATCGAATCCAACTCGTCGAACAGAGACAATTGAGACTTGCTCTCCACTCCAGTAGCTGCAGTGTCCCAGTACGCGCGAAGGAGCTCGTTAGCGCCAGACACAAAGTCCATAATCTCTTGTTCGAGGACACGTGCTTGACTTGGCTGCCACAGATGATTGGCGCCAGAAATGCTGGTGCCGTCCTCAGCGAGATGCACGCATATGTTGAGTAGTGCCAACAAACTCACGCCGTCCTGTTCTGGCAGGGTAGAGCGAGAGATCTTCTTGAGAATAGCGACATAAAAGATGGCAATTCTCATCGCCTGGGACAGCCCTTCATTGTCGTATTGTGGGTGTGTCGTTACTTCGGCAGGCTTTACAAGATGGAGAGCACCACCAAATGGACTCAGTATCGTGAGTGAGCTCTTTGGTGTCGTCAATGCATCCCAGATAGCTTGCCGCCATATTGTTATGCTTGGAAGGCCTTCTTTCACATTTTGAGTGTCAATCTCGCTCTCGAAAACTTTGCTCGCCAGATCCAGGACCGACTCGATGGGGAGGGATGAGTGCGACACTTTCTCGAGTGACTGCAGTATCAGACCGTACTTGGTCTCTGCTGGTGCCTCGGCATAAGAGGCCGTTAAGAGACTTGCGAGGTCTGCAGCAGAATCTGCTACGGATTCGACGCTGGAGTCCTTGAGTCGGACCACTGCGGGGAGCATCTCTTCCCCTCGAGCAGTGGACATGAAGCCACGTACAGTGGACTGGTTCGTTCTGGCCAGCTGCTGGAGAGTGGAAAGTCCATGCTCACGCGGAGCCCCGTCCAGTGACAGCGATTCGGTGAGGGCAGCGAGCACAGTGTCGGATGTCGTCTGTGTTACAGCACCCAGTTTGAGCAAACTCGCAAAAAGGGCTTGAGTCGCCTCATCATTGCCACCAGTCTGACTGTGCAAGAAGCTCTGTAATGGGGCATGTTCCTGCGCAAGTGATACTGCCGGCTGCGGTACATGTGCTGGGAACAGAGCATGCACTGCTTTCGCTTTCGCATCATTCGTCGCGCTACTCTCTTCCAGAATATGTGATATTATTGCATTGAACAACTTGCCAAAGTCTGGGTCCTTGTGCAGGGCCAAGATAAAACGCACCAGATGCCTTTGCGAAGGTCCGAGGAAGATCTTGGGGAGTACGTTTGCCACAAATTCCAACAGTATCTGGTGGTATTCCTGATCTTGCAGCAGGACAGCCGCGCAAGTACGCAACTGTTGCTCGACAATTGCAGCAGCTCCCCAAGGCTTACCATTCCGATTCTCCAGTAAGGCGATACTTTCGCGCAGTATGGTGGTATTGGCGTGAATGAATATTGCACGCAACGAATCAGGGAAGCCATAGTCATTCGCGAAGAACTCTCGTTGCAACTCGGCCCATCGCTCGCCTGTTGTAGCCACATGCTTTTGGCTCTTTTCAAAGTCTTTTGACTGTTCAGGCTGGGATAACTTGGCAATTTCCACCAGTTTGTTGGCCAAGGCAGGCCATTTTTGCTCCAGCAAAGGCGGTAAGCGGTGAATCGTGCCGACTTTTGAAACTACATTTGCAGGTTTCGCGCCGGATATAGTCCAGCGTGTACTTTCGTCAGATTGGTACAGATACTGGGTGACTGGTGGCATCGCGAATGCCCCGAGAAGATTATCCACGTCCTCGGACATCGAACTCTGCGTGAGCTTATCCACGAGCGTAAAGTATACGGGCCATGATGACGATGCATTGAAGCGCTCCTCCTTCTTGCTGACACCATCTCGTGCAGCCAGCAAGACATCAGAGACTTCATCGTACGTCTTTGGCAGGATTTCCGCTGGTAAGATCTGAAGCACACTAGCCATCACGTCCCAGTATCCTGCCGGCCCAGAATATGCGCCATTCTTGAGGCACTGTCGCAGGCGTCCCAGAGCAGACTTCTTGCCCGTATACGCACTTGTCCAAACAGTAGGAACTGCGGTAGTGAGCGCATATATCGTTTGCACAAAGCTCAAAGAGGAACCAGTCTGGTCCGACGCAAGGCCTTTATAGATATAGGCGGTGGACACGGCTCCCAAGTTCGCCTCGATGAGACCTGATTCCTTCTGCAGACAGAGCTGCACGAGCTGGTGAATAGCTTTTCGTACACTCGAATCTTCATGCGAAACAAAGTCCCACAACCCTTTCTCGCCCAGTACGGCCTCATATGTATGCCTCTGCTTGTCTACTTCACTTGACGGAAGATTACTCAACAAGCTCGAGATATTCAGGATAGCAGTGGATACGACGCGAGCATATGTGGCTTTTGCGTCATCTGCGTTGATCGAGCGCTCGTCACTCAGGGTTCCGACAGTTTCGTTCAGTATTGCATCGCGGCTGTATTCCAGAATAGACTCTTGAAATGTCTTCCGTAGGCCTTGAATCTTCTCTGGTGACGAAAACACTGTATTCAAAGCCTCCTCTGCTGCCTTTGATACCGATCGATCGCTATCAAATGTGCCTGCAAGCCATGGCCCGGCAATTTTGGGAAGCTGTTTGGCGATGCGTTTGCCACACTTAACACCGAGCTGTCCGGTGTACTGATGTGCCAATTGGCGCACTCGGCGCGCACTGTCAATCGACAATCGCGGGTACTGCTTCACCCAGGCGTTGATGATAGCGTCCTCCACATCGCCTTCAACGATTGCCAACGATGCCTGAAGATCTTCTAGGGCCTTTGCTTTGGTTGTGCTGTCCTTCTTGGATAAATTCTTGAAAGCCACGACAATATTCGAGTCCGTGATACCGGAGTAGTCCGCAGGCTCCTGTATATATGAGAGAACAGAGGACTGTCCAGAGCCAAAACCAGAGCTGCCAAACCCACCAAAGCCCCCGAGTCTCCCACTGCTGGCCTGTGACTTGAACTGGCGTTTACTCATATCTGTCCGTACCAAGTGTGACGCTGAATGGAGAGAAAAGCAGAGATGTCGCAGAGGTGCTCAAATTGACCTCCAACATGTGTTCGGATATCTTCTGCGGTGATTGGCTCTTGTTCGGTAGTGAAGTCGAAAGTGAAGCTGGCGTCTTGATGAATTTGACCACAATGACGATGTACGACGGACGGATACTTAGTGCTAGTGTGTGTGAAATTGAGTTGCGGGAGCTCCCTCCCGCAACTGCGCTAGTGTCCGCTTACAATATATACCTCGATACTTTGGCATCAAACAACTAACAACACTAACAATAACTTCATCTTCACTCAACGCAAGCACAATTTCCGGAAACACCTCGAGTCCAGCATTGTTATCCCTCCTACTCCAGTGGCTAACAGCGTTTGCGGATCTAGCACAAGCGAAATCCGGATCAGCTTCGCCCGGGGCGGCGGTGGTGGAGAGGTGGTGGCGGCGGCGTGGATCTCGGAAGAAAGACAGCAAAGATGAAGTTCTTCATCGGCGACCTGCCGGTTCTCTTCCCTTACCCGAGGATCTACCCGGAACAGTATGCCTACATGTGCGATCTCAAGCACACTCTGGACGCGGGCGGCCATTGTGTTTTGGAGATGCCGTCCGGCACGGGAAAGACAGTATCGCTCTTGTCGCTCATCGTGGCATACCAGCAACATTATCCGGAGCACAGAAAGCTGATATACTGCTCGCGTACCATGTCGGAAATCGAAAAGGCGCTCGCAGAACTGAAGGCGTTGATGAAATATCGGGCAGACCAGCTCGGGGTGGTGGAGGACTTTCGTGGTCTGGGACTCACAAGTCGAAAGAACTTGTGTCTCCACCCGTCTGTGAAGCGTGAAAAGAGCGGATCTGTAGTCGACGCGAGATGTCGAAGTTTGACTGCTGGCTTTGTGAAGGAGAAGAAAGAGCGTGGGGAAGATGTCGACTTGTGCATCTACCACGACAATCTGGACCTACTCGAGCCTCACAATCTCATTCCGCCTGGTGTGTGGACGCTCGATGGTATGCTACGATATGGAGAGGAGCAGAAACAGTGTCCCTACTTCACCGCTCGACGCATGATGCCATTCTGCAATGTCATTATCTACTCCTACCACTACTTGCTGGATCCGAAAATTGCGGAGCGTGTGTCACGAGAGCTTTCGAAAGATTGCATCGTGGTGTTCGACGAAGCACACAACATTGATAACGTGTGCATAGAATCTCTCAGTATTGACCTGACCGAGGACTCTTTACGAAAAGCTGCGCGGGGAGCTGAGAACCTGGACCGGAAGATCAAAGAAATGAAAGACACCGATGCCGAGAAGCTGCAGAACGAATATGCCAAGTTAGTCGAAGGCTTACGAGAAGCAGACACTGCCCGCGATGAGGGCGCCTTCATGTCCAATCCCGCTCTACCGGATGACCTTCTCAAAGAGGCTGTACCGGGCAATATCCGTAGAGCCGAGCATTTTACCGCCTTTCTCAAACGCTTCATCGAGTACCTCAAGACGCGAATGAAGGTCCTGCACGTGATATCCGAGACGCCACCCTCGTTCCTACAACATCTGAAGGAGCTGACATTCATCGAGAAGAAGCCCTTACGATTCTGTGCAGAGAGGCTGACATCACTGGTGCGCACTCTGGAATTGACCAATATCGAGGACTATCAACCGTTACAGGAAGTCGCCACGTTTGCAACTCTCGCTGCAACCTACGACACGGGTTTCTTGTTGATTCTGGAGCCATATGAGTCCGATACTGCCACGGTGCCCAATCCCGTCTTGCACTTCACCTGTCTCGATGCTGCCATCGCAATCAAGCCCGTGTTTGAACGCTTCAGCTCAGTGATTATCACTTCGGGCACGATTTCTCCTCTCGAAATGTATCCCAAAATGCTCGGTTTCTCCGCGGTCGTGCAAGAGTCATATGCAATGACATTAGCAAGACGATCGTTCCTCCCCATGATTGTGACGAGAGGCTCCGATCAGAACCAGATATCATCAGGCTTTCAGACAAGAAGTGATCCCGCCAATATCCGAAATTATGGCAACTTGATCATCGAGTTCTCCAAGCTTACACCTGATGGGATCGTGGTGTTCTTTCCTTCATATCTGTACATGGAAAGCGTCATTTCCATGTGGCAGAGCATGGGCATCTTGGATCAAGTGTGGAAGAGTAAGCTGATCTTGGTCGAGACGCCCGATAGCCAAGAGACATCACTCGCTCTGGAGACGTATCGAACGGCATGCAGCAATGGCCGAGGTGCAGTGCTGCTATGTGTGGCTCGAGGAAAGGTGTCGGAAGGAATCGATTTCGATCATCACTATGGGCGGACTGTGCTCTGCATCGGCGTCCCTTTCCAGTATACCGAGTCTCGCATTCTCAAAGCACGACTGGAGTTTCTACGGGAGACGTACAGAATCCGCGAAAACGACTTTTTATCTTTCGACGCCATGCGACACTGTGCGCAGTGTCTGGGCCGTGTCCTCCGAGGGAAAGACGACTACGGGATCATGGTCATGGCCGACAAGCGGTTTGCCAAGAAACGAAATCAACTGCCGAAATGGATCTCGGGCGAAATGATGGAAAGCGACAGCAACATGTCTGTCGATCAGGCAGTTGCAGCAGCCAAGAGATTTCTGAAACAGATGAGCAAACCGTTCCCTGCGAGCATGCAAGATGGAATCAGCACGTGGAGTTATGAGGATCTCCTTGCTCATCAGGCCAAATTGAAAGCCAATCAAATGCGCGAGGAGCTCGAAAATGGAGAGTATAATGGAGAGCATCGCATCCATGGCGATGCCGTAATGGCCGATGCCGAAGAGCAGATTCGAGAGGTCACTGACGATTTTGACATGGATGATGCAGATCAGAGCGCTATGCTTCAAGCTGTTGCTTCTGACCACTGAGTGTGTCATTGGCCTACCTTAGCAGTATCTTACATGTCACGCAAGCGCTTCATCTTCCCGGGAGCTTGACAGCTTCTACATGTCGTTGCTACCCAGGTAATCATCAATAAGCCAAGATGAAGTGAATCGTTAAGAAGACCTATACCTAGTCTCCATTCTACCCCCTACAAGAACAGCATCATTCCCATTCCCAATCCCATTCCCATTCCCAATACCAGTATAGAGTTACTCTTCCTCTCTTCTTCTTCTTCTTCCCAAAAATTCATCATCAATGACGTCTCGACACCCTTTTTCAAGTATAAGTTAGGTACCTCCTAGCGTAAACAGGGTAAAACTGAACTGACAGTCCAAAGTATATATATCAATAAAGTAGGAAACCAACCAAATATTACCTCCTAAAGGCTACCTCCTAAGAGGTAGATCGATCTCTTCTTAGAGTGTCTGTCTATAGGAGGTACCGTTTAAGCGTCTTTACTGCCGCCCGCTAATTAGGAGGTACCTTTTGTTATCTTATCATTATCGATAATAATTATCTTTCTTTCCTTTTTTCTTTCTTTTTCAGATAATGAATATCGTAGTCCGTATAGAATTCCCCTATTATGAATCTCAATCGCACTATCTGACCTTTTACCTTTTAAGTACTTAGTACCTACATAAGGATTCAAAAGCTGAATGGACTCAAAAGCTGAATGGACTTAGGAGGTAACAGGTAGGAAGGAAGAGGTAGGAAGTACCTTATTAAGGTATACAAACAAATAATCGAGAATAAAAAAAAATGAATTATTGGAAAGATAAAAGAAGATAAAAAAGAAAAGGAAAAGGAAAGAAAGAAAGATAAAGATAAAAAGATAGAAAGATGAAAAGATAAGAAGATAAAAAAGGAAAAGGAAAAAAAAAGAAAAGACAACCGCTCAAAAGTGGGATTTATCGGATTCGAGGGGTTCGAGGGATTGTTATGTATCTGGGAGGTTGGAGATTGAAGAGGGGAAGTAGGAAAGGAAAGGAAAGGAAAGGAAAGGAAAGGAAAGGAAAGGAAAGGAAAGGAAAGGATACCTATGAAGGGTGGAGAAGGAAGAAAGAAAGGGATTGGGGGGTGTGGAGGTAGAATGTAGAGGTGGATGAGGTGGATAAGGTAGTGGGGATGGGGATTCACAGAGGGAGTGTGAGATGAGGATAGGAGTTTGATTTTTGAAGAAGTAGCTAGACGAGGTTGTTTCATGTTATCTCGCCTTTCTCTTTCTAGAGGGAGCAATAGATAGATAGATAGGATTGATCTATACAAGACGTAGAGGAAACAAAGGGAGAAGAAAAAGGAAATCGAGCAGTCCATGCATATGACACGCCAAATGTTACCTATACCTAGATATAGATGGAACTACATGTGGGTGGATTTGGATGGACTTTGTAGGAGATGATGGACATCCTTTTGTCTTTTCTTCTGTCTTTTCTCTCTTCTCTCTCCTCTTCCTTCTTTCTATTACACATCCCCTCTCTCTCTCTCCTCTCATCCTCTTCCTAATCTCTACACTCTTCAACTCTCTCTCTCTCTCTCTACCCATTACGCCTCTCTTCCCCATTGCCTAAAAAAAAGTCCAAAAAGATGCCTCCGCCGCTGTGCGGAAGGCTTGTAGTAGCAGTAGTAGTGGTGATGGTGATGGTGGTGGTGGTGGTGGTATCAGGCCAGAGTTGATGCTCAAATCGCTCTCATCAAAGTAAACAAAAAAGCAAAGAAACAAGAGGTAGAGGAGCGCTATTATGGTAAGGTATACAAAACTTCCATCCGGGGAGGGGGGAGGTTTTCTTCCCTCCAGACGAAGTAGGTCAAGTCGAGGTCGAGATATCTTCATCATCTTCTTCTCCCAAGTCAAGCTCGAGATATATCATCATCTTTTCTTTCTTTCCAAGTCCAGCTCGAAAAAAAAGTCACCCCGTCTCTTCCTTTCCTTCCCTACACGTGTGCATATCCGTACACATACACATACAGGTGGAATCAATCAACCCCTCCGATCACTACCACCACCATATATCGACGCGGGTCTGGACGAACTTCTCGACGGAGGAGGTACAGTAGGGACATTTGAGTCTGCGATACGATATTGTCGCTCCGAAGTCTTGGATTTGCTGGCGGAGGCTTTGAAGGCTTTGGTGATGTCTTCGACGGAGAAGCTGTCGTTGCGAGGGATGGTGGACCGTGAGGTTGGTTCGGGCATCATGTCTGTCATTGTTGTTGTTGATGTTGTGACGATGATGGAGAGGATGATGATGATGATGGAGAGGTGGGTGGTTGTGAGAGGTGAGAGTCCTTGTGTGTAGTGGACACTGGACGTCGTGCGTGTGTAGTGGTGAGAGGTGTGTGGCGTGAGGTGTTTCTCGGGTGTGACGGAGGGGGCAAAGGGATAGTTGTCAATAAATAGGTCGTGTGGAATGTGCGACGTATTGATTTATCGTTGTTGTTGTTGTTTCCGTAGCAAGAGTATGTCACATGTGTGTAAGAAAGGGAAAACGAGACGAAGTGAAAAAAAAGGGCGAGGAGGGTTTCTTTTTTATCGTCTCCGATCGAAACGGCCTGAGCTCAACAAGCGGGAGATTCTATTGATACCTGCATCCTGGGATCCGCCAACCAAGCGCAGGCCAGGCATGAGATTTCGAGAGAGAGTCGAGGGAGCAGAGCCAGCCAGCAGGTTCACAGGTACATCATGTCGTAGTCAGGGAGGTCGGCGTCTGGGCTTCTGGGGCGCGCTAAGTAAGGTTGCGCGGCGTTCGGAACGAGTTGGCCAAACGGCATATGTGATTCAGTTGATGATGTGGCCTGCCGCCTGTAACCTGTAACCTGTCCAGTGTCCGCAGAGGGAGGGAAGTGAATAACAGTGGACGGGCCAGTAGGAGGTCGTCCGATGCCCCCACCCCCCTAGTCAGACCAAGTGTTTGGCACTTTGGCTGCAACAGAAGAACGAAAAGAAGATCGCTTTTCCTTTGCTGTGGGGAGGACTCGGGGGAGGGAGCCCCGGGGGGCGAAGAAGCGAAAGGGGAGGGGGGGTACTGTAACTCCTGGCATCTGGGCGTGGTACAAACGGAGCCGAGTCGAGGGAAGCATATTATTCTGGGCGACTCTTGAGCGACGCCAGCACATCTCACCGCCAGAAGACGACGGGCTGCAGCAGTAGATCACCGATGCATGTGGAACACACAGACAAAAGTGTTCGACGGTGAATTGAGGCTGGAACAAAACAAGGCGCGCGTCGCGGGATGCGTAGAGCGAATAATCGCGGCCGCCCTGTCACCCTTCCCTTGCAGTAGAACCACCACCACCACCATCTCCTCGTTCGACACAAATACGTCGCCCGGAGTCCCCTGCCCTGCTCTCTCTCTTTCACAAACACACCCTTGCCAGCCCTGTCTGATACTCTGCGTATTTGCCCCGAGAAGAGAAGAAAAAAGACCAAAAAGAGACGAGAATATTGCCACGCGGGTACCGACTACCACCTCACTGTCGTCGGTCCACCAGCGCCACCATCACCACCACTACCATCATCATCATCATCAACATCATCATCATCGACATCGCCACGAGCTTCTCCGCGTGCATCCGATGTCTCCATCCATCAGAAACCGTCGCTTCGGTACAGCAGCACTATAACTATAGCCTAAACAGGAACGATGATGAAAACCAAAAAAAGTCTCTTCATCCTTCTTCTTCTTCTTCTTCTTCTTCTGCTTCTGCTTCCTTTTTCCTTCTTCCCCACAACCCACAGGCCCCATCCCTTCCCCATCATCCATGGGCAGTCTCACAAAACCCCATCAATTTCGTGTATTTTAGCTTCGCACCACTTACCATATGTACATAGCCCCAACCCCAGCCCCAGCCCAGCCCATACCATGCCCCCCGGGAACGTTTTTACTGTAGAGTGTAGACCTTCCCCCCTACATGAAACCCGCTACAAAATACGGGGAGGAAAAAAAACCCCCCGCAGCCATCCGAGTCGCTGGTGCCATTTGATGGGCGGCTGGTGGCGTCGGCATCTTCGATGGCACTTTTTTTATTTTTTTTATGATCGACAGGACTGGAGGCGGCTACTATTATCTAGTCTATATACAGTATACATACTAGGGAGGTACCTAGGTATCTATGTATGTATGTACCTGGGAGGTACGGTACTTTGTGAAGTCTTTGCCTTGCCTTGCCTTAGGAGGTACTCGATCTACGGCTGTTGTTACACATTGATACATTACTTTTTTTTTGAATCTAGAAAGGGTACCTTATTATTAAGGTAGATGGAAGGCTCGTCGGATATACATTTGCGCGTGCGTATGCGTGTGTGTGTACGTGGCTGTGTGTGTGTCCATGGATAACGACTAAGACATAATTGAAGGATTTTAACAAATTTACATCATTTCTTGATTGTGAAGGATTTTTCATAAAAGGATCTTTACAGCTAATGTACTTGCTTGCTTGTTGCTACCCAACTGACGGTATACGAAAGAAGAAAAGAAGAAAAGAATCGTGGAACCAACCTGATCTTATGCATGGGGATGATACCATCATTACTCTGCGGCACAGTAGCACACCTCCTCCTCCTCCTCCGTCCTTGTCCTTCCCTTCCAAACATTCCAAGTATACACCATCCCCTTTCTCCGCCAAATTTTCATCATTCTTTTCGATCAAGTATAACCACCTAGTTTCGTAATATCTCTATCACAAGACCGACACCGACACCGACACGAACAAGAAGAAGGATAGATAAATCTCGATCTATCCTTCTTTATCATTATTATCATTATTACTACTACCTCTAACACAACCAAGAAAAATGTACCATGTAATATAATAACAAAAATACAATTATACCTCCCTACCTACCTACCTACCTACCTACCTACCTACCTCCTACCTTTCAAACTTCTCGTCCCGATCGCCCCCCGCGGGCCCGGCCACCGACAGACGCACGCACGCAGTATCAATCACACCGATGTTGATGGCACCACCATCACGACTCCTGTCACCGGTCCGAAACTCAACGACCGGCCCGACCTTTTTGTCTTTTCTTGCTCTGACTTCCGACACATGTTGCTGTACCCGCAGTGATACGTTAGGTAGTAAGGTAGGTACTATTGTAACAACTTGGAAGGCCCCTGTTGTAGATACGTAGGGATAAGGGATGTAAACTGGCATTTTCCTTACTTACGAATAACAAAATACGGTCTTGGTTTTCTTTTTTTTCTTTTTCTTTGTTTTGGGGGGTCGGAGGTCTAGACTCCTAGAGAGAGAGAGAGCGAGAGCTAGGAGGTAGGAGGTAGGAGGTAGTATTCCAACCCTGTGGTTTGAGTGAGTGAGTGGGTTGAGTGACCGTTCAGTAAGTGAGCGAAAATACGGTAATGCGGGGAAAGGGAGAGAGGTCTGAGTTTTTTCATTTTTGTTTCGACTCTTCTATGGGACAAAAGCGGAGTTTTCCCCGGACTGTTTGACTGACGTTTTTTTCTCTACTATGTAGGGAGAAAGAAGTGGGTAGTACATCTAATCTACCGTTTTATCTACTGTAGGTCCCTCCGTACTGTTTGTTGTCCTGTTTCTTGTTTCTTAATTATTGATGGAATGTACTTGATGCTATTGATGAGTATTAAAAAAAAAAAGAAAGATGCAACAGGCGGTCCGTCGGGGGGAAGATAGAAAGATAATTCGGTAACTTTCAAGTTCTTGTCTATTTGTTTTATCCTCGTATTAGTCTAGTCTAATCCAGCCGATCAATCAATCACAGAAAGATGCTATACTATACCTCCTACCTTATATACTTATATCCTCTCCGGGCTATTAACGAAGAATAATCGTAAGTGTTTTTTTTTAAAAAAAAGCAAAAAGAAAAAAAAAAACACAAAACTACTACAACAATACATTCCCTATACCGCCTACCGCCTACCTAGTTTTCTTTTTCCAACCTCTAAAAACTCTACAGTATATATAGAGGTAAGGTAGGTAGATAGGTTTATACCTATCCCCGAGCTAGGTCAAACGCAGTTTACAACTCGTATAATAAAATAATATTCTTGTTGTTAAGGTATTTATATTAAAAAAAAAGAATTCTAGAAGGTAGGCTTGTTGCATAAACGACAAAATGCTTTAGAGAATCTAGTTTGCGATAGTCTAGTTGATAGATATTCCCGAGGCAGGAGTAGGAAGATTCTAGATGTGTTACTTTGATGGAATGAGTAGAAGACTTCTTGGGGAGCTTCTCTCCCTCGTGAATTTGGAAATCACTTCTAAATTACACCTCTCCTATTCTAGCAATAGTAACATCAAGTCTAGTTCGTTTTTTGAATACAACTTTCACAAGCACAGACCGAAACAACTTCTTGCTAACGTCATATTCATAACAACAATGCATATACATGTATTTCTTTTCATACGACTACGTAGGGGGGTATCTCCATTTACACATCCAACACATCCACACATCCCACACATCTCCATCTATCCCATCTATCCCATCTATCCAATCCATCCTTCCTTTCTCCATCCCTGTTATCCCTCCTCCCCATCCTTCCTCACGACCACGACTCCCCCTTCTCACTAGCCGGCAACTCGTCCGAAGCCCTCACGGCAGCAAGTCTCCTCTGCGGATCGGCTCCAATAGCCATCGCATCCGCAATTCTGCGATCGAGTTCGGCTTGAATCGAGTCCATTTGGGAAATTAACCAGATGCCGAGTTCGAGGGGAGGTTGGTCGGATTTTTTGGATTTGGAGGGTGGAGGGCCTAGAGGCGGTAGAAAGGGGTTTGCTTCTTGTTCTTCTTCTGGGTATAGTGATGAGGGGTTGGAGGTTTGAGATGGAGGGGGAAGGAGAGGAGGAGGAGAAAGGGATGGATTCTCCTGCTCCATGGTGTGATCGTCGCCGTCATAATCACCCTCACCACCACCACCAATCTGATTCTGATCTTGATTTTGATTCTGTTCCTTCTCCTTTTCATTCTTCTCCCTCTCCTCCTTCCACTCCCTCCACTCTCTCAATTCCTTCTCATACCCCTCCCACACTTTCTTCAATTTCATCCAAGCATCATATTCCTCCGGCCCCTCAAAACAAATCCCATAACCCTCACAATAACAAACCCTCGGATCCGGACAAAACACCGCCGTACCATTAAAAATCCACTGCCAAAAATACTCAAAAATTCTCCCACTCATATAATCCGTCAACGCCGTCTCCAGAATCCAATTCCGAAAATGTCTATACTTTTCTCGCGGCACCGCGCGGATGCGAGTGGCCGTCACAGCAAATTGGGAACAACACGGTTGCGCGAGCACACGAGGCACGTATAACGCTTCCGTTTCAGCATCATTTGCGACGATTTCAAAAACTTGTTTCCACGCTTCTTTGACGAATGGTTCTTCGGATTTTTCCGTGTGCGGGACTGTGGAAAAGGGGAATAAATGTTCGGGACACCCGGGGTTGAAGTGACAGCGGAGATTGAAATATCCATCTTGGTGGATTTTGTCGAGTCGTAAATGCCGGAGCATCGAGGATGTGTTGCTGTTGAGCATGATGTTGTTGTGCCAGGCCAAGAGGTGGCCGTGGATGAAGATGGAAATGGGGGGAAGGGTGTGGTATTGGTCGATGATGTAGGTGAGGTAGGCCATGGCTTCGTGGCCTTTGTTGGCGGGCGTGTGGAGGGGTGCGGAGACGTTGTCGGTGACGTAGATTTCTGTGGAAAAGTAGCCGTGGGCTTCTGTTGTTGGTTCGAGGAGATCGCCGAGTTCGTCGTGGAGCCAGTTCATGTCGTTTTCTTTGGTCGTGGATATGACGAGGACTGCCTTGGGTGCTACTTGAGGCTCGTTTACCCCCATCGAGGAGGGGGAGGATGAGGGTGGGAAGGGGGAGGGGGAGATGGTGGGCTGCGAGACGTGGAACGGAAGCCCAAGAAGTCTCGTCGTGGTATCTGGTGGATGAAAGGGAGGAGCATCTAGTTTCCTGGGCATATCTGGTCGTACCGCCGCAAGAGGAGGTCCCAGGAGAACATCTTGCGTGCCTTTGCCATTTGCTGTTGTGGTATCGTCGTGCTTGGAAGATGGGCCCGTTCGTGATGGTAAAACAATCTCCCGCAGGGAGTAGTAGTCTCGTCCACTGGCATAAAAGCAGACCAGAAGAGAACCCGAAAGAGCCGCTGCCGTGAGCAGAAATACGAAGAAACGATACATGCCGGGGTCAAAAAGGGAAGATCCCGCTATGCAACTAAACACCGGCTTCGCAAAGACATGGCGGAGAGGGATAGAGACAGGGGGAGACAGGGGGAGGGAGGGAGGAAGAGAGATAGAGAGAGAGAGAGAGAGAGGAAGGGAGAGAGAGAGAAAGAAAGAGAAAGAGAGAAAGGGGGACGAAGGAGAGAAAGGTAAGAGAGTAAGAGACAGAATATGCCAGTCCCAGGTGTTCGTACTATACTTAACACTTCATCCTCGTCGTCCCGTCGTCGTCGTCGTCGACTCGCACAAGGTAAATCGCTTATTATTGATAACTATCCGTCAGTACCTCCTAGTCACACATCAGACGCAATCCGCTCTCGCACGTGCGTGCACGCGTATTATAATACATTAAAGACTTAAAAAGTCCTCGCATTCATTTGCAACACCGGACACCAAACACCGCAGCACAGGATAGTATCCCTGTATGTTGATGATGATGAATGATGAACTTGTGAACGCGTAACACACAAAAAAAAATGTCTTGTCTTGTCTTTCCCCCATCTCCTCCCCCCCCTAGCCAGCCAGCCAGATAGATGCTTGTCTGCGTAGTCTTATCGGTTGGGGCCCTTGGGGGGTGGTGGAACTGAGCGGACGGACGGACGGATGGGCGGGCGGCGCAAGACCAAAACAAAAACAAAAAACAAACACGAGAATCAAATATCCGGTAGACTTTTTTGGTGTTGTTGTTGTCGGAGAGAGAGAAAAGGTCAGTGGCACACACAGCAACACGGATGCAATACTTGTAAAACACAAAAAAGAAAAAAGAAAAAGACAAAATTAGGAGATTGCAAAACGATAGATAGAGAAAAGAAAGTTTTTAGTGCTGACTGAGATTTAATCTTAGTTAGCAAGCCCTGTCTGTCCAGCAGTGTCCAGGTGTCTTACCTTACTCTTTTCTTCACTACCTAACAACAATGTTTGATGATGCGATGCTGGGAGGGATGGGATCACTGGGAAGTGTATGTAAGGTTAGGTAGTTCGGACTAGGGTGAAGTTCCGTTCGTAAACGACGTACAGCGGTCCGCTTGGCAGATTGAAATCGTTCTAGAACGGGCTTCTAGGCTGCCTACATGTACCCTTACATAGGTACATACAGTACCTTGCTGAGTAAGAGGACAGACAGGACTACTACATATACCAGTTCTGACTGATCATGTCGACGAGAATAGGAGTTGACTGCACTTTGGCATCATAGGTAGAGAAGCCAAGTACTCATGTTCAGACTCAGACGAAGAAGGAGAAGAAATGGCTGTTCATATTACTCTGTCGTCACATAGCATTCCCTTCAAACCCGAATCCCCCCCCTTTCTCTGTCTGTTCATATAAAAGCAAATCGCTCGCTACCTCTCTTCACGAATCGAAACGGAACCTTTCCCGTACGCATCTGTATGGTGATGATGGTCATCATTCCATTCTTCAGCAAATCTCTTGCGCGGGCATCAGCTTTCGTCCACGCTGCACGCTTCTCGGCTTCGCTGGCCCGGGCAAATTGCTCGTCGGACAAGTACTCGCTCACATCCAGTTCGACCGTCCACGTCTGGAAGATGACGGCCAAGACGGCCAGAATCTCCACTTGGGCGAATCGTCGCCCGAGGCATGATCGGTAGCCTTCGCTGAAGGGGAGGTAGGCTCCCTTGGCGGGGCGGAAGAGAGATGCTGCAGTGTCAGGGCGCTTGTCTGTTTCGAATTCGAGACCTTCTTCTGCGGCATACTCCTCGTCTTCATGCTGGCCGGGTGTGGTTTTGCTAGGGTCGAGAAGCCAGCGCTCCGGCCGGAACTCGAGCAGATCTTCGGCAGATGTGTGTGGCCAGTAGCGTGGGTTGCGGTGGGAGGCAGCAGTGTTCAACGTCACATACGTGTTCTCTGGCACCGTGATCTGCTTGCCGTCAATGTGGAGCGTCTGCGGCCGATCCTTGGGAGTGACCTTGGGTATGCCAATCACAGGAGGAATCAGTCGCAGCTGTTCGTTCATCACAGCACCACACATGCTGCCAAAGAGCTTTGCCATGTCATTCTCATAGTCCCACTCGGACGATGGCCGATTGCCCAGGATCGAATCAAGATCTTTCTGCAGTCGTCTTTGCGAAGCCATATGCATTGCCAGGAACAAGATGGAGAAGTGAATCGTGTTTGCAGCCGTCTCGTGTCCCGCCAGAATGAAGACGAATGAATTGCCCATAATGTCCTCGTCCGTGAAGGGGAGCTGTCCGGCTTTGGCTTGCGCCTTTTCCGTGTCCACGTTGACATCGACGTTGAGAGTCTCCTGCGTGAGTCCGGCACCCTTGACCAACGCGCCCATCAGATCCATATTCCCTGTGTCTCCTTGTCCCTCGCCGGCGCGGACTTGTTGTCTTTTGGCCTGGTACATCTCCCGCATGTACTGACCCCACTCGACATATGCCTCATTCGCCGTCTTGTGAATCTTCAAGGGCGACCGCGGCAGAAGCCAGCGGGGCGTAATGATGATTGTGATGAGGTTGTGCAGCAAGACCTCCAATGCATCCTTGTATGTCAACGTGTGGCCCTCGGGGACAGTTGCCACTTTGCCTTCATGAGGCCAATGCAACTGGACGCCGAAACCAGCGAGACTAATGACATGCAGAGACAATCGCATCGATTCTGTTGCTACGTTCCATACGGGCCCGCTGTCTTTCTGATCTGTGCGGATCCAGCCCGCCATCATACCTTGGGCCTGTCGGAGCGACTCCTGCCACACCAGGTGGTTATTGCGCTCCGTGAATGGCGGACTGGTCACTTTACGGTGGTGCCGCCACGTGTGGCCCTCCGTCGACACAACACTCTTACCAAAGAGGTCCACACTGGTATACATCCATATGGGCTTGGGAAAGTCTGCACGTCTCGTTGCGATTTGTGTGGTAGCCTCCGGGTCAGCGACGAACAAGGTGTTTGCCCCCGGAGATACCAACATGAACATGTCGCTGCCCATTTCTTTGAAGCTATCATACTGCTTGGCCCAAGCGAACTCGGGCACGACATACTGCCTCCAAGTAGCATTCCTCAAGGCAGGCACGGCGTCGATGAAGGGCAGCCAGAGTCGATGTGTGACCAGCCAGAAACGGTTGAATGTGTAGACGGGCAGCACTACGTATGGGATGCCGGACTGCTTGGCAGCAGATATGTTCTTGGCCAGAGCCCTGTACGTGTTCACGGCGTACAGGGCCAGTAGGCCCAGGAGAGCGAGGCCAAGATACGAAGGCCCCATCTTGTGGAAAGTTGAGAGCCAGAGAACAGGAAGCAACAAGACGGACCAGGATGCCGAGTGATGTCGGTGATCGTCGCTCGCGTCTCGGTGTATCTTGTACCTCCACGACCGGTTATTTGGAAAGCAAATGTCAAGGGTTCAGGCCAGTGCGTGCGCGACTGCGTGTCCGAGAAGGATCTGCAGCGGTGTGTGCCTGAAGAAGTGCGTGCTTGTTGGGTGCGTGAGGGTAGCTTCAGCGATGCGTGACAATGAGGCGTCGTCGGCGGATCCTTTTGCCAAGATCTATACGGGAGGTGGGAGCGCCACGCAGCTGTGTGAAGTTGCGAGCGTGCGGGTGGTTGTGAGAGGAGAAGTTGATCCAGGAGGACGGGGAAGGGAAAGGGGAAGGGGAAGGGGATTTACGTCTGTCACCAGTTGACAGTACTCTTCACAATCGCAAGTATCATTCGATAGGTAAGTAGGTCAGTACCTGTTGAGCTTTCACAAATTTGCCAGGCGATGTTGGCGAATGGCTGATGTCGTCCAACGTCCATGACGAGACACTGCGACGTGTACAGCCAATGATATGCTTCCCTTGCATGTTCGGATCACGCCTCTCCCGTCCTCGCTAGATTCTCGTAGCCTACAGTAGCCATTTTGTGCACACGGCGACGCCTTGGAAACTGAGCAGCGCAGCTTCAGGAATGTGGGTGTGGAGATATGTGTACAAAGGAGGCAAGTCTTGCGCTGAGACTCGGACTCGTCGAAGGGAGTACGAATGGGATCCTCATATGCCTTCCGGATCGAGCGGTCATGTCATGTTACCATGTGTAAGCAGAAGACCAGACCGTGGCAAGCCGGAAGACGGGTAGGTTAAAGTTATGGATGTGTAGACGATCCGGAAGAACGTCCCGAATGTGTTTTCTGCTAGGAGGTACCTCTTACCACCACACATCACTACTACCGCAGTCTACCACCACTTTGTTGCCCGCTGGGAGATGGCATGAGGGCCTCTCGCTGGCAGTGTGATGGTGGTGGTGGTGTTGGTGTTGGGTGGCCGTCTGTTACCGAGATGCCCTCGCCCTTGAGATGACACGCGGTCGTTTACCCATTCTGGCCTGCGAAGCGAGAAATAGCACTTGGAATAGGTAGATACAGTCGTACAGATGTAGTACATACAGTGTGCAGGGCAGGCCAAGGCAGGGCAGGGCAGGGCAGGGCCGAGCAGGGCTGAGTGAGCCTACTTGCTAGGAGCCACCTCCCTAGGCGTCGTTCGTGACGGTTCGTACAGACGCCGAGACGACAGCGTGGGCGGATCTCTGGCGGTAAGGGAAGACTCGTGACGTGGGACGAGGTACACTTGTAGTTACGGTACTGACCTGACCTACAAACTTCGCTTCGAATACTACCTGACCTGACAGTACCTTACCTGTATAGTCTGTGCTACATCATGTACTCATGTACAACATGTACCTCCTACCTCCGCCTAACTCCTACCTCCCTCCTCCTCCTCCTCCCTTCTCCCTCCCGCCCCGTTCACTACCTCCGTAGGACACTAGGAGGTAGGACACTAGACAGACACTTCTCTCATCATGCCGATCCCGACCTAGTGGATCGTCCGGCTTCTCGTCGAAAATAGACGTAGTAGTAATAGCAGTATGTCTACACCCTACGTGTATGGTGCAATGTACCTTCGCCAGATCCACCGCCAAACGCAACACGATGAAACTATCCGTAGCTCGCTACCAGTCTGCCGGTTCCTCTGGCCAGTTCACTTGGCTGCGAGTGAGGCAGACTGAGATAGAGAGCGAGAGAGGAGAGCCCCTGTCATCACCAGTAAGCGATCTGACCAGCACCTAAAGCTTGTTGTGCTCGCTAGCAGCGAGTGCCGCCCATTGAGATCATCAGACATAGAAAATTTTTGATAGAGGAGACGATGACCTCGCAACGATAAAGAGAGACATGGAAAGCAAATAGACGAGAGGCCCCAATCGATGCTGCTGCTGTTGCTGCTCGTCCGCGGGGGCCCCATCCACGCACCTACGCACGTTCGCTTTGTCTGATCTCTGCGGCGGTGGATCTCCAATATATATACTCTGACTGGACACGCACGCCGGCCCAGTAGGCAAGTAGTAGTCTCTTATTCCTACTCGTATATACCTCAGTATCCCAAGACCTGCCGCTCCTCAGCCACGTCTACCCCCACTCCCTCCCTCCCTCCTTCCTCCCTCCTCCTCCTCCCTCTTCTCCTCCTTCTCCTCCTCCTCCTACATATACTCTGCCATTCGCTCGATCCAGCCGCCTATTGCTCAAACAAGACAAAGGCAAAAAAAAGAAGAACTCACCTCATGTGTGTCCCCGAGCCAGAACCCAAAGGCGGCAACATGGGCCTTCAAGTCAAATCCCCCGCTATGGCCGCTGCGCTCGAAGTAGCAACACACCCGAGTGCCTCCACTTCCAGTATTACTACCGCAAGACCTGCTGCTGCTGCCGCTGCTGCGGGAGGAGGATTCTACTACGATACATTCTTGCAATCCATCTCGAATGACATTAGCATCTACCTCGCGAAGCAACAACAAGAACATCAACAACAACAACAACAACATCAACGTCAACAACAAACCGCAAATCACATCTCGCCATCATCCACCTGTCGCCGAAGACCTTCTCCCATGGAAAACGTCGTCCAAGAACGATGCGGCGAGCAATCCAAGAAACGCAAAACCACCGCAAAGACTTGCTGCTGCAATTTCCAGTCTGGACCGAAATGTTCTCCCAAGTGAATTTTCTCTTTTTTGGGGGGGATTACATGTACTTGTATAACATGTATACGCTCGGATTCATACCCATAATGACGAATAATGAATAATGGATGAACGATGAATGATGAATGATGATGATGATGTTTGTGAAGAAGACGATGAAGAGGAACCTTTGAAGAAGAAGCCGGGAGTGGAGAAGAAGAAGATGCTGAAGATGATGATCAAGATAACGATAAACGATAACGATACATCAAACATCAAACAAACATTAACCACCAAACATCAACATCGCAAAATCACGAATCACTTGGATGACCACATCACATCACATCACATCACATCACCTCAGAGAAGAAGAACATCATCATCATCATCATCATCATCATCATCATCATCATCATCATCATCATCAATACCTATCGAAAAAGGCCATCCATCCATCCATCCAGCAAGCAAGCCATAGAACCCTAAGTTCTTAACGTCTGACCTACCAACCAACCAACCAACCAACCGATCCAGTCGGTCATGCCAACTACCCCTGCCTGTCACGACTGTCCTATCCTATCCTGCCCTGTCCTGTCCTGTCATACCAGACTCAGACTCAGACTCCAAACACGCAACGCGAACGCGAAACGCAGACAGAGAAGCAGAGAGAAAAGATTCTCTTTCAATGGAGATGATTTTTTTCATACCTACTCTAGATATACCTAATCTGCCTTTCTGCCTTTCTGCATAACAGGACAGGACAAGACACGACACGACACGACACGACACGATACGACACGATACGACAGGATAGCATAGTATATGATACGACACAACAAGATACGTACGATAAGACAAGACCTAGCCTTAGCCTACCTACGTATATTACATCAAGTCGAGTCGAGTCGATAAGAGCTATACAACCCTACCTACCTATCTGCCTACCTTCTACAAGTCTATAGGCTATAGGCTATAGCTAGAAACTTTTACCTTACCTGGATGGATGGATGGGTAGACTTGCCTTGACTTTTGATCTTGAGATTGGGATTGGGATTGGATTTTGGAAGGAAGAGGTTTCAGAAAGCAGGGAAGAGAAGGGAAGAGAAGGGTGTCTACTTTACCTACCTGATATAGGCAAAGTTCATATAGACAGACAGGCTATGGTTCTGTAGGAGGAAAGAAAAAAAAGAAAAAGACTGAGTCGACGAACAACCAAAGATAGCGGAAAGATATCATATGATACACAAGAGTCAAAGATCATCGAGTCTTGATATTCTCGATTCTAACTACTTTGTATCGATAATATCATCATCATCACACTCTCACCGCCAAACCAACCCATGTGGAGTGGCATCCCCATATCATATCCTCTTCTCTCTCCTCCCCCTCCCCCTCTCTTTCTCTAATAAATAACAAACGCCGTGGTATCCAACATCGACATTTGCGTACCTTGGTATCGTGCAGTGAAAAACAGTTCAAAAACAAAGCCAGCAGTGCCGGCGGGTCAAGCAGAGCAAAGTTAGAAGCAAATTCGCAGAGACCGTACATGCCTCTCGCCTCCTGTGATCGACGGGCGCTCATCCTCGTTTCTTTTCTTTCAAAAACACCATATCTTCTGCATCTTCATCTTCTTTCTTCTTCTTCGTCATGCGTCATCATCATCCTCCATCTCCCAAAACATCGTGGGTTGGTTTCTCTGGGGCCTCACGTTACGACGACGTGCTCGGCAATAGCCATCATCACGTCCTCCCGTGCCTCCTCCGAGAAGCTTTTCATGTCGTGTGTCCGGGCCTCGAGTGGTCGTGGACAGGGTCATCACCTTGTGTTTCCGCACGGTCGTGTCCAGCATGCAACATGCATCGTAGGACCACCCCACCGAAAGGTTGTGGGCGGCGGGCGGGCGTGTCGTCGGGTCGTGCAAAAGCAAGCGCGCATCACCGTGGTATATGCACAGGTGTCGCACACTCCATCTCGCTGCTTCCGCGGTCATGTGAGAGCGAGCCTAAGCGAGTACCCACTCGGTACCTCGCTTAACGTACTTATCCATCAACTGCGTCAGATCGGCCAGCACAAAGCGGCAGATGTAGAATCCAAAGAACTCGGCTGCGTGGCGAATGCTCAGTTCCAGCCCAACATGCGTAGGCGACGAGTGTCGGAGGCCCGGATCCTCGACTTGTCGGGCTATTTGATCTGATAGACATGTTAGCGAGGTGGATACATGTACATACTGGACCCTAACACCAGTCAAATGACGTGCATCAAGCCGAGCTGCACGCAGCCAAGCGAAGACGCCTCAACCGATCCATGGCCATGCCCATAGCCATATCAATACATAGCTTCGACGGTATCCGTCGGACCTGGCCGTGATGCAGCCCGCCCAGCGTACAGTACGAACAAGTGTGGACGGACAGGTGCATGATGGAGCGGTCTGCTGAAGCTGCCAATGACAAAATAGTGCTGACTTACCAAGGATTTGCACGCCGTCGAACAAGCGAGCCAGTGACCCCATGTAATCCCTGTTCGGGCCCTCGAAGAGTAGATTGCGAGCCTCTCTTTTGTTCCCTCGTCGCTCCACGGGGACAAAGTTCGTCATTGGAACCGACGCCATCGTGTGCGCATCCTGTGCATCGACCCTGAATGTCGGCGCAGGTGCCGCCGTGCCACTGCCACCGGACAGAGGTGCTCCCGAGCTCTTGTTTCGCAGCTTCCGCCAAGAGCTGAGATAGCTTTTGCCGGAGTTGCTCTTGGCTGCCTTATCGACACCCGTTGTGCTGCTCTCCGGAGGAGCATTTCCAGCAGTCGATCCGACGTGGGCAGCAGACGCCTCCTTGAACATGCCGAGCGCACCATGTGGACCGACGTCTGCCCCCAGCTTCTTCGCGAGGGCAGCCTGAGCCCGGTCCATGACTTCTTCAAAGCTCTCCAGCTCAGCCTTCACGGCATCTGCATCATAGGTGTCCACACCTGCCAGGCGACCGAGTGCTGCAGTCAGGAGATCGCAGCTTGCAACCTTGTCCTCAACAAGCTTCAACTTGACACCCCGTGTCTGCCAGACCTCACGCGGTACAAAGAGTTTGTCAGTCAGGAAGCCACCGCGCGGATGCACGATCGTCGAAGACAATGCACGCATAAGCCAGAACGGACGGAGAAGAAAAGGCTCGGGGCAGGGTTCGAGACCAGCAGGCTGAGGCTGTTGACTAGGTGATCGGGGCGATTGTGCAGACGACAGAAACGTGTCGAACAGATGAATTCCGCCGCCCAGCTGAGAGTCATAAGACATGTGCCCGAGGGATGGGAAATCGGCACGTTGCGAAGTCAAGGGGTTCTGACTGTGGCTTTTTCTCGCTGCAAAATTCATGAACGTCGAGCTCATCGGTGTCGCCATGGACGAGATACCGTCCAGATCCGGAGACGCCAGCAGTACTGTATGTTGCGCGTGATCGCGTAGACTGATGGTAGACCGGTTCTTCTTGAATAGCATGGGCTGCGATCCTTCCAGTGCATCAGCGGACGCCACCTCATAACTCGGTCTGTGATCGTATGTGGCCCGATCTGCATCGTTCACGACTGCCGCCAGCTCGAGCGATGGCGGTGATTGCAACATGTGATCATGAGCAATGTCAGAGGGAGCAGGTTCGGGCAGGACGTGGTCGTCCGATGTCCTCTCGTCATCATCTTGGAGCATAGGACTCCTCTCGGTGTTGAATGTGGACGCGCGCCTGCGAACTGGGGGTGGTACAGAAGTCTCGATTTTGAGCTGCTTGGCATTGGACTGTCTGCGATTTCGTACGCTTGCACGCCTGTCATCCGAGCTCGGTGGCCTGGGCAACGAAGACGGAGTGGGCGCCGAAGAAGTCGTTGGAGCGGTGTGCTTCCGAATTGCTGCCGTTTGCGAGATGCGGCTGCCCAGAACGTCTTCTGCGACCGTGGCCAGAGACGATGCAGCAGTATCGCGTGACGAAACCTGCGAACTCTGCCAAGTATTGCGCGAATTGTAACTCGAATCAGAGAAGCGTGGCAGCGCAGATTTCGATGAGACTCCAAAATTGAATTCGTTGCCAAAATCATTGGTGATCTCGTCCAGGATGCGCTCCTCTTCATCGTCTTGCTCGGTATTGGCCATGGACGACTGAAATCGTTCTGCATCGATTTCGGAGATCTCGGAGGCAGGCACCTGGACAGACTCATGATTATTGCCGTGCCTGTGGCCCCTCGGCTGGTTTGGGCGCGAATCAAGATCAGGCTCCAGTCCCTCGTCGTACGCAGCCTCAATTGCAGCATCGAAAGCTTCGTCAAAATCAGGATTGGTCTCGGCGCTCAAATCACGCAAATGCTTCCTGTGGGAGCCTTGGTGGTAGGAGTCACGCGAGTGGACGGAAGTAGAGCAAGAAGAGGCAGGTTCGTCAATGGGATCCAGCCACGAGGTAGAATCCTTGTCTGAGGCATCACCACTTCGAGACTTCTCGGGAGACTCCCAAGCTTCCACACTGTGTGGCTTGGCCTTTGGCGATTCAGGCAATCGTTCCGCGGACCGTTTGGGCGACAAAGGTCGAGGCATATATTGCGCGTGTTCGGGGGGTGGCAGCTGTATTGATGCTGGGTGTCGCGCATGCCCATTCGCGGGCTCCGCGCCGGAGGTTGATGCGGAGGACGGTCTTGTTGTGTAGATGTCCGAATTCTCCTCTGTGAAATTTGTGGATCTTTCCACGGCAGCCATCGTCCCTGTGAAGAAGCTGTCGCGATCATTGCGCCGATATGATAGCCTCGGCGCTCTGCTTGCCTGGCTAGCAGGACCCACGCGTCCATAAGGCGCATCCAGCGTGTGATCTACGGGACTCACAGCGCTCAGAGGTGTCGCAGGCAAATCTTTCTCATGGCTCGTGTGTGTATTTTCCTGTGCCAATTGCCTCAGCTCCTCCATTCGGTTGCTATATGTCAATCGAATCGCATCCAATTTTCGCTTGTCGTCCTCGCCTGTCGTCCTTTCCATGACCTGTGTCAGCAAATCACAAGCATCTCCATATGCCTCCAGCGCGCCCTCGTAGTTCTGCGCATTGTCCAACAGGACTGCTGTGTTTGCTTTTTGCAATGCCTTGGAGAGCATTGTCTTCTTGTCCTTCTCTGTTCGATCTTTCTGTTTCGGCTTCCTGTGCCCATCATGGCTCCCATTCCTCGACGTCGACATTCTGGATTTGTGGTGTCTTCGCTCTTCCATTTCGGGGCGCGACTCTGCTGCGACAGGCGCAGCACGTGTGGGTTGTGGAGGGACGGAGACCGATGCCGAAGGATTGCGCACCATGACTACCCGTTTCTGTTTTGCCATGCCATAGGCAGACAGCGGATCATCGAAGAAGTCGTGATGTGCATAGGCTGTGGCCATTGGCGTAGATACCGTCTGAGAACTGCTGTCAGGGGAGTCCGTGTCATTGGGATCGGTCAGCGCAGGTGTCGTGTGTAGAGGTGGTAGGGATGTCAAGTGGTGGGCTGGATAATCCGGTCTCGTGGGTCGCCTCGACTGTTGTGGACTCGATATGGGCGATGAGTATGCGGATGTCACATTTCCGCGCTGGGGACTGGCTGTGGGAGAGAAACCAATGTCCGGATGCCGCCGCGGGGACTCGTGGTGCTGCTGACCGACAAGCGATGCCAGGACAGCGCCACTGCTGGAACGATTGCGTCGCGAGGTGACCCGAGAGGCCACGCTGGTGCTGGTGGAGTGCGACCAGCGATTGACCGAGGGGGCGGGACCAGACGAGGCGACGTTGTTGTTGTTGTTGATGATGCTGTTGCTGTGGTGGTCGTGGTCCGTGGGCGACCCGGGGTGGGCGCGAGAGGAGTCGGCAGCAGTGGTGGTGCTGCGATCAACAGCTACGCTTTTCCTTCGGCTGAGGTCATGTGGTGTCATGGGATGGCGGTCATGGCGCCGTAAGTAAAGTGTCTGCGAGTCAATGGCGTCGTCCAGGTTCCCTGATGGCACGCGCGTCAGCGAACTGGGGCGCTTGGTTGTGCCCACCGCAGCGGATGACAGCGAGTTCGAGCGCTGGCGCTGGTGCTGGCTCTGGCTTTGGCTCTGGCTCTGGCTCTGGCTCTGTCGGTGCGTCTGGAGCTGGTTGAGCAGGGAAGTCGAAGGAGGAGATGCAGCAGTGGCGGACGAGTTGTTCGCTTCAAACGGGCCAGTTGAAACACGATGCATGTTTCACGCTCCCCACGCCACGATCCCCTTCGCCGATGATGGCGGCCCTAAAAGTTCGTGTCGCGCGAGTCTATGAGCGCCGTCGTCGGTATAGCGAAATGATGGATCGTACTCTCGTCGGTCCCTCCTGGGACGCTGCGCTGCAGCCCTACGTAGGTCAGAAGGTAGGAGGTATACCTACCAGTCGCAATGCAGCTCGCGCAGAGTTCGCAGATTCATGCGATCTGCACCGATCCGCGACTCGTGCAGAGAGTCCTTTTGCGCCGCGGCCCAAAAGGGGTCTCTTCCTCTCTCTCTCTCTGTCTCTTCTCTGTTCCTCCCCTTCGCCGTCTGCCTGTCACTCTCGTCAAATCAATCCAACCTGTGCAAAAAAGTTGTCGTGCCTGAACGATCGGCCTGCCGCGTGCGACGGCGGCTGTCCACAGAGGCGGCGTCACCCACTGCGTCTGCTGTGCAACGATGTCCTGAGTCGCTACGATGCTAGAGGTGTCCTCCCACTCTTTTGCAATTCAGACCGTCTGCATGGCCATCGTCATACAGAACTCTCTCTCTCTCTCTCTCTCTCTCTTCCCAGAAATAGCCCAACAAGGCGGCAACGTCCCCCACTGCGTCGCCGCTCGCCGATATTGACGTGGTGCACGGTGGTAGTCGAGGTGTCAACGTGGAATCGTGGACCAAGATCCTGCCTTATTTCATAGAGTTCTTCCCTCCTTTCTTTTTTGACGTCTGGCCCCCAATCACTCCACCTGGCCCGTGAGCAGGGCGTCTGGTCTATCTCTCCAAGGCGCGTGGATGGCGTCAGGATCAGGGCGACCAGACTCGGGGAACTAGGGCAATGCCTGTGGTGCCTCGTGCCGTTCGAGATGCAATGAGGGGAGTAGTGTATTGGGAAGTATCAGTTAGGTGAGGGACAGGTACCTGAGGTATTGGCGCGTCGCCCAGCACCTCTTTTCTCCGCAGCCGCGTGATGATGATTGTGATCCGCGGGTAAATGGAATGGTAGGTATACAACAACAACAAGCGCGCGCAACACTCGTGGGGCAGGGTCTGAGGTCAATATTCACGTCGCATCCGGCACTCGTGGACCGTGGCCAGCACTCTGGACCTGGGCTGGTATACAGTACAATAAAGTAGTGTAAGGTACAGTAACTACCTATGTAGGCTAAAGGGACTGTGAGACTACTCGGGCGCTTTCTTTTCGCCCCCAGGGGGGGAAGGGGAGGGATTCCTGCCTCCCCTGCACGATGCCGGGAAACTCCACTCAGCAGCCCCAATCACTGACGGTTGTCTGCAGCAAAAGCAAAAAATCTTTGAGAACTACCGAATCACCATCGTCGGTAGAAACGCCCAGTGTCATCGATATACGGAGGTACAGGTACCTTACTGATAGAGAGAAGAACTACATGTACCTAGGGATCGTGGCCCCTCGCCCTTTTCCGAGGAATACGCTAGTTGCTCACTCTTGCAGCGATAACTGTTATAGAGTACGAGGTACCAATCAGGTATCCAATACATTATACAGGTATGTACCAATGCTACCGTACATGTACCACTTCACACTTCTCGTACCTCCTAGGAGGTAGAAGGTAGCAGCAATTCACGCAGGAGAGGGAGGCTATCGTACCTCCTATAAGCTCCCCCCTCGCTAAATCGCTTGTGTACAGTACAACAGTAAAAGTACCTCCTAGGAGGTACCACCTGTATCAGTATGTCTATACTGTCCACGCACCCTTGCGATCGGCAAGTGATATACTACATAGGTATTCCCAGCGACAGCCCTCCGTGCTGATCACAGACAGGCCCTGTTGACTTGCCTTGCGGGTGTCTGTGTATACCTACCTAGTGTCTGTGTCTGTGTCAGCAACACGGATCCATGCTTGAAGGCTTGAGACTTCACACCTGCATGATCCACGCCTGTCCGACTGCCCCTGTTCAGGAACCATCTAGCATCTGGCATCTGGCATCTGGGAATGACTGGCATCAAGCAGGAACAACAAGTGTTCTTCTCGACGAGTTCTCGTTTTAACAAGCTCGAAAACTCTCGGTATCGAGCACGATTAGCTACTTCAGGGTTGCAAAGTGCACTGATCCAAATGATACCAGGTACCGACCTACCGACATTGTACTGGATCCATCCGGAACTCAACTTCCGCCCCTCATAGTAGGGATAGCGAGATACATGGAAAGAGGCATGGCTCCATGCCTCTGCACAAAAAAAATAAGGGGATCGTCGAGCATTCGTGTGATTTCACGTTTCTTTTGTGTATGAGTCGTCGGCGGGTCAAGTGGGGGGAATCTCCACCCTCCACCCTCCACTTCCATTTCCTCCCGCAACAGCCGCCTGCCCTACCTCCTACGGTGGTACCTTAACCAATATTTAGAGAGCCATCTAAGCAAATATTTCACGACAGGTCCCAATGGATCCATTCTGCAGGTCTTCACTACCGTAAGGTACGTATGCTTTTTCATCACACCGACTTCGGTATTACAATATCCGACAGTCCCCCCCTCGACCTTTCATCTCCCTAGGAGCTACTACTGTACTTTCGTCTTCGCTACGGAGGTACCTTTACCTATGTACCTCCTGTTGCTTCCTAGCGTTGACCTGGTCGAGAAAGATCATGGATGTGGCGATCGATGCGAGGTTGAGCTACATGTAGCCTTGCACTATTATTATGTTGGACCTCCTATACCGAGTACGCTGCTTTTGCGTACAAGATTGATGATGATATCTGAGATTGAATCTTACCAGGTACCTGTACCTACCTACCTGACTTCTGCTCTCTCTCCTTTTGTAACAATTCCGCCAAGATGGGGTTTTGCCCCTGTGACTCTCGAGCAATCGCATCTCTTCTCCAATCCGCATAGGACCCAATACCATCCCCTTCCACAGCTCGACGTAGACCCTGAAACAAGGCTTCAAATTCCTCTCGATCGGCAGAAACCGAGCCACCGAGAAAGAACAAGAATCTCTGATACTTACGACCCTCCAGAACAATCCGTGCCAAATCTTCTCGACCGCGCTGTTGGAACATGGCTGCAAACTCCCTCTCCTCAGTCGACAAGATGTTACTCCCGTCGTAGAATTCTGCCACGGGCCACATCATACAGGGCGCACTAAAAGCCAATTGTGCACACTCCGTCGAAGCCCATTCCCAATCGATGATTCCCGTGATGTTGAAGTTGTCGTCGACGAGGATATGGTCGCCCTTGTCATCGCAATGTTTGATGTAGAACGAGCTACCATGCGTAGCGTTCTTGATCAGATTCGGAATCTGATCAAGTCTCCATAGGTGTGTCAGATAATGATCGACGGCGTGCGTGCATATTTCTCCCTGGGAAATCATTTCCATTTCATGCTCGACGAACGATCGCAGCGCATCTCCTAGAGATGTAAACGGTCCGAGGGATTGAGATGGTGTGCGAAACAAATGAGGTTGGGCATATGATCCAATTCCCGCACCGCTGGAGGTAGCAGCAGCCAACGAGCCCATGCTTGAAAATGGATATTTCTCCAGCTCGAGAAAGACATCTACCAATTGTTCCATGACCTTACTTCTCTGCTGTGCAGTTGCCCCATTCCAATCCAACGGCTTCCCAGCCAATTTCTGCATCAGCACACATGGCGTCCCAATCCCGCTCTGCTCGTAGGAAGCGTGATAGAAAATTTGCGGAACAGGAAGTTGCGTCTTCTCACGAAGAAACTGTACTAGAGCCACTTCACTATCAAAGATGATTCTCTGCGTCTCCAAAGGCGGAAGTGTGGGGTCTTCGAGCCGTAATCTCGCGATCCAGACTATGCCGTCTGCGAAATGGATGTCGAGATGACAGTTCTGGCCGCCCATTTGTTCCATGACTATCTTCAAATCGATCTGCGGAGAGTTGGCGTCTGGTGGTAGAGCGGGCAATGTACAAGGGATATCATTGCGTAGGCGACTGGCAATTGCTTTCAAAGCAGCAAAATCTACTTTTGCGAGTTGAGTACGTAAATGTTTCTCTTGGGCGAGGTTGTAGGCAGGAAAGAAAGCTTCGGAATCGAGATTCTGTTTTTTTGTTTTTGTTTTTTGGCGCAGTTAATGACATGTTTGTGGTGTGTACCTAGAGGTAGGTAGGTAGATACCTTATGTATGCAATGGGATACTGACTTGTGAGGGACATGAGTGAAATTCCGGAGCTATATGCTTTACACAGCGGTGGCTTGAGCAGATCATGCAACTACCGATATCACGCTCGGCGGGCGCAGAGCAGCCTTCGAAATCGCATGTTCGGAGCGGCATTCTGAACTTTGAGGATGGTGTTGTTCGAGGTTGATGATTTAAATAATAATACGGGAGAATAAAGGGGTCAAGAGCACTCTCGCGAATGAGGTGAGGTATGTTATGGCGAGATGGATAGCGCTAATGCTATAGTATTCCTTCTATAGGCAGAGAACTTACTGTGCCTCAAGCTGTGCCGCTGGGTCTGCCACGTGGTTAGTGGAGTGAAACTGGTCACTGGTAGGTACATGTATTAATGTGGTCACTGGTAACCTGCGTGTCTGTGGTACAATAAGTGAGGATAGAGTCAACCCGTATTGCCGCCGGTGCGAGGACAGGACGCCAATCAGAGTGCACGAAGGTCCTCTTTCAGGACCTCCAATGGAGTCAACTGCGATGTACCTCCTACCGTAGGTAGTTCACACTTCACCATCAATGCCCTTCACTTGGCCAATACCGTCCACTGGGCTCATCACTGACAACATCGTCCTTGGACCTGAGAACCCTAGGTAGGTATTATGAAGTGAACGAATGTGACCGAGTTTCGTCCGACATCATCTTGCAAATCTCGATACCAACTTCCATTCTTCTTCTTCTTTCTTCTTCTTTTTCGCCTACATTATGCTCTCGATCATCATCAACAATATCATAAATATCCAACATGCTGACGCCAACAACGCAGACGAATCTCGTCCTGCCAGGATGCCTGCCAACAACACACCTAGTATTGACCCTTTTCAGAAGGAGAGATACTCGATAAGTACATACCTACATACCTACTTTCACAGACTTTCAGTAAATTCAGTCTTTACAGGGACGCTCCGGACGAAGTTCCGATACGTCGACGCGGCACTTCTTCACCAGGAAAGCATGTCTGTCAGTCCTTGTTGTCCCCTCGACAAGCGGCTATTATTGAGTATCACATCCTGGGAGTGGATCATCTCGGCGGCTAATAAAGCAAACGGGACTTTTAAAATCGCCAGCAGCTCTCTGAGCTCTCTGCTCGTATGGACCCTACATGGACCTTACTACTGTACAAGTCTACAACATTCACGATTTTTTGCAAGGTCTTGAAACTGTGCACTGTTACACGGACAGGCTGGCGACCTCCTGCTCATTATGTTGGTTCTGTAGTCCAGCTTGCTGCGGTGTCCCGGTAAGAACGACCTTTCAAGCGGGCCTTTGCATGCATACCCCCCCTTTTCAAGGACGTTTGGTATACACATTCCACCATGGCAATCACCATTTCCCTCGTTGAAGACACAAAGACCAGGGCTACATTCAGCTAGCACTTCTGCGTTTGCTTACGCATATCAAAATGTGACGAACACTTCTTTGCGCTTACGAACACTCCCTCTTCGGGGCTGTTCAATACCTGGTAGCCTCTAATCGCAGTTGCTACAGTCAATATAGTTGCTAAAACTTTGTTAGAACTTTGGTCAACTTGATCGCAGTTGCCGCATTGTAGGTATCTTGGAGCTACCGCAACAGCGGTTGGAGGCTACATGTACTAGGCAAGGTATCTTATGTATTAATTCGCCCCCTACGCGTATCCGCCACTTCCACCTTTCTACCACAACCTTGCCTCCTTCCCCTCACCACACCTTTCCAGCGCGTTCGCTTCTCTCTCCTTCGACCTCGCCTACCAAACCATTCCAGCGGCTACCATTATGGCTCCCACCGGATGCGCATACCGTACCGACTGGGTTTGGTCCAACCTCTCAAATGTCCACGTCGCCAACAACCGAGCTTGGTTTACCACCTTCACCTACTTCAAGTCGCGCATTAGCTCTGCCACCATCCCATACGGTCCCTACAAAACCGAAGTCCTTGGAGTTGGCGATGTCGAGCTCGACGTTCAGACACATCACGACCGGACTGGTCCCGGATCATACAGAACAATCGTCCTCAGAGATGTTCTTTTCGTACCAACAGCCGTATGCAATATTCTAGGTCGTCCTATCCTCAAGGACTTTGGACTCGTCACTGAACCGAGCACCGGTCAGCTTACCGATAAGGCTGGGGAGCCAGCAGGCTTGCTTGACGGCCCACGACTCCTGCGTTTGCGACTAGTGGGAATGAACGCCACAGAGACATGTCTCCGGGATGACACCATGTACATGATCAACGCGGTCTGGAGCGATGCAGAACGTGCAATATATCAGGCTAGACAGGACCTTGAAGCAAACACTTTGCCGCCATTGACCCAAGAAGAGAGAGCCTGGTTGGGCCGATACTATGGGAACGAATGGAAGTTTCTTCAATCTTACTTACTGGACCTGACCAATGATGAGGAGCGTGCTGAAGGCCGTGCTATTCTCAAGGGCTTGATGGAGCAAGACGAAATCATGGAAATTTGCCGCTTGATCGGCGTAGGATATGTTCTCGCTATAGCGGCAAATTTCCATGCTTTCGTCTTGCTCCAAGAGTTGCGTGGTCAGAGTCCCTAGGAAGCAGCTTGCACAGCTGTGTTATGCGAGCATAATGTCTGAAAGCTCAGAGGGGCTGTCGAAATCAGCCATAGCGGACGATGTTTAGCATATTTCGTCTTGAGTCAAAGTTGCAATCTTTCTCTAGTACCCTAGAATGAATAGGCTGTTTTGACTCGTAGGCTCTCAAATTGCCTGGTGTTGGTAGGAGGTATGGTTGTTGGTACGTGTATATAACTCTGAAACGGTAGGTAGGGAGGTAGGTAGGTCCAGGTAGTAGGAGGTAGGATGGTAGGATTTACGAATACGAATTTTACGAGATAAGAGGGTCAACGGCGTAGCGCTGCGCTAATAAGTCTTTTTGCTCGTTGAAGGGGCTTTTACCTCCTAGTTGCTTCCTGACATATTTTATGCATCGAGGTTTTTTTTTCTAAAAAGTATCAAGAGGCAGCGGTGAGATATTGATTGATGAATGATTAACATGTGTTGATGATGATGATGGCTGGATTGCTGGCTTGAGTGGTACCAGTAGGTCTGTAAGAGATGCTTATATGGCAATAATCACCGCGAAGCCTCAATGATACCATCAGCCAAGGCCTCCAGACTATCAGCCACGACGTCCATTTCTCCAAAGACTTCCGGCACGGGCAATTTCTCCCACTCGGAGCACCAAGCAGCTTTGAATCTGGAACATTCCAGCATAGGTAAATCAGCAGAGAGCATTGGAAGAATTTATTTTACAGGTGGCCATTATGAAGCATGAGGGAGGTTCAGGCGCGAAAAGAACAAGATGAAAAAAAGGGAAGAGGCAGAAGAAAAAAAAGAAAAAAACGTACCCATTATGTTTCGCAGCCGCAGCATCCCACATATGACAAGCCGCAAACCACATCTCCTCCGCATCCTCCAATCTCTCCCGAACATAACAATACACCTCGGGAGCAGGTTTCATCTTCCCAATATCCTCACACGCAATAAAATTCTCCTCATCAAGAGGAATTTCATTTCTCCCCAGATACTCTTTCACGCGCTCCGCATCCCCCGAAGTCAACGCCCAAATCGTAAACCCGGCCTCTCTCAAGCGTCGAAAACATTCCACGATTCCCGGTCGAGCCGTCAGGCGAGACGAGTAGGCCGAAACGATATATTCGACATCCTCAGAAGAAATGAAGGTGTGAGGATTGGGGATTCCGGCCATGGCGAGGTAGCGGTAGAGAAGGGGAGCGAAGATGTTTTTGAAGAGTTTGGGGCGGCCCGAGGTGTGGGAGTGGTGGCTTTCGAGATCTGCGGCTTCCATCCATGTCCAGGCGAAGAGGCGCGGTGGGATGTTGTGGGAGAGAAGTTGGGATCCGATGCGTTCTTCGAGAGCGGCGAAGAAGGTTTCGTAGCTGATTACTGTGCCGACGATGTCGAAGACGATGTGTTTTTTGGACATGGTTGGTGGTGGTGGTGGAGGGGGGAGACTGGACTTGTTGACTGCTGGATTTCCTGGATTGGATGTTTTGGTTGTAGGTATATTAGAGATGCAATGACTAGCTGCTCATCATTATTGCAGTTCTAATATACCTATACCTTACCCCTTCTGATCAATCGAAGCAGACATCAGGTAGCTATTCCATGTCAAAAAGTCTCCCGGGCCGGCCGACTCGCCGTAGGCCTGGCAGACGAGATTATGAACTTGTTGATACTACCCCATCTATAGGTACTTACGATAAACATACCTCTACTTACACACAACCGCCAGACATTCAACTACACAGCCATACATCTCAACACATATCAACACACATCAACCCCCAAGAACAAACACACAAATTCCGCCCCCCGCACAAATCTCATGGCAACAACACCATGTCTTCCCGTCCCCAATGCCACAATCCCATTCTGGCGAACAGACCTCGACCCCCTCGACTCACACCGATCCACAGAAGAATTACCTTCCCACTGTGACATTCTCGTCATCGGTGCAGGTTATGCGGGCGCATCCACTGTCCATCATATTCTGAAACAGCAAACTTCGCCGTTGAAGATTTTGCTGTTGGAGGCGAGAGAGGCTTGTTCGGGAGCTTCGGGGCGGAATGGTAAGTACCTACATGTAGGTAAAAAAGACCAAGTTATCTGAAGAATCATCTTCATGCCAAAAAGAAAAAAAAAACAATTTTCTTACATTTACCTCACTCACATCTATAGGCGGCCACATCAAACCCGACATGTACTACAACATCCTAAAATACAGCCACCAATACACTCCTTCGCAAGCCGCATCATTCGCTCGCTTCGAAGCCCAAAATGTGCTTGCAGTGAAAAATCTCGTCGAAGAAGAAGGTATCGATTGTGATTTTGTTTTGACGAGAGCGGTAGATGTTTATCTCGATGAAGAACATTCGAGAGCTACTCTGGAGAATTTTGGGAAATTGAAGGAATTGGGAAAGGCGGAGTTGGGGGAGGTGGAGGTTTTGGAGGGGAGGGAGGCGGAGGAGGTTAGTTTTTTTCTTTCTTTTTCTTTTCTTTTTTCCTTTTTTTTTTCTATTTTCGTTTTTTCTTTTTTTTTCGGTCTGTTGGTCTGTTGGTCTGTGGTTACCTGCCTTAACTACCTGAGGAAGGTGATGAAGATGAAGAGGAAAAAGAAAAAAGGAAAAAGAGACAACCCCTTATCCATCTTTATGATTTCTTTATTCCTCTCTCGAGAGAACTATACTAATCCCTCCTCTCTCCAAAAAAACCCCCCAGTTCTCCAAAATCCACGCCGCAAAATCCTGCTTCTCCTACCCAGCAGCCCATCTCCATCCCTACAAACTCGTCCTCCATCTCCTCCGCAAAGCAATTGTCCAAGGAGGCGTAAACCTCCAAACCCACACCCCCGTCACTTCCATCTCCGACACACGCAACCACCACCACGACGGAGGAAAAAATTATTCTTACTGGACCATCACAACCCCTCGAGGTCTCGTACGTGCTCGAAAAGTCATTTTTTGCACAAATGCGTATACGGGAGGTATTGCGCCGATGTTTCGAGGGAAAATAATTCCTGTTAAAGGGGTTTGTTGTAGAATTCTTGTTTCCGACGATAACAATGAGGATGACGAGAAGAAGAAGAAGAAGAAGAATTCACCTCCTAATACGAATAAATCACAACAACAACTTCCAACAAATACCTATAGTCTCCGCCACGCCCGCTCTTTATACGACTATCTCATCCCTCGCGCTCAAGACAATCCTCCTTCGATAATTCTCGGAGGAGCCAAACCCGTTTTCTGGCATCATCAACAACAAGAACAACAACAATCTTCCCCTCCTCCCCCCTCATCTCCTCCTCCCCCTTCTTTTCCAATATGGTACAACAACCCCAACGACAACACCCTCTTCCCTCCCCCCTACTCCTCCCAAATCCAAGCATACTTTCACGAATTCCTCCCAAAACATTTTATCTCATCCTCCTCATCATCCTCCTCATCATCCTCCTCCTCCTCCTCTTCTTTTTCCTCCTCTTCTATCGATAAAATCTGGTCCGGAATAATGGGATGGAGTACAGATTCCATGCCCTGGATCGGCGCGATTCCAATCCCAAATCTGAGAGGACAAGGTCAATTTATTTTGGCGGGTTTTAGTGGTCATGGGATGCCGGTTATATATTTGGCGGCTGAGGCGGTGGCGAGGATGGTTTTGGATGAGTTAGAAGAAGATGAGGAAGAGGAAGATGAGGAGGAGGAAGAGGAGGGGGAGGAGGAGAGGAGGAAGAAGAAGGAAAGGAAGAATTTTGAGGAGATGGGTTTACCGGGAGTGTTTGAGGTGACGAGGGAGAGGTTGGAGAGAGAGGGGAATGACATTTTGGGGAGATGAAGAGCCTCTTGTTTTTATTTATCTGTTTTTTTTTTCTTTTGGCGATTCATTCGGTTTCCGGGAGAGGGGTTTCGGACTCTTCTGTCTATACATTATCTGTGAGCCTGCGTAGTATTTGACAAGAAGTAGTGATTTTGGGGCACTCAAGTCCTGCTGCAGCGGTATAAGGCTAGCGCTCTCTTGTCTGAAGCGGCAGCTGTATGGCAATGTAACCCTTACAATTTCTGCTACCTGCGCAGGCAATTACACGACGGTATTTTGTGCCGGTCATCCTCTATAATTGAGAAGGGTCATATCTTCATGGCCCTCGTAGTCTTGTCATAAAACTCCAACGTCAACGCCGCTAGGAAGCAGGGTATCTCTTTTCTTCCCTCCACCCAGAACTCGATCATCTCCTTGATCTCCCCCGCAAAGACACTCTGAGGTCCACCACTGACTTTCATGGTTCCGTTCTCGCCGTCAAAGACGATGCTGTTCTCGACCTCTTCGCCATCGCAGTATTGGGTCGGATATAATATGGAGGTGCACTTGACGCGTCCATTGGGCATGAAATCAAGCTTCCATCCCAGGATCGAGCAGACAGCTTCTCGGAACTCTAGAGCTTTGGCGGAGTAGATCTGGCGGAGTCGCATGTCCTTTTTTTCCATCTTCTTCATCTGCGCTTTCGTCTCTTCCAGTTGAAGACGGACATTCTCAAGACTGGACGCAGGCACCACTTTCGTCCCGTGTGGTTGTCCCTCCAGTTGTGCTAACAAGGCAGCATTCTCGTCACGAAGAGTGTTGAGTGTGGACATCTTGATCGCTTCGACCTCTGCGGTAGGGTTGTTGCGAAACTCGAGAACGCGAGTTCGGGAGGACTCCTTCAGAGATTTGACTTGTGATACACTGGCTTTGAGCTCCGCCTCCAGTAACTGATTTCGCTTCTGCAGCTTCTCGAGGTCGGTTTGGAGCGTGCGAACCTTGCGCTGGAGCTCTCCAAGACGCTCATTCGAAGCATCGTCTTCTTCCCGAGAGCGCTTCTTGGGCGTGCATGGGATCGACGGCTGCTTCTCCAGCTTCTCCAGCAGCTTCGAGAGTTCCGTCTGAAGAGTCTGGACCTCTGTCTGGTGTTGCGCCAGTACTTCTTCCAAGTCGTGGATGCGCTTTGCGTGTGCTTCGTCAACTTGTTCGGGCGAGAATTCTGCGTGTTCAGCTTCGAAAGTTTTCAACTGTGCTCGAAGGTACTCTACCTCCTTGGTGAGCAGATTCTTCTGCCGTTCTAAGCGAGATATCATGGTCTTTGCGTCTCCACTGTCTGCATTTGCTCCCGCCGCGGCGACAGCGTCGCGAGCCTCCTCGAGCGCAGACTGCAAGCGCGTCTTCTCGTCCTGCAGGATCCTGATGTTTTCCTCCTTCACCAACAGCTCAGGTTGAATGGAGCCCAATTTATTCAACAGGTCTAGCCTCTCCAGTCGCTCTTGCAAGAAGGCGCGGGCCATTTGCTCAGGTGTCTCGTATCGCAAGTCCTCATTTTCAGCGGCTTCCATATCCAGATAACTGGTCCAGCTGGTCTTTTCATCTTCTAAGATGCGCTTCTGTAGTTGTGCCTCAGCGAGCTCTTTCCGCATATCGTCCATCATGCGCACCTTTGCCTCCAGTGCACGCTTCTCCTCCTCGACCACATCGATGCTCTTGCTTGTCTTACGGATCTGCTTGAGCTCGGTCAGATGCTCGCGATTGGTCTGTTCCAGCTTCTTGATGTACGTGACTTGCTCTGTGAGCTCTTTTTTGATGACAGCAAGCGTGTCCGAATCGCCCGTCTGCGCTTTGAGTCGGAGCACCTCGTTCTCTAATTCGCCCACCTCGGTCTCTTTTTGCACGAGCTTCTGCTGGGCAGCCTGCAGAGCCGTGACCTTGCCACTTAGATCCTGTTGTGCATCTTCAAACGAGGCCTGCAACGCATTGTACTTTTGTTCCAGCTCACTGAACGCATATTGATTCTGTCCTAGAAGAGAAGCAGGAGGCAGTCAGCAGATGTCTCACTCCATTCTCTCCTGAGCTTGTTCCTCCGGGCTCGACTCGATAAGCACAGGCTGGAGCCACTTACGTCCAGCGCCTTCGAGGTCTGCCTTTGCCTCCTCGAGATCGTCTCGCAGCGCGCGGTTGTCGTCTTGCAGGGAGCGCACCTTTTGCTCCTACAATCGAACGTAAGCAAGCAAGCGAGCAAGCAGGCAGAGGGCTTCTTACCAGCTGCAGCTTCTCATTGGCCTGCCGATCGCGCTCTTCTTGTGTGTTTCGCGACAACGCTTCCGCCTTCTTGGTCGCAACGTTGGCAGCCAGCTCAGCAGCTTGCGCGCGTTTGAAGTCGGCCTCTGCGCGACTCTGAGCCTCGCGAAGCTCCTGTTGGTGCTGGAGATGATGTAGTTCGCGTTCCTGTTTGATTGTGTCCAACTCATACTGCAGCGTCCGTAATTTGACGCGCACTTCCTCGGCCTCCATCACGTCTCTCGCTGGTCGGGAGGCTATCGACTGCTTCGTTATTGTTTCTCGTAGCGGCTGTCCTGGGTCCTGATGTTCCCCAGCAAGGAAGTCGTACGTCGGTTGATTTGCGCGCGGCGCCATATTGGCCGCTGGCGTTATGTCCCGCCTGTGCGAGAAACAAGAAAGTGGTTACAATGTTTACGTGAAAGAGGGACTCACTCTTCACTCGTGCCGCATCTGGATCGCGCTGTCACGTGAGTGATCTTGGCGAGCTGGTCACGGTCTATAGTCCATAAACTCATGTAGAGTCCATGGTTCTATAGTTCTCTCAGGCTGTTGACATTCAATTCATCAATCGTGCATCAACCCCTATTCCATCTCTATCTCTATCAGAACTCGAGTCTTCTTGCAAAGCATCACTCCAGTTGTGGTACTTCTATCGGGATCAATAGGAATAGCCGCCCGATGCTCTTCCAACAGTGGCATCACTCGGAGATCTCCCATTTATCTTCAGATACATCCTACATGCATCTGTCAACTACTCCCGCCTCGGTTTAAAGCCCCAGATTTGACCGAGCATATATACTGTAGCTTGTTATCTCGCTAGAATAACTGCCGGGCAAGGATGCAAACCTTCGCCCTGGCCTATCTGCACATGTACATTGTACAACGACATACCATGCATGTCCAACACACCAGGGACAGATGTACAGCACTCGCCGTCGCTGCGGTACTGCTGCTGCAAGATTGGCGCTCGCAGATATGCCACTAGTGGCTCCCGGACAAGCTAGATTTCACCTCAAGCAAGCACTTCACCTCACTCTTCCACTAAGAAAAGAAATCCTGAGATCGCTCTCTCCATATTCATCTATCAAAACATCCAGCAACGCCAGCACGCCACCATGGCGACAGCAACAGGAATAGACAGTAGCAACAAGATCGCTTCAGTAGAAATAACATCAGACGAAGATAATCCAAGCAAAGCATTCGCCATTGCTCCAAATGGCAATATCGTTGGTCCGTGATGGATCACTGCACTGCTGAGACCCTAATCATCAAGTCCTAACTTCTCACTCACATAGACAATGGCCTCCAACGCGGTCTCAAAAGCCGTAAGTTCCAACATACCTATCACAGCATATCCGCAGGAAACCAACCCCCTTAATCTGACCACTCATCATCACCCAGGCCATCTCACTATGATATCCTTTGGCGGCGTCGTCGGCGCTTCGATCTGGTACGGTGTTGGTTTCGCAGTCGCCTACTCCGGCCCCATTGGCGCTCTGATCTGTTTCTTCATCATCGGCGTCGATGTGTATTTCGTGATGCAATGTTTGGGAGAGATGTCGACCCTCTTTCCTGTTCAAGGAGCTTTTATCGAACTTGCTGGGAGATTTGTGGATGAGAGTTTGAGTTTCAGTTTGGGATGGAGTATGTGAACCTCTCTCTCTTTCTTGACCAGAAATTTGTTCTGTGGCGGAGACATCGGAGACAGTGCTAACTGCTACTCGTCGGCATCAGACTATTTCTATCTATGGGTGACGAATATCGCTGGTATGTTGTACTTCCTGCCGAGTATATCAGTATTAGAAGAACGCTGATAATTCAAACTTGCGCGTGAACAGCTGATTTCAATGCTAGCTCGGTAGGTTGACCCTCTTCATTAACCTCATACAGCAATGTTGATCGATTGACAATAGATCATCATGGGCTACTGGACGCAATCCGTCCCGACCTACGCCTGGATCCTCCTCTGGTGGGCATTCTACCAATGCACATCTCTCCTCGGAGTCGTCGTCTGGGGCGAGATGGAGTTTTGGCTTGCATGCTGGAAACTCACATGTATCCTGGGTGGATTTCTGTGCGCGATCTTGATCAGTGAGTAACTTCTTTTCTTGGACTTTCTCTTTCCAACAGCTAAACTGGATAGACACCGGCGCCGTGGGTGGAGACTACATTGGTTTCAGGTATTGGAAAACACCCGGCCCCATCGCAAACGGCATCGAAGGCTTTGGACAGTGTTTCTTGCTGGCAGCAGTATACTATTGCGGGACGGAAATGCTCGCTATCACGGCTGCCGAGAGTAAATATCCGGCGAGGGATCTACCAAAGGCGATCAAACAGACTTTCTGGCGAGTTTTGTACATCTTCATGTGAGTCTTCCGACCCACTACGTACTAAAAATGACAAGACGTGAAGACTGACCTCGCGGAAACACCAAACAAAAATAGGGGTCTCGTCTTCTTCGCTGGAATCATAGTCTCATCCGACGACCCCGATCTTCTCACTGCAAAGAGCAAATCCGGCAAGTCCCCTTGGACCATCGCATTCACCCACGCCGGTGTACCTCAAATGGGTCATGTGGTAAGCCCTCCACCACCCCCTTACCTCGATACTTGCTCGACAAAAAAAAACGCATCAAGACTCACCCCATCATATTGCAATGCAGGTCAACGTAGTCATGATCACAGCCCAACTATCCTCGATGAACAGCGCCCTCTACGTCGCCTCTCGCAGTCTAGTCAACCTCGCCTCCACAGGTCGTGCTCCTCGGTTTTTCGCAAAAACTACCAAAAGCGGCACTCCCGTTTACGCTCTCGTCTTCTCTAATGCCCTCGGCCTCATCGCCATGCTCAACTATCGCGTCGGCACGGGAAAAATTTTCACTTATGTGGTGAATATTGCAGGATCGGCTACTTATATCGCTTGGGTAAGTTACAAAAGCAAAGAAAAGACAACTCTACCCATCAGCCCTTCCAACCCTCTCCCCTCCCAAATTCTCTCACCCAACCTAACCCTTCCTTCACCCATCCCAGGCCTGCATCGGCATAATCCACATCCGCTTCCGCCTCGCCTGGACAGCCCAAGGCAACTCCATCAGCTCTCTCCCCTTCCGCGCCCTCTTCTACCCCTATGGCACGATATTTGTAATTTTCATCAACACCTTCCTCGTCTTCATCGCCGGATACGCCGATTTTGTTCGAGGCTTCCATGCGGTGGATTTTGTGATTAATTATGTCGTGATTGCCGTTTTTGCGCTGTTGTATGTCGGGTGGAAAATTGTGAAGAAAACTACTATCGTGCCGTTGTTGGAGGTCGATTTGCTGAGTGGGAGGAGGGAGAGGTTGGGTGAGGAGGGGGAGAGGTATGATGGTGGGGATGCGGATGCTGATGTGGAGGTGGGAGGGGAGGAAAACAAAAGAGTGGCGTGGTATGTGAAGGTGAAGAGGTCTGTGTTTGCGTGAACAATCTTTCAAGTCTCTTCATCTCTAAAAAGAGAAAAGAATACATCGAACTTGCTTCAAGTGGTCTGTGCGTGCTTACCTATCCCTCTCCCAAACCTTCGTAGCCGTGGTGAACAAAACCCCTGAAAAAGGTCTTAGATACCTACATATATTCAGGAGAAGCGCTTCCACTAGCTTGCCAGAGGAGATAGGTCCTTAGGCGAGCAGAGAAATTCACTTATGGACACATTCACTTAATGGAATTCACTCATTGAAATTCACTTAATTGGCATTCAGCCCATCCTACTGGATGATGTGTGGAGCTATGTGTACAGAAAGTGCTGACACTAAGGCTGATACCCTCACCGGCACCGGTCCTCAACGTCAGACATTCTCATCTCCTTTCTCGCCTGTCGGCAGCTCCAAGCTTGTGTCTGGAAACGCAATGGCGTATGGTCCAGCCTTCTGTCATGCTCTCCTCCACCTGTGCACTGTTGTTGTGCGTGACGCTGGAGTCTGAGCCGCTTATTTTGGCGACGAGCTGCGCTGCAACTCCATTTCGCGAATGCGAGAGGCTCGATACTGTCGGTGCCTCTCCAGATCGGCGGCGTACTCGACAGAGATCTGATCTTCGTCAGGTTCGCGTCGCACTTCGTCAGGTTCGCGTCGCACTTCGTCGGGTTCACGGCGCACTTCTTCGAAGTACACGATGGTGCCGACGCCATTCATAGGACGCATCGCTAGGAGCGGCGCAGGCTCTGATGGATCTCGACAAGTGAGGGCACTTGCAATGCGCTGCTCGCGAAGTTGGTGCTCCGAGAGGTTCACGCTATTGAGAGCGCGTGCTTGTTGATGGGCCGCCATCATTGCCTCGTTGCCCTGACCGAGTCCAGTAGAAAGCAACGTGCCTGATTCACTCTGCGGAGGCATGGTGGCCGCTTCGGTGGGGTCCACGCGCGGAGCCCACTCTGGATCAGGATGCGCGCCATAGGCCAGGCGTCTCTCCGCCTCTTCTGCGTGCAACTGTTCGAGCTCTCTGCGGTGCATCCGCTCACGACGACGAGCTTGGCGTGCTTGTGCCGAGCAGTCGAGCTATTATTCATGTCAGTGTATTCTCTTCAAGATGCCACGAGGACTCCAAAACTTCATGACTCACATCGAATCCGCGAAGACAGCCTCCAGCACACAGACTGTAGACGAGGACCAAACTGACAGCGCAATATCCGATGAGCACCCAGATTGCTGGCATGGCCCACGCGCCGCTGAGCCCGCCCTGAGCACTGGATGGTGTGACGGAGCTTGTGATGGTGGGGGCGGGTGCTGGTGAGGTCGTCGAGGACGCTCCATTGAGATCGATGGAGATTGTTCCTGTCGGAAAGGCTAGAGTCACAGTCGTGGTGAAGGTGATCGGCACCGCGAACACGGTTCGGGCTACCGTGGTTGGGGTCGACATCGTGGTGCAATGGGGTTTCAGCGATGAGTATGAGTTGGTCGCAGCGATGAAGAGTCAAATCAAAAGAAGTGCGAGCTGGATGTTGCTGAGCACGCGATCACATGGCCGGGCCGCTGCCGCAGGTGCCTGCAGGGAGAAGTCGCGAGTGAATGTAAAGCAAGACGGGGTCCAGCAGCATTCATCTTCACCAGAATTCAGTCGCGGGCAATAAATCATGAATAGAAGGGAGCTATACGAACCGTCTCGCCCACCAGCGCCTCTCCCTGCGTTTACGCCGAGCCAATGCAATGCCACGCAAACAGATCTCCCTAATCACATCACTCCTCAGACACGACAACAGCTCAGGACGACTCCGTCCAGGGCAAAGGAAATGTGCCCACCCAGTCTTCGACCTCGCGTCTCAACTCGACAATCTCGATGACCTCTTCACCCTCCTTGACGTAGTCCTTGAAGGCATTGACGCTACCTGGGTTTTTGCGCCCGCTCTTCTCCGCCGCCTCCTTGGCTTTGGCGTCGAGAGTCTTCGTGATGTTGACAGCTCTATGCACAACATCGGCGACACGCTTAAAGTCGCCGGCCTGGAAGCCTCGCGTTGTCATCGCTGGTGTGCCCATACGTAGGCCACCTGGCTTTAATGCGCTCTTGTCGCCAGGAACAGTGTTCTTGTTCGCTGCGCAGCCGACAAGCTCGAGCACGCGTTCTACTCGTGCTCCATCGATGCCCTTGTCCTTCAGATCAACCAGGACGAGATGGTTGTCCGTCCCACCACTCACGATGTTGTAGCCCAAGCCCCCAGACTCCTTTCCGTTGCCTAATCGGTTCGCAAGCGCCTGTGCATTCTCCAGCACCTGCGTCTGGTATTCCTTGAACTCTGGCTGTTGTGCCTGGTGAAGCGCAACAGCGAGAGCTGTGATGGTGTGGTTGTGTGGTCCTCCTTGATGCCCTGGAAATACAGAGGCATTGATTGGATTCTCGAGATCGTACTGTGTCTCTTTTCCCTTCTTGTCCACGCTTCGCACTCCTCTGCGGAAGAAGATCATGGCGCCTCGAGGTCCTCTCAAGCTCTTATGCGTCGTCGTGGTGACAATGTCTGCAAAGTCGAATGGCGAAGGAACCACTCCTGCTGCCACAAGACCCGAGATGTGTGCCATGTCCGCCAACAAGTAAGCGCCCACCTTGTCGGCAATCTTTCTAAATCGATCGTAGTCGATCAGTCTGCTGTAGGCACTCGTTCCTGCGATGATGATCTTTGGTCGGTACAATAGCGCTTGCTCTTCGAGCCTATCGTAATCTATGAGGCCGGTGCTTTCGTCCAGTCGGTACGGGAAGGTTTCGAAGTACTTGGAGATCATGGAAATCTTCTTGTTCGGTATCTGGTAGCCGTGAGAGAGATGTCCGCCATGGGGAAGGTCGAGGCCCATGATGCGGTCGTGCGTGTTGAGAAGAGCCGAGTAGGCATAGAGGTTGGCGGGGGAGCCAGAGAGAGGCTGGACGTTGACGCCCCATGTATCCTTTTGCAGTCGAAATGTCTCCAAGGCTCGGTCCTGGCACAGGATCTCTGCTTCGTCGATGAACTCGTTGCCGCCGTAGTACCGTGCGCCTGGATAGCCCTCGGAGTATTTGTTTTGCATGACACTTCCTAGCGCGTCCAATACAGCCTGGCTGGTGAAGTTCTCGGAAGGAATCAGGTTGATGAAGTGCTTCTGCCGTCTCTTTTCCTTGCGGATGATATCGAAGACAGAGGGATCGGCGTTCTCGAGGTTGGCAGACAATAGCTGTGTCAACATCCGTCAGCCATGGACTCATTCGCTCAGTATGGAAAGCGCTGTCGCTTGTCCCTGGTAGACATGTCTATCTCTCTTACCTTTTGCTGTCCATCTACGGACAAGGCGCGCCACGCTGCAGGCTTCGCGAGCGACTGCGCAGCACTCGGACGCTTGCAGGCACGGCAGATCAGCCCACCAGAAGCCTTGACGGTCGTCCGTATCGAAGCCATGATGAGGATGGCGGAGGTGTTAGGGGAAAGTTGATGTAGAATGTCAGAGACGCGGCCGTGAGAAGTGATTCACTAGGTACTGTACTTGTACTGTCACAGGCAAATCTGATCGAAGTATGGCGGGGATCTGCATTGACCAACTACCTCCTACCTCCGTACTAGTTCTATATTCTACCGCTGCCGGAGAATAAGTTTTTCACGGTACGAACGCGAAAGCGGGCTCTGATTGCAGCGAAAGGCTTCCGCATATAGGTATACAACAGACGAAGGCGGTTGCATCGGGCGTGATATTACCAAAAGAGGCTCGAATGTCCAAATCTCGACATTGGAAACATCAGCAGAAATGTGTCTTGAGCCGAACAGAGGCCGATATTTAGGCACTTGTTACCCATCTGCTAGTTGAATATTTCACAGAAATAAATGCCCTGCTGATACACACGTGCCGAAGAAGGTGAAGCAGAAAGTGGTGTTGGAGAGCTGGGAAACGAATATTTTTTTCGCACCAAGGAAGACCACGATGGCACCATCGCACAGAGATTGAGCTCATCCGCAGGTACATGTACAGCAAAATAAGTAGTGGACCTTTTTTTTCACTTTAGTACCGACCGGTAGCATTGGCGCCAGGGAGCGCTGTGTTACTGTTCAGGTATTATTGCTCGATAATCAATATCACGGTAGAGGGGGTCAATGACCATTGTTGGCGACTAGTCATTTGACGATAACTCCCGTACAAGATTAGTATTGTCGTCCGTCCCGGAAGACAACAAACGACAATGCCCTGGCATGTATTGGCATTGGAAAGAATAATAACCCTTGAACCCTTGCGGCAGCCCAGCCGAGTGCCCGCACCCCGAGAGCCCCGCCAAATCGAATAGGTCGGCATTTAGGAATTTGTTACTTTCTCTCACTTTCATCTCTTCCCATTCCTTCACCTGCCCACCCACCCACTTTCTTTCTCCCTTCCGCGCACCACCTGCACACACCCACACACGCACAATGGCAACAAACGGCACGAGACCGCACTCCGGCCCAGCGTAAGTGAAGCCATTCAGTCCACCTTGACCCCGGGGAGAGCATCAGCAGCAGCAGAGAAAAAAAAAAAAGAACGGCGGGCGTCAGACGCAAGCTCACATGGACTCCACGCTGACATCTCCTGCAGCAAGGGCACCTTTCTCTTCACCTCCGAGTCCGTCGGTCGTGGCCACCCCGACAAGATCGCGGATCAGGTCTCGGATGCTGTCCTCGATGCCTGCTTGGCTGAGGACCCAGCGTCCAAGGTCGCCTGCGAGACTGCCACCAAGACGGGTATGGTCATGGTCTTTGGAGAAATCACCACAAAGACACGTCTCGATTACCAAAAGGTCATTCGCGAGGCCATCAAGGACATTGGCTACGATGACTCCTCCAAGGGCTTCGACTACAAGACTTGCAACGTCCTCGTCGCCATTGAAGAGCAGAGCCCCGATATCGCACAAGGTCTCCACTATGAGGAGGTCCTCGAGAAGCTCGGTGCCGGAGACCAGGGCATCATGTTTGGCTATGCCACTGATGAGACGCCTGAGCTGCTCCCATTGACTGTTCTACTGGCACACAAGCTGAACTCCACCATGGAGGAGGCTCGCAAGAGCGGAGAGCTCCCATGGCTCAGGCCTGACACCAAGACCCAAGTCACTGTCGAGTACGAGCATGACAATGGTGCCGTCATTCCAAAGCGTGTCGACACTGTTGTCGTCTCTGCTCAGCACGCTGAGACCATCACCACGGAAGACCTCCGAAGCGAGATCAAGGAGAAGATCATTAAGAAGGCCATTCCAGCACACCTCTTGGACGACAAGACTGTCTACCATGTAAGCCAACGTGTTCGTCGTGTGCCTATAGCATCACCAGCTGACCTGTGTAGATCCAACCCTCTGGCCTGTTCATCATCGGTGGCCCTCAGGGTGATGCCGGCCTCACTGGCCGTAAGATCATCGTCGACACCTACGGTGGCTGGGGAGCACACGGTGGTGGTGCTTTCTCTGGCAAGGACTACAGCAAGGTCGACCGCTCTGCAGCCTACCTTGCTCGATGGGTTGCCAAGTCGATTGTCAAGGCTGGACTTGCTCGCCGTGCTCTGGTGCAGTTCTCATACGCCATTGGTGTTGCAGAGCCGCTTTCCATCTTCGTCGAGACCTACGGAACTTCCGACAAGACGTCTGAAGAGCTTGTCCAGATCGTTCGCAACAACTTTGACATGCGTCCCGGTGTGATTGTCAAGGACCTGGACCTCGCCAAGCCCATCTACCGCGAGACGGCCAAGAACGGCCACTTCACCAACCAGAACTTCAGCTGGGAGAAGCCAAGAGAGCTCAAGTTCTAGGCGACAACATCCCGTCGCTTCAACAGTCACACCAGCCATGGTCATCAATATACCACATATTGCTGACACGATGATGGCTTGCATAAGCTGGATCAGAGCTCCACCACTGATCCGGCGGGGAACGGCGTTATAATGGGGCAGCAAGAGGGAACGAAACAATTTCGGGTGTTACAGTAGATGAAGAAAAGTTCACGGAGAGCAAAAAAGATACCCCCAGGCCCTGCTCGGGCGATGAGCGTTCTTGAATTCAACATAGACCACGGGCAGGCAGGCAGTCAAACGGCATCAGGTTTAGCGTCGGCGTTCAGGAGATGACTTCAACTACATCTCGAGAGAGCGCGACACTATCATCAACAAATGCGCTCGATAGGAATTTTAAATGGAATGTTTTTTCTGCATTTTCTTTTTTTCTTTTTGCAAAAAGCCAGTGTTTTGTTTTGTTTTGTACTTCCATGTCTCATAAAACCATGTCCATGTACATGTACCTCTTTCGCATCACTACTACCTACTTGAACGAAATGACTGCATGCTAACATGAACGTAGGGTAGTGTTTAACAACAGGAGTCCGTACTGTTGAGCTACGTGTACCTGTAGCGACCCTACATTTTATCCATCTATTCTGTCGATATCAAGCAAATCTACGATACCTGCTCGCTCGCTTGCTTGTTCATTCGTTCGTTCGCTCCAACAACAACGACGACAACATGAAAGTCTCCCAGAGACTCCATGTAGGATAGGTAACATCCACAGACATGGATATCTATAAGAAGAAGAAGAAGAATACCAGAGGATAACCCACCAGGCCCAGCCACACACCCTTTCCCCTCCCCCAGAAACCTATTTCCGTATAAAATAAACTTCCAGGAGTTCTCTACTTCTCAGCATGCACCACCATCAACACCGAAGACAACTCCCTCACAATCTCTTCCATGACCTCTGCCAGTCGTTCAGGCATACTCGCAAACGGAGCATGATCACTCGCCAAGTCTTTAACGACGGTGGTATCGGGGCAAAAGCGCTGTAAGCGCGCAATAAAGAAGTTCTGTTCTTCGAGCAACATGGCTTGGTCGTGCAGACACCGGACGTAGTAGCAAGGGAAAGATTTCCAGGTTTCGTGTTTGGTGGGTGCGAGGAATGATGAGGATGATTGGGGCACGAGGCGGGAGATGGATTCGTGAGCGATGGAGGGAGAGCAGGTATTGTAGAGGGTGGGGAGGGGGGATTTAACGTGGCTGAGAGAGCCCTAGAAGAGGTGGTTGGATGCGATGGTTAGCTGTGGTTTTAATCTATGCTGATGGTGGTGGTGGTTTCAGATTGGTTGCTGATTGATTGATTTTTGTGCTAGATGCCGGTTCAGGGAGTAATGGTACATCCCCGAATGACAGGAAAGCAGAAGAAATAAAAAGGGTTCACGTACATCCATTCGGACCCAAGAAGCTCGACCAGCGAGTTTCGAAGTCACTAGACTCTGTCCGGCTTCTGCTACAAACGCTGTGACGAACACGATTCCCAGAACTCGCCCGGTAGAAGTGGTGGTGGTACTGCCCTGTTCGCTTTTTTCGCGAAGTGTCGACGAGGACAAATCCGCTAATGCCTCGCAGCCAGGAATACCGCCGTAGCTATGACACACCAGAAGCACATCGCGTCCATCTCGGAGCTCGTCTGCAATCGTGTCGTATATAAGCTTGCAATCCGCCTCGAAAGAGTTTGCAGGAGGTGTCAGACTCGAGCTGGATTGTTGTGGAACAATGACTCGATCAATGGTGGTGTATTTCTGGACTGCATCGCAGAAGAGTTGATAATGCCATGTGGTGTGGAAAGCTCCATGGGACACGACGATGCTGGTGTTGTTGTATTTGAACGATTCTCGGGAAAGTGAAGGCGTGGGAGACCTGACAGCTTTGGAGTGTGGGTGATGGTGATGGACTTCGACAGTCTCAGGCTCTGATGTCGGAGAGGAGATGGCGGAGGCGGAGGAGGGGGTAGAGGAGGAGGGTGAGCGAAAGCAGTTGTATCTTTGGAAGAGTGACTTGATTTTGTCCATGTTGAGTGGAAGTACTGTTCGTGCTCTTCTTCTCTGCTTGCTTGCTTGCTTGCTTGCGGGCGTGAGATATGGGGAGTCTCTGTGATCAGGCCAGGAGGATCCGAGGCACAGCTACCTCAGGGAGGAGTTAGGTAGCCTTACGCCTTCTGCTTATGAGCTGACAGGCTCTCTCGGAAGCAAGGGGTAAGTGTGGATTTGTGTGTGTGTATGCTCTAACGGGCCAGACAGCCGGTGGCGAGGGCTGGGTTGAATTCACTTGACGGACGAGGAACGTGTGGTAAGCCGGGTATTCTCTCAATGATGATCCGCGTCGTGTGTGAGGTGTTCATGCGTATCCCGGCGGCATGTGTTCCTTCCCACGTACAGACCACGGTTCCCTAGGTACCTTAGGCTGCATGTAGATGTTGCTTTTTGAGTTTGGTCCTCTTTCACCTGGGCATGCAAGCCAAGGAGGTCTGTAGTAAGGTAGTATAGTATAGCAGTAGTGGCAGCAGTAGTGCGCAGGTGGAGATGGCTCAGGTAGGTGCCCTCAGGTACATGTAGGTATAACTAGGCCCGTGATGACTGAGGAATGTTTCGCTCAGCTCTCTGTCGGATTTGGTCGGGAAAAAATTTACACAGAGGGGGCACATATTAAAGGCAGCAAAGTGCAATGCCCGAATGCATGGTAACGACGAAGAGTGGTGGAAGGGTGCCAGTCAACGAGGCGCATATTGTGCACGCTGCGCACAGGTGTCTGCGTGCGCTGTCTAGGTATGTAATTGACTTCTTGGTGTCAATATGGTAGGGCTGGAGCAATCTTGGTCGATGATGCTGACCAGAAACCACATCCTCTCCTCCACTTTGGTCTTGTACCTCCATCTCATGCAGCTGTGCTTCGCGTTGCTCATACGTCCGTGGTTCTGTGCCATGTATGCCACCTTCGATCTGGAGGGGAGGACGGGGCACGCCTCCTTGTCCTGCCCTGCTCTGCCCTGCTCTGCCCTACATTGTCTTGGGGCCTGGGCTGCGCTGCGTGGGCACTCCACCCGCAATGCAACCAACGCCCACTGCCGTAGCACTCCCGTTCATTCACCTGTGGGAAAATCTCAGACTCTCTGAACGTTCGCGTGTACATGTAGTGCATGTGTTTCTGTTTCGGGCTGCACGCATGGTAGCACAATTACGATCAATCTGCAAGCCAGTAGGAGATCCGTGGGGCTCTTGAAGAGAAAGTGACCGGTCACATTGCGAAGCTCGAGACTACGTGCAACACGACATCGTGGCGCGGCTTCGATATAGATCGTCCGGCATGCATTCTCATACATACCAGGACTTGCTTGCTCCCCGATGGGCATGTAAGGTACTTATTGTACTAGAAGAACCTGAGGTGTGATGTATCAGGATACGCAACATCCAGCTCCCCAAGCTCCCCAAACAGTGTTGCCTGAGTTTTGCCGTGTTTCATATATCGCAAATCCCCGTTCCTGGGGGTTTGCGGCAAGGACACAGTTGGACAGCGGAAGCCGTCGCCTATGTATGTACTGTAGTCACATGCAAGATATAATATGGACAGACCTGATGTTGCTCCCATCCATGTCCCATCGATCGGACAGATCCGTCGTCGGCAGGGCTGTTGATGCCGTGCATATACGAACGCTCTGGGTCGCTATCGCAGTGGAAGACCACGTCTTGTGTACCAACCAGAAGCCTATATTCACCCGTAGAGTGGTCCATCGTGTCTGCAGCTTCGTTGAGAGGAGTTATTGCCTGTCTAGGCAGATGCAAGACTCTCACGACTCTATGGCTCGGAAATTGGGCATGTCGTTGCCCTTGTCCTTCCTTCTGCTGATCCACGATTCGCGAACATGCTATGCTGGAGCCCATCAGCCTGGGGGCCAACGTCAGCGTGCGACATGCCTCTGAAGATATCGACCCAGATGTAGGTGCCCAAGCTTTCACATATCCAGAGATCATGGCGACTGTCTGCACGGCGCGGTGCATAGGTAACTGCATACCTAGGTGTATCCGTCCGTGGCCAATAGACCCATGCCTTTGCTATCTGGCCACCATGTCGGCCTGCACGTTCATCTAATCCACCAGTGTACGCATTTATTCTTCTTGGTCCCGTTGCTGCCGCGCCGCTTAGAGCGATGCAGTCGCGATTGCAGACCCTCTTCTCCCCTCGCTGGTCAGTCAGTAAGGTAGAAAGTCCCTCGGGGGGATGGGGGGTTGCAGAGATGGAGCAGACGCAGGAGCTGCAGGCAAGGAGGACCAATCTGTTCCAACGTCAGCGGTCTTAGACTACCTGATGACCATCCCTTATCGTTACTAGGTAAGGTATTAATGAGACTGTCGAGGCCATATCGTGATGTGTTTGCTGGCACAGTTCTCATATTGAGGACTCGACCGAAGCTGCCTTTACGGCTATGTGGCCCCTTTTACGCAACTCATGCAACGAGACATGTAGGAGGTGTTCTTCCTCGGAGGCCAACACATGGCATAGGAAATAGGCAAGGTAGGTACCTAGTCCACCATTACAACTCCGCGCAGAGATGCCACGGAGATAGACGGTAAGGAATGAAGCGTGTCCATCCATGCGAGATCGGCATCTGCACATGTTGGATGCCCGAGCAGGCTCTGGCTTGGCTCCGGCTTGGCTATTTGGCTTTCGGTCTCCGGCGACTGAAACCTTCACTCATGTACCTACTGCCGGACATGCAGTCTGCACAGTGCACACTTCACACATCTCAGCTGCAGCCTGCATAAGTGTGCTATAGAGTCACGTGTCGAGAGACGAGTTTCCTCCGTGCCGCCAGCGTTCATCATGTCGGAAGATGTTCAGGCTGACGATGCAGTGCACCTGACTGACGACATGATTTATTGCGGCAGGCCTGTGCTGGATACAGCCGAGTATCATGCGTGAAAGCCGCCGAATACGCTCGCACTATGAACACGATGGCAACAGTGGTGGGGTGCCCTGTGGAGGGCGTGCGGGAGTCTATGCACTTTGCAGTGGCAGATTGGGCAACGGTAGAGATGGCGGCAGACAAAGGGGAGGGGGGAGAGGGCCTGAGAGGCTTAGAGTGCAAAAATGCCTTTCTCCGCTCCGCTCAGTTCCCCCGCCAGGACAGTCTCATAATTCATTTTCCAGTCTCAGCATGTGAGGGAGAGAGGGAGCTTATCGAAGAGCAATTCCTATTACTCACTCACGTAGACCGGGTACGCAGTAGGAGGGACTGGAGACAGTAGGTCGGTGAGGTCCAGCAAACAACAATCATCGCCCGCCCCGAACTGCGCCGTCTGCAAAACAAACAGGACTACCTACGACAGTACTAGTACAATTGTTACTGGTGCAGCCGTGCAGGCACATTACATATCTGCTGGTGCCTTACTCAGCAAACGGTCATCGTGCGGTTCTCCTCGCCGTTACCTTCCGCCAGTGAAGCCGATCCAGTTCGACAAGCCCCACTACCACTCCAGTCCTCTCATGACATCCTCACCCTCAACTGAAAACTCCCTCTCGAGCTCTGCTACTTCACTCTCAACACCGCAACAGCGAGTTGACTCCATCGCCCACCACCTGACCAACTCCACCGTCGCCAGCATGTCTGCACCAGAGCCTGTGTAAGTCTCCCGCCCCGTCTGCCGTGCTGATGTCACCCGCCGTGCCCCTCATCAAAAGATTTCGTGCCCGGGAACATTGCTCACTGCTCCTTGCTTTTTGCCGCCAGCAAGACATACAGCAGCAGCAGCAGCAGCAGCAGAAGAAGCAACACACCCATGGCCCATTGTCCACAGGCACGGCATGCGAATCATGGCAGATGCTAACGACGTGTTTGCAGCGGAGACTTCGGTCTCATCGGCCTTGCGGTCATGGGTCAAAACCTCATCCTCAATGCCGCCGATCACGGATTCACCGTCGTCGCATTCAACCGTACCGTCGCCAAGGTCGATCGCTTCCTCGAGAACGAAGCCAAGGGCAAGAGCATTGTGGGCGCACACAGCATCAGCGAGTTCGTGTCGAAGCTGAAGAAGCCACGCCGTATGATGCTTCTCGTCATGGCCGGCAAGCCTGTCGACGACTTCATCGAGGTCCTGCTCCAGGGTGGTGTCGAGGAGGGTGATATCATTATTGATGGTGGTAACTCGCATTTCCCAGACACCAACCGCCGAACCAAGTACCTCAAGGCCAAGGGCATCCGCTTCGTCGGATCCGGTGTCTCTGGTGGTGAGGAGGGTGCCCGATACGGCCCTTCGATCATGCCTGGTGGTAACGAGGAGGCATGGCCATACATCAAGGATGTTCTTCAGAGCATTTCTGCCAAGTCCGATGGCGAGGCGTGCTGCCAATGGGTTGGTGACGAAGGTGCGGGCCACTACGTCAAGATGGTGCACAACGGTATCGAGTATGGTGACATGCAGCTTATTTGCGAGGTGAGCTCCCCCTCCCCCCATTGCAACACGCCAGCTTTCACACAACTCATGTCTGACATGCGCTAGGCCTACGACATCATGAAGCGCGGTCTCGGCATGACCGGTAAGGAGATGGCAGATGTCCTGGCCGAGTGGAACAAGGGCGTCCTCGACTCCTTCTTGATCGAGATCACTCGAGATATCCTCTACTTTAACGACGACGATGGAACGACTCTCGTGGAGAAGATCATGGACTCTGCTGGTCAAAAGGGTACCGGCAAGTGGACCGCCATCAACGCCCTCGATATGGGACAGCCCGTCACTCTGATTGGTGAGGCTGTATTCGCAAGATGTTTGTCTTCGCTCAAGGGCGAGCGTACTCGTGCCAGCGAGAAGCTCACTGGCCCTACACCAAAGTTCGAGGGCGACAAGAAGCAATTCCTTGCCAACCTTGAGCAAGCTCTCTATGCTTCCAAGATCATTTCCTACGCACAGGGCTTCATGCTGATGCAGAGCGTAAGTACTGGATCAAACGATTCGACATTGTGCGATTGCTGACCTCTCGTTGTAGGCTGCCAAGGAGTACGGCTGGAAGCTTCAGAAGCCAGAGATTGCCCTCATGTGGCGAGGTGGCTGCATCATCCGCTCCGTGTTCTTGAAGGACATCACCAAGGCATACCGCTCGAACCCTGACCTCGAGAACTTGCTCTTTGACGACTTCTTCAACAAGGCCATCCACAACGCACAGGATGGCTGGAGAGATGTCGTCTCCAAGGGAGCCCTTTGGGGTATCCCCACGCCCGCCTTCTCCACCGCCCTCTCCTTCTTCGATGGCTTCAGAACAAAGGACCTCCCCGCCAACCTTCTCCAGGCTCAGCGTGATTACTTTGGTGCCCACACGTTCCGCATCAAGCCCGAGCACGCCAGCGAGAAGTATCCCGAGGGCAAGGACATTCACGTGAACTGGACTGGACGTGGTGGTGATGTGTCTGCGTCGACGTACAATGCTTAAATCGTCTCTGGTCCGCGCGCGCGTATTTGCTGCTATCCCTCGTGACGGCCTTTTTTTTGCTTTTGCGGCCCTCCACTCTGGCGCCGCTGTGCTACAATTCTGCAATTTAGCCAAAAGCGGCGTCTTTTCTGATGATGTGGCCGAGAGTCGATGGAAAGAAGGTATTAGTCATCATGAATAGAACGAGCTGCACGTACATAGTCTACGTTACCAATGAGAAGAAGTGTCAGATGATTTTGCGTTTTTCCATTCTTCCATGCGCGTATTCTGTGCGTTGAAGTGTCCCCAGTGGTGCGTCGAAGTGTCCTTAAACACGTTCGGTGACGGATCAGCAAAAAGTGTACGTGCTAGTTTCACTTCCAGAACAATAGGACATCTGCAGAGGTATGTATACCTCAGGTATGCATCAGGCACCTAACTCTGTGAATGCACTGCACAAATAAACGTGGAAATGAAGTTTTTTTTTTGCCATGCTCTGACAGAAGAAGATCTGGGTAGAAGTGTAAGATTAGGTAGGTAAGGTAAGGTATCTATCTCTCCTGGACTTATCTACTACTCTATACCTTCACACCCAAAAGGTATGATCATATCACACCATATCATACCACAGCAGCATCATTAATATACTCACACATCAAATCCACAAACCTCCCTGTCCGATCCTCTCGATCCTGCATGGCAGTTTGTATTGCCAAAATAATATGTTGCACACCCACGCCGATTTGTTTCGAACCGGACATGGTCTGCTCGATTTCGGAAATGGCGCGTTGGATATCCTGCTGCGAAAATTGTCCCGAGTGCTGCATGACGTGCGCCAGTTCTTGTTGAGATTGGAGGGCGGGGATGGGGATTTGCGCTTTGAAGGCGAGTTGGAGTTGTTGCATGACGGTGCGCTCCGAGGTCGTGGCCATGATGAGGAGAGGACGGTTTTTTGGGGGCCGATTCTCCATCAGGGCTTTGAGGGCGGCGAGGACTGCGGAGCTGAAGCGAGGGCCGACGGGGACCCAGTCGACGATTAGTTCGATGTTGTCCAGGATGAGGACGTTGAGGGGACTCTTGTAGGCGTCTGTGAAGGCTTTTTGCAAGTGTTGAATTTTTTGGATTTCGTTCATGCCGACCATGTCCACCGCGCGGAGCATTTTGATAAAGGGGAATTGCGAGTTCAGCGCAATTTGTGCAGCGAGTGCCGTCTTTCCACTTCCACGAGGTCCATGTAGGAGTACAGAGTGGAGTCTGGTTGTGCCTGTCCGAACTTGCTCGACGAAATCGCGGCCGTTCTTCAAGATCTTGTCAACTTGAGGGCCATAATGAATGATGCCACCTTCCACACAGTCTTCGAGGACTTCTTCACTGACACCAAATAGTGGCTTGACCTCGTTCAGGGCACCCAAAAAGTCGGCCATGTGAAGCTGCATTTCGTTGATGTCGTCCGATAGCGCAGCGACAGTGCCACCTTTGATGTGTCGTTGCAGCGCAAAAGAGCTCGCTGTCAAGATGTTAGCCTGCCTGCCCGATCTGAGCCTCCAATGCGAATAGCAAAAGCTTACCTGATTTCACAAGACCACTAATCTCAGCGCCAGAGAAGTTGCGTGTCTGCTTTGCCAATTCGGCGAGATCAACATCGCTCCCAAGCTTCCCGTTGGTTCGCATCTTCTCCGTATGGATCTTGAGAATCTGTGCTCGTCCAGGCTCATCAGGCAGGCTAATCTCCATATGCACCTCAAGACGTCCCGACCGAAGGAGTGCCTCATCGATCATGTCTTTACGGTTCGTCATACCAATGAGGAGGATGTTGTTGAGTTGCTCCACGCCGTCGAGCTTCGAGAGCAGCTGGTTCACCACACTGTCTCCAACGCCAGTGCCACCACCAGCGCCTGAGCCACGCTGCTTACATACAGCGTCGAGCTCGTCAAAGATAATAATGTGAAGACCCGACTCATCACCCTTCTCTTTCTGTTCCTTCTCCGCATCTGCAAAAAGTTTTCGAATGTTCTCCTCAGACTGGCCAACATACTTGTTCAAGACTTCGGGTCCGTTGATGACTTTCGGCTCCCGAGCATTCAGCATCTTGCCGATTTGTCGAGCGATGAGCGTCTTCCCCGTTCCTGGTGGTCCGTACAACAGTATACCACGAACATGCTGAATCCCTAGCTTCTCGGCTAATCCGGGAGGGAAGATGCGTGAGGCAAAAGCACGTCTGAAGATGTCGCTGAACTCCTTGTCTAGACCTCCAATGCCCATGTCCTCGAACTTGAAGTCCGGTCTGATGACCGAGTTGGCCGCAGGTCTCCTCGTTGAGCCTTTGAGCTGAAGGGGTGACTTTGCGTCTTTGTAGAAGTTGATCTGTGTTTCTGGCGTCAAGATGCCTCGCGCGTGGGGATGCGTCTGTTGCTGTTGCTGGCCCGAGCCTTTGAGTGAAGCTAGATCAACCAACTCCACTGTCTTGATCGTCAGCCGCAGCTTTGGCCCTCCCCGGAAGTCCAGCCCAAAGCTCTGTCCCGGCGCGAAGATCTGGTTCCTGAACACCTTGATCACCGCATCTGCGAGCTCGTCCTGGTCGAAGGGTGGCGCCTGCTGAGGCCTCGTACCAGCAAAGCCCAGCTCGATATCCATATTCCCCAGGTAGCTCTGTGCGCCCTGTCGAAAGGGATCGTATTGCTCCACCTCTACAATGTCTGTCAAGGCCACTTGCATCCATGTCCTCTGAAAGTCGTTCAAGCCAATCTGACCCCGCTGCACTTGTGGATGTGGTCGTGCCGACAAGACGTATTTCCCATTGATCATAATGTGTACGTCGCCTCCATCTCGGGACGGGCCTATGTCCTGTGCGGACACGGCGCATAAGTTGGAGAAGATGAGCTCTTTGGGCGAGGAGACTGGTTGCAGCTGCATTCTGGGTGGTCCTCGTTGCGATGACTCTTTTTCGTATGTACCGCGTTGCTCTGGAGGTGGTGGCTGACGGGGTGCCGGCTGTCTTTGTCCTCCCACAGGCACCTCTTTCCTCCCTCCAAACAGCGCGTCACGGTTGAACATATCAGCGATTCAGGAATGTTGTTGACTGCAGGTGAATCTGTAGCCGGCCGGTGCCAATCGAGAGTGGGAAGCGGTTCGATGTCGGGTGGTATGTCACGATGTGAGTCTGTTTGTAATCTCACTCTAAGAGGTAGATCTACACGAGAGTAGATGCTGCTGCCTCCCTCACTTGAGACGACATGGAGTGCATATGAAAGACCCACCTTTGACGCCTGAGGCATTCATCCTGGACTAGAACAAGGAGGTAAAACTATGTACCTAGGTCGGTATTGTAGAACATTTCATCGTGCTCCTCTCATACGTGAATGTACATTACGTGTCCATCCCAATCTCACCTCTCATCCGTCCATGGACGTCGATGCTGGACCATGTCTTCACCAGACCGGTCACGTGCTTGTCCGTTTATTCACGAGGAGCAGAGACATGTCTGTGGTGGAATAGGAGGTAGTGCCATTCGATTGTCCACTCTCCCGGAAACTGCTACTGCGCGCCGGTGGAGGTCCGATGGCGGGGCTGCGAGGGTCCTCTGTAATGGATTATATCACTTCTACCACCATAAGATACCTCCTATTTCCTGCTGACTCTCTTGTCTCTGTCCCACTGCAATTCCGTCATGTCTGTACAAAAGGTTGCGCTGGTCACCGCTGGCACCGCTGGCCTAGGAGCACAAATTGCTCGCATGTTGGCTCCTGACTTTCGTGTCGTAAGTCGATTGGAAAACAACAGGAGAGCAAGGCGAGGAGAACACTGATTGTTTGCTCCCATCCATGATAGGCTGTCAATTACGCCAACAATCAATCGAGGGCCCAGACCCTGCTGAAGGAACTGGAAGCGATTCCTAGCACAGCCTCGTCACAAGAATCTCCTCGCTTTGAGGCCTTCCAAGCAGACGTAGGCGATCGTCCATCGATTCAGAGCCTCGTGCAACAGACTGTGGCCAAGTTTGGTCGTCTCGATGTAGTCGTTTCCAATGCTGGCTGGACCCGGATTACGAATTTTGCCGACCTGGAGGAGGGAATGAACGACGACGATTGGGATCGATGCTATCTCTACAATGTCAAGGCACATCTGTGGTTGATGCATGCGTCGAAAGAACATCTCGAAAAGACCGAAGGGGCCTTTCTGACGACTGCCAGCGTTGCAGGTGTCAAGCCCAGCGGTAGCTCGCTCCCTTATGCTGTGACCAAGGCTGCACTGGTGCATCTCGCCAAATCTTTGGCCATCATCTGCGCTCCGAAGAAGATACGAGTCAACAGCGTCAGTCCAGGTCTGCTGTTAACGGATTGGGGTATGAAGTTTTCGGAAGAGCAGAGAGAGGCCTCAAGAGATGCCTGCAAACTCAAGCGGCTAGCCACGATCGAGGTAGGTCTTCACCGTGCCAGTAGTAGACTGTTTCTAATGACCGCGACAGGACGTGGCGCAACAAGTACGAGCGCTTGCGCTGAATCAAAGCATGACGGGGCAGAATATCGTATTAGATAGTGGTTTCTCCCTATAGTTGCGTGAAGTCTCATTCGACAAGGCTCCTACCACAAGCAAGGGGATGGTGCCTCCTCGCGATATACCACATGGTCATCGGAAGCAACGGTACACCTCAGTGTGCTTTCTGCACGTTGGAAATTACGCAAAGGTGCGTTTGCCCCTGCCGCAGTTTGCTGTGTAACCACGGAAGTCGGCCACCATAGAATACTTGTACATATCTGGAGCAAGGAATGTAAAGTCATATAAAGAAGCAGTCCTGTTCCTCACATCAACACCACTGAGCACCTTCACATCAGACTCTTCAAGCCTACTACCTGGTACCTATAGCACAATACAAAACACCACCCATACACCAACAGAAACCACCAGCACGAACATCATGCACGCAATCACTGCTCTACTCTCGACACTTGCAGCGCTCCTCCTGCAACAGACAACGGCAATGCCAACCTTCTTCGAGGACATCACAGCACGACTGGGTCTCCGAAGCAGGGCTGAATTTAAAATTCTGGCGCCGATAGTCGTCGGGCTCTACGTCTGCACTGAGCCAGAGTGGAAAGGCGTCTGCGTGGACCTTAAGAATGGACCCGGATTATGCAGTGAGTAGATATCCCATCGGCTTCAAAAGGTTCAGGTGTTGGAAACTACACCTATGCCTCACCAGTAGTACTGACATGAACCGCAGTCAACTTCAACGAGACATTCGCCGGCAAGATCAGCAGCGTCGGCCCGGATCCCGAAGTCAGTGGATGCACTCTCTTCCAGTAAGTCATGGTGGAATGTCCTCGAGATGAAGGTGTAGGCTGACAATAATGACCTCCAGGAAACCGAACTGTGACTTGAGCGGAGAGTCGATTGGAGAGATCAAGAAGCCGGGAATCGCAGACCTGTCGAGCACTCCACAGGGCGGGAAGTACGACGACTACTTCAATAGCTACATTTGTTACTAGGCTCTGCCATAACCATGGGAAGGACGGGTACCTAGGAAGGATGAATACTGGAGCCAGATGGATTCAGCCAGATGGAGCGTGTTTGCATGCTCGTGGACGAGGCGTAGCCTAAGAAAGCCTCTGCCCACTCTTCTCCCAGCGGGCAGAGGCTCGAGGCACAGCAGATTGATGCTCTCAGATGAGCAGCTTGATATGAGTACATAATACCGTAATTGTAATGGCGATGGCAATGGATGATGGTTACATGTACATGGTATGTTGCAACATGAAAGCCTTAAGCACCACGAATCCTGACCGTCGCGTCGTTTACGCGTGACATCATCGACATTATTGACGCGTTCGCCCCTGTCGTAAATAATGCCTGCAGTGAAGCTCAGATAGTAATGGCCCATCTCACTGACTTCCACCATCTCTCCCGTCAATGAGCAACAACAAGCTCTATCACTCCTACTTCGACACCGTCTCTACCGAGCGCAAATCAACGTCACACCGCACCAGTCCCACCAAGAACTCTCAGGAGCCACCAAAGAAGCTATCGAAAGCCTTCACCAGACAACTCGCCAAAACCCTCGCCACGAGCAAGAAACCACTGCACAGGAAAAGAAACAAGAAGGAGAAACATTTGAAGCGAAACCGTCCCGTTCCCGCCACCATGCCGAAACGCGCTGCTGCGGAAACCTACGATAGCGATGGAGGGTTCGTCGAGAACGAGGAAGAAGATGCGCGCCGAAGCAAGAAGAAGAGCAGAGCCAACACCAGCAAGGACCTCCCCACGAAGGGAAAAGATAAGGATGGGGGTGTGTATTGGGAAATTTCGGGAAAGAGGAGATTGCAGTTGAGTGAATTCAAGGGGAATACGATGGTCGGGGTGAGGGAGTATTATGAGAAGGATGGGCAGGCTTTGCCGGGGAAGAAGGTAAGTTAGGAGGGAGAGGGAGGAAGAGGGATTGATGTGTGTGTGTGGTTGACATTGGGGTTTTTTCCTCCTCTTCTTTCAGGGAATTTCGATGACGCTGGATCAGTTCAATACTATTGTTGAGCTGTTGCCGCAGCTTGAGAGTGAGTTGAAGAAGAGCGGTGGAGTACTTTCGCGGCCGAAATATGATCGGGCGATTGGTGAAGCCGCTGCCGGCGATGATGGGGAAGAAGAAGAGGAGGAGGAGGAATTGGTGCAAAAGAAAGAAAACATGGCGAGCGCCGATGAGGTTGACGAAGAAGAAGAGGAAAAGCCAGTACAGAAAAAGTCCAAGAGCAAGCTTGACAAGTTCAAGCACAAGAGCAAGAATCATGAAGCAACCAGCGATGAGGACGAGGGATAGGATGCGAGATGCCAGGAACATAGCTATGGTACCTTAAAACACGATGCTGTTACGATAATGGATGATGGATGATACCCGAGACCATGAGCGCAAAACAATGGTGATTAGGTATAGGCTTATAGCCGCCTAATTATGTAACTTGTACGCTTTGCAAATAACTAAGGTCTAGGTAGGGTACATGTAATTGCGCTACCTACCGTCCAGCAGTACCTGTCCGTCCCAAATCTCAAGCATCTCGCGCCTTCTATTTCCTGCTGGCTGCTCACTGTACGCTACTTTCTTACTGTCTTACTTTCTGGATTTTTCGCCCCTCAATCCACTATACACACTACACTACACCGGGTTGTACTTGTACTTGTACTTTTCCCTCACTTTCTCGCTTTGTATTGATAGTTGTATGTAGGTGTACAGGATGTGTAAGGTATGGATGTGGGTGTGAGTAAAAAGTCATTTTCTTTTTCCCCTTCGAGATTGAACAGGCTACATGTTAGGTACGACCTCTGATTCTTCTCCTTCTCCTTCTTCTTCTTCTTCTTTTTCTTTTTGTATTCGTAACAAGCGTAGGGATCCTGCCCGTTAGTAATACATAACAGTCAGAGTCGTTCGATTCTTATGCTAAGTAGTCGTACGGAACTGCCGGGAGGAAAATGGAAAAGGCTTGTTCTTGTATGCTGTCGGTCGGTCTGCTTATGCGGTATGATGGAATAAGATAGCGGCTTTGTTACTTTTGTGATATCCTCCTCCTCTTCTTCCTCTTCCACTTCTCAAGCTCACAGCATTCTAGCCTACTCGCTCAATGCAATAAATTTCCGTACGATGATCGTTGATAGGATAAAGGAAGCCTTCTATCTCCTACCTCATTCACTTCCGTGCCGTACCGTGCCGTACCGTCCAACATGCCAAGAGCCTGAGATTCCTCGAAAACGAAACCCGAATCCATATTCTCTTGGCCCCGTACCTTTTGACCCTCACCCTTGTTTAACTAGCTCTTATCGTTACGCGACGTGAAAAACCCGAACGACGTAGAACTAGTTTCTCGCGCCGTCGTTTGAAACGAGAAATCTCACGATCGTTAAAGCTCTCTCGGCTGGAGCTGGCGGACTCTCGTATCTTAGAGACCCAAGCCCCTCGTATATGTACGCGTGAAGTCCGAAGGCTTTGGGGTTGGGATTGGGGCTGGGTTGTATGTCATAGGTGAGGTATGTCTTATATATCATGTAGGTAGGCGGTGCTGCTGCTGCTACGCTTTACTAGACCTTACCACTACTACGATTCATCTCAAACCACACACCTACGTGACCGAAGCAAGCAAGCAAGCAAGACCCCAAGAAAGGAAGAAAGAAAGGAAAGAAAAAGAAAAGCAGACATGTTCAAACTACCCTCCGCCTTCGCCCTTATCCTCCTTCTCACCGCAACCCCCTTCACCCACGCGCAGGAATGCAAAAAACACACCAGAACCATCGGATACAAGGTCGTAGGCGTAAATGCCATGTGTGATGAATCACAGCTTCAGTGTCCCGTGGGAGGAGGTCAGAATATGATTTCGAAGACTATGCAACCGGGATCAGTGGGGGTTCCTTGTGTTTATGTGGTGAGTTTACAATAGAAAGAAAACGGTTCGATATGCTTGAGTGTCTGGAATTGCGGCTGAATAATTCTCTTTTTTAACAGATCGATTGCTGCTGGTGAAAGCAGTAGGAGTGGAAGGGATTGAACAGGCCGGGATGGGATAGGGAAGAAGAACAAGAAGAAAGAAGTACACATCATCATCATCAGCATCTGTCTGATTGCTCACTTCCTTACCATCGAAGGGCGCGGAGGAAGGGAAAGCCTACAAGGCTTGATTTCATTATCTCCCAACCACATACCTGTAGCTGAAGAAAGAAAAGAAAAGAAAAAGAAAACACCAAATATCTACGCATCACAACTGAATGAAGATCATATAATCTCGCCCGGTGATCTTCTCAATCTCAAAAACGAGGGGAAAATCCAGCCCGTGCTTGCCCGAATACTTCCCTTCGAGAACGACAAAGCTCATATCCCCATCCCTACCTCCTCCTTCGCTCATTCATTCATTCATTCATTCATCTATCCACCTTGCTCGCCTATTTGCTTTTCTTGTTGTTGGCGATCTCTAAGAGGTAACTACCTATATCTATATAGCCATTCAAGAAAAATATCTACAGTGTCGAAATCAAAGTCGATCTCTTGTACAATACCTAACTCCAGAAAACCCGGCTAACATCTCAGGTATAACCACGAGCAGCGCATCATACCAGGTATCATATCAAAGGAAAAAGATTCCCCGGTTGATCGGTTTCATTAACATCTCGGCACAGTTTTGGCACACCATATCCAGTAGTGTACACTGTATACAGTATACACACAGTACGATAGTCGGATAGTGCAGCAGCAGTGGTTTAAAACACAAGTGCCTAAACTAGAAAAAACCCTTTTGGCGAGATTGTTCCGACGCTAGTGCGTAGATGTTAGTCGGGTGCACCACCGGCCGGGTTATGAATAAGATGGTGTGTGTGAAGGCGTGGAACCACATACGAAAGGTAGTTCCACATTTAAAAGAGACAGTAAGGACCGGGTAAGGTATGGCGAGGAATGGTTAGGGTACATGAATCATTCTTCAAACCGGGTAATCATGTTTTTTCTCTGTACTATGTTTGTGTGTCTGTGTGTGTGTGTGTGAAAATGGGGCATTTGGTAGTTATACGTTTCCTACCTTAGGTCAGGTACCTGAGGTAGGTATAATAAGAAAGCGGCCCCCAAAATTATCTTGTCCCCCATTGCCCAACGAACACCCAAGTATCTTTTTCAAGACATCCACCTACCTTACCTACCTACCCAGTAGCAAACATGTACTCCCTCTCAACCATCCTCACCCTCCTCGCCGCTACGGCCCCCATCATGGTCCAGGCCCAGGCACAACATTGCCCCGCCCACACGCAAGCCGTCGGAGCCGCCATCGTGGAAGGCGCACCGATTTCCAGTGCTACTTGCGATACCAAAGCCCTCTCGTGTTCCAACAAGGCCCCTCCCAGAGCGGTTCGACAGCCGGGTACAAGGGATCAGCCTTGCATTTACATTGTAAGGTTCTTTTTTTTTTCTTTTTTCTTCTCTACATGTTGTCAGTGAAAAAAGAATTGTCTTGGGGGTTGTGAGGTTGTTTGCTGATTTTTTTTTCTTCTCTTTCTTCTAGGTGTACTGCTGTCCCATCTTTTAGGTGTACTGTTCGTGGGAGAAGGGGGAAAGGGGGAAGGAGCATAGTGAGAGTTTGGGCGGTTTTCTTTTTCGCGGGAGGCACAAGAAACTCGGTGCAGGACTTGAGAGTCTTGTACAAGGAAGAGCAGGAATTGCCGAGAGGTTGATGAGAAGATGGCTGGAAGATCGAGAATGGTTTCGCGCTCGCTCGTGGGTAGCTAGTTCGTCGGGGTATATACGCCGTTTGTCAATGGTGGTCAACATATTACGGATCAGCGTGACTATCGCATAGAGCGCTCTAGTGGTCGTAGTAAGTATAGAGTACGACCGTCTCTTGCACATTTCTTGGATCCGAGTCCTGCGACAACACTCTTTGATCGCTCAGACAATATGCCCATACGAGCAGATGACAACTACCTGATCTCCCACACTCTGATCTTACCCTGCTCGTTCGCAACAGCAAGGACACTATGCGCGTCCGAGCCCTGTACCACGCCACCATCTGCGAATGCCACCCCGGTGATTCGTCCCAATGGCGTCGAGCTGGTTGGCCAATTCCTGAATACAGTACAGCTGGGCAAATGGACCAGTCTCATGGAATCGCGCTTCCACTTCGAAGCCATGGCCAGTATCTGACCGTCAGGCGAGAAAGCCAAATGAGACGTTGGCGTAGTCAGATGATCCAGAGCTTTCGTGGGTTTAGGGGTTTGAGGTATCTGCGCATTCTTTGGGTGATCTCCCAGCCAAGCTCTTCGGTCATAAACATTGACGATCCCAGAACTGCTGCCCACCGCGATCCAGCGATCTGTGCCTACTAATCCCGAGCGAACTTCATGCTGGCCTCCGAGGGCGAGTGTCGTGGTGCCGACGGCTCCTTCGTCCTGCCATCGAGCCACAATACGCTGCTCGGCAATGCTCCATTCGCTGACTTCTCCATTCTTGCCTGCTATGCATAGGCCTCGACTGTCTCGCCACCAGGCGAAGTCTGCAATGCCGCCCCGTGATTCGATGCGCACTTGTGTGACCCACTGGAGAGTAGTGGCGTCAAGGACATTGATGATGCCTCCACCCTTCTTCGTTGAGCCTTGAAGGGCCATGTATTTTCCATTGGGGGAGAGCTTGAAGTGTTCCATGCTCTTTTGCTCGTGCTGCTGTCCGTATATTCGGGTGACCTTCTCCACTTGGCCTGTTGTCAGGTTCCAGACGTGAAAATACTTTCGTCGTGCCGAGAGGAATATGCGAGAATCGGCGGGGTGGAATGCGGTAGTCGTCAGCGCCGAACCCCTGATGTGAAGACTTGTGAGAAGAGGGTTGGGCGTGGGTGCGGGAGGCGCTGAGCAGAGGTGGTGAAGGTAGAGGGTGGAAGATGGGCCAGAAGATAGGAGCAGAGGCAATGTGGGATGGAAGGAGAGCGATGTAATGGCGCTCGGCTGGACTCCCGCAATGTCCTTTTGTCGTTGAATATCGATGACCTCGGGCCTGATCTTGCGCTTCTTGCCTGCACCTGGACCTGCCTGCCGCACGAGGGATTCCGCATCTTGGAGCAGTTGATCCAGAGGCGCGGAAGAAGGGAGATCCTCATCGAGCTCCATGTCGTTCTCTGAAATTTCCTCATCAGACCCAATATACTCCATCGTCCTGCGCTTCTTCTTGGCGGGCTTCTGCAACGCCATCTTCGCCCATTGCGGTGCTGGGTGTAGCAACTCGAACTGCTTGCGCAGCCTCCTCGTGTACTCTCTCCCTGAGACTACATCCTCAGCGTCAGTCTTCCTCAGCTTTCGAAGGCGCGGTACCGAAGCCAGTGAGACCAGCATCCGTTCGTCGTCGCTGTCCTCCCACGCAGGGGGCTGTTTCGAACGAAGTGTCTCGTCGTCGCTGTGGTCGCCGTGCGTCAGTGCAGGGGCATGCAGTGAGTCGTCGCCCGTGTCGGTGAAGAAGAGTTGAGCGTCGTCCAGCCCTTCGAGTCCAGTGGTCGCATCATCACCATCATCATCGTGGTCTGCTGAATCCGCCTCGTCGACGTCAAAGTGTCGCAGACCCTCCCGGAAGCCCATACGATCTCCAAACACCAGCCGCTCGAGCTCTTCTTCCGTCGCATCCTTCTCCATCTCGCCATCCACAACAATGTCGGCCTCAGACCCGGAATCGGCATACTCAATCTCCATTTCTTCCATCTTCTCGTCGTCGTCGTCTTCTTGTGCTGGCGGCGTGGGTTGCTGAACAACTTCTTGCCCCTTTGCAGCTTTCTTGGACTGCTTGGACTTGGCCATATCTGCGCAATGGACCGAGTGTATCTGTGTCCAGGTAAGGTAGGTACCGCACAGCACAACTCAGCGCATCGTCGAGCGAGTAGGAAAAGAAGCTTTTGCTCCGGCCGCCTCCAAACTTTTTGTCGAAAGTGGCTGAAAGGGCTGACTAACACGGAGGAGGCGTGTGGCGTCGGCCTTCTCTTCCACGTTGGATGCCGCTTGCGACGGGAAGACACGCGCAACTGCAACAAAGACCACACCATCCTACATCAAACACACTCCTTCACCACAGCTTCACCACACCGTTACTGAATCCATTGCATTCACTGCGGACCTTCGAGCGAAAGAAAGCTGCCCTCGAGGCTTCAACCTCAACATCACTACCCTCTCGTCACACCGACCAAAACTACCGCCGCCATCAGGATGGCCGCCGCCGTCGACGCCGGCAGCGATCATGCGCAGCAGCTTCAGAATGCGATCCAGCCCAAGCTGATGGAGAATGGCTGGGTCACCGATGAGAACGATATGACGCTCGCCGAATACGTGACCATGATGATCGTGAACGGCAAGGATGCTCAAGGCGTGCAGGCAGAGCTGGGCACCGACCTCCTGGCCATTGGCGACGACAACCCCGACGTGATGGAGTTCACGAAATGGCTCTTCGACCAGCTCCGCGCCATCACACAACCTCAGCAGCAGTCGCAGTCGCAGCCGCAGCCGCAGCAGCAGCAGCAAATTCCGCAGAACAATGGAACGTCAGACAACGCGGCGCAGCAGACTCCAGCAGCAACGCAAGACGCGACCATGGAAGACACACCCGCTGCGGGAGACGCAGTGTATGTACAGTCTACAATTTCTTCTGCCACAACACACCAGCTGACTCTGAACAGCCCTACCGGCCCCCGATCAATGCGCAATGGATCTGGCGCCGCGAGAGGACGAGGCGGCCGCATGCTTAATCAACTCAACCGAAACCTTGACCGCACTGAATTACCGCACAACTTAAGTAGGATAAAAGGTGCTGCCGGCGCCCAGGGTGGCGGTCGCATCAATTCACATTCGGCCCGCGATGCTGCGCCCCGAGGTCCGAAAAACAACAACAGCAATATCGCCCGAGGCGTCTCTCGCATGATGAATGGCCGCGGTGGCGCTCAAAACAGCATGCCCATGATGGGTGGAAACGCTGCGCCAGGACCGCCAGCAGACCAACAAACACAGCTGCAATTCATGCAAATGATGGAAATGCAGGCAAATTTGTTTCAGCAGATGCTGCAGGCTTCGCAGAATGGCTTCGGCAATGCTCCTCGCGGAGGCGGACGTGGCGGCCGAGGCTCTCGTCAATTGGCTCGCGGTGGTGGTGCTGGTGGCGGAGGAAGAGGTGGAAGTGGACAGACGCATACCACGCTCCATGCCGTCGACGGCAAGATGCCCGATGGCGCTCTACCAAGTGGACCTATTGCTAACGGAAACGGGGACGGCATGGAACTCGATGGCGACGATCATACCGGGCGTGGAGGCCTCTTCTCCACAGCGTGCCGATTCGACACTGCCTGCACCAATCCCTCATGCGGCTTCGCTCACCGTGGTCCGAGAACAAACATGGAGACAGTTCCCATGGTCGACATGACCGCTACCTGCTCATACGGCGCCAAGTGCACAAACAATACCTGCACGGCTCGTCACCCCAGTCCAGCGGCTGTCAAGGCCGGAGGCATCCCCGTTCCGTGCAAATTTTACCCCAACTGCCAGAATGCCAACTGCCCATTCACACATCCCAATTCGAGGCCCTGCAAAAATGGAGGTGATTGTACTACTCCCGGCTGCACTTTTGGACACAGCAAGATTCTGTGCAGATACAACCCGTGCCTCAACCAGGCTTGTCCGTACAAGCATGAGGAGGGCCAGAAGCGTGGCAAGTTTGAAGACAAAGTGTGGACGCCGGGTGAGAAGACGGATCGCTTTGCAGAGTTCAAGACGGAAGAGGGTGCGGAAGAGCTGATCCTCCCCGGTCAAGCGAATGGCAACAATGGCATCAAGCATGAAGCGCAGATGGAGGAAGTCGGAGATGTGGTGGGCTAAACGCGTGATTTTTTGGCCGTCTCTCGCTCTTTTTCTCTCTTGTACTAGAAGCTAGGCATGACGCCGGGCATGTCAAGGGAAGCAGAGCTCATCAACACGGAAGAATGAGTAGGGCAAGATGGAGACGACAATGACGACGACGACAACGACGACTCAATCGTTGCATGTAACAGATGTACATTATTGAGTACACCAGTGAAGGTAGTAATGTTGACTGCTACCGGGACGTTTTGCGTTCTAGTTCTACCAAGCCCCCTTTCTCTTATACTTATACTTCTACTCCTGCTTCTCCTTGTCTCATATGGAGTCTTGGTACCCCATATCTGGGAGTGTGAGACCTTTGCGAGTACCCTCGACAGTATGGGGCTTCCAGTCACACTCTCAGCCAATTGACAAGCCGGCTAAAAGCTAGAACTAACCAAGAAGAATGAATTATTAATCTGTTGGTAAGCAGATCACCGCTTGTTGCGCTCAAGCTGGTCTATATGACGTCGAATAGACTCCACTGAGACAGCATTAATTAATATCACCGGGCGACAAAGACTCCTCCCATCCGCCGTTCTCTTATCTCTACGACAAGGAACAACGAAAAGACAACTCAATCAATCAATCAATCAATCAGGCCGACGAGAAGCGGAAAAGAAGAGATACAACATGGCACCACCAACTCCCCAAGAAACTGACATTGAACTGTATACAGCCGGGACACCCAATGGCCAGAAAATCAGCATCACTTTGGAAGAATTGGGTGTGAAGTATAACGTGAACAAAGTGGATATCGCGAAGAATGTGCAAAAGGAAGATTGGTTTTTAAAAATTAATCGTGAGTAGTTTATTCACCTCTTGTCTCTAATTTCCCCCAACCCAAAACTATCCACAAATCACCAAATCTCTAGTTCTTCTCCTCCTCCTCCTCCTCCTCAAAACCAAATCTCTAACAATTTTTTATCTCCAGCAAACGGCCGTATCCCCGCCATCGTCGACAAAACCTCCAAAAAAAGCGGCAAACCCGTCTTCGAAGGCTCCAGTATCCAACTCTACCTCACGGCCAAATACGATCCCGAACATCGCATTTCCTTCCCCTATGACAGCGACGAGTACTGGGAAGTCGTCGAATGGATGACCTGGATGCAAAGTGGTCTGGGACCCATGCAAGGCCAAGCCAACCATTTCTATCGCTATGCACCCACGCGGATGGAGTATGCGATTAATCGCTATCAGACGGAAACGAAGCGGTTGTATCAAGTTTTGGAGGAGAGGTTGAAGATGCAGAGTGAGGGTGGGAAGAAGGTATGTTTTGTTTGATATTCATCTTATCCCCCCTTTTTGTTCATCCAATTTCATCAAGCTAACTCTCCCACCCATTCTTTATTATTAATAAACAGCCCCTCTACATCGTCGGCAACAAATACACCATAGCAGACATTTGCATTTTCAGCTGGGTCAACTGGGCTGAATGGGCAGGAATTTCTCTCGAACCCTATCCACATGTGAAGGCGTGGTTGCAGAATATTCAAGAGCGGCCTGCGGTGGAAAAGGGAGTTAATGTTCCCGAGAAGTTTGAGATGAAGGAGGCTATGAAGACGAAGGAGGGGGAGGAGGAGTATGCGAAACATCATAGTAATTGGGTTATTGCGGGGCAGAATGAAGATGCGAAGAGGCATCAGTGAGAGGAGAGGGAGGGAAGGTGGTGGTGGAGTCAATGATGGATTTCTGGGCATCGCTAGTAGTACCTAGGGAGGGAGGAAGTTTGGTAGTCTATATACTCCCTCCTCTATTCATTCAACATTCAACATTCGACATTCCCATCTACCTCCCCCCCCTCCTTTTTCCCTTTTTTCTCTTTCTCTTTCCTTTTCACCAACAACCCCTCCTCTCCTCCTCCACCAGCAAATAATACGGCACCTCAAACCCCTCCAAATCCCTCCACAACACGACCTGATTCCGATAACTCGCCAGCGCAATTTTGCCAAACGGAGCCGAGAGGAGAAGGAAAATATATCCTATTAAAAATTTTCTCGCGAGAGAGAAACAGTGGCGTTGGAGTGTTGGGAGGGGGATGATTGGTAGGTGCGGGAATATTGTTTTTTTGTAAAGGAGGTGGAATTGGAGGCGAGAGGTGATTTTTGTGGATGGTGGGGAGGGAAGTGCGGAGATTTTTTTGTCTTTCGCGAAGAGGCGGTGGAGAGGAGGAGGGAGATGATGAAGATTGATTTTATTCATAATAAATTTTGGAAAGGGTTTGGAGCGGGATTTGTACGGTTTGGAGAATTTTTTGGTGGAGATTGCGGAGAAGAGGAGAAGGAGGAAGAAGAAAAGGAGGATAAGACGGGGGAGCATGTTCTCGGTGAATGATGAGGAGGAGTCGAAAATATGGGGTGTTTTTTCTTCCGGTGATGATATTTTTGTCTGCGAATATTGATGGTCATGGTCGTGATTTCCAGAAGGAGGAGGAGGACGAAGAGGAGGAGGAGGAGGAGGATTTTGTTGTTGTAGGAGACGTGCTTCTCGATCTGCACGAAGTCGATCTCCTCGATCTCTGATTTTTCGGAGTTGTTCTTGAATGAGAGCGGACTCACTCCATGAATCGTCGTCATCGTCGTCCTCTTTTGCAAATATGTTCTGCGCATCTGGACCCCAAGTATCTCGGAAAGGGTCTTCTGTGGTTCTGTCTTCTATCGCCTCAGAATCTGCTTGGGCCTTGAATTCGATATCTCCAGTATATGAACTCGGTTCTAATTTGTCATAATCCTCTTCCTCTGCAAACTCCATCGTGGGAAGCCAGGAGGTGATGTCGCGTGCGGTATGGCTATGCCCTCGCGCTCGTGTGTATTAGAAAAAGTCTTCCTTCCCCTAAGCCACGATTCTCTTCATATTCGTGTTCTTTGTTCTGTTGGAGATCTTGTACAAAGCACAAGAAGTGGATCCCGATGCGGATTGTATGACACTTTAGTCCCGAGGATGGGGAACAAAGGAGACGATATTGACTTGGCATGAAGTGATGTGCTCCCCAGCAAGTGTACAATATCTATTCATGGCTGTGTGCCTGGAGTTGAACTACCGTTCGGGCATGCTTGAGCTTTCCAAATGCAGGTGAATAGACGTCGAAGTTTCGGGGTGTGGGAGACTCAACGGTCGAGCGAGCGAGTTGCCTTTGTGCGGTCCCCTCCTTTTCCGTGTAGAAGATAGCTTTGCCATGGCGTGAAGGAAGACATTGTCACCAGGAAGTGTGTGCACTTCCAACAACGAACTTCTATTGCCTCCATCGTATCGACCAATTGCCCTTTGCATAGGAAGGCTCCACGACCATTCCCGCCATGATAGCCTCAGCCTTCCGTATCTCGGTCGTCGAAGACACAGTTTCGACTTCATCCTCCATCCCGTCGCCCCTCTTTGAAGTTTTCCCTTTCGTCTTGCCAGGTCTCTTGTTGTGAGGCGGCTCCGGTCTGGGGACCTCAAATCCAAAGACGACACCTCTACGTGCAGCTCTTCGAACCATTTCACGCTCTTCTGCACGTTTGGCGCCTTGTCTCCTCCTTTCGAGATCGTCTGCAGACTCTTCGATTTTCTCCTGTCGGCCTCGCTCTCCACCGACACTGAAGTTGACTTCGGACTGGTCCTGGGGAGGTCGAATACGAACACCTCCGTCTATCGATGGCACGGAACCGTCTGTATCATAGTGGATGGAGTCTCGATCGTCATGCATAAGCTGCTCCTCCTCCTCCTCCTCCTCCCGATCATTCTCGCTTTCAGTGTCACTTTCACTCACCATGTCGACACTCCTCCATTCCCCGTCCTTTTCCGGAATAGCACGAGGCTTGCGGTTTTTCCTTCTACCATGAGTCTTTTCAGGGTCAAATCTACTGCCAAAGACAATCTCTTCAATCTCGTCGCATGTGATAATCAAACGAGGATCGCCTTTGACAGCCCTGGTTTTGGCGGCCGTCTTCTCAATGCCGGAGTCTTTCTCATCATTTAACAATGCGGTAATAGTCTTTTCAATCTTGCGATCAACCGGCCCTGGCTTTCGTGATCGACATCGATCCGAGCAGTACTTGATTTCATTATTTTGCTTCTTGGCCGACTTTTTCGAATCTGTGTTATGATTGTCAGCGTTTGATGATGATGATGACTACTTGGAAGCAACGAAAATGTTGAAAGGGAATTCATACTCATGACGCGGCCACAGGTATGACAGTATGGAGTATCTTCGTTGGCGAGATAGAGAGGCGCGGGCACTTTCGAGTTCGCACTCGGCCTGCTCCACGAGTCCATCCATGACATGGCTGCAAATGATGCTCGGGGAGAGCGCGAAGGAGGAGATGAGTTGGCACAGAACGGAATAAGGAGTCGAAAAGGCTGGATCCGAAGCGGGACGGGATGCAAAAGCGTGATCATGTGAAGTCAATGTTCAAGTCCTGTCGTCTTCTTGGCGTCAAATGGTATATCAATATTCATGGAAGAAGTGAGGGAGCGTAGATAGAGATGGCGGTAGTTGACGTCACTGTCGCCGTTGTTTACTTAAGGCATTTGAATTCTTCTCCCGTTCAATTTCATTGCAAGATGGCCCAGCCATATCACATTTCTAGCCTGGAAATTCCATTGGAATCCCATTGCCATATCACAAATGGTCGTCCGAAAGGGAGCACTCGAATTCCCCTTTTCTTGGAACGAGCACATAGGGGTCGTATTCACGATATCCGCATGTGATGTTCGATACATCCTTCGGTAAGGGGAGGAAGAAGTTCTCGCCATCAACAATCGGACACAACTCTTCATCAATACACAGACCTGTATAAAACATTCATTCAGATGCTAACCTCGAATCGAAAGAGTGGGCGTTCCTTTCCTTCGTGTTCAAGCCTGTCAGTCGACCAGGACCCCCTTGACCTTTGCCAAGTTCCTCTCTTGCTTGACTCACTCAAGCATTAATTAACTAAAAAAGAATAGCGCCCACAGTCACACCACCACAACGTCAGCAATGCCTTCACCTCTCACCCGCACTTCCTCCATCCTAATCATCGGCGGCGGAACCTGGGGCGCCAGCACAGCTCTCCACCTCGCTCGCCAAGGATACCAGAACGTGACCGTCTTGGACTCCCACGCCATCCCATCAGCCATTTCCGCAGGAAATGACGTGAATAAGATCAAAGGATGGCACAACTCCGATCCAGCTTCTTCTTCTTCTTCTTCTTCTTCTTCTTCTTCTTCAGGTCAAGGCTCCAATGCCGGAGAATATACACGAGAGAAAATCGCCTGCGAGGCAAATGAAGCATGGCTCCAAGACGAAATTTTCAAACCATATTATCACGAAACGGGATACGTGATAGCTGCCAGTCAACCCCAACATATCCAAAACTTGTATGAAGAGGAAAAACCGACGGCAGAAAAAGGATTTGAGGAATTAAATTCCGCCCAAGATTTCCGCAACACCATGCCCGAGGGAGTTTTGACGGGAGATTTCCCGGGTTGGAAAGGTTGGTTCAAGCGCGAGGGTTGTGGATGGGTACATGCTCGGAAAGCTCTCGTGGCAGCGTTGCTCGAAGCTGAACGTTTGGGTGTGAAACTCGTCACGGGGAATCCACATGGTGCGGTACAATCGCTTTGGTTTGATGATGATGATGACAACGACAGTGACAATGATGGCAATCACAATGATGTCCGAGGAGCCATCACGGCAGATGGCAAACATCATCTCGCCGATCGCACCATTCTCTGCGCAGGCGCCAACGCTCCCCAACTCCTCGATATGAAAGACCAACTCCGCCCCACAGCGTGGACTCTCGCACACATCCAACTCACGCAGGAGGAAACTGCACTGTACAAAAACCTTCCAGTCCTATTCAATGTCGAACGAGGTTTCTTCATGGAACCCGACGAAGACAAGCACCAACTCAAAATCTGTGATGAACATCCCGGATATTGCAATTGGGTCACTACCACCGATCAAAACAACAAAAACAAAAAAATCTCCCTCCCCTTCCCCAAAAATCAAATCCCTCTCCACTCCGAATCCAACATCCGTCTATTCCTCCACGAAACAATGCCCCACCTCTCCACCCGCCCTTTTACATTCGCTCGCATGTGCTGGTGCGCAGATACTCCGAATCGCGATTTTCTCATCACGCGCCACCCGGAATACGCGCGTCTGACACTGGGAGTCGGCGCGTCGGGACATGGATACAAGTATATTCCTGTGATTGGAAAATATATTGTACAAGCCATGCAGGAAAAATTGGAGCCGAGTATGCAGTATACGTGGAGATGGAGGCCGGAGACGGCTGTGGGGAGGGATTGGGAAGATGTGCAGGGGAGGATGGGGGGGAGTTATAAGGTGTTGAATTTGGCGGAGATTGGGGACGAGGAATGGACTTGTATTGGTGGCGCGGAGGCGAAGCTTTGAAAAAAGGGGGTGGAATAGAGGTCTTGAGATTCATGTACAGGCTCGACGAGTGGGCATGTACTCTAGTAGCTTCTTGAGCCGCTGGAGTGCGCCTGCAAGGAGCACAACTGTGCAAAGAGAGTACCTTATTCGAGGTGTTTTGACTTGCAAGATTCATTGTGGGATATAATACATTCGTTTATATTGTTAGCAGCTTTCATCTAGCCTGACTTTTGCTTCTTCCCTATGCTGACATCCAGAGTAGCAACAACGTACACTGCGACAAACGTGGCCACTAGGCCAGCGAAAATCGTGAGTGGCTTGCGGAATTTGGCCATGGCAGGGTAGTCGTATGTAACGATAAGGTCGCGATCTCGTAGCTCATCGACCACATTGATAGCAGTGAGGCTGAGCACCGTCCGGCCAACTGTATCGAGGAACGTTCTGTGCAAACCGGTAGTGTTCGAAACGAGAGGTACTGTAGTCTCAAAGCGAACGTTGCTGCGAGTGTGTTAGCGGTAGCTCTGATCGTCACGACACTTGATTGACCTACATCGCTCCTTCAGGAAGGATAACACGCGTGACAACACGCTCGTACGTGATGCCCTCATTCTGCTTTGGTCCTTCCAAGAAAGGTACCTTGAGCACATAGCTGTCCCCAGAGCTTCTCACGAATTTCTTGATCTGGCCATTCCAACCAACACGGAACTTGTAGTTCCAGCCACCGAAGATTGGGTATCTTGGCTTGAGCTCGAGGCTTGCCTCTCGGGCATTGGACCTGAATCGAGATGTCGAAACGTTGCCAATGTCATCGGTGAAGTATGGGTCCACGCTGCCCACAAGGAGAGGGAACTTGAGCTCCTTCAACGCGCTCGAAGGTGAATTGTAATAGTTTTGTTGCGTCCACTTCACTCGGGAGAAGTGGTCTTTCAACGTAGCAGCGCGATTGGTGAGGACGTATCGCTCCTCAGTCGCAACATTGCCGCCCCAATGGCTGACCTCAATGTCTCGCTCCAGCAAAGACACGTGGGTCAACGGCTTTGTGAACTCGTAACGTACACTGACTTCTTGCACCGCTCCTGCCTCGCGCTCATCATAGGGTCCGTAGGTGAAAGTAGATCCTTGCTTTTGCGGGTCCTCCTTGCCCTCGGCGTTTAATGAAGCAGGCAGCGTCACGGCATCGGGCACATTGGTGGTCGGCAGCTTGAGCTTGGTCTTCTGCTTGAGAGTCGTGTAGGCGCTGGGTGCGTAGGCGGAGAACTTGTGAAATACATACTGCTTGTCATTCTGCTGGATCTGCGCGGGAAGGGGCTCGAGGGCGGCGAGCACGAAGTACGTGATGGAGAGTGTCTGCTGCTCCTTGGGTTGGAGGGCTTTCGGGAGGGTTATTTTGTAGAACTCGGTGGAGCTATGGTCCCATTAGCACCGCTCCATGATACAACCGACCGGCAGACACAGTGCGCACGCATACCTCGCTGGGTCAATGCCAACCACTTCGACACTGAACCCTGTATTCGCCGCGTCTTTCTTGTCCTTGACCTCCAACCCACCCACTCGCCCTAACAGGTCTTGCTCCATGGGCAGATAGTACTCCGACTGTGCCTTGATGTCGACATTCTCAATGACCACGTTGATCGTCTCCTTGGGGTAGTTCTTCTCCAGGTTAATGTTGCGCACGAGATTCACGTTGCGGAAGTGCTTCGGCGGAGCGAATGTCGACGGGAGGATATTGCGGGATTCGTAGGTCAGATTCGACTCGGCGACGGCGATGCCGATCAGGCCCAGCAGGGCACAATACAGTCTCATGGTGGTGGTGGTGGTGTTGGATCGAACATCAATGCCTGTCCCGCGTACGTCCCTACTTTAAATGTTGAAGACAGCTTGACTTTCTGGAGACCAGGAGCTCCAACTGCAGCTTGGCATTCTCCACTAGTTCTAGGAGGTACCGAGAACTTCACTTCATGTGAACGAACGTTGTGCTTCGCGTCTCCCCACACTGTCTACATGTGCCCATTCCAATCCATCGTACACATGTGCCTGTATACCGTGGTAAGAGGGATATACATGTGACCGTCCTCACCGCGAATATTCTTCATTCAGCTTCCCAAGCGTCGACCTCTATCAACAGCATGTCTTCACCATGGATCTGCAGGGCTTGTCGGACTGGACTGGTCCGCGCTAAGGCTTCAGGGAATACCATAGTGCGGCCTTCGCAAAGGCACCTCTCGTCCAACAGCAAATACTTCCAGGTCTCAGAAGAAGTGCAACAGGCCCTTGCGGAGAAGAAGCCAGTAGTGGCGTTGGAAAGCACAATCTACACCCATGGCTTCCCCTACCCAGAAAACTTAACACTCGCATCACGACTAGAGTCCCTCGTCAGATTGAATGGAGGAGTCCCAGCTACCATTGGTATCCTCGACGGGGTGGCTCGAGTGGGACTTGGCGCAGACGAGCTTGTTCGTCTCGTAGCGACTCCAGCTGCGAAGATTTCACGGCGTGACTTTGGGTTTGTCCTGGGCATGAAAGATGCCCAAGGCAAGTCGTTGAACGGCGGCACCACAGTTTCCGGTACGATGGTTCTGGCTCACAAAGCTGGCATCAGAATATTCGGCACTGGTGGCCTCGGCGGTGTTCATAGAGGTGCAGATCAGACTATGGATGTGTCTGCTGATTTGACAGAGCTGGGAAGGACTCCAGTCGCAGTCATCAGCTCTGGATGCAAGTCGTTTCTTGACATCCCAAAAACATTGGAGTATCTGGAAACGCAGGGTGTTGCAGTAGCCACATTTGCAGATGGTCGATCTGGACAAGTGGACTTCCCTGCGTTCTACACCCGCGATTCCGGTATCAAGTCATCCCAAGTTCTTCATACCGAAGAGGATGCTGCACGAATCATACTGGCGCAACATGCCCTTGGACTCCAGTCCGGCTTGCACTTTGCCAACCCCATACCAGAGGAGCACTCTGTGCCATTTGAGGTAATGGAGACAGCTATCGAGGAGGCATTGAAAGCAGCTCTAGCTGCTGGTGCAACAGGAGCTGCCAGCACGCCTTATATACTCGCCAAGATCAAAGATATCACTGGCGATAAGAGTGTAGAAGCGAACAAGGCTCTAGTAGAGGCGAACGTCATCCGAGCAACAAAGGTGGCTATGGCTCTACGTAGACTTGAGCAAAGCGACGAATCTGCTCCAGAGTGAGTGAGTTACTCGCCGTAGCCTATCAAAGCGCATGTGATAACGTCGTACCCAGTTTCTCGCGCTCTTACACTCCCGCTCTGTCTGGACGTGCTACAGACTCTGGAACTTTCTCACAGTACCAAATCAATGTCATGAAAGGCATGCGGAAGAATGGCCATACATATGCCAGTATTGCGAGCTGGGCGAACAAATCCGTCGCCAGTGTCATTGAGGCTGTCAGAGATTCACCTGCACGTCTTGCGCTTGGAGAAAGTTCAGCCCCACAGCCAGTCTCTAGCTCTCCGCCACCAGCCCCTACAGGATCCTCACAAACCGACCGCAAGCCCAATGTCTTCGTCGCTGGAAGTCTTGCTGTCGACCTAGCTTGCGACTTCAATCCAAAGACTGGTTCTTCTCTGCTGTCACCTGAACTCAAGACGTCAAACCCAGCCAAGATCGCTCAATCATTAGGCGGTGTCGGCCACAATGTAGCTCGTGCTGCCCACCTCATGGGTGCCACTGTACGCTTATGTAGTGCAATCGGCGACGATCTAACGGGAAAAGCAGCATTGGAAGCACTCTCTGCAGCAAAAATGTCCACAAAAGGCATTAGCGTTCTTCCAACCGACTCGGGCAGTCGAACTGCACAATACATAGCAGTGAACGACACCAGCAAAGATCTGGTAGTTGCCATGGCAGACATGAGCATCCTTGAAACCCCCTCGGACTCCTCATCCACCCTGACAGAAACCTTCCACAACTTCTGGCTTCCCCAACTCGAATCCGCCCGTCCTTCCCACGTCGTCCTAGACGGCAACTGGTCCCCCGAATATCTCTCCCTCTGGCTGCAAGCGGCCAACAAGATCCACGCGCACATCACATTCGAACCCGTCTCCAATATCAAATCCACCGGAATTTTCCACCTCCCTTCTTCCCCTTCTCCCACCTCCTCTTCCTCCTCCTCCTCCTCCCCCTCCTATAAACTCGGCACTTTCCCCCACAACTCCATCCACCTCACCACCCCCAACGCCTACGAACTCAACGCCATGTACACCTCCGGCCGAGAATCCGGTCTCTTCTCCACTCCGCACTGGTGGTCCATCATCGACGCCCTCGGAATCCCTCACTCGGGCGCACGAGCCCAACTCACCTTCGCGACATCCAAACGCCTCGTAGACGAAGGCATTCCACAACAAAGCATCCAACTCCTCCCTTATATCCCCACCGTCTGCTGCAAACTCGGATCCGAGGGTGTGTTATTGACGCAGATTCTGCCTGCGGGGGATGAACGGTTGAACCATCCCGAGTATGCGCCGCATATTCTGGCGAGATGTACAAATGGCACGGAGGATAGTGTGGGAGTGGGTGGGGTGTATATGAGGTTGTTTCCTGCGGTGGAGGAGGTCGAGGGAGAGCATGTGGTGAGTGTGAATGGGGTGGGGGATACGTTTGTGGGGACGATTGTTGCGGGGCTGGCTGCGCAGAAGAGGGACGACGGTACTGCTGCTGGGAGAGTGGAGGATTTCATTGATATTGCGCAACGAGCGGCGGTGTTGACGTTGAAGAGTAAGGAATCTGTCAGTCCAGGGTTGGGCACGTTGAGGATGTTGTTGTAAATGAGAAGAGAGAAAAGATCATAGGGATATCGATGTGCATACTGTTCAAGAATTAAATAACAATCAACGTTACTTGCTCGTGACCCAAGAGCAAAACCATACGCCATTACAGTCCGACGCATTCCAGGGTATCCAAAAAAAGAAAAGAAACATTTCGTCAAGTCGTATACCATGCAGACACGAAGCCCTGCCTTCCTGCCATCATTACTATTACTCCTCCTCGGTCAACACATCTCGAGCATAGCCATTCGCCTTCTCGCTCCTGATTCTTCCTGCAAATTGCGGCGTCCACCTTCCTGTGAACAGTGCCTCGCGTTCGTCTTCATCGTCGCTGTCGAATTCCACTTGTTCTTCCTGAGGTGCCTCTAAACTTGTAGGCGGATAGGTAGAAGTGGCAGCACTGTACCTCCTACTACCCAGCGCTTCACCATCCTCAATTGCATCAGTGTCCGTGGCAGTTTCCCACGTACTGCTTCTACAGACCCTCTTGGTCTCCAGTATGAACTTTCCAATCTTGTACTTTTGCCCATCATCTTCCGCGTGGATATACTTCCATCCCAGAACACTCCCACATTGTGAGCAGGAGATGTCTCCGACAGTGTGAGCGCCGGTGACCAGTTGTCTTGGAACTGGTTTGTGCGTATACGTGTTCGGTAAGTTGGGCAAAGCATCGTTGCGTGCTTTCGCAGTCATGCAGTTCGAGGTGGTCATGGGACCCGCTGACAGCGTGCTCGATGGCGAAGGTGCCACGAGATAGGCGCGTCCATGCCGACCTGTGAAGCCTTTGCTGATGATCTGGCTGCTGAGAGCTAAGTCTGAGAGACAGCGAGCGCAACGCAGGTGAGATTCATGACCGTTTAGGTAGGCATCGTTGTCAGTAGTAGCTGTGCTTGAGGAGATGGCAGTGGTCAGAGTGGAGGCGTTGCTATCGGTGCTGGATTTGCGCCGGCGGAAGGAGAGAGACGGGATGAGATACGTGGGGAACAAGGTCGGAGGCGAGGGCAATGGCATATCGCTCTCGCTGTCCTGTTGCTCTTGGATGTGGTATGTAGGCCTAGAGAATGGTATGTGGTACGATAAGTGCGCGACCAGCCAGTTCGCGAGCCGTTTCTACCAGCGCATATTCGAAGAGCGTAGGTAGGACGGCGTGAGGATATCAGCTTTGAGTGTGGCTACAGTCAGTCAGTACCCGACCTAGGAGGTAGGTTAATGTAGGCAGAGACGCAGAAGCTGCGGTATGAGGTAGAACTGAGGTGTCCTCGCGATAGTAGGTAGGTAGCAGCTGTAAAGTAGTCTGCTGACCGGGCGGCACATGATCATTTTTATGTATAGACGAACAGACCGCTTGCGGTGGCCGGCAGCTGCGGAGGTGGAGGTGGTGGTAGTCTCGAACTCAAGGTCGGTTTGGGTCAGCTGCATGGTGGGTGGTGGTTGGTGGGAGCTTGGAGAGCTTCCATGTGACTTGTGAGAGTTGGTGTTCTGGTCGGGCAGTCATCCATGCAGATGGAAGTTTCAAGTCAGTAGATTCAGCGGCGGGATGCGCCTCATCTTCGGCATCTCACAAGTACAACACCAACACGCTACATCTGACAATACCGGACATATATGTAGGTAGGATGAGACGGTAATACAAGTGTCATGCCCGTTCGCGTTCGGCCACTTCTTATGCAATTCTCATTTCAGATTGCATCTATCTAGCCATAGCAGATTCAAGACAACCTCTTCACGATTCGTCCATCGTCTCTTCGGCTTGCTCTTTTGCCGGGCTTGCAACCTGGCTAGACACGAGACTTTGGGGCTCAGTGATGGTAGCTTCTGCCTGGGGAGTCTCGTCCATGTCGATATCATCAGGCATTTGCGCAGGCTGCGAGAGCGGCGAGGAGGCACGACTTCCCGCTCGGGTCGAATCATCTACTTCCAGGAACTTGTTCGTCAGACGAGCTGGAGTGCCTTCCGTGCTGTCTTCCCCTGCCTCGACGCTATCGGCCATTGGGGTTGCGCCGCCAGCATCGACTGGTTGTGGAGACCGTGCAGGCGTGTTTCTGTCGCTGTCATCGTCATCTTCTTGTTCGTCTTCCATTTCTTCGTCATCCCTCTGCTCTTCCGGGTCGTCCTTGATGCCCTTGATCTGTCGAATCATAGCCTCGCCTTCCTGCACAATCTTGCTAAACTGCTCACGTCTTTCCAACCACGTGCCCTCATACTCTGCATTCTCATGTTGCAGATCTTCAATCTCCTTTTCGAGCTTGTCAATTTCTGCCTTTGCCTCATCGCGACTCCTCAACTTCTTGTCGTCCAAGATTTTTGCTGCCATGACATCGTAGCCCTTTCTCCTCTCCAGTGCTTCCTGCGCTTCCACCAGATGTGTCCTCAATTCGACAGTGTTGTCCCGTACGGCTTGCGCAGTCTCCAGAATCTTCGCTTTTTCTGCAGCATATCGTTCTCGTTCGCGCTGGTTCGAGGAGAGGCTCAGCTGAATGCGAATGATGCTGCTTTCGAGGTAGGCAAAGTCCAGAAGGACGTCCTCGCGGAAGCGCTCCACCCTGGTCGCGTCGTATACAGGAAGTCCGTCATCGTCCTCTGGAGGCGGAGATGGTAGGTACGATAAACATGGTCGAAGAGCTGAATTGCTGCCGAGAAGTTGCTTCGTCACGCGCTGGAACGGTCGTTCTTCCACAGAGAGTAGGCGGTTGGCGTGAAGCGCGTCTGGAAGTAGCGTCAGTAAGTATGCAGTATACGATTTCTTGCGATCATGCGCTACTCCTTACCTTCCTGAGCCTGCTCCGGCAGCATTGTTAGCGGCGTGTCTGTTTCTGCCATATTGGTGTATGTGTTAGATCGATGTGACTTCTGTCAAGAATCAACAATGCTGTCCCTTCGCTAGCTGACTGGTCTCACAGCTAAAGCTTGGTTCGCCTAGTCTGAAACTCTGAGGCATCCATGGATGCAAGGGTCATGTGCACCTCTGGTTTGTGCTGGTTTGTGACACCTTGACACCATGCGATCCAGTCTTCCATTTGATGTATTAGGTAACAAAGGATAGCATCTAGGTTCGCTTCCTACCTGACCTGATTTAATTCTCCCACTTCCTCTGCCTTAATACCTCGATCATGATCCCAGTCTGCTCTCCGCTTTTGCAATTGGAAATGATGGAGGCTGAGTGACAATAGCTGGGAGACAATAGCATCTGCATCAGCGGGAACACGTGAAGCCACATGTGCAGCTATTGTAGCTGTTGTGGCCGAACGAACAATAGAAGCCGGAAGTAACCCACCGAAACTGGCATATATACTGGCCTCTGCGCCGCCTTCTCGACCATGCCCGTACGATCACTTGTCCAAATGGCTATCAGCTGCGCTCAAAGGAACATCCACTTCATCGACAATTTGTCCGACATGCCCTACCAAATGGCGCATCCTATCCTCAAGAAGGTCACCAGCCCAAATCAACTGCTCGAGATACAGACCAACTCGCCGCACCTCGCCAAAGACACTGGAGAACTTTGGCAAGCCTTCATCATGCGAGACTTGCCTAACCTTACTCAGGAGAACATGATCTACCCAAAGAATCCCGAGAGCTGGTACAAGGTGTACCGAAAGCTCATGCGGACGGAGAAGGAGCGCGAGGCTGTACAGGAAGAGCAGCTGCGAATTTCGCTTCTGGGCGACAAAGTCAAAAGAGAGGAGAAGAAGACGATGTTTGTGGATAAGGTCCTACATCATGCTCGCGAGGAGCCTGTCATCTTCGTCGACGGACAACGCAACAGAGGCAATAGGACTGCTGGGCCCCCATCCTTGGCAAAGGCAAAGACTGGCACAGATGCGCTCGCTGCCATTCGCAATAGATCTGCCCTTAACTCGAGGCAGATATCGCTGGGACGTCCCTTTCAGTCCAACGGTTATGCCCAAACTTCGAACAGGGCCACTCGCCAGATCGCTCAGGCTCCCCAAAGTATGCTTCGGGAAGCTGGTCAACATGGTAGGATGGAGATTGCACCACGCGAGCTATTGCCGCATCAGAAAACAATGCTTCAAGAACAGCGCAAAGCCAATGCAACCGTCAAGGTACACGCCCCTGGCCTGGTCAGAAGTGCCAAGTTCGCTGCTGCACACCAAAAGCAAAACGAGGCTGTCATTCGCAAAGCACGCGAGATCAACGAGGACAAGTTGAGGAAATTGACGCAGACGGCAAATCGAGCTGCTCGAGAGAAGAAACCCGAGCCGAAATTCGATTTCGAACCAACTGTGCCCGCTACTTCTCCTGAACCACCAAAAGTCTCTACGCCGGTGCAACCCAATTCACCCGCTGCCGCACCTCCAGCACCATCTCCACCAAAACAGGCCAGTCCTAATCCGGTCCTTCTCAAGAAGCGACCTGCACCCGGCGGCTCGGTATTCATGAAGCCCACCAAGAAGGCGAAGCGTTGAAAGACTTGTTCAATGTAGCCATGGACATGCGCACAGCTACCGGCGTCAATGGCAGAACGAGCTTCCAGTCTATGAAGACTCGCGAATAGCAATATCCGCAGCGGCAATGGCTTCCTTGGCTTTTGTGATATCGTCAGGCGTGTTGCTCTGATCACTTGAGCTCTTGTCCTGCTCCTGCGTTACATCAGAACTGCCAGAGTTACGGCAACAACATGAAGAACGAAAGCTTACCAGCTGCGCCTCGAGCTTCTCCTTGGCATCTGTGATCTTCTGCTTGAGTTGAGGAAACATGGCCTCAGTCTCTTCTAGGACTTTGCGCTAGACCTGTACGTTAGCATTGATGAAATAGAGGGGCTCATATGAGACCACGAGTAGATGATCGGATGATTGCAGAAGAACTAGATACCCATGTACAAGTAATTGACAGATTTACTGTACAGTTTGACATACCTCCTGCCTCAAGATGTACTCTGCATTCTCATCGTCACCTTGACCGGCTTCAAGCTTGGCGATTCGGCCTTTCTGCAATTCGTGTTCACGTTGGTAAGACTTCTCTTCCTTGACGAGCCTGTTGACCACCGAAGTGGCGATTGAGATTGGCGAAGGAGCTGGCATGTCGGCGATACGGGTATGGCTTTCGGTAGTCTTCGGTATTGTTTGTGAGTCGTGCTTGGAAATAGTGGGATGCCTTCAGCGAGATGGTGTGGGGCTGATTAGGCACTTCGAGCCAATCAAACGCCGTGACAAAGCGCGTTCGCGTTCTTTCCGCGTCGCGCGTTTCTGCACGCACTTCCACTACTATCGTTGGCGCAGGCTGCTTCTCACTCCTCTTTTCCCTCACCCACCGCGCGCCGCTCATCCACCGCTCACACATCACCATGTCATCGCCGACACAGAGACGATCTATGCGCGGAAGTGCCAGTAATACACCGCGTCGCTCACAGCGCGGTTCACAAGTTCCACGCTCCTCGGAACCACCGGCCAGCGATCCCCCTCTACCAGACGCAGACGCAGATGTAGACGCGAACTCACAATTGCTGAGCGAGGCGAATGGCGCATCTTCACGCAACGGTACACCAAGAGGGACCCAGAACAGTAACAGTCAAAGTCAAGCACCACCAACCAGCAGTCCGTTGTTCTTTAGGGATTCGCCTGCTGGAAGTCAGTCGCAGTCGCAGAGTCAGGGTCTGGGGGTGCCAGAAAGAGGAAGCGTGAATGGCAGTAGTCCATTGAGACAGCGAGCGGACGTAAATACACCAGCGGGGCTGAGCAGTGATGGAGGAAGGACACCCAGAGCGAACGGGGGTATTGGCGGTAAGTTGGCAATATGAGCTTCTTGGTGATAGAGCGATGCTAATTGGATGCACTAGATTCATCGCCAATCCACTATGCGACAAGCTCGGATGCTGCAGGTCCAGCATCGAATGGCCGGCGCCCACATGGAACGAGCTCCTCGGGATTATTTGTGCGTTCCGGTATGGGCAGTCAGCCCAACGCAAGAGACAGGAGACACGATGTCAACTCGGATCTACTAGAGAGCAGTGGACGTCGACGTCAACTCTTCGTGGATGAAAATGGAGCCCCAGTACAAGGACAGTCGGACACAAACACTTTCTCGAATCTCAACCCAGACACTTCGGACGCGGCAGCTCTTGGTGGTCGAGGTACAAGACTGATTTGGGGTACCAATATTTCCGTTACAGACTCCTGGTCCGCTTTCAAGGACTATCTGTACAACTTCCAGAAGAAATATCGCATGATACAAGATGGCGAACTTATGGAAGGGGAGCATATTGCACCTGGCGAGCCTGGAGCGCAGAAAGAGGCACTTGCACAACTCGAGACAATGCTGGAGCTGGGCACAAAGTGTTTCTATTTGGACTGCCGCAACCTGAAGGCTTATCCAGGCACTAGAAAGCTGTGGCATCAGCTACAAGCATATCCAAGTGAACTGGTACCACTGATTGACTCTGCTGTGAAGGATACTCTTATGGAACTGGCAGAAAAGAAGATGAGTGAAAGGAGGTCGCAGTCTATGCAGCAGAACGGCCAAAATCGCGCCAGAGATTCTAGTTCTGTGCCTCCCATGCCCAGCTCAGATGTTGATAATAATATGGGCGGCGAGACTCCAAGACCCACACAGCAGAGTACCATCGAAGAGCAGGATCTTTATGCAGAAGTCGAGAGTTCTTCATACAGAGTTCGTCCATTTGGTCTCGACAGAAACGTCAATCTGCGAGATTTGGATCCGAAGGACATGGACCAGCTGGTTTCGGTTAAAGGACTGGTCATTCGTTCAACGCCAATCATTCCAGACATGAAGGACGCCTTTTTCCGTTGCTCTGTCTGTCATCACACCGTCAAGGTCGATCTCAATCGGGGCAAGATTGCTGAACCAACTCGATGTCCGCGTGAGGTCTGCAGCGCCAGCAATAGCATGCAGATTGTTCACAATCGTTCTGGCTTTGCAGATAAGCAGGTCATCAAACTGCAAGAAACACCTGACTCGGTACCAGACGGACAGACGCCACATTCTGTCAGCCTCTGCGCGTACGACGAGCTCGTCGATGTCTGCAAGGCTGGTGATAGAGTGGAGATTACTGGTATCTTCAAGTGCAACCAAGTTCGGATCAATCCACGCCAGCGATCCGTCAAGAACATTTTCAAGACTTACGTTGATTGCTTGCACATTCAAAAGGTCGACAAGAAGCGCATGGGTATCGATACGAGTACGATTGAAGAACAGCTTGCCGAACAGGCTGCTGGCAGCATCGAGGAAACGCGCAAAGTGAGCGAGGAAGAGGAGGCCAAGATTCGCGACACAGCCGCAAGACCTGATGTCTATGAGCTTCTTTCTAGATCTCTCGCTCCATCAATCTACGAGATGGACGATGTCAAGAAGGGTATCCTGCTTCAGCTGTTTGGTGGCACAAATAAGAGCTTCGAGAAAGGTGGTTCGCCAAGATACAGAGGAGATATCAACGTGCTCTTGTGTGGTGATCCATCGACATCGAAGTCGAAAATGCTGGAATACATCCACAAGATCGCTCCTCGAGGTGTGTACACCTCTGGCAAAGGCTCTTCTGCCGTCGGTCTTACAGCGTATGTGACTCGCGATCCGGAGACACGATCTCTCGTCCTCGAGTCTGGTGCTCTCGTCCTCTCAGATGGTGGTGTCTGCTGCATCGATGAGTTTGACAAGATGTCCGATGCCACACGCTCGGTGCTGCACGAAGTGATGGAACAGCAGACTGTGTCCATCGCGAAGGCTGGAATCATCACCACTCTCAACGCGAGAACATCCATTCTGGCTTCTGCCAATCCAATTGGCAGCAAGTATAACCCCAATCTGCCGGTGCCACAGAACATTGACCTTCCTCCAACACTCCTATCGCGTTTCGACTTGGTGTATCTCGTACTTGACCGTATCGATGAATCGACAGATCGCAAGCTCGCCCGGCACTTGGTCGGCATGTACCTTGAGGACAACCCCGACAATGCCAGCAGAGACGAGATACTGGTGAGTTTATCCTTATTCTTCTTGCATGATATGAACCATAACTAATCTATACTCTTCTCAATTAGCCCATCGAATTCCTAACATCCTACATCTCCTACGCCCGCTCAAACATCCACCCCACAATAACCCAACCGGCGGCCGACGCGCTCGTCCGCTCCTACGTGGCCATGCGAAAACTCGGCGAAGACATCCGAGCCCAAGAACGCCGCATCACAGCCACCACGCGTCAACTCGAATCCATGATTCGTCTTTCCGAAGCTCACGCCAAAATGCGTCTGTCTCTCACAGTTGAGGAATCCGACGTGGAAGAAGCTGTCCGCCTGATCCAATCGGCCCTGAAACAAGCCGCTACAGACGCGCGGACAGGTCTGATCGACATGGGACTCTTGACCGAAGGGACGAGTGCAAGCGAGAGAAAGAGAAAAGAGGATCTGAAAATCGGTGTTCTCGGAGTTCTTGATGCTTTGTTGGCGTCAGGGTCCATGAGTGTGAGATATGGAGACGTTGTGAGAACCTTGTCGGAACAGAGTTCGGTTTCGGTCGACGGAGGGGAATTCGCAGAGGCTGTGAGGAGTTTAGAGGCAGAGGGTAAAGTCCAACTGTTGGGTGAGGGCCCGAGGAGGAGTATCAGGAGGGTGACGGGGGTTGCTTGATTTAGGCAATTTGATGACAATTGCATGCATGTGAAAAGTGTAAGGGGCGCTACATGCATGCATAATGGAACATTGAAGATCTGGTATAGATACCTGGTAGGTATGGGTCAAGACTGGGTGGTCATGCCCCACGCGCTCTGAATCGAATCACGAAGCCAAGGCCAATAGTCATGAGAAATCTCTCGAACAAAACTTTGATACGTTTCAACCCTATGGACCTTGTTCGCGAGGTAGATGGTCTGCATGGACGCAGCAGCATTCATAGTCACACAGTTTCTCTCCCTCCCACACGGCCCAATAGCCTCCAGCCTGAGTGGGGAGGTCCAAGATTCCGAGAGGTAGAGCTTGAAAGAGGAAGGACTGGGCACTCGTCGTCTTCATTTACAGTCTCTTGTGGACCGAAGGGTGTATCGTGTAACCGGTCATGTGGCTCGCCTTCTTCTGGGAACTTCAGAAGGTTGTCGCCTGTCTCCCTTTTCCACATCCTCCCTAGTTCTCAATTACATGGCTCATTCCGTGATCGTCTCTGGTCGTAAGTATTTCTTCCTCCTTAGCGTGGCTCTACAGCATGATAGCTTGACTTCCCTCTTGGTCATCCCAAGCATATCCAGAACCTGTCCAGCTCAACCCCAGTCTCATGAAGTCTCATCCCTGTTCTCTCTCACCTCAGCTCCTTCGACGCAAGCTCGACTCTTTCTGCACAGAACAGCCTCCACGCAGGGCAAGAACCAAATGTAACGTAGCGCCGCCCTCGAGACCGTATTCTTCTGCTGTCTTGTCGTCATTCCTGTCCGCCACTCTCGTTAACGACCCTCGCTCTCTACCACTCATATCGCGCCGCTTCCACCCCCCGGTGGTGTGTATATATAACTCACATCTGCTTCCCGCCGAAGATCAAACGCTGCTGCACGGGTGGAATGCCCTCCTTCTCCTCAACGCGCTCCTTGATCTTCTGAACCTTGTAGTCAGGTTCGATGTCGAGTTCGATCTCTTTGCCCGTGAGGGTACGGACTCTGAAAAGAGCATTATCAGTCAGCACGGGTTTGCGTGGCGATGGGAGTGCAGTCAGTTCCTGTCGAGCTTACTTGATCTGCATCGTGGGTGAGTGGTGGGTTTGTTGAGGTGGAGATTCGGAATTCTATGGTTTCGAGGAGGTGGGAATAGGCTAAAGGAGGTGTGTCGGAGTGGTGGTGGGAGATGTGTTGTTGTGTGTTGTGTGTGAGTGTTTGAGAGTGACGCTGATGTGGAAGTGGGATGGAGGGACGAGGCAACAACTTCCATGCAGTGAGGCAGCTATGCAGCAGCGCCAAGCTAAGCCAAGCCTTCTAGTTCGAACGACAGACATCTATCTAGCAATCGCCAATACCTTACCGCTGACGATATGGCATGTAAAAGACTTCACTGATATGAGTTTCAATCAGTCCCGTCCGTCTAGCCGTAGAATCTCGATGCGGCACATTCCTCGTTCCATCGACATTGTGCCACACAAGGACTACAGAAAGCGTATGGAAGTAACCTGGAATAATGTTCCCAAAACATCAGGATTATTTAGGAATCACAAACGATTCGTGTTATTTCATATCGAGTTATCAGTGTACTTCAACCACATCTCCCGAGACACTTGTTCACCAGATTATTCTCTGCCCGATACGGAGATATTCGCCCTCTCCCGAATCTTGTTTGTTGGAGCTACCTCCGTGGTAGATAGCAAGTAGACTCCTAGCATGCGATTTCCGCCCTTACCTTTACCATTCCTCCTCGATCCATCAATATAGGCGAGATTCTGCCAGCGCGATCAGTGGATTCGAGGTGCTGGAAAGAGTGTGGTTGTGGAACTAGGGAAACTTGCGGCCTGAGGCATTTTGTCATGTGAAAGTGGAGCCGATTTGAACGCGACGCGACCTCAATCTTGCCATGTCAATCTCTGTAGTTTTAAGCACATCACATTCGACCTACAGTGGACGTCGAGCTTCCCAACATGTATGCGCAGTTCCAGGCCAGCTATCAGCGCGTCGAGGCGAGTCTCCAAAAGCTCACCGACTCGATTGCGGCATACAACCCTTCTGTGTCTGCCGCAGACGAGCTCGTGGCCGCAGATGAAGCTGTGAAGCAGAATCTGGACGAGTGTAAGTGAATCGGACCCGGAACCGATAGATGGCAGCACCTAAAATCCAGATTCAGTGGTCAAGCACCAGCAGAACTACCTGCGCCTCCAGGAACTTCGCCAGACGTCCAACTCGCTCGACGAAACGATCAAAACCACAATCCGTCTGCTCGCGGACACGCGCAAAGACATTGCCTCGATTCCCGCCACCGACAGTTCCGCAGACCGAAGGGACGTCGACATCCAGGAGCTGCTCACCTACGCCAAATATATCGCGCCTACGACTGTGCCCCCCACTTATCGCAAATCACCCAAAGATGACTCCCAGTCGCATTCCAACGTTGTAGAATCTACTGCAGGATCAGCGGGACACACGACGCAGATCTCCAATGGGCTCTCTACACCGCCACCTCAAGCAACAACAACTGCCGAAGACCACAACCCGGCCTTCATCAAGAGCGAGAACATCGGTCTCACAACCATGGAAGAGCGCGACAAAGCATGGCTCTTGCCAGATCCTGATGTCTTCCAGCCATGGCCCACACAGGACGTCATGAACAGTGGTGCGCTCGGTGATATACAGAGGATGATCGAGCGTGGAGAGGATCCGAGCACGAAACTGAGCAAGCAAGAGCAGGCTGAAGCTGATTTGAAGAGAGAGGCTGAGGAGGAGGCGAATCGGCAGAGAAAGGCGGAGGAAGAGAGGAGGGCGAAAGAGATGTTTGGAGCAGGGACGATGCAGAGAAGGGGAACTATTGTGGAGGCGTTCAATCCGGACGATTTGTAGATGTGTTGGGTGGTATTGCATGATTTATGCGGGCTGCGCTTGTGGAGATCAGGCTATGGATTGACACGGCTTTTGCATTGGCAGCGCGACTCTGCTACCACACGCCACAAGAACTTGAACTGAGATCGAGCATATTTCCGTTCGATAGGTACGATGCCTTTCTTAGCTCATGATCAGAGCAACATCAATGCACTTCACGGCCCCAATCTGTCCAACGAAGCAGCAGCCACTCTTAGAAATATCAACATCAGAGCATACAATCCCTATACACTCTGAAGCCTCCATATCCGACCACCCCAAACAACATATCTCTCTCCACTCTCCCTAATCACCATTTCTCCGACCTCGATTTCGCAAGATACTTCTCCCTGTGCAAATCGCCATCCCCTGACCTCTCAAAAAACTCCACCTCTACCGGCGCAGACCACGTCGGCTGACTCTTAGGCCAGAGCGTCGCATAGTACGGCTTCGTGAATTGTTCTTTCTCAAACCATTCTCGATCTTTGGCCCAGATTTCCACAAAGCGAAAGGTGCCCGGATTCTTGGGATCTTGGAAGATGTCCATGGATAAACATTCGGGCTCAGCGGCGGTTTCGGCCCAGACCTGTATTTATTGGATGGAAGGAAAGTCTTTTTTAGCACAGTTTGTTGTTGAGTGAGAAGTGACAAGATAGGGAAAAGGACGTACGGGTCGATGTGCTTCTTTCCATTCTTCAATTCGGTCGGGTTGGATTTTGAAGGTGATGAATAGAGTGAGTTGTTTTCCCGTCATTTTTGCGGGTTTCTTTTTTTTTTCGTGATTGGCGAGGAGATTAGTAGACTTGAGTATACCTAGGTACGGAACGAACAGGAGTCGCGCTCTTTTATCTTTATCATCATCTCTGCAGTCAATCGGTCAGACACATAGTACATGTATGTAGTAAGCCATTGGCACTAGCCGGCACTCTGCCGTAAGCCTTCGGTCAATGAGTCTGCATTGCTCGGGCCGAGCACTATAAAAGTAGAACTAGCATGGTCTGCTGCTGGAAATAAAGAGATGCACCAAAACACCAACAACAGTGCTGGTACCTATGATACGAGCTACGAACATGGTTCACGAACAAGACATTCCCTGCTGGAGGTGCGAAAAGCTGGAGCAGCGGCCCCTGAAGTTCTACTTTGAGGGTCATTTTCTTAGTCAGCTATTCTTCACGCGTTGAAACCTCCTGCATGTCTTGTTACCCCTTTTTTTTACTTACCACATCCATCACCACCATTCTGCCTCTCGCTGTCAATGCTGACTCCATCAATCACTTCGAGAGTGTTTGGAACGACATGCGCCATCGATGCACTGTCAAAAGGCCGATTGAAGAAGTCACTGCTCACTCTCTTCCGCTTTCACAGATATCCACGCCACCATGGCAAAGCACGTCGGGAGGACCAGAGCGGTCTGACACTAGAACATATATTGCAGTTCTTTTGCGTCGGGATGAGTACATGTATGAAGGGCCTAAGAAAGTGAGCTCTGGGACACTCTTCGCCAATGAGACTGGTTCTCACTGTTGCAGTGACCAGTACAGAAAATAGAAAAAAAAACATTGCCTGGGTCGTGATTCTCGAAGCGCAGTCACAATCAATGTCAATCATATTGTAGGCGAATGAATGAAATGGTGAAGTTTTTCGACATGATTCCTTTCTCGGCGTTGGGTTTGACCTTACCTATTTCAAGAACCGATTTGCAGCGTTATCGATTTAACTGCTTCTCATCCCCTAATAACACTGCTTCACACGCTGTTATGAGATGCCATATTCGCGAGAAGGCCAGACTTTGCGAAGCTGTGATTCATTTTCATCAACCTGCATACAGGCTGACTGGTGGGAAAGAAGTCGAGCCATTCACGCCCTATCCCTACCCTGCTAAGCTGCATATCTCCCAGGGGCGAGCATTGTTTCTGTCAAGCACAGCGACTCGGCCGAGTCGAGAGAAGTACAAGATTGTTAACATCAGCTGGGCCGTCTCTGTATCGCACGGTCTGGTATCTCAGCGCAGAAGGTGGATGATGGTGAGTGGGTAAGGTTTACTACAAATCCTGTTCACGATCAGGAACTGGACATCTATTACACAACGATACTGCAACACCAACCGACCATGGTGATCGAATCCTTGACCACAACAACAAACAACTCCATCGGACCTGAAGCCGACCAATGCTGTGCTATCACTGCAAGTTGCACACGAGCCATTGCCACACCAATCGACATCGCGTGGCCGCGTGATACCCATGATGCATAGACCAGACAGCTCCGTCGACTTTGATACAGAAGTAAGTCTACGATATCGATCTGAACAATTTTAGCGGTGGTGCCGATTTCGACTTGATTTTCGATGCTCTGTACAAGCACAAAGTTGCTCGTATTCAAGCAACAACCAAAGATACTTACACCGCAAACAGTCATATCGTCTGACTTCACGGTAAGACTCTCTCTCTCTCTCTCTCTTCTATCAATGTCATTCTGTGGATGGCATCAACTCATATATAACGAGACGACAGTTTCGATCCCGAGAATCGACGGGCGGCTTCGCGCACGGCGTAGACCTGCCCCTATCTCACCTCTCACAACGGCGTAGATATCTACGGTCTTCCCACCTGCTCCGCAAATCAGTGTAACGTTGCGGAGTTGGATCATCCGAGGGTGGGGGGTGTGATGATGATTTATAGGAGGACCTAGTTTGGTGGGGAATTGGGTCTAGTCATAAAAGGTATGTACTTCATTGGAATGGGTTAATTATGTTTTGTTTTTTTGCTTTTGCTCCCAAGCATATGAAAAATGTCGCTGGTGCACAATCTTTTTGGTTGTCCCCTACGCATTCAGACTTGCAACGATTCTTGAAGAAACGACCACCTACGGAGAATGCAACATACATGCATGCATGCATGCAATCAGAACCAAGCGACGAAAGATGTTTTTCTTTTTCAGGGGAAGGAGGAGAAGGAGGAGAGGTCGGGGCGATTGACTGGTGAGGGTCTAAATACCTACCTCCCTACCTCCCTAACTACCTGGCTGTATTAGTGGAGGAAGAGGAGATTTCCATTCTCTTCTTCCTGTAATGGAATGAATCTATCGTATAAGTGGCTGGGATGGGGGTCGGGGGATGACGATATAATAGGATATGAGACTTTTAGGGGGAGAGGTGCGATATAGTGAAAACCCACACGTTCTTCGTTGAAGCTATAGAGGGAGTTTTCTTTTGAGAATCAAAGGATACGCAGGCATGCGCTCCTCGTATTGCGCCAGGAGAGTTCTAGGAACGTAAAAAGGCGAGCTCAGGGCCCGTCAGCCTCGAGGCAACTTCTATATGTGCGATGATGCACCTGGTGGACCGAATGACGATCCCTGCATTCGTCGCTCCCTCTCATCCCATCAGCAGACTCGCCAATTGTTCTCGGAAAGTGATGCCGTGCCGATGTCGACTTCGCCTCTCCTAAGAAGTTTCTGCGGCTCCTGGGGCAGCCTCGCCAGTCTTGGCACTGTCGAAAGGCATTAGAGTGCACCGGAACAGATACTCCGCGACGCCCCACAACGCGGTCAGAGCCTCCACCCGATCGTCTGCATCGAGGAGGTTGTACCAGCGAGTCCTTTGCAGCTTCGGGCGACACCAGTCGTCGTCATCCGGCAGTGGTGTGGGCAGCGTCTCTTTGCGGACGTACTCGATATAGGCGACGTGAGCTGTCATCTTGAGGATCGAGATGTGATGATTCAATGAGGAGACCATGAATAGCTGCGTTGGTACAATGTTAGCACATGGCAAGTACTCTATCGATGCGTGCGTGGGTGTGAAGGGTGCAGAGCTTCGGTGCAGGGCTCGGAAAACTCACCTCGTCGTAATCCGAGTCCGGTTCCTTACCGATGGGCTCATAGTCCACCTTGGAGTCCCACGTCATCTGGCGATTGGGCTGCAATTTCTTCCAGAGCCTCAGGTTGGCTCGGTGGCGTTTCGCAGAGTCCTTGCGTGCCGCATCACCTGCCATCGCGTCTTCTGTCATTTGCAAGACATGCTGCTCCGGCTCTCCATTGTTGGCTTTCTGCTGCGAAATTAGCTCCCCACTCGTGCGAGAGAAAACGGTAGTGGTGACCTACCTCGTCCGTTGCCACTGCTTTCCCGGATCCACCACCCCATCGAGGGACTGTCGTCCACCATGCACCCTCGTTCGGCTGTTCTTGGGTCTTGCCCTGCCGCTGTCGTTCCTGGCCGAGCTGCAAAAGGCCACCCAGTTCGCGCATCGCATCAAGGCGACTTTTAGTCTCCCGTCGCTTGGTGCTGAGGTTGTCTCCGTAAAAGTCGATGTCGGGCCGACACTGCACGGTCAGGAGTGGGCCTTGGAGAAAACCGCCTCGGGCGCGCTGGCGATCTCGAGGAACACGATACACCGCTGCCGTCTGGCGAATGGGGATATTGAGTCTATTGATCTGCAGGTGTGGCGCATTGCGAGGTGGCACTACCTGGGCACCGAAAGCGAGGAAGACACCGTGGACAAAGCCTTTCACCATGTCTCCCCGAAACTGATCGGGCATGTCCTTACCAGCGGCGGTGCGGCGGCCTTTGTACCTCGTGCGAGTCGTCTGGTGTGGTGGGGGCTCTGGTGCGCCGGGATTCGATGCCGCTTCTGTTGTCGTCTCGTCCATATCGACTTCGGGAGTTTCGCGGGAGAGCGAGTCCGCCAGGGGAGACTCCGCGCGGTTCGATGGACGGGAGCTCGTGGTGACAGCGAGCCCGTCGTGCTCGCTGTCCATCCGCTGTCGCTTGGCATCGTTCTCGTCGCCGTCCGACTTGGCTCCCGACAGCGGTGCTTCGTAGTATTGGTCAGCGCTAGTGTCCCAGTAGGATGCCACACTTTCGGCACCTTCCCAGAACTTTCGCATGTAGGAGAGTCGAGGTTTGATACCACCGGGCTTGGTCGTTCTGGTGAGGGCACGAATGGCAGTATCGTTGTCTAATTGGACCTCGGCCAACTGCGTCTCGAATGCGGTGCGCATGGCATGTTTGGAGCCTTGCCCCTCGGGGAATGGCTCCATTTGGAGCGGTGGGAAGTACGAGCGGCCTGCAGTCTGTCAATACAACGCATCATCCATGGCATCTGCAGCGGCGCGCGATGCCGAGCAGAGACGGGAAGGAGGAGCTCACCATCGCGTCGGAGGGGAAGCAAGTCTTGCGGTGCGCAGTCGGACGAGGCGTGCACGTTCAGAATGCCGAGATGGTCATCCGATACGCTGGACGGGCCTGAGATTTTCGCGAAGAGCGGCTCGAGCTTGGGTGGTGATGAGGGATCGCTCCATGCGTTGCTGGCTCGGGGCCTAGTTGCTGGAAAAGTGACAGGCGTCGCTGGCGCAGGCGGGTCTCGTTCTAACAGAAGGTCAGCGCCGGCACACTCCTTTTTGCTCGCCTCTCGCCTCTCGCACTTTCGGCGGGCGCATGACAGGCGCAGTACTGACCTTGGTCTGGATCGACGTTGGGGATGCCTGCAGATTTCACAGAAGGGTCAGCATTTCGCATTCGATCAAGCTGGGTCTGGACATGCGTGCGTGGAGCTGGAGACTGGGGTTGGCGGCCCGACAGTTCTTCAGGCACCCATGGCGGCTTGAACATGGCGGAAGGGGTATGTAGGATGAGGGTGTGTGTGAGAGGGTGTGCTGAGGGTGCGAGAGGGTGTGCTGGTGTGGAGGTATGTTGGTGTGTTGGTGTTGGTGTGTTGATGAAGTTTGTAGGAGGCAGACACGACCACCAGGCAGCAGCGGCGGCGCGTTGTGGCGGCGGGAGAGAACGTAGTCGGATGTTCAAAAAGGATGGGTGTGGTCTCTCTGTCTCTGTCTCTCTCTCTCTCTCTCTCTGGCGCGCGCGTACATGAAGGTGTTTTGTTTGCCACGCCATGCCATGCGGCGCCTCGCCTGCCTCCTGCCTCCTTCCTGATTGACCACACAACACCACACCACACCTCCCTTTCCCTCACCACTACAAACGCAGTCCATACCTGACCTTACACATACACATTCTCGCGTGGTAGCAGTGGCAGACAAATGCAGAAAAGTGGGAGGGAGGGGACAATCTCACCGAGGAACATCGAGCTCAAAAACATGTTGCTGCTTGCACTCCCCCGTCTCTCTCTATCTCTCTTTTCTTCTCCTTCTCCTGTTGCGTGTCCTATGGACCTATGATGGTGATACCACTACACGACCCAGACCAGCCCGTTGCCACGCTCGACCTCACATGTGGAGTCTCGAGACTCGCGTAGAGAGCACAAGAGGGTTGGTATGGCATGGCGTGGCGAGGCGTGGCAAGGCGAGGTGGAAGAGGAAGTGGAAGTGGGAGCGCGCAGGCACAGAGAGAGAGAGAGTCTTCGTCCGATCTCCACCGCCAGGAGGATCTGCTGCTGGCTGCTGCTTGTTGTTGCTGCTGGTGCAAGGGTTGGCGAGGACTACAGTGGTCTAAGGCACTTCTACTGCGTCCGCGTGGGGCGCACTTCTGTCCCTGTCTGCAATTCGAGCAGAGTCTCCCGTGTGCGCCTGTGTCCAATCGCTGCAGTGATGGGTAATGCTGCACCTCTCCATTACCAGCACTACTAGAATAGGTAATACCCGCGATGAGGGTGAGCAGCGGTCATGAGAGAGGGAGAGAGAGAGGGACAGGGAGAGATAGGGAGGTGATGAGGGACTGAGAGAAAGCAAAAAGAGCCCCACCTGCCTGCGCCGTCGCTACCTGAGTTTTGGAATAGTTCCCCCGCCGACTACTACTACACATCGAAGTGTCCCAGTCACTACAATCAGGTAGTCTTGCTCATACACATCTCGACTCAACGCTTCTACAAACAGCTATGGCCATCACTTATGGTGTCATCGGCACGAATTGGATCACAGACTCGTGGATCCAAGCCGCCAACAAAACCGGCCAATGGCAACTCCAAGCCGTCTACTCACGCACGAGAGAGCAAGCAGACAAGTTTGCCTCGAAATATGCCTGCTCAAAGCTCTATACCACCCTGGACGACCTCGCTGCCGACCAGGACCTCCAAGCCATTTACATCGCTTCCCCCAACAGCCTGCACTACGAGCAGGCGAAGCAGATGCTAAAGGCCAAGAAGCACGTCCTGCTCGAGAAGCCTGCCACATCCACTCCCGCCGAGCTCGATGATCTGTTCCGGATAGCGAAAGAGGAGGGCGTGTATCTCATCGAGGCATACCGCCATATTCACGAGGCCAACTACAAACTGCTGCGCAAAATGGTCCACGAGGAGAAGCGGCTCGGGCCCATTTACGGCGCCTCGTTCTCCTACTGTTCCTACAGTAGCCGATACAACAACGTCTTGAACGGAGAAACACCCAACATCTTCTCCCTCGACTTCAGCGGAGGCAGTCTCGTCGACGTGGGCGTCTATCCCGTAACATTTGCCGTAGCCCTCTTCGGCCGCCCCCAGACACAGTCCTACATCCCCACCATCTGCCGCACAGGAGTCGACGCAGGCGGATGTGGAATCTTGCAATACGACGGGTTTGGCGTGCAAATCAGCGCTTCCAAGTGCTATCAGAGCACCGCACCCTGCGAAATCTATGGCGAAAAGGGTACTCTCACCATCAACGCGACGACGGATATTGCGTCCATTGCACACTGGAGTCCGCAGACGAAAAAGAGCGAGGAGTTGGCGGGTCCGTGTAAGACGGTGGAGAAACCGAATGTCAATATGGAAGAAGAGGCGGCAGAATATGCGAGAATTTTGAATGAAAAGGATACGGCGAGTTTGCAGGAGTTGGAAACTATTTCACGGAATGTCATTCATGTCACTTCGGAGATGCGGAGACAGGCTGGTATTGTCTATCCAGCGGATAAGAAGTAAGAACTACGAGACTAGTGGTAGAAGAGGAATCGCCCACGAGGACATTGAAGCTTGCGCATGAAAGCTTGCAGAAGTATCTACACAGGATGACCCATGCCTCTCAACGTGACGCAAGCATCTGTCCTGTACATACATACATACACATGTACATAGGTACATGTACATAGCAACCACCAGTAATCATCTCACTACATAAGGTAGGTAGATAGATACTACCTCCTCCTCTACTTACACCCTTCCCTTCCTCACCTTCCACTCTCCAATCCACTCCTCCGCCCTCGCCCTCGGAACTACAAACACCCTTACCAACCCATCCCCAATCTCCACCTGTTTTCCTTTTCCCGACCCCGCCAGTAATTTGATCAAAGGTAATTTCTTACCCGCTTTGATCAGACCACTAGGGGAAGTTTCCATGTAGCAATCTACTTGGGAATGGATCGCTGCTGTAGAGGCAGAAGGGGAAGATGATGAAGGGGATGAAGGACTGGAAGGGGAAGGGGAATATTCGTGCTTGGCATCCCAGGGCAAAGGTAATAAATACGCGAGATGATCACCCAACGTCTCGTGTTCTTGAAATTCTTTCACGAAATCGGTCTGGGCGTGTAGAGGGTAGAGGAAGAGGACGGGGAACGAGAGTGTGGAAGTGGGATCTTGAGGGTCGGAGAGGTGGATGGCTGCGTCTTCCAATTCGGGTGGTGATGTCGATGAGGATGAAACTTCTCCAGTTTCATGATCACGCAAGAGGGAAATATTCCTCGCTTTCAACGCAGCGTGCAGGGTGATTTTCTCCCGATGAAGACGTGCTTCGCGTTTCTCGCGTTCGGCGTGGAGATTGCGGAGGTGGGTTTTGCGGGAGTGGATTTTGGATTGGAGGACCGAGAGGGAGGTGTTGGTGGGGTCGTATTGTAAGCCGGATAGACAGGCATCTTCTGCTTCGGGGATTTTGTCTAGGGCGAGACAGGCGGTCGCTGCGCGGTACCAGGCTTTGATGTTCCGGGGATTGAGCCGGAGTACGGAGGCGCAATCTTTGTTGACTTGGCCGTAGTTTTCTGCGGGAAGGACGGGAAAAAGGAAAGAGGACTTGTATCAGCTGTGTGGGGGAAATACTTGTGGATGTTTTGTGTTGGGGGAAGTGATACTCATCTCGAGGTTACAGAGAGCACGATTGGCCAAACATGCTTCCTCTATCTCGCGTTCTTTCTTCGCTTCAGCCTCCTCGTCAACTGGAGTAACCTGGTCCTCCTCCACATCTGTTACATCCAAGATCCTAGTGCTAGTAGTAGGAACAGCATCAGCACCGGCAGCACCAGCAAAGTCGTCATCCTTCGGAGCCTCCGACAACTTCACTTTCCCCTGCACCGAAGCGATAGCTTTGGTATAAAACTCGCGAGCATCTTTCCAGAGTTTGCCACGCGCAGCTTCATTTCCCTGTTCCCGGAAGTTCGCCGCCACTTCAGCTTTGCTTCCTTCGTATGCGAGAGCTTTGATGGCCTCGAGCATCACGTTCTCGCCGCCTTCGCCATCTGTCTCGTCCAGCGTGGTCATGAACAGCGGGATGCGGTTCATTTCTGCCAGGATCTCATCGGCTGTTTTGGATCGCTGCGAGGACATGCTCGGCGGCATTGCTGCCGTGAGCGCTTCAACCAAGTCATCGGAGTTGTGCTTTGCTGTGCTTTCGACATTGCTGTTGCTGCCGCCGCCGCCGCTGCTGCTGTTGTTCGATACCGGCGCGTTGCCTGTGGGGGTGCCATCTTCACTTTGATTTTTCGCCATTTTTTCTCATCAAATCCTGTAGTGGCTTGTTCAGATAAGGTGCGATGATGATCCGGCCTAGTGTGCACCTGCTCGGGACAGCGTGTTTCGACCCTGGGCCCTGCTTCTTGCCGTTGTTTTGTGCGGGCGTGGCTCATGTAGGTCGTGAATCATGCACTTACAGCACATGTAGTCCGTCGGGACGCTTCTGGTTGTAGAGTGAAAAGGTGTGTTTCAAGGTCCTGCAGGGTTTTTGTGGTGTCAAGCACCGAAAAAATGCTTGTTTGCCATGTGTGGAAGCTGGCGGGCTGGTGGCGTTTCAACATCCGACAACGGCTGTCTCCAACTTACCTCCCACTGCCGATGGCTTGACTATCGAAAATCAGCCCAGAAGACTGCACGAAATGGCATTTCAGCATTTGGAAGCGCATTTGGAAGAATTGCTCGTGGCCCGCAATGAATCAGAACCAAGCAGTCGTCACCTGCGCGGCCCTTACTCCGCTGCCAGGCATGTTGGATAAATGGGATGGTACTGGCAGTCTGGCAGCGCGAACTTCCGTTTTCTCCGGCAGGCAGAAAATAGAAAGAGTCGAGACGGATCGCTCCATCAAGGCATAACTGCCTGCCTTGATGTTCAGGTATACTTGGATAGCGCAGGGGCTATGGGCAGACCCCATTTCTGTCTAGTCGCAGACCCCATCCTGAGTCATCAAGTAATTACGTACCCTTGGCCTTGGGCCTTACGATATATACTCGCTCTTTACCTACCTGTAGGCTTCACTCTACATTACACCCCGAAGGATACCCCTCTCGATTCTTAGCCCCCCTTGGGGGGTTAGGGGGGCAATCTAGTCGGTGTCCCCGAGGTATTCGGTGGCCCCGAGGTATTTAGAAAAGAAGTCCTAGGAGGTTAGGTATAGAAAGCAGAGGTCTGAGCGAGGGAGGAGACGCGTTATTTTCTAGGGGGTAGAATTACAGCGGAAGGGTACGTGATTACTTGATGACTCAGGATGGGGTCTGCGACTAGACAGAAATGGGGTCTGCCCATAGCCCTTGCGCTTGGATAGACTGTCTGTTATGCTAGTACCCTCGTACATGGATTATGGATATACCAATTAGTATTTTACAGCATGCTGGGAATTGACAAACATGGCATGATGGCCTTACGAGCCTGTTGGTAAGGTAGGGCTGTAGACGTAGGTACCTCCGTACCTTAGGAGTGAGGTGAGAGTACCTTTATGGCAGGCTTATGCATCTGGCGACATCGCTGTCATTCCTGACAAGCTCCGTAAATCGCCTGCCAAACGAGCCAACCCAATAGTTCCACTGCACTGGCGATCCGCCCTCTCCTGATGACAACAGACTCAACAGGCCTAACTCCCACGCAGAATCATAATAGGCGTCAATATGTGCAGAGCTGTTGGGTCACTACTGCAATAATAGCAGTAGAGGGCAGGGTAGGTACAGGTAGCCGTTCCGAGCATGCATATTGTGCTGCACATACCTCCTACCTCGGCCACATTATCGCCCACAAACACCACCTATCAACCATAGGTATTGACCGTATTGTTCCTGCATATTTTTCCGCTGCAGCCTGTAGGAACGCCGCTAGTCTGCAGTAGCACTGTATGTAGCAGTCCAGTGCCGCTGCAGCGAAAGCCTCTCCTCGTATTTTCACTGTACCCAAACCAGTTCTAGAAGCAGTGCCGCTGTGAGGTCAACCGGAATGGAACTGTAGCAATTGCCGTGAGCACACACCATCACACCCAGCCCCCCCTCTCGAGCCCTGTCGCGCTGTATGATTGATTGCCTTGATAGCCGCTACTGGCTGGCTATCCAGGACAATGCCAGCAGAACACATCTTATAAAAAACCCGATTTGGATCTGGTCAGAGATGACGAAAGCAATCAATCGCAGGAGAGCACCAACAAGTTACAGCACAGCAATAAAAATTACCAATACCAACATCGAGAAGGTACCTCCTACATGTCCCTGGACTCATCTACAGACTACAGTGTTGGTGCACCGATCGAGATGACGTTCGAGAAGGGAGTTCGACGAGCTGTTCGCATACTTTTATTTCCCCAGCGCCAGTAGGAGGTACATATACCCGTCTGTTTTCCGCCTCGTGTATTTCATTTATTTCATTCGCTGAGAGCGACATGGTTACACATGCCATCACGAGCTACACGTGCTGCCGCTGGAGAACCCGCAAATTATGCCGTTGTGCCCCTCCCTCCATCTCATCTTACCTAGATATACACCAGAAATCGCCGCACTACCATGCCTTTTTGCACACAAGACTCGACTTCATATACACGGCCGGATTGTGAAGCAGGATGCCATAGTGGAATCGGGATCGTAGACCAATGAAGAATGCCGGCCACCTGCTACAAGATGCCAAGCCGCTTTGGAAATGCCCCCCGTTGTTTGAGAGCAATACACCTACACAGGGAGCCGAGGGCGCAACGCTTGTGGCTCTGGCTTCAACCGAACCTTGCGCTCTGGGATTTAAGCGCCGGGTGGAGGAAGGACCTGGTGGGGCTTGGCAGGCCTTCTCTGCAGGGCTGCCGCCAGGGTGAGCTCACTGAGCTCCTCAATCCTCACACCAATGCCAGCCGGCAGCTCGCTTTGGTCCCTACGAGATAGAGTGCCCAGCCAGTACGGATGCGGTCCCGTGGGCCGTATGCAGGCACACACAGTTCTACCATGCCATCTGCTGGTCTACACGGACGGAATCACAGTACCGGAGGTACGGTAGCGGTAGTAGTCTCACAGAGCAGCACACCCACACATACACACCCTCTCTCTTTCTCCCCTCCCCCCTTGCCCCTCTCTAAACATTGCCACTTCCAGATGTGACGACGCCGAGGGCCAGCCAGCCAGCCAGCGTCGATCTCCGGACGCTATGCGAGGCGACACACTGACAGCACTATGCACTCTTCGTGATGTGAGACCCAATATGGCCGTCGTGTTATTCGACAATTTCGGAATTGATCTGCCATTTCAGGAGGCTTGCACGAGCTCTCTGTGCATCCTAGCCTAGCCTAGCACGCGTCCCATCTGCAGCAAGCGGCATCCCAGTAGACATCGCTTACACACATCCACATGCACGTTAGGTGCCGTCTCAGCTCGCCGCACTCGCGAGCTGTGACACGAAGGCTTCCTGCATTGAAGACGGACCTGCTCCACAGCGGTAGCAAAAGAAGAAGCAGAAGAAGAAGATCATCGATGGCGGCGCCTGCAGCGTGTCGCATCCGACGCAGAGCGTGCTCATCTGATAGGCTTGCCCGTGCGTGGCCACCACGTACACCTTAATCACCATCATGTATGTACCTCCGTGCCGGCACGCCAACCTCCAGGGTTTTAACGGGACGGCCGCCAAACAAGTGGCCATTGCATCGCCGTTTTGTGGATGCTGTGTCGCAGGGTTAGCCGGAAAGTCAATTCACAGGTGGTTTAGACTTTAGACCAAGTTCGATGTGTGCTTGTCTTGTGCTCTTCCACGCCTGCAACCTTTTCCTCAATATCATCCCAGGTCTCTCCTGGAGATGAGGCAGAGCTTGTTCGATTCTTCCAGGTTGACTCCATCCTCAGTCCCTACCGTGCGTGCGCCTCGTGCTACAACACGAGCTACATTACTGCGTCGAATCGCGGTGAACATCCCCATTGGAGAGGTCTTGGTAATCATGATCGATTGTGCCGAGCTGTGAGGGAGGTCATGGTATACATTTTTATTGGAGGTACGTCCACTGGTCGTGTGCGGCGCGTCTGAGACACCGCATCGCAGCATCGCAACGTGCGGATCTGACTTCGCCAAACAGTTCTTTCCTCTCATATTGTAGTGTGTATGCTGGCAGAACTGGTGCAGTGGCGATAGCGAGCCCCGGAGTACTACCTACCTGCCTTATTTGAATTGGGACCATTACTGCCTTCCCTACTAGACCTACCTACCTACCTTATTACCTTGCAAGCATATCACCCCAATGGCCGACTATTTCAGCGAGTATTCTTCCTTTATTGGAGCCAAAGGGCTCCCGTCGCCGGCCGACACACCCTACGAGACTCCTGGATTTATACGATCGAAACGGTCTTCGCACGCAACTGCAGGCTCGTCACGAGAGCAGTCCTCCTCGCCTCCGCCGCTTCCTTTGGATGCCGTGGAAGCGCAAGACAAGGCACGAGATGGGCGATACTCGGGCATGGACCGCATGGACCCGCGTCGCTTCACGCCAACACTGCATGCTTCCTTGGTGTCGGAAATTCTCAATCTGCGGAGAGAGCTTGACTCCAAGAACACTCTGGTGGAGGATCTCGAGTCGACCGTATCAGCAACAAATGGCGAAAATGACATTCTTCGGAGACAATTGGCGGAGAGTACGCGTGACGTACGGAAAGCGAAGCAGCAGGTGCAACAGATGGAACAAGGCACGTATGACGCCGTTGAAGATCTCGTGAGAGAGCGTGATACTGCGAGGGCTCTCCTCGACGATGCGCGAAGCAAACTGGAAAGCACGCAGAAGAAGACGCGGCAGCAGGACGAAGATGCACAGCGAACGCAAAACATCTGGGAGACCGACAAGGAAGCATGGGACAGCGAGCGCAGGCAGCTCGAACGGCGGATACATGTGACCGAGACGCGATTGCGTGCCGTTGTCGACGAGATGACCATGCAGCAGTCCTCAGCGCCCATGTTCAGCCTGCCCGATGACAGCACGTTCAAGGACAGCGGCATTGGGAACGAGAGCGATTCCGCGAGCATCTATTCTGCCACTCCGTCGGTGAGTCCGACGAAGCACAGGCGTAATATGAGCAGCTCCAGCTACAATGCTCGCCGAACTCGTGCATCGGTCTCCTCTAGAACCACTGCAGCCACTCCCGATGTGTACTCCCGCCCAGGAAACACGTTGGCTGATGAACTGGACATTGACGAACTGGATGAGTACGACAACGAGGGCTCTGTTAACGGCGAAGACACCGACGATCACTCGTCGCATTTCAAGCATGCAAGCATCGTCAGACAAAATTCCGTAATGGGAGAGCTTGATGCGAAGTCGAGGCGTATACTGAGCCTGACCACTGACTCGTCAGAGACGCCAGCCGCAAAAGATCTGCCAAAGCTGCTAGCCGATTTGCAGGACCTGCAGGAACCCACCAAGAGGATGTACAGGGACCGCGCAACCACGCCACCGCCCACCGCCTTTGGTATGCCAGAGCCCGCCTTGCGTGCAACTTATGTCGATTCTGGTTACCAGCCTTCTCCTCCAGTCTCGCCACCACGCGTTCATGTCACACAAGCTGTAGATGACACTGCAGCCACTGGTAACACGACTTCCGGGGACGAAATGCGACAACAATCTCCTGCGGCGATAAACATCAGTGCAACTCTGCAGCAGCCACCACAGGCACCCCAGACCAAGCCGATTAGCCCTCCCCAAACCCCAGTAGTCGACGATGTTACCTGGGTGCATCACAAAGCCCAGCTCACGGTCGTACTGGAGTATAGCACAGCGTCGACGCAAACCGAGTTGGTGGAACCTGAACGTCCGAAGGTTGGTGACACAAAGAAGCGTGATAGTCTATCGCCACCTTTGTTTGTGCCGTCCATCACGATCCATCCACCGAACAATCGACCATCATCACCAGTGCCTTACGCTCTGCCTCCGGGCACCAAGAATGCCTTTTCTCAGGCAAGTCTGGCATGGCCGAGCCAGGATGCCAGCATGCAAACAGAGGAGATCCGGGTCGATAAGCGTGCTGTGAAACTGCCAGCCCACCTGTTGCCTTCAGCTTTGCTGCCGAGTCCGACATTCCAAGAGGCTACACGGCCGTTATCGCAGTCCAAACGCATTAGTGCATCCAGTGTTCTGACCAAACGCGCATCCGTCACGAGGCCTCCTGCTATCTCGATCCCAGTATCGCCACCTTTGCAGTCTCCTGTTGACTCGAGCCCGGAAATGTCCAGGAACGGAGGAGCTCGGGATCTTCGTCACTATCCTCTCAAAGCCTTACCTCTCCCACGACCTGTCCTTTCACCACCACTGCCTCCGAATGAAACATTCACTAGTAATGGCCCTCTTAATCGCGCTTCTCAGTATGGCGTGAGCCAGCCGAGAGTGGACTACATGGGCGGATATGAGCCCGAATCATCAGAAAGCGACTACGACGATCCTGTGCAGAATAATGAGCCCATGACCGACTTGATTGGTATGATGCCTGCCCCAAGTCGACCGCCGTTGGGGCGATTCGGCCTTTCGGATCCTCCCAAAGCTGTACCAGAAGACAAGGAGATTTCGCCGGAACGTCGTCCTGGCACAGCTGATTCATATGGTGCTGCGCCTGCACCCTCTATATCCAGCAGTCGCGCCACTTCCCGACGCAGGCCCACCACGCAGCAGCCTTCTACCAGGTCTGGAAAATCGCCCATCAGTCCGAGCTTCCGCAGTAGCTTGGCCTCCAGCGGCCATAGTACTCACCAGAATGAGCCGATGCCCCCGTTCCCTATCCCATTCAGATCCAGTTCACGACCAAAGCCACACAGCGAAGGTTCCCAAAGTCCGACTACCCACGATAGCTTTGGGCCACGTGCAGGCCGCGCTGGCAGATCAGCACATGCACGACAAGTCAGCCTTCGGAAGGTGCAGTCTGCTGCTGTTATCAGAAACAGGGGTGCAAGAGGCTCACCCACCAAGGGCCATCGTTCACCCACCAAAGGCCATCGCAGACGTAGACAATCGCCACAACTCACTCCTGTGCAGTCCATGGCTGTCGAGAGCCCGGAGCCCACCAAGTTCCCGATTCCAGAGCTGCCATCGCCCGTGCGAAACAGCCTGTCATTCAACTACGTCAAGGGGTCAGTCGATCTACGAAGCACCACTGGCTCGTCCACCCGTGTATCAGAGGAGAGGAGTCTTGTGGATGCCATCGCAGGAACCATGGTGGGTGAATGGATGTGGAAGTACATCAGAAAACGGAAGTCTTTTGGCATCGGCGACGACTCTTCGGAGCGGCCAGTCACGGCCGAGAACGGGACCGTGAACGTGACGGCACATGGCACGCGCCACAAGCGCTGGGTCTGGCTGTCCCCATACGAACGTACCATTATGTGGGACACTAAGCAACCCACTTCCGGCCCCGCACTCCTGGGGAAGAAGGGGCGAAAGCGTAAGTTGCACTTTGAATTAATGTATCTCTCATTCAACTCCACTAACTAATACGCTGTAGTGGCCATTCAATCCGTGCTGGACGTTCAAGACCCGACGCCACTGTCTAGAAACCCTGAGTTGGCCACAGCGTGGGGGCGGTCCATCCTGATCTTGACGCCCGAACGTGCTCTGAAGTTCACTGCTACCACAGAAGAACGACATAGCCTGTGGATGACTGCCCTGACGTTCCTGGCACGCGAAGCACAATTGCCCAACATGATTCCACAAATGCCATCCCACCGACCGCCGCCCATTCCTCCAATGCCTCCCGCATATTTGGACGGAGTGCCTATCAAGCGACAGCGCTCACCATCCTTTTCCAGGACGAATGTTCGAGATTCGATTCGCCTCACCAAGGTGAAGCGAGCGGAACTTCACCGAGGGTCATCCCATCCCGATCAGCCTTTCTCCACGGCAGACTTGCACGACGGCGCTGTTGCTGGTGCCGAGGCCGAAAGCGCCGACTTTCCCGCGGTACCGCGTCTCTACATCTGCACATCACGTCACCAGAGGAATCGCAGCAACACGAATCCCGGATTCAGGAGTTTCTCTTCGACTGGCATCCCGTCTTCGGCGTCGTCTGTGATGCACTCCAAGTCAAACAACGCCTCATCCTTCCGACCGAGCATCTCGACCAAGAGTGGCAGCCGCCGCGAGTCCCTCGCCAGCCCGACACACCAAAACTTCTTCGAAGCGGTGGGAACGGTGCGCATGGAAGCGTTTGTCGACCCAAACGTCCGAGACGGGGTGCTTTATGTGCCCGCGCCGCCACCCGTCATCGGAGGCGCACGCCGGCCCCGAAGAAGCAGTAATCTGTCTCAGTCCACGTTCGACAAGCGGAGAGCTGGCTATGTATTTGACGACGACGGCATGGATCCCTTTGGCGGATTCTAGAATGGTCCGTCCTGTATAACGATTGATACCCAACTCCTGATGAAGCAGGCCGTCTTGGCTAGTTCACCAAGGCAAGCTGGTCTCATAGCTGCGCTCCTTCCTCTTGTATATAAAACTCCGTTCACGAAGATAATGATATGTATAGTCTCATGGCAGCCTGTTGGCATTTCTCCTTTGTACAATAATATGCACACGAAGGTACACCTATCTAATCCGGCAGGTGGAGCAGCTAATACAAGATGACGCGGCGTAGTACAGGTACGGCCCACGTGGTTGAGAGGCTTCGGAACGTGGTGTCATGGGCAGCATTGTTCACCACGACGCCCTGTGCTCCATTATTATGTTGAACGGAGCGTGGACGGCAACAGCCCTAAAAGATGGACTGGGCGGTCTGGTGAGACCTTTCTCGGCGGAGAAATCACGGACAACTTGCCTTGGTATCTGAAGTGCTCGGCGGCGCATCGTATCTCCCGAGCAGCGTATGCCAGCGTCGTTCTGAGCTTGACTTGATGCTCTGCACCAGGAACACGAAACACGCTGCTGCTGGTGTTGTACCGCATACGGAAGGACGATGCAGATGCGCCTTTGTATTATTATCCTTCAGCCCCGAATCCCGCACTTGGCATTGTTTTGCTTCAATTGGGATTCGCTCTCTCTCTCTCTCACTCACTCAATCTCTCTGTGCCAAATGACGCACACTCTCGAGAGTGGAAGTGGGTACAGACGGTTCGTTCGTTCGTTCGTCCGTCGTTCGCGCTGTTTGCTTTTTCGCGCGGAACATCTGACGAAGGGAGGTGAGGTGCAGTCCAAGGTCGAATCGTGGGTCCACCCTGTTATCTGAAACCTTCGAGAAGGTTGATTTCTTTTGTACCTCCTAGGTGGTGGCGTCACAGGCGTGCACCCAACACCTGTGCAACTTTTGCACGTGGGCGCGACTCCTCCTCGCTCCCTCTCCGGCGTCCGACATCCTGCCTATTCCAGTCATCAACCTGACGCTTTGAGAACGATGCAGTTGGCAGCTGGCTAGGTAGTTTTCGTCGTCGTCGTGACAGAGCGCGGACAGTGGACGGCGTGTTGAGCTTCCACTTCGGGAGTTCCTGGTCTCAGCAACCCGACCTTCGAATGGCAAAGACTGGCTTGGGACTCGAGTGGAGAACCTAGTACCTACCTAGGTAGGAGGTACCTCCTATTGGATGGGATCACACGGGGAGTCCCGTCCTCTTTCCCTCGCCGGGCAGTCACCACAGCACCCCATCCATCGGTCCACAATCACTGATGTCCTGCGCACTTCACTTCACTTTCCTCCCGCCCCACCTCCTCCCCCCCCTCCCGGCTTCCTGCAAATATCTCGTCGCCTCTCCGCAACGCCCACGAGTCCGACGCACGATTGAGAAGCGTACATGTATTCCGGGTTGCGGGCGTCAGGGCCGCATGATCCTCACTGAACAGTGCCTTATCGCCAGTCGCCAAGCATCACCATGCCTGCTCTCGTGCTGTTCAACCCCCAACTTACTCCGAAGCCGTCTATTACGCTAACCAACGCATGCCCCGTTACAGCGTCGTTTAGCGTCCAAGATAATCTTGAGCGCCACCAAGGCTCAATGTCTTGTACTGTAGATCGTGCAATTGTTCACCAATGCGATCGCGACCAGCAGATCCACCGTTCTCCCACCTGAACCCGATAGATGCGAGACTGTACCTGACGACCATGTCTCAGCATCGACCGACCAGATATCTGGAGGACCCTATCGCAAGCCACCGTCTATCTCCTTCAGGTCTTAGAGAAGTGTTAGAGAAGCACTCGTCCTAATCAGCACGCCCAGGCCAATGCGGAGAGCACCACATCGGTGCACACCATCGCGTTGGAGCCTGTATGTGACGGAGGCAAGCTGAGTCGGGTGCATGCTTCTTGACGTTGCGTAACAGTTCCACTGCTGTGCTCGGTCACCTATATTATTGCTGCTCTTGGTCTCGACACAATGCTCTTTTTCTGTATCCAAGACCTTTCTCTTGTTTCTCCCCACGCGTCCAGCACGCACTTTTGCCCGTCAGATCGTCTTCCCGGCTGACCGCACTCTTTTTTGCCAACCTCTACACTCACCAGTCGGATCCCATCCTTCAAGAAATATCATCCTCGCCAACATGGTTCACATCAACGCACTCAGCGTGGCCTCGGTTGCCCTCCTCGCCTCGACGGCTGTTGCACTCCCTCGATACAGCAAATACGATGGCCCCGTTGTGAAGATGCCCAACCCGTATGGGATGTGGCCAGGTGCAGGTTATCCTAAGTCTACCACATCTCATGGCCTCCCAACACCTACTGGTGGCTACCCAGCACCTACCGGTGGCCTCCCAGTACCCCCTACTGGTGGATACCCAGCACCTACTGGTGGATATCCAGCACCTACTGGTGGCCTTCCAGCACCTCCTACTGGTGGATATCCAGCACCTACTAGCGGATTCCCTCCGGGCTTCAAGAAGTACTTCCTTGACCACGACAAGCGCAATGACGACAAGGAAAGCAAGGACGACAAGGACGACATGAAGAAGATGAAGAAGAAGAAGAACCATCAAATGATGCCTACTGGCACCGGCTCTTGGCCTGCTCCGACTGGTGCTATGCCCGGTGGGTTCAAGAAGGGCGACATTGGCGTTCCGGGGCCGAAATTTGGCGTACCCCGCGAAGATACGTTCAAACCTCACTGGAAACGCTCTCCAGAGGAGGTCGCTGCTACTATGGAGGATGATATGTCTCCTCCCCCAACTCCCGTTACCCCAGAGATGACTGGTGAACCAGAGATGAAGTCCGGCGAATCGGGACCAAAGAAGGGGTCGAGCGACGACATGTCGAAGGCTGCGAAGAAGGCCGAGAAGGAGGCCAAGAAAGCCGAGAAAGCTGCCGAGAAGGCTGCAAAGGCGGCCGCCAAGGAAGCGAAGAAGGCTGCAAAGGAGGCTGCCAAGGAAGCGAAGAAGGCTGAAAAGGGGGCCAAGAAGGGAGGCATGGTTCCTCCTGGCAGCGGCGATCTCCCACCCCCAGCAGGCAACTTCCCAGGGCCGACAGGCGTCATGCCAGGCACACCAGCTCCATCGGGCGTTTCCCCTGATCCTGATGCAATTGTCGGCGACGAGCCTATGGGTCCACAAAAGAGGCAGTTCGATGCAGTCCGTCGGGATGCTTCCTTCAAGCCTTACTACGCTGGTGCACCCAAGGGCAAGTACCCGATGCCGACCGCTACGTCTGCTCCACAACCTACTGGCACTGGCACTTACCCGACCGCTACCTCTGCTCCACACCCCACTGGCACTGGCACTTACCCGACCGCTACCTCTGCCACACACCCAACTAGCACTGGCACTCTTCCAACTGGCACCGGCAATGCGTATTGGAAAGGCACTGGCAATACCTACTGGAAAGACAGTGGCAAAACCTACTGGAAAAACACTAACTGAGCAGTATCATGACCCTACCTACTGCGTCCTTGGGCGCAGTGCGAATGACTTTCTTCGATGGGCTGGCTCCGAAGCTGGAATGACGAAACGTATATAGAGAGAAAGCCATCACTTGACTAGTAATATTCAGGTTGTTAGGCAGTCTTGCGAGGCCAGTGATGAGAGTATGAATGTTTATATAGCAAGGACGAATTAGACCTGAATGATCAAACCTGAAGCACATTGGTGATTTGATTCTTGCCCCGTGACATGTACTTCTAGGCCAGAGCCACTTCCGTTGCCATGCTGTTCTGTTCTGTTCTTTTCTGTTCTTGCTGTACTCGACCGCATGGCCGTTGCTCATGCCGCGGGTACATGTAACGACGCTTGTTCTCGCCTCCATCCAGGAGAATTGTTCCATCGCGGTTGCATTGTGCCTGCTGCTGGACCGCCATCACAACATTGCGACTGGGCATCCTTCCCTCTCTCCTTCAGCTTCTTCTTGTTCTTCTTCTCAGGCTTACTTCCTCTCTCCTTCGGCTTCTTGTCCATCAACATCATCATCATCACCACTGACATTGACTGTCCGAACACAGCCGGCTTCTATCCCTTATCCCAGCATCATTGGCTCTCTGCATACCTTACTGCCACTCGCCTTTCACTCCCGCCTACCGCACACGCCCTTGCACGACATACCGCCGTTTACCACAGCAGAGAGGGAGAGCTACACGATGAAGTCACTCATATTCCTCGCGAGCTCCGCACTTACATTCGCCGCGCCGCAAAAAGCCCCCAGTTTCAGCGGCGCAGCTTTAGTCCCTACTGGCTCTCGGAATCTCGCCTACGAACAACGCAGCGATGAGCTGTGCGTCTCTCTGAGCAACGGATACCTGGGCGATGCTCGCAAAGGCATCTACCAAGAGAATCTGTGCTTCCCAGCTGATAACTCCATCAAGTGCAACAGTATGCTTGATTGCTTCTACCTGCCCTTCTCACGCCAGACGGCCACTGACATGTACGCACAGTTCCACGCCTGCCCAACCAGTTACGCAGCAATGTCAGCTCGATTCGTGTCCCTGTCAATGAGGTCTGCTCGCTCTACATTGAAGATAATTGCGGTGGCAAGGTCACCCAGTATTCTCACGCTTCGGATGGTACCAATCTCCAAGGCACGTGGTTCGACAAGAAATATCGCAGTGTCCACTGCAAGAAGCTGGACAGGCCCCCTCCAGCCGTCAAGTTCTATACTCCGACTCCGGACGTGCCCATCTCAGAAAGCGACGCAACCGAGTAGAGCTCGGCTGTCACTGCTGATGGAAGTGTCCTCCCGTCAGTCGGCACGGAAGTCGAGTATACCTCGGTGGACATGTCAAGCATGATCAAGCACTGCTCGTCCAGCACATCGAGCGGTGCCATATACTCGACGCTCCCCACGCCCATCGCTGCCCGAACTGTCGCAGATAAGCGGAAGACGAAGAAACCCTCGGCTCCGTTCGAGCTCAGCACAAAGGTTTGCCAGTACAATGTCCCGGTCACCAAAGTGCCAGATTCCTGCACTTATTTGGCCCTAGTGCCGTGCTCCGAGACCAAGGCAATCAAAAAGGCATCTGGCATTCGATCATTCGACAAAGTGACGCTGGAGGCATCGGGTACCAGGCCGCTCTCGTTCACTCCGGTGACTTATGTAAACTGCCCGGGCCGGCCACCAGCTATCGTTAGCTCCTCCTCAACAGTTGTTCTGACCAAGCCAACCGAGTATGTCAATCCTCCAGTCACGGGTTTGCCGCGCGTGAATTCCAGTGCATCCACCGCAGATGGAAAGACTGTGACCACGATTTTGAAACATAGCAGCTCTACGGAGCCCATCACTCTCGAAACGACCATGACGCTTCCTGGGCCGAGTGTATCGCTGACTCTTCCCACTTCCACGACTACAGCGGGCTTGGTGACTACCACCTCCTCTGCTGCTGCCACCACAAGCATTCCAATGACTACAACCGTCTCCGCGCAGTCAACCGTGAGCCTGGCATCATTGGTGGCGAGAGACAGCAGTGAACATGACGTCTCGGACAGGAATGCAGCCGACGCCATGACCGCTGTAGCTCAGAGAGATGCCGTCAAGGACAAGTGCAAATGGTCGTATTCAGGTGCCATCGACAACTACGATATCACCATGACTGGGGCAGAGGAGGTGCCGTGCGCCACGGCTGCGCTATGGTCGAGCAAAGGATATCCAAATCCAATGAATCCACTGACCATGCCGGAGATGGTGACACTAATCCCTGCGGATGTTCGCTCATACCTCAGGTATGCTGGCATCTTGACAGCAGCTGCTCCAATGGAAAAGGCAGACGCTACAATAGCTGCCCACAAAGCTGTGAACACGGAGTCTGGTGCGAAGTTGCACCTTACGCGCGTTGATCTGGGGAGCGCGCAGTCGCATGAGAATGCCCAGGATTTGTCCACAGCCACGGCAGCCCAGCTGGCCTCACCACCTCTGGCTTCGAGGTAGCAACGAGCCAAGACAGCCGGTCCCGGTTCGCCGCCATCAGCCAGTCCGCTTAAGCACGACAATATTACTATTGAGCCACATGAGAGCGAGAGGGGCGGACATCTTGATCTCATCCTCGCCTGCACGATCCCACTAGTCTTCGTATTGGCTCTATTCACCATCCGAAAATGTATCATCTCGAAAGATCATGATGACATGGCAGCAGCCGCCGAAGCCGAGAGCAAACTTGGCGAAGGCAAACTGGGAGAAGCCGAAGTATCGAGCCCTCCTCCTCCAGCTGTCGCTGCTGGAATATACGCGGGCCCAGCTGTTGCAGCTGCCATGTGAGCTGTCTGCTTGAAAGGTTGGGAAGAAGTTCCTATCTGTCTTGGATCCTGAGGTTTTTCATATGCTGCTGGGCTGGAGTTCGTTGTTGTTGTCTTGCTGTTTCTCCTCATACATATACGATTTGTCCTAATGTAATTTCTTTTGACCTGGTCACTGTGCCCGTCCACCGTCTTGACAGCTCGTCTCGAGGTGAGGATGAAGCAGCCCATCTGTACCGCCGCCATTCTATTCATCAGCTGGCATAGGTCTGTGAAGGCAGGACGTACAATGTTGTAGAGCATTAATTTCCGGGACGCCACTCCTCGATTTCATCTCTTGCTCCTTGACAGAGCACGTGTGGGTTGCGTTCTTCTCTCTAGGCCTTTGGGTTGGTATGCTCGCGGAAGAAGCTTATATCTTAGTGTAGCAGTAGTAAGTAGGTAGTAGGTAGGTAGTTCAAAGGCATTTGAAGCCGGTGTTAAAGACATGCCATATCATCATGTCTATTACGGTAAGGTCTCGCTTTCGCTACGGGAGAAACCCCTCTTGTTTTTTTCCCTTTCTCCCTGTCTCCCTCTCCCATATTCCATAACCATCTATAAATTTCTTTTTCCAACCACTCATACCACAACAACAACAACATGTGTATGTGTGTTTCGTGTCCTATGCTCGAGAATCTTTCACCCCTTCTGTCCTTTCGACTTCATCGCCCGCCGAGGCACCAGTGACACCTTCCTCCAACACCTCGGGCAAGATTTCCCCTTGACCCACTTTTTTCTTCTTGCCACCATCCTCGTACATGATGCGCTTCCACCCTTCTTTTTCGGCGTCGTCTTTGACGAATTCGACGGTGGGGAAATAGTGTTCATTCTTCTTCATCGTGGCCACCCAGGGGACATTGTCAAAGGTCATGACCTTGAGACGGAAATAGGTGTTGTCGGGAATCTTGTTGACTTGTGCGAGGAAGTCGTCGAGGGTCTGGACGGGGACGGCGTTGACTGCGAGGATGAAATTGGTTGGTGCGAGTCCATAGGCGTAGGCCGGAGAGCCGCGGAAGCGGGCGGAGACGTAGATGTCGGAGTGGACTTTGGAAATTTGTTGGCGGACGGCGTGGTGGGGTCGGTGGATTACTGCTCCGCAGAAGATGAGGATGTGATGGGTTTCGAGGGCGATGGTGGGGATTGTGGAAATTTGGAGTGAGAGTTGTTGCTGTTTCCGAATGATGAGCGCTGTAAGTTCTGCGTTGGTGTACATGAGGTCCATGTCGCTGACGCGGGTGATGAGTTTGTCGTTGAGAGTGAGGATAATGTCACCTTCGAGGAAGCCGGATTTGGTGCTTTCGTCTGCGTCCACTTTGCGGACCATGAAGAGTTGGTGGCGTTCTGGATCTTCGAGTTCTACGCGATCGATCCACTCTTCGGGGACACCCATGATGCGGGCTTGGGACATTTGTATGGTTTGGGTCTCCAGATTCAGGATGTTGAGGTGTGGCTTTTTACCTGTGCGGACTTCCTCAATAACGGGAAGGAGTGCGGGCGTTGCGAAACCGAGATGATATTCCACATCTTTGTTGGTGTGACCACTGCGCTCTCCGAGGTAGGTGAGCCAGAGAGCCTGTACTGTGCCGTCTTCGTCAATCAAAACACCACTACCACATTGGCCGCTGAGAGACGTGTCGACTGTGATGGCGTCAAGGTTGGTAGCACGGTAGCGCGGAGTCGAGGCGCTAGCAGGAATCGCGACAGTGGTGATGTCTGTGACTGTTGTCTTGGCAATGACTGGTCTCAAATTCTGATTGAAGCCAAAGAAGATGGTGGACTCTCCTTGTTTGATTTGCTGCGTAGCCAGCTTGGCACTTCTCACATCTGCTTGCACGAGCTTCGGGTCGTACTGGATGACAGTGTAGTTCTGCAAAGGATGCAAGAAGACGACCTTTCCTTCTACAATGATGGAGTCTGCAATGGTAACGGAAATGTCGCACATGTCGTACGGCACGATAGCACGTGATATCACCACCAAACCCTTTTCGGCGTCGACGACCAGACCAAAACCTATTTTGCGCGCCTTCGGAAAGCCATCGAGCTTGACTGGGAGAGTGACGGACACTTTGACGAATGACTTGATGATCTCCATGGCAGCCTTGTGTTGTGATCCAGCCATCTCAATAAACTTGCCTTTCCGTGCGACGGGTGCTGTGGGCGGTATAGGCTCAGCCAGATCTGTAAAGTCCCACAGACCGGTGGTATCGTTCCTCACAGCCATGCGCATGGCTTTGCTCCAGTGCCGATCGACCAACATGATGCTCGTGTTTAGCGTGTGCATGTCCCGCAGATGCTTGTATGTCACCACCACTCTGGCGCGATCGGGCACGCCCTTCATGACTTCCACAAAGGAGTCCAGATCTGGCGTGGGCTTGTGATCGATGGACTGTATCAACCAACCGTACTCGGAACCTTCGAATCGGAAGGAACCTGCAGCTTCGCAGCAGTAGACTCCAGCGCCCTCGATTGCGATGGCGTAGAGTCGTGCCTGCTGGTATGACAGGTTGTGGAACGAAGCGCCAGCAACCGAGACGAAGCGATCGGGGGTGATGAGGTGCAGATCACCAACACGAATCTCGACCTCCATATCCGTACCGCCTCTTTGAATCAGCAGCTTGACCTGACCATTGACACTGTCATCCAAGGTGGCATCCAGCCTCACGAACTGCGTGAGCAGCTTGCCGTTGACTTTGAGGAGCACATCTCCTTCCTCCAGCTTGCCATCTGCCGGGCCTTTTGGCAGCACCACTTCCGCAACGAGCATGCCCGTCTCCTTTGGGAACTCTGCTCGCACTTTCCCCTCCCATTCCGGTGTGAGGCCTAATCTGCGGCACTCATCGAAGGGCTTGAGTATCCATTGTGTCTGTATCGTGCCTCGATCCACCTGTTTTCCTTCTCTTACACACTGCAGCGCACGTAGTGGTCGATCGAGAGGTAAAAAGTAATCTGTCGCAGCGCCATCCGATCTGCCACCTGCCTGCAGCGCAACGGCGTGGCCGTCGATATTCACCACTGGCGAGCCTGAAGATCCTCCACTAGCAGCAGCCGCAGCTTGAATGTAGTTTGTGTTGAAGTCGCTGTATCCTTCGCCATACTCTGGCGCATTCCTGTCCAACCTCGAAATGACACCCGACAGAATGCTCAGCTTCTCACCAGCATCGTTACCCACGACGCGGATCTCAGCCCCAACCTTGGCCAGATCGGGTCGCAGTTCCAGCGAGCTCAGTTTGATGTATCGAATCTTCTTAGGGTCGAATCGCAGAATACCAAAATCGTGGACGGGATCGCGATAGACGGGGAACACATCACACTCCTCGTGATTGTCGAAAATGACATATCCCCAGAACGGGCCAGCTCCCACGACGTGGCGGTTTGTGAGGATGTAACCACGCTCCGCATCAACGACGAAGCCTGTTGCCTCGCTCGAAATGGCGCTGTCGGTGTCGAAGGAACAGGTTTGGCAGAAGTGGATACTGACAACGTTGCTCACCACCTTTTCAATCGTCGCCTGCCATTCAGCGGTATCGGGCCCCGAAGCTGGTATGACGCCGGTGGGTTCTTCATCTACCGAGTATTGTGGTGAAGCGTGGCCGTTGGGCGTGTCTGCGGCTGAGGCGGTGGTGCCGTTCTCGATCTTTGTGCTGCCGTTCTCCCTTGGGGGAGGCTGAGAGGGGCGGCGGACTTGTTTCGTCGGGCGTAGTGAGTCGTTGCCAGCGGGAGGCTGCTTGCGCTTCGAAGTTGCGTGGTCCATGGTCGTGGCGGCGGCGGTGGTGGTGCTAGTGCTGTACGGGCTGCTGTACGGGCTGCTATGCACGCCGAGGATGGACGAGGATGATGTTTGCTGGCGTTGGCCAATGGTGCATCCGAAGAATGGCGCAGGAAGCGGCGATAGCGTTCGAAGAAGGCAGGTCGATGTGCGGAAGATGGATGCTCGTGGTGGAAGTGAAGCAAAGCGTTGCTGGCGTGTAAGGATCGCTGGTATGGGTGCGAACAAGCGGCTCAGTGCGATGACGGATGGTCGGCCTAAGGCACAGCCATTATGGTACATATAGAAGGAGGGAAGGATGCACTAGAAGGGAAAGGGGGAGGCTGCTGATGGTCTGTTCGGTTCAAGTTCAAAGTTGTGTTGCAAGGACTGGTTATTCACCATCAAAGTGAGAGGAAGTCGCCGCTAGACCTCCGAATTGCCAAACCACGGACTACGGACGACGGTCCACTACTAGGTAGTTCCACTCTAGTTTTAGCGCCCTTGTACTCTCCCTGCAGTGCCACGCGAGGAACTGAGATTCTCCCTCTGACTTTCACTTCGGACATATACGTACAACTAATTCACTTCACCAACGACAAGCCATATCCTGGCAAGCATCTGCAATACCGGGGCTATTCCTGTTCTTGTTCCGGTTCTTGTGAGAGGATCTGCTGCATATGCAAATCGCTTCATTCGTTCGTACCAGCCTACCAGGTACCTTAATAAAAATGTCATCATGGCCGAAACGTGGTCGACGAAGCCCTAGCTAGCATCACCCCAGACGTCTCCGGGCGACGTGCCATGCTACCTAGTATAATGCTACCGTATGCCATCTTCCCACGACCACCCCCCGCGACGCCTCTCATACCCAGCCAGCAAGCAATTAGTACATCGTCTGTCGTACGCAAGTGCTGTTGAACTCGTCCCGAAGTCTCCGCAGCATTCGAGACGCCAGTCGGTGCACCAATCAGCCTGCGGTATGTGTACGGCATAGCACAAGTCCAGCAACATCTCAGACGGCCATCTCTTCGCCCTCGGCCACCCCCGTGACCTGCTCTCCAACACCACCAGATTCCGGCTCTGCGCTCTTCGATGCGTCCTCCTCGGAGTCGACGCCGGCATTGACTTTCGCAGGCGTCTTGGCCTTGCGTGGAGTTCTCGCCTTCTTAGCCGTGGGCATAGCTTCGTCGCCATCACCTTCGGCCATAGCTTTGGCACCACGCTTCTACGCGAGAGAGAGAAAGTCAGCTTCATCGTAAGGGAGCGTCGATCCTGACATGCCTTGGACTTGGCTGGCGTCTTTGGCGCATCGCCTTGATCGCCATCTTCCTCTCCACCGCCACCGCGTTCAAGTCCTTTCAACTTCTTGAGCATAGAACGTTGCTTGTCGAGCCAGACCTGGCAGGCCTTGATGGTGCGACCTTCTGGGCATTGAACTGACTTCCATTCGATCTTGTCGACGGACGAGTCGATGATGGAGAGAAGTAAGTCAAGCTAAGCGAGGCCGAGTCAGTGTGAGATTCGATGCACGCAAGATTGTGTGTTCGATTGGGGGAGCAATAACCTTGTCTGCATCGGTCCAGGCACCCGCGACCGCCCTCTTGGGTGTGTCTTCAGTCATTCTGAAGTCGAGAGCTGCTGTGATCAGCTTCGAAGCGGCAGGAGTGACGAGTAATGCCCGGGGCATCAAGACGTTGTTTGCCAATAGGAATGACTAGTCCGGTGTAGACGATCAGAGGTATGAAGATTGGTCGCGAGTGGGGAGAACAGAAGAGGGCGAAGAGTAGAAGTCGGCCAAAGCTAAGTACTTCCCACGCTCGTCCAAAGCTCACTTGACTTCTCTTCTCTTTAGGCTGCAGTCATGTGAGTGAGACACTGTAGGGGTGGCAAGTGTGGCGTGTGTTTTCCAGCTCATTCACTCGTCTCGCCCTGGCTATTACTTCCACCGCACGAGATTACATGCTGTGCAGAAGAGCTGTATTCTGATTCATTCACTTTCGGACTCTCCCTACCCCTACCCCTACCGCAGACCTAGCGTTTATGACAGGAGGAGTGACGAATGAAGAGTGGACGCTGCGTGCTGGGTGTCAGAACGTAGGCACGATTAAAGTTTAACTTCACATGCTAGCTGCTCGCGCATCACATATCGTCAACTCGCGGCGCTACACCTCTCTCACTCTCACATCTCGAATTTCACCAAAATCGTAACTGCCTACAACATCCCTCACATCACCTCGCATCTTGCACTCGATCGCGGTGTGCAGGCACCCCTCGACACCTCACTTCGCTTCTTCTCCTATCACGCGACTTCCATTGACCTTCACACACAATGGGGTCTCCAGTTCGTTCACCGCTCTCCCCAAGCTTGTTCTCATTACACCTTGAACACATGAAGCAGACCTCTTCCACTCCAAGAAAGCTTCTGCGGACAATGAACAGCAGCAAGGAGAACAACACCAAGTCCGCTTTGACACCACAGGCCATGTCGACACCAGTCTTGCTTTCAACAGGCCAGAAGCGCCATACTCACTCGGCATCTGCGGATGAGAGCCCGAGCAAGCGCGCTCGTACTCACGCTGAAGAAAAGCCTCACTCCTCGCCCAAGCGAAAGCTCGTGCCGGTCATCTCGCGAGCGCAGACCAGTCCGCAGCATCAATTACTGAAAGAACTCAGCGACGCCGCCATTGGACCAGAAAGTGACAAGGCATCGAGCATCGAAGACAACGAGAACGTTCTTCCTAACTCCTCGCGCTCCGAGGATATGGAACTCCCGAGTTCTTGCATGATGGATCAGGGCGATGAAGATGGTCTGTTTTCAGCACTAGACAGCATGGATTCGCATGCGCTGAATGAAGACCATCTTTTCGATTCTGCTGGACTGGAAACTGAGGATGAAAAGGAGGATATTATTCAAGACGAAGACGATGCGTTGGACGGTCTGCCCGAGATGGACAATTCGCAGATTCCTGGGCTACCAGAGAAGGCATTCAACGACGAAGTTGCTGGAGAGCAGAAGGGCATCGAAGATGGCGACGATACGTTCGAGCTCAATACTGATGGTCTGCCTAAGATTGACGATCCGCAGATTCGCAAGCTACCGGAGAAGACATCAAATGACAGAGTTGCTGGAGAACTGGAGGGCGTCGAAGACGGCAACGCTGCGTTCGAGCTCGATGGTGATGGTCTGCCCAAGATGGACAAGCCGCAGATTCTCAAGCTACCCGAGCAGGCATACAGTGTCGAAGCTGCCGGCGGAGAACAGGTTGAGAAGACTCAGAATATGGTACCTGACCTCAATGAAGATCGTCGTAAGGGCGCCGACTTGGAAGCTCTGATTCCTGGAATCAGCAGCTATAGATCCTCTCGTTCTCCTATGGAGCCTCAGATGGAGACTGCAGAGTCCTCTGGAGTCGTGCACGCTGCAGCTCAACCTCCACCAACCAGTCACGCTCAAGATTCTCATGGCGTTCATCAGCTCGTGACGCAGGATGGACAGGTCGATCAGTTCATTGTTGAAACTGGCACCACGCTAGGGGATGAGCAAGAGCAGGCAGTCAATATCCCCTTGAATGCAGAAGCGGTCATCTCCAGTACTACTCCCGCCACCAATAACAACCACGAGCCCGACCTCCAGATCATCGACCCAAACGACTCCGCCCTCCCCCGATATTTCAAACCGCAAGGCTTCAAATACATGGACCAATCCCGTCGCCCCGCCACCCCACCCATTCCTTCCTTGCCCACCTCCTCCGACCAACCAGAAACCGCCTCCTCGGTGCGAGCCTACAACGTCAACAAAACCGCCGCGTCCACCGCCGTTCTCCGCGCGCAAGAACTCAATGGTGGTCTCAGCGGTCCCGTCGCGGGACGCGACCATTGCCAAATCCTCAACAACTACCAAGCCTTTTACCAAAAAGTCATCCATCTCGTTCCCGAACTCCCCAATTGGAAAGCCTTTCCCTGGTCGAGAAGATATTGGATCGCAGTCTTGTACAGCCACAAAAAACCCCGAGCTATCGCTCGTGCGAGAGATTTCATGTGGATGAAAGGTGAGTTACAAAAAGAAAAAACACCCCAAACCCCCCCTTCCCCCCTTTTTTGTCTTTCTCCTCCCCCCAAAACCTAACCCCCCCCCTCCTCCCCTCTTTTCTTTTCTCACTAACACCCCTCCCACAGGAAACAAATACACCACAATCTCCACAATCTGGCACTCCTACGCCCTACGCACCATGGAAGAAGATTTCGCTCTGACCTGTCGCGGCGAAATCCTCGATATGAAAGATCAAGCAGGAGAATTAGATTGGTTTAATCAGAAATTTGTCGTGTTGCGAGCCATTTCTACTTCGACTTCTACTTCGACTTCGACTTCGTCGACGGAGAAGTCGCGAATGAGGAGTCGTATGCCGCCGGGGTTGGTGGCGGGGATTGGAATTGTGCCGCCGGAGGAGGGGGAGGTGGTGGTGATTGATGGAGAGGATGGGGAGGGAGAGGGGGAGGGGGGAGGAAAGGGGGGAAAGGATAAGAAGATGAAGGAGGTTGTGGTGATTGATTGATTGATTGATTGATTGATTGATTGATTTGGAGAGGGAATACGATGAGATTGGATGGAGAAAAGTTTGGGGAAAAGGGGTGGATTTGACACGACTTGACATGACATAACATGACACAATCTTTTTTCGAGGCGCATAAGGTACGATGGATCAATCTTGAGAGATGTTTTCGAGCTATAGCACGAATCAGAAGCGATCAGAGCTTTTCTTTGCGTATAGCTGGAAACACGAGGGGTCATAGGCTTTACGATAGCTTCTTTGCGTAGCCCTGCACCAGGAGCACTTCTTGAGATTGAGCTCAAGTCGAATACTTTCTTCTCATTAATGATATGCACTTTACGGCACGATTACAGAACTCCCCAAGGCTTCGTACATGAGTGAATTGCGTCCTTGATAACGATTGTCATCCCTTACAATCCCCGTGCCTCTTGGCCACTCATAAACTTGCCCGTCCTTACCCAAAAAGTGTCCTCCTATTAGGTCTGTTGGTCTCCGTTCACTGAATTGTAGCCCGCTCGCCTGTCGCCTCAAGCTGGCAAGGAGCGTGACCGGGGTTCTTCCCCTATCGATAAATTCCCTCATTCCAATTCTGTAACGACTTCGAATAGCTGCCGTCTGCCGTGTAGCCGTCATGACTCTTTCTTGACCCATTTTCGTACCCCTGGGCTTATACGGAACTTCTGACTGTGATACTGGTTGTTTGCGTAAGATATGCTCGTGGCCCGATTGATGGAGTCTAATCCCATGTTTGATTTCATCCAGCCACAGTGCGAATACGTTGGCAGAAGTGGTGGATTGTATCGCGTCGCCCGAATCTGCTGGCACCACTTGATGCGTCATTGCGGTAAACAAAATGCCCGTCGCGACTCTTTGCGCATCGATACCAACATTCGTGAAGTGAGCACAGCCGTGTGGGCCATTGCCGAGCTTGTTTCTGTTGTCGCAATCATAGCGATGGAAAATACCCCCATTCTGAACGTAGGAAAGGGTCACCATTTCTACGCCCTTGCAGCCGAAGCCATGCCGTATAACGAACGGTCGTGCAATCGGCTTCATCTCACCGGGTTCGCTACTCGAGCTGCTTTAGCATGGCTTCTCTGGGTTCATGAGCGGGATAGGAGTGTATTTGTATGCAGAAAGGGCGGATGGAGAGGGTATGGTATTACTCCATCTCGTCCAAATAACTCATGGCGCAGCGCAGCAAATCCTTTGTCCAGTTTTCAAGCATCCAAAGCCTGTAGTGATCTTTCGGCCTGAATGCAAATCTTAGCAATCATGCTTGAAGACAGTAAATGATGAAGCGAGGCAGAAGTGTGGGCGCCGAAGAGGGAGGACGCGATAGTGCGAAATTACTTCAAATGGTCCAGATTCTCCTGCGACATGCGGACAGGATCTTTGGCGGCCTGCGCAGCACCACAGGCGTTTCGGTCCAAGATAAGAGGTATTGCCCTGGGCTTGCGGTAATCTCGATCCCTGCTCAACCTCCTTTAGCAAGTGTGCGTGAAGCAACAAGCAGCATCACTCCAACTTGTCCAGGTGCTCCAGCCTCGTGAGTACGACTTGTTTGCTCGTCTCCTGAATCTCTCCAGCAAGAAAGACCTCGTCCAGAATAGCATAAACCTGTTCCATGCCAAGCATCAGCAGCATGTCCCTCCTTCCACGCTCCCCATGTCCCGTATGTCATCGTACCTTGTAGAAATTGAACACCAGGTCCAACTCGCACACATTGCCGAAGAACTGATCTAGCACTTCCACGAAGAAATGTATGGCCTCCAAATAAGCCAGCTCATTGTCCGTCGAGTCGACGCAAGCGCAGAAGAACAGTCCTGCATATCTTCTATAGACAATCTTGCTCGAGCCGCGGAACTCCACGAAGTTGGATTGGTGTTTCTGGTCGCGAGGAGCAACGAGGCGATGGACCTCGCCTTTAAGTTTGATCTTCTCGTCGTCGTTGTAGGGTGAGTACCACTTGGCGAGTCGGGTCTTGCCTCTGTGGGGAGGATTGGTGGGTTAGCTATGGTTGGGTGGATGCGGGGAGGAGAGGAGGAGTGATGAGACGGACTGGCGGTTCTGGATCAGAATGAATGATATGACCATCTTGGCAAGGCGAGTCGAGTGTGCGATACGTGGTGGATGTGGGTTTCGTTGAATATAGCCTATTCGGTATGCAAGTCGAGGTGAGAGGGTGTTGGAAGGTGGGAGGCACGAGCTAGGAGGTACCTGAGAGTTCTGGGGAAGACGCGTGAGGTTGTCGTCCGCTCCGACTCTACAACCTTGGCGCCTTGGCACTTTCCACGTCTCTGGGACCTTCCCGTACCTCCTAGGACCTATAATTGAGGGATATGTCCCTTCTCAAATCCCAACAACGGGCAGTAAGGTAAGATATACTAAGTAGATTAATCTTCCATCAAAGTCCTCAATCTGGGCGAGAAATTACGGGTATGCAAGGATACAGAAACATGCACACAGAAACAGGTTGGAACGCATAACTTGAGATCATAACAATTCGGATAAAATTTCATTACGGGGGATTCATCCGATCAGCCAAGATATAATTTGAGCCGATGCTACGAGCCATCTTATACATCTAGGCAATCGGGGGCTGCACCCCGCCAGAACCGTGTTTGTCCTACCATTTCCATGATCCAGGAGCTGGCCCAAAGGTCTCGTCCCCAGAGACGGTTTTCCGCACGGCCGTGCCCATCATGTCCACGGTATTCTCAATCACAGATGTACCCCACCACTCGGACATGGTGCCACCAGGAAGCTGCACGCAGAAAAAGAGGACGATGGCGCAAATGGCCAGACCGACATCCAGGGCAGCAGACGTGATGTAATTGTAATGCATCCACCAGCCTCGAGCCTTGTCGCGGATGTATTTGTTGAAAACCCAGCCTACCGCGCAGTAGGAGAGGATGTTCATGGCACTGTATGGCGGAATGTATGCCATGGCGCCGAAGATCAGTGGGACATTGATCTTTCTCACGAGACCCGATTTGGGAATGATGAATCGAGCGATGCCGAAGAAGACAATTGGCAAGAAGAAGCCAATGAGCCAAAACCATTGCAAGTCCTTGTAGATGGCATCTCCGGAGAACAAGTGCTTCGGCCCAATGGCACCCCAGATGACCGAGGCGTTGTAGAACGTCTTGATGTACGAGCAGGTGAAGTTGCCGGAAGCTGCCGAAGTGCAAATGCCTTTGATGGCGCCAAGTGCCCATTGCACCGTTCCGAGTTGACAGAAACACGACCAGATGGTTGCAATGGACTGCGCGGCGAACAGCGAGCGTTGTGGAACGTGCATGTAGTGGCCGAGCTTCAAGTCCTGACAGAAGTACAGTGCTTGAGTCATGATAATGTAGCCAAACGTCTTGAACATCATCATGGCGATGGGGTGGCCGGGTTGAAGATAACCGATGATGAACTCGGTAAATACGTTCCTGAAAAGTAAAGCACACCAGTCAGCGACATTCTGAGACTCGTAGTTGGTCATGTTGCAGCGAATTACTTACAGTCCAAGTTGGATGTTAGTCATGCCCTGGATCATTCCAATCGGTACGGTCCAGACAAAGGCGATGACGAGGGCAAGAACGAGCGACGATGCCTTCATACCGGTAGGATAGGCACAAGCTGAAGCGAATGCAAATGCGATCATGATAGCCAGGAGTGTCATATACCACCACGTGGGCACCAAGCGATATTTGCGGTTCAGCTTCATGTGTATGTCATCCATCTCGCCTGCAGAGGCCTTCCACCTGCGCCAGATATCCTTGCCATGGTAGAGGTAGGTGTGACTAATCAGCGCGGAGATGGTCGCGAAGCTCACACCGTAGGTCACTGCAAAGGATGTGGACAAGAAGAGTGGCGAGTAGGCCTCGTATGCTGCGGGATCCACAACATGCTCGGGCGTGAGGATACGCGAGGTGTTGTAGGTTGCGCCAGTATTGTCAGTGATACCGTTCTGGCTGATTGGCAGATAGTCTGCATACCAGGCACCGGTGTAGTGCAACGCCGGAACGACGATCCAGAGGAGGAAAACCAGTCCGACAGCAGTATTACCCATCGCGTGCCAAGGCGCGACGAGAGGACTTCCGTAGAACGAGTTAATCTGCGCCCAATCCAGAGTGAAGCCTGTGAAGGGAAAGCCAAGGGAGATTCCGGTCGATTGGCCAAAGAGCTGGTTGATGACAACATTGTTAGGCTTGACCCAGGTGACCCAAGCAAAGTAGCTGAGAGCGGGAAAGATGAAGTCCGGGAACCACGACCAGAGGAACATTCCAATCATAACGTACAGGAACAACCTGTAGCGATTGATGGACCAGCCATTGGTCTGTGACGGGTCGGGAGGAGAGCGATCGTGTAAGGCGTACATGAACCCCACGTTCACCAGAGCGGCCGGCCAAATCATGGATGACGGTTCCACAAGCCATTTCCTCACAACTCCAGCCAGACCGAAACCCAAGCACTGTGTGGACAGCGCAAAGAGTAGGTTGAAGCCCCACTTGAAGCTTGTGATGTGGTAGAACTTTTGAAGTGACACCACAGTGTCGATGAAGTAGCCGGTACCACCTCCGAAAGCGGCGTTGGCCATCACAACGATGAGAACGTGCTCCTTGACGTTGAACGGTCCAGGATTCAAATTGCCCTTCAAGCCGAGGAACGAGAACTCGCGGTTTGGCATCACTTTGGCCCAGCCCACGCCAATGGGGTAGGCGATCAGTTGGACCACGTATGGGCCGATACTGATGATAGGATATCGCAAGATGAACAGCGCATTGCAGCCAGATACCACAGTGGTCAATACGAGGCCTATCGTCCAGGCACGAATGGTGCTGGTGGGCATCTCCTCGTCATAGTTGCGAACAACAGCACGGACCTAATGACACCCGGTTAGTATGAACGTGTGCATACTCTAGCAGTTTACTCACCTCGGGATATGGCGAGTCATTGAGGAGCTCGTCAACGAGGACGGCTTCGCCATCCACATTATGTGTTTGGGTGACATCTTTGATGGCATCAAAGGCGGAGTCTGGGAGATTGGGGTCGAAATTGTGCTCCTCGCGGAACTTGTTCAGTCGCAAGTTGGCCTCGACTTCGGAGAGATTTCTGGACGTGTCGGAGTGGTCATGCTTGGGCTCTTTAGCAAACTCCTGTGCGATCTTGGAGGCATCCGCGTCGCCACGATCTGTCCATTCTGTGGCGCTGGTGTTGGCAACCTTGCCCTCCACGACCTGTGCATCCGTAGTATTCGTTCTTTTAAACCCGAGGCGTTTCAACGGGTTCGTGAGACTGCTTGCCATGGTGTACGAGGGACGCCAGTGCGCAAGAGGTTCACGCAAGACGAAGCGTCTAAAGTGAAGTGGTAAAGTGAGAAACACGGAAAGCTCCCCTAAGTACTAGGTAGGTAGGTAAGTACCTAGGTAGACAATGCCAGGGGCCTCGCGATGCTCAGTGAGCCTATCTCCCCGGGACAAGCAGAGGATGGTCATGGACAATGGAGTGTAGTACTACTGGACGGCCCAAGCTACCGTTTAGGTGCAAGTGAAGATATGCGTGCCGTTGGACAACTGGGACCAGGCCGTATCAGTGGTCGATTGCACGAGGTAGACGCCGACAGTGTGGGTGCCATGTTTAAATCCCACGCTAATTACGATGTCGCGTGCGGCGTAGACTTCTAGATGCAGCGAATAGCAGCGATACGCTGCTTGACTTTGACGGGGTAGAGAGAGAGGGGGCGTCGCATGGCAGCAGTTGCCAGTTGTGAACTTGTGAACTTGTGATAGCGGATGCGGTACGCCGGGTACGGTCGCGCAAGGGTGGAGCTGGCTTTCTGGCCAAGCCAAATCAATAATAAGCACAGCAGATAAGCTCTTTGATTGCCAACACGCTGTATCACACATCCTAGGAGGTATATACGCCACTTGAACGTACCCGGCAACACACAGCCGATGTTCCTCGGCTCGAAACTTGATATCCTCCAATGACCAGGCAATAACTCCTTCAGGCCAGCCGAAAGCCGAAGCCAACGACGACGACCTTCCATCTCTGTGCATCTCTGTGTCGCTGTCATCTGACTGGGTCGCCAGATGACCTGCTGAGTGTGGTATCTTCTGCGCTCATCTAATGCGACCGTAGCGTGCTACACTGCTACAGTGTCTCAATGCCATATTTTACGGTGTTGCGCCTCGGCGCGGTCCGTCCATCTGGAGTCGTCGATTTGCTCATTTGCTGCGAGCCCTGGAGTGTCCCAGGATGTTGTTCGGAAGGGTTTCATGCTCCCAGGAGTTGAATACGCTGCACACTGCAATTGTTGTAGTAATACTAACGATAATGATGGCAGATTCCAGGGGCGCATTATCAGAGCCCTTGCCAATCCAAGTGGCGTCTACCAGTATTCTTGTCATCTTTCTACTCTCTCGTCTTTCTCGATCGCTGCTGTACTGTACGTACTGATCCAGGGGCCACTAACGAGAGGCGGACGCAGTAGCTTCGGAAGCACAAGCGAGTGCTACAGTAAGGTAGTATAATACTGTCCCTTGGCAGCTTTCTCTTGTTCTTCCTACAGTACACTTCTGGTGCCTCTAGAGCAAGGATTTGGCGGAGTACGGCGATATCCCAGCCCTCGACACACACTGTAGCACAGTCTGTATCAACCACTCGTTCCTCGTCTCTCCATCCCTGTGACACCTCGAGAGGCTGTGAGCAACCGTAGAAGTCCGGGATAGCTTCTCTGCGATGGATAATGCCAAAAAGTTTGCTATTCTTGTCGCCAAGCATTGCGACCATGTCAAGGATTCGGGTAATGCTTGACACAGATGCTTGGCCAGAAGGTCGATATCCTGTTTATGCTCCTCCCAACGACTGTTCACATTTTTGAACCTACAACAACCCAAGTTGAAAGGATCTTGGAGCTGCTTGATGATAAGAGTTATGAAATCGAATAGGAGGTAGAGCCGACTCATCTGGTAAACCTTCTGATCTCAACCCAAGTCCCCCCTATTCCTCCTAGCCCTAACCATCCTAACCACCCAACCCTGGTCAGGATGTAAGATACAGGTATCCCAATGTACAAATTATGAACACGTCATTCGCACACGTCAAACGGTCAAATGTGTGAATCCAAATGGTGTTTTTTTACAGTCTTTTCACAGTACTTCGTTCTTTTACGGGCTATGTTTCCGAAAAGTGACCGGTCATGATTATTCTCGTATTATATATACTGACTTGATGTTGGAGTTGGTACCCGTGGCTGAGTACATGTACAATAATCTACAGTAGTAGCACCTGAGCATAAGCATACGAACAAACGGTCGCGGCAATAGTGTAAGATCACAAGACTTGGCATTTATCACCTTCCAGAACTTCCGGTCCGAGCCGTGCGAGCGTCGAACATGCATCCAGTACAAACCACAAAACATCGGGTGAATCTCTCTACCTTGATAAAAACCTGCCCAAAAACTGACCTCAAATGCAATACCGTAGTTCGATTTTCCTAACAGGAAGATGCACCACACCCCCCTCGCTCGACAAGACATTCCCCGTTGCGGTGTGATGACAACACGACTCGAGAGATTATGCAGGATCCATAATCGCTAGGTAGGTATGTAGGAGGTAGGTATGAACATCCTAGCCCAGTAAGGTAGACTGAGAGGGCTGAAGCTCAACACGATAGCAATCCTAGGTCTAGTATGTAAGGTAGGTGAGGTAGCTGGGTATTCAGCCTGATTTTCATCACGTCGTTGCATTTTTTTTTTTTTTTTAATTTTAATTTTAACCTATTCGATTTCGATTTCGATATTTATCCGTCAAAACAGAATTTGCGCAACAAAATCTACCTACGCAGACAAGACGGGAAAAGTAGAAAGTTGTGTTTTGGGGATGATCTGATACACGGGCTTGTAATACTAATATATATATATATATACCTTATCTACCAGGTACCTACCTGAGGTACCAAACAGACTAGAAGAGGAGAGTTTCAGATACGATCCTTTCTGCGAGCGATAGAGTCTTGGAAAGATTGATCTGTTGTAGATTCTTTCTATAAGGTAGGTAGGCGTACTACAACAAACCTAGCTGCTTCAGGAATCATACCTACCGTACCTAATCTTGATAAAAGCACACTACGTCTCTGCATACCTGGGACCTTCTCCTACCTACAGAAGAGAGGTTCAATATATACCTACCTGACCTTGGATTTATCTATCATATCAATCGCTATCCTCAGCGGTATAGATATTCTATACTGCACCATACCGAGAAGTCTTGCTTATATTTAGTTACTTCATCGTAGGTGGGCAACGTGTTAGTCCATACGAGGAACTTGTGCTAAGGACAAGCGGAAGTCATGATGCACCTGCGACGGGAAGAAGACTTCTGGACGCATGGAAGAGGTAATGAAGTAAAAGGAGGGGAAGAATATTAACTGCATGAGACTGGGAAAAAAAGAAAAGACTGGTGAAAGTCATCTTGGAGAAGGTATCTAGGGCATTTCAGGAAAAAGTTTTTAACCATCCACGCGTTATGCATCAGTCCCCGTAGGAAAGCATGAGATACCTTTGCTCCATCAAAAGGACAAAGTGTGGTATTCCTGTCGTCGCCAGCCAGCTTGTTCAACAGACTCTCTGAGAACCCGACAGGAACCTTTATTCATTCACAAGCACCAGCGTGATACCCTTGTTCTTGCCTCCTTGACACAGGCTTCCACGCCCACATCGTAGGTATGCAGTGCACCTTGCTCATATGCCTAGGCTTACAGCTCATCAAATCTGCCAGTACGCATTGGGGGATTCCACCACAATCTTAGCCAAGGCACGAATGTTGCTGAGCTTCTGCAGGTCGTCATCATCACGCTCGCAGATCTTCTCTACGGCGACTCTGTGCACCTGTTGAGCAGCCAACGAGCGTGTGGGAATACCATCACCGCTGTCGAACCCATTGAAATCTTGCTCCAACATCGCGGCTACCTCACGCATACCGGTCACCATCTCAGCCGGGCTGCTGACCAGTTGCAGTAAGTGATCCGCCAAGGAATTCATCATTTCGTGGAGCTCGATGTTTGGCATGATGTTCGCGATATCGGCACGCTTCTCCAAAATGACAGCCAGATTTTGCATATCGGCGGCTTGCTGTGCATCAGTCACGGTGACGGAGTAATCCTGAAACTTGACTTGCAGAGCAAAGATCACATCTTGAGCAGCTGGAGAAGGCGTTCCGGGGTCTTGGTGAATCCCGATAAAATCGGAAACGTACTTGAGTGTTGCGGCTACCTGGCGCATACCGATTGTAGCCTCATCAATGTCCGCCACCTTCTCCGAAAACATGTCCTCGACGTCTGTGGCTAGTGCCATGAGCCAGCGGGCGTTGACCTCGACCGATAATTCGGGATCGCGGATAACAGGCTCAGCAGGCTCTGCCATTTCCATGGCAGCAGGGGCGACGCGGTCTCGTGGAGTGTTCGAGGCGGTTGGCTGGTAGGCCCGAGAATATGGCAACCGACCCTCACCCTGTGTCATCTCTCGCGCAATGGTCTCGCGATCTCTGGCACACGCGGGCCCCTCCATCCGCTCAGTCGCAAGCATCTCGTCCGCGGTGGCAGCGGTGGCGGCGTAGGAGGAGGAGGTAGCGTTGGGGACCGCGACACGGGCAGCGCCTGTTGGAGCACGGTAGGAGGGGAAGGTGGTGAAGGAGGGAGTGGGTGGAGGGACGGTGCTGGCGGGCGATTTCGATCGCTTCTCTCCAACAACCACCGTTGGAATAGAGAGGGAGTAGGCGGGAGTGGGCGGAGGGACGGTGTGCGCTGTTGCTGGTGCCGGGGGCGACGAGCGCGACCGGAGCGATCGAGGCGATGGGCGCGGCGCCCTTCGGTAGTAGTAGTAGTCCGACATTCTCGGACGATGCAGTGTTGAATGTTTCCGTGACGATGTGGGACAGAGTGGAAGATCATGGAAACCAGACCGGCTGCGTAGCGGACGTTGCCTTGGCGATCCGCGTCACACCAGTGCTCAGGCCAAATTGAACCGTCTTCACTTGCATGCGTTCGAGATAGCTCGCCACAGTTCGATTACTTCGGCAACGAGTGTGCTGTCCAGATGCACACAAATGATTATGTCCTTCCGAGCCAGGCCCTCTAAGCCTCCAGGAGCATCTCCAGTGTGTCCAATTCTCTCAGGAAGGGCCACTCGCGCATCGAATGGCACAGTCAATCAACACGGAAGCAGTTCCGGGTCCGCCCCAGCTCAGGCCTCACAGCCTCTTCTCAAGCGTCTCCGCGTCCTGTGATATCTTATCCGCCAGATCTCGTAGCTCAGCGACCAGGTCGACGTTGGAGTCGGAGTCGATGTGGTCCGCAAGGAGCTGGCGAATGCGGACTTGCATCTGAGCTGCAAAGCTGGGAGTGGCTCCCGCTGATGCAGGACTGACTGAAGCTTGTGCGGTTGCGATCTTGCAGGAGTGAGCAGCTGCCATCTCTGGCATGTCACTCATCGTAGCCATCTGTGATGTACTCTGAACTCCGCTTCCTGTCGCTGCTGGTACATCGACGTATACATCTAGGACATCTCGCTCGGCTGCTCGTCGCGACATAATTCTCTCGGCAACCTCCCGCACCTTTACTCTGTCGGCGGCGGCTTGGTCTGGTATGTTCGCCACTTTGGGCGCTGCTAGGGAAGACGGAGCCTTGACTGCAGACTTGCTCGCCCTCTCTTCGATACCGGGCGCTGGAAGGGATGAAGACTCTGGAGGTGCAGGCGCCGTTCCTGCCGATGCTACTCCTGCTAGAGTCGTGGCGGAGGAGGGAACAAACGGCAAGGAGGCTGGATCAAGCCGAGAAGACGAGAGGGACGTAGCCTCGCATGATGGGAGGGTCGCCGAGAATGTGAAAGACCTGGGCGGTACTTCAGAGTTTGGCTTGGATATCGGACACAAGGCCTTTGTTTTGAATCTTGCTGACGCTTTTCGTAACGCCACTGCCTTGTCTCGCATGATCTCCACGTCAGACCTGCTGTCAAGCATCATGTCGTCCTGTACCACAACATTGCCGCGCTCGGGAATGCAGAGAGCCGCCGTCGGTGCACCCAGTGCAGAAGTCAATGACGGATTAGCAGAGCGCTGAGACGACACTGCGATACTTGAGCGGACTGATGGCTGGCCGAAACCAGTCGCGATGGGAGAAAGCGCGAAAGCAGAACGTCGTGGTCGACGTGCAGGTGAACGAGGTTGAAGAGGACCATAATGTGAAGACATCGTCTCGTTTGCCTGCGACGGTTCCGATTGCCATCCCAGCTTGGTGCTGGCCTCAGCGGAGCCCTGGGTGCACTGCGTTTTGTTACGCGAATAGAAGGAGAGATCCATTCTTGCCACGGTATGGTGTGGTTGGTAGAGTTTCTGCAGCGAGGATATTTGTTCATGCGAGGAAGTTTGTTATACGAGGAAGTTTGCTCGTGCGAGGAAGTTCGTTCGTGCGAGCAAGTTCGTTCGTGCGAGCAAGTTCGTTCGTGCGAGCAAGTTCGTTCGTGCGAGCAAGTTCGTTCGTGCGAGCAAGTTCGTTCGTGTGAGGAGTTTGTTGTCATGGTTGAACAATGAACAACACAGAGCCAAGAGATCAGTTCGTTGCCGTTGCAGTTGCCGCGCTTCCGCGCTTTGGCATATTCCACGCCACCTCTGACTGGAACCCATCTGGACACCTACTATTGTATCAGTCTCACTCTCCAGTCTATGCGCCTTCGAGGGAAGATCCGCGCGACGGCGAAGCTCAGTCTGCTGGTGCCTTATACTAGCTGTCGTTATTACTAAGAGCGCTTCGAGCTGTGCACGAGATTGATAAGCAGAAGCCAGAGAATCACAATGTGGATGAAATTCGAGTCAATCAGCAGGACGGTGAAGGAAGAGCACTCTTGGCTCCATCAGCTCAGATATCTACATTCATCCTCGCTTCTCTCTGGTGCCATTGTTCTATCGTCCTACGAACGGTCAGCTCATTGCCTTCCGCTTATCCTCCGTAACACTCACTCAGTTTCCTTTCTTGGAAAGATCCTCGGCCTCCTTCTTGTGCTTTGCCAACTCGGCCTCTGCGTCTGCAATCTTCTTCTTCAGCGTCGCAAGCTTCTGCGCCTCTTGCTGCTTGATGTAGTGTGCTTCGTTGGCCTCCTCACGCTTGGTGAAAGCATCTCCCGAAGCAGAGCCCCCAGAGCGGGTACCTCCGGTGTCGCCGCCTGCCAGCCTACGTGCTGCAATGGAGAAGCTGCGGGAAGAGACGGCCGTCTTTGGGAGCGCACGGGTGATGCGTAGGGCGGACATGCTGAGTGGGATTAGCTGGAGAGCGGCTGTCAGAGGCTTCGAAGATGCCTACCTTGCTATGAGTGTGATGGCGGTGGCAGACTGATTGGTATGCTTGATGGACGCGTACAGTAGGTCAGTAGCTTTGAGTTGGTCTGCACGGCGAAGCTCGCACAGGGCAAGCTCTCCCAGTAGTGTCCGTCAGATGACAGACGCCAAGATCAGCGTCATATCCTCCGATGTCACTTTTCCCCGAAGCTCAAGTCCGCCGAAGACAACCTGAACAATTTACATCGAACACTCTGTCTTTCTCTGTGACCAACGATCACTCTCCTTCACCACTGAAGCTGTAAGTTCCCCCTATCTCCTATTCTCTTCACTCTCGCAAGATCTTGCCCCCTTTACCACCCGGCAATCGGCGACGCCAGCTGGGCAGGCTGGCGCGGCCGGTGGGGCATCTAGAGAAACATTGCGGCGCGGCCTGATTGCAATGCGCTGGAGGTCCGAAGCACGCTTCTACCATACCTACTGCATCCTTCTATCGTACCTCCTCCAGTTTGATGGTCGAGGAAGTCAATACCTGCACATCTGCCTTCCCCTTCCCCTTGCCCTTCCAGTGCGGGTGCTCCGAGTCGCACCTGCTTCAGCCGCCGCCTGCACAACCTCAACACGTTCTGACTCAGCTTTCTGGCAGCTTCCACTCTCCAGCTTCCTTTCACCGTACACACAGCTCTCGTGCACCATTGAGAGCTCCGACACCACCTACTCATCCATAGCTGAATCAATCCGCCTGCGAGCACAATTACGCCCCATCACTCGTTGAGAGACATTCACCGTCAAGATGGTGGGATTGGGACCGAGACGGCAGCCGAGCCGTCGTGGCTCGATGGCGGATATCCCCAAGGACATCCTTGGCGAGATCAAGAGACTTGAGGAGATGTTCACTGTGGACACCTCCAAGCTCAAGGCTATCACTGAGCACTTCCAAAAGGAGCTGGCCAAGGGTCTTTCCAAGGAAGGTGGCAGCATTCCCATGAACCCGACTTGGGTCATGGGCTTCCCAACTGGCCACGAGACTGGCACCTTCCTGGCTCTCGACATGGGCGGCACCAACCTGCGTGTCTGCGAGATCAACCTCCCGGAAGAGAAGGGAGAATTCGACATCATCCAGTCCAAGTACCGCATGCCAGAGGAGCTCAAGACGGGCAACGCTGAAGAGTTGTGGGGCTACATCGCCGACTGCCTGCAGCAGTTCATCGAGTACCACCACGAAGGTGAGAAGCTGGATAGGCTCCCGCTTGGCTTTACCTTCTCTTATCCAGCTACCCAAGAGTACATCGACCACGGTGTTCTGCAGCGCTGGACCAAAGGCTTCGACATCGATGGTGTCGAGGGCAAGGACGTCGTCCCTCCATTTGAGAAGGCTCTTGAGGAGCGTGGTGTGCCCATTAAGCTGACTGCCCTCATCAATGACACCACGGGAACCTTGATAGCTAGTGCCTACACTGATACCGAGATGCGCATTGGATGTATCTTCGGCACTGGCTGCAACGCGGCCTACATGGAGCACGCCGGCGAGATTCCAAAGCTCGACCACATGAAGCTCGATCCCAAGCAAGAGATTGCCATCAATTGCGAGTGGGGCGCGTTCGACAACGAGCACAAGATCCTCCCCCGAACCCAGTACGACATTATTATTGATAAGGACTCACCGCGTCCGGGACAGCAGGCCTTTGAGAAGATGATTGCCGGTCTGTACCTCGGCGAGCTCTTCCGCCTCGTGCTGGTCGATTTGCACGAGAAGCCAGGCATCCATCTGTTTGAGGGTCAGGACATCTCTTCGCTCAAGAAGCCTTACTCGCTCGATGCGTCCTTCCTCTCGGACATCGAGAACGATCCGTTCGAGAATTTGCAGGAGACGTACGACATGTTCTACGACAAGATGAAGATCAACTGCCAGAAGCCAGAGCTCGAATTGATTAGGCGTCTTGCCGAGCTGATTGGAACGCGATCTGCCAGACTTAGTGCGTGTGGTGTCGCTGCGATCAGCAAGAAGAAGGGTTACAAGACGTGCCACGTTGGTGCTGACGGATCGGTATTTAACAAGTACCCTCACTTCAAGGTACTGTCTTCTTCCGCATCCCTCAAAATGAAGTCTTACTGACATGACCTCGACAGGCTCGTGGAGCACAAGCTCTGAAAGAGATACTTGACTGGGAGACTGGTCGCGACGGCAAGCCGCTTGGCAAAGGCCACGATCCGATCGAGATCATGCCGGCTGAGGATGGATCTGGTGTCGGAGCTGCCCTGATCGCGGCCTTGACACTCAAGCGTGTCCAGGAAGGCAACCACGCCGGCATCCGTGACGCGAAGAGCATGCTCGCCGGTACTGCCGCCGCCAAGCCCAACTCCAAGGACGTCTAGGAGACGCTGAAGAAGAAGGTGGCGCAGCGTAAGAACTCCAAGGAGTTCGACGAAGATCCAGTGCACAAGTTCATGCACGCTGGCAAGACTGACACTTGGGTCCGCATCCCAAGTGACTCGAACATTGCTGGCAAGGGCAAGGGCAAGGCTGCAAACTAAGTCGGATCTGAATGAACGATGCGGAACGATGACCAAGGCGATGCGAGCAGAAGGTGTGACTGGGTCACGGTCCTGATAGTCGCGTCGCTAGACACGAGAACAACGACATGGCCCTGAGACTCTCGTCGCGAGACACGAGAGCATACGATTAGCTTCCTATACAAAATTGAGAAGGGTGTCGCTTAGTGGGCGGCACTTCATTTCATTTGACTCTCCTTTACATTTCGGCCATACCACATCTCTGAATTCATTCGTGCGCCTGTGTGTACAGTGAGTGAACGCCTTCAACATATCCGTCGTGCTTAGGATTTCTTAGTTAGTCGGGTGGAAAGACAGCTGAAGTTGGAACGTGACATGCTTCGATGGAACAGGCCACAATGGCTTCACCGGTCACCCATGAGATCTGCTATAAATCACATGATTTTTCTTCTGCAACGAGCAAGGGATGCACCGTGTCATTGAGCCTTTCTGTCAGCTTTTTGCAGAAGTGTGATTGATGTACAGATGTGAGGACAGTTTGACAGTGAGGTCGCCAAATAGAGTTTCGCTCGGCATCAATTTATCCGATTCCTTATCGATCTCAAAATTAATTTGTCCCAACTTCAAGACCTTGCTGTCCACTACCTGTCTGCACCTGCATCAATCGGCCTCCTCCCTTTCACTCCGCTACAATGCCCAAATCTGCGCGTAAAGGAAGCACCAATGGCATATCCAAATCCGACCCCTACGCTGGCGCCACCGCGCGCAAAGCGAAGTCCACCGCCACGGCCAACAGCATCTTCAAATTCAACACAGACCTCGGTCAACACATTCTCAAGAACCCCGGTGTAGCGCAAGCCATCGTCGACAAAGCCGATGTCAAACAGTCCGACATCGTCTTGGAGATTGGTCCCGGAACAGGCAATCTCACGACTCGCATCCTGGAAAAGGCGAAACGGGTGATTGCCGTCGAGATGGATCCAAGAATGGCGGCGGAGTTGACAAAAAGATTTCAGGGCACACCTGCAGCGAAAAAGTTGGAAATCGTGTTAGGAGATGTCATCAAGATGGAGAAATTACCATATTTTGATATCTGTATCTCGAATACGCCATACCAGATTTCGAGTCCGTTGACTTTTAAATTATTGGCGACGAGTCCGAGTCCGCGGAGTTGCGTACTCATGTTTCAGAGAGAATTTGCGATGAGATTGTTTGCGAAGCCCGGTGATAAGCTGTACAGCAGGTTGAGTGTGAATTGTCAGATGTGGGCAAAGGTGGATCATGTTATGAAGGTGGGGAGGAATAACTTCAATCCTCCTCCGCAGGTGGAATCGAATGTGGTGAGGATTTCACCGAAGAATCCTCGTCCGCAGATCAGCTATGAGGAGTGGGATGGGTTGTTGAGGGTGTGTTTTGTGAGGAAGAACAAGGTGTTGAGGAGTGAATTCTTGGGAACGACGAGTGTAATGGATATGCTAACTTCGAATTATCGAACGTATTGCTCGCAGAATGGGATCGAGCTGGATGATGGGCCTGTAGAGGGTGGTGGGGATGACATGGATGTAGATGGGGAAGTGGAAGAGGAGGAAGAGATGGACATTGCTATGGATATGGATGACGAAGATGACGTGCCAGACTTTTTCAAGGAAGAGATGGACAAGCGAGCGAAGAAGACTGCGGACAACCCGAATCGAAAGAAGAAGGGCAAAGTTGCTGAACTTGTGCGCAGCAAAGTGAAGAAGGTCCTGGAGGAGAATGATCTCGCGGACAAGCGTTCGCGAATGTGTGACGAGGGCGACTTCCTGAAACTGCTGTATGGCTTCAACAAGGAGAACATCCACTTTGCGTGAGCTATGCAAAGAAAGGATTCTGGTGTTCTGGAGTCATTCGGTGGTCTCCGAGACTTGGAGGGAAGCACCGAAAAAGACTCTTATGATCAATCACCCTATGTGGCAGCGAAAGTAGTGAAGCGCTGCACAACCTGCGGCGCACAGCATGCCCGACTATGATTTCACGCCTGATTGAGCGCAGAGTATGGAAATGAGGTCCTTGCGGGAGATGAAAGGGCTGTCATGTTACCCATTGACTTGAGATAGCACCGGAATCGATGTGATGCTGCATGCGCAAGCTTTCTTTTCGGGGAAGAATTTACCTGACCACGACATTGAGCTGGGATAGAACCAGTCAAATCATGTGTAGGCTCGATCGACCTTTCATCATGTCCAACCTCCATGTCAACGTTGGTGGCTGACTGGCTGGCTGACTAGAGCATATTATGCCCGTCACTTCTTGGCCAAGCTCAGTGAACGACCAGACAAACAGATTGTAAACATCCTCTCTCTTTCGGTAGAATTTACGCGTCTCCATTACCCTCTTCACGCGTATCCAACCAGACTCTTCATAGATCTTGCGAAGGCGATGTTGATCTTCATCTTCCACAAGCACTCCCCTCTGACTCACCCTCCACCCTGCTCCTTCTTCTTCTCCCACTCCTCCGGCGTAAAACACTTGGGAGTCCAAGCATGTATCGCTGCGATTTCTGCTTTCAAAGTCGAATTCACCAACCGATGTCGGGCTAACGTCGTCTTCTTCGCAAACTGCGGCGACACAATGATCGCTTCGTACATTTGTCCACAGCCACCTAAGTGAAATTTGCCTTTGTGATCAGCCATCACGCCATTCTAACTAGTCCGCTCTGTTCGTATGTTCTTCTCTTGATTTTTTTCTTATCGACCAGCGCTACCTACCTGATAAATCCGCAATGTCGACGTATTGCGCTTCGAGTTTCTCTTCGAGTGTGGAGCGTAACGTGTCTGGTGTGACTCCAGAAGAGTGTTGGTTCTGCTCGGCTTCGAGATCGGTTCGCGCAGACATGATGAACTCGGGTTTTTCGCGTTGGCCGGTGGTGGTTGTGGAAGCACGACGTCTTTTATGCGTGTCGGGCATGATTCTCGTCGCTAGTGAATATCTTATAGAGGGGTGATGTAGTTGTCATATCTTATCAGATCAAGATCTGACGCAGTTCCAAAAAAGTCTAATTTGGGTGAGCTTTGGCGCGCGCGTGTGGAGTTTCCCTTTTGTTGTTTACTTCACTTCGTCTGCATTTTATTTCATTTCATTACACTGTGTGCATGTATGTTCGCGAGACGAGTATACTCCACTATGGCACACTCAACAGTGGCGTCGCCCTATAGCAGGGCGGTCGTCAATGCCATGCGTCGATTATATCCGGAAGCATTGGCAGACAAGAGCTTCGACAACACGGGCCTCTTACTGGAATCACCTTTTGATCCTCTCCGACGGAATATGAACTCGGTCTTGCTCACTGTCGATCTTACCAAAGCAGTCGCAGACGAAGCGATTGAGCGCCAAGATTCCGTCATCATCGCATATCGTGGGTTTTCCGTTCTCTCAATGTGGAAGAATGATGGAAGCGTGAGAGATCGATCTGACTAGAGCTGAAGCGTAGATCCCATCATCTTCAGAGGTCTCAAGAGCCTTACATTAGCCGATACTCAGCAACAGACCCTGCTGCGTCTCGCAGCAGAAGGCATCAGTGTCTACAGTCCTCACACAGCAGTCGACTGCGCTCGAGGTGGATTGGGAGATTGGCTCGCAGACATCGTCACTGGCACACCCACTAATGCTTCTGAACTGGATGACGATCTCTCCGAAGCTTCACCTGACAAATCTTCACCGAAGGAAACACCCGCCCAGACAGCGTCGGTCGACGCCGAAGACAAATCGTCTTCATTGGAGGTGAAGAGACCAACGTACATGCTCCAACATCACCCGTCTCAACTGGATCTGAACGACCGCGCCCTCAAGATGGGCGACTCTGGACATCAACGTTACCCCATTACCAAGACTTCTGTCTCCGGCCACGAGGGCGCTGGCATGGGTCGCATTATCCGTTTCTCCCAGCCTGTGCCCCTCCTTGAGATCATAGATCGCATTGGTCTTGGAATGGGCAGTCCCAAAGGCTTTCCCATTGCTGTCCCGCAAGGGAAACAGGCGAGCGACATGATGATTAGCAGTATTGCACTTTGCGCAGGATCTGGCGGAGGTCTGTTTTCTCAGGCAGAGAAGAATGGCGAGGATGTGGATCTCTACTTTACGGGAGAGTTGTCGCATCACGAGGCGTTAGCTGCAATTGAGAAGGGAAAATGTGTGGTGATGCTCTTTCACTCGAATACTGAGAGAGGCTTTTTGCACAGTGTATTGAAAGGGCAGCTGGAAAGAGCTGTCGGTGAGGAGGTAAGTTGTTCCCTTTCCCGTTTTCGTCTTCTTGCTTCCTTATTTTTCTGAAGCCTCACTGACTATGTGATGAATATGTAGTGGGAGAAGATCCGAAGTGAAGAACGAAGCCAGAAGAACTTGAGCGAAGACTATTTGGAAGTACTCAACGACAGCAGCAGCGAAATTCATGTGAGCGAAGTCGACCGGGATCCTTACGGCATCATGATCTCCAAGGACGAGCTGTGAGGTGGCCGAAAATTATAGAAGCGACACCCCCACCCTCAAGCCAGTGGCATGCCTTAGCAGCATGCTCGCGATTACCGAACGCTACTCTCTGCAGTCCATCCAGAACATTACTCGTACAAATACCAAAGGCGATAGTTTTGGACCACGTACCACATCTCCTCTCCACGCCGGCGAACTCGACAGACGGTCTTGCGACCATACGCGATCAGATGCATAGTCTCTCCTGCGTATACTGATAGACCTTGAAGAAGAACATGCTGATTCTTTCGATCACTCTGATATACTGCCCATGTCCGCCTGTAAGAAATAAAATGGTTTCTATATATCTTTTTTTGCTGTATTCGATCCTTACAGTCTCTGATAGGAAACGCCGAGGACCGTATACGTATGCAGCCCCCTCGCGTACAGGAGCAAGGAAAATGCTTTTTGCGATTGTCGTGTGCTCAGCTTCCCGATTTGGCTGATAGGCGTAATAACTCTACTCTAGGACTAGTGTACAACTCTTATACTCGATTCTATTGGATACATGGAATCAGGGGCCATCTCTGGTTCCACGTCAATAATCGCTTGCGAACAAGTTACATATCCTGATGAGAGCGGTATAACAGCTAATTCTTCTCATATCGACTGTTTGTGACTTCGAGGTTGCTGTCGAGTTTCTACGTTACTATGTCCGTACATGTCGCTCGTCGGAAATCCTGAAATACACGTATTCACCAGCAATAACGGGCCAACGAACACGATTTGTCCAACGTCACAACTGCCCTGAAAGTTTCTGAGTGGGCCCGTAGGTTCGAGCTTGTCATGTCGATCCCAGAGCCGCATACCTACGTAGCTACATGTAGTTCTACTCGCTCCTCTTCTATATTGCGACAGCACTCACCATCACACACTCCTCCCACACCACCGCCAGCGACCTCCGCGGCAGGCGCAATGGCATCCAGACAGCCACGCGGCGGGCTTGCCTCCATCGCCGGACCTGCTTCAATGGCAAAACCTGCACCGGGCGAGGGCCAGTCCGACGATGCCACCGGCTCCGCCAATGCCATGGGTGCGCCACCGAATAAGAAAAAGAAGCATCGCGCTGGTCGGAAGCATAGGAAACCCCGGCGACAGAGCTTTATTGCTCCCTCCGAGGCTGCGACCGAGGACACGACTGATATGCAAGATCGACCGAGTTTGCTGGAGGCATCGCACCATGCGTCGCAGAGGGACAGCTTCTACCGCGTGCAGAACTCGACGAGGCGTGGGAGCCATACTAGTCTGGAGAGCGAGGCGCTCCTGGACCACCGCGAACACGCCCCGCTGAGTCGCAGGAGGGATACTATGCGACAAGGCTTTGCTCGAGCGGCCTTGCCCTTTGCACGCCATCAGCATCGCCCATCTGATGCCTCTGCGAAGGCAGGAGGAGGAGGAGGATCAGGCAGGTCGCGTCCCGCGCACACGGAAGAGTCTGTCATCAGTGAAGACGAGGAAGATGAGCATCGTGGCACCGAAAGGTCTCCTCTGCTCGGCAATAAAGCCCGCACGAAGCCGCATGTTTCACGTGCGAACAGTGGTTTACAAGGCGGCACGCACAGCAGCAATGGGAATACTACAAGAACACGACATGAGTCTTCACCCTCGAAGACATCATCTCCCAGAGGAGCACCGCTGGAGATTCTTACTGCGACTCGCAATCCCCAACCAGATGGTGACCACGATGTCAATAACCCTCCATCGGTGCCTGGCTCTCCAACCCTGGGTATAACCGAAGACTTGTACATTTACGGACTCGGATCGAGCTTGTCAGAGCGTGGCAGAGATGCTGTGATCCATATCAGCGAGGACGAAGCAGATCGTGAACTTGATAACAGATCCCCTGAAAGTATGCGACGTCGACCTACCCTGGCCCAGCTAGCTGAACGTGACGTCTGCTTTCCTGGGGACGACGATGCTACAGAGCATGGCGAGGAATCTCCACATGCATCCCAGCGAGAGGCATCGGTCAAGCCAAGACGCAGACGAGGCCGCAAGTTCCCGGACTTGGAGGTGCTGGAGGAGTGGAGCCGCGAGGAGAAAGAAGCACGAACTCAGCAGGAAGTGCAGCGTGCAAAGAAGATATCTGAGCCCGTCATGATTGGTGGTCGTTTGCGTCCTGCGAAGACTGCCTGGCATGCGGAGGCAGAAAATTCGCCATTCAGGTTCACGTACTTCAACGAGATGCTCGATGGCACCATACATGCTCGAACTATCAGTGATTTACAAGACGACATGACTTTTCATGAGCTATTCATTCCGGATCCCATAGAACTAAGTGATGATAGCGACGACGAGGACGAACACGACGAAGGCGCCATAGAGCGTCCCACCCTCCACAAGCTTCGCCGTGCTTCAAGTGTCGGCAGGTCAAAGCATGCTGATGCTGTCAGCCAGAACGGCGATCCTCCACGACCAGCCTCGATTGCACGGGGCTCAATTGTGGAGAGTATGGCTAACAGCAAGTCTGCTGCTGAATCAGCTCCTGTATCTGGTGGTGATTCTGGCAACGTGACCCCGAAAGGTCAGCGGAAGCGCTATGGGCCCCGGCCAACTTTCTGGCTGGATGTTCTCTCGCCTACAGAGAACGAGATGAAGGTCTTGTCGAAGGCTTTCGGAATTCATCAGTTGACGTCTGAGGATATACTCATGAACGAGCAGCGTGAAAAGGTCGAACTGTTCCCATCCTACTACTTCGTCAATTATCGGACTTTCGAACAAGACAAGGACAGCGAAAACTACATGGAGCCCATCAATATGTATGTCATTGTCTTCCGAGATGGTGTCATCACCTTCCACCACTCCATGAGCCCACATCCAGCCAATGTTCGACGACGGATTCGCCAGCTGAGTGATTACATGAGCCCTACCGCCGACTGGATCAGTTACGCAATCATTGACGACGTCACTGACGTATATGCACCACTGGTCACGGAGATTGAGCAAGAAGTCGACGACATTGACGAAGAAATTCTGCTCATGCACCAGGAATCCGATCCTAATGCCATTGAGCAGGCCAAGTTCGAGCAGAAGCAGAAAGAAGGCAAGGCGAAAGGCGAAAAGAGGCGAGAAAGTAATGCTAGTGCAACCACAATCGACGCCGGGAAGAAGAAGAACAGTGGCGGCGACATGCTGAGACGTGTCGGCGGCTGCCGCAAGAAAGTCATGAGTTTGTATCGTCTGCTCGGCAACAAAGCAGATGTTATCAAGGGGTTCGCAAAGCGCTGCAATGAACACTGGGAAGTTGCACCACGCTCAGAGATTGGTCTTTATCTCGGAGATATCCAGGATCATATCGTGACCATGACTGGGAATTTGTCGCACTATGAGAGGTATGTCCAATTTGCTCGCCTGCTCAGGGTAACATAATGTCCGCTGACATGATTCTTTACAGCCTCCTCTCCCGAGCTCACGGTAACTACGTCGCTCAAATCAACATCCGCATGAACGAACGTGCCGAGACGAATGCAGACGTCCTGGGCAAGCTTACTGTCCTAGGAACAATTGTGCTTCCCATGAACATCATCACGGGAATGTGGGGCATGAACGTCTGGGTCCCCGGACAAGAGTATGAGGGCGATCTTAGTTGGTTCTTTGCCATCACCGCCGGTCTGGCCGCTTTCGGATTCATATGCTACTTCATTGCGAAGAAGGTTTATGGTATTGTATAACCATATTCCAAATTCGTCATGGAATTTTGGAAAGTATTGTTATCAATACCTCGTAGGGCATTCTGTATAAAACAAGATGGGATGGGGCGGCAGCTGGGGGGCAGGGAGAGAGACGTTTCAGTCCTGACCATGAGGACAAAGTATAGAGTACATGTAGAACACAAGTGAGGCGAATGTGGGTGAAACAGTACGAAGGATCGATTGTTACAAACAGCAAACACGACTAAGGAATGGAACGGAATGGGATCAAGATGAAATTGTCAAGAGTAGGTGGTATACATGTTACTTTTTTTAAATGAAATGATCAACTATCTTGAGTACGGTAAAGAAGTGTTCTTTTTTCTGCTACTAGGTAAGGTACTGCTGCTTTCCAAAGGCCAACAAGAGCGAACAACACTAGGCTAAGGTACCTAAGAGGTAGGCATAATAAATTCATGAGTTATTACCTACATTTGTACCTTAGGTATATAGCTTACCTAGGTAGGTACCTACTTATGCTCTTATGGCCATCAACTCGCTACCTAGGTATCTAGATGTATTATGTGTGTAAAGTATATATAGATATATACCTAAGTAGCTGAGGTGGGTAGGTAGGTAAATGCCTTTACTTTTTCTTTCCCTTGTTATATCCAGTTCAGTTCTTTTTCTTTCCTTTGGCTGCAAGATACAGAAGTTTCCAACTGTACATTTAGCTATATGTACCTTTCCAAAAAAAAAATTACAAAAAATAACAGCATCTAGATAAGGTACATGTAGGTACTCTCAATCAGACCCATCATCTCCAGAATCTCCAAAATCGACCAAGCCTTTCGGCTTTCTCTTGGCAGGTTTTAATTCCTCCTCGCTCAGTTGCTCGCCCTTTCCACTTCGGTCTTGGTCATCTTCTTCATCGTCATCATCACTGCGAGCGTCCTTGTCCTGACCCCATTTTCTCGCATATTCTTGTGCAGCCTCGAGTTCGGCAGCGAGTTCTCGTCTCTCTTTGATATCTTTTGCTTTTTCATTGCTGTACCGTCCCGTCATGCCTGCGTCTTCGAGCATTTTTTTCAGATGCTTGATTTTGGGCTTGGAGGTGTCGTAGTCTGCGAGTTCGCGATGCCAGAGCTTGCGAATGCCGCATTTGACAAGCCAGCCTTGTAGGCGTTTGATCTCCTCTTCGTCGGGGGAAAGGGCTTTGGTGGTGGACTTTGCTTTGATGGCTTTTGTAGTCTTGGTTTTGGCTTTGTGTTGTGCTGCTGCTTTGCTTGCGCGCTTCCTCTTGGGCGGCTCATCGATCAGTACTGACATGTCACTTTCAATGTCCTCGGGCTGGGGTGCTTTGCCATTGGTGTCTGCTTTGTCTGTCGAAGGTGCATCGGAGAGTTCGCTCTCCTCCTCCTTGATATCATGCGCCTCTGACTTGACATCTTCCTCGCTCTTTCTAGGCGCTGGGGGGAGCTCTCTTTCCTCAAGGTCTGAAGCTTCGCTCTCTTCCACGACCTTCTCCTCTGCTTTCTTTCCACCTCTGCGCTTCACGGGTGCCTTTCTCTTGGGCTTCGCGTCTGATTCGTCATCGCTTGCAGCTTTGGCCTTCTTTTGTGTCGTTCTGCGCTTCGCAGGCGCTTTCTTTACCGGCTTTGCGTCAGAGAAATCGTCATCGTCGCTGGGCGTTGCTTGCGCTTCGGGCTCGTCGTCGTCGTCATCGAGATCCGGTTCCGAGAGCTCGTCCTCGGACTCGCTCTTGCGCAATCTCTTTCGCGGCTGCTGTTTCTTCGCTGGCGCCGTGTCAGACTTGCGCTTGGTTCCAGCTCTGGCTGCAGGTTTTGCTGTTGCTGAAAGCTCAGCTTCCCCTGCGAGAGGCCCGCCGTCGACCGTAATCTGGATCACTTCTTTACTTTTCGCCTTCCACATGGGGTCCTGTTTGAAAAAGCCAGCATCGAGTCCCAGCTCATGCTCAGCAGCTGCACGCGCTTTGTTGACAGTGAAATTCCCATGATTCAGTCCCGCTGCGGTGACGCGCCTCAAGCAGTCCTCGATACGTTGGTCGATCACCGGCGTGACTGGAGGGGGTGCATCGGAGGCTGATGACATGGTTCCGGCGTGCGCTGTCGTCAGGAAGGACGTGTACAGGACGTGTACAGGACGTGATCTTGGAGACGCGATGTTGACGTGCACTCCGGAGGGTCAGGGTAGGCTACAGTAGATCGTTCTAGCGTGAAAGTCAAATGGGCCGCGGGGACTCACTCCCGCTCACCTCACATCGCCTTGAATCTTGATGAAATCCCTTGGGGCATTTACATGTATTAACCTTGACCGGGCTGTATCGTGTGCATATTGTACGGGTTTGACGCACTTGATCATCCTCTGTGCCATGCCCCAATACGGAATCCCGTTATGCTCTCCCAGTACATGTAGATTTACAACCATACAGCGCCTGCGTGACAGAGAGTGACGTGACTGGCGGGATCAATCCCTGTCAGACTGGTGAAGAAACAGGGCCGTCGAATCTTCAAGAAGCGCACGAGATTCGAACTTGAGTGGACGGGAACAAGTGAACAACTCCCTTTCTGCCCTCTTGTGTGAATTCCGTGGAAAGTTGGCGAGAACCGCAGATTACTACCACCAACAACCGCTCCTTCCGAACTTTCTAACACCCACCCACACACCACACACCACCACCTCCACCACCGCTTTCTCACCAGCGAGAGCTTCTGAAACCGCCGCATACCAACACAATATTGGCCGGTCAGCGACATCCTCCCAGCGAACGCAGCCGGCTGTGATATCGGCAGGCCGACTCCCGACGCCTCTGTCTCAGACGTGTCGTCAAAAGCCGCTTTTTCGTTGTCTGTAGGACGAATACAGCAACTACGCCTCGATTCCTGCTTCACCAACGCTTGCGCTACCAACGCCTTCCGGCATCAGCCGCAGACAGATAACAGCCTTGGGACGACACAATCGGGTTCTCTTGTAAGTCTCCTTCCATATCCTCCTCCCTCACGAACACACCTTCTGTACCAGAGACGAACGTCGAGCGAGGTATCATACCGCCCAAAATGGATGCCTCAGACAGCCGGCTTGATCTTCAGAAGCTGGCCTTGGCAAACTTTGCTGCTGCCAATCATCATTCACCGAAGCCTACCCAACCCATCATCACATCCAGTCCTCATGTTGCCCACTTTCTCCAGCTGACGTCGACTCCTCCAGGAACATCCGATTTTGCCAAGATGCCTAGCTTCGAGGAAACTCCAGCGCCGAAAGGCAGGCTCCTGCTCATCTCCAACCGTCTGCCAATCACCATCAAGCGCTCCGATGAAGGTCACTACGACTTCACCATGTCGTCCGGTGGTCTGGTGGCCGGTCTGTCGGGTCTATCAAAGACTACCGAGTTCCAGTGGTATGGCTGGCCCGGTCTGCAAGTGCCCGAGAACGAGCTCGGACTCCTAAAGCAACGCCTCCGAGACGAGCACAGCGCTGTGCCCATTTTCATGGACGATGAGCTATCGGATCGCCATTACAACGGCTTCTCCAACAGTATCCTCTGGCCGCTGTTTCACTATCACCCGGGCGAGATTACGTTTGACGAGTCTGCATGGGATGGATATGTCGAGGCCAACCGCATATTTGCAAAGGAGATTGCAAAAGACGTCCAAGACAATGACTTGGTCTGGGTGCACGATTACCATCTCATGCTTCTCCCTGCCATGCTCCGTGAAGAAATCAACAAGGCAGGAGCCAATAAGAAGAAGAACGTCAAGTTCGGTTTCTTCCTCCACACCCCATTTCCGTCCTCGGAGATCTACCGGATTCTGCCTGTCCGAAACGAGATCCTGCAAGGTGTACTGCACTGCGATTTGATTGGATTCCACACATACGATTACGCTCGGCACTTCTTATCAGCATGCGCTCGCATACTGGGCCTTGCTACAACACCAAACGGCGTCGAATTTCAAGGCAAGCTTATCACTGTCGGTGCTTTCCCTATTGGCATCGACCCAGAGAAATTTGTGCTCGGACTGCAGAAAGAAAACGTCATCCGGAGGATCGAGACACTGAAGAAGAAGTTTGATGGTGTCAAGATCATTGTCGGAGTCGATCGCCTCGACTACATCAAGGGAGTTCCTCAGAAGCTGCACGCCCTTGAGGTCTTCCTGACCGAACACCCAGAGTGGATCGGCAAAGTAGTGCTCGTACAAGTGGCCGTCCCGTCACGGCAGGATGTTGAGGAGTACCAGAACCTTCGCGCTGTGGTCAACGAACTGGTCGGCCGCATTAATGGCAAGTTTGGCACGATAGAGTTCATGCCCATCCACTTCATGCACAAGTCGGTCAGTTTTGATGAACTCACCGCTCTCTACTCCATCAGCGACGTATGCCTGGTCAGCTCCACTCGCGACGGCATGAATCTGGTATCCTACGAGTACATTGCCTGCCAACAGGAGCGACACGGCTCGTTGATTCTGTCAGAGTTTACTGGAGCTGCACAGAGCCTCAACGGAGCCCTAGTCGTGAACCCCTGGAATACTGAGGACCTCGCAGACTCCATACATGACGCTGTCACCATGGGCGAGGAGCAGCGTACCATGAACTACCAGAAATTGGCAAAATATGTCAACAAGTACACGTCCGCCTGGTGGGGCGAGAGCTTTGTGTCAGAGCTGACCCGAATCTCTGAGCAAGCTGAGAAGAAGCTCAAGGTCCGCCAGTCGAATGTACTCGATCCCGCTGGGACAGCTATAGACGACAGCTTCCCCGAGGACAAGAAAGAAGGCACTAGTCAACCTGCGGTTGCAGACACCACTGGCGAAAGCCAGAAGGTGGAAGCGAGCGATCAGGAGACTAAGTAAGGATGTTCTTTCCAGTGCTGGCTCGGGATCACGATACGAGATATGACAAAATGACCACTAACCTTGATTGTGAATAGGGAAGAATATGATGATGAGGAAGGACTTGTGATTCAGTTCAGAGGCAGGGCCGACTCGATTCTGTTACGAGGGGTGTAAGGTGAAGCATGGGCCCGAACACTGCATACGATAGAGAGCTATGGGGAAATTCAAACATCAGCATGGAGCTACTGATTCTTGGCAGAATGCGTATAGAATGAGGATATAGTCTCCCACGGCATGAGTCTCGTGGGAGTAGCTCAAAGAAACAACGAGGAACGAGTGTACCATGTTCCATCTTACAGAAGTTGTACCTCTAGAGTGTGGGCACTAGAATCAAACATTCAAACCAGGATAAGTACTGTATCGTACGACCCCTCTGATTGACGTGACGTAATATCATGTGCAGTGTGCACCTTGATGGTAGCCTACTCTATTGAGATATTTACAAACACATATCGAGGTGAAGTGGATTTCATCAGCATACAACAAGAACACAAACTACACGCCACGTCGCCACATACATTGCGCAAAATGGCACCGATACCAGCTACCTGGTCGAAGTTGGCCGCAACAGGCCCACTGCAACGCTCATCTCACAACGTCAACGCCATCGGCAACACCATATATGTGTTCGGCGGTGAGCTCAGACCCCGAGAGCCTCGCGACAACAACATTCACAAGATCAGTTTAGATGGTAAGTCGCAAAGAAAAGAAGAGTCACATTCTATGCTTCACGCTTATACTGAGCAATGTTTAGGCACGACATCCGTCCAGTCTCTCCAAGCCCCGCACATGGCTCCTTCTCCACGTGTAGGTTCAGCGAGCGCAACAATCGGCGATAAGATCTATTTCTTCTCTGGCCGAGGAGGTCCCGAAATGGCGCCTGTAGATGAGAAAGGCGCTGTGTGGTCGCTCGACACGCGCTCGAACGAGTGGACGTTACTCTCACCTTCATCTCCTTTGTTCCCCGATGCGAGAAGCTACCACACCATTGCATCAGATGGAGCCGACACCATCTACGTCCACGCTGGCTGTCCTGAGAAGGGCCGGCTGGCGGATCTCTGGGCGTTCAGTGTCTCCAAGAAGGAATGGAAGCAGCTGAGTTCTGCTCCAGATCCGCCTCGAGGCGGGACGTCGATTGCTTGGGCAGATGGAAAGCTGTATCGCATGAATGGGTTCGATGGACAGAAGGAGGTGGGAGGGGATCTTGATGTGTATGATCCGGCCAATGACAGCTGGAGTACGGTATCTTTCCAGGCGAATGGCAAGGACGGTCCCGGTGCACGAAGTGTTGCGGCGCTTGTGCCTGTCAAGGTCCACGGAGGCACGAGTCTGGTGACATTGTTTGGCGAGAGCGATCCCAGCTCTTTGGGTCATCAAGGAGCGGGTAAGATGCTATCGGACATTTGGGCTTATTCGCTGGAGAACAAGACTTGGTCGGAGATCAGTATCCAGTCGAATGAGGCCAGGCCAGACGCGAGAGGTTGGTTCGATGCCGATGTAGTGGCTCTGGATGAAGGAGAGGGTGTTGCTATCTCGGGTGGACTGGGAGAGACCAATGAGCGACTCAACGATCTCTGGTTGCTCAGCTTTTGAAGTGCTCTCGAGGCAGACTGTCGTCACGGCCATGCCAGGCTCTGCCTCAGTGCCTGTGCTCAAGAAATGTAGCAATCTCATTCGAAGATAACAGACATGTACCGCTTGTATATACTGTATGTTCCTGTACATGTAGTGGTATCTGACTCAGCTCCGACGTCGGCAACGACATCATGATCACCATTACTACCCCACCACAGCTACGACTTTACCAATCTTTCTGTGCTTGTACATAGATCACTGCTGGCCGAAGACATACAATATCCAATCTCAACAAGTCCCCCGCCAGGAACAAGAAGAAGAAGAAGAAGAAGAAGAAGAAGAAGAAGAAGAAGAAGAAGAAGAAGAAGAAGAAGAAGAAGAAGAAGAACAACAACAACAACATGGCCACCATGCGTGCAATTGGTCAGTTGTCAACATCAACCCCACCAAAACAGAACAGAAACTGACCTCCCCCACCCCCAAAAAAAGACATCAAAGACGGCAAAGGCCCAATCTCCAACCTCTACATGAACGACCAAACCCCAATACCCACCCCCACGGCCTCCCAAGCCCTCATCAAAATCAAAGCCTTTGGCCTAAACCGCATGGATCTCCTCCAACGCGAAGGTCACTACCCCCTCCCCCCCCAAGCCCCCTCAACACTGGGTGTAGAATTCTCCGGCCAAATCCACAGCGTCTCCCCCTCCAACCGCGAAGGTTTCGCGCCCGGCGACGCCGTCTTCGGTCTGGCTTATGGCGGCGCTTACGCCGAATACATTGCCGTTTCGACGCACATGTTGATTCGCAAACCTGAGCATTTGAGTTGGGAGGAATGTGCGGGGATTCCTGAGACGTGGATGACGGCTACGCAGGCTATGTATCTCATTGGAGATTTTTCAGAAAAACAGTCTCCGACGATCTTGTGGCATGCGGGAGCTAGTGCGGTGTCCATTGCAGGGATTCAACTCAGTCGAATGAATGGCGCATCGCAGATTTTTGCGACGGCGCGCTCGGATGAGAAGTGTCGGTTTTGTGTGGAGGAATTAGGTGCGACTGCGGCTTTTAATACTACCACTTCAACAACAAAAGAAAAAGGAGAAGGAAAAGAAGAAGAAGAAGAGCATTGGGTCGATTCCATCAAAAAAGCTACAGGAGGAAAAGGCGTCGACATCATCATTGATTTCATCGGTCCAGGGACTTTTGCAGCAAATTTGGAAGTTGCGGCTAAAGATGGCCGGATTGTCAATTTGGCTACTTTGGGGGGATTATATCTTCCACCTTCTTCTCCCTCCCACTCTTCATCATCATCATCAGAAGGAGGAAAAGGAGGGAATAAATATCAAACCCCCAATTTCGGAACCTTCGTAGCAAAACGCCTTCGATACGAAGGAAGTAGTTTACGCAGTCGAGATGAAGCCTATCAGGGCCGATTGCGAGATTCCGTGGTGGAGCATGCGTTGCCCATGTTTGCAGAGGGGAAATTGAAAGTTTTTGTGGAAAAGGTGTTTTCGTGGAAGGATATTCGAGAGGCGCATAAGCAGATGGAGAAGAATTTGACAAAGGGGAAATTGATTTGTGTGGTTGATTAGAGTGAGTGGAGGGGGTAGAGAGAAAAGAGGGAGGGAGGGAGGGAGGGAAAATGAGGGTCTTATCTGTTTCTCTTTTCTTTTCTTTTCTTTTATTTTTATTTTTAATCTCTCTCGCTGAAGTTGAGACACTCAATGTACATGTACAAGGGTCAGGTAGATAGTCGATATGATGATGATGATCGGTCCAGCCGTATACAAGGTATATATATATATATATATATATATATATATCTCTCTCTCTCTCTCTCATATTCATTACTCTTGCTGCTTACACTTGCCCAACACAAACAGTAACAATACCAATACCAATACCAATACAAGAAAGAAATGGCCGCGAGGCCGATTCAAGTCTAAACAAGTCCCTTTTCTCTCTCTTCTCTCTTCTCTCTTCCCTCTTCATCCAACTCAACCCCACCAAAAAAAAAGAAAAAAAGAAAAAAAAAAAAAAAAAAACCGGCCGCGAGGCTTTATATCCCCAACTCTAATCTAGTGCAATTCCATCCTACCGACCAGCATGCGAACTCCTCGTCGTCGTCGAAGAAGAAGGCTCCCGGGCATGATGACAGACATGACCCGACTTATTCTTCTCCACGACGCGAGCCTGGGTGGTAGTTTTGCTGACAATAGTTTTGAGAAAAATGCGCGGTTGGCTGCTGCTGCTGCTGTTATCGTAGCTGAAACAGCCGAGGCATAAAAGGGTGACATGGCCTAAATGTTTTTTTTTTCATTATAGTCAGTATAGAGAGAGAGAGAGAGAGAGAGAGATGAGTATTTTTATTGCAGAGGGGGTGGTTTGGGAGGGGGAAGATGGTTACCGCATGTGCAAATAAAACTTGCAGAAGTGTTGTCGCGAGAGCACTTGCAGCAGATCCAGGACATGCTTTGGGTTGTTTGTTGGTATTCGGGTTTCTGGGTTTGGTCGAATAGATGATGTTTTGGTTGTCAAGTTTGCTGCTAGGCAGCCGCGAGCCGCCCTTTCTTGGGATGTCGTCGTTTGAGGTTGGACGATATAGAGGAGAAGCAGTGCCCAGCAATCAAGGTGGTGGTGGTGGTGGTGGTGGTTGTCGTCCTTGGCGGTTGTGGTTGATGTCGCTGTTATGGATGTCGTCGTCGTCTTCGTTGTTATTGTGATTGTTGTTGTGATTTGTGCTTGTGCTTGTTATTATTTCCGGTTGTTTTGTTTTGTGTTTTGACGAGTGCACCCTCTCCGGGGAAATGACAGGTTTCTGGAGCAAGACTTCCAGTTGTTGTTGAAGAAGAAGAAGAAGATGTGTAAGGTCTTGGTAGATACAATAGGTAATGTTTGTGGCGGAAGAGGACGAATTCTATCGTGTGTCACTTAATTGCGGCCTGATATCGTTTCGTGGTATGCAGGGCCAAAGTCTAAAAGAGACATTGATGCCTGCAGGGAGAGATGGAGATGCCTTAGGTAGGTACAGCTGGTAAGGTGAGACAAGGTAAGCTAAACTGGAAGCCGTGTCAAAGCGGAGAAGAAGAAGAAGAAGAAGAAGAAGAAGAAGGAGCGGAAAGGAAGGGAAAGGAAGGAAAGGAAAAAAGGGAAGTTGCGGCTACAAACAAAAGGAGGGAAAGTGGTAAAAACAGCCAACAGCCAACAGCAACTAGCAACCAGTAACCAGTAACCAGTAACCAGTAACCAGCTCTCGTGTGTGTGTTGGACTGTTGGTTGATGAGGTGGCCATGTGATGATGATGAGTGACCACATCACAGCCACTGCACCCACTCCTAACGTTGTTAGCCACTACATACCTGACCTACAACTACATTACCTAAGCTAAGGTACCTGTACATAACTCTTGTCCTGCAAGACACAGCACAAAAAGACAATACGACTGTAGCGTAGAGAGAGGTACCAGGTCCAGGATTGGTGCAATACCTCCTACTAGAGAATAAGAGGAGAAAAAGAAGGAAGCGAAGCGAAGCCAGTACCTCCTAGGAGTAATAAAGAGAAGGTAGACCAAGACGGGAGTGTCCGTGGTAGAGTGTATACTACATCGAGTGTAGTCTATAATACTGTCACCCAGGAGACTGGTTAGTAGTAGGAGGTAGTGGTGGTGGAGGTTTCTTTATTTAGAAAAAAAAAGACGACCACGAGGGCCGCGGGCGGTGCACCATGATATGACGTAAGGAAGGTGGCACAGGAACAGGACAGACCTGACGGGAGTATCAAACTGCTTAGTCATGTATGACTGATGTTCACTACACACATGTATCAGGTACAAGCGTAACATCATCATCATTATATTAAATCGTAACCGAAAAATTGCTTCATTCGCTCGCTCGCTCGCTCACAAAAATTGCCAAAACATTAATCCCATAAATGCAAAAAATGTCAATCCGGTATTGGCTGCTGCACTGGCAGAAGCTGCACTACCACTACCGGAGTCGGAACTGTTCCCTTGCCCGTTGGCACTGCCGTTGACCGTTGCGTCGTTGCCGATGCCCAATGGAAGCCCTTGGTATCCAAATGTGAGATTTTGTGGAATTGACCTATCGAGAAATAGGTCAGTTAGTTCTTTTTTTTTCTTTTTTTTTCTTCTTTCTTTTTCGCGTGATAGTTAGAGAGTTAGGTAAGATACATACGTGTTGTAGCATGAATCGCCAGCAATGTTGATTCCCTTCAAATCATCGGCATGCACAAAAAACATGTACTTCTTCTGATCGAGTCCTTGGAATCCCGAAGTATCGTAGGGAAAGTGATCCGAGCTGTCCGTTGCTGTCGTATTGCGTAAAAAGATACACTGTACTTGATCGGGATACTTCTGCGCCATCATGGGATAGTCCTTCATTACATCACTGTTGGAAGTATCTGCAACCAAGACAAACTTGCGCTGAGGAAACGTCTCGAAGATCTTGACCAGCAAAAACTCTCGCACCGTCAGCGTTTCTTTGGCATTGGTGAAATTTAATGGTCGCGTATCGAACGATCCTGCCGGATATGTGGCGTAGATGTATTCCTCGTAGTTTCGAGTCACTTGTTCTGGTAACGTGGTGAGGTAGTGGAAATGCGCATCTGGTAGGCTTTGCGACCAGTTGGCATAAATTTCCGGCATATTCTCCCATGGCACGAAAGGTCTCGCAAACGAATTCAAAAGTCCTTCCTTGGGATCATAAATCTTGGTCACGCGTAGAATGTCGTCAATATCCGATATGATGGTAAGGCCTTGGTCAGGTACCAGATATGCGGTAGCATTGCCGTTCGTGGTATTTCCCACCCAGGTATTCATCTTCTGGAGAGACTGAGTCTCGTTGCCTCGCGCGAGACCCTCGCTGTTGATCGGCACAAAGACATCAAAGTCTCCTTCGGCCGTGGTTTCGTATGGAAGAGTGATTGTCTGAGCGACACCAACGTTCCCATGCTCGCCATTGAAGGGCTCGATCGAGATCGGAGACACATTAACGTGGGGCTGCTGGACCACAAAGATAGCGGCAGTCACATTTCGTGCCTGATCCGCTTGACTTGGTGGCAATTCGTCCACAGACGTGTCGATGAGGAATATATTCGCCAAGCGATTCAGGTCGCTTTCGGATGTGTTGGGCTGCTTGTAAATGTTTCCATGGAACCGCACATTCCATCCTTGATCCGTGTAGTTGGCATAGGGAGGAATATTCAATGCCTGTGTAGGAACTGCCGCAAGTTCATCATCGCCGATTCCCAGAGAGCTTTGGACATCGTCTCCACTGGGAAAGTCCTGAAAGAAGTTGGGGACTCCACTGGCGACATATGAAGGAATATCGGACCCTAAGCTGGACAGTATCCCATCCACATCGGACTTGAGGTCGCTGAGAATATCTCTTCTATTCTTATACGTTCTCGTCGGATCGCGTTTGACGGGCGAAGGTGTCGTTGCTGGCGCTCGAGCTCGGATGTTATTGTTGTTCGCCGCCGTCGGCGCGGGAGACGCTGCCACAAGAGCGAGCAGAGGCGCGGTGAGCAGCAGGTCCCGGAGAATGGCCATGTTGGAATAATGGCGAAAGAAAGCAGAATGCAGCAAAAAGGCAGGTAGAAGAAGTAGAAGAGTGAAGACAGGCGAGCAAAACAACAGAGAGTTCTACTTCGATGGAGCTAGTGTTTGGAAACTTGGATGTAGACTTCGCCTCCGGAGGCAGACGTGACATCAGCGGTGGCTAGTTCGGGCCCAGTGGGGATGCTATAACACGAAAAAACAAAGCCAAAGTGTAAGCATACAGGTACCTCACATGCATGCTTCATTGGTGTGTTGATCCCACTTGGTATGGGCGTCGACGCGTCGTGGTGATTCCAAGGTTTCCCACTCCGTCCCGGCGCCTTCAATCATCACCAAGGTGACCAAGGCGATAAACAAGCTTCTGACCGCTAACCTTGCCACGTCTCAACTGCTCCAGCCCATCAAACACGCCCTCTAAGCCACCCTCAGCCACCTTCAGCGGATGAGGCTTGATCTTCCCTTGCTCCAACAGCTTCTCACTCAACTCCCAAAACATCTTCGCGTGCTCAAAATCCTCCTTCTTCGCAGGACTCTGTCCCCCAAACTTCTCAAACGCCTCCCCCATAATTGTATATCCCAGCGTCTTCTTCATTTGCACGTCGCTCCTCGTGTGCGTGATGCCTCCCAACAAATACGACACCGTGCCGCCCTTCTTACTCGAAATACTCCCCTCACAAATCTTCGAACTCTCTCCCTCCGCAATACAATCCAGCGCCAACTCCAGCTCATCATTCGTATAAGCTCGCACCTGGTCCGCACATGCCTCCGCATCATGATAATCAAAAACTTCTTCCACTCCCAACTCTCTCACTAGGTCGAAATTTCTCTCGGAACAAATCGCCACCACCTTCGCGCCTGATAGCTTTGCATACTGAATTGCCAATGTCCCTGTTGCTGTACTCGCTCCATAGACCAAGAACCAGAATTTGCCCTTCTCATTGTCCCCTGTGGCGTCAGCTGTACTACTCGGTAAAGGCAATCCCAAAGACTGATATAGCGCCTGACCACACGTAATAATCCCCGTGCCCAAACTCGCCGCTTCTGCATCCGACATGTGTGATGGGACATGCGCTCCCAACCCTCCTTTGACCACCGCATATTCTCCAAAAGCCCCGTCTTCATGTTGGCTCGTGTTTCCGCCGTGCACGAATGCGCAAATGCGGTCGCCGACTTTCCAGCTGCGTGGGGAAGAAGAAGGCACCACGGCGGCGGCGGCGGAGCCGATCGATTGGATGGTCCCGCAGAGGTCGACGCCGGCGGTTTCGCCGCCTTCGCCGATTTTGTCAATGTGTTTCCTAGTGAGATTGGTGAGCTTGTCCGTTGACTGCTGTATTCAGATCCATTGCTAAAAAGTGGAAACCAAGTTTCGATTCCAAGATTAAGAAAGATTAAAAAATACCAATCAGTAGGATTTAATGCCACAGCTCGAACCTTGACAAGGACATAATCCTCTCTCAATTGCGGCACGGGGACTTCTTGAATTGTGGCCGTATGGGTTTTCGTAATCTTGATAGCTTTCATGGTGCTTGGAATTGATTTCGAACGAGAATCAGCAGCCATCTCGTTGCTGCTGCTAGGTAGGCTCGGGGCTCAGTCTGCCGAAGGGGTGGTAAGGTCAGGTCGGTACAGGTAGGTAGCAAGTTAAATACAGGTACCTGAGGTATAGAATCATAAAGTACCTGCTCTGAAGCTGTGTGCTCGCGACTGTTTGTGTGTGGAGAGATACACTGTGCAACACTTGAGCGGGGAGCTCTACCTGAGCTCCACAAACTATAGGTACCCAAGCAGAAGCATAGGCACAAGCGAGTATATAGCCCGTGTCGTGTTATAGTAGACTTACCTTAGATACATACCGTAGGTACCTTATGCAAAGTTCCATACCTACCAGAGGTACTCACTGAGACCGCGAAATACACTAGGAGGTATGTGCACGACAGACTTACCCTGCTATACACGTACCTACTATCACCGGCTCCTGGACTTTCCCAGACTCTTCCAGCACGGTGGAAGCCTATATCTCTCCTGCCTCACACTACTGTCCTATTGCGATAAGCATAGATCAGGCTGGCCAGATGGTACGAGTATGCCACGTTTTCATACGCTGGAAGCAGATCAGATATTCGCCGCACCTTCGATGAAGAAGTATGTTCCTTTCCTCGCGAAAAGTGAAAAATCCAATGCTACACAAGGGGTGTCTTATCCTGTCCCAGTCTGCCCTCGCCAGTACTCCTTCCCCTCCATTAACACCATAGTCAAGTAAGCGGCCCATCTCTATTTCGCCGGTGGAGGACCCTTGGGTGGCTCATACACCCCTGCCTCTTGACCTCTATATCCCCCATAGGTGCTCTGCGGCTGTTGCAATTCCACATCATTGTTCCCATACGGAGCAGCCTGTGGTCCTCCGTAGTATCCCTGGTTCGGCGGGGGTGTATAGGCTGGCGGCGGATTGTTGCTGTTGTTGTAGTAGGGCTGTGCATTTTGATAGTAGGGCTGCTGCTGGTTGTATTGAGCGGGTGCATGTCCTGGAGGTGTTCGTCCTAGAGCCCAGCCCGTGCCCCTGTAAGGCTGGTACCCCATCTTTCTCCGGCGGCGCGCGGTGATGCAGCTATAAGAGAGAGAGAGAGATTGTTAGTTGGAGTTCATCGTGCGTGCGCGACTGCGCGGAATGTCTCGATAGCTGGATCGCTTACCTGAAGGAGAAGAAAAGCAAAAGACCGGCGAGAATGACGAGTCCTAGGACGAGCCATCGCGCCCAACTGTCCCATGTGCTATCGTAGCATCGCACTTGGCCGAAGGAATTGACGAAACAACTTGACATGATGAGTCAGTAATGGATAACTGAAAGGCAGGCTGAGGTCCGAGGGTGTGCAGTGCGTGTAGATGATGGTGGGATGGGTTGGATGGAGGGTGGTGGTGGTGATGGTGGTGATGGTGGTGATCAGGAAAAGAATGAAGCAGATCGCATCGCAAAGCAACACAGCGCAACACGACGAGGATGAGCTTCAGGTTCCTTCCCTGTCGACGGAAGACTGGCTGGCTGTTGCGCGACTGGGGATATGTTGTAACTAGTACGACCGGAGCAGCAAGCCTGAGCAAGGATACTACGGAGCGGAGAATACTTACTCGTCGCCGAGATCATCGTCATTGTTGGTGTTGTTGTTGGTCGTCTGCCGGGGAAATAGATTCACAGCTTCCATTTCTTCGCAGTATTGGTGTTGGTAGTGATGTTGGTGGTGATGATGATGATGATGATGGAAGAGGAGTGATAATTGCAAGTCGTCAGCAACGACGTAGATGACGCGGTCGTCTTGGTCTTGTATATTTATGTCGTGATGTGAGGAGTAAGGCCCTTCGCATCAGCCGACCGGGCAGTGCTGATATCCGGCTTATCTTGGCACCAGGTGGCGTTGACAACTTGATCACTACCTACAAGCGAGGGTGAAACACTCAGCTTGAAACTGTCCTCCAAGAGAAGAAAGACATCGATTCTTCTAGACTAGAGCAGTTAGTACACTCCGTCTATCCGTCCCACGTCAACAATAGCATAGAGCCTCAATTATGCCGAGACTCTTCGCTCTCTTTCTCTCTCACTCTTTCTCTTTCTCTTGAGGTACATGAGGTACCTACACACTGCACTAATACTTCTGACCCCTCACCCATCCACTCGCCTCCATTGCAGCCAAGCATCCTCCTATACCCATTTCATCCTCATCAAACATGCCGTCCTTTTGCTTCTTCTTTCCCCTCTAGGTATATATGTATTCATGCAACGGGTAGGAAACAGGACTAGCTTCTAAGATACCTAGCTTCCGCTGTTTCCATCGCTTTGTTGCTGTGAATGGATCCTCAAATCGAGGATCCTGGATCCCGGCCACATCCCATGCACGTATGCGTTGTCAACTGTGTGAAAAAAGACTACTAGTAGGAGAGAGAATGCAGTGTGTGTGTGAGAGAAGAGAAAGAGAGAGGAAGGGCAACTACGGCAGTATTAAGATAGACAACGCACGCTGTTCGTCTTCTCTCTGTCCTTCCTTTCCTACCTATCTTGCATACCTACGCACCAGCATCCCTCCACTGCTACTGCTGTTGATGCTGCTGATGCAGTCTCGCTTCTCTTCCTCTTCTCGGATCAGGGATATGGAGGAAGCCATTTGATTATATCATATGATGCTCTCGCACATCTATCGTATACGCAAACTCTTGTGTGAGAGATGGGACGACTTGGACGGTGGGAAAAGAGCTGGGGAGAAAACAACTACAGCAACAACACGCCATACGATAAAACTATCGCTCGCTCGCCTCTGCTATCGCTCACATCTGAACTCGACATGGAAAATCCATCCGATCGTGTCGCATGCTGCCATACTCAATACTCGTCTCAATCACATCATGTCGAACCATACATACCTTATTCCTTCCATTTCTCGACACTCGACTCACGAGAGGTTAACTATATTCTGGCGCAACCCTGCCCTTTTCAGACACACGATAAGAAAGAGGAAAAGTCTCTTCGAAACTTTTACCTTGTCCACCGAGAAGGAAGCAGCATAAAAAATACGACAAAAGGGTAGAGGTGAGACTCTTGTGCTTGCTTGGAGCAAATATTGCCATCGCTGGCGTTGCAGCTTTGCGCCGCTTGTCCTAATGCCTTTTATGCCTACCGACCACACACTCACACTCACACTCACACACAGAGAGAAAATTCAACAATATCTTAAGAAGCTAACATGTCGTTGCCGTCGTCGTCGTCGTCGTCTTCGTCGTCGGAGGAGGGGCCGTATCACTTATGAAGTCAGGCTTTCATTCCGATGGAGCGGCCGTTAAGTATCGTGGTTGAACGTGGATAAGAGGGCCTATTTCTGCGCTCGAGCAATGAGCCATTGCAGTACCGCATCCAGGTTGGTTTCCTCTTTCGCGCTTATGCCGTAACAGCTGACTTCGCGGTGCGTTACAGACTTGAGATTCAGAGCCGCAATCAGCTCGTCCACTGTTGCGTGCCCCGAGAGGTCGGACTTGTTCCCAAGCACAAGAAGAGGGATCCCCTCCATTGCTGGCTTGTCCAAGAGTATGTGCATTTCCTCTTTGGCGACGGGAAGGGCTTCCTTGTCGGCTGAATCGACAATGAAGCTGCGCAAACAGAATGAGCTGGGACGGATGATGTTGCATGGTCACGACGCGCGACTTACACAATGGCATTCACCCCTCGACAATACCGCTCCCACATCGATCGAAATCTAGGCTGGCCTCCGAGATCCCAACTGCGCCGACGGGTTAGCGAGCTCGGGCGCACGCGTGCTGAGAAAGCCGAAGGAAAGAACCACACGTACCACTTCAAAGTGACATGACCCTTCTGTACGCGCTTCATGTTGAAGCCCACTGTCGGTATGGAACTGTGGAACAGAGTCAGACTCGAATGGAATCAGTCACCTCGGACAGGCGCCTGCGCAGTCGCACCGGAAACACATACTCGATGGTGAACTCGCCGCCCTGTACCACCAAACGTCAGCCATCAGTTGCAGCAATCCGAGACACATCAGTCTGTCTGGATCCCGAGGAAAGCGCTCACCGCCAGGACCCTCAGCAAGGAAGTCTTTCCAGCATTCTGCAGGCCGATCATGGTGATGTCCATTTCAGTCGCCCTGGGAGAAGGGAGCAATGCATGTCAGCCTAATTCCACTGCAATACCTGTACACTGGTATTGTGCAGGTGTCAGGATGATGTTGCTGTGGACGTTGTCGTCGTCGTCATCGTCATCGTTGTCGTTGTCGTCGATATGAAGCCAAAGCGGTGTGAACATCAGGCTGCAAGGCTCCCCACCAACACACAAACACACATGCACACACGCACACACACACACACCCAACAAGCTTTGGATCTGTGTGATGAGATGGGACACATGAAGAGAATTGGGGAGTTCATACCAGAACAGGCTGAGTAGCCAATCATAGATGCGCTTAAAGATGCCGACCATACTGAGCTTGTCACCGGGCGAGGACAGTGGTAGGTTTGGGAATCGGTGAGAGTATGGCGTTCCCTTTGGAATCCGTGTTCTGGACAGCCAGTAGTGGCAGTAGTAGTACTGTAAAGGAGTGGTAGCGATGGCGAAGACAAGGGACCGCTGTCTGGGCTTGTGATTGAGTGGCCGAGAGAATTCGACAGGAAGCGGGGTGGGCCGGAGGAAGCAGTCTGCAACCTAGTCACATCAACAGAGTTGAAGGTGTGGCTGTTGGTCTAGTGCAATCATGGAGGCCGTAGAGCGCTAGTTGCTGCAACGAAGAAGAGCAGCACAGCGCAGTGGGAGGCGGCGGAGCAGGAGAGGAGGAGGGGGAGGAGGAGGAAGTGGTGGTGGTGGTGGTATTGGTGGTTGTGGTTGTGGTTGTGGTGGTGGTGGTGGTGGAGGAGGAGGAGGAGGAGAAGGAGGAGAAGGAGTAGTAATAGCAATAGCAATAGGCAGTAGTTAGTAGTAGTAGTAGAGACAGACAGACAGTAAGTACAGTGTTGTATGTAGCGCGGTAGGTAGAGTGGGAGGCAGTCAGTCAGCGGAGTCAGGTGCTTGTGGTGGCGCTGGTGCACGAGCGAGCTATCTCCTAGGCAGGTCGACAGGCAGACAGGCAGACAGGCAGGCAGGCAAGCGGGCAGGCAGGCAGACAGGACAGGACAGGATAGGATAGGACAGGACAGGACAGGACAGGCAGCTTTCACTGGCAGAGAAGGCCGGTGTAACAATAGACATCGGGCTGGCCCCCTCCCTCACCATCCATCGCTCTCGGGCTGTGTCTGTGTCTGTGTCTGTGTCTGTGGTGGTAGTGGTGGTGGTGGTGTTGTATCTCCCACTCACACCCTAAGGTACCTTACTGCTCCCACCCGCACACACAGGCATACACACACCACACTCTCCCACACACACACGCACACACGCCCGAAAAGGCCATCCCACCACGCACGCACGGCACCAATAATCAGAAAGAGATCCCTTTCGAGGTGCGGATGGGGGGAGGGATGGAAAAAGCGGGTCTCGTCTCGTGCCTCCCGCCCGGCGAGTGTCGGCGCCAGATTAAGCTCGAAACACCGACTTTTGCCGCCGAATCATTGAGCATTCTTCACAGGTCAAAAGTTTTGAAGCTTCATTGCGCATCCGCATCGCATCGCATCGTATCGCACCATGTCCATGTCCATGCCGACCTGATAATGCTAATAGACCTGCTGTACCGGACGTCTTACTACTAGGGGCTTCTGATTATTGACGAGACGGGCCAGGAGCAACAACACATTGCATCGCCGCCTCTCGATCTTTTTTCCCGTCCCCATCATGGCCCAGCACAGCGTGAGAAAGAGCCAGTGGTCGGAAGAATACGACACGCTGAAAAGAGAAGAGTTGTTCAGGAATCCTCCCGCCGGCAAAAGCGCATACCCTCTCCTCCAGGAGACGATACGACCGCACGTCGACTCGTTCAACTCCATCTTCACCGGTCAATTAGAGCATGGTCTCAGAGACATTGGCACAAAAACTTTTCTCGATGGAAACCCACGAGATGACGGGCCCAAGAATCGCTTGCAGATGAGAGTTGCAAGTGTATTCCTCGATAAACCACAACTCCCTCCGAGCAACAAGACCGAGGCGACGAGACGCGAGATCCTGCCAGTCGAGTGCAGAGAACGACATGTCACCTACCGAGGTCGCTTCCGAGGCAGACTAGAGTGGAGGATCAATGATGGCCCGTGGAAGGAGAGTCCGCGCGACTTTGGGATGCTGCCCATCATGTTGCGATCCAACAGATGCCATCTCGAAGGGCTGTCGCCGAAGAAGCTGGTCAACGCACGAGAAGAGACGGAAGAGCTAGGCGGCTACTTCATTGTGAACGGCATAGAAAAACTGATTCGCATGTTGATTGTCAACAGGCGGAACTACCCTATGGCCATCATACGACCCTCGTTTGTGAATCGAGGCACAGCATACTCCAAATTCGGTGTACAGATCAGATCAGTGCGTCCGGATCAGACGTCACAGACGAATGTGCTGCATTACCTGAACGACGGCACTCTCACCTTCCGTTTCTCATGGAGGAAGAATGAATATCTGATTCCAGCGGTCATGGTTATGAAGGCTTTGGCAGAGACGAACGACCGCGAGATCTTCGAGGGTATCGTGGGCCCAGCTGGAGGCAAGGACATGGATACAAAGCAGTTTGTGATTGATCGTGTGGAACTGTTGCTGCGAACCTTCAAACCGTATAACATGCATACGAAGGCCAAGTGCAGGGCGTACCTCGGAGAAAAGTTTCGACCAGTTCTGGGCCTGCCTGATGATATCTCTAATGAAGATGTGGGAACGGAGCTGCTGAGGCGAATTGTGCTGCCTCATTTGGGGTCATACGATGTGACCGAGGCCAACGATATGGACAAGTTCAGAATGTTACTGTTCATGACGCGGAAACTGTACGCGCTCGTCGAGGGTGAATGCGCCGTTGACAACCCTGATGCAGTGCAGAATCAGGAGATTCTCTTGCCAGGTCATCTTTACGGCATGATTGTGAAAGAACGCATCGAAGAGTGGCTGACAACAGCAGTGCGTACTCAGCTATCAATCTGGGGTGCTCAGAACCAGTACCCGTCCTTCCTCAGCAAGGAGTTTGAGAGAGATTTCATGACCAAAGTGATCCGAAAAACAAATGAGAATCTGGGCCAAGGACTGGATTACTTCATGTCTACTGGAAATCTGGTCAGTCCTTCGGGTCTGGATTTGCAGCAGGTCAGCGGATTTACCGTCGTGGCGGAGAAGATCAACTTCTATCGGTTCATCAGCCATTTCCGCATGGTGCACAGAGGTAGCTTTTTCGCACAACTGAAGACGACCACAGTCCGCAAGCTGCTGCCAGAGAGCTGGGGCTTTCTTTGTCCCGTTCACACTCCCGATGGATCTCCTTGTGGTCTGCTGAATCATTTGGCACACAAATGCAAGATTGCAACCTCTAGTGCAGACACTACACACTTGCCTGATGTGATTGCACAACTCGGAGTGACAAGTACGTCTGAAGCTTCGCTCAACGATAGCGTGACTGTGCAGCTGAATGGCCGAATCTTGGGCTACTGCTCGCCGAAGCAGGCCAAGGTCATCCACGACACTTTGAGATACTGGAAAGTCGAGGGCACACACAACGTCCCTCTGGATCTCGAAATCGGGTACGTGCCGCTAAGTGCAGGAGGCCAGTATCCTGGTGTGTACATGTTTTCCGAAGCGGCACGAATGATACGGCCTGTCAAGTACTTGCCTTTGGAGAAGCTCGATCATATTGGACCCTTTGAGCAACCCTACATGAGTATTGCATGCACGGAACCCGAGATTGCTTCTGGAGACTCGTCACATGTCGAATTTGACGTTACCAACATTCTGTCAATCGTTGCCAACCAGACACCCTTCTCGAACTTTAACCAATCGCCCAGAAATATGTATCAGGTAAGCCGTTTCTTGCTTCGTCGACGAGGCATACGCAAAATAGAGTGCTAACATTTCGCAGTGTCAAATGGGTAAACAGACCATGGGCACGCCTGGAACCGCACTCAAATATCGCACAGACAATAAATCATACCGTTTGCAGACTGGTCAAACTCCGGTAGTACGAACGCCCAAGCACAACGAGTACGGCCTGGACAACTTCCCCAACGGCACGAATGCGGTGGTAGCTGTCATCTCCTACACTGGCTACGACATGGACGACGCTATGATATTGAACAAATCAGCACATGAACGTGGATTTGGGTACGGCACGATATACAAGGCCAAGAAAGTCGATCTCAACGAGGACAAGGGAAGGAGGGGAGCCCAAGTCACCTCAGTCTTCGGATTTGCGCCTGGTGGACTGATCAAAGCACAATGGCGGGCAACATTAGACGACGATGGGCTCCCTGCTGTGGGGACGAAAGTACGAGAGGGTGATGCCATCGCCGCGCATTACAGTGTTACGAAGGATCCCCACACTGGCGAATACGAGAACAAAGATGGCGTCACTCATATCCATCGTTACAAGGATGCTGAAGAGGCATACGTGGAGGAGGTCAAGATCATTGGGAATGAGCTCGGAAACGGTGAACCCTTCCAGGTAAGTCGTCCACCTTGCTCTGCCACAGCAGCAGTCAGCATGATGTTCACAAAGCTAATATATCCTATTCACAGGCCGTCAGCATCCGTTTTCGCATTCCTCGCTCCCCTGTCATTGGCGACAAATTTTCCTCTCGCCATGGCCAAAAAGGTGTCATGTCTCAAAAATGGCCCACGACCGACATGCCCTTCTCCGAATCCGGCATGCAACCCGACGTAATCATCAACCCTCACGCCTTCCCGTCTCGCATGACGATTGGAATGTTTGTCGAGTCCCTCGCCGGCAAATCAGGAGCCCTCCACGGACTCGCTCAAGACTGTACGCCGTTCAAATTCAAAGACAAAGAGGGCGAAACGGCCGTGGAATACTTTGGTCATCAACTCCAACGTGCCGGATACAATTATTACGGCAATGAACCCATGTATTCTGGCATTACGGGAGAAGAACTGGCGGCGGACATTTACATTGGAGTGGTATACTATCAACGTCTGAGACACATGGTCAACGACAAATTCCAAGTGCGAACCACCGGTCCCGTCACCCCTCTGACCGGCCAACCCATCAAGGGCAGAGCCAAGGGAGGTGGTATTCGAGTGGGAGAAATGGAACGCGACGCCCTCATCGCCCACGGCACCTCGTTCCTCCTCCAGGACCGTCTGATGAATTGCAGCGATTACACCAAAGCGCACATTTGTAAGAAATGCGGCAGCTTTTTGAGCGTGCAGCCCAGTAGTGGGCAATTCGGCACGAGAAGAAGAGAGGGTGGGAGGGTGCGATGTCGCAGATGTTCGCGCAAGGCCAGCCAGACGGACGCGACGAGTCTGTGTTGGGTGGATCGGAAGGGAGAGAAATGGTGTGGTGGTGACGAGGTGACTGTGGTGGCTATTCCGGGCGTGTTGAAGTATTTGGATGTCGAGTTGGCTGCCATGGGAATTCGGATGAAGTTTGATGTTGGGCCGTGATGTACTCACTACCTAGTAGCATACCTCCTACCTACATGTACCGAAGGTGCAAGGTACCTACATGTACCTTACCTACATGTAGGTACTAGGTAGGTACCTTGTCTTGACATGTTACTTGGCAATGCAAATGCAATGCAAATGCAATACAATACAAATATGGTGTCTGAGCGCGGAATCCTGATTGGGCGTGATGAAATTTCAGAAGATGCTACCTCGTAGGTATTCTTTCTTTCTTTTAGGATACATGTACATGTAGTTTTGTCTGTGATCTGGATAAGATGGACAGATAGGTAGGGATAGGCCAAATCAAAAAAAAAAAGAGACCAAAACAACAAAACAAGAAGAAAAGAAAAAAGAAAAAAAAAGAAAAAGAGAAATCTCCCTCACTGGAGATTATTCGGATCCGGACTTGTTCCATTCATATTTCCATTTCCATTTCCATTAGTATTCTTGTCAAGATTGCAAGTCCGACTCCACGCCTGGGGAGAAGTCAAACCCCGCTTCTCCGCCATACCTTCCGTTTCCCTCGCGAGTTGATTAACTTTTTCAATTTCAAATCCCGCAATGGCTTTGTATGCCAAACCGATACCTTCGAGCTCGGCTCGTGGGATGATGTCGTTGATGTGCTGGAAGCCATTCGGTGCGCGTTCGTAGGCAACTTGCATGACGTGATCGGGGCCGTTGCCGCGGTTGGCCATGACGATTTTGGCGGTGGTGGGGAGACGTTCGTTTTGGTAGGCTTGTAATGCGGCGAGAATTTGATCGGACATGGGTGGGCTTGCTGATGTTGATGTTGATGATGTTGTTGTTGCTGTTGTTGTTGTCGATGTTGATGATAGGGAATTCATCAAGTGCTTTGTTAAGGATTCGGCGTCGAGAATGGCTTGGCTGGCTCCGTTGCTTCCAATGGGATACATGGGATGTGCTGCGTCTCCGAGTAAGGTGAGTCGTCCAAAGGTCCATCTGGCGATGGGATCTCGATCGCACATGGGATATTCAAACACTTTCTCCGTCTTCTCGATTAATTCGGGAACATTCAGGAAGCCAAATGTCCAGTCTTGGAATTCCTTTGCGAAACGTTCTTTGGGCACGGACATCAACCAGTCACCCGATTTGACGGGCGGGGTGGTGTCGGGATCGTTTTCGTCTCGAACACGCAATTCGGCGATCCAGTTCACCATGGACTTGGTCTGGGCTTCAGTATGATAGTTCAAGATGGGATAGGCGATGAACTTCTGGTTGGCGTGGCCAGACCAGATCATGCTGGCAGATGACAAGAAGGGTTCGCGTTCGAGGTAGCCTCGCCATAAGATGCGGCCGGAGAAGTGGGGAGGGCCTTCATTGGGGTAGAGAATACTGCGGACTTTGGAATTGATGCCATCGGCGGCCACGACGAGATCGGCATCGACTTCTGCGAGGGTTGCCGGCAGGCCAGTCTTCTTTTGGACGAAGCGCAACTTGATCTGTTTGGAGGGGTCTGCCTCGTCGTTCTCGAAGCTAGCCAAGCAGTGATTGAGATGGATGCGCTCTTCGCCGACTCGTTCCTTGACGGCGTCCAGCAACATCATCTGCAGCTTGCCGCGATGGATACTGAACTGGGGGACATCATAGCCGGCATATTTGCCTCGTGGTTCCTCGAGGATGGGGTTGCCGAATCGATCGTAGTAGTTCAGGTCTTTGGTCTCGATGCCGGTATGCTGCAGTGCGGGCAAGAGACCCAAGTTGCGCAGAATGAGAACGGCGGAAGGCTGGACATTGATGCCGACACCGAGAGAAAGGAGTTGGGTGGAGGCTTCATACAGGTTGATATCCCGAAAGCCATGGGCATGCAGTTGCAGTGCTGTCACGAGTCCGCCGACGCCGGCTCCCACGATATGGATGGAAGGATCCTTTTTAGTCATGCTGTGTCACCGTGCCTCCTAGAACCCGGCACTGGCAGCTCCAGGAAAATATTCACTCCTCAGCTACTGTACCTGTATGTACCTGTAAGGCTGTACCTGTAGGCTGTAGGTAAGGTACAGGTAGTTGATTAATCAAGGTAAAAGGCACGTGTAGGTCATGTAGGTTAGGTTCTCCTGATCAATGTCTTGAAGAACTGCCAATGGGCAAATTAGTTATTAGGTTAGCGTTACTGTAGGTACCTTGGGTTATGTACCTTCTCCCTCCTGTGCCTTAGGTACCTACCTTACTGTAGGAGGTGCATGTAGCCTGTAGGTACCTCAGCGGCTCAGCCTGCCAACTCGGTAACGCGGGGTGGGGCGGCATGGTGGAAAGTGGAGATGGAATTGGGCTTGGCATCATCGCACCTCGGCGTTGTGCACATCGGAACGGTCCGTAGCGACTTTGGATCTACACCTCTACTGTATGATTTGCTGCCATCCTGTCCTGTCCCAGCATCCTCGGCGGAGACGCTCGCGGTAAAGATGCGGTATTCTACACATCCAATCAGCTTCCGATAAAACATCCGAGTTGCTGACCATTTGATGTGAACATTCCGGTATTACCTCCTATTGGCTATCGACAGGATTCCAACGGGTTACATACAAACACCCATACCTAGGAGGTACCTCCATACAGTACCTACTCAGATCTCCTCGGTGAAGACTGAATTTTCTGACTTGGACTGCTGCTCATCCGGACCAGCTCGGTCAGGTGGCTACATGTACCTGACTGACCTACTACTGTATGCCTTGCTTTCCTACATCACTCCCGCCCCAGCTATACACTAGACGATCAAGACAAGAAATGTTTCGCTTTCCGCCGTTGTCCATCACGCGACTCGTGCCCATACACCGCATCGCCCGTGGCTGCGCCAGTACCTCCTATTGCAAGGACATGCTACTGAGACCGAAGTACAACAAGAAAGAGGCGTGCGGAAAGCAAAAGCAATACGAGAGCACGCCTACGGTAGAGTTTTGCAAGTGAGGTTGCATCCTGTGGGGTTGCATCATGATCATCATTATCACCATGATCATCTGAAAGTGCAGAGAGAGCGTTGCCACTCCGGGACGAATCATACCAGGTATGAACGAGATCCAGTCGACTGGAGCTATGTACCTAGGAGGTAGTACTGTAGGAGGTACCTTGTGGCTGTGCTTGCGACAGAAGGACCAGGTGCGGGCGCATATCACTCAAAGGAAGAAAGCAAGGACCGGACACGAAAGTACGAGACCGGACGGGACGAGGCAGGTGCCTTTCTGTATCCTCCTCGGCGACCGGTCGTGCCCGCCAGCAGGATAAGGCTCACGGGCACCCGACGAACTGGATTGAGATGCAGGATGTCATGTATGTACATGCTTGCATGTATACCTTATGTAGGAGGTAGGTAGGAGGTAAGTTAGGTCGGGTATCTACTTTAGGTACCTTATATATGCAGCCTGCCGCGGTGCCAGGACGAACTGCCTCCTCCTCATCCTCCTCTTCTTCCTCCTCCTCCTCCTCCTCTCCCCACATAAGCTCGCATTGCCAAGACAATGAAGCTTCCCTCAAGCACTCTCGCCCTTCTTGGTATTGCTGGGCTCGCCTCGGCGGTCCGCCCCGAAGAGGTGTTCCGCCGAGCAGAAAAGTACCGGCCGGTGGTGGAGAAGAGGATTCCCGGGCAGCCCTTCCGCAGCTCACGCCTCCAAGAGCGCGCTTTCAACTTCCGCAACAATGCGACGGAGAAGTTCGTGGTCAACGGTACGGGCATCCCCGATGTCCCCTTTGACATTGGCGAGTCGTACGCCGGCTTGCTCCCCATTTCCGATGCCCCCAACGAGACTCGCGAGCTATTCTTCTGGTTCTTCCCCACCACCAATCCCGCCCCGACAGACGAGATCGTCATCTGGCTGAATGGAGGTCCCGGTTGTTCCTCATTGTCCGGTCTGCTCACCGAAAACGGCCCCTTCACGTGGGAATCCGGCACTCTGGCACCCGTCCTGAACCCTTATACCTGGGTCAACTTGACCAATATGCTGTGGGTCGAGCAGCCCGTCGGAGTTGGTTACACTCAGGGACTTCCCAACATCGTCGACGAGGTTGGTCTCGGTAAGGAGTTTGTGGGTTTCTACCAACAGTTCGTCAAGGCTTTTGGCATTCAAGGGTAAGAGCGAATCCCCACTGAGCTTCCCGTCACACAGCTCACAGGATCCATGGACTGGATATACTGATGGTGCTACGCAGATGGGACTTGTTCTTAACCGGTGAGAGTTATGCCGGCTTCTACGTGCCCTACATTGCAGACGCCTTCATCACTGCCGCCGATCCGGACATCCACCTGAAGGGTATCTCCATCAACAATCCCCTCATTGGTGCTGTCCCGACTCAGCAGGTCACCATTGGCCCATATCTTCGCTACTGGCAAAAGAGTCTGTTTTTGAATGATAGCTTCATCGAACGCTTCGAGGCGAGAGACCGGGAGTGCAACTACTCGCAATACCTGGACACGTACCTCCAGTTTCCACCACCTACCGGACCCTTCCCAGTCCTCCCAAACCCATACGACACCGACAACGCCACTTGTGACCAGCTCGACAATGCTTTCGATGCCATCGTGGAAGTCAATCCCTGCTTCAACATTTACCACATCTCCGAGACCTGCCCGCACCTGTACTCTGTGCTTGGAAAGGTAAACGAGTAAGTGTACCACCACACGACGGAATAAACTCCGCAGACACATCGGACAATATTGACAAGTGAGCCACAGGCACGACTACGTGCCCCCGGGTGCCCAGATCTATTTCAACCGCACCGATGTCAAAGCTGCCATCCATGCTCCACTCGACGTAAATTGGATACAATGCGGGGACGGTGTGTTCCGCAACTCCACCAGCGAGACCGAGGACGCTTCTCTCGCACCTACCCAGAATGGCGTCCTCGCCCGCGTCATCGAATACACCAACAACACCATCATCGGCTCCGGCGAACTCGACATGCTGTTGACGACCAACGGAACGTTACTCGCCGTCCAAAATATGACCTTCAACGGCGCCCAAGGACTCTCCAGCCGCCCAGAAACACCCTTTTACGTCCCTTACCATCCCGAGTTCAACAAAGGCGCTCTCGCTGGTGCTGGTTATCTGGGCTCGTGGGTCCATGAGAGAGGTTTGACCTTTTACACGGTCCGATTGGCCGGACATGAATTGCCCGGTTTCGCACCTGGCGCCGCCTATCGTATGTTGGAGCTTCTCCTCGGACGCATCAAGGATCTCAGCCAGATTGGTGATTTCACGACGCAGACGGGAAACTTTACGGGGACGAGTCCGCTGTTGCGTAGACGTTGATGATGGATATCGATTTGGGATATGGATGGAGGGTGCATCAAATTCTGTACACAGACAGGCATGATGAATTGACGAATGCATGATTGATGAAGGTTTTAATAACAACAACAACAAGGGTCCATATAGCAACATGGGCCTCTATCAGTTTAGAAGCAGGATCCGTAGGTATCCGCATAATCCTACAAGCAGCAGCACCGCGAGCCAAAAACAAAAGCTGTCCATTGTCCATTCGCGCCAAGCAATGCAATCTGATTGATGAAGTGGAGTACAGTACACAGAGAGAGAGAGAGAGACGGAGAGAGAGAGAGAGAGAGAGAGAGAGAGAGAGAGAGTGTGTGTGTGTGTAAGGTATGTGTGGTCACAACGTCTCCCATCCTCCAGGATTCACATCCCCTTCCAACTTCCTACTCACCACCGTCTGCGTCATGCCACCCACCCATACCTCCCGAACCAACTTCTCATATCGCTTGGTGCTCAAATACAACCTCTGATGTCTCCGCAATCCATGGTCCGGCTCACCCCACCGGTCCAAATACGGCGCAAACGTGAAGCATCCACTACTCACTCGCCCATCCAGGATGCTTCCATCGGCTCCCAGGAATCCGCCACCACCGGCAAAGGAAGAAGCCTTGATTCCACCAGCACCGCGATTGTTGTTGTGGCCGCCTCGCACGTGCAAAAAGAGCACCATGCATTTTCGAATGTTGATGAATTGGCCCGTGCGCATTCCATGTCGGATCATGTGTTGGTAACAGCCACCAAACGTCTTGTCTTTGAGACAACACACGGCTTGCGAGCAGAATATTTCGCCACACTGGAGACATAGTGTGGCGTCGACGATGTCTTTGCCCGTCGTCGGGCATTTGCATTTGGTGGCTTCCTCGGTCAGAGTATCGTATGATTGGGGGAGACCGACGAGCTCGAGGATGCTGGGGTGTGGGAGAGTGACGTGTCGACGCCGGGCTGTCAGTGGAAGCCGATAAGGTGTTCCGAGAGCGGACAGAGACTCGTCGGAGTAACGAACGCCACTCCAATATATCGGATCGGTGGAGTCTCGGGGCTGGTCATGGCTAGCTTGCTCGAGCCAGCGATGGGTGAGGAGTTGAAGAGTGTGCCCTGCCAAGGAGTCATTTGCGAAGAGCTGGCACATTTCGTCGATAGTAGGCATGTGCAAGAGCGACACTAGACGTGTTATCTCAGGCAGTTCGGGGTCGAGGGTGAAAGGACAGTCGAAGTCGAGGCCGTAACGGACCGCTATGAGCACAGTGCACTTTCGCAGAAAAGCGAGGGCGTACTTGTCGACCAAGGCACGCAAGAGTGTCGCTGTGCTGTCCTTGACGTCTTCGGGATCACGCGTGTGGTCTTCGTCAGAGAACATCTTGGCAAGGACAAATTTCCAAGTCAGCAACTTCTCAGCGTCCATTGCATATGCGCCGTTGTCCTTCAATGAACGCTGCTCGTCTGAAACAATGGATCCATAGACATACACCACCTTGACAATCTCGGCCCACAGGCATACTTGTAAGATATTCGACGCTTCTGCGACATTGGGTCCCATGAAGCTTAGCCAGTCCGAGAAGAACAAAAAGATGTCGTCCTGAAGGAGCAACTTGCCAGACACATTTTGCAGCTTGATCATAGTGTCCAAGGACTCTGTACCGAACAGCTGAGCAGTAATGATGTCCCGCTTCTTGAACGTTTCGCGTGCCACGATATTCGATCCAGACTTGAGCACATTCAGCGCAAGGTAGCTCTCGATCGTCTCGCACAAGATTCTCAGATGCGTCATGGTCTGGTCTGACATGTCCTTGACCAAGCTGGTAGAGTACGGTTCAACATGTTCAACGCCACGGTGCGCAATCTCCCAAGCACTGACGCTCATGCCCAATGCCCTTGATAACGCAGCGACAGGATTGACAGTCATCAAGCCACCATCGGGGCCGTCAGTACTTGAGAGCTGGTTCACCTTGATCATATCGTCAATCCTCTTGTAGGCCTTGAATACGTCGGACAATCTGTTCGTTTCTACGCCAGGCTCCGTTGAATCGCCAGGTCCAGCATGAAATTGGCTGCCAGGTGCAGTTGCAACCTCTCGACCTCCAGCGCCCATGGCTAATCCAAATGGTCTACCAAGCATATTTGCAGCAGCGCGGAATGGGTGGCGATTGGGCACACCTGCACTCGTTGGACTTGTGACAGGCGAGTTCAAAGTGAGCTCCTGCATAGTCTGCATGAGGTTCGGTGCCAGCATGCTATTGACATACTCGAAGCTGCGGTCGGAGTAGACTTCTGACACTTCCTGGTATCTCTGCTGGTAAGCATGCGGCGCCAGAATATTGTCCAGGAAAGCAAGATTGGCCTGGTACTTATTCGGTGTCTCCACCAGCCAGTCTCTGAAGTCAGGCTTCGCATGTACTTCGTGCTCGGGGGTACATTCCTTGGCTTGCCAAATGATCGGCAGGAAAGTGTTGCCGAGAGCCTTGCAGAGAGGGCAAATGAATTCCCGACACTCGACTCGCTCGGGATGATTTCGAGCAATCTGGGAAGCGTGCCGCCTATGCGTGGCAGCTTGATAGAGCTCAAAGCAATGCCAATGCATAATGTGACCACAACTCGTGCTGACAGGACCTTTGACACCATCTGGCTGATGGGGGAAGCCTTTGCTCAAGCGAGACCGCTCTGTCGTGTATGAGACGCCATCAGGTCCAACCTTAGTCACCTTTTGCTTGTTTTCACCCGCAACGCCAAAGGGTCGAAGATGCTCGGCAGACACATCCAGGCTCTCTGGAGTGTCCAACACTTCTTGAATATAATCATCATCGTCGACAGGGGTTTGTCGTAAGATATTGCTCTCGCCCAAGAACGCAAAGGTGCCAAAGAGTCGCTGGTCGTCAGTTTCCTCCTGACACAGTATACAAGTGCCAGTGGGAAAATTCCAGGTCTTGCGCGTATGAAGAACATCGTCGGTGGTAGACATGGCATCCTCGGCTGGATCATCAAGATCTTCATCATCGAAAGACTCCAAACCTTGGTTTTGCAAGAAGTTGTTCTGCTGCGCCTTCATTTGTGCCATGACCTTGGCCTGGCGTGCCTTCGCTTCCTGCTTCTTCCTTTCCTTGTCCTCTACAGACAATGCAGGCGAGCCAGTATCGGCGCGATCAAACAGTAGAGCAAGCTGGCCACTAGCAACCAGTGCAAGCCTGTCGGGACGCTTCGACTGCATCTTGCGAAGCACGTTCTTGACTGCGGGGTGAGTAGAAGCATACTCGTCCATGTCACTCAGCTGCGTGAGAAGAGTCACCAAATTAGGCTGATCGTCCTCACTGCTCTCGGGTCGACTGGAGCCGTGCTTTGGTCCGCACCAGGTGGCATCGACCGCAAGTCTGATGAAGCCACCCTCTTCGCCGGTCTGTGTTTTGTCTTCCAGCACAGCTAATAGCAACAAATGGAGCACCATATGTAGGAATGTCTCCACTCGAGTCTCTTGCACCTTGGGCGCAACGTGCTTCAGGTTGACAGCAAAGTTCACGGCAGCACCCAAGATCTGCACGAATAAGGGCGAGGCAGTGAAGGCAGCGAGATCTTGGAATAGACCTTCCTCAATGGGCTCGAGCTGTGGTTCGTACACGACGTCCTCAATGCTTTTGCCGGTCTTCTTCGCAATGTGCTTCTTCAGTATCTGCTCTGCCTCCTCGCGATAATTTCTTGAGTAATGAGCGTAGTACGGATCAACGATACCCACATACTCCGGCTTGAGCTGGAATGTCCCTACATCCGAGAGACCTTCGGGCTCGCGGAAGGTGGTCATATTTGCCAGTACACGAGTAAAGTCGTCCGACTCACCCACCTTCTCGGTCACACGACTGGCGAGTTCCGAGAACGAGAGAGGCTTGAACAAGAGCGCGTGTGCTATATCATGCTGTAGCACTCTGTCGTGCTGTTCGGCTTCCGTGATGCTTGGGATCAGGTTACCCCTCTCCGACAGAGCAATCACAAGCGTGTGGAAAAATTCTTCAATACAGTCCAGTTGCTGCGGTTCTTCGAAGCCCGGTACAAGTCTGTAGTCGCCCGAAACCCAGCCATTCATTTGAAATCGGTCGACCATTTGCGCGAGGTAGCGCTCACCAGGGAGCTCGTCCCCAGCACCGCAAAGGACGAGAGCAGACTGTATCATGAAGATATCGCGTTGATAGCCAACATCGCGAGTAGATACACTACGGTAGGTATGTGCTTGATGCCGAAGTGTGATGCCGTTGCGCACCCACATGCCCGCCTTCATTTGCGCCAGCCACACTACAACACGCAGTGGATGATCGAAGATGCCACTCAATAGCTCGTGGGGTGTGAGATTGTTGGGTGCAGGGGCGGTCCTGCTTTGATTGTACGGGTCTTTCAGGTCCTCAGGGGTGAAATGTAGCAATACCCGAAGTTCACAACGACCCATGCCACGAGCGTTCTCCACGAGCCACGACAAGAGGTAGTGCAGCGGATGGTGGAAGCTCATCGGTTCGCTCTGCACCACTAGCTTTGGCACGCTGTAAGTCTTGCCACTGCTCTCGAATGGACCAACAGTATGCCACGCGAGGTCTTCTCTCAACTCAGCAGCAGAGAAGCGCTTTCTCTCGTATCCGAAAGCGTTGATCATGGTGACCTGACCGACGACGCGGATTGCTCGGTGCAGATTCGAATTTTGATCCCCAAATTTCTCGTCGGGCGCAAATGACAGCGAGAGGTCCTTGCACAACTTGTTGATATCCTTGACGATGAGCTGTGCACTAATCCAGGTATCAGACTCGTACTCGACATGTTCTCCCAATGCGCGGATGTTTGGACAGACGCCTTGGTGGAGCTTGACAAGATCCAGGAATTGGAGGAGATAGCGCGGCTCACATCGCACACGCCAATGGATGAGCTCAGATCGAAATAGCCAGCGCAGATCGAGGAAGAAGTGAAAGATGCGACGATTGGTCACAGTCCCGGCGTCAAAGGCCAGTGTTGCTTTGGGGTGTACGTCTTCAGGGAAACCGACCTGTCGCGTAGTGAGAAATGTGTAGAGGATTGCCATCAAATTGGTCAAGAAGTTGCCACGATCGACCACTTCATGGGTCACTGATGGAGTAGTGAGGAGCTGGACACTGAGGTTAATGATTGAGTGATCTGGTTCTCTGTCTGCAATGAGGTATAGCTGTGCTAGAGCAGTATAGAGGCCAGCAATTCGCAAGCCGATGATACGCTTGAAGCGTGGTATCGTCACTACCGTAGTGATGTACAGATGGCGCAGGTTGATTCGAAGCGTCTTCCACAGGCGCAAATCGTAGAGGATGAGATAGTCTAACCGCACACGCTGCCAGATATCTTCGCAGGGCTCTGTAGAACGCTGCGACTTGTACGCCTCTGGTTTCTCCAGCCAGTACTTGCTGGGTCGTAATCTCGTCGGCACTTTCGCTCTTGGTGTACGGGGCACATGTGGGAAAGGCTCGTTGGTGGACGGCCGAGGCTGCTCTGCTTCACCGTCATCGCTGTCTTGCGGCGTCAAAACTTGAGCGCGCTGACTTCGAAGATCTGGTGGAGGTGGCGGAGGGGGATATCCTGCGAGTGTGGCTTCGAGCACTTCGGCACCATCTTCCGCATCATCCATAATGTCGATATCCATCTCCCCAGCATCCATGTTGATCTGTGCGCGCGCTCGTAGTACGCGTATCTCATTCGTCTCGTGATCATCGTCGTCGTCGTCCATTTCTTCATCTTCATCGTCATCCTCGTCGTTGTTATTGTTATTGTCGTCGTCATCATTCGCTTCGTCCTCATCCTCATCCTCATCGTCGTCCTCATCAGGGCCCAAATCGACTTCTAGCCGAAGCACATTATTGCCAACCAAAGCAGGTACCAAACCCGGCTGGCGAAAGTGGTTCACATACATGCGATATCTCTGGCGAGTGACTTCATTGTCATCGACTTCATGATCGTCAATGCCATGCACGCCAATGTCCCGGTTGTGAGCACCGCCCCCCATCCACCATGGCTTGAGAAATTCCTCGCAGATGGTGTTCCGAAGGAGACTTGGATCGTTGCCCACGAGACATCCCGAGATGTCGGCGAACCACGCAACGATGGCAGCGCACATTTGCTCTCGGAAAGTATCTCGGGCTGATCTGATCGTCACGGTGAGTTTCAATTGCTCGATAATTTCGGACATTCTAATCAGCTCGTCCAAGTCTCGGCTGTATGTGATGATTGATCTGCCAACGCCATCAACTTCAATCGCCTTTTCCTTGCCAAACTTCTTGGACTTGGAGCAAGCTCTCGCAACTTGGTTCTGCACGTCATCGACAGTATGTTTCTCGTCATTCCAGAGGACCAGGGCATATTCGGGATCTTCTTCCAGTGGCTCCTCGCCGTATAGACCGCCCAGCCTGGAGGACTGCTCGTCATGCATGATAGTCTCGCGCGATTTTTGCAGCCGTAGTTGTTCTGGAGAACACGAAAATACATCGCAAAGGTAGTCTGTGCAGCGAGCGATGGTCATACGGACAGCTTCGACGACGTCGTCTGGCGACACTGGCAGGTCAGACGCGCGGTGCTTGTCCTTGCCACTACTCCTGGGCTCTGACTCTGCATCTGCGCTGTGTATCGAACATTTCACTTCCCGCTTCCACGCCTCGTGATCTCCACAATCGCAGCAGCCAGAGTTCCCGGGAGAGATGGAGATGGTGACCGTGTGCCCTTCGTGATGGCTGCTCTCAAAGCACCTGGAACACAGCACGCACGTGTCGTCGGCAGCACATGTTTTGCAGGAGTATGTGCTCTCTCCAGCCTTGAAGATGTGACCACATGCAGTTCCCCGTGCGCTTGCCGTATATTCTGCGCCCTCTATAGCACCTTGCGCCGCCTTCAGGCTCCACAGCTCGGAGGGGTCGACGGGAGTTCCATTGGGGAAGAAGAGACGCAGATTGTCTTCGCGTCCGGCGGCGAGTGATGTGAAGAGGATGCGGCGAAGGTGGCAGTCGGAAAGATCTGTCCAACGGTTATCGAAGGCGGACGGCTGGAGCAGCAGTTCACGGGCGAGAGCCTGCGCTCCAGAAGACGACTTGTCCTGCATGGGGAGACAAGTGTGCCGGGTCGGGAGAAGGCGATCGAATGTCAGGTTCGGTGTAATGTTGCTCTCGTGCTACCAGCTCGTAGAAATCGAGGTCGGTTGTCACAGGAATTGGAGCGAGTAGGGATTTCGATGGGTGGTGGAGTTGTTGCTAGTGTTTCCAGTTTGCGGTGCAATGTGTGTGTTTGTAGGTATCTGCTATCATCGCTGTCGGTCGGTTCTCAGCCCAGAAGTCGCGTGTGGTGCTTTTTCTTAGGCGTCTGGTCAGGTACAGGTGGTCGAGTCAAATGTTGATCGCGCGTGGTATAGACGTGAAGGTCGAGTAAGATGGCGAAATGACGTTTGCCCCTCGATGGGGCACCCTTACTCATCGATATCTATCGGTAAGGTCAGGTACCTCCTACCTGCTACATGAATTGAGGCATCCATCGCAATTTTTGTTTTGGATTCCTCGCGAATGGCAGTGACAGATACATGTAGGTACCTGTACCTACTGTAGGTACATGTGCCTAGACTGCGAATATTGTACCACCTTGAGCTGCCTTGTGGAAAAGTGCACGGCAATTGACATGTCTTCGGCCTCGCGTGATGGATGGATGCAGCAGCTCATCTCTAGAATAATATGTACAGACCATCGCATAGAGCCCACGTGAGCTTCGCTATGCCATGATACCTGATTGACTCAAAGGCCGCTGAAGTCGTGCGCTACCCGTATGCTCCAATGCCTCCGGTTGTCATCGTACAACATAATCACCTTTTTCTCCCCTCTCGCTTCCTGCTGCGTGCCCCCAACCCCTGGCTTGCTTATTCGTCGTCGTCCCCAGCGTCCATGTACTTGTGCTTGATGTCCTTCCATTGTCGCTATCCCCAATGTTAGTACTCTTGCTTGCTTCGTCCCATGTGATCCGCAACAGCCAGCACGTACGCCCTTGTTCACTTGGTCCCAGATCTTGTTTGCGCTCACATCAAACGCACTGCGCCCCAGTCAGCTTCCATCCGCGTCCCTGGCCCATTGCCTGTTCAATCTCTCACATGTTTGCTGCAAATGTGCCGGCGAAGATCGTGGTCAGGAAGACGGCATTCCTGCAGTATCCAGGTTAGCCGATGGCTCGTTCTCTCTGTCCTTTCGCCGCATCGGTATAGCATGTCCTACCTCTTGACAAGTGCATTATAAACCGTACCGAGTAGTCCTGACATATCGCCGGTAGTTTGTGGAGGTGGAGTGGAATGCGCGAGGTGTCTGGGTGGTGCTGTGCTCTAGTCGCTGTGGAAGTTGTTCAAGTGAGAAGGATGTCGCACCTCGATCGAAGACGGGCAATCCCGTCCAATCGCCTTCTCCGAACAGGTCAGCCCTCCGAAAGCTGCCCAGTTCTACAACATTGCGACAACAGCGAAGTCGACATCGACATCGAGCCTGCGGGCAACCAAACAGAGCACCGGTTGCGCAAGGCAGTCATTATGGCGGAGAAAGTAACCAAGTCTGGCCGGGTTCTCCTTCCCACGGGCGAGTCCATTATTCCATCATCTACTCGAGCGGATGGGTCTGTGCGAAAAGCGATCAAAGTGAAGCCCGGGTACAGGCCGCCCGAGGATGTCGAGGTCTACAAGAATCGCAGTGCTGAATCATGGAAGAATCGTGGCAAGGGGGGCGTTCCCGGTGCTGCTGCTGCCCATGAAGGAGAAGAGAAAACTGCACCTCACAAGGCTGCAGCGAATGCCAAACGACGAGAGCGCGAGAAGGCGAAGAAGGCTGCGGACCAGGCTGCAGCGGACAACACTGCAAAGGAGGATGCTGCTGCTATGGTCAAAGTCATCGAGCCAGTCGATCCGGAAGTGGAAAAGGCCAAGGAGGCTCGCAAATTGGCCAAGAAGTTGAGGCAGGCGAGGGAATTGAAGGAGAAGAAGGAGAGTGGGAGTGCGCTATTGCCTGAGCAGTTTGAAAAGGTCATCAAGATCAATGAGCTGATCCGGCAATTGGACAAGCTGGGCTTTGATCATGAAGGAGAGAAGAAGCCTGAGGCGGAAGAGAAGATCGATGAGGCTGCAGGATGAGAGAATAGCCCCAGACTATCGACGACTACCACTACCATGCTCCATTTGGTGGCTTCTGGCCCGATGTCCACTGGTATCACGACGCGTTTACCGTGTATGGAATCCTTCTTTACAGCCCAATGTCTGTCCCCGCCCAGGCATCGATTTGGACACAGACCTGTCTCAACTGTCACTGAAGGCGTGATTGTCAGAATGAGCGGTCCTGGCATTGTGCTCGAGATCTGGTTTTTAGACAGGCCAAGTGGCTCCATGAGCACTTACTGTGGAAGCGTGGTGCACAGGGAACCATGCTACAGAATCTGTCAACACCGATCGTCGTAACAATACTACCACTTGTGTCTGCGACACAGAAGGACATGTTACGCGTTAGGTTGTGACGGAGACGCACCGACTTCTATTGATGTCAGTGCGACGAAATAATGAGCGGGCCGAGGCATTCCAGTGGGCAGCGGAAGAAGTTCGCGGGACAAAACCCCGAGATGTTGCGAAAAGTGAGTCGAATACGACGAACAACCATTTCTCCGCATCTCGTTTTATCGGAAAAAGTGTGGGGCATGGGGCATTCGCATGTCGAACAGGGATGTCCTCATTCATGCCTCGTACCCTAACCAGGCTTCAAGCTGCACACTCGCCTGGCAAGGAATATGAAATTGAAATTGAATATTTCTTCCGTCCTATGATCCTGATCCATCATCCGCCTGGATACAAGCGTGTACGGTGTACACTGTACAGTAGGTAGTAGTAGTGGTTGGTTGGTCTAGCCTCGTGCGCGGCCCCAACCTTTCACTAGAATACCTTACATACATGTAGGTACATGTACCTATGGAAATGCTGCCTCACACTCACAGAAACTTCCCACTACAACCTTCACGCTTCGCTCATGGCCATCTTTCGTAGCTCGTTCGCAACTATGCGCTCCATACTCCTCCTCCTACTCTTCCGCCTCATAGCAGCAGACTCGGCAGGATCCAATCCTGCTCATCATCCTCCGACGCCACCATACCCAGGCCCTCTAATCTCCAACGTCACAGTCTTCCAACCTCCCCTGGACTACACCGTTCCACGAACCCTCTACGCCCGCACCCTCCAACTCACCTCCGGCGTCTTCCTCGCCACCTGGGAAAACTATGGCCCCAACAACAACTCCTATCCCTATTTTCCCATCTATCAATCCTTCGACAGCGGCCTCACCTGGAGCCTCCGCAGCCAAGTCTACGACACCCAGAATGGCTGGGGTCTCCGCTATCAACCTTTTCTCTACATGCTACCTGTTGCCATCGGCTCTTATCCCGCTGGTACATTGCTATTATCCGGATCCTCAATTCCGCAAGACCTTTCCCAGACGTGGATTGAAATTTACGCGTCGAGAGATGAGGGTTACACGTGGGAATTCGTGAGCCACGTCGCCCAAGGCGGCAAGGCTATTCCCAAAAATGGAGAGACACCGGTTTGGGAGCCTTTCTTGCTGGCTTTGGAAGGACAATTGGTCGTATTCTACAGTGACCAACGCGATCCCCTTCACACGGGACAAAAGCTGGTGCATCAAGTCACGTGGGATTTGATCAATTGGGGACCAATCGTGGACGATGTCGCGTATCCGCAAAACAACACGTGGAGACCGGGAATGACCACCATATCCTACTTGCCCGGCAGCGAGAAGTGGATTTTGACGTATGAATTCTATGGAGCAGAGGAGGTGGATTTCGCCGTGTATTATCGTCTTTCGGAAAGTCCATTGACGTTTGATGACAAAGAGGCATACGTGATTCGGAGTACCAAGGGCCTGGTACCCAAGGGCTCGCCATATAATGTTTGGACACCTGCTGGAAGAGATGCGAATGGAACGATTGTGGTGAGCTGTGGAGATTATCCGCAGGTATTTGTAAACTATGGTCTTGCAGAGCCGGGCAGTGAGTGGTTTGAGATGGAGACCCCGGAGAATTCGAGTTATACGAGAAGTTTGATGGTGGAGACGTACACGGATGATCGAAAGGTGTTGATTGTGGGTGGAGGCGTGCTTGGAGGAAAGACGAATCGCGTTTCTGCGAGTGAGATTGATGTTTCTTGGATCGCCACTTGAACCCACCCCACCCTCTCTCTCTTTTCTTTTTCTCTTTTCTTTTTCTTGCCGCATCTTCACATCCCCGTCAATCGACACCACCAAAATTCGGAGGACTGGCGTCGCTCCGAGAACAGCGAATGTTTTTTTTTTAATATCTTTGGATCCAATTTTTTCGAAAATAGCACCAGGGAGAGAGTGCATCGCAGTTCTGCCCAGACCAGAAAAAAGAGCCCAGGGGCAGGCAATTTGCAGCTGAGGTTGGCAATGATGATTCAGGTGACCCGGAGCAAAAATGGCGCGCAACGCATTCTATATCTAGGTACTAATGCTGAAGCGCACAACAAATAACTAATTTAGTAATTTTTCATTCTGCAGAATAAAAAGAAAAAAAAAAGAAAATGCAAATATTGTACCTTTTATTATTCTTGGCAAAACGCACCTATGAGGTACCTACTTAAAGATCCCGGTGCTGCAGTAGGGCGAGATTGACTGGGTCCATACAAGGTCGGCTATATGTACCTATCTCGGGACCCTTTATTGGCAGTGAGAACATCAGCTAGGTATGTATGCATCAGAAAGTGACATTTCCCTTCGCCAGCTCTGATATAAATTCTATACTCATGAGCGTTAGCGTGGACTATCGTGGTCAATAATCTCAATCTGCTATATCATACCTAGGTAGTATTCCTGTGGTTGATCGTGTAGAGGACACAGTCCAGTTGGCAAGATTATTTTGACAAACCAAAAACCTCTACTCAAGCGACTCCTCTCCATCGACAACCTTGTTTGTCGACAAGTTACCAACCTAAGGTAAGCACCGAGGCTGGGCTGCTTTGACGTCTGCTAAATCGTTGAGCTTGATTAACCTAGCAAAGACCATTTTGCGCATTTGACGTTCCGCCTTAAAGAGGTGATGGTCCATTCGTATCCAGAATGTGGCTCCAACTATGTATGCATATAGTGAGCTGAGCTCAGCTGTTCGCAAAGCAGTATGCAGATGACACGGCTCGGCGCTATCAGCCGTTGCGATTGTCTGGACGCGCTCAGAGCACATTGCGGATGGCACACTAGTGGGAGTATCGCAGGCGGGTGGCGATACTTGCTCTGTGTTGGCGCGTCCCTTGCGGACAGCGCTCTGGGGATGGACGCGCTCGAAGGTCCTCTCCATTCTAAAACGCATAGTACGAGACGGTAGGAGTGCGATGACCTAGCACTCAGAAGGTGGAACCACCGTGCCAATGGACGATCCGGATTAGGTACGCAGTAGCATAGAGTGGGATCAGGAAGTCGTCGCCGAGGGATCGAGTGCATGAATTTAAGACTCTTTCCCAATCTACGTCATTTCAACATCTTCGCGATCTTCAGCTGGTGTCTTTGGTCTTGACGGCGGTGCCGAGTCTACAGGTAGGTCCTCTTCCAGAGGCATACCACTGCCATTAACCAGCATTTCGGGAGCAAGAGGCCGTCTCTGCCATACCATGATCTTCTTGTCGTTCCCGCAGGTGACGATGGTCTCTTTACTTGCATCGGGGGCCACATCTACACCAAAAATGGTCCCCTCGTGTCCATCAAGAGTTTGCATGACTTCTTTGGAGTTGACGTCCCAAATATAAGCTTTTCCATCTTCGCTGCCGCTGATGACGAATGCCCATTTCCGTTCATCCTTTTCCACCTGGCCTGCATCTGTCTCTGCTGCGGTGTAAGTCCCGAAAGCAGCGTGCATGCTGAACTTCTCGTTCTTGTGACCTTGAAATGTCTTTTTGCAATCGCCAGCCACATAGTCCCACAAGCGGAGAGAGTTATCCAATGAGCTTGCCAAGATGTATTTGCCATTCAGACAGAATTTGATGTTGGTCACGGGCGCATTGTCCTCGTGGATGAGAGTTTTGAGGCATTGCCCAGTGGCAGTATCCCATATTCTGATCAAACCGTCACTCGAACAAGAGGCGATCAGAGTGCCATCCCGCACAAAGTCGACGCTTCTCACTGGGTCTGAGTGAGCCGGTAAACTCCTCATCAGCCGAGCTGTCCGCACATCCCACAAGAAGACTGCCTCGTCATAGGATCCAGATACCAGCATGTTTCCTTTGGGCGAGAATGCTATACTGAAGACATAGTTGTGATGGCCGATCAGCGGTTGATGCAGGCATTTTCCCGTAGCAATGTCCCACAATCGGATAATCTTGTCGTCTGAGCCAGAAGCAATGACTTTGGAGTCCGGAGTCCAGGCAATGGTATTGATGCCAGCCATGTGCCCTTCCAGAGTTTGTAATATTGCTCCAGTATGTGCATTCCATATCTTAATAGTGCCGTCGGCCGCTACACCAACGGAATCAGCACAGTTCCCGAGTCGGCAAGTCAAGAGAAGGAATGCCTACAGCAGCTTGCGATCCAGTTTCCGTCTGGCGAGTATTTGACAGCAGTAACTCCCAGCTTATGCCCTCGCAATGTCATATGAGGCACATAATTCAGTCTCCGGGGCCTTTCAGCCTGTTGCTGTTGCGGCTTCTCTTCTTCCTCTTCGCTGTCCTGTTGCTTCGGCGTATGGAAGGCGTCGCTATTGACGTCGTCGTCGTAGGCGTAGGCGAGTTCCGGATCTGACAGACGTCTTCGTTTCGGCGGACTCTCTCCACGCTCCTCGGAGGAATCGCGCGACATGATGTGGGCTTGTGGGCAATATCTGGGAATCTATGAGGTACGCGATCGAGAGGACGCGACAGTGTGAGCGAGGCTAAGTGCGGCTCTACGCTAGCCGTCGTTTGTCGGCGCCGATGCTCCGACAGCTTCTGACTGGTCAGCCTTTCATTTTCTCTCCACAGCGCCAAGCCGCACTCTTCGAATGTCCAAATCTTCAGCAGCGTTGTGTGAGACTTGCGACGACAAGGAACTGTACTAACAACACAGCAAGCAGAATGAAGTGTGAGTCGACACATACACCCAGACATGGCGATCGAGAATATACTGACAATGCCACAGTCCTCAAGGTCGGCCGAGTGGTACGTCTCCCAGTGCGCGTGCGATCAGAATACAGCGAACAGCGAAACAATACGCCTTCTGGCTCACAAAAGCCCATACTAACACCACCTCCCTTCCACAGGCCATCATCTCCCGTGGACGCTACGCAGGAAAGAAGGTTGTCATCATCCAGCCTCAGGACAACGGTAGCAAGGCCCACCCCTTCCCTCACGCCCTCGTCGCCGGCATCGAGCGATACCCGCAACAAATCACCCGCCGCATGTCCAAGGCCCGCCAGACAAAGCGCAGCAAGGTGAAGCCATTCATCAAGGTCATCAACTACAACCACCTGATGCCCACCCGTTACACGCTCGAATTGGAGGGTCTGAAGGGTGTTGTGACCAACGAGACTTTCACCGAGGTCACTCAGCGTGAGGAGGCCAAGAAGACTGTGAAGAAGGCATTGGAGGAGCGTTACTCGAGCGGCAAGAACAGATGGTTCTTCACTCCTCTCCGTATGTGATATTCCCCAGAGCCAGAAGAAGAGGATGAAGATCAAATGCGGTGGTATTACTAGGCATCGGGAAAACATGCTAACCTTTTTGGCACACACAGGTTTCTAGATACGAATCGCTTCGCGCGTAGAAACGGATGGATGGGGTTGTTGTGTGTGTTGTGCATTGAGCATCGGGCGTTATGGACTGCCGAAAGCAGCCAGGGCGGGAAATGACCACGACCTATGCAGTTTAGATACCTGCAATTGACTCGAAAGAAACAGCCAACAACCAAAACACATATACCCATACATATTCCGGTTCATCCTGATGCTGGACGGATTCCTAGTGTATGTGGCTCCAGAGTTTAGACTCTAGAATGCCTGGTATACTCTGCACTTCATTGTCGCAAGTAAAATTATGATGATGATGAGCAGAGTCGTGGGGGTCAATCGAGATGCAGACGCCAAATCCAGTGCCGCCAATTCCACGAGCCGACAGCATGGGACGACCTCTTTCCTTCGCTCCTTCCTAATCCAATCGACTCGACCAATTTCTCACCAGTGAACACAGCATCTACCTACTGGCGAAACCATCCAAAGCCCGCCAATACTACCTAGTACTACTGACTCTATATGCGCAGATCTGGAGATATCCATGTGCGCCAGCGTACCGCAAGACTACAACTGGCTCAGCAGCGATTTCTGCCGGGCTTTCCTTCATGAGATAACGATGAAGATTCTTACAACTTACCAGGTATTATTGCTGAGCGCCACACCGTCGCCTTCTCTCGCGTTGTGAATGCCACGTGCCACTGCCTTGAAAAAATGGTAACAATAGAAGCAGCATCCCAGCACCAAGGGAGACGGGAGTTTGCCTTCAGGCTTCAGCCGGCGCCGCCTTTTCTTTTGCATGGATTTGTTGGTGTCTACAGTCTAGCCATAGGCCCATAGCGCACAATGTCCCGCGTAATGAGCATCCCATAGTAGCTTTGCTTGGGGGCAAGGGCAACGACAGCTGACGCTCGACGGAGTGAGTCCCGGCTCCCAAGTGCGCGACTGATATGATTGAGCAGAACGAGCACCATACCCTCGACTGCGCGACTCATCTCGTCCCTGATCAAAAATGGCGAGCATGACTTCTCGTCTCCTCGACCATCTCAATCCGAACAGCGAGAGAGAGGCGCTTTGGCAAAAGGGCTCAAAGCCGTAGAAAATTCGTATGTACATAGACTGTTTCACAACCGACCAACAACTAATATGGCATGTTGTTGCTTAATCTAGGTTAAATATCGAGCGCAATTGCAAGAAGAGTTTCCGCCAAAATACCCACTTCACTCCCCACACCCACCAACAAGATATATATCTGCTCACCATAGGTAGGAGCCTAGGAGGTAAGACGCTGCCGGAAATATGTACCACGAGATCGAGAACAGCCAAATCCAACAGCGACATATATATGTATACCACGCCCAAGCACTTTTTTGGGCATTGCAAGGCCATAGGGAAGATGTTGCTTTGGTCTCTTTTCACAAGGATGAAGAGAGAGAAACCTTGATCGCGCTCGTGTTCTCTATTCGTTATTTCGCCGGGGACAGGGTCCTCAGGAGTCAGCAAGGCATCCAACATTTTCAAAGACTGTCCCAAAAAGGGGAGGTGTCAGACTCTTTTCGTCTGCCCAAGGGTCAAGGCACCCATGTGTGAAGGGGAAATTGGATGTTGTTGTTGTCTTTTTTCTTTTTTGCCGACACTTGCTGATACTAACTACTGTACCCAGTGTTGTACATACTGTAATTGTGTTCTAGACCAAGTCGCAGATACATGCATACGTATTTATAAAAAGACTCGGGTGAGTCCAATCTATTCCCTTTCTTCTCCTCCTCCTCCTCATCATCATCACCAGTCTCACCAGTGGGATTGACATCCCATCACGCCACAAATACACCATTGCGCAACAAGACTAGCAAAGTCAGACTACAACACTACACTACCTTTCCCAAACATCTTCCCCGATCAGACCAGAGCGGAAAAATCTGCCCACCATGAAGCTCCTCAATATGGCGTTCATCTCCGTCCTCGCGGTCCTTGCTCATGCCAGGTCTTGCGACGACAAATTCGATGACTGCATGGAGTCTTGGATCGAGCAGGATTTCCCCGACATTACCAAACTTCCCCAGGCGTACTATGATGATTTCGAGGCCTGTCAGAACAAGTATTACGAGGCTGATGGACATACTTGCAAATCAGACAATGGCGGCGATGATGGCGATGGTGATAAGTGTACTAAGGAACAGAAGGAGAAGGGCGAATGTGATGATGATTGTACGCCAGAACAGGAGGAGAGTGGCGAATGTGGTAATCAGAAGAAGAAGAAGAGGCATTACAGACGCCATGTGCAACATATGCGACGTGCGCTATAGAGGCAGAAAGTGTTAGTCTTGGGGGGTGAAGGGGTGAGTTACCTCCTACCGACATGATGCGATTCATCACAAGAAGCGTACACAACGCAGAAGACATTGCTAACGACAATTTCTTTTGACAGCAGGGCAGTCTGGAGCCAACCAAATAGGAAGGCGAGGGGTTGTCTATGAGGACGAGTCTGGTAGATGCGGGATCGACAGGCGTGTGTTGCATTGCATGGAGGGATTCAGACGGCCGTATATCATCTGTTTTGAGGAGAGGCGAAAGATTGCTGAAGGCTGTCGGCCAGTAGGGGACGAGATATGTGTACCTTACATGTAGGTAATTGACTAGGTGTACTTCAGCAATGTTATAATACCTGACTCATGCAATGAATTATACTGCAACCGACACCTCCCTGATACTTCATGTTCACCTTGTATTGCGAAGTCACGCGGGTGAGAGGAGCTGTATGTGGTGGGAGACGTGGTATGAGCAGGCTGGAGGAGGAGGAGGAGTAGGAGGTAGGTACATGTAGGTAAGTGACAGTATCGAAAAGGACGGGACGGGGGACAAATGTGTCCTCGGACGAGCGCAGTGGTGGCTTGGCAGGTACGCTACCCATGTCTCTAGGTAGGTAGGATGTTGCTTTCAGCCATGTGAACTTCTTCTCCTGCAACCTGCCCTGCCTACTGTAGGTACCTAACCTCAACTATGGTATTCATCTCCATTTTGTTGCCACCGAATGATGTCAAAGAACACTGGAGTGAAGAAGCAGTCTGCTCACTGTGAAAAGTGTACCGAACTATCACTACTGATCTGATCTGATATAACCCTAAGGTACCTAGGTAACCCTAAAACGTTCGACTTCTGCTGTATCTACCTGTGCTCTAGAGCGCCATGGGAGGCCCTACCACGTGCAGTCGGGCATGGGAATGCCGGCTTCGATGCTTACACCTTCGTGAAGTTCGTGTCTCCTCCTGCGGGGCCACTAGGACAGCATGTCCATCGGCGAACCGGGACTACTGAGGAGTGAGGGGCCGCGTGGAGAACTGCGCAGTTCGAGGTTGTACAAGAGGAACAGGAATCCGAAAGTACAGGCAGTTGTCGTGATGAATCCAAGGCATCAAGGTGCGTAGAAGTGAGGTACCTTAGTCGTGCTCACATCCGGAAGGTATTTCATAACAAGACGGCCAGCATCACAACGATGTCGTACAACGATCCCAACCCCGAGCAAGCACCGCCCATCGGCTTACCGAAGGGCTCGACAGCATGCGAAGTCTCCATCATCAACACCACATGCGACCTCGTGGTTCCGCCTGGTACCCTGATTGAACCTCACATTGATGGGCACGAATGGCTGAATCTACCCACGTACTCGTTCCTCATCACTCATCCATCTGGAGCTCAGGTGCTCTTTGACTTGGGCTGCAGGAAAGACTGGGAGAATCTGGTGCCCGAGGTCAAAGAAGTTGTTTCTCAGCGAGTTCCGGGATTCAAAGTCCAGATGGAAGTGCCAGACATCCTCCGTGCCGGCGGCGTCAACGTCGACAAGCTCAAGGCCCTGATCTTGAGCCATTGGCATTTCGATCACTGTGGCAATATCTCTCGGCTCCATCCTTCGACGGATCTCATCGTGGGACCAGGCTTTAAAGCTGCATTCGAGCCGGGCTTTCCCCAAAAAGCTACATCTGTGTTTTACGAAGAAGACTTCCAAGGCAGGAATGTGATAGAGCCATCCTTTAGTGATGGACTGCTCTTGGGTCGATATCAAGCACATGATTACTTTTCCGATGGATCTCTATATATCCTGAACGTACCTGGACACACTACGGGTCATATATCGGCGCTGGTCCGAACCAGTCCAGATACGGCCATCTTCATGGGTGGTGATGTCTGTCATTTCCCAGGTCAGTATCCAGACACGGCCAATATGTAACTGAGAGAAACGTGGTCGATTCTAATGTGCCTCTCATCTCAGGTGTGATCCGACCTTCCAGTTTCATGCCAATGCCCGATCCCCTACCCAAGGAAACCGTCCTCGACTCTCGTTTCCACCATCCATGTCCATGTATTACCTTCACCGCGTGCCATCCGAATCCAGCAGAAAGCCGCACGACACCATTCTACTGCTGCTCGTCAGACAAGTCTCGATCGTGGTACGAAGATCCTCCCACTGCCATGGAGTCAATTCACAAGCTTCTCGACTTTGATGCTGATCCGAACGTGCTCGTTCTGATTGCACACGATGCTGCACCGTTGGATGTATTGCCATTCTTCCCGGATGGGAATATCAACGATTGGCAGCAGAAGGGATATAAGCAGAAAATGCATTGGCACTTTGTGAATGAGTTGCCCGTTGATGGCAAGGCGGGACGGGAGCCTTTGACTGATGGATTGTACATTGGCGGGAAGAGGATGAAGACGTTGGATGGCGAGGCTGTGTAGCTGACTGTTCTTTTCTTTTCTTTGTTTGGGTTGCAGGTGAGGAAAGAGACTGGTGTGTTATTACCTACGCTTTTTGAAGTGCTTGTACAACTCCTGTATCTGTTTACTCAAGTAGGCTACACACGCACACTCACACACATATCTGACTCCGCAGTCAACAAAAACAACAACATGAAGCAAGGCAGGCAGGCATTCGTCCGATGAAGCCAACTGAACCTCAAACATCACGGCTACACTGCAGGTCCCCGTCCTTCCTTCTACTTTACCAGGTATGCACCAAAACACATGTACTACGGCTCCCGACTTGGAAGGCTCGATCACCAACATACCCGAAATCAAGCGAGCAGGTGTTCGTTCGCTTGAGACATTACCTGACCTAAGAGGTATTTCTCGAAACTTGAAGCCAATGCTCTTTCTTGCATCCCGTCTACCTTCTCCTTGCGTTCGATTTCGATTTTACGAAACCTCGAGAGAGAAAGAGGAAGAAGAAGAAGAAGAAGAAGAAGAAGAAGAGATTCAAAGAGTTCTCCTTCAATCTCCCACACACATGCATTGAAAAGCGGGCGACTATGCATTCCTCGTCACCAGCAACAGCGACAGCAACATTCCTCTCTCTCCTCCTTCTCTTCCTCCTCCTCCTCCTCCCAATGACAATGGCAACAACAATACCACCACCACCACCACCGACGGGCCCCATCTTCGTACGTACATGTTCCTCGTTCCCAACTCCATTCCTGACTCTCTTGAAGTTGCTTTGTTCTACCCTATGTTAATAACTTTACCTTGTTTACCTATTGATTTATTATAGACCCGACAGCAACCACACTTTGAATGTTACGACATCTATTGCGTTCCTCGGGATGCGAAGATGGGGAATCCGCATTGTGCGAGTAATGGGTGTGGGGGATGTGGGCATGGGGGGAAGTGTGTTTGACGAGGAGGAGCAGCCCATGAGATTGGCTGGATTCGGGTTATCGTGATGGGGATTTGGGGACTTGTTGGAGGAGGGGTCTATCGTGGAGATTACGAAGCAGGAAAGAACGGCGGTGTTGTATTGTGTTAATTGTGGCAGTTGCTGAAAGTGGTAACGGCGGAAGGCATAGATACCTACCTGACATACACTACCTTACCTCGAATCCCTTCATGCCACTGCACCTCACGCATACAATGCGCTCAAAAGCACACATTACGCGTAGGTACTCAACAATCCTCTCCGACTCTGCAATCAATGTCTCAAACCGCAGCTGACATGTGACAGCACTGGTCTTTCGCCACCGCCTGGCCACCACTACTATGGTAATGTCTCGGTAGTTCTGTGTGATGGGGAGAGTAGCACCAGCTTTCAAGCCATTTGCTGTGAAGAAGGGATCTGTAAGACTGGCCAAAGACACTCGAGACCTTGATCAGATCTGGTCCAGACTGGGAAATTGTGCCATTCGACATGCATCCTCGTTACAATACAGCACCAGAATACCGCTGACCGCTCGTATGAAAGCCAAGGGACACGCATCACATTCGTGGCAGTGAATTTGTCATATCAAGTATTCAGCACATAGGCGGCGGCGGCGCCGCAGGATGCGCGCGATTGTTTTACTCTTCCCCGAGAGCAGGACTTCTACTTCCCTCAACGGGGAGTCTGTGGTTCTTGCTTCCGCGTCATCCAAAGGTTCCAAACGAATATGGTCGGAACTCGGTGCGTTCGAAATGACATTTTTCATCCTCAGCATCAATATCGCATCCGTCGGGACTGTGCTGTACACGTACCTCCTAATTGAAGGTGAAAATGAAGGGAAAAAAAAACGGCCAGGAGTTCTTCGGCGAAAGTATGGCGTGGCGTGGCAGAACAGGGACGAAACCTTTCCAATCGCACAGGGCTGTCGGAAAGTTGTCGCCTTATATTTTCTTGACTACCTCCCGCAAAGTTCAAACTCTGGAACCGTTACCACCGAGCCGGCTCCCATCGTCTGACAGATATGATTATCGCTAGGGCTAGAACTAGGATGCCGATGCGCTGCCATGCAAGCCCACCCTGATGGCAGATGGCAGATGGCAGATGCAGCACGGCATGCGAGACTGAACCAGAACTGCCACTATCAGGGAAGGCCTGGATCTCCTCCTCTCTCTTCTCTCTACTGTCACTGCTGCTACTGTTGCTGCTACTACCGCCTACAGTACTCGCTTGCTTGATACGAGAAAAGACAGACATCCACAGGACTCCCCCCAGCCCCAGACGCCACTCGGCTCACCGCAAGCAAATGATGATGCTGAACCACACAAGTGGCACCTCTCTTGCGTACTGTAGAACGATGTGGAACCATGGAGATATTGTCATGTGCTATGAACATCACATCAGCCGACGACCCTGTGCAGGCAAGGCAGGACTGCGTGTTCCCTTCAGAAGCCTGCTCGAGCCTGGGAGGTATCCCCTCACGTCTCTCCTGTGCACCCCACCTACAGCTGCTTCCAAGGCGCTCAAAGTTCCACGGCTGACGGCGTATTACTGCAGTGGTATTATATCAGCTGATGTGCGCATCATGATGCTTGAGGTGGTGATGATGTCTCTCGCACGGCCAGGGAGACGGGATGAAGAGGCAACGGGAAGGCAACCTACCTTACCTAGGTAGATAGACAAGGCAAATTAGACAAGGAAATCAACAAACACGCAATCATGCCCGCGAATTTGGAAAAAGGATGGACAGCGACTCGAGCGGTGGAACAAGGAAGAATGATGAGCAGCGTCGTGTTTTCGAAGTGGTGAACCATGTGCAACTGCGCAATCTGGCAGCACTAGCCATCACGTCAATGGCTGCTACCGGGCAGCCGGTATGGCCGCTTCGATTGGTCACTACTAGGCCTCACTAACAAGGTGGATGTGTGATGCGCGCCCCGTCGCGCCGTCGAGCACCGAGACATCCTGGCGGAGCTAGTAGGCCCTCCTCGCCTCGCGTGTCGTGTGTATAGAGCTGCCAAACCGGGCATGCAGCAATCGTGCGCACAGTAAGGTCCGGTATGATATACATTATGCCATGTGTGCGCTGCCGGGCCACTACCGTCAGGTCCATCATCATGCTCTACACCTATCTGTCACTTTTCCGAAAACGCTAAAGCGCTGGCCCTGAGACGCGAAGAGAGAAACCGTAAAAAAAAAAAGAGTCCAGATTCTGATTAGTGGATATGAGCCGCATCGATCAAAGCAAAATCCTCTGAGTCGTACCCGTGCATGAGGATCGCAACGAGCTGGACAAGGCTGTGGCGGTGACGTCGCGCTGGAGACTCTATTACTCAAGGCTCGAAAGAGTCTCGAGGACCGTCGTGATCAATGGCTCAACATGATGGAGAAGGGCACAATTGCGCGCAGGCGCCAGAAGGATACGGCGCAGTTTGGGAGGCCGCCCACACGACTACGACACCACAATAGAACGCAGAGCGATGTCCCGTCACAGCCCGATTCACCGCGCTCGCCGATAGCCATTCGACGGAATGAAGACGGATTCTTCGAGGGCATCAACAAAGGCCACAAGCGCAACGATACCGCGCCCACGACGAAATCGAGCGTGTACGAGGAGAATCCGAAGAACTTCACTGTGGTCAATGTGGGCGCTGGAGGAGTTTTGTACTTGTACGTGAGAGCAAGAGCCTGCTGGCGCGCACGCGCACACACACATCCCCCTTTCCCTTCCGGGTGTTCGTTTTCGCGTCGTAGCTTCGGATATACCAAACGATGCGCTGGGAGACAGACGCTGCTGTTTCTTTCTTCTCTCTCCTTGCGACATGGCATTGATTCTGCTGGAAACATGTGCTAATCTGCTACCGTGGACGTTAGGAAACCGAGTCGTGTGCCAGTTCCCAATCCCAACTATGCTCCGGCGACACCTCCGGCCACCTCAGATGGCGCCGAATCGTACTATACGCGCTACACGGACCAAGGCGAGCAGCCTCTGTTGCGAGAAAGCACCGCATCGTTATATTCTGGGACCAGAACGCCGCGCTTCTCGAGATCGAACACCACTGCAAATGTGCAGTCGTATCTGCCGTCTTGCAGCCTTCCGAATCGGCATCACCGACGAAGGACCCGATCTGCGTCTTGTTCTTCCATGGGCAGCAGAGTGAACAGTCTTCAGGCAGTCCATGAGGAAGATGTGTCACGCTCGACGAAAGCGCCCAAGTTTCGCCGAAGAAGCAGTGCGGATACAGAGCGAGGGGAACTGGGCGTCCGCATACCGCACTATCGATTAGGAACACCACGCTTCAGCGACCGAGGTACAGCATATCTGCACAGCTCCATTCATACCAATTCGTCTGTGCCATCTTCGGTGCTGTCTCAGGCCGAGTTTGAGAAGATCTTCCCGATTCCACCGGGGAGAGGCATCAGCTTCCTCGCAGCGCAATCGAATCGCCAGCTGCGTGTGCCATCCACCGCGCGTGCGCCTTCCAACGATACTAGATCCAGGAGTCTTGCTACCCGCTCTGCCTTTTCTTCGAATCGACCCTCCACTCTAGGCTTCATCACGCCGGACACCTTCGACAAGATCGAGGACAATTTGGACAACCCGGCATTTGTGCACTACCATCCTGCTACTGGTCGGATCGTTGCCGCGACTGTAAGTAATGGCTACGGCATGCTGTGTTTGCTCGCTACGATGCACACTGAGTAGACTTGCTAACCAACATCAGCCCGCGCGTCTTATTGCACAAATCACCTCGCCCGATTTCCTGGACTACGAGCTGTTAGCGGACTTCTTCTTGACCTTTCGCTGCTTTATGCAGTCGGAGGAATTGCTCGACTACTTGTTTGCAAGGCTTCGGTGGGCATTAACAAGCGGGAACGATGGCGGCCGCATTGCGAGAGTCAGGACTTTCGTGGCCCTCCGACATTGGATTCTCAACTACTTTGCAGATGATTTCTTGGACGATGCGATGTTTAGGCAGATCTTCTGTGATTTTGTCAACGACTTGGCTGCTGTCCTCCGTGAACGGCCCGATCGTGGCGGCGGTGATATGAACATCATCTCGGAGCTGAAGAAGTGCTGGCGAAGGACGTGTATGCTATACTGGCCGGCCACTGAGCCCATGGACACACCACCTGATGCAGACATATTCCCAGGAGGCATACGGCATCAAGACGTGTCTCCTGCAGCAGCATCGGCTCTCAGCCTACCATTGTCCATACGACCAACGACGTACCGAGGGTCCATATTCGAAATCACTACGATCCAGCTTCCGGAACGGCCACCTCCGCGCCACCTGACCCTCACGAGTGGCAACGAACCCGGACAGCGCTCGACAACGACGACGACCCGCACAGCCAGCATTCCTGCATCTCCTCTCAGCGAACAGAGTCTCGAGGTACTCTCCTGCTCTGTCCCATTCTTGCGACACATTCGTCCCACAGCGAGGGCTCGAGAGAAGCAAGAGCCGAGGATTGCTGGGGCGCCACCCAAGGCAGGCAAGCCGCGGCCCAAGGTGCACAAGAGAAGTGGCAGTTTCTCAGATGCTCTGCGTGACCGACGTACACCACTGGCCTCAGCCAAGACCGACAACATCGAACTCAAGGATCTCACATCTTTTGCTGTAACGGGAGGTCTTGTCCGTGGCCTCTTGCTACAACCGTCGCCATCGAAGGTTGAAAACACAGTTCCGGTCACACCGGGACCAGAGCTGAACGAAGGGCAATTCTCTGGAAACGAATCGGACAATGAGCGTAATCATAATCTTGGAGTGAGGAAATTCGTTGTTGAGGTCAGACGTGCGCTCGGTAATCGTAAACCGAGCAATAGCAGGTCTCCTGCCCGAAGTTTAAGCTCCAAGGGTTCACTGGGCTCTCGTGATGGGAGGGAGGCGCATCGGCCACAGCAGAAGCCTTCCCCGGATTGGCAGCAACTTCAGGGGCCGGCACGACTCGATGTACTCGGTCTTGCGATCGAACGATCGTACCAAGGCGCACGGGATGACTTTGCGCGCACTGAGGTGGAACCAATACAGGAGCATCCTTCCGCCGAGCTTCAAACTGAAGAAGCCGATAGATCAGAGACGCCGCGGCCAGCGACTGCGAAACGGGATGAGCCACCACCTTCTGCGCAAGGCTATGCATCGAGCGGTCTTCCTTCGAGCGGCGCCCTTCCATCAAGCGGTCTCCCGTCTAACGGACTTGCCAGTGGCCAATCCAAATCTTCTGGGGAAAGGGACATCTCTCGACCCGACACTCACGTCACCTCTGGTAGCAGGTCCATTGTGATTGTGGATGCAACCGGTGCACCTGAACTGCCCATGATGTCCGGAGCACTGCCTTCGCTCCACAACACGACTCCCGAGATGGTGCCCATACCTCTGTTCCGCAACCGCGCCGACTTCAATCTGGTGCGAAGACCGAGCATTGGACAGGCAATCGCGGAGCCCCCTCGGACCGTGGCCGGTGAGGCCGAGTTTCATTGGCGATCTTCGGATGCGAGGATGCACGATCTCTTGACGTCGTCTGACAGATGGAGCGCCGAGGAAAACAGTCGTGCCGGCAACAGTGCCATGTACGCGGAGTCGAATGTTCTGCGCAGGTCATCTGTCTTTGCTCCTAACTTCGAGTTGCAAGCTGTACCTCATCAGCTGCGTAGAGTGCCTGGCGGCAATCTGAGAGATGCCAACCACGTCAGGTCTTTGGAAATGGCACAGCCACGACCCCGATCGGAGGGCTCGCTCATGTCTACCGCCATGTCGAGGGTACTTACGGTGACGTCCAAGCGGACCACAGAAGAAGGTGGTGTTCCACTGTCAGGATTTGATGAGCTCAGTAGAAACTCGGTGGTTCTCCTGGCCACGCATTCGTCTCAGCCAGTATTGCGACCATCCTTTGAGGAAGAGGCACGGAAGCTGAAAGGAATACCCGACAAAGATTCTGATGGCGCAGGTGGTATCGAAGACGCTCTGCTCAAACTTGAAGGCAAAATTCCCAGTCCATCGATTGGCAGTTCTGCTGATTCGCGCAAATCGAGCGAGTCGAGCGAGTCTGCCCACTCGCACGCGTCCACTACACAGCCGACGTCCATCGACGGGTCGAGGTCACCTCTCCCGGCCCCTCCGATGCTGCGGGAAATGCCCACGGGCTATGCCAGGCCCGTGTACGGCGACATACCGATGAAGATCTCGCCATCGATTCAGAGCAGCCATCCCAACGTGGCATCTCCAGTCACGGAAACACAAGGAGCCAGCATATTCCACCCTTCTGTCTCCGCTGTTGGGTTTCCTTTTGCACATGAGCCCGAACGAGTGGAGGAAGCAGGACGAGATGTTCCCACGACTGTCTCCAGCCCATCGGCCTCGGTCCCGCCCATGGCTGCGAGGCTGAGCCAATGGCCGATCACGGATCCGTATACCGCAGCTTCTACTCCCGAGTCATCCGCATATGCGCAATCGCAGACCAGCGTACACAGTCAGTCTGAGTTCCGGTTGCCATCTGGGGATTCTGCTACAATACCAAGCTTCAAGCCAGGGCCATGGGGAAACCAGACCTCATTCCTGCATGATGAACATCAGAGCTTCAGCGACATCTCCACTGAGATTGTAGACTACGAGTCTCAGAATGGTCACACTGTACGAAGCTTCTTCTTCGACGACACTAATCATGATGGTCATGTGTCGATGCGGCCGTTCCAGCTCATGAGCGCCACGCCGCCCTCGACCATTGCGGAGCCTACGTCGTTTGAGTCGCCTGATCGCAGACAACTACTTCCTCGAGCCGTGCCTCCTCGACCTGGCCAGACTCTCAAGCAGAAGATCAGCAACCCGAAGCTGCAAGAGATGGCTTCGAATCAGCCTTTCCCTAGGCGATCAGGCGATGCGCCCAAACGTTTGCAGCCGTCTCCGAGTCCGTCGAATGAAAGCTCTGTGAATGTGTCTTTTGAAGAACACATACCATTTGTGCTGGCGTACGAGTCGGAAGTCATCGCGGAGCAATTGACCATTATCGAGAAAGACGCCCTGGATGAGGTGGACTGGAAGGACCTCGTCAGTCTCAACTGGCAGCAGAGTCCTCCGAACATCCGGAACTGGGTCGACTATCTCAACACGGAATCTTCGAACGGCATTGACATTGTCATTGCCCGCTTCAATTTGGTCGTCAAGTGGTGCATCTCTGAGATTGTCCTCACTGAGGCACCCTCGGAGCGTGCTCGAGCCATCACCAAGTACATACACATTGCGGCTCACTGCCATCGTTTGCGGAACTACGCGTCACTCTACCAGATCACGCTGGCCCTGCTGTCCAACGAGATCAGTGGTCTCACCATGACCTGGTCCCTGGTCGCATTACGTGAAAAGCACATGCTCGAACAGCTCGAACAGCTCTGTCGTCCACTACGCAACTTTCACAATCTCCGAGCTGAAATGGAGACTGCCATGCCTGGCAATGGCATCATCCCTTTTATCGGCCTCTACACGCACGACCTGATGTTCAACGCGCTCAAATCCGCACGCATCGATCCTCCTCCTCCCGGCAAAGAGTCCTTGGTGAACTTTGAGAGATACCAAACCGCAGCAAACATTGTGAAGAACCTCTTACGACTCATTGAAGCCAGCTCCAAGTACACTTTCCATCCCGAACCAGAGGCGCTCAGCAGATGTCTCTGGATCGCAGCTTTGGAAGACAGCGAAATCCAGTCTCGAAGTATGCATCTGGAAAAGGATTGACTAGCCGACCCTGCCACCACTCCTACCAATAATACCAAAGCCCGCGATCTGCCCATTCTCACGGCCACGACCACAGGAACAGGCATGCCACCGTCTCGCAATCTCCGAAGACTTCACAATGGAGACCACGAGGCGGACAATCACATGCGATACAGTATTCGAGGAGTCTATGGGCCTCATCCGGCTCTGAAATCTAGATATTCTACCCGTGCAGGCCATATTAGGTTCTTATGAAGAATGAATGAAGAAGAAGAAGAGAAAAGAAGAGAAGAAGAAAAGAGAAGAGAAGAGAAGAGAACATCAGAATCAAAATATATTCCCCCCCAGCCATTCTCTCGTTCGCGTTTATGATGATGAGAAGGAAGGAAAGAAGGCACAAAGTAGCAGAGAGAAGGAAAGAAGCAGAACAAGGCGGGCAAAACGAGAACGAACAGAGAGATGAGATTTACGACCGTTTTATGACCCATCTATATCTACCTTATCCCAACCAACCAACCAACCAAAACCCGGGTGGGTGTACCCTATTGTGAGAGGAGAAGAAGAAGAATTTCAAAAAGAAAAATTCAAATGTAATCTCTATCTAGATGATTCATGAATGTATCCACCCTACCTTACCTACCTACCTTACCCTTTTTTCTCTTTTTTTTTTCTCTGTAACTTTACTATTCGATTCGATTCGATTCAATATGTATGTATTAATCAAGAACCTACTCAAGAAATCGAAAAAATCCATCAATAAATACCTTAGTATCAGAGAGACATTGTCCTCTACATATCAATCACTAAGCTTGGCTAGGCTAGGCTAGGATGGGCTGGGCTATATCAATTGTTGCATGTAGGTAGGTAGGTAGGTAGGTAGGTAGGTAGGTAGGTAAGTAGGTAAGTAGCGTTTTCTCTCTTTTTTTTTTTCTCTATTTGTACAGAAAAACTTTTTATTTTTTCGATTTTACCTAAATCTCTCTATCTATCTCATCTCATTCGATCCATGCCTGATTCAGCTTCAATGTCATCTCGACTGGCGATTTCCGAATTCAATAATTTGTCATTATGTTCTTCTTCTTCTTCCCCCTCTTCTTCCCCTTCTATATCACTTGTTCCTCCTCCTCTGGCACCGCCATTCGTCGTCGTAGAGTGCAATTGTCGTTTCCGTCGAGCCTGGTCCGCTGCCGTGTCAATTTCATATTTGAATTCCCGCAACGCGCGAAGTTCGCTGCCCACAAAGAGGAACCCCATGAGGCCATCGACGACTCCGGCGGATAGTCCGAGACTGCTGAGGAGCATGAGGAGGAAGGCGACAAAGTTTCGCGGAGACCACCAGACGGCGATGAGGCATCCGATGGAGATGGTGAAGGAGGCGAAGAAATGTGCGATGCGCCACTTTCGCTGCTTGCGTTCGCGAACATCGTATTGGGCGATCATGGCTTGGATCAGTTCGTATGTGTCGTGAGGCAGATGTCGGACCATCTTGTTGTTGTTGTTGTTATTATTATTGGTACCGAGAGTTTGTTGGGAACGCTGGCGAACCAGTGTGGTCTCAATGGAAAAGTGGTCACTCAGCGAGCATTTCAACGTCGGATGGCGCATTCTCATGCCCACTTGAAGCTCCTCGATTCTCCACTCCTGGCCGGTATGTGAGGCGTTGTCGGAGAAGAAGACATAATCTAGTCGTTTGGCCTTGGGATCCGGTGCGTCGTGATCGACATCGGGTACGGGCTTTCCTTGATGCAGGTCCTTCCGAAGCTGCTCGCTCCATCTCCACGTATTGAATTTCGAATCACAGGTCGTGCCATGCTCGTCCAAACACTCCATTGCGCTGGGCACAGCTCTCCCTCTCGCCTTCTCGGCCTCGTTCTCTGCACTACCCAGTGCCGAGTCGGGCTTCACAATCCTCCACACATCTTTCACCGGACTATGCGCCTCAATCAATTGATGAGCCAAACTCATGGGCACCATATTGAAATCTCCCAACCCAATCACCATGTGTCCTCGCTCCGCTGCATGGCGCATCAACTTGGCAATCTCCCACGCCTGCGCCGTCCGATGACAAATATAGCTATCGTTGGGCTCTCGTTCATACGGTGCGTGCAAATGCGTACAAAACACCTCCACGACATCTTTGAGGCCCGAGCCGAGTCGGATCCTCGCCGACGCAACACCTTTTCCCACATACCAGTCGCCTCGAAAGAATGCCGCGGGGCGTCCGTTTAATGGGTAGCGGTACATGCTGCTTTCCTCAATGGGCCATTTGGACAGAATGGCGAGCCCGCCGCCAAAGATGCCACTCCAGTAGAATTTCCCGTGGGGGAGAATGTGTCTGGTGAGGTCTCGAATGGCATTGTAATCCTGTTGCGTCCAGCACTCTTGCAGGCCGACGATTTCGGGTGTGGGTGAGGCTGTCGCCAGCTGCCGTCCAATCTCGGTGAGGCGTTCGTGGCGGTACTTGGAGATGAATTTGAGGCCCCAGCAGTTGAGGGAGACGACGCGGATGCTGCTGGGGAGCGCGAGGAAGGCGTTGCTGCTGCTGCTGCTGGAGTCAGCCATGATGTTGAGTGTGAGACGGAGAGCGTGAATGAAAAAGTGGACGTGATGTGACGTGACGCGCGCGACGCGGGACACGAGGGAAGCCAACAACGGCTCACGCCGCCATTCCGATATCGATAGAACTAGGTAGGATCAGGTATGGATGGACACCACCGCGGAGGCAGAAAAAGGTTCCTTCACGGAGCGACATGATTGATTACTGATGACAGGAGACCAGGAAGATTCAGAATGGTCAAAGCTTTCTTCTTTCTCGAGCTATTTACTGCTTCTCCCCGGACAGTATCTGTTCACTGTGGCCCGATGCGTTTCTCGGCCATGGTGTATTCCAAGAATCAGAACCAGATTATTGCCTCCCGTGCAGTCAGCTTTTTCATCCCCTGCGAGCTCCTCGCTCTGATCACGCTCTCATGACAAAATGGAACTCAACTCCCAAGCAGCAGATACCATACATCCCCACCAAGGCAAAGAAACAAGAGAGAAGAAAAAAAAAAACGACCGCAAAACATGTCCAACACCTTTCACGGCAGGTGTGTCGAGGTGTTCCGCCATTCCACCCCTATCTCTTTTCGACGTCACGCAACATAAAATCTCGGCCTGATATCCTCCATCACATCTGCCGCCGAATACGTTCATGGCGAAAGGGTCGTTCGGAATAACATATAGAAAGGGAACAAGAGAAGAGAATAGACAAAAAAGAAAATAATGAGAAGCAATGTGCCAGTGATATGGCAAAGCAGCAATGGGACACCCATATCGTCAGGTCGACAGAAGAGGATGTATGCGCTGCCGGGGCCACGGGCTAGACATGGGCAGCCGGTGTTGTCGTATCGTCGTGTCGTGAGGGTCATAACCGATCATGTCGGCGTCGTTTTGCGGAAATGCATGCTTCAAAAGTATAGTGGATGCGAGTGGAATGAAGCACGGTCATCGGGTACGCCGCGCTAATGCAATGCTGATGAAGTTGTTTTTCAGTAGGGCGGCACGCATCGCAGAACAGAAGAGAACAGAGAGCCCTAGGGTTGCTTGGCTGCTTGGCTGGCATGTTGGTGCTGTAGTTGAAGCAATTGTTGGTGAAACGGAGTCTGGTTGTCGCCCGTCGGTAACAAGTTGATGCGGGGAAATGTATGGTGCTGCCGGCTGGGTGGCGGAGTCTCGACAAAAGGGGACAGCAGGCGTGGCACAGGCTCAATCATGCGTCGTGGGGCCGAGCGACTGCCCATGGGGACATCGGGGCCGGAAGCCAGTGCGTCGGCCATCTCATGATCCACGCCCGTCGCAGGCGGCGTAAAGAGGCTGGACATATGGTCAGCAGCCACTGCAGTTCCCACACTGAAGCCACGATTCCGGAGTAGAGGTCGCTGCTGCTGCTGCTGCTGCTGTTGCTGCTCAACAGGTGGACCAAAGACGTCCTCCAGTGCACCTCTTCGGGGCTTCTCCTCATCAGAACGGAAACGACGCTTGCGAGATCGTCGATCTGTTGGAGCCCCGACCTTGAAATCAAAGGGCGAATCCAGAGATCGGCCGTTGAACTCCGTTCGGCCCAGCGATTTCGTGGTCGCCATGCTGTGCAGCAGGTGGCTTCTTTCATCCCCGAGCTCGCCATCAAAGGGCGACGCGAGAGGAGCGCCCGCTGCTCGTCGATCCATATGCTGGACATGGATCCTCAGCTCCGACTGCAGAGATGCACTCTTTTGATGTGCTTTCGAGCGAGGAATGCGGTCGAACCACCCCTCGGGTCGGGGCTGTCGTACCTGTCGAGGAGCAGGTGGTGGGCCGTCGCTGGCAAGTTGCGCAAGTACACTACCCGGCTGCATCGAAGGGGCCGTGGAGGTCAACAGGGACTTGTGCATGTCGTAAAAGGAGGAAGACATGGCCACGGGCTGCACACGTGGAGGGCCATCGCTGGAAGTCTCAAAGGGCGAAGGCGAGCGTGTGCGAAGCATACGCGCGTAGTGGGCGGATATGGAGGGACGCTTGGCACAGAGCTCACGCAGGCGCCGCCTGGTTGCGGCCGCCTTGGGCCACTTGGGCTGCGTGAGGTGCAGCGGACTCGGCCGGATGGTGTCTGGAGAGCCCTCGCGATGGCGCCCAGCGTCGCATCCGAGCATGGCGTCCACAGAACCTGAAGCAGGCGCATTGAGTTTGCGCGATCGCCAGGTGCGTCGTGCCTTGGTTGCAACCTGGTCACAAACACCCATTGGCGGGGTGCTGCCCGGTAACATCTTAAACGGCGTCAGGGTGGGATCTGACAGATATGCCATGAACGTCAGCCACAGGTGGTCATCCATCTGTGGTGTCCACTGCCCATGTCGCCGGGTCTTGGCGCGCTTCATCTGTGGGGTGTCCTGGTCCAATGATGAAACGGGTGCGACCGACTTGTCCTGCTGGTCGTCCATAAACGGATCGGTCGTCTCGGATAAGGGGCTGTCGTAGCCTCCGGGTGGCATGGAGAAGGCAGAGCTGCCACACGAGGAGACGGAGGAGTCAGAGAAGGAGGAGCAGACGGAATTGGCACGCTGGAATGTGGGCTTCGTGTTGGTGATCAGATCCCACTCGTCCGCGGGATCCTCCAGCTGACTGAAGGGCGTACAGAGTCGGGGAGTAGGCGTCTTGGGCGGAGTAATGGCGCGACCGAGTGAGGATGCGTGTGGCATGGGTGAAAGCAAGTGCGCAGATGTCGGCTGCATCGTCGGGCTTGATATTTGTGTCTCAACCTCGGACATCTCAATGGTCGGTATTACCGACATGTCGAGCATGATGGGTTCCTGAAATGGCGCGCTGGGTCGCTTCCTCTTGACCTTGAAGGGCTGTGGACGAGGAGGTGGTGGAGGCTCAGAGGTCAATTGCGCCTCGTCCAACTGTGCCTCTGGTGTCTTGGGCATGTGTCCGTCGCCGTAGAAGGAGCCGTGGAGTGAGGGGAGCTGTATCGACAGCGACGGTCGTCGAGTCGGCGACATGGTGGGCGTGTTGGTGACGATATTGCGCGGTTGCGCGTAGCGGCGGCGGCGGTGGTGCTGTTGGTGGTGGTGGTGGTGGGTGGTGGGCGGTGGTCAACGCGGTATCGGTGTCGCGGCGCCTCACGGTAGAGTGCGCGACGGTGCGTGCGCGACGGTGGGTGCGGGTAGCAATCTGCAAACAGCGCTGCGCGGTGATGCGATGCGCTGCGCTGCGCTGCGATGCGATGCGATGCGCCGGCGCGACGGACGCTGGAACTCCACTTCGCGTCCTCCTATGTCGCGCGCATGTTGCGTTTATGTGTGCGCCAGTGTGAAGCGATTGCGGTGCAGGGTGCGAGGTGTATGCGGCGGTATGTGTGGTGGGTAGAAGGAGGTCGAATGTCGGTGGCGGTGGTGGTGGTCGATGGTGGTGGTCGGGTCTGAAGAGAGGAATGGCGAGGGAACCGACGCCGAAGCGGGAAAGCTGATGAGTTACGGGCACGGAAGGGAAGGCGCTACCTGTAGCTAGAATGCTAGAATCCTAGATCGAGTGATGGACAGACAGGCTTTAGCGGGCGCACTAGCCGCACACGTCCAATATCCTCGTGAATCGCGATGGGCTCTGCGATCGGGGGGGTTACGAACGGCAGTGCGTGGCTCGGTCGCTGTATCACCGTTGCTTTGATGGGACAATTGAGTTTGGGCAAGTTTCGTTGCAGTTGGACTGTCGCAAGTGTGCAAGCAAGTGTGTGGCAAGCAAGCAAGCAAGTAAGCAAGCGAGCGAGCGAGCGAGCAGACGGGGACGGGGACGGGCACGGTGGAGAGTGCAGGTGGGACACGGTCCTCCTTTCCAACAAACTAGTTCTACCAGGGCGAGGGCGCAGAGACGGGGGAGGGAGGTGGACTTGAGTGGGCACAGGCTGGTACCCGCGCCGTCTCACAGCAGACGAGAACGAGCGCCTAGTCCTACCTGTCTCTTTCGTGTCTTTTTGCTTCCCCGCGACAGCGGTCAGCCGCCACTGGGAGAGAAGGTCTCTGCTTTTTATCTAGGCGGTACTCTACCAGCAACTACGGTAGGCTAGCGAGCTGGGTGACGGACGGGCGGACGGACGGGTGGGTGGGTGGATGGGGTGGTTGGCTGGCGGGTGTGCTGAGTTCCCGCTGGCCACGGTGCCCGTATCGTGACTCGTGCACGCCGTGTGTGTGAGAGGGCAGCCAGCAGCCAGCAGCCTGGCAGCGCATTGCATGCAGTCACTGCAGTGCGTGGACAGTATGTATGCACAGTATGTATGAATGGCGGTGGGTCTCCTGCAGGCCAGGCCAGGCCCGGCCGTGAAAGGGCTCCTCATCAGCACGCTCGCTCTGTAGTCTGCAGTAGGCCAGCAGCAAGAAGGGAAAGACGTTGAGTGGCCCACGTTGCACGATAGGAGGTACAGTAGCAAGTAGGTATGAAAGTATTCTCCGCTCCCAGCAACAGCAACTGCAATTCCACCTGTTTTACTGCCCTGACCTGTCCTGTCCCTTGGACTCTTGGAGAAGCGAGCGCTACGGAGGTACAGGTATGCTACTACTATTCAGTATTCATCAGAGGGACGCGTCTTCCACGCGCATCTTTCGCGTCCCCGGCGCTAATCATCCTGGTCTGGTGGATGAGGTAATTATGTCTATCGGCATGCCTCTGCTACAACAGCAAGGCACTTCCCAACTCCCTCTGTCTCCTCCCTCTCCTTCTAATCATCACGCCGGGCTCGAGCAGCAGTTTTACCGATTGCGACGCCGTTTCGGATGCTGATGATGATGCTGCTGATGATGATGCTGCTGATGATGATGATGATGGTGGTGGTGCTCTCATCATCATCCCTCCTCTCACTGGAGAAAAAGGGAAAAGAAGAAAAAAAAAAGAGGCTTCCACGTTCGTCAACATCCCGGCCTCGGGAGCAGGGGCATACGGAGGTAGCTCGTGTCTGTGACCGCTGTCAATCTTTCCACTCGCCATTTTCGCCTTTTGCCAACAACAATTGCCGACCAGCCGGCCGTCTCGCCTTTTTTAGTGTTGACGTCCTACCTCCTACTAGGTATACTGTATGTACCCGCCATCGTGATTTTGAGACTCTTTCTCAGGTACCTTGCTACTGGTAGGTAGTAATAACAGATTTTAGATGAGCAAAACGGGTACCAGCATAGGTACCTGAAATGAGGGTGTGTTCGACACGCGCGCAAACCCGTTTATGACTTGCATACCTACCGATATATTGATTATTCTTCGCTTCCACTTGCACCTACGAGGTAGGAGGTACCGTAGGTCGTGTGAAGATGTGATGAAGAGATGAGAAAAGTGCCGAGACGCACAAACGTTTTGATTTTTTAATGCAAACGACCAGGTTCCCTTCCCTTTCCTTCCCTTTGCCGCCAACCGCGAAAAGGATGTGCAGGTGGGGTAACTTGCTTCACTTGCACTTCCAGCTTCAGGTTGTTCACATCACACAAGCACGAGCATATCGATGATGATGATGATGATGATGATGATGTCGTGCAAGGTACGGTCGTCTCATAATCTTGTTTTTCTTTTTTATCTAGTGTAACGAAGATGCCCGAGCAGTAAGGTAAAGTAAGGTATGCTTCAGGTTTTCGATTGTCAGAAGGAAAAGAAAAAAAAACATTATCGGCATTGAGGTGTGTATACTAGAAAAGTCTGAAGATACAGACTTCCTCTAGTAGACTGGAGAGCGTTGAAAAAGGCACCCCAGTTTCATCCCGTCTTGCTTTTTCTTTTCTCTTTTCTATGTTTTTTTTTTATTTTTTTGTCAACAAATAAACTCCAGTCCTACGAATGTAGTGCCAAACCTACATATGTACACTAAAACTGCCAACAAGGCTCTACCTACCTCCTACCTACCTTGACCTGCCGAACCGCCCACGGGATATACTAGTTGCATTCTTGTATAATTTGCAAGGAAATCCATTCCTACAAGGAGGGCACTTTTGAAACGCATTTTTTTTTTTTCATTCTTTTTCTTCTTCTACTTGGATGACGTACTTTTCCCTCTACTCTAGATGTAGACGAGAAAAAGAAACAACCTGGAAGGGAAAAGGAAGACGAAGAAGAAGAAGAAATACCGAAAAATACCTCCTCCGTTAGGTAGCGCTCAAAGAAAGAAAAAACGGTCTACAATTGTACCAAGCCCTCTCTCTCGTATAACAAAAACATTAATTGTCTGGTTACACTAGATAGGTACACTACCAAAACCCGTATATTTTAGTGTCTTGAGTGACGGGAGTTGGTAGGAGGTATAATATGCAAGTTTAGGAGTTGGGGCACACCGTACTGTACCTGTAGCTAGGAGGTACTACCTAGCTTCCCCCTCGACACGCGTTCTTTCTTTCTAGAACTAGAAGGTACCAGTCCTGTAAAAGAAAAAAGAAAAAAGAAAAAGAAAAAGGCGGTCTGCAAGCTCTCTCTTCTCTTCTCGTCTCTTCTCTCCTCGTCTCGTGCTCCTCCCGTAATGTGCTCGTGCTCGTGCTCGTGCAACATCTACATGTATCTACGTTAGGTACCTTACCTTACCTTACCTACTTCTAGCTCTGTACCTTACCTACTGTACTTGACCTTATACAGCCGAGTTTGGTTGTCGATATGCATGTCCCTACCTTATGTTTGAAGAAGAGAGAGAGAGAGAGAGAGATTTCTTTTGGATATAGGAATTTAGTCATACTAGGTGGTAGCATACCATACTACGCGAGGTAGAAGAATTACATGTACCTTACCTAGGTAGAGGCAGTGTCATGCATTGGAAATGTAATATGTACCTTACCTGGTCATGCAATGTATTGTGATGCTACGTCGCTGAGCTCAGGTACAAGGTTTTGAGATATGGGCGCCCTCATCATCTCTCCTACCCATAGAGAGACCAATATTTGATATCAAGGCGGCTCCCCTCCCACAACACATCCCCCCTCACTCATCAAGCCGCTCCCGCTGCCCGAGCACCACTCAAACTCACCACTCGCCCTCCACCACCACCACCTCCCAATCCGCCTCCTTGCGCATGCTTTCTCCACCCGGGAACCTCAACATCACCCTTCACTTTCTGCTGAATCACACTCCACGGTTGTGGGAAGCCCGTCGCGACCACATTTCCGTGCCGCATCAGTGTCATAATCAGCCGCAGCTCGCGGTGCGATACGAATCCGTTCACGAAGCCTTGGCTGATGAGGGAGGATAAGATTGACTCGATTGACGTACTCGATACGGTGATGGGCGTGGAATCTGCTGCTGCTTCGGCATCGTCTTCGTCTTCGTCGTCAAATTCGGGATCAATGTAGGATGCATCTGTTGGGCTCTGCGCCAGCCCTTCCGCCAAACTGAATGCTTGCACGAGATATTTCAGCTGGAGCACCACGTTCCCCACGTGATCTGCTTTGGCCTTTTCGCCGCTGATTTGCCACGTTTTACTGACCAGACTCCGCCATACGTGCACCTCGCATCGGTTGCGGAGCGGGAGGAGAATGCGGAAGTGAAGGAGCCAGTCGGCCGAAGGAGAGTCAAAGTCGAGATGCTGCCGGAATAGTGCAAGGTTCCCGGTACGCATGGCTTGCATAATGGGCGAGAAATGTTGCTGCAAACGTGCTGCCTCGGGTCGTTGCAGCAGAGCTGAGGACGGGAAACGACCCAATATGAGGTTGCAAGTGACCAAATAGACCAGGATATATCGACGCTGTCTCACACATTGCTGTGCTGTGGGACTGAGGTCGTATGCATGCTGCAAGGCTTCTTGCGCGCGGTAGAAGTGGTTGGTTTGGAAGAGATATCGGCCCAGGTAGTACAGGTATGTCACTCGCTCACTGCGTGGGTATGCGGATAATTGTGGTGACTGCAATCCGATATTCTCAAAGATCATGGTGGCGTTGCGTGTCTTGCGACATTGGAATAAGATCTTCAGACAGATGTTGGCAATCTTGTAGATTCCCTTCTTCTTGCCAATCGGTTTGCCATCGCTGCTGAGTGCAGCTGCACGATCATTGAGACACGTCGTGAATGCCTTTCGCAGCGTGTCTGCCGCTCGCTCGGGCAAAGTGTCACGAGGCCCACCATCGTCCTGATCAGCTTTGTCAGACTTGAGGTGCGCCACCAGTTCCGGTTGCTTGTCGAGTCCAATAGCCAGTCTGCAGACCAGCTTGGCGCAGTTTACTACCGGCAATAACATGAGATGTCCGTACGAAGGATGCACCAGCGCGCTTTGTGCTTTCTCCTGCAGAGCAATTAGAGAGTTGTAAGTCTCCAGATAGCCGTTTCGCTCCAGATCTACATCTCTCAGATACGTGAGGTATTGGGTGATGAATGTGACGAATGGAGTCCACGTTCCGTTCCCATCGATGCCTTCTCGAGCCGAAACCAGTGATTGCGTACATTTCTTGTCGAGAGCATCTTCGCTCCCTTTGGGATATGCTTGTCGAAGCTCTGCAATCATTTGTCGGTGGTCATCTGGAAAAGGCGGCTCAAATACGAGAATCTTTGCGAGGGCCTCTTCATTCTGCACTTTGACGAATCCATTGATGGCCGTCAGACATTGTCCGAGCATTGCTGTGGTCACGACTGAAGGTGCCATCTTGACGGGCGAACGCAGGATATTGGACCAAAGCAGCCGACCACCACAGCTGAACTCTGGTCACCACCACTGTCGCAAGATCTTGCCAAAGCTCTCTTCTCGAAGTGGCCTTGAGATGGTACGATTCCAGATCCTCGTCTTGGAGTTGATGTGATCGAAGGAAGGAGAAGTCACTCTGTGATGAAGATTGACGTGCTGGATAACGGTATCGTCAAGCTACCTCGTCCGTGTTTGTGGAGTGGAAGAACATGAAGTGAAGTAGAGGAAGTCGGCGAGAGGTACACACCGGAGCTGGCTGCGGCGTTGCCTCATTGGCCAGATTCGTCGTCGTCCTGGTGAGCCACCATTCCTGGCAGCTACAACATCATAGGGATTCCAGTCTCATTGTCCACACCAGGGGACAGCATACAGTACCTACAACAGCGGGGATAATAGTCACTTCATGTTCTTGATTGCTTGCATTTCCCGTTAAGTAATCTACATACAGAGAGGAGCACTTGCGTGCCCCCAGAAGAGAAAAGAGACGCGCGAACATCCCCCACCACCGCCGAACTGTAAGAAGCAGACAAAAAAGGCACATCAAGCACCGGCGTGTTGACTTCCACACTCCACGATACCCATCGACCTCGTCAGGAAGGTGAGAGACAAACATTATGCACAATAACCGTCCCGCTTTGCATTCTTACAGTGGAAAAAAAGATCAAATTCGTGTGCTGTGTGCTAGTAGGAAAGCATGGCTCGATCGCCGGCATCAGATCCTCGATAGAGCTTGCTCACCTCTCCCCACGTTTCAAGCGTGCTGGTAGCAGCGGACCTGTGCGGTAGAGTAGGAGGGACGAGAATGAGTGATGCTGGTTTTCTTGACGGTGCAGGGGGGATTGACACGACGCAGGACACTTTCCTTGTATGTTGATGAGACTGAGGGACTTGTACTCCGAACCCCTTGTATTGACAAGTATTCGTGAATTGCAGGACGTAATTCATAAATGCCAGGGAAAGGATCCGCAAACGATCGTTCCAGTCATGCTGACGGTTCGGATCGTCTACATCGCCATTCCCGGCACTGGCTTCCTTTGGGGAGCCTGAGATGCAGCTTGAGAAACCGCAGCCTGAACGGGGGTTCCGTGCTCCGAAGGAGACGGAGTCCTGTTCGATTGCGGAGTCAACGGGCGGGGCTGCATTGCACCAGGAGGTCCGTATGGGCCAGGCGAATTGGATGAACGGCCAGCACTTGGAGGGGGACCACGGGGCGAGTCTTGTGGTGAAGGGCGGTGGCCTTGTGGCGGAGGTGGGCCCTGAGGCCGTGGCTTGACGGGTAGCTTAGACAGACAGGTACGTGGCGCGACACCTTGCTTGCTACGGTCCATGCTGATGCAGAGCGCCTGTAAAATGTTAGTACATGTTGCTAAGAAGCAGTCTGGAAAGTGTAACTTACCCATCCGTCGTCGTACTCGTGGAGTAAGCGAACCAGAGCACCAGAAACAAGCTCCAGCTCGTCGTCCATGCTGGGCTTGAAATCGAGCTGAACGCGGTGAACATTGTTGGGTTGACGAGGAGAACCGGCATTAGGACCACCTGCAGCAACAGGCGCGGCTGCCATATTACCAGCGGTAGCGTTGGTAGGCGTGGCTGGCTCGCGACCTTCCCAAGAACCCTTGGGGCTGTGCTTCTGACCGTTGGCGTGCGCGGCGGCTGTACCTGCGACACCTGCCGCCACGACGGCGCCGTTGAGCGATTCATTTGATCTGCGCTGTTCTTCGAATGGGTTGGATGGTGGGGTTCCTGATCGGCCTTGCTCTGAAGCATCAGCGAATGGGTCCGACGTAGGGCCCGCGTTCGCGTTACCACTGTTCTTGTCGCCAATCATCGGGAGGAATTGGGTGACAGGACGGAGGCTGAGACGCGGGGCGGTCGAGGCGGTGCGCGAGGATCGAATGCTGGATGGGACCTTCTCAGACATGCTAGAGTCGCGTCTGTTGGCGGCAGCTGCAGCGCCTGCAGCAGCACCACCAGCCACCATACCTCCTGCCATGCCATCAGGTGTACCATGAGCCTCCGCGGATCGTGCGCCCACATCGGCGAAGCTGCCATGCTTCTCGTTCAGTGCCTCCGGGTGAGCGACACGCTTCTTTCGTGTCCAGCAGAAGAACAGAAGCCCGCAGACGAGTCCAATAGCAAGAATGATTCCAATGGCCAAGCCGGCCTGTGCACCACCACTCAGACCAGAGTCCTGCGAGTCCGAGGAGGGCGCCGATGTGGCCGTGGCCGTGGCAGCTCGGGTCGCCTGAATCGGTGTGCCACCAACCACTGTTGGGAGGGCCGACGATTCCATAGGCACCGTCTTCTGGGCATTCTGGATCGAAGTCTCGGCTGGCGCAAAATCGTCGGGTGTCGGTGTCGCGCTGGCGCTGGAAGCCGGTGCGCCGGTGTAGAAATTGGGCGAGTTGTCTACGACAGAGGTGGGAGCTGCGGTGGCCTCTGGAGTGTAATCGCCAGTCAAGGTGGAATACATTGCAGGTCCTTCAAAGGTCTGTGCCAGAGTCACGTATACGACAGATGCAGCCGTGTCGGCGGATCCTCCATCATCCGCGGCGACGGGATTCGATTGTCCATTATCAACCTGTTTGTTCGCGAACCCCTCGGGTACGTGAAGAATAATGCTGTCGCCGTGACTGTCGCGCTTGCGAATCTTCAGCTGCTCGCGTGCGTCTTCGCCACGGAAGACGCGGCCGTGGGTGTGTCGCTGGTGGAGGCCCATGGTGATGGTGATGGTGGAGCGACCGGGTTCGAAGGATGGACGGCGTCGAGATAGACCAGATGCACTGGCGGGAAGTGGCAGGTGATGGTCTCGGGGCGCGGGTGAGGTGGAATGTGGACGAGCAGCACAAGGAATGTATACAAGGGCTAATGGGGGAAAGCGAGACGACAATCAATGTCGTGACGCTGAATGAGTGAGAGCACAGGCCGCCAAACGAAGGACGACGGCGCTGTACCAAGGCGACGGTGGATGGGTGAGGGAGGGAGGAGGGAGTGTAGGTATGAATGAATGTGGGTGATGGCGGTGGCCTCGTGGGAGAGAGGGAGAAGGACAGAGAGGTGTGGCGAGTCGCGACGGCGAGGTGGAGGTGCGTGTGTGCGTGGTGTGACGACGGCGAGGGAGAGCGGCAGCAGCAAGAGAGTGAAGGAGAGGGAGAGAGGCCGTCGTGTCGTGTTTCAACAAACAAGCTTCCCAGCTCAATCTCGCTTCGTGCCGCCCGGCCATGCAGGTACGGAGCCAATAACAGCCCAAGAGCCAATCAGCGTGTGTACCGGACAACACCTTGGCGGCGCTTCCTCCTTGGTCACACGCCTCAGCAGGCTCAGCACGCGTGGATTCCGTGGATGTCTTCACAGCCGCAGAGGTAATTGATTGTTCAATGTTGATGACGAATTGATGGACATGTTGCTTCTTTTATTGATTCTAGGTACTCGTGATGATTGATGGTGGTGAATGGAGGGAGTGGTGAATCCGCATATGCATACCTGACCGTACATACCCGTACAGTACCGTATTCTCATCCACTGGATGTAGTGGGACCTACCTTACATACAGGTACAAGTACAACCGGCGCCAGTTTTCGTCAGCAGCAGGGGCAGGGATGTAACCTACAGTACATTGGATGATTTACTGTTCCTAGCTCTATCGTTTTTAGTAAACCTACCTGGTCTCTTACTACTACTTCTTACTCCCAGCAGCCCCAGCAACACCACTCACTCATTCACTCACTTACTCACTCACTTCCCTAGACGTTGCTATACTAAATACACTTATACCAAAACAATGGCTGCCTGGAAAGATTTCTCTACTAGAATCTCGGCAAAAGACGGCTAAGGTAACCAAGTCCGGGGAACTACTACACGTGTATGCGTGTGTTTATTATGCATGTGTGTATGTAGGTAGGTACCTAGGTTGGTGTATGTTGGTGTATGTTCGTGTGTACACTGTACAGTACTTCATGCATGTATGTCTGGCTACTGTTTGATATCGACCGTTGGAGTCTGAGAGATGCCTTTGAAACCAATGTCTTAGCTCCGTCTTGGTTTGTCCCTTCCGCTTAACTCCGCTCTATGCTACCTTGTGCATAACTCGTTACCTATCTGTACCTGGTACCAGGTACCTTCCGAAAAGAATTAATGAAATGTTTTTGTACAAGAAACAACAAGTTGACAACAGCAACGACCAGTGTCGACAGCAATCGCAACGGCTATACCCAGGTAAGGTAGTATGAAACCTTAACCATCTCGTGTTTTATTTTTTATTTTTAACTCAAGCTTTTTTTTTTCTTTCCCATGTGATGATGAACTTTGAGAGGGAGACCTAGTCATATCCATCACTTGTTCATTCATTTATTTGTTTATCGGGCATTCATTGATTCTTCGAAACAACAACAGTACCTACCTTTCCTGAGGGTGTCATGTCAGTACACTTACTACTCCCATCCTGCGTAGAAATCTATCGAGGACACTGAAAAACTTCGAAAGATAAGGTACCTGGTAGGTACCCCAGTCAGGTTCGACACTTCGATACCATTGAGAATCACATGTAAATTTCATTTTCTCTACACTAAATTATGTATATTCATATTTCATTTCAAACATCAGCACACACGCAGCGACAAAAAGAAAGAATTATTGGGTATCATCACTATCATATGTACACAGCACGAAACAAGCAGCAGCAGCAGCAGCGAGTAGTGGAATGCAAAACGCAGAACTGTACAATCTCCTCATCACGACTTGGCAACGTACGCACCACTCGTCAACTTTCTTTGCGTCGGTACACTCTTCCACTGTCCAGAGGAAGAGGAGGAAGAGGCTCCGACGACAGACTCATCCGCAAAGGGATCCGACGAACCATCAGCACCCTGGACGCTGACAGCGAGCCCGCTGCCGATCCCGTGCGCATCTTCGCCAGAGATTTCCCATTTGCCTTCGACATGTCCTCCCGTAGCGGGGCCTTCGGTGAGGAATCGAGCAAGGAGTTTGCTGGGCTCCGCACCGGGGGACAGGGTCAGCTCGGGCAGTTGCCAGAAAATCAGGTTCTTGTCACGAGAAAACGTCCCCACGGGCTTGGACTGGCAGCTTGTCGCCTTAGACCCCTCGAGAGTGAGAGCAACCGTCACGTTGCGAAGAGTGATGCTCGCGCGTCCCAGAGATGCAAAGCTGGGGTGTAACGAGTAGCTTACTATAACCATCGTTTGGCCCTGCTCAATCTTGAAAGCGGGTGTGAGGAGCATTGGTGTTTGGGCCTGCACGGTGTCGCCTCGCACTTGATATTTGAATGCGACTGATGTTCGGGAGATGTGCGCTAGATTCACCTGGTATTCTCCTTCCTGGCCTGGCGTTTGCGTGATAAAAGCCGGGTTCGGTGCTACCTTTTCGAGGTGGGCAAAGTTTTCCAAGCGAATCGTCTCTTGCGTTGACCCAGCTCCTGTCGAGTTGTACATCAGTGCAATCTCGCCGATCAAGGATGAAGACGTCAGTTGGCCTTCCTCAAAACGAGCCGACACTGTTTCAATGATCGAGGAGTTGAGACCTGGCGCCGACAGCTCCGGATGCTTTGGCGCAAGGCTAGTAGAGCTCTGCAGCGAACGTCCCGATCGGATTGACTGGTTGTCGTCGGCGCCTATTGGTGCCGGCGCAGTCAACGGAGTCGGTGATTGTGGCTCGCCCACTGGGCTGAATGGCGCAAAAGTGGTCTGCCCGGGTGCAGCAGGGCTAAAAGACCCAGAGGGAGAGGCCATGAGACCAGCAGCGGTCGGCACCGGGAAAGACTGTGCTGGAGGCTGTACAGCTCGCGACGCGATGGCTTGAGGACTCGTTACCAATGGTGCGGGTGCAGCAGCCTCGCCCCTGTGGCTCTCAAATGCTGACGGAGCATTTGCGTTCTCGGCAGAGAAGCCCTCAGGCGCACCGTATGTGCTCACTATAGCACTGTTCCGGGCATCGCGACGGCCACGCACCGTACCCAGTCTTCGCTGCGTCGGCGGAGGTGCCTGGAGAAGTCAGTCATAAACCGGAAAGATATTCACACACCACTTACCAGCTTGTTAGCCATGCTCGCCAACGCAACGTCACCTCCTTCTTCCTGTATCGGCGCGTTTCTGATGTTAACGTTGAACTGCGGCTCTTGCCTGTCGCCGAGATCTCCGGCATCTGCTTGTGCTTGTGAGATCGGATCGAGCTGCTGAGGTGGAACAGAGAAGCCGTCATTATCCCTAGATGGCTCCACAAATGTTGGTATTGCTGCAGCAGCAGGCTGAGATGGCTTCGGTGGTTCGAGGTCTGCCAGATCGCCTTGATGACTGCCGTTGGCGAAAGTCGGAGCGAAAGTCGAGGAGGCAGCTGTAGGCCCAGATCCTGCCCCATTAATGTGCGGAATTGGATCCAGCTGTGGTGGCCTTGACGCCGATTGTGAAGATTCCTGCGTTTGAGGCGGTTGTTCCATTGCCTCGCTGCCCCTTCTTTGAGATAGTTCTGCATCCTCTTGAGGAGCTTCCATGGAGTACGAATGCTTATTGCGACCAAGACGGCCGAATGGCGAGGACTTTTGCTTGCGTTCAGGCGATTCTTCGGTAGACGCCAGCTGTTGCGGCTGCTTGCTCGCCCTCCGCGACATGACAGTACCTAGTCGCTTGAGGCCCTTGAAAGGCCCCTTCTTCGATGGCTCTGATGTGGAACCCGATGCGACACTGGGAGACTCATCTGGAATCGATTGTATCGGCGTCAGACCACTCGACGTCCCGCTACGAGATGGTGCCGAACTGCCCACAAACATGCTTGCGCGGTTATTCGTAGAACGCGATTCACTCGGTTTCCGAGCGGCCACCTTGAGCGCGAATGTTGAGATTTCGTCCGCTGTTTCCAGATTGAGCAGGACGTTGAGTGCTTGCTCGGCAGCTACGCGACTCTTTTCCACCTGGTCCACCTCAAGAGTGACAAATTGAGTCAAGCTGTCACGGAGCTGGTTGACACGGTCTTCGTCCAGCTTCTGGAGAGTCTCAAACACGTATGGCGCCTGCGAGAGCCACTGCTGGCGGACATGTTCCAAATCTGATGTCGCATTAGCCACTTTGGTGGCATCTGCGCTCTCCCCTTTGCCCTGCAGCTTCTCTGTCGCCTTCTGCGCCTTGTCGACCTCTTTTGCCATGGAGCTCATGTTGCCCTGCGTGGTGGGCATCTGCTGCATTTCGCGATTGGAGGTGGCGAAGTCGCGGAGAGGCCGTTCCACATCCACCTCAATCTTTGCGCCCAGTGATGAATGCGACTCGGCCAGAGCCTCCATGGAGTTGGTCAGAGTGCCCCATGGTATCGAGAAGATGCCCAAGTCCTCGTCGCCAATGTGTTTCCGCGCGAGCTTTCGCAATCCCGCCGCATACTGCTCCTCGAGTCTACTGCGCTCCTGGTGCCATCTGTCAGCCTCCTCCGACTCTTTCTCCTTTCTCCTTCTCCCTCCCCCTTCCCCCTCTTTCTGTTTCTTCCATGTGTGGCTTGCTTACCTGGAGCCAGTCGGCAACGCTGGTGTTGAGCCGCTTGATCTGGGCCACTCGATCGGTCAAGACGTCCACGGCCTGGGTCGGCTGTAGCTTTTGCTAAAAGTTGGGCACCACGTGTGAGCTTCCACTCTCTCTCCTCTCTTCTGTACGCTCTCTCTCTCTCTCTCCACCGCAATAAATCTTCGACGACAATGGTTATGAGTATAGAGAAGCTTACCAGCAATCCCGGATAGTCCTGCCGATCCATGTTTGATTCGCCAATGCGCGCGCGCGCTCTCAATAAGAATGCAAAGTGTGTACAGGTGCAACGCAAGCAAGTGGGATTATAGACAGAAATGCCAGCTCCCTACAGACGAAAGCGGCGTAAAAGGGTGTGCTAGGCGGTGGTTGGTGGTGATTAAGGTATACGGTAAGGTATTGATGATGAGATGGACGGGGAATACAAAACACATGTGCAGCTTTGGGTTGCGCTTGTCGGTCGTCGGCCGGTCGGCATGCGCGGCTGTGACGTGGAGGCATGATGAATCAATTTCAAATGTTCCTCCTCCAGCATGTACCTAACCTCCTACATGTATACCTGTATTTCTCTCTGGACAACCAAGTCCAGTATCAATACATAGGTATATACCTACCTACCTTATTCAGCCATCCATGCATTCCCCATGCCTAGCCTCAGTCTCAATCAAGTTTTGTTTCAACCAGGCGGACATACTCTGCACGTGCCACACATGGAAGGGAGCTAGCAGTCTGTACACACGGAAAAAACCAAAATACCTAGAAAGAAAAAGACAAAAACATCCTGGCGTGAAACGCGTAACCGGAGCAAGTTGAAGCGTGGTTTCTTTACCTACACACAGCAGGCGATGTGCATGATGGCGAGAGCCTCTGTGGCGCTACCGAGTATGGCAAGACAACTCCACCTGCGATGCTACAATGTCACGCCTGGCACCGGCCAGCAAGCGAGAATAGAGACGGCTGCAGATGGGCACCTATGCTCGAATAGGAAGATGAAAAGAAAAGCCAAGTCAGGTAAGCGGGAATTATCAGTTATTCGTAATTATTGCTTTTTGGATTTCTTGTCAAGTCGCTATGCTACTAAAATTACAGCTCGTCAATCATCACTTCGTGCCTAGAAGAATTTCGGCGACCCTTATCTTTCATCCATCACACCATTACTTCCTCCACCCATCTGCTGCGAACAAGTGTCCATCAAGATCAAATCTACTCGATAGTAATCTTCTTGCTGCTCGGAGCTGGAGCCTTGGGGACAACAATCGAGAGAATACCATCCTTCAAGCTGGCCTTCACTGCATCTTGATCCACTCGGGCTGGGAAAGAGAACGTTCTCGCAAATTCGCCAACCGAGCGTTCAGAGAGCCAGTACTTCTCTTTCGGTGGCTGTGGCTGGTGCTGCTGGACTTGCTTGTTCTCGCTTCCAGCCTTTTGCACACCATTAGAGGCACCCTCATCCTCTACCGTAGGCTGGTGGGACTTGTTCGCGTCCTCGATCTTGCCTTGTTCTGCCGATGCTTCGATGTATCCTGTGGGACGAGTACCTTCTTCTCGGACATGCTCAGTGCGGCCTTTGATGGTGAGAGTCTGGCTGTCGGTGAACTCGATGTTGATGTTCTTCTGTTCGATACCAGGCAGCTCCGCGTGGATTTCGTAGCTCTGTGGCAGCTCCTTCACATCGACCTTGGGAGAAAAGGACTTGAAGGTTTTGGTGATGGAGTGATTGCCACTGCGGTCTTGAATGTGTCGAGAATAGTCATCTGCCAGCCGGAAGAGAGGCTGGAAGGTGGCGAACTCGTCTTGGAATGCTCGTGGGAAGAAAGACATTTTGCGTGTTGTTGGTTTGACGATGTGGTAAGTGGTGGTTGGTGAGCTTTTGTAGATGGTTGCGGCTCGTGGTAGTTTGTTGCTGATTGTTCTGTGCATGTAGTGCGTTCGAGTTTCTGTTTGTTCTGATGATGCCTCGACAGTGAGTGAAGCAGTGTCTACTTATACCTTTGAAGCACTGTTGGTGGCTGCCTACGGATCATTCTAGAGGTATCTTCGACCATGCTAGAGGGATCTCGAAGCTGCGTAAGACTTTTCGTCAGCATGGTGCATCGAGCATTCTAGAGTGAATTTCACTCAGAGGTGGCTAGGTTGCCTTCACGATCCTGCTGGTAGCTTCCAGAAAGTCATGGGAAAGGCGCTATACCATATTTGTCACCATGCCAAGATCCGAGTCACGTGCTCTAGGATCGAGCGACACATGGCAGCAATGTGGCTACATACCTTACCGTACCAGGTACCATGCAAGTGCCGTTGTGGCAATGGGCCGACTGCATAGTCTGGGTCCTGCCGGTACTCTCTCGTCCACTTCATTGGCGTCTTCTTACCGCTCGATCATTGGACAAACGAAACCGCCCCTGCACTGCATCAGCTCCACATCGACGGCAGATGAACTCAGCGAAAGGCGATCTGAGCTCGGTGTTTTGCACCACCGAATCATGGAAGACATCAGAAATCCGCTGCAGTAGACGACCCTCAGCCTACTCCATGCACAATTTTACACGGTCACTTCAAAGTGATGCAGCGGCCGGCGTATAGAAGTGCTGAGGTCAGATGCGAGACTGTAAAAGATAGGTGAGGTACCTGATCCTGATACATATACAGTCCTTATTCCTTTCGACAATTCAACGAGCGAGTCGTACCATCACCTCGCACACGAGAACGCCAACATCACCGCCTCAGCGTCCGACGTCATAGCCTCTACACATTCAAAGAAGCCTTACTTCCACAGTCCGGACACCCGCAGAGCTAAAACCACCCGGCAAGCCAAGAAAAGCATATCTTCTAGACTACTGCACCGCAAATCTCCCTCATGCACGTCGCTGGATCAGATCAGATCAGATCTCCTGAAAAGAGCCGTTACCGTGGCCACTTCGCGTGGCATGCAAGGTACGAAAGCAAGGGCCAGGTAGCATGCGAAGCTTGTTGGGACGTCGGTTGGTGTTTTTTTTTTTCTCTGTTCATTGATAGACACACATTCGAACGAAGGGAAGCCATCCAGAACTCGATCTCGGCGTGAAGTTTGCGCTAGTAGTCCACTGGAGCTGGATATCGTTGACTTGCAGCCCGGTATTGCTCGGGGTATTTCTGAGCTGCTCGGGTATTCAACGCACTTCACGATCATTGTTAGTTCTCCTGTCTGTCGTTCGATGCGGTTTCCGTGGTTAGCACAAGATTGACGTACTTCACTTTCTTCTGTGTCCAGTCGAGATCCCGCTGCACATCTTTGGCAGCTTTCATGCCTTCCGCAAAGTTGGCGCGTGTTTTTGCGAGTCGTGCTCTGGCTTGTGCTTGCAATGCGAGGATTTCGCGATTCTTTGCATTCAGCTCGCCGGACCTTGATCGGAAATCAGCGCTCAGCTCCACTTTTCGTCAGAATGCAGATACTCACATCTGCGCTTGTTTCACCAGATTTTTATCGAGAGGAATGGGGTTGTAAGCTTGAGATAGTCGGTCGGTCATGTAGTCCAGCAGATCGACACTCGTGGCGCCATTGGACGAGTCATAGTCGCTGCCACCATATGCACTGGATGCTGAGGAGTATAGTCCCGCGCCTGATGAAGAGACACTCTCTGCACGTTCTGGAGGCGATGCCGACAGTTGGCTGTAGGCAGAAGAGCTCCGCGCATGTCGACTGACATAAGGGCTTTGCGGCGTCTTGCCAGGTACATTGACGGGTAGCGAGCCCGCTGGGGATGGGTAGTAAGACGTAGACATCTTGAGGCAGCTAGATGAGGGTTGGTCGTAGGTGCAAGGTATGACAGACTAAGAGGGGTGCGTTCAGAGTGGACGACAGACTTTGATGAGAGTGAGTGAGGAGAAGGAAAGGAAGAGGAAGCGTTTCGCTTTCCTGCCACCTTTTTATACCTCAACCTACCTCGCTCCGTGACAGGCATCCATGATGGGAGGACTCCGCACGAAGCTGAGGCGAGCACACCATCTCACGCGAGCGATACCGTCATGTACATGTCAGGTTATGTAGCTGCCCTGTCGCTCGATGAACGGAGGCAGTGAGTAGCACGGATGGCTCCTGCCTCATACAGGCCTGCGGGCCAATGGCAGGATTGAAGCGCGAGGGTGAAAGAGGCAACCTAGCCCCGATTGCTCCGGCCAGGGCATCATCGAGACAGTCACGACCAGTCTGCCATTGGCTTTGATAGCAACCTAGTGTCTAGCTGCATGCTCAGGTCAGTAGCTACAGGTAAGGGAGGTAATGTACGGTATGGTATTGCATTGCCGCAGCTGTTCCAGTGGGTCGAGTACTGCAGTAATCCTATCGGCTCGCGCCGAGCGTGCAAAAGGTAGGTCAGGTAGGTAGGTTAGGTAGACGGGACGCTCGTGGGCATGCAGGACCAGTCATACATGTAGTCATGGACATTCACGGTGCCTGCTCCTTCACCATCCTCATCATCATCATCATCATCATCATCATACTCCTCCTCCTCCACCTGGGCCAGCCCCGACAACTCGTTAGCAAGTGCCGCAGCGCCGTCAGTGGGTGGACGGATCAGGGCATCCATGTCCAAGACGAGAGTTTGGGCGCCGGTGGGAATGTGTTGTCACAGCAGTAGCAGCAGCAGCAGCTATACGGATCGCTCGCTGGGCACGGAAGAGACAGAGGCAGAATGCGGTGAAGCCGTCCACGCGCTCTGACAGCTTTCCGGCATGTGTAGAGGCATGTCAAACCAACTGCAGTGGCACCGTGTGCGCCAGAAGGAAGGTGAAGTCGGGTTCCGCCTGCAGAAGTTCCTCGCCAAGCACGCTAAGCCACAAGTGGAGCAACTCTCTTCGCTCGTGCCTTTTTCTTCCTTGTTGCACGTTGCTGCTGGTTTCACATTCGCGCGCGCCTCTTCTCCCCCTCCCACTCCACGTCGCCGTTTCGGGACACGCGGCGCGTCGCCTGCTATCCCGTCCTCGACTCGTGTTGCGGAGAGCATGGCATAGCATGGCATGATCAGCTCGAAGTCAGGTCAGGTAGGTCAGGTCAGGTCGGGAAAGAGGCTTCCCGTTCCCGTCAGGTTTCCGTTCGTACCAGGACTTTTCGACATCAAGGACATCCATGGCTGCCCAACCTCTCACGACGTTCGGGCAGTCGTGCTGCTGGTGCTGCACGCCTGAGGACGCTGGTCCACGGAAGGCAATGCGTTTTGACAGAGCTGTCCGCTAGTGCTTCCGCCATGGATAATGGACCTGCTAGGAGGTACATACAGGTAGCTGTTGGGCTGCTCTCTCTGGGTACATGTACCCGACATACATACATACAGCATACAGGTAAGGTACATCTTCGTTGTCATAATGTACCATGACGCCCACTTTCGCGAAGCCGCATGAACTCTTGGACACCTGCTTCGATATACATGTAGGAGGTATGTACATGTACTACTCAGGTTAGTACATGATGTACATCTGGGACGTCACTGTCCTTCCCGTTTTGCACAAACAGTGAGCCGACAATGCTCGACCACGGAAACTGCACGACCCTGCTCTGAAGCTGCATGCAAAACACCGCGCTCATACCGTCTACCTTGGTGATTGCACTTCACCTGCCTAGCGGGAATGAGGATTACCACAAATTGAGAATGCTGAGTCCTCGCAGAGTTGGAACTGCGAATATGCATTTAGAGAAGTGTCTCAAGGGAGATGGTGATGATGGTGAAGCGGCGTAGTGAATGGTGAGCTTCACTTCCGTTCCAGTGAGATCTTCAATTCCGGCTCATCTAGTCACTGAAGCTTAAGCTAAGCCACATTAACGCCCCATCTCGACCATCGAACCAAATCCACTCCACCAACTCCAAGCCATCGTAACGTCACAACACAAGAATGGCACCCAACGATGCACTCAAGCAGTAGGTCGCCTATATCATATCCTTCGTACCATCTACTGACTCTTGCAGCATGTGGGAGACTGGTGACTGGAGCGACCTCACCATCATCGCAGGGGGCAGGCATTTCAAAGTACACAAAAGCGTTGTGTGCCACGGAAGTCCTGTCATCAAAGCGGCATGCAGTCGCGACTGGGAGGTCAGTGGCCAACGAAGGCAGACACATGCAGCAATGTGAAGCTGAATATCTACAGGAAGCTCGCACCGGTATCATCAACTTGCCTGAGAGTGCGAGCGTCATCGAGGAACTTCTCGCAACCCTGTATGATGTCTCTAGCCCATATATGGAAAGGGAGTCTGGAATTATGGATGCGTACGAGAACCTAAGCTTTAGAATTGCGGCCGATAAGGTAATAAGAACCTTGCTTGCCATTGCTCTGTCGGTTCGGTACTAACAGAGCCTATAGTACCACGTTGGAAGGCTCCTGGTCCGCACAGAATCCGATTTTATCGAGTCAATTCGTGACGGGGCCTGGTCTGAAAACACGATGCTGCTCATCGACCTTGGCATCCAGATCTATGACCTCGATTGCTCGGCCGTGACTTTTCAGCAAAGCCTTATAGCGCTTCTCTGGGCAACTACATTGAATCTCAAATATGTGCTGTTGGAGCAGGCGGCGTGGAACAAGTTGGTGGCATGCACCCTATATCATCACGATCTGATGCGATTCATGAGCACATGTGCTGGGAATTTGGAGGATAAGGAAAAGATGGGTAATTTCCGGTGCGGTCGAAGCGCAAAGAAAATCGCTCCCATTGTCGATGAGGACTCAGAATAAGATCTGCAGTGGACAAGCAGACACAGGCGAAAGAGAACGAAATTTCTAACTACGATGCCTACGAGAGCACTCCAAAGGGTCTGCAGATTTGATCTAATGAAAGGAGTTCATAAAAGAGAGGTTGAATATATTCTCGCAATTTTGTAGCTCCTGTAACTATTGGAGACAAAAAGACAGAGGAAGTACCTAGAGCCTATACGGTATACGGATATAGAAACTGCCAGCTCGCCCTCTGAATGTGTATAGTTCATTACGAGCAATTATCTAGTCGCAGACCCCATTCTGAGTCATCGAGTAATTACGTACCCTTCGGTCCTTTCCGCTGCAATCCTACCCCCTAAAAAACAACGCGTCTCGGATCTTCCCTCGCTACCTACCTTACCTAACCTCCTAGAATATAGGAATTCTCTTCTAAATACCTTAGGGATACCGAATACCTCGGGGATACCGACTAGATTGCCCCTCTAACCCCCTAAGGAGGGCTAAGAATCGAGAGGGGTATCCTTCGGAGTACAATATAGAGTAAAGCCTATAGGTAGGTAAAGAGCGACTGAGCGAGTATATATCGTAAGGCTTAGGGCCAAGGGTACGTGATTACTTGATGACTCAGAATGGGGTCCGCCCATAGAGTTCCAGTCCTCTATTTCGTTTTGGGCAACCCTCAGGTCTTGGCATCTCGCGACGGCTTCTTTTCGTGGGCCACACCATACCACGTTTCCCTTGGTTGGTGAATAGCAAGCGTACACGAGAGGATACGCGTCCACGTGAGATCTCTCTCTCTCTTGAGTATACCTCTCTCCTACCTTAGATACTGAGATGAGGCAGAGGTAGGTGGAATCTAGCGACCTCCGCATCTCATCCACTCACACATTATGCGCGTCCACGACGCGTTGTGAACTGACAGCTTCAATTCTGCAAGGCCAAGCACATCCTCGATAGTGACCTGGAGGTATGGCCTGCACGTTAACAGTGCCGTTTTGGCCCACCTCGTACGACAATCTACACTGGTCCAAAGACAATCAAATCGCCGTCCTGGGCGGCGAGCACATTCTCATCCTGACACCGCGTCTCCATGAACCCAACCCGAGTCACCTCTGGTGGGACACGGAGAACTTGATCAGGATTAATGCCTTCACTGAACCGGAGCTTCTGCGATCCGCCGTCTTGACAGATCGCAATACCTCGATTGGCGAGGAGAGTTCCATCTTTCATGCCCACGCCGCAGCGTGGTCGAGTCCCGGTCTGGCGCGACATGGAGGAAGCGCGCTTGCGGTGTTGACGACGAATCATGTCTTGAGTCTGTGGGCGCCGGAGCCTCTCGCCAAGGGAGTCGCGGTTTGGCAGCGGACTCTGGTCATCAATCATGCCATTCGCCAGTTCTATCATGAGAAACACGGTATGCAGAGCGATGGCGATGGGCGCGAATCCGAAGAGGCCCTCCAAATACAGCAACGAGTCCGCTCCTTTGCATGGACGCAGCCTGTCCACAGCGACCTGGAACGCCCACATCCTGACCTCTTCTCCGGCCTGCATCACCTGGTAGTGGCGACTGAGGGTGGCCATATTCTCGTCTTGCGAATCACTTCGCCATATTGCGATCCAACTAACAAGCACTCCACCTGGCAGGCCATCATCAGTGAATCGCTATACATCACCGGCCTTACTCAGTCTCTTTATCTGGAAGATACCAATGGCTTGCGACACCCGCAATCGACGATAGCAATGCCCAGACCCTCTGGGGTCGACTATGTTGGGCCAGAACACATTGCCGTTGGTGAATGGCACTCGGGCAGAAGCGATCATAAGCGTGCTGCAGCCGTGGTATTTATCCTCGAGGGTAGACTGTATATCACCAGTCTTCTACACGACGCAGACGGAAATACCTCTTTTACCTCTGGTCTGAAGCCTTCCGTGTCCTGGCATCTTCGCGATCGCGTAGACCTCAGAGGCCCGCTCAAAGTTACTCCTGGTATCGATGCAGGAGCTCTGGTGGTGTTTGGGACCAATGCTGTTTTCCATGGGCAGCTCATGTTTAATGACATCAAGACGTCCTTGAGCGTGGACTTCAACGATCACCATCTGGATGACAGATGGGACGATGTGACTGGCGTCACAATCACCAATAGTGCAGATGGCAATGCGCTGCTGCATGTTGTCTCTCATTTGTCAAGTTCTACAGCGCCGACACATGCCTTGCAACTGCCTCTTGCTCCAGGCAGAGATGCACCTGGTCAGCCAGCATGGCAATTCGCTCTCAATGATTCAAAAGAAGCCTATGCAGCAACGAATGACCTTGGTAATCATGTACAGGAGAGGACATGGGGCATCGCGTGTGCTCCTGTGAATGGTTATACTGCGGTCTGCGCAAGCATGCATCCGAACGATGTGATTGCCTACATCATCAACGCAGACCAGGCGTCTATCCTCAACATCACCCTCGAGTCGGAAGCACGCGCAGATGACTTCCGGTTAGCACCCGCCGAGGTCGACAGCTTCAGTGGTTTGCCATCAAGCACTATCCTGTTCTTTCTCAAGCGCTATCTCGAACAAAAAGTAGACCGCGAGACTGCACCTCAAGACGAGCATGATACATTGGTGAGACACGTGCAGAATATGTTATCACCAGGACATGGTGTCGGCTTCAAGAGTCTCGTACGAGCCAGCGACAGCAATGCCATATTGCTCTACAAGACCAGGATCAGCCTCTTCGCTAATGCAGCGGTTCGCCGCGTTCAAGCAACCAGAATATGCAATCTCGCCGGCAGTGACCATGCACTCCAACCCGAAGGCATGACGACCATGATTCGGCACGTTGCTGAAGTTGTCTTCAGTATATCACGCGATGACGTTGAGTTCGATGATATGAGCATGAATATACGACGAGTATATGAGATCGCAGTATCAAAACTGGACGCGAACTATCGTCCGGGCGACCGCGAAGCATCAGCCACAGCGTGGAGAGAGCAATGCAAGATATGCCACCAGTCAATCATATTTGAGAGCTTCAAGTGGGCGAGGTGTCAGCAGGGGCATCAATTTTCCAGATGCGCACTTTCTTTGCTGGCCAATCAAGAGCCTGCCACCACCAAAGAATGTTCTGTATGTGGTTTGCACTATCTGGATGAAACGGTTGTGGACGGTTTTCGGACGGTTCCTCAGGATTTGCACATGGTTGGGCTAAATGGGGAAGTCAACAGCCAAGAAGAGAACGCGGTATCGAAGATGACAATGGCAGAGTTACTCTTCAAGGCATGTCATGTGTGCCTTTATTGTGGCGGCAAGTTTGGAGACTAGATCGACCTGAAGAAGTGGAGTAGTCACTGGGCTCACTTATTATTGTGAGACGAAAGCACCGAACCTCTGCCGCACAAGCCACACTGGTACACATTGGTCGCAGAATGGGGCTTGCTCACGAGTGACGGTCGATATATTTGCTTGGTACACTTTATATGACCTGCCACCACGAGTTGCTCAATAATGCGTCAAGATAGAACTTTGTGCGACCTTCGCTCGACCTCGCCGAGGCCAATTTCTAGCCGCATTCCAGATGTCGCTGGGCCATCACAACAGAACCTTCGCGACGACGCGTCCGCCCATGTACACTAACAGACACTATACGCGAGTCTCCATAGTGACAGCGCATCGTTCGCGACTTGTCGATGCTATATGCCCAAGTCCAAGCTCTGACGAAGATCATCAGAGGCGATCGTTGAAGATCAATTAATACTGCAAGCACCCACGAGCACGAACGATACGCACTGTACGCCACTGCTCCACGATACCAGAAGATGTCTTTGGAAGACGCCATGGATGTCGACGAGAAAGCGAACCATGGTATCCATCTTGCCAGCAACAGCGTTCGATACTCCAATTCACCCAGGCGGGGAGTCACGATAGAGCAACCGCAGAGTCCAACGAAGAGCGTACATCCTGAACATAGCGGCATGGTCGGCCATATGGAGTCTATCGATAGCCAGGCTGACCTCGGAAAACGAACCATTGATCTGTTTGACTATGATTCGGATGGGGAAGAAGGCCTGCCTCGAGCTTTGACCATGGACACCTTTGATACACGGCCTCGATCACGATCGACCTCACCCGCAAAGCGAAAAGAGATGCCTCCTTCTGGTCAGTCGTTTGCATCGAAATGTGAGCCCAAACGAGTGAGCATGAAAGCGTTGGAGCCCGACTCGGAAGGCTACGAGCGAATGGATTCAAATCTTGATCAATATATTGATCATGGCAGTGCAAGCCATGATGAGTCGTACACCGGGTCCGTTGATGAGTTTCCAGAGGACTCCCGACTGCCCAAGCCATCTGTCCGACTGTCGGCGACAAACCGCTTTCGCACCTCTGGACTTGGTTGGACTCCCTCGGGACCGTCACCAGCACATCAAAAGATGTATGAGAGTGCTCGTGGGTCGTCAATGTACTCCGAGAAGATTGATCAGAGACTCGGAGTGCATCAAATGGCTTACGAGATGCTCATTCAAGGCATGATGAGTGACCAGGAATTGATGGACAACAAACGCGCGACGTTCAAAGATGGACGGCCGGCGATGCTGCCGCCTACTCTCCCCACGGACGACCCAAGAAGTCCTCGCGACCAACTCCCCGCCAACCCTTCTCCAGAACGCACGAACTCGCACCGCAGTGTACAGTCTCGAAAGAAAGCACATTTCATCCCGTCACCCATCGACGTCGGTGGTCCGAACCACTACTCGCTACCTGCCGACATCGTCCGCACTCCATACCCATACTCACCCGAGAGCATTCAGCCCAATCGAAAAGACTTCCATCGTTCACCCCCTCCAATACCCGAAAGTCCTGCCGTCCCTCCGTCCACCGATCTCCTCCTGACTCTCAGCATACGACGCTCCAACCCCAATTCCCCTTCCCGAGTAACCACTCTCACCATCCCCCATTCCAACGACTACTCCACCCTCCGCACCAACGAAAAAGGCCAATCCGTCGGCCACACGTTATCCCACCACTACGACGACCAAGAACTCTTCCGCCACCTCCACCTGTCCTACAAACACCTCTCTGGCCCCTTCATCCGCCTCTTCTCCGCCCGCAGTCTCACTCGCATCGCAATCAACGGACCCGCCACCCGCGCCGCCGATGCAGGTTACGGCTGGCTCCTCTCGCCTCGCAGTCCGAGATTACTCGCTTCTCGTGGACTGACGGATAGTTTTTCCGAAGAGAAAATTCTCCATTTGTATCGTCATCCACGTGAAGGGAAAAATCGGTTTGCGTTTGTTCATTGGGCGAGGAGATTGGCTGCTGCTTCTTCTTCTTCTTCTGCTCCTTCTTCTCCTGCTGCTGCTGATACTCTACTGCCTCACAAGCCAGCGGATCACCCTGAGCAGGATGGCGATACGCGTGGGATGGGAGATGTTTCACGAAAATTCCCTCTCGACAGTCTGATAGTCAGGGGCGAACAACCCGAAGGATTGGAATTTGTAGTGAGTTGGAGTGCGAGAAGAATCTCAATTGCGCTTTTGCTCGTGATTCTACTAGCTATCCTCGCAAATTTGCTTTGGGTGTTTTTGGGAAAACAGACTACGCCTGGCGGTGGTAGTGGTGGTGGTTGGCCTGATGTTTTTGGTGGTCCTGCTACTGCTACTGCTACTGCAGGTTTCAAGGGTGCTGGTGATCGTGTTGGAACGGGAGTACTTGTGGGAGTTTTGGTGCTTCTGATTGGATTGACTACGTTTGGAGGATGGCTGGGGATTAGTTGGCTGGTTCTGTGAATAATATTTTTGATTTTGATTTTATTTTTTTTCGTACCATATCACGTATTAGTGTTGTTTGGACAAGGTGCACTTTCCATGCTGTGGACGTGTTTGTCATTTGTCGTGAATTGATATATTGGTTATGTTGTTGTATTGTTTTGACTGCCTATATCAACTCAATTTCAAGACGTCTTCCTTTCCTCGACACAACTTCACTCCCTCCCCTACCCTAGCTTCCTCAACCTCTATCCAATACATCTAGTATTCCCACTAACCACAAATTCAAACTTACTACCCGACTTCATCATCCATCCATCCAACCAAACCTACTTGCAAAAGCCTCTACATCAATCACCTTTATGACTAGCCCAAAAACACTACGTAGATCAATTATAAATCGCGAGAAGAACTTCCTCTTAAAAAGACCACCGTATCATTCTGAGATGTCGTCCATAATGACGCTCGAAGCCGCAAAAAGGAGGAAAAGACATTACATACTGAGGCGGGATCGTTGAAAGAGCTAGTTGTTTTCATCTTTAAATTTTAGGAAATCAGTCAGTTCCAAAGAAGAAAGGTAAGGTACCTAGGTAGATACTACCAGAATCAGTAGTAATCCTTCATTTACCAATCCTAGTGCGCATGTGCATACTAAAATCTGTTGAAAACCCGGAACCGGGCAGTCGTTCGAACTCTGCACGTGGATTTGCAAGTGGAGAGGCAGGGGGTGTTGCGAGTCGATAATGAACTGGCCGATCGTTCGTTCGTTCATTTTCGGTCTCCTTGAGCTGAAGTGGAGCGAAAGCGAAAGACCGAAGGAACAGAACAGAACAGAACAGAACAGGACAGGGTATCAAAAGAAAAAAATGTTGCAACGTCTGGATTCGTATAGCAGTAGAGGTCAGCAGATCAAGAATCAATCATAGCCAGGCCAGATTCTATAGATGTAATTCGTCCGTGAGCATAGCAAGACCAATCATGATTGTAGCGAGCAAGGCAAGCAACAGGTTGAGAAGAAAGAAAGGAAAGTCTCTTTTTGAATTTCCCAGAAAGGCGGACGATAGATACTAGCCACTCAACCAACTAACTAACCAATCAATATAACGAATCGACAAGACTCGGAAATCCAAGCAAAAGGATACCGTGAGCGTGATGAGAAAAAAAAGGTATAAGATTTGTTGTCGTCGAATGAATTGCCAAGCGATGAGAAAATCAAACCTTACCTAGGTGAATTGAAAACACCGAAAGAAAGGGTGACGGGCTTGGCATCGGGGATACTTGTTACCTACCTTACCTTACCTAGGTACCTACATGTACGCACACCCCATCCCTTTTTGAATTCGCCGCCGAATTCTTGTGCTCCACGTGAGAGCGATGACCAGTCCTGCCGGACTTCTCTTGGAAGTGTACGCATCCTATCACGTTCGTGACTAGATGGTCTGCTTCCGGAGGGGATTCTTGGTATCGAAGACGAATGCCTAGAGCTAGGCACGGTCATGGGCATCTCCTAGGCTAGCTAGCTATCGTTCCAAGTGGATATGGATGGAGGAATCGATGGATGTATCGATGGATGTATATGTGTATATATAAATGATATGCATTCGCTGCCCTGTTCTGCTTTGTGCCATCTGAAGATCATCATCATCATCATATCCAACTAGTCCTTCCTTCCACATCTGCCTCCCGACACTCACTCTCACAACGACCAATATGAAGACCTTCTCCACTCTCCTACTCATCGGCTCCGCCGCGGCCCTCAACACCAAGCGCGACGCAGAACCACTCCTGCGCTTGAACCTGCCACTCGTCGGCGATCTCTCGAGCACCCTCAAGTCCCTCCCTGTTGTCGACTCTCTTCTCGACAAGCGCGACGCAGAACCACTCCTGCGCTTGAACCTCCCACTCGTCGGCGATCTCTCGAGCACCCTCAAGTCCCTCCCTGTTGTCGACTCTCTTCTCGACAAGCGCGACGCACTTGACCTGACCACTATCCCAGTCATCTCTCTTGGAGACTTGCTCACCCTGAGAGTTGGAAAGGAGAAGCGAGATGCACTGCTGAAGGAACTGCCCCTTGTTGGGGACCTTTTGGAGGTGGACATCCCAATTGTTGGGGACCTCGTTGAAAAGCTTCCTGTCGTTGGAGATCTGGCGAAACGCGACGCACTGTTGAAGGGATTGCCCATTGTTGGAGATATTATTGAGGATCTTCCTTTTGTTGGAGAACTTGTCGAGGAAAAACTCACGAATGTTGGAAAAATTGTTGAAGACCTGCCGGTTGTCGGAGACATTGTTGAAGACATTCCTGTTGTCTCGGATATTGTCAAGAAACTTCCTGATGTTGGCAAAGCACTGACGACGCGTGAGAGCAAGATGGCGAGGTCGTTCAGGGCTTAGGTGTGTGGCTCTCCTATGATAGCGAAGGAGGCTGATTGAGGAATCATTTGTATGCTATTCTTAAGGTTGGACGAGATTGCGTGGGATCTGTTAGCTTGGTATTTATCATGGATGTATTCTCTTGAAGTATGATATAGTGAGTCGCTTCGTCGAGTGTTGAGCCCAGGGAACTATAGTGTTGTGAAAGACTCCTCGGTAGTCGCTGTACAAGAGCTCTGCTGTCGAAGGGCGAGGGCTGTATACCACTAGAAGAGTGGCGATAGTTAGCTATTACATGATGTGATTCTCAAGAGCTCCTGGAGAGATGCTCAGGGCTGTGAAGATCTGCGAGGTGTGTTATACAGTTCACATTGCTGATATGTCTGTTGACATTGGCGTATTCTTGTAAGTGAAGGTAAAGCAACTTGAGGTTGGCGTGAGGTGCTTTTGTCGCCCGTTTGCAGTCCTTCACGTCGTCGTGACACCAGACTGCATCTGTCTCACACAGGAAGTACATGTATGGATAATGGAAGCACAGGAGAGTGTGTGAGAGAGAGGGAGAGAGATAGAAAGGAAGAGAACGAGAAAGAGGAAAGAGAGATTGCCAAGAATACGGAGTCCGCTCCGTCACCGCCTTCCGCCCCATAGCTACCACCTACACACAAGTTTTTGACCACCGAGCACATATCGACCACCCCCTCCAACCACCACCTCCTCCAACGAAAATGCCCGGCGGCCGTCCCCCTCTCTGCCTCGATGAACACCGCGAGTTCATTACCACCAGCATCCAAGTCCTCGGCCTCACGCGCGAAGAAGTCGTCGATGAACTCTCCAAATCCCATGGCTTAGCGGTCAGTCGCGGCACTCTCAGAAGAAGGCTGTTAGACTGGGGCATTCGAACGCAGCGGGCGAACTTTTCCGACTCTCCGGCTCTGCGAGTGCGGTTACAGCATTATTTCCACAATTCGGGCCTGACCGATCTGGAAATCTCTGAGACGTTGACGCGCGATGAAGGCTTTGATATCAGCCCGAAGCGCGTAGCGAAATGTCGGAAAGAAATGGGCTTGTACAAGAGGGTAGATGCGGACAAGAGGGGTGTGGCGGAGCGGACAGTGGAGGAGTTGTTAAAGAAGGAGTTGGAGGAGAATGAGGCAGTTAGGGAACTGGGCCAGAAGGCGTTGTATAAGCATTTGAGGTCTAAATACAATGTGACGGGAAGAGACCGCATTTTCACCATTGCGAAGAGGCTTGATCCCGAGGGCCCGGAGAGAAGATCGAGGGCGCAGAGGAAGGGAGCGAGGAGGAGTGGATTGAGAAAGGAGAGGGAGGCGAAAGCTGCGGAAGAGGAGGCGCGACGGCAGCAGCAGCAGCAGCCAGGCGGAGAGCATCTGATTGAACAACAACAGCATGAACAATCACGGCCAGAGTATGTGCCTCTGGATCCGACCATGTACGACAGCAACTATGGCGCTTACGGCCAGCAACCTGGTGTGCCAAACGGTGATGCTGCAATAACCAACCATCTCCATCCTCACCATCGTGTGCCGCAGGAGGAACATTCTCAAGTAGGCGAGGGGTCGACAAACTCACGAGGTCAGCTGCAGTGCTACTATCCCTCCTCGATCACGACTGGTGTGAATCTAGAAGAGGATTATCACTATGCTCGCGGTCTGACCGGATGACCAGACATGGACTGAACATGGTTAACTGCTCAATGATGCAAGGGTTAGTTGAAAAGCTTACGGAATATCACGCAAAGCTGTCTTGATCCTGTCGAGAAATTCGTAGCAAAGGAAAGTGTTGTCGCGTATCTCTGCTTGCAGCCTAGAGATAGGTACCTTATTTACGCCCCTAAACAGAAATCAGACTCCGACAATGGTCGAAACCACCATCTTTTCCCAACCCGAAGATGTGATGTTAAGGAGGGAAGTCTGTATGACCAGCCGTGAAGGTAACAACAGGGAGTACGTATGTCCATCACGAGCTGCTCGGGCTGCCTGTGTGGTTTCTGACCTCACCACAAGTCGAATCCGATGTGTGCATTGGGCAAACCCTCTGGGCGCATTTGAGTGACCACCTCTCTCTACGGTGGTTCCAACGCAGTCCCCAAGTAACAGGTCTTGTTCATATCATGCTCTTGATTCAGCGCCATGTAAGCTAATATCTCAAGTCCAGTATAACTACAAGTGCGCTTCTCTTTCGCGCACACACGGCCCGCAGTGCTCACACTCCTGAACCTCATGCATTTCCCACCTAATCCAAGTTCGCAGTGACGTTGGAGAACTCGCCCTTCTCCAGCTTCGTCTTCCAGAAGATAGGATTCGTGTCCATGAAGCCGTGCTTGACCCAGCCCTCCTCCTTGACATGGTATAAGTTGATGAAACCACCAGAGAAAGCATCTCTGTGCGTCGCAGCCAAAATACTTCTCTTCCCCAGCTCCAGTGCCTCATCATCCTCCAGGTCGTATTTGTACTCTGCGTCCAGCACACCATAGGCGAAAGTCTGACCCGAACCAACACAGAACAAGTTACCCGCTAACCGCGTGCCATCGCTGTCGATGTAGTAGAGAGCCGGTCCTTCGGTAGGGGTCACACCGGCGCACATGGTCCCCATACTCAGACCCATGCCCTTGTAGCTGTAGACGAGGTTGGCGAGGATTTTCGAGGCAGCAGCGACAGAAATGCGGCGCTTGTGGCGGAGTTCGTGGAGTCTACATTGCATTCCGAGGTATGCGAGCCAGTATTGACAGTCCTGTAAAGAAGTGAAGCCAAGTCAGCCTACCATACCGTTCTCGACGCATGCAACCCTTCAAGTGATCAACCTACAGCAGCACCACCAGCCATGGTCCCCAACAACGCACTATTGATCTCAATAACCTTCTTCACCGTTTGACTGGCAATCCAGTTCCCTGCTGTGGCTCTCGAATCCGTGGCAACGATGATACCGCCCTTGAAGCGGAAGGCGAGTGTTGTGGTTCCGTGGGCAATCTTGATGGGACATTGGGGGTTGGAGTGGTCATCGGTCATGGCGCGCAACCAGGCTGCATTGTTGGCGACGGGAGGGAGGGCGAAGTTGAGATTGAGCTGTGGTTGCACGTCGAGCGCCAGTTGGAGCTGCTCTTCTTCGCTGTAGCCCTCGTTCTGGAACGCCGGGCGGCTGTATTGAGCCACCAGCGAGTCCATTGTGATGTACGGAATGGGGATGTACTACTCTGACGCTTTCCAGAGGGTTGGATAGACACGGGATTCGATGGAACAGGCGGCTGTTTGGTTGTCGTGTTTGGAGGTGTTTAAGGTGAGAGTGAGTGAGTACCTAGTGAGCTCGATCTGGAGCTCGCAGCGCGAAGGCAAGGCAGTCGCGACGCATCACCGAGTTTCTGCCTCAGGCTGTAACTACTTCACCTTCACCCTCTCGTCTGAGGTGCCCTTCACACCAAGGAAGCTTCTTTTCAACTCCCAACCTCACTTCAGTTCTTGAGGCTCGGCCATGTCTTAAAGCCAGCAGTAAACATAATGGCAGAAGACAACGTGGCTGGAGACTGGCGGAAGGCCGTCTCCTTCAGCGAGCGACTCAGCAACACCACCGAAATGCAAGCCGGTGCCAATCGTGGTATACGGGAGAAACGGTAGCTGACTTGTGCTAGTATCTCAGCCTACAAGACGGTGAATCCAGGGTGTCCAACCTCGGAAGCATCAACACAAGCGAAAGCGAGAGAGGAACAAGCGCGAAGAGCGGCCACGTCTCTGGTGCGAGATTCCTGGGTCTGTTTCTCCCTCAGCAGCTTTTCTGATGAGCTGCACAGGACGAGTACCACGAACTTGTGCGGCGAAACGTCTCCGAACTACTCGCATCAGCCGTAACCACTCCGGCTGGGGATCTCCATACGAATGAACACCACTTTCCCAACCTCCCGGCCTCGGGAGCAACCATTGGGCGGTATACCAACGCGGAACACTTTAATGATGGCCTCTTTTCCGAAGTCTTCCGTGCCCTTGATCCAGACCTACCCCCTGAAGGTGGCAAGCTGAGGATGGTAGCTTTGAAAGTCACGAATCCATCCATCATGCAACCACCTCATGACGCGGTGCGGGAAGCACAGATACTAGACAGAGCCGCACACGAGAACATCATTCTCCTGATCGAGACGTTCCGACAGTCAGACGGAATCTTTGTCCTCGTGTTTCCATATATGCCTTTCAGTCTCGATGCTTTGCTCGGGCAAAAGCGCTTCACTCCTCACAGTCGGAAAGCTAGTCTGAGAGACGTGTTCTCTGGACTGAAGCATATCCATAGTTTGGGAATCATACATCGGGACATCAAGCCCTCCAACATCCTCCTCGCAACACCTACTGGGCCAGCCTATATAGCAGACTTCGGCATCGCCTGGTCTTCGACAGACTCCGAACCAGCAGATTCCAAGATCCTGGACGTGGGAACTACATGCTACAGACCGCCGGAACTGCTTTTTGGCTACTCTTGCTATGGGACTCAGCTAGATATGTGGGCTGCTGGCTGTGTCGCCGCACAGATCCTATGCCTAGATGACAAGACACTTTTCGATGCCGGAGATCTGGGCAGCGAACTTGCATTGATCAAAAGTATATTCCAGTCTCTAGGGACACCAGATTTAGGTACTTGGCCTGGAGCCGAGAAAATGCCGGATTGGGGCAAGATGAACTTTACCAAGTATCCCGGTAAGCAGTGGGTTGAGATCCTGCGTGATGCGAAAGAGCAGGAAAGGGATCTTGTGAAGTCACTGGTCCAGTACGAGAGCTCGTGGCGACTGAGTGCTGAAGAGGTGAGTGCGCTGCCAGATGCGATCTGAAAAGGGGCCGTTCTGACACATGCTGCAGGCTTTGAGACATCCGGCTCTCTCGTGGTGATCGTGCTGACACTTCAACGACCCTTCCCGGCCACAAGCGCCCGTCGACCTAATCACCGCTCTGCGTTCCGGCAGACACTGGACTTTCCTGCCACCAGAGAGCTCAGAATGATGCCCCAATGTACGCCGCGTCCGACTGCCACAAGCAGCCCGTACAGCCAGTGTAATGCGCTGGTACAAAGGTCACCTGAGCTTGATCTCGCTGTCTGCACTTCATTTCCCGGAGAACATCGACAAGTAGACTGGCTCAGCATGCATCTTCCTCGACGCCGAGAACTATAACTTGAGCACATCCGCGATCCTGTCGCGCCCACTTTCTAGGACCTTGCTCACTTTGGAGAATGCGAATCTAAAGCCAGAGTGTCTCAATCTTGAGAACACTTGTGCACAAGCGATAGAGAACGACTATGACTATGCTTGACCTGACACCTGCTGCATTGGCAAGCCAGCAGTGTTGAGCTGTTCGAAGCTATCAAGTCCACGTTCAGATGGCACGACTGCATGGAAGTCTGCTATGCATGTCTTGCGGATGTGCAGAGTGATGCCGAAGGACAAGCGGACGGTGCGTGAACAAGGCGATAAGCATACTCTGACCACGACGCTCCAACCGGGCGCCTCTGGCACTGGCAATTTGGGTTGGCAGACTCTAGATTTTATTATATTATACCGTATTAGATCTGCTGGCACTCACTAGCAACGGAGTGCAATGACATTCTCCTCGTCATTGTTCTCACATGTCCCAACATCAACGTCTCTCCTTCCGCCTCGAATTTCCGCTCCAGTTCATCACTCCACGCATGGCTTGGACTCCCTATATCTTCGGCATTTTCCTATCCACCCCCAAACTCTCCACATCCTTGGGCTTGTAATAATGCGGCGCCACTTCCATTAACCACTCCGGCTGCAGTGGCATCACACTCCTCATGAACTCTTTGCTCGTCAATACCAACTCATAGAATATCACCCACTTGGGTCTCACATCCATTAACACCGAGCTGGGGTGGATATGCACGGTCAAGTTATTCTTCACCGTCCGATAGGAATCTCCACTGCGTTGGAGTCGGGCGGCATTGGGAAAGAATCCGGCTGTGATGGCGCGTTGAATAGGTGGGAGATTGCTGGTCCCGCAGGACGAGAGAGTGACTTCGACGCGATCGCAGAGTTTGGCGAGTTGGTCTCGCACGTCTCTGGCGCGCGTGAGGGAGCGTTGTTGGAGGAAGTTCTCTTTGGCCCAGACGTAGCTGAAATCGGCATCTACCCATTGGTTCCAGATGTTGAGGTAAGAGATGTGGTCGCCGCCTTCTTTAGAGGTGAAACGGGCTCGGGCGGCGTCGGCTTGGAGCTTTTTGTCTTTGGGTCGGTAGAAGAGGGCAGAGGCTTCGCCGAGCATGGCAATGATGGACAGCACCTCTTCTACGCAGCCTTCTTTATCGGCCTGGAGGACGGCTTTGGCAAGCATAGGGTCGGTAGGGAACTCGGCCATTTGGCGTCCTACTTTGGTGAGTTCACCTTTGTCGTTGAGGGCGCCGAGGGCGTAGAGTTGTTCGAGAGATCGAATCAACATGTCTGGCGCGGGAGGATCCATGAAGTCGAAGTTGATGAGGTCGTTTATACCGAGTGACTTGAGTAGCAGCACGATGGAGTTGAGATTAGTTCGCTGGATTTCAGGCGTGGTTGATTCCGGCAAGTCATTGTAGTATGCCCACTTCGTATATAGTCTGAAGCACTTTCCTGGCTGATTGCGTCCTGCTCGTCCAGCACGCTGATTTGCTGAAGCGCGAGAGATGGGCACCGAAACAAGAGACTCCATGTTCGTAGCAGGTGTATACCGGTTTTCTTTGACGTATCCAGGATCGATGACATATACGATACCATCTATCGTCAGAGACGTCTCCGCGATGTTAGTGGCCAGAACGACTTTGCGGACTTTCGGTGGAGTTGGGTCGAAGATCTTTTGCTGCAGATCTGTAGGCAGGTTGGCATAGATGGGGCATATTAACAGTTCTGGTGCCGCACTTCCTAGCTTTCGAGCCGTCTCCTGTAGTGATTGTTCCGCTTGCTCAATCTCATCCTGACCAGTCAAGAACACCAAGATATCGCCAGGCATAGGTTGGGAGAGATGTATTTGAAAGACGGTAGTAATGGCCGCAGAGAGGTAGTTCGCTTCTGGTTGCAACGAATAGTTCATCTCCACATCGTAGGTACGGCCGGGGATGTTGAGAATAGGAGCATCGTCAAAGAACTCGCTGAACTTCTGTGCATCAAGTGTAGCCGAGGAGATCAAGAGCTTGAGATCAGGTCGTCCTCTTGCGATATCCTTGACCAGACCGAACAGGATATCGGTATGCAGGGTGCGTTCGTGAGCTTCGTCAATCATGAGAGCGCTATAACCCCCCAGATCTGGCTCGGTCAAGAACTCGCGAAGTAACATACCATCAGTCATGTACTTCAGCGCCGTTTTGTCTGTGGTGTTGTCTTCGAAACGAATTGCATATCCGACTTCATTGCCGAGCTTCACGCCAACTTCCTCTGCTACACGGGCTGCAACACTCATAGCAGCAACACGACGCGGTTGCGTACATCCGACCTTCATGCCATCTTTACAATATCCGTCTTCGTACAAGAACTGCGGCAGTTGTGTAGTCTTGCCGCTGCCAGTCTCCCCTACAATAATCAGAATCTGATATTCCTTGACAGCATCCAGGAATTGCTGGCGGTACTGGTAGACCGGCAGTGTCTTCCGCTTCTCTTCCATCGTCTTGGCTTTCCTCTCCGCTGCCAACATTTGCTGTGCCAGGAGCTTCTCCTGTGGCGACTTCATGTCACTCATACCACCCTTCAAGACCGCATCGGTGACCCATCGTAACTGTTGCTCTTCGTCAAATACGTATTCGTAATCTCCCTCGTCCTGGTGATCGGGCACAATGATCTGGGCTTTCGTCTTGGCCAACTGTTCTCGCTCCCACTCTTCATGCTCGGTGACATACTTCTCTCGTCCTTGATCGTCGCGCTCCACATATCGACTATAGAGAGCCTTTTCTTTGCGCTTCGTGTCCAGCTTGCCCTTCTCCGTAATGTAATCATCTGGCAAAGCGTACCCGTCAATATGGTCATCAATGCCCTCACGCTCTTCTGCCAGCCGCAGAGCCTCACGATTCCTGGCAAATTCGTCCTTCTCCTGCTGGGTCAGGGTTGGGTTGTTCCGTTCCTCTTCCTCCTCCTCTGCGACCTGTCTCCGAAGAAGTGCCAGCTCTTGGGCAGAACGCTTCTTGAGATAATCCTGTCGCGATCGTAACCTCAGATCTTTCATCTCTTGGGCAGTCAGCTTTCCGGCTTGCGCCCGCCTCTCTGCGTCTGCAGCGTCTCGTTTTGATGATCGGTCTTCGGTCAGTTTCTTCGTGCTGTCCTTCTCTTTCTGCTTCAATCTCTCTTCGAATGCTTTGCGTTCTCTGCGATCGCGTTCCTCCTCGTCCTCCTCGTCCTCTTCATCCTCTTTTTCTGGCTCATCCTCCTTCGGCGACGTGGAGCCATTGTCAAATCGCGTACGTTTCGCCGGCGGAGAGGGGAAGTCCTCTTCGTCCTCTTCCTCCTCATCGCCCCATCGATCGTCGAAATCTCCATCACGCCGCCGTAGCTTCTTCCGCCTTTCTCCACTATGAGATCTCCTCCGGTCTCGATCCGACCTGTGCCGTGACTTTCTCTCGCCATTGTCCTCCCTTTTCCGCTCCGTCTTTGTTGCTGATGGGCGCGGTGCCTCCTCCTCGACCTCCATGTCGACAAGCGCATACTTTTTCTTGGCCATACCGGGCTTTGCACTCTTCTGTCCCTTGCCGTCGCTCGCTGCTCCATTCGAGCTTGGCTTGGCGACTTGGGCATACAGGCCCTCACTGAAACGGCGCAGGTCATCGTCAGTAGAATCTAGCATGCTCGACAGCTTGTCTAGGAGCTGCGAGGGCGATTTGGCACGCTTGGCCTCTGACACCACAAAGTCTACAATCATGTCTTCGCTCGCTCCGACCAGCTTGAGCAAGTGGTCGGAGACATATGTGCGGAGATCCATGATGGGGTGAAGGCGAGCAAGAGACGTGCTGCGACAGGAGTAGGTGCACGAGGTAGTAGTTTCGTGAAGCTTTACCTCAAGATATCGGCAGTCGGGCTCATGGCATGGGTAGAACGTAGAAACCTGAGGCAGAAGCAGCTCGGGAATTTTGGCTTGCGCGAGTCATGCATGTAGAGGAAGGCAGGACTGACTAAAGCACTCTAGGCGGTAGTGCCCGCTGTCTCGTCTTCCATTACAATTTCCTCCCGACGCGTCTCCGACGCGCCTCTCGAGGACAATCTATCAATATGAAGCATGCAGGCGGCCTTGACGCTGACGGTTGATATATTCTGTGATGGATGCCTTCGGAAAAGACTCGGTTTCCACGCTCCCACCACAGTATAGGTAGCTATCACCGACAGCTAGTGTCATGAAACATTCTTTTTTGATCACGCGTGGGGATCTGTATGTGTGTGTTGACCAGGATGTCTGTTTCACGGTCGCCGGGCAGCGGGCGGCCATGTGGAGACGCTCAGACGGGCATACTCGCACTCGCTCACGCTGCTGCTCATCGTAATCTCCAAGGAAGGCAGCACACCGTGTTTCCTAGGACCTAGGTAGTCTTCTTACCTTCTCCTTTCCTGCTTTCCCTTGCCGTAGATTTACCTATTCTTACCTACAGGAATTGTTACTGGTACCGCTCCTCCTGCTCCCCGTACTCCTGTCAGAACCTCCCCTCCCTCTCGCTCCTGCCTGCGCGCTGCGCTGTAATCGGGCGGTTCTATTCTTAGCGCGGCCGTCTTGCATGAGCTTCCATATGATAACCTAAAAAACACCGAAACCTCCTCCCACAACAGTAGCAGAAGCACGCGCCAGCAACAATAATACCTATAGCCTTGAGCATGTCTACACCCAACAGCAAAAAGCCGCCTATCCCGGCTGCCGCCCGACGCACTCCGACCACCGCTGCCAACAATCCACCGGCGAGCACACATAACAACCAAGGCTCCCAATCGCCGTCCAGGATGATCTCGTCCAGCACAACAAGCAGTAACGGTCCTGGCGCAACGGTCGGCCTCAATCGTTCACGATCCACACGCACTGGCGCCGCGCCTGTATCTGCCAGAGCTGCTGTCAGAGGCAAACCCGTTGCCGACTCTGCTGCTGACGAGGACGCCAAAGCTGAACTCGCCGCCAGAATGGACGAGCTTCAGGAGAAACTGCAAGAAGCCGAGCGAGCATGTGAAGAGTCGCAGAAGCAGGCTGCAGTGCTCCAGGTCAAGCTGGACGAGGCCCACAAGGAGCAAGGCATGCTGGAGGAGACCGTGCATGAACATACCGAGCGCATCAACGACCTAGAACTGGAGAAGAAAGAGAGCGTACGAGCCCGCCGCGAGATGGAGCAGATTTACGAGAGTGAAAAGGAGGCCGCGATGAAGGAGAAGGAAGAGGCGGCAACGCGTGAGGTGGAGATGCAGGCTGCTTTGCAGCGCATGAAGGAAACTTTGGCGCAGCGCGAAATGCGCGCCGGCTTAGAAGATGACAGTAGGAGGCCGATGATGACTCGGCACTCGAGCAACGGCCGGAGTGCGAATGGGTCGCCTGTTCGCGATGCATCAGATCGACAGTTTGCGCCGCCCTCCGTCTCGCGCAGTGACTCCGCGTCCAGAATCAACTCGAAGCTCGTGAACCAAAAGGACAAGATCATAGAAGGATTGCGACTGGAACTGGCTGAAGCTCAGATCAAGCTGGTGGAAATGGAGAATATGGGAGGAGGACGTCTGCAAGAGATTCAACGACAGCTGTACGACGTCAAAATGCACAATGCTCGCTTGATGGAAGAGAACGAGTCATTCCAGCTGTTGCTGAGCGAGAAAACACTACAAGGCGACTTCCTGCGAGCACCTTCACATCCTGGGTCGCGACCTCCGTCCAGACACTTGGACACTGCCGTGGGCACATCGCTCGCTGACGAGTTGGACTCCCAAGTCGACGAGAGTGAGATTGAAGGAGACACGCGGCGACTGCAAGCAGAAGTGCAGAGCCTTAAGGACGCAAACAAGGCATTGACGTTGTATATTAACAATATCATCTCGCGCCTTCTCCAGCATGACCAGTTCGAGGCGATTCTAGATAAGACGCCGGACCTGATGGCAGGCCCGGGTGCCGCCAGCACAAAACGACAGCATGCAGACACGGATAAAGAGCTGCCACCGCCTCCACCTGACAAGGACGAACAGCCTAGTCTGCTGCAACGAGCGAAGAGTGTCATGGGTGGCACCAGACCAAGACCACGTCCGCTATCACAGTCACTCGCTCCTGGTGATCAACTCGAGCCGTCCTTGAAAACACCAGGTCTCAATGAAGACCCGAAGACCGCTCCCAGTGTGCCCATCGCACGATCCAGGTCGACGAGAGCATCCCATGGCCACAGACGCGCGAACTCGGACTGGCCGGCTGCGAGTGTGGTTACAAATATGTATCGTGGCCCGTCTCCAAATGCAGGACCACTAAGCCCGGGCCTCACCTCTCCCATCAATCGCAACTCATTCTTTGGGAGGACACCTTCATCTAGTACTTCAGTGCCGACTATTTCCGAAGATAACATTGACAAGGAAAGCGCTCGAGACAGCAAGATGAGTGGTAGTGCCAGCAATCGCAACAGCGTCACTTCCAATCCTACATATGCGGGCATCGATGATGACAGCAGTACCGGAGCAGCCAGTGGCCTCTTGAATGAACGATCCAACCCTTCATCACCACCACAAAGTACAACGAGCTCCGGCGACAGAGACAAACCCAGTGGTGCCATCATGATGGGCTCCAAACCTCGTCCTCTCCGTCTGGTCCAGGAAGCTGCCGATGAGGACGCGGCCAAGAAGCAGGCAAACCGAGGAAGCTGGTTCGGATGGATGAACAAAGGTGGTGCACCGCCTCCCGGATCACTGCAATCACCGCCTGCTCCAAGTTCCCAAGGTCTCGGAGAGAAATTGGGGGGTGTATTCCGCAAGACCGACGCCGAAGCAAGTCAGGCGCAGTAGAACTCGCCTCCGTTACAGCAGAGTCATACCGATTACCATCAGTTGAGGCACGAATGGAGTATGAGAGGTAGAAGTGGATCGGCGAGGGTTGGGAAAGAGAACAAGAGTCCGACTAGAAGTGGGATTGGGAAAGAGGATCATCCTTACCCTCGCGCTCTACCTCCTCCTGCTATGCCTGCCGGGAGTGGTGCGTTGCGGTCTAGGAGGAGGTGGAGGTGGAGTGAGTGACCCAAACGTCTATGGGAGATGGCGTATCCTCACTTTGGTTCTCGACAAGTAACCTGCCAGTGTTGTTTGAGGGGTGGGATGATTTGGCTTCCAGTTGTACGTTCTTGCGGGGCAAGCAATACCTGGTTGGCGCGGCGCAGGTACGATATTGTGTGGCTTACGAGCTGCTATGGATGGATATATACCCTTGTGCTGGTGTTTTTTCTTTTCCATCGTCTTTGCTTTTATAATGAGAGAAGTAGAAGTTTGGTAGCAGTGGTCGGAAAGAATAGAGAATGAGATGATTGAATAGGTTAGCATCCAGTATGGACCTGCTGTAATTTGCTGTCTACACCGTGTATTGTGGTACAGGCAATGCGATGGGAACAAGTTGGTAGGGCGGCTGGAGTGCCGATAGCCGTGTGATCAACAGACCTCATGACCTTGCCCTGCGCCTGTATGCGCCTCAGTCAACATACATCATGTATCTTTATTTACAAAGGAGTGGAGTTGGCCGGGCTGTGCGATCCTGATGGATGGCTCATCTTGGACGCATTCCAGTATTCTCAATAATTTCGCAGGTTGCTACGGCGAGGCGACATCATTGTATATTCCTACAGTAGGTGACAGATGCGACGAGAGATTTGATCCTAAATAACCTGGAAGGTATGTTCCAGTGAAAAAGCCCTTTGAGACTATGGTTGGTGGTGGCATTGTTGACCTCGTGGCGAGCGGTAGTCCGGCTACGGTCTGCCCGAGACTGAGGTGGTGATCCATACGACTCCTCAAGTAGACTAGCGGCTGCTCGATCTGGTATGTGATAAGCGAGGGGAAGGAGGAAGGAAGAGGCGATGAAATGTGCTGCGCTTCAAGATCTTTGTGTGCATCTGTGAATGCTCCCGTGACGCTCTATAAATTCATCACATTCGCCTCTCTCTCTAGTTCTCTCTCCCTCTCCCTGATATTATTGTCATAATCATCATCATCCCTTGTACAGTCCAAACGCGGTATCCTCCAAGAGCCTCATTTACCCCACAGTAACTTAGCTATAGGAGCTAGTTCTAGGTTCCCCATACGAAGCTACATCCCAGCGCCCAACTAGCTCTATCGCTCCAACATCAACCATTGTTCGTACGACTATCACTGCTATTATGGATCGAGCAGCAGCAGAAGTCAACGGCAAGGCGCCTCTTCACGGCAGCGGTGCCAGCCCACATGACACTGACCCTATCGTCAAGGTACCGAATCAAACCATACCTGACATAGCTATACCACGTCTTTCAGACTGCCACTGACTTGAAATCTGCCAACAGGTCCAACCTCCTCGCCGCGAAGATCTCCAAACATCCTATGCCCAAATCATCAAGGCCGATACCGAAGACGACTCCCAACATGGCTGGTACGGTGGAATGGTCAACACTCTAGGCTCTATCATTGGTGCCATAGGCGCTATTCCCTGCTGCATCGTCTGCCCCAATCCATACAAACCCGTCGCCCAAGGAAACGTGGGTCTCGTCACCAAGTTTGGTCGTTTCGCAAGAGCTGTAGACCCAGGACTGGTCAAGATCAACCCTCTTTCCGAGGCTCTGATTCAGGTGGATGTCAAGATCCAGATTGTGGAGGTGCCAAAGCAGGTCTGCATGACCAAGGACAATGTCAATTTGACCCTCACATCGGTCATCTACTATCGCATTACTTCTCCGCACAAAGCTGCCTTCGGCATCTCCAACCTGCGCACTGCGCTTGTGGAGCGCACCCAGACCACCCTCCGCCACGTCATTGGCGCAAGAGTACTGCAAGATGTCATCGAGCGCCGCGAGGAGATTGCCCAGTCGATCCGCGAAATCATTGATGAGACCGCGACAGGATGGGGCGCAGAGGTGGAGTCCATGTTAATCAAGGACATCATCTTCAGCCAGGAACTCCAGGACAGCTTGTCCATGGCCGCGCAGAGCAAGCGAACTGGTGAAGCCAAGGTCATCAGTGCCCGTGCTGAAGTCGAGAGCGCGAAGCTGATGCGACAAGCTGCCGATATCCTGTCGAGCGCTCCTGCTATGCAGATCAGATACCTCGAGGCTATGCAAACCATGGCGAAGACTGCGAACAGTAAGGTCATATTCTTGCCGGCGCAGAACCAGACTGTGCAGAGCCAGCTTGCTATGGCTGAGCAGTATGGCGAGGGACCGAGCAGTTACCGCGATTATGGTACGACCAACAACGGCAATGCCGGTAGTAATGAGTTCTCTGGCAACACGCACGGATTCCAGAGTGCGGTCAATGCGAGGGTAGTGGAGAATATGTGAGATGCCTACGACGATTGCTGGAATCAGAATGCACCGTACGCGAGTCGCGAGATTGTTTGATATGCACCGCGAGTATGATGTTACGAGCTACGGGATTGTATGTTTCGGTTATAGTTTGTGAGTTGTTTGATACCCAGATATGTAGTCTTGTTACCTGTATGCTCGCTTTTCGATCCAGTATCCTCCTACGTCGACTTATCTCGAAAAGCCAATTTAGGGCCTATTCAAATATGTCCTACGGGCCTGCCCGTTAGTAGTACGGAGTACGTACCAATCTCAATTCTTATACGCGCGTACGGTAGTAGGGAGGGGGGGTATAATAGTCCTATAAGCGTAAGGGTATACGTAATAGAAGTCCGAGGTATAAAAGGTATAAACAATATACGGCTTACTATCTAAGGTATAATAACTCTGCCCTTCCTTCCTAGAGGAGGCCCTTACTATATATATAAGCTATTCTATTATCTACTCCTCGCTACTAGTACTGCCTCCTCTTAGATAGTAGCCGATAACCGGTTCTCTTAGAAACCCTCTTAATTTAGAACGTTCTCGATCGGTAGAGTATCCCTTCTATACTAGATCGCTAGAGGTCTATAAGGGCTTCCCGGCCTATATAGTATACTCTACCTACCTCGCCGGGGGTTCGCTAGGGCTCCTCTACTCTAGTGTATTATAGACGCTCTCTCTTAGAGCTAATATCCCTAGTAGCGATAGGTTATTAGTCCTCTATATATTTGCTCTACAAATAGGAGGTCGACGTCTACTCTTATCTAGGTACTATATAGAGCTAGCGTATACCTATAGAATATCTATACCTTAGTATTAGTAAATATTGTATATAAATTCCTTCTTATATTCGCGCTATTACAAAGCGTTGCTAAGAATATTTGCTTATAGTTACGTCGCGAATTCTATAGATAGTAGTCGGGAGTATATAGTAGTATCGCTATAGAGATAGAGTATTTTAATAGGTTCGTCGTACGTTCTACAATCCTCTTATTCCTCTCCTATTAATATCCTACTATATACTAACATCCTTATCTACCTATAACTCTATTATTATTACTATATCTAGATAGCTATACTTCTACTTCTTGTTTCCCTCTCGCCTCTCTATAGCTCCGCCTCGTTTCTTAGTTTCTCTCGTCGGCTCCGCCGCTTTATTAGGCCCTTCTAACTATTATAGCGTTTACCTAGAGGTATATAACGATTTCTTTTTCTACTATATATATAAAGGATATAGTTCCTAACGACTAGGACTATAGCTAGTTAGACGTAGACTAGGACGAGACTAAGTATATCGCAATATGCCTACGATATACGAAGTCGATTGCTATAGGGCGAGTATACAATACGCCTATATATCGCATGTATAATAGTTGTACAAATAATAATAAAGCAGGTTGTAATAGTATAGAGAGGGTAAGTATCTATCTACCTTACTAGGGGTTCGCCTTACTAACGAGTCTATATATAGATAGTACTACGACTCTTAAATAAGGTAATAGCCGTCTAACGCTAAAAGGGGCCTTTATAAACGTCGGGCTAATAAATTTTAAACGTCGGGCCCAAAGTTTGCCTTAGGCAGAAGATATCTCAAACTATTTCTCTTAGGTATTCTATCTCTCTCTCTCTCTCTCTCTCTCCTTTCTAGGTAGGTATTTTGCGTCTCGTTCCTCTCGTTGCTCTTGTTCCTCTCGTCGCTCTCGTCGCGTCGCGTCTCGTCGGTCTCGTTGTATCTCGTCGGTCTCGTCGTATCTCGTCGGTCTCGTTGTATCTCGTCGCGTCTCGTCGCGTCTCGTCGGTCTCGTCGGTCTCGTCGCGCTCGTCTCGTCTTGTCTCGTCGCGCTCGTCTCGTCTTGTCTTGTCTCGTTGCCCTCGTCTCGTCTTGTCTCGTCGCTTTCGTCGCTCTCGTCTTGTCTCGTCGCTCTCGTCTTGTCGCTCTCGTCTTGTCGCTCTCCTCTTAGTCGCTCTCGTCTCGTCTTGTCTTGTCGCTCTCGTTATAGAAGCAGGTAATATACAAATATTCTGCCTTAGGTACAGAATGCGGCCTAAGGCAAACTTTAGGCCCGACGTTTAAAATTTATTAGCCCGACGTTTATAATAACCTGCTAAAAGGACGTATATAATAAAATATAGAGGGAGATTACGGCTAGTTACCTAGCAAGCTCTATAGAGGACGCGCGCGCCCTTGTAGAAGGCAACGATAAATACTACTACTAGGTAGTATGCCTTTACCTTATAGCGCGAACCCTTAATAGAGAGATTTATACTATCGAGGTAGCGTACCGCTATATAGGGACTACTATAGGTCTACCGACCTTTACGCTACAATCGACCTAAGACTAGTTACTACTAAGGCTTGCTACTCTTAGAGCAATTGCGCTCGCTAGGCCGCTATCCTATATAGAGGCCCTTAGAGTACCTCTAAGGGTCGTTAGCGGTAAGTCTTAATAACGCTCTCCGTTCTCGGGACCTAGCTAACTATATTAGGCCTTATTATAGGTACAACCTACCCTAGTAGGTATATAGGGTAGGTTAGGTATTAGCAATACCTAATAGGTATAGGTATTTAGCTAGGTATACCTAACCTATCGGGTTAGGTACAAACCTAGTAGGTATTACGATACCTAGTAGGTATTGCGTACCTATTAGGTATTGAATCTTCGTATATAGAAATAAAAAACCTAGAAACCGGATGCCCTAACGAGAGCGAAGAAGCGATTTATTTAGACTAGGTATAAGAAAAGAAACTGTATATAAACCCGATATAGATACGAAAGTAAAGATTATAGTTAAATTAAATAAAGAAACTTAGGATTATATATATACTATACTATAAGTTGTAATATTTTGAATCTTAAGAAATATAGTCGGTAAATATAGTCGGTAGGTAAACTTTATATAAGCTTAAAGCAATCTCCTTATAATCGTCTTGTAGTATCCCGGAGGCACTCCTACGCAAGCTTAAAACTTAGGTATACTAATCGCCTTAGCTCCTCTACTATATTACCCTCGTTATCGCTAATCGTATCTAAGTTACTAATCCGTTCTATAAGATCTTTCGTCTGCTCTCGGTCTTTACTAAGGATCTCCTATAAAGTTAGAGTACTAAGAAGCGCTTAGGAAACCTCTATAGCCTCCTAGGCGATAAGAACTCTAGTATCGTACTTATCGTCCCGATAGCGAAAACGAGATACTATTAATCTAGAGAATATTACTACGGTATATTAGCGATTGAAACGACTTTAGTATCGAGCGATACTGAAATCGCGCTTATACCTAACTCCGGCGGTAGGAATATAGAGAATATCCCGCGCTATCAATACGAGAGTAGGGTACTTAGACTCTATTAAAGACTATGTCTTTAGTACCTCGAATAGATCCCCTTTATCTATATTAGCATCTAAATAGTCGGCGAGCTCGTTATCCTCGTTAGTACTACGTCTTTAACTTTAAGAAGACTCTATACTCCTACTAAGAGTAAAGTCGATATAGCCTTTATACCGACTCCTTCTAAAACGGCCCTACTAGGTAGAGGTACTCGATAATAAACGA